AGGATATCGTTACATTCTTCGAGAAGAAAAGGGTACAAGTTGGAGCCCGGCAAATGCAGTACGGTCAGTACCTAAAGTATCTACCCGCAGATGCAAGACGATAAGTTTCCTCTATAAGTTGCTGCTATTAACTAGAGGTAGAGATGGAGAGATCTAAGGTGCCTAGCCCGCCATTTTCCCGCAGTGACACAAACGCAGCCCGCCCATGCAGGAGGTTTCAGCGATCCCCTGGCCCCCTCATCCTTTCCCAGCCACATTTCTCATATCATTCTGCATCTGACTGTGCTCACAGATCTTAGCGTAGTACTATCTATCACATACGAGTCTCAAGCAACAGGTCTGTAAGGTACTTTCTCGAATTCAATATCATGACCATCAGTACTCTGTAGATACGCCACAGTGACAAGAGAACATGAATCGCAAGTCAACGGGACCGCCTCATGTTGTCCAACAATATCCCTGGTGGCTGTCTACTAATGTTGGGGAAAAAGATGTGCGCTACTTGTGACCTGTATGGCGTCACAAATCACCCAAGTGAAGTCATGTGGCCCAGGTTAGGAGATAGCTTTGGCTCCAAAATGCCCCAACAAGACATCGTTAATGTCTCTGTCGACACTCTCCAAAAGACCCCTTCATGTACATGGAAACAATTTTGTGCGTCAAGTACTCCGTACCTTAAAGAACACCTGAAAGATGGTAGTATTCCTCCTGCATTAATCTTGACATGAGGAGGTGAGCGGGATTGCAGCATGTGGATGGACGGATTACACGCCCACCAATCACCTCCAAGGAAGGAGGAATGTCAGGTTGAAGCTGATTGACGAAGTAACAGTCTGACACCTGTAGTTAAAAACACCCAGACGGAATCTCGTAGTAAGCAGTAGAGCAGAAAAGATCGGTAAGCCGGATCTTCCGGTTTAATCTCCCGCTGAGATAAGCACTATCGCGAAGTTTTCAAGATCAAGAACGGATGCAATGATATCATCATTTCAGTATTGGCACAGCAAAATGCAAGTATGGACACGACTCTGAATGTAAGATTTCAATTTGCCTAATCGGTACCCTTCACTAGTAAAGTTTCACAAGGACCGTGTTCGACAAGCCATTTTGACGCCAGAAAACCCATATTCCATCCTATTTGTGATTCCTTTAAGCCTCAGACTTGAAAGCGTCGGGGAAACGGCGGATGTTGCGCTCCAGAGAACCGTGGTTGGAAAGGAACTGGACGTAAGCACCGTCGACCTTGACGCGGCCGGCAGCCTTCTTGTCGAGGTACTCCTCACGTCGGAGAGGAGTGAAGCCCCAGTTCTTGGAGACAATGATCTTTTGTCGGCCAGGGAACTTGTACTGGGATCGGCGGAGGGCCTCGAGGGCAATGGCGCGGGCTGGTAGTAGTTAGTAAGATGATTGCAAATGACGAACGGGCTTTACATACTGGCATCACGAGTGCGGACGCTCATGAGAATCTGGCCAATGTTGACACGGGCGACAGTGCCGTTGGGCTTACCCCAAGCACCACGCATACCGGTCTGCAGTCTATCGGCACCGGCACAAGACAACATCTTGTTGATACGGACGACGTGGAAGGGGTGAGCGCGGACTCGGAGATGGAAACTCTCCTTTCCGGCGTTCTTGGTGAGGTACTTGTTGGCGCAAATACGGGCGGCCTCAAGAGCCTCGGAGCTCAGCTGCTCATACTCGTTGGAGACGAGGTGAATGCAGAGAGGGAAGTCATCGACGTTGGCGCGCTTTCGGCCAAGATCGAAGATTCGGATCTTGGGGTCGGGGACACCACGGTTGAACCGAGACTTAGGATACGGCTGGAGGTAGAGTCAGTATGAGGCCATCTTCAAATGAGATGCTCGTCGACGTCAAGGAGAACATCACCCTGCGAGGGAGCATTATTGGGATTTCGTCATGGAATCAGTCATTCCAACGAGTGACGAACGCTCAATACTTCTCAATAAACGTCGCGCGCAAGAAAACGCACCTTGTTCTTGCAGTATCGGTAGCAACGAGCGGGACGGCGCGCCATTTTGTCGGATTTTTGATGATCTTCCGGTTAGGTGTTGTGTTGGAGTAAAGATGCCGTCGAGGGGGGAATCAGGACTGCCCGTCTCAATAACTCAGGTTATTACAAATCAAAACGAAGGTGCAATGGTGGTGGCGGCTTCCGGCTTTAGGGCTCACAAACGGCGTTAAATGCCCTGATTGGCTGTCGGATTTGGCAGCGGCCCCACCTAAATCACACTGCCAAAACTTCGAGCTCAGCAACTTTTTTCATATTCAATCTCCAGCACCTCATCACCCAAACGACAAGTCGCCGTCCACCAGTCGCCCAACAGTCACAATGGCCCCCCAGAAGAAGAGCAAGAAGGATGCCAACAGCATCAACTCCAAGTTGGCGCTTGTTATGAAGTCCGGAAAGGGTATGCACGATCGGTCCTGGAATACACCAAATGAACTTATCACTAACTGATAATTTTCAGTCACTCTTGGCTACAAGTCTACCCTCAAGAGCCTCCGATCTGGCAAGGCCAAGCTCATCATCATTGCTGGCAACACTCCTCCTCTCCGCAAGTCTGAGCTTGAGTACTACAGCATGTTGTCCAAGGCCCCCATCCACCACTTCTCTGGTAACAACGTAAGTCATAATTCGCTACGTCTCTTTACAAATACAGTCATGTTGCGGGACACTGCAACATGACCCTTCTCGGAAACGCTTGCAAGACAACGTTTCTTTGGCCGCAAGAACCCTGGTTCTTGCGGCCTACCCAGAGAAAAAGTCATTTCGACTTTGGAGGGTTCATTGGCTTACTCGTCAACCTACAGATCGAGCTCGGTACCGCCTGCGGTAAGCTCTTCCGTTGCTCCACCATGGCTATCCTCGACGCTGGTGACTCCGACATCCTCAGCGACCAGCAGGCTTAAGTGTCGCGCTGATAGAGAATGGATTTTTTGGCGTTAGGGGTAAACGGGTTCAGGGCATTTGAGGATATACCAATCAGAGTGATGAAAAAGCGACAACTCTTAGTGAGAATACGCTATGTCATTCAAGATGCATAGAAATTCTCCCCTTGACCTAAGTGTCTTGGGCTAAATTGGGCTTGGTATCAAGTATCAGTCCAAGTCAATGAAAAAATAAAGCTCATGAACATTGTTCCCCGCCAATACTTGTCTTGTTCCTCGTGATCGTACTCCGTGCATTGTGTTGTGGATATATACCCACTTAGTTGCAGAGCGTCCAGCGTGGGCTACATGCGATGTGTTGTCGACTATCGCGGTCAGCATTTTGTGGTGTCAAAGCCGAACATGTCACACCACTGTGTTAATCGGCACATACGTCCCTTAGGCATCGAGGCGGCACGATAGGATTCAGAGTCATATCCCAAAGGCTTTGCGTGTATTCATAACTTTTCGCAACAAATTCAGAGTCATCACAAGAATACCAAAACTTGGGGGTTGTTTAGTAAAGCAGGTTCGGTCTTCTGAACTCTCTTGGGTCTTACAGACTACATAAAGTACCTAGCTCTATTCTAGATATTGTCTCATTGCACCAGAGTTAACTTTCTTGTTATTGAGTTGACTTAGTAATCGTCTTGGTATTTGGTTTGTAGACTTGAAAAGTAAAGAATGTAGGTTGTATGGATTAACCTAATGCTATCGAGCGCATGACTTTACTCCCACCGCCTTATTTATGTGGCTTTCCTACTAGGTATGTTGGGTTTGCACTAAGCTTCTCCTTAGACAGATTTATGGTTAGTTCAAGTTGTATCTTTCTGTTTCCGGATACTTTCAAAGTCGGCAACAGCTTAATTAAATGCGTATAATAACAAGCATACTATGGTGAGGTATTATATATACAAGGAGCTTCCCACTGTTCATCTCCTCAGCCACATGGAAAAGTGACACACTGACGACTGGCACTCGGTACGTCGATATGGAGTACCCAGCATCGATGGCCAATCTCCTATCCCAGCATCACAACTTCGGGTCGCAATTTCAAGCTGCATCATTCAAGAAAAAGATCATGCACAGTATGCATTGATCCAATTTCGGCCCTAAGGTCTAGAAGGAAGGCTTCGAGCACGAGGTTCAGCGTAAAGCATTGCAAAAGGTTCTGGGGAAAATTCCGAGATATTCATTAGAATAACCCCGATTCTTCTCTAGAAAGGAGCTGTTCCACCATTTGCAACAGCCACACGTTGCCTATTACGACGCTACCACGCCAGCAGTGTTACGGATATAGCTTGGCTTCTACAGTATGCGAAGTTTGTATCAATCAACTGTATAGCAGAGGTTGTAACTTTAGGGAGGCTGTAGTTAACAGAGGGCAGAAGTCAGATGGTAGGTCCCTGCATAACTTCAATCTCCAAACTCTTTGTCCTTCACCGACCACAGTATCTGTAACAACCTTAATTCTCCAGCAACTGTAAAACAGCTCCCTTCTCTATCTAAATAAAAACTGGAAACACTTTTATTTTGCTTTCGGTTTCTTTTCTTTCTAACATCGATTGTACTATTTATACAGTACAGCTCAGCACGTCCTGGTCTGGCGTAGCTTGTTCCATTAACATCAATACTCAACACTTGAGGTGTGTCTGCCCCAGAATTAAAGACCTTCTGGACGCCGGCGCCACACGCTAGAGTCAAGGCCCCTACCCCGTACCTGGCAACGTCCCTTTTTGAGGCGCAGAGGGGGACTGTCCTGTACGTTACTGCATTGGACGCCCAGGACAAGACACTCCTATTTCAGCTCCGACCCGTCCATCTTGTTGAGTTTATTATCTGCGTTCCAGGTCACCAGGTGAACGTGCAACTCAACTGGCCGCAACAACAAACGTTACGACAACTTTCAGATCATACAATATCTATACTCGAACTCGAACTCGAACGACCCTGGCTTGATCTCATCTTTACTGAGACACCGCCAGCTGTTGTTACGCTTCATACGATCCAGTCCAACCCAACCAAATCCAATCCCAAATCATTATCACAACATGTCTGCCGCTACAAAGAAGCCCCCGGCTGGAGGTGTTGGCCGAGTATCACACGCCGACTCTTCTTCTTCCTCCTCAAGTCCTTCTGTCTCGCGTCCCACCTCCAGATCGACTACCCCCACCAGTAATGGCCATAACCGCACTCGATCGCTACGAACAACCGCACCTGTGTCGGCTCGTGCCGCCATTGCCCGAAGGGATACGCTCAGTGCAGCTGACTCGGATGCTCGATCCGAGGCTGCTGCTGCCGTCGAGGATCTCCAGAAGCGTCTGGAAAATGAAGAGAAGATTTCCCTCCAGTATAAGCGCCAGGCTGAGGTTCTCCAGTCTAAACTGGACGAGGCGGTCAAGGAGTCCGCGAAACTAGAGGAGAAAGCGCACGAATACGAAGAGCAGATCGAGATTTTGAATAACGAGAAGCGAGAGGGAACTCGTCAGATGCGTGAGATGGAATCTATTTACGAGGCGGAACGCAGTTCTATTCTTAAGGAGAAAGAGGAGATGGCGAACCGAGAAGAGGAGATGCAGGCCATGATCCAACGACTCAAGGACAGTCTCGCCCAGCGAAACAACTTCGTTGAAGAGAGTCGCCCTTCAAGACAGCGTACGTATACATATTTGACCCTTCAATCTGCCATTCCCCCGCTTACTGGTAATTTAGATTCCGGCTGTTCATCGCCGTCTGTCGAAAACGGCAGCTTTGCCCCTCCATCCTCCATACAGCGCAGCGACTCACGGAATAGCTCAAAACTTATCCTCCAGAAAGACAAGCTTATTGAATCGCTACGGCTCGAACTCGCTGAGGCTCAGATCAAACTAGTCGAGACGGAGAACCAGGGTGGCGGTCGAGTGCATGAAGTCGAGCGACTTCTCATGGAAGCTCGCATGGCCAACGCCCGGCTTATGGAGGACAACGAGAGTTACCAGCTGCTTCTACAGGAGCGAACCCTCAAGGGCGACTTTGGACAGAACGACTTCAGTTACATGGGCAGCAACTCCAACCAGGATGCTCTGGCTGCCCTAGAGGGCAAGGCAGGAGGCTCTAGTCTCGCTGATGAGTTGTCTGAAGCCACTGAAGGGGAGTCCGTCTCCGTCTCCGATGCCGACCGTCGCATCGAGGCTGAGGTCAAGTCCATGAAGGAGCAGAACAAGGCGCTCACGCTATATATTAACAAGATTATTGAACGTCTTCTTCAGCACCAAGACTTCGAGTCGATCCTCGATACGTCGAGCGATTTGAAAAGCCTCCCAGACACCAACAAGGACCTCCCCCCCGCGCCTGTCGACAAGCAACAGCAGCCTCCTGGGACAATTCTCCAGCGAGCAAAGTCCATGGCTGTCGGCCCTACCAAACCGAGGCCTCGGCCCATATCAGTCATGCAACCCTCTACAACCTCAGATCATACCGACCCAGACAAAGCACCTAGTATTCCCATCGGCTTATCAAGATCGACAAGCACAAGACGGTCTCCACGGCCACAGAGCGACCAATATACTGGGGCTGCCAGCCTGGTCAGCCAGATGTACCGGGGGCCAGACGGCCCCGTCTCTCCACCGCTTGGGACTCCACGCCACTCCCAAACCTTCTTCTCGCCGCCCAACAACTCGGGCAACCCTAACGCGGCCGCCCGGGTGCCTAGCGGAGCCTCGGTGGCCACCTCCGGCAACTTTCCTGGGATGCGGAGCGAGACCTCCAGCTTGAGCGGGGATTCTGGCGAGATGTCCATGTCCACGCCGCCGTCGCAGTCACCACCCCGATCTCACACTGATAGGCACACGACGTCGTTCGCGGGAGGCAAGCCGAGGCCGCTTCGTCTGGTTCAGGAGAACCCAGACGCTGTCAAGGAGAACAAGAGAGCCAGCTGGTACTCCCCATTCACCTGGGGAGCCAAGAAGGACGAGCAGCAGGTACCATCAGGCAACCCAATCCCTGAGTAGAGCGGGACGAGGCTGTAGGAAGGATCTGGCTCTGGAGAGCAGAGCTCATGCGGCGGTGCAATGTTAATGGGACGCAGCAGTTGGATATATACGTTCATGGGGCATCCTTAGGGACTGATGACTGGTCATGTACGATTTACGTCATTAGATATAGCGGCGTTTGGTTCATGGATTATCGTTGACTGTATCGACGCCGTCTCGCAAGCAATGGGCGGTGTTTTAGGGATTGTCCTGGTTATCCTTGGGATACTTGATGAGGATGCAGTGCGATGCAAGACTATTATGGAAGCTCATGACTGTTGACGACGAATTGTGAATGGAGGCATGATGTTTTCTAGATGTAAAATTACGGAAAGCACTCGTATAGCGATGCTGCAATCATGATATAGTTGATGATATTTGTTATGTTAAATTCGGGTTTTCCTTATGCTGTTGATATCCATAGTATCGTTTGCCTCGAGATGGTGTCTCATATCCGAAGTCACGAATAGCATGTTATTAGATGTCGTTTTTCATATGGCTAACAGGCAGCGGGCTAGTCCTAGACTCTGATTCTTCATCTACCAGTTTGTAGAGTGAGCAGCACAACGTGAAGGGTCAACAATCTTTTCCACCATCTGACCAACCATTGCTGGCCTCATATGCAATGCGAGACTAGACAACAAGACCGCGAGCAGGTGGTCCTTGAACTGCTGCGATGGCTCGAACCAAGTGAGGTGACGATCTCATCAGACCCTACATGCATCCTGCTACAATCGGTAGTTCTTCCAAAGCTACTTTACGATATTATTTGACTGGGTCGACCGACAAGTGCGCGAGACTTTCCAGGCTGCGTGAGATTATCCATGGGCAATGATGTGTGAAGCAGCTAGTCGTAAGCGCGCGCAAACAACCAGTCAGGATAACACAGCGAAGTTTGATGACTCCCCATGAAGCTACAGGGCGATGAGGGTGATAAGGCAGGGACAAGTGGTCTGTGATACAAGGGTTATCCCGTTGACAGTTCAGACGGCGCGACGCGGATGATCATCTGCGCAGGAACCCGAGACGGCGATAGGCCGGGTCATGACATGTCAGCCTTTGGGGGGTGATGTGATACAACGATACTATTTGTGCGTAGCAGGACAAAGAATACAAGAAATGGCGCGTGGGGTTGGAGATGGGTTGACGGAGAACAACCCGATAATGTCTACGTGTTAATAGTTTGGGGGTACAATTGGGACCGTGATAGTGGCTATCATGATGAATGTATTGGTGTTGATTGTGGTTGTTATTTGCCCTGCCTACAGTGGATGGTCTCACAACTACCAGCTGACTCTGGCTCACAAGAATTTATCGTCCATCCAAAAATACATCTCTACCTGAAGGAGTCAGAGGACCAGGCCAAGTTGAAGTGGCTGTGTCTCTCGATCCCTTTTGAGGCTTGATCGAGATTCTGACATTCTCATTGTTGCATCTTAAAACATGCCTGGCTCGTGTGCATGAACCTTTTGTCACTTTTGTGTTACACAAAGTACTACGTACGGATAGAAGGATCAATAAAATCGAGACTCTACCCAGGTTGGTACTTATGGCAGGTTTTGGATACCGAAACAAAGGTCAGAGGACAGTCTGTTAGCCACTCTCGGCAGGTCTTGGCTGTATCGATCTTGTCCTCCATAACCAACCCTGTTTGCCCTTGACTTGAATCCCTCAGACGAGACATTTGGAATTGTGGCTTGAGTCTTACCGAGATATTGTCTGCGCCGTTTTAAGCATGTGCCACACTCACAGCCAGTAGTGGAGACATGGATCCTCGTGTCAGACTGTGAGAGGCTAGAGAGAGTGAAAGAGAGAGTGGCTTTGACTTGTAGGAGCTGGATGCTGTCTCTTGTGGGATTCTAGGCAAGGAGTTAACGTACGTCAGAGCCATCAATAATAACTGCTGTGAAGTGTGAGCGGAAGCCGAATCTAGGACCCGACATGTTCACGTCTCGGAAGGACGAGCGGATGATACCCCCTCCTCCTCATCGAGTACGGTAGGTACTTGTGCATATGATGATGAGAACCAGTTGTACGGCCTTCAGATGATGCTGGTCCATGTTCATGGCGCTTCTTGTCTGAGACCGAGGCTCATTCACAGGTTCCAGGGTAGCTGATGGAAGAGATGAGAGGAGTTTAATGGGGCATGATTGACAATGCAGAAGAGACAAGGCTGTTTGTTGCTGTGCACATTCGGATCCCAACAAGTCATGAGACCGTGTCTAACCGTGTGCTTGTGCTTCAGTCTTTATTGTCATTGTAAATTGGTGGTAACCGAGGCATCAATGTCATGCTGAGGCCAGCAACGATGCCGCGAGCAATGGAAATGAGCATAACCAGTTCTTGATAATGACATAGTGCAGCCACATCCCATACCCTGTGGCAGCATGTAAAAGCGTTTGCAAAGACCATGGTCTATCTCTTGCATATCCAACTTCCTGGGGAAACATGGTTCAAGATATCAACCCCAGGCATCTACCTGTGTTTAACTCCGTAGCTCAACCCGTCAGCCCGTCTGAGCCAGGATCTTTCACTCGCAACTCAACCGTCTCACATGTCCCGGAAACCCCCTTCCGCTCCCCGGACAACCGAGATAGGAAAGCAAGCAAGCATTGATTGTCGTCAAAATGTGCGGTCAGAGGAAGGAGGAGTCACGGGGTGATTCTTTGATATTGATACCAAAAAGATACCTGCAAATCTAGTATCCAAGAGTCGGTGAGGTATCGTAGTGTCAGTGTACTGCTAGGGCTAGAACCGTGCCTGGAAATCCGAACCAACAAGTGCGTGTTGAAGCGGTTTCCGGGACTTTGATGGTTGTTTCCGGCTGGCTTGTCAAACGGGGCTTTCTTTTGTTAGTGAGATATGCCCTGGCCAGGATTCAGAAACAGTCTGCTGGGACGGTGCCAGGGGAGGAGCCGGCTATTGGGGGGAGGGCCTGCTTAGGTCCTATAACGGATCAAGTTCATCGGCCACAAGGCTCATGACGTGTAGGCTGCAATTATGTGACTGCCAGATTTGTGAATAGCTGTCAAAAAGAAGAAAGATGCTGGCAGGCTTTCAGTGTTCACATGATATGCTGCTGAGCCATTCATATATCCAGAGCACAACACGCCGACCCACCAGAAGGCCGTTGTCAACGTGGCCCAGAACTTCTCCTGTAGCTAAAATGCTAGTCGCAGACTTTCAGTTAAAATGGCAAGCATTCACTGGGGTTATCACGAACACTGCATCGATCGTATGGATATATCCCCCAGCAACATGGTGGAGGAGCAGGGCTCCGTCGAGTTTTTTTCTCTTTCTCTTCTGACCGTCTTTACTAGTCAGACCCATCAGTTCCCGAAGAGCCACTGCTGTGCATCTTTATAATCAGTGGGAACTGGTTCGTAAGATAGGTTCCCCTGCTCATGTTTTTTTAATGGTGCCGTGATGATAGTGACAGTGTCTGAGAAGACCCGAAACTTGTGACTTGGCGTTGCTGAGAAGAAGAGATGAATACCAGAAACACCGATTACAGGAGATTGAGAAGAAAATGGCTTCTTTTATTTCTTCTTCTATCGGTGTAATAGGCCGTGATGATGGTGATGGGGAGCTGTGCTGGAATAAGTTAGCTACTCGCCTAGTAGTCTAGCACCTAGACAAAGAAGCGAAATGGAAGTCAAGATAATTGATCTGAGAGCAAAGCCAGAGGCAGAAAACACTCATTCTGGTGTGGGAGCAATCAGGTACCGGTTACAGGGGGTATCAAGGGCCCTCCGCTGCACTTACGATTGGATCCTTGATGTCGCGCCCGGTGCCAGGAACCGGTTGCAGGGGGGGATTGCGAGTACGTACGAATTTGAAAGAACCTGGACCTGGACCGGAACCTGGACTGGGACAGCCTGAGAACGGCGCTCGTTGACGGCTTGAGCAATGAGGTGAGAGGTGTTTTTGGGCTGAGATGTATATACACTGGAGTCAGTAAGTACATACCTTAGTAGTCGAGATATATACTGATTTCTAGAGTGCTGAGCTTCTGGACAAAGAAAGCGAGCCGCTCATGATGAGAGCAATGCGACGTAATGGCTGCTTTATTATAGCACCCTCGTCATTTACTCTCTTCCATGTCTTCGCATCACTGGCCTGGTCTGATCAGAGCTTCGGCTTGCCAGGCATACTATCCGAAAGTTACCAGCTTCACTCGACGCAAAGTCACACGGGCATATTTGTCACGGCATTAATTGATTCTGAGCACGTTTTAGCATTTGCGTTTCAATTCAAAGTCATTTCTACATACTTAATTATCTACCAAGTTCTCGGTGATGGCTCAACAGTTTAACAGCTTCTCAAGTGAGATCGGGATGCAGATACACTCTAACTACATCAGCTCAGTTCAGGTCTCTTTTGTAAGGTCTTAAACGCGGGTAATGACAATATGACTTTGATGTGTGTCCAATAACTAGTAGTGGAAAAGAAAACCTTTTCACCAGCTCAAGGCCTGCAGACGGCGCACTCCGTCACTTACAAGTTACTCCAAGAACCCAAGTCAGAGGTTACCCAGTCCACACACACACACTAGTCTTAGTGAGGAGAAGCGGGAGAGACAGAAGGTCAACAAGGATCCGTTGTGTTAAGGTCTCCAGCTCGGAAAGAAGTACAGTACTGTACAGCTTAATCGTGTGGTGAAAATCTAGACAAACTTGATATTCTTTCCTTGCTTTTTATTTTATTTTATTTTTCGTCCTCTGCCCTACCTTTAATTAAGCGCATAACATAATAGAATCACCCACGCCAATTAACCCCCAACAAGACCAAGACTGTCTAGACTGTCTTGAATCACTGCTCCAAAGGCGACCCGACAGATTGTGTCATGCTTGAACGCCAAGACAGAATGGCCAATCATCTTGAGCTACCCCAGCCCAAACCTGCACCTACGTGATTCCTTTCTGGTTCCTTTTTCCAGGTTCCCTTTTTCCATATTCAGGCCCCATCCCAGCCCATGTCGCTCTGGTTTTTGGGGGGTGCATCTCCTCCGGACGCTTCTTTCCAACAGTGAGAGAGAGAAAAAAGCACAGGGAAAAAAAGATACATTAATCTACGTACCGGCTGTGTCAGTCCCATCCACTCATAATCGAAATTTTGAGCCCGACGGGAGCGCGGATATAGGTACGGCCGGGTACAACGTCAGCGTCACCTTTTTTCGATAATACCTCTCTACTCTGCTTGCACTACAACTACGTCCACATCCACCACCGCTCGTCTACGTACCTTAGTATGCTACACCCACCGTCACTCCCGCCAACCACTACCATCATACTGTACTCACTCACACTCACTCATTCTTGACCTCAACACCACCACTTTTTACGACAATACTCGATTTCGCTACCTCTCGTCATCGCGCCTGGTTCACCTCTTGCAACCCGCCCCTTCAATCTGTAACAGTAAGGTACCATTCGGCCATTTCGCTCTCGATTGGATCGATACCTACCTACCTATCTGCTATTACGCCAGTCAGCCTGCATCGACTCGTACCCTTTGTCTGCCCAGCCGTATCCCGCCCGTCCGCTTGTGTCGTCTGCCATATCGTCGACAGACAGGTGCCAGCAGCCGTCCGGAATAGGTTGGGTTAGCTTCGATTCGCAGCTTTCCCTACTTTCTCGCGGCCTTCCATCTCGGCCACACGCCTATTCTGTTTCAATGACGAGCCAACCACAATGATCCATCCTGAAATCTGCTTTGCAATTCATTGTCCCTGCTAAGGCCCGTCCCGGTGGTATGCTCGCTAGGCATTCACTCCACCACTACCACAGGCCATCGTCATCATGGACAAGTCATCTGCCGTCTCAGACGGCACGTCCGGCGTCAGTCGTCCTGCCCATAACATGACTAACAAACGACGTTCCAACACCCCCGATCAATCTGCAACATCTTCAAGCGCAACCACAGGAAGCCAGAACTCGAAGCAATCTTCCGCCAACAATTCTGTAGGCCCCTCACCCTTGGCTTCGAGAGACTCTTCCCCCACACGACGTCCTCGGAGGGCTGCCTCGGCAAACCGACTGGCAGGCACTCGATCCCGCAAAAATAGCCAAACCGATAACAGCCCGTCCCGTCAGACACGGCCCAGCATCTCTTCCGCAACACCATCACGTTCCTTGTCTTCAAACAATACTCCCACACTTCAGCTTTCCCAGGAACAACAACAAATTCAAGCACCAACTCCGCAGAAGCCAGGCTTCAACGCAGATCTCAAAGACAGTCCGCGATGGCCCGTATCACCCCGTTTGCGATCGCCCCCTCCCCAGTTTAGTGCCAGACCACCGATACCTGCCCGCCGCAGCGATCAGGATCTCCCTTCTATCAGTGTGCAACGGCCTACACCCTCGCCGCAGCCCATGGAGCAGAACACGGTATCGGAGAGCGAGATGGAGGAATCGCAGTTTCCTTCCGGAATGCGGACTCCAGCTCGAGCTTTGGAGACGGTTCAAGAAGTTAGCCTGCCAAACTCGCCCAATCCTCCTGGAGGCTCAGCATTAGTGGAAAGCATCAAGGAAAAGCTATCAAATTCGGAGAACTATTCCGACCCAGCACTTCCCGATGGACGAACTCTGCGAGCAAGAACCAGCCTGGTCGGCCAAGAAAGTGGAAGTGACAACAACAAGTCTGACATGAAAAGACCAACATCTGTCCCTCCACCCATGATTACTCGGCAGTCTAGTGCTTTGTCGAATAAGCAAATGAAATCGAAGCAGGATGGAACCATACAGACCATGACTGTTGAGACCGAGACCGTTCCAAGCGTACCACAAGTTGCGCTCACAACCGCGCAAAAGAACGAAGGGCCCAACGGAACCCTCAAGACCAAGCAGAGCACAGAGACGATTAAACCTAAAAAGGAGAAGAAGAAGACCTCACGCAAGCAGCCGCCCGTAAACACTGGAAACGGTGAGCTATACAAGCTTTTATTTGACCGAACAAGCTCACTAACTCCCCCAGCATCTTCAAAAGCGGATGTTTTTGAGGCAACTATTGCCAGTGCAGTTGATGAGGCACAAACCTCAGATTCTGAAGAGACGTTTGTCTACGACTCTAACCCTCCTGATAACAATGACAGAGCTGGACGGAGGTTCCATTCGCGAACCCCCAGTGCTACGTCAATGGCTAGTCAGGCTGATCGGCAGAATCTACGATCCATCTATGGAATTATGGAAAGCGCTGGTCCCGCCCATGGACCTAAAAAGACGATGAAATTCGTCAACACCTTTAATAGTAACGGAAACGAGAGCTTGGCAGTCGAGGCTGACGATGGCAAGGGCTCTAACCGGAGTGGTGGGAGCGGGTCAACACGAGGTACGACGAGACATCATCACCATATTGGTCGCTGGGGTCGACAGCCCGGTAACGGCCATGCCTCGCTCTTTGACAACGAGTCGCCGTTCCCGAATGCTGCGAGGTCGAAACTCGCTGGACCTACTTCTCGCAATTCTTCAGGACCACCAAGCCCGCGCAACGCTCATTCCGGCCGTCCTTTTGGCCACAAACGTTCAGCAATGCAAATGTCATCTAGCTACGATATGGATGACACGACAGGTGCAGACGATGAGCGCACACCCCTTATCGGCTCGGTCCGCTCAGGTCGCTCAGGTCGAAATCGTCGTGGGCCACACAACCTTCAGCAAGTCGAGTCACAAACATTTGCCAGACGGTCGTCATACTTGAACCGGTTTGCGGCATGTCTAGTCCTCACCATGATGTTTATGCTTGTCATTACCGGCGCCATTGGCTTCATGTTTGCAACAAGTCAGCCAATGACCGGAATCGAGATCACTGCTATCCACAATGTAGTAACCAGCGGCCAAGTGTTGATGTTCGACCTGACCGTCAAGGCCCACAATCCTAATATCGTTGTCGTCACGATAGACCACGCAAATCTTGAAGTTTTTGCGAAATCAGAATATACTGGAACGGATTCAGATTGGTGGGCACGACCGTTCCCCCACGGCCCGGATGATCTTCGTATGTTGGATGATCCAGAGAACGATCCTCCAATAGAGGATCCTGACCCCGATGACGATTTAAGACCCAACGTTCTTCTGGGTCGTATTACCGACTTCGATAGCCCTCTAACGTTTGAGGGCTCCCTCTTCCACCAGGGCACCTCTTCATCCACCGGAGAGATGCAACTCGAATATCCTCTCAACAACACCGTAGGGGGTTCAAGACGATGGGAGCGAATCTACCAAAATGAGTTTGATCTAATCGTTAAGGGTGTGGTCAAATATACTCTCCCAATGAGCGCCCGCATTCGCAGCGCGACGGTATCAGCCAGGAAGGCCGTCAGCCCAAATTCTTCAAACGACCCTTCAAACAGTACGAGGACCGATCCCTCCAACTAGATGGGGTGCTGCCTAAAGTCAGGCAGAAGCCCTTCTAGCCTTTCTTTTGTCAAATCACCGTTTGTCTTGTGTGTTTTAAGCGTGCATGGCACATTAGGGAGTAGCGGGCGTTGGATGTAAAATCTCCACCCATTATGGTTGAACATCATAAGGAGATGGAGCTGCAAGATTTTGATTTATTTTTTAGTTTTGGTTTATAGACAGGCTTATCCCCTATGTTTCCTGTCAGGTGTTTCTTGGGTTGTTTTCACTCCAATACTGACCTGGCGAGCTCGCTCAAGTCGTGCTGGTACGAGTCTCCTTGTCGGAGACGGTCTTGGAGAACGGTTAGGGATGGAGTTATTGCTTTGATTTCGTTTCAAAACCAATAGAAGGAAAAGCGGCAACTATGTGTTGTAATTGTAACGGCTTATGATAACACCAAGAAGAAAAAAGCAAGCCAGACGGGCTTGAAGAGGAAGACGCGGTTTGGGACACATATCAAAGTATTCTTAGCAGTTGGGACGGGTAGAAAAGGGGCTCGTTCTTGTTGAACACGATGATTTCAACAGACGGCCTGTTACTGTCATAAATGAGGTATCCTCGTAAAATCTATTTTTCAAGATGCGCTTCCTAATGTGAAAACGCCCAAACGCCATCACTTTTATATGCCGCCCTAAGATGGCATCCCCTGCCTGATATTGCCTTTCCAGATATATGAGATCATGAGAAGTGAATGCCCTCCTCGTTGAAAGCGAACAGAAGACGAAGGAAGTCATTCTCGTCGCACTTGCCAGATCGCTTGTCAGCAAGTTCAGTGACGTCCTCAAGAACCTTTCGAATCTTCTCTCGCACAAGCTCAGCCACCTTTGTCTTCTTTCGCTTGCTCTTCGTCTTGGTATCCGCCGTGGAGCTCTGCATCTCCTTGAAGAAATCAGGGGCGTCCTCGTCCCCATCAACGTCCATGCCATTGAGCTCCTCACCATCATCGGCACCTTCCATGTCCATATCGTCCTGCCCATTCTCGACGATGGTCTCGTCGACAGGAATACCATTCATAGCGCACCAGGTGCGGTAGTTTCGCTCGACCATAGAGAGGACCTCTTTGGTGCCCAGCCAGCTTGCGCGCAGGGTCTTGTTCTTTCGAACAAAGCACACACGCAGCAGGCCATCCCACTCATCCCAGCTGACGTTTGGTCGGTCCTTGCCAATTTTAGGCTCAATGCGGACAACGGAAGACTCGACCTGAGGTGGGGGTCTGAAGTTGTTCTTGCCAACCTTCATGATATGGGTGATCTTCGCCCAGAACTGAGCGTTGACCGAAAGACGGCAATATAGGGCATCGCCAGGGCGGGCTGTCAGTCGAAGGGCGAATTCGCGCTGAAACATGAGAATAGCGGTTCGAGGAGGGTTGGGAAGAGAGAGGATCTTGAAGACAAGAGGACTGGAAATCTACAATTTGTTAGTTCTTCAGTTCTCATAGTTTGGGTTAGATCAACAAACTTGATATCTGCATGAATTGTTAGTTTTAGCTCTTAGGATTGGGAAATCACAACTCACGGAGTGTTGCTAATGAAAACATCGACTGGCGGGAACGGCATTTTTATGGCGTCTCCGAGCATAATCTCAAGCTGCTATCGTCAGAATCAAGTCCAGATCGTGCATCAAGAACAATCACCTTTTTCTGTTCTGGAGTTCCTTGCACACGCTTGCTCAGCTCAGCACCCATTCTACTATCCAACTCAATTGCGGTGACCTTCTTGGCACGTTCCAAGATGCGAACAGTGATGTTGCCTGTACCTGGACCAACTTCGATGACCGAATCGGTGGGCTTCAAGTAGGCTTTCTCGACGATTGCGTCAGCAACACCGGGATTCTTGAGGATATGCTGGCCAAAGTTTGTATTGAACTTGAAGACGTTGTTCTTGGCGCTCGAATCGCCCTTCTTGCTCGGTCGCTCATATGGACTTGATGCGCTGCTGCGCTTGGCGGGCTTCGTCTTTCCCATCTTGGGCTTGATTTGTGATGTGTTCGTGAGTACAAGCTCTCGACTGCTTAGATTCTAGGGTTCGGTAATCGTCGTCTTTATCGCTGTCCTTCTTGTCGTATTACCCAAAGCCAGTGGGTTCTTTTCTTGTACGAGGATAAGTAAGTTCTTGGTGTTGAGGGGTGTCGTGCAAAAAAGAATTATTTGTTATCTTATCAGTGAACTTCGGTAGCTGCACCAATAAGAGCGAGTTCTGTCGCATATGGGGCCTTTGTCGGGAAGTGGCAGCTGTTCTAGACTGCGTGGAGTCTAGAGCTTTCTGAACTTGGACCCGCATTTATGTTTCGGTCTTCTGCGCTCTCAGGCTGTTCCATGATTGCCTGGTCTACTCTTCATCAGAGCTTCGCGCAACCTTAATCTTTTCCCTAGAACATCACCAAGAAAAACTTTCAACAAATACTTCACCCCACTCATTCTCTAATAGCGAGCACCCAAGGGCGAGTTGTCAATATGTCGGGGCGACGCGACTTTCTCAACCAGCCAGCGCCTGAAAACTATGTCGCTGGTCTTGGACGAGGCGCAACAGGTTTCACGACACGTTCAGATCTTGGTCCTGCTCGAGATGGACCTAGCGAAGATCAAATAAAGGAGGCTCTGGCTAAGCGTGCCGCTCAGCTTGGTCTCGCGCCAGACGGCAAGGGCAAGGGGAAGGAGAAGGAAGAAGAAGAAGGAGGGGGGGGAGGCGACGAAGAACGATACCAGGATCCCGATAACGAAGTCGGACTCTTTGCTGGCGGCGTCTACGACAAGGATGACGAGGAGGCTGATAAAATTTGGGAATGGGTGGATGAGAGAATGGATCGAAGAAAAAAGCAGCGAGAAGCGCGAGAGCAGGCCGAGAAGGACGAGTACGAACGAAACAACCCCAAAATTCAACAACAGTTTTCCGATTTGAAACGCGCTCTAGCGACCGTCACGGACGATGAATGGGCGAACCTACCCGAAGTCGGCGACTTGACAGGAAAGAACCGACGCAGCAAGCAAGCGCTACGACAACGATTCTATGCTGTCCCTGACAGCGTTCTTGCAGCTGCGCGCGACTCGGGCGAGCTAGGAACAACTGTTATGGACGAGGGCGCAGAATCAAGTGCTGGTGGTGAAAGCGCAGATGGAACAATGACCAACTTTGCCAAGATCGGAGCGGCGCGCGACAAGGTGCTCAAGTCCAGGCTGGAACAGGCTGGTAGCGATTCCGTCGCGCCAGGAACTTCAACCAGTATCGACCCTCAAGGCTATCTTACGAGTCTCAACAAGCTGGAGATGAACGGGGCACAAGCTCAGGTTGGAGATATCCACCGTGTGCGAGAGCTTTTGCAATCGGTTGTCAAAACAAATCCCACTAATGCTCTGGGTTGGATCGCAGCAGCGCGACTTGAGGAATTGGCGGGTAAGAGTGTCACGGCACGGAAGACGATCGATAAGGGCTGCACACAGTGCCCCAAGAGCGAGGACGTATGGCTAGAGAATATCCGACTCAACAACGACTCCCCCAATGCCAAAATTATTGCACGAAGGGCTATTGAAGCCAACAACAGCTCAGTCAGGCTATGGGTAGAGGCTATGACGCTGGAGACAATTCCTAGCAACAAGAAGCGAGTTATTCGACAAGCGCTCGATCACATCCCTGAGTCAGAAGCCTTGTGGAAGGAGGCTGTGAATTTAGAGGAGAGCCCTGACGATGCGAAGCTTCTCCTGGCCAAGGCGACGGAGCTTATTCCCCTATCTGTTGATCTTTGGCTTGCACTGGCACGTCTAGAAACGCCCGAGAACGCTCAAAAGGTCCTCAACAAAGCCCGAAAGGCCTGTCCAACCTCATACGAGATCTGGATTGCAGCCGCACGATTACAGGAGCAGCTTGGACAGGGTACCAAGGTCAACGTTATCAAGCGTGGTGTCCAAGTTTTAGCGAAGGAGTCTGCCATGCCCAAGCGCGAAGAGTGGATCGCCGAGGCTGAGAGCTGTGAAGAGGAGGGCGCTATTATCACTTGTCAGAACATCATTAGGGAGACACTCGGCTGGAGCCTGGATGAGGATGACGATCGTAAAGACACATGGATGGAGGATGCAAGGGCCAGTATCAACCGAGGCAAATACGAGACAGCCAGGGCCATCTATGCCTATGCATTAAGGATATTCGTCAACAGCAAAACGATGTGGATGGCAGCAGCAGACTTGGAAAGGAACCATGGCAACAGGGAGTCGCTCTGGCAGGTCCTGGAGAAGGCTGTTGAGGCATGCCCCAAGAGCGAGGATCTATGGATGATGTTGGCCAAGGAGAAGTGGCAGGCTGGAGAGGTGGACAACGCTCGTCTCGTTCTGAAGCGTGCTTTCAACCAAAACCCCAACAATGAAGACATCTGGCTTTCGGCTGTCAAGCTTGAGTCGGAGAACGGCAATGGGGAGCAGGCACGGAAGCTTCTGGAGATTGCCCGCGAGAAGGCACCCACAGATCGTGTATGGATGAAGAGTATTGTTTTTGAACGAGTGCTGGGCAATGTTGAGGCCGCGCTTGACCTCGTCCTTCAGGCTCTTCAATTGTTTCCTGCGGCCCCTAAGCTTTGGATGCTCAAAGGTCAGATTTACGAGGATCTGGGCAAGACTGGCCAGGCCAGAGAAGCCTTTGCTACTGGTGTCAAGGCGGTACCCAAGTCTGTACCCTTGTGGCTTCTATATGCTAAGCTTGAGGAGCAGGCTGGACTTACTGTCAAGGCTCGATCAGTGCTTGACCGTGCTCGGTTGGCTGTACCAAAGAATGCGCAGTTGTGGTGTGAGTCCGTACGACTTGAGCGACGCGCAGGCAACTTAGCTCAAGCCAAATCGATGATGGCCAAAGCTCAGCAAGAAGTCCCCAAAAGCGGCCTACTCTGGGCAGAGCAGATCTGGCATCTGGAGCCCAGGACACAACGCAAAGCCCGCAGTCTCGAGGCCATCAAGAAGGTTGAGAGCGACCCAATTCTGTTCGTTGCGGTGGCTCGCATCTTCTGGGCTGATCGAAGGCTGGAGAAGGCACAAAACTGGTTCGAGAACAAGGCTCTCGTGCTGGACAGTGATTTGGGGGACACGTGGGCCTGGTACTACAAGTTCCTCTGCCAGCATGGCACGGAGGAGAAGCGGGCGGATGTGGTTACCAAGTGCGTTCTGAACGAACCTCGACATGGTGAGGTCTGGCAGGCGATCGCCAAGAAGCCAACAAACGCAAGGAAGAGCTGCGAGGAGATATTGAAGCTGGTTGCTGAAGAGTTGGATCATTAGGCTTGCCAAGATCAGTGGAGCAAGAAAATAATAGTGTAGAGCTATACTGCAAGACGGGGGTGGAGTTTAGGTGTCTGATTATATGAAACTAATGAGCTAGACAATATTATAAAGGGTGGGTAGTTGAGCTTTACAAAACACCATATTCCGAATGAATGAATTAAACAGAGAAACGCATTGAAATTGCTGACCGTGATTCATTGCTCTTAAACTATTGAATTACATTGTATGCAGAGAGACCCAGAGCTATCGCATGACCAGTGTCATGCTGCTGGGTCATGACTATTCGCCCGCTCAAACCCATTAGCGGTACCGTAGGCTCCGACTTTGATTAAATAAATAATACATGTGCTTTCATCTTGCGTCGACAATCCGCTTATTTGCCGCCACCGAACCAGCTTGAGACACCACCCTTGGCCTTGGCGGCCTCGGCCTCGACACGGTTGTCGAACTTGTCCACGACTCTCATGGCCTCGGCCTTTGCGTCCTTGGCAACAGCCTGGACGTTGCTCTTGATGACACCAGCAGTGCGATCGGCCTCGGCAACCTAGAATATGGGTTAGAGATTGAAATTTGTGTATGACGAGAGGGATAGATCATAGACTTACAACACCGTCGATCTTGGCACCAGCTCCTCTCAACTCTGACTCGGCGCCAGGAGTGCGGCCAGGGAGGTGCTTCTTGATGTCGGCAGCAGCGCTGTGAGCGTCGCCTATCAATTAGGTTAGTATGAGGATCATTGGGATAAAGAGTGGTTGCGCGTACTCTCAGCCTTCTTCTCAGCAGCTCTTGGGTTTCCACCAGCGGCGTAGAGGTAGTATCCGATACCAGTGACAGCAGCACCGCCGATGATGATGGGAGCACGAGACTTGGACATTTTGATTGTAGTTGTAGTTTTGTTATGTGATGTGGTTGTTGTTGTGGTGGTGAAGTGTGTAGAGAGTAGAAAGTAGTAGTAGAGTAAAGCAGAGTAGGTATGCAAGGTAGGGAGTATGGAGTGACAAGATGCGATGACGGATGGGGAGAAGATGGACGGGGTATTTATTACAAGAGAAAGCAAGACTCGGGAGCTTTCCTTCCCAAGTCAGATTGAGATTGGATTGGATTGGCCTTGTTTTCCTTGGTTGCATCTGCATCCCCCTCCACAAATTTCATTCCCATGTGCTCATCGCGAAAAGAATGGACGGTTGCAAGTACATGACGTAACGAGGCGGGGGAGACCGTTTACTCGCATCACGATGGGTGATGACTGAATGCGGTTGAAGTACCTACTTTGTACCGGACTGTAGGTACATTGTGACAGACTGAAACACTAACCGTGAGAGTTCAATTCAAATTAATTGCTCATTGTTGAGTCTCTGGTACAGCTATTATTGATAAATCATGACACCAAGTTTGTTGATAATCTGGTGTTGTCCTTTACTTGAATTACAGGACATTTCTTCCGTCTGTCTGCGTGATATTAGTCTTGCTAGGTGTTGATCGTGCCTATGACGGACACTAACGCACTGATGAGCCGCCGATGAAGCTCCAGCTCCAGGCAGCTCCAGCTGCAGCTGCAACATGCAACCTGCAAACCCAGGGATTTACCTCAGGGAACGGCCCCACTAAACGCGCAAGTACCCGCTGTAAAGCGGCATTACATCATCGAACGTCTCCTGTTTGTTCTCCCTGGTACGAGACTACTTTCTCAAGCTTTTTGGTTCATCGATCAACGAAACGATACGGACAAGGCGTGAATCTTTTTTTCTAATTGAGTGTGAACTAGCGACCAACGTTTTCCCTACTAATTTTCCGTCAAGAATACGCCCTCGATGCATATTTTAGCATATTCTTCAAGGTCGCCGATACCATTCACTCATCATGAAGCTTCCCGCAAGTTTACCTCCCATATCCGTAGGTAGTTAATAAATGAACAATAATACGGAGGAAGCCTGCCTCAGCTGAATGACCCGCCGCACTCTGCCCAAAGCAGGTTGGAGCCCCCTAGTAGCGCCTCCTCAAGTTCACGACGCCATAATGTCTCTCCTGGCTTGCTTTTCACAGTAGCCCTTCACTTTCCTCTCCATCATTTAATTCAGCATCGTTTGAAAGTGACACCATTGATCGCCTAGTCTCTATCATCGTCTCCATCACCTTTCGCGTCGCGGCTCACGAGCCCCCTACTTACGCTCTTTTCCTCAAGTAACATACGTATCAACATTCCGCCATCACTGAATACCTACCCAAATAAGCGATCCTTATCTTTTGGCCGGGCAATCTGCCCTTCGGCCATCCAAGGTCCAACACAGCTGCAATGCTGAGGGTTAAAAGCTCCCGTCGTCCCTCGGGACTCAAACCCGACGATTACGACCATGAAATTGCCCTTGTTGATCACGATGCCGCCGCGACGCCAACAGGGTCAGTTACACCCGAACCCAATGCCATGACGAGATATTCAACAACTTCAAGATTGCTAGATCTGGATGAAGAAGAGGAAGGAGGAGAAGATCAGGATCAAAATCACAACGGCCAAAGCAGAAACCAGCAAGACCGATCGAACAAGCAGCCTGACACTACTCAGCCCAATGGGCATGACGACTCGCATACAGAGGGCGAAAGCGAGACCCGTCCATCATCAAATCGCATCGAGAATGGACAAGAACTGCCGCCTCAGACGAGGCCTTCTATTGAGGTTCAAGGTCAGTAGAATTCGTAAGGCGATGTCCCAACTTCTCTAACATGCTACAGAACCCACACCTGAACCCTTCCACGGAGATCATACCCAAGCGAAAACCAAGACACCTCACATGGCGCGCGAGACTGTTATAGACGTCCTCTACGAGAATGAGAGGGGAGGGTTTCTTTGCGGTATAGCTTTGTTTTCTTCGCAGGCTCTGGGCGGCCTCGATCCACCTGCTTGGAGTAAGTTCTTAACCGTATGGGTACATCGTTTTGTCGATATTAACCTTGCTCTCTGTAGCCAACAAGTATCACAAGGCCTCGCCGAGCAGTATACACAACGCACAAGTTCCTGACCCTACGTGGGAATGGGCCTGGCCTGAATGGCGGATTAACAACCAAGACGACACTGACGAACATGGCTGGGTATACTCATTTCACTTTTCCAAGAAGTTCTCTTGGCATTCTGGTAAATGGTGGAACTCCTTTGTGCGCCGACGTGCTTGGACCCGCATGCGAGTACGCAAGAGAGCAGAGGACGTTTCTTCAGATCCGCACATGCTAAACACCGATTACTTCACGGTAAAGGCAGCCTCGCATAAGTCGCACAAGTCTCACGGAAGTGTTACTAGCAGTCGTCTCAGCCATTACAGCATGAGCCAGGGATCAGCTGCCGACGAAGATGAGAAGCCCCTGGAGATTGATAATGTGCAAGATCTTATGAGCGCCCTTCGCCAGGCCAGAATAGATCGAGAGAAGCTTGACGCTGTCAACAACTATATGGAACACGCGACGGACCTCGAAAACCTTCAACACGAGATGCATGAAATTATGTCATTGTTTATCTTCCAACAATCTCGTCGCATATTGCTCAGCAAATTGATGGAAATCTACGATGAAACGGCAGCTCAAGTGGAGAAGACTAATACGTCCGACCTGCGAGAGCGCAGCCAGGCACTCAAAGATGCAGTACACCATGCTGATGAAGAGGTTCGCAAATTGGCGTATTGGAGTGACGTCAAGCAAATGGCCGAGAACGGCGAGACTCAAGAGGCTGTCAACGAAGATAAAGGGTGGGATGGCAGTTGGGAAGGCGTTGATCAGAGTGGCGGCGCTCACCCGTTAAAGGACAAAGCCACTGTCAACGGGGAAAAAGCGGCATCGGATACATGAGCGAGAACTTTTGCCAAGTCACAGGTTTCGGAATTATATGGAAAGGGGCGCGGAAGAAACATGGGAAGGAGTTAAATGCGGTACATGCGGCGTTATTGCATAGGTGCGGCCATCGATTTAAAGCCGGTAACCATGAGCGATCTTATTCATTCTTGTAATGATGTTATTTCATTGTTATAATGTATATACAAGTACTTCCACTGTCTCTTGAAAGACAATTTGTCGTCAGGTATAGCCTTCGGGGGCCCACGTGACCATTATGGCCGACATCGCGGATCTCTTATCGCGATAACACCCGGCCTGCGCTAATCTTTTTCATCTATTTCAAGACTACCTATCCGTACCAACCTGGGGTTCCCACTCGAAGGACCCAGCACTAAACGACGAACCGCGGGCCTCCCCATATCACAGCACTCTCAACGATGCGCGACTTATAATCAATGTCCCTGGGGATCACGTCAATATGGAGGGCTCGGTCGAGATGCTCTGCCTTCACAGGATCTTTCCTGATTTCCAGGGTCCCATTGCCCTCCAGGACCCTGGGTCCTTTCACGGCTACCCGGTTCGAGTCCACGACAGCGCAATCGGCAGGGACAAACTCGACCAAGTCCTCGGAAACAGCCCTAACTACAATTTCCGATAAGTCACAAACGGATATCCAAACAAGCGAGGACCAGCCCGAATTGGTCGTTGCCAACCTGGACAATATACCCGAGTCTCGCAACCGAATCTTTAAAGATGCCTTCAAAATCGATGCGCCACGGGTGACTGAGGATAAAGCTGCCATGAGGTCCTTTAAGTCTGTCATTGGCAAGCCACGCGAATACCCAAACGAACATGCGACAAAAGAGAGCATGAGTGAGCATATGCGGGACGCACGACGACAGGCTGGCTTGGGTGTCGTCTGGAGCCACTTCAACCGAACGCTTCCAGAGTGGGAAGTGTGTTTTAGCCTGATGAAGCAAACGACACCGCAATGGAGTGAACGGGCCAGCATGTCAGCCGTAAGGATCGTGCTGCCAAAATCGTGGGATATCGAAGTCAACAACCAGAATCTCGAATACGTCGACTCCGCAACGGGTGTCCTTCAGAAGCTACGAGCGGCGGTGGATAGAAACCCTTCTGCCATTGTGTTACGTGGAAAAAGCAAGATCTTGGTCAAGGTGGCCGATGAGATTGTGCGACATTGCAAAGAAGCTGAAATCTATGAACTGGGAGAAGTTGCGAGCTCGGATTATAAGACACGACAACTGTGGCCGACTATCGAGAATGCTCCCAACGGAGGTGCCTCGCTCCCGGAAGACCACAACGACAACATTTGGGTGCATAAAGAATACCAACCACACTTGATTGCGGTGCCATATGAGAGGATCCCACGGCCTGCGGTATGGACACGAGACAACCTCGAACACTATGTTGCAACGTTGTGCTACGGCAAACTATCTGCACACCTGGCCATCCCCTTCTATGGCGAGCGGCGCCCAAACGGTAGGTACATCGACACGGATGGTGTTAGGATCAAGCTCATCCTTGATGCTATTGAAGATCCCACAGCTAGACCGTTCATCACGGTTTCTATTCTCAAAATGGCCATATCCATGATTGCATTTCGGGGTGGACATCGTGCCTCTGCCCAACGGCTTGTACAATACGGCGAGGAATGGGGAATCCCCATGGACACCGATATTTATAACATCATGCTTGAGAGCTATGTCCACAAGCGTGACATTGGCTTCTTTTACGGTTTCCTTCGCAGAATGCGGGCACGGTATTACCAACCTAACATTCGAACCTGGCTTCTCTTTCTCCAACTGATCAAAGGAGAGGATGAAAGGAGACAGGTAATCGTGGCCATGTACCAACTCGGAATGTTCAACCACGCTGCTACACGTCGTGGTATTGCTGATGCAATGGCCTCTATCGATGCATATGCTGCTTTCAAAGCTGGCAGATCTTTAAAGGGCTTCATGGCTGACCAAAATGAGCGTTATGGTGAGGGATGGTTGGCAATTGATGGTCTCAACAGCATCGTCACCCAGCTGCTCCGCTTCCACCGCCCGGAAGATCCCCGAATTGAAGACTGCAAAACATTAGTGAACATACACATTGATGCAGGCCATCATATTGAGCTTAGGACAATCAACATCCTCCTAAAACAAGCAGCAATGAATCGAGATTGGGACATTGCTCTATGGGTCATGTCGCTATTCAAAAATGCCGGCTGCGAGCCTGACCAAGAAACGTATGCTACTCTTATATTCCTCGCCATCAGAACACGCGCGCCGCATGCTCTGGGAACTGTCTACTTCTACGGTGTTCTTCACCGGAAACTCAAGATGGGCTCGAGACAGATGTTGAGCAAGGTGCTCCTCCGTACGCACGGCGACTCCTTTTGGAACAAATTCCAACACCAGCCTGGCATCCTCCCCTGGCAATCCATCCCTGATCTCTACAAACACAAGATCCCTCGCCTCTGGGCCGTCATGTCCCGCGTAGAACGTCTCGTCCTCGACAAATGGGAAGGCTATATACCCGTCAAGCCCCTCGAGCGTTCTGTCGAACTTGCCTATCGCTCCAACGACCTGCCCATGCAATTCCAGGTCCGCAACCGCAAACCAATCAAAGTGCGTGATCTCGCCGTCAAGCTTCGCAGATTAGACGGTGAACCGGGAAATATCAACGTCAGTCTTAAAGGTCGTTTCGATCCGGCACGCATGGTTGAGGACTGGGAGCATGCCAAGGCGGACCCTGATCAGTTTACTGATCTAGGTCGAGACGATCGTGAAAGCTGGCCTGATATCGATCCTCCAGAGCAATTATCAGCAGGTGATAAGCCGGCGTCTGAACACAGAGACGACGATGCTGAGCACAATCTGCCGGGGAAGTAAGACTAAGCTCCTTTCTTCAGTGCCCATCCAGAGGAGCCTCGCGCCACCACCACATATTTAACACCATATATCAATTCGTCCTGTATATCACCCCATGTCTACGATACTTGTCTACACATCTGTAACTCGAATTACTGTTTCACAACCTCAAGTTACCATACCACGAAATAATGGGCATATTATGTACAACAGCACAAAAGCAAAACCGCAAGAAAAAGACAGGAAACGAGATAAATGAACAGTAGATGAAATGAGAAGGAATGATTCCGAGTTACTGTAAACAGAAAACTATTTGCACGTACTTCAATGAACATGTCTATTCACCCACAGCATACCAGGACCTACGACTGGAGTCGAAAAAGCCTCTGAACTCATGTTGCAGGGATCAGAATTGCCTCTCCTCAACTCACAAGTAAAAAGGTCGGAAAAATACAAAAGGGCAAGAATGAGCCGTCAGTAAGTTCCTGTATATGCTATACTGCCTTTTGAAAAAAAAAATCCTCTAAAGTTATCCAGCCATACTCAAGCATATGCTAAGAAAGCTGGCGTTTGCGACGGTGGATTTAGATGAGAAAGATAATCTCGTGAATAGGTAGGCAACGTGAAGAAAATGGGAATCCCATGCGTAAACATCAAAAAGGGGTTTCTCTCGCTCTTCTGTCTTTCTTTCTTGTATCCACTTCCGCCCAGACAAGACATTGTCTCCGATTCTCGCTCTTCTCACAATGCGTCTTAGGCAAGCTGATGAAGAGCGTACAATCCAGATCCAGATTTGACACCAATACACCGACAAGTTCAGATGCAAGACCTAACATGAGAATATCAACACCCATCATTTGTGATCGCCATCTACTCTTGCCCTTCCAACTTCCCCATGTCAGATCCGAGAAACATAACCGGATGTGCAAGAGGGAAGAGACGGTTGGGTCGAGTTCAGATTCATGACCCCTTATTCCCGGCTAACCACTCTATTCCTTCTTGATCTCCTCCTTCTTAACCTCCTCTGCTGCGTCCTTATCGGCAGTCTTCGTAACTGTCGCGTCGGCGGGTTTCGTATCGGCGGAAGCGTTCTCGGAAGCGGGGGCGGCTACGGGAGCAGTGCCCTTCTCGGCGGACGTCGGGTTCTTGGAGACCTGGCTGGCGAGGTCCTTGTCTTCGTCGGCGTTGTCGAACATCTCTGTATCATCTGAATCCGTAAGAACCTCAGTGCCATCGCCGAGGAAAATGATCCGGCCTCGGTACCCACCAACTCCAAAGCTTCGTCCTTTGTTTTCAGGATCCATCTCATAGCCACTGTCGCTATCCTCGAAATTATGGTGGACTCCAGGTCCTCGGAATTCGGCTATCAATTCCACATGTCAGTCCTTGCCATAACTCAAGTTTGACCTTGAAGAATTCAGTTTGTCCGTACCGTACTCGGGGGGAGCGCATGGCCCGTCGCCGTTAGCGACCCGGCGGGCAATCTCCTCGTACCACTCGTCCTTCGATTTTCCGTTAAGGAAACCGATGATGAGCATGGTCATGTTGTCGCAGCCAACGCCGCCGGTCTCAGAGTTGGAGGCCAGGCAGTTGTCCATCATGTTCTCGCAAATCTTGTCGAGCTCCTGCTTGGCAGCGATGCCTCGTCGAACAAACTCGACCACGGCTTGGGAGGACTGGCAATCCCAGATACCTATGCTAATGAGTATTGTTATTTCTTCATAGCTCATGCCAAGTTTACTTACCGTCGCAAGCAAGGACTAGGAACTCATCCTCGTCTGTAAGGTCATGTTGCTCAACATCGGGGTAGGCTGTAACGATTTGGTTCTCGGGGGACAACTCAGCGCTCTTCTTGAACTCAAAATCACCGATAGCACGCGAGAGGGCAAGGTTGCCATTCACTCGGCCGAAGTCAACAAAACCACCAGCAGCTGTGATTCGGTTCTTCTCATCTAACACGGGAATGTCAGCATTATCGCTCATCTCGTGCCGAGTTATTACTGACTCTCAAGTTGGGGCTTGTGGTCTTGAGACAAGGGCTTGGCACGGCCCTTGATACCAAGAACTCCTCTTGAGTCACCAGCATTGGCCTGCGTTCATGATTAGCTTGTATCGAAATATACCGTCCTCCTGCCTTGGTAATGTTTGCGGAACAGCGAAGCAGTATGGGAGATCAAGGTAGCGGGCGAACTAACAACGTAGAGCTTGTTACCGGCGATCAAGCCGACACAGGCTGTGCAACCAGAAACCTCTTCTTCGTACTTAGGGTCTAACATAGGCGAACATGGCAGATTAGCTTTGGCGGCTTCAAAAGGCAAGATGACAATTGAAATGTCATTGAGCACCAAGCGAGAAACAAAACAAGACTAGAAGCTGGCGCATACCGTTGAGAATGGCGCGGTCAGTTGCCAGGAAACCGTCCTTGAGACCCTGGGCGTAGTCGCCGGACTTGAATGTTTCCTGCTTGAAGATGATGTTGTGGATGTTCTGGCCAGTAAACAGCGCTACCTTGTCACCACCGTGGCCGTCGAAGACGCCGAAGAAGGACAGCTTGCTGGAGTGAGACTTGGCCGAGTCGAGGTCGAGCACTGTAGTATGGGCATCTTCCATGCTGATGCGCCAGCCCTGCATGGCCGATACACCGTAAATGAGGCGCTCATCCTCACCCGTTTCCGAGGTCTATTGGATTGGAATAAAGCGTTAGCAAGAGAACATCTGACGATATAGTAGTGGGAACATCGGAGGAGCGGGTAGCAAGATAAGAGCAGAGGCGCAGCAAAAACAGACGCAAAAGAGCTACTAAACAAAGACGCAAGTGCCTTGCGAACGCTGTTTGGACGGATCAAGGCTGGCAATACAAGCGCGGCTGCAAATTTGGTTTGGTGTTGCGCCAACGTTGGGTGAGGGGCTCATGGCTGAGCGATGCCCCTCTCGCGCCAGGCCCGAGTACCAATTTCAATAACCAAAAGACAAAGTAAAAGGCCCCAACAGAGCTGCGGGGACGAGCACAGAAGAAAAACAAAGGCACAAAACGTACCTTTTCGACAACGGGCTCCGATAGAGTCTGACCCATGGCTGTAGATTGGTATAGTCGGTTCGATCGAGAGAAAGCCTGGTGTTGCTAGGACGAGACAAACGGGAGCGAGCAAGCGGGAGGAGAGAGGAGAGGAGAAAAGAGAGATCGACCGGCGAGGGGTTGGCGTTGGCGGGGGAGAGGGTCGACAGAGGGAGGGGGGGAGATGACGAGATAAGATCTCGACAAAAAGATTTTTAGTTAGTAGGAGAGTAAAAAAGATCGAGGTGCGAGTAAGAGTATGAGTATGAGGACGAGTATGTATGAGTATGAGTGGTATGAGAAGAAGAAAATCTGGCAGGCAACGGCAAAAACAAGATGAATGGGTACGATGCCGGCGCCGAGAGCGTGGTCAGAGGCGAAAGAGGGAGATTTTAGTGTGCGAGAGACGGATCTGGGTGTGTGGATGTTGAGTGCTCCGGGCAGGCTCCCAGCTGCGTTTGGCGGGGGGATTAGTGCTGTAGCTAGGTGGTGAGATTCTCGCTAAGTTCCAGTGGTCTTGATCACCAATATTGGAAGCCTCCGGGGCCAGCAGCTGCCTAAAAACCTCTCCCGCAGTGCTAGAGCTCCTCCATGGCTCCCGTCTGGCTCTGAAAATTGAGAGAAGCGGGGTAGGTAGTGACAGCATGAATCAGAACAAAGACTCTCATGTATCCTCTATTTCTTACATTCTCTTACTTGACTCTATGACTACTGACCTAACGTTAGGTACTAGTTAAGTTACCACCTCGACTCTCTGTTTCTCTAGTGATTCTTGTTGATATCTGTCCTGCGAATCGCGCACAAGTGCCAATCAAGGTGCCTCGGACTACCATAATCGCAATCATAATCATAATCATATTGCATCTCTCACGGATCGACTACTTTGGTCCTAGCACCATCCATGTCCAAGGCAGGGGCAAATACGTAGGAATATCAACCTACATCATCCATCCCGTCCCATTATGTTGTGTTCCGTTCTATTCTGCTCTGTTTTCTTACTAATACAGCCCCTGTTACCATAGGAATGGGTTCAGAACCATGCATTGTTTCAGTACCTAGCTCGGATGAGGATTGAATCGAGGGCGATACAGCTCCGTCACGTCAGTGGCTGTGCCGCCTACAATCTTTACCCCACGACATTCATAGGGAATGAAGTTGAGTCGGTTCGGAAGTGATAACCCACAAAGAAGAATTGTTTCACTGAAGGCGTTAAAACCCGCATACTGAGGTACCTACTTATGTCGTGCTGCCTACAGAGTACCTGAGGTACCTTAACAGCAACATCCGTAAGAACTCCGTCAGCTGTTGGCGCCTAAATAGTCCCCTACCATCCAATTTTGTTTCGGTAGTCTGTGTTTTTTTTTCTCTCTCTCTCTTCTCGTCACGCGTGAAAAATTCACTCAATATTCTTGCCACCAAATCTAGGCCACTGCCTACCCGTACATCCGCTAGGTATTGTCAGCCTGTTCTAAAACAGCCTCGGGTCGCGTGCCCTGTAAGAGATGACGGATCGGTCCGGCTCCCAAAACAGATCCCCATCCGTGCGTGATTGAGGTTGCAACGATAGGGTTGTGGCTGCGGCTGTGGCTGTGAATGTGGATGTTGACCAAACATTAGTTTAGAGAACGTGATGCTATCGAAAAACAACCTTTGATATTTACATAGGTAGAATATGTGCCTGTTCAGATAGCTACAGGATATTGTGATTCCTGAGCAGAATGTCAATGAAGCAGTCCAAGGCTAAAAACTACAACTCACTTACACATGGCCATGTTATATGACATACCCTATAGCCAATATGATAGCAAAGTGTCGATTGATTGGTAGGCGACATGTTCATTTAAAACAGGATCATAACAGAAGTCTTCAAGTACTGTGTAAATAATGGGATGGAGGAGAATACATGACTCCTGTAGGGAAACTATCTCCATAATGTTGAGTAATATTACCAGCCTTGACGGGATCTCCCGCGTCTATCTAACAAGTGATCAAGAAAACACTCAACAATCTATATAACAGTGTAAAAACTACTCGCTCGGGTATCAGATGCTTCAGGTTATCTACCGCCTACACATTTGTAGTCTCATAAAAATGCATAACTACCACCTTCCGACTTTCCTGACCTCCCTGAATCTTCTCGCCTCCAATTTGTTGAGGGCTTCGAATTCCGACTGCCTGGTACACTAAGTGGATCGACGCTCAGGCGAGACATCTTACTTAAAGATTGCCCCAAGCCCTGCCGTAGCGATGCCAAGGAACCCCTGATACTGTTTTGGGCGTCACCCCATTGGCTTGGTGATATCAGCTCAGAGCTTGCTCGCTCTCCAGGCTGTGCTCCGCTGCCGTTTAAGCTCATCGCAGTACTTGGTCGAAGTGGATGGAATGGCGATTCATCCACAATCTGGTGATATGACATGTTTGTTGCATCGCGCTGTGCCTCGTACAGTCGCCAATTCTCCCCTGAGCCGAAGGAGGGATCACTGAATAACCCCCTCGGGGCCTCGAAGTCATACCATGCTCTACTGCTAGGGCCGCCATCTTCGCCGAGAAGCTGTTGGCTGGATAGACGTACTAATTCCGGTCGTCTCAACACTGGCATACTTTGGGCGCCTTCTATTGGTGGACCATGATTGTCACCGAGTCTCGCGTCCAGCGCTGGTATTGGGAAGCCTGTCATGAGTCTTGGGCTAGACTGATGGGAAGACGGGAATCGTAATGAGCTTTCGTTGCCGCTCGTATAATAGTCAGATCCCTGTTGAAACACCGCTCTCTGGGATTGAACACTGGGTAAACCATTGAGCGATGGAATAGTTGGATCAACACCGCCTCTGAACGATCTTGCCCTTGCATCTGATAGAAGCACTGGCGGCGGTATTAGTTGATGAATTGACTCTGACAACGTCGTGTCTGATCGTTGGCTTCTCAAAGATGCGCGGCTCTGTCGGCCTGCTGTTGCAGTTCCTTCAACTGTCACCCAGGATTGTCTACCATCCTCACTGTTCGATACGCTGTTGGACCAAGAGAAACTGGCGTTAGAATCCTCCGCAACGTACCTTGAAGGGACTTGCGGTGTTGCCAGGAACCCTAGCGTGGGGGACATCATAACCAATGTCTCCGAGTTCACCTCTGAAGGTGATGTCCTCACTGGCCGGCGACGTTGCTGTCCCGTGACTCCTATGCTTGCAACCTTTTCGGCCTCCTGCATGGCAGACGCTCCCCCGTTGACGCGAAGGCTCTCAAGCACTGGGCCAGATATCTTATTGCGGAATTTGGTAGACAGGTACGTTTTTCGTTTTCGTTGGCGGCGAATAAGACAGCAGATAAGTAGCATTAACAAGAACACGACAACAAGAAGGGGTAGGAGGATCGCAAGGAGGAGAGTCCCGGTTGTTAGACCCCCATGAGAGTCCGCTAGCGGGATCTCGGGACTTGAAGAGGTTCCGGTTGGTGCAAGAGAAGTAGATGTGCCCGTGGACGCTGGTGAAGTTTTCGATTCAGTCACTGTTGACGACGTAGACTCGGATGATACCACGCTCACATCCAGAACCTCTGTCTCTTTGTCTTCTGAAGACTTTGACGAGGCGGTCACTGAAATTTTGAAATCCTCCGATGCGGACTTTGGAGCTTTACCAGTAATGCTGAAACCGTTAAGTTTTAGCCAGTTCTTGTCTGGTTTTATTGCAATTCGAATATTGATATCATCTGGATCCCATAAATAAGATCGCAAGTCAATGTCGACATCCTTCCCAGCCTCAATCTCGATTCCGTCAAAAGTTGAGCGGAAGAGAGCGGTAGATACACCGACGGTGGCGTATATGTTGAGTGTGTCTTGGTACGAATCGCGAAGTGTGATGGTAAAGTTTGTTGAATGATCGCCTTTCTCTGGTGTGCCCTCGATATTCCACGTCTTTTCGTCCAACGATAGCCAGTCTGGCATATCTTCCGTTGACAGGTCAATTTGGCCAATCTCTATAGATTTGTTGTCGAGCTTGATACTGTCGGCCAGTCCACGATAGACAAGCTTCTTTCCTCGTGTTGTATTCATAGTGATGTTTGGATTGTCTGTACTGAGTTTATGTCTACCCACGATAATAGAGAACGCAACAGAGACTGCCGAGAAGCCAACGATATCTGAGGCGACGAGCTTAAAGTCAAACTTTTGAGGATGCTGTATAAGAGACTCAAAAGGAGGGGTTTCGCCGCTGAACGTCGTTGAACCAGTATCGAATCTCATCCACGCAGGTAATGGACTACCATCACCGGAGGTCGCGTAATAGTTGATCATATTAGGCTGGTGCTCAAATGTGTTGGGGTCAAATTTGAAGCTGAACTCGGTAGAAGGATAGGATATCAGCGATGATGGAGGTGAATAATCACCAAAGCCTTGGATCTGGTCGAGGAGGGGTATCTTGACGGAAGGACTCTTGTTTGATGAGACGACCAAAGTTGAACTGAGCATCGCCGCACCATTTTCGTCCCTGGCAACAACTTCCACCGTCTGACCTATTACACCACCGCTCCGGACATTGTTGTCGGTTGGGGTGCCATAAAGACGGCGATCCTTGCTATCGATGGAAAGCCATTCTGGTGCATCACCAAGTGAGTATGTGATGTTGAAGTCTGATCGAAATGTATATCGGGAGAAAACGTAAGAGAATGGTTCGTTTACTCGAGCTACAGGTGGCAACTGAGAATTAATTGGGTAGTTTATCGTTGGCTGAGAACTTGCAAAACGGACAATGATGAGAAGGAGCACTGATATTGTGAAGAAGGTCATCATGATTTGACAATACACTGTTCAGTGTTGAATCATGGAAAAGTACAATGTGAAACGCCATCCATGTGCATAGAAACTAGTTGGAAGGAGAAGAGAGGACGAAGGAGAGAGTAGTTACAACCACGAAGTTTGGAAGACATGTGAGCCTCACAAAAGAATACTAGCAATGACATCTTGATGGCTGGTAAGATGATAACTTACACCTAGAGGAATACTGCACCCTTCATTCCTGCATAGCTTCCCCACCAAGCAAGTTTGGATCACGGGAGAAAACTGGCGTTGTTAGTCAAACAAGGGAATCATTCTTGGACCCGTTTGCCCATTACAGGAAGAGGCGGAATGTCTTAGTTTGGAGTAAAGATAGATGGCCATTGATAGAGCAGGTGGCCAAAACAGCATTGTTCCAGGTTGGTTTAGCCGTGGCCGCGTTCCTCAGCAAGGTCTGATATCCATATAGATGGATGAAAGTGAGACATTGAAGCCACTCTGCACGATGTTGAACTTGGGATATTGAAGGGGGCTAGTAATCAGGCAAAGATTATGTGAAGCTAGTGAAATTTGAATAAGGGAAGTTGATAATTGGCAATGGTGGGGTTTTTGAAGACATGTATTGCCTATGAAATCATATGTGATTCCTTCAACCCTGGCCCTTCATGGTATCAATATGATGCTTTGAAGAATTGGAGATGATCCCTTGAAGTTGATCGCATTCAGGGTAAGGTCGTGCCAATACATTCAACTGCTCCCCGCTGCCCGCCACCAAGTTAACACACTTGTGTGAGAGATAGCTGTGGGCCCAGGACAATTTCTGGAAGGGAGACCCAGCGAAGTTTGTTGTGGAGGAACCCTTATCAAATAGCAAGACTCGAGCGTTGATGTGCTATCGTCAGTCCCGCAGAGCTTGACGAGCCAATCGCGCAAGTGGTTCAGTGACTATTTCGTCCTTTAAGCGGAAAATTGATGCGGCGCACTCTTTCTTTGATCGACAGCAAAAATTAATAGGGTCGGGTCCATTCGAGTCTGGATCGCACACGTATACAAGTGGGAAAAAGTAATCGGCCCAAGTTGAAGAGAGGAGCAGCCAAGTGACTTGGAAGGTGACACAATAGGTGGAAGTTGGAGATGGAGCAGAAGACAGCAGGTGGCACAAGCCAATCGTGCTTTCCATAGATAACTCCATGGAAGCCTATCTCATTCTAGGTTAGCAGGCGCAAGCGGAAAACAACGTACCTAGGTAGAAGGGCTGAGGCAGAGGGCAGGAGCAGAGTCATAGAAGGCAGTCGCAGCCCCTTCCGTTCACTTCATTTGGTGGAATCATCGTTTTCGCCTCAGTTCACATCCATAGCAGTGCCTCACACTCCACTGCATCCCTTCAACACCACAACATCACTCAGACTCTTGCTAGTCGCGATAGAATCAAATATTGCTCACCGTCAGGTTTCCTTCAGCCTACTGTTAAAGTGTGACTCGCGAAAATAAGCAGAACAGCAGCACTCCTTCCACAATGAGCAGTCCACCGTTGTCTCCCTCGATGGACCCCGTCACCATCAGCGAGGACATTGCCCCGTTGCCATCCTCCAAGGTCAGCGGCGTTGCGAGTGTGGATTTTGACGGTGTCCTATCCAAGTCACTCAAGGTGCACGAAGATGTTCGATCTGGTTGTGGTGGTCAAACGTGGCCAGCAGGAATGCTTCTCGGCAAGCATCTGTTGCGTTACCACAAAGACCGACTTGCGGACGCTCGGATGTGAGTTTTACCCTCTTCACCACCGTGCTTATCACATGCATGTGCGGCGACTCGAATGAGCACCTTCGTTATGGATTGCACAGATAGTATGAGGAGCGAGCAGCCTTGCTGATTTTTGGGTTACAGATTGGAACTTGGAGCTGGAGGCGGTCTCATCGGACTCGCCGTCGCCCAAGAATGTCCGCTTCGAAACCAGTTGCTGGTGACGGACCAGCTGGAGATGTATGAGTTGATGCAGCACAACATCAAGCTGAACAACTTACAAGACAAAGCAAAAGCCATGGTGCTGAACTGGTGCGTGCCCTTGAAGACTGTGACCGTGCGCGACTTTTCATTCGATAGAATTAAACCCCAGAGTCAGATCGAGTGATGGCGAGCCGCTTTGCTGACCATGATCTGTTCGTGTAGGGGCGAAGATTTGCCAGCAGTTGTGCTGGAGCAAAAGCCAGACGTGATCTTGGCAGGCGAATGTGTTTATTTTGAACCCGCCTTTCCCCTTCTGATGTCTACACTCAAGGCTCTACTGGAACTCAACTCTACAGCTATTATCTATTTCTGCTTTAAGAAAAGAAGACGCGCTGACATGAACTTCGTCAAAATGGCTAAGAAGGCTTTCAAAGTTGAAGAGATCTTTGACGAAGATCGGCCTGTTTTCCAGCGCCAGGGCCTTTTCCTTTTTTCCTTTTCTAGCCGTACAAGTCAAGCAAAAGCCATCAAAAGCCAACGTGAATCACAGCTGGGAAAATGAAGACGATACGTCAAAGAGTCATTTGTCTTGAGAACATCATGCTGTGTTGGCATGTATTTGCAAACCAGCAATGTATAGTTGGCCATTCTTTCACAAGGAGGGACAGAGTACCGACACGAGTAGGTTTGAACAACAAGGCCACCCGTGAGGAGGCTCCTCAACAACCCCGAACCAACACATTGTGTTCAGCAACAACATAAGGGAGATGATAGGCGATGTGGACGAATGACATGGGCCCTCCACAACGGTTGACTATTATCTGACCGAACTCGAGGGGCTGGGAGTTGTGCAAGAAAACAATCTATGCAGAGCGACCACCTTTGCTTTGCCTACATTGCTTATTCCTTGCGGGACTTTGTCTCTATCCTGACCTATCGCCTTTGTTCAACTACGATGCACTGTACGGGCTTGACCGACGAAAACTCTGTCAGCTATGAAAATAAATCACGAAACGAAAATGAGGACAAACGTAGCGCGTGTGGAGGGATGGAAGGGTATGGTCGAACTATGAGAATTTTCAAGCACACCGCATATAACAAACATATCACAGCGCATACAGTGCACACAGACAACGAAGCAAAGAGAAGAAATTTGACGCCCGACTCGTGAAGTGTTATTAACGTCACGCATGCATTGGCGCCAAACATTGTGCCGAAGACCCAGCGAGAGAAGGCGGCGAAGAAGACTTTTCCCCCTCACACCATGGTTCTTTGGTGCTTCTTCACTGCTCTTACTGCTACAAGCCATGTGAGTTGTTGGCTTATTTAGTGGATGAGGTGGCACCCTAGGATACCATTGTCCTGAACCTGGGAAGAAACGGGTCTTGTTTCAACTTGGCGGACGGCTTCCTCCACACCTACACGACGCACGTTGACTCGTTGAGTGTCTTCAAGCCTCTCAAGCCTCCGCGTTTCGGGCCAGGCACAAATCGTTAAAGTGCGTAAGCTATAGAACAATACAGGGATCGATTTATTACCTGCCAGGTGGGTCCTAAAAAAGCCGGGATTTTTACAATTTCCTTTACAATACTAATAACTTCTTAATTTCATACCTAAATTATAGACATATAATACTATAATATACTTAAAAAGGCTAGAATAAAAGGAATTTATAGCTTTTTAACTAATTATAATATTCCTTTTAAAAAAACTAATATATTTTCTTACTACTAGGTTTTCTATATATATAGTTATAAGATCCTAAGGAGTGATTTTAACCGTATTTTCTATAGTATATTTAATAAGACCTAAGGCCGGTTAAAACTATTTATAAAGATTAATAAAGATAAGTGTAAGGGGCTGGACCCGATGGGTGAACATAAAAGGGTGGCCTTGCATTAAGCTATCTAAGACTAAGGAGAGAAGAGAAGAGAGAAGTCTAGTTCGCAGCGAGGTCGCTGCGAAGAAACCTCTGTCTTGTCCGTGGGGCGGGCTAGGACTCGGTTCTACGTACTTCCGTTGATAAGCCGATAAGCCGGGTCTGCTTAGCCACTGTGGCGTTGTGGCGTAAGCGGAACCATTAGCGCGGCATAGCCGCTGACAAATACCTATTAATTTTAATAAAAAGATAATATAAAAATATTATTTTAATAATATCTTTAAGCCTTTTATTTAAAAGCTTTATTAAAAAAGTTATTACTTTATCTTAAAAAAGGATAATAACTTTAGTTACGGTTTAGGTAAAAATAACCCTATAAAGACTTAAAAGGAAAAAAAAAGACTAGATTATTATTTTAACTATTTTAAAAGTCTTAATTTATTCCCTATAGAAAATACTTAGAAAGTACTAAAAGTATATATTAATTACTATTCTTATTAAGATATAGATATATTTATTAAGCTTATTAAAGAGGGTTAAGAGAAATTAAAATAAGTTATAATTAATAACTAGATTAATATAATACCTTAATATCTATAGGATTATACTAATAATAAAAGTAAAATAACTAGCTAGTAGTTAGAATTAATTTTATTAAAAAATATAATTTTTCTAAGCCTAAAATTAATTACTAAAGATATTAGAAGTTAAAGATTCCGTCGTTAAGGCATTTCTTATTAATCCCGATTTTTTTGGGACCTACCTGCCTGCCCTTATCTCATACCAAGTTTGGCCCTCCATCAAAGACAAATCATCCTTGTTGTCTCGCTCCGCAGAATTCCCGCCATGGTTAGGCACCTCGAAACTGTCATTGGTTGCCTCTTCGCCCTGACAAGATCTAACTCGGAAGCTGACGACAGGGCGGCCCCTTGCAGATTGACCAATCACGACATCTCTGGCAAAGAAACATGCCTTGAGTCGGACGATTCTGTGCGTAAAGGCTGTGAGGGTCAGGGACCTAGAAACAAAGTCGCTCAGGTATGTCAACAAAAAGGGCACTTATGATTCTTCAAACACCACATCCGTACGGAGTATTTACTGCACTATACTGAGCTGACGCGGCAGTATAGCCGCTGTCTGAGTCGCTGTTCCTCGCAAACACAGTCTGAGATACGTCTCTCAGCTAGAATTTGGTTTTACCTATTGAGGAGACTGTGATAAACTTTGCAGAGCAATACGATGAATACCCCTGACGATGCCACGGCACCCCTGATGGGCGACAGGGCTAGTTAATTCTGCTCACCCTGGTCTCTTTTAAAAGGCTCCCTCTTTCTGCCTGTGTAGCGCCTGGCTTTTTCTTACGTAGCTGTTATTAGAGCATTTCGCTTGCATGGTTCGCGGCTGGGTCTGGTAGATCCCAATGGTTGAGAGCAAGAATCTTTTGAAGAGAGAGATGGCAGCTTGCCACGTCCGTGCTGTGGCCCGTTTCGTATCCACCCACCACCTCGGAACAAGGCCAGGCACGAGAAGGACAGGGACGGGGCTAGAATGACTGGTTCAGAAATGGGTGTGTGGACTGTGCCATGGTACAGTACAGTACCGTCCGTATGTATATGTACGGACACAACAGTGGGTTTCTGAGGAAAAACCACGCGTGGCTAGGCCCCAAAAGCGGAACTTTCTCAGCTGCTACTACCGGGGATGAATCCGGTACGACGCCGGCTGCGGTCCTGTTGCTTACAATTGCTGTATCCTTGACTATGGCAGCCCAGGCTGTTGGTTGCTTGCGGATGCATGCGCATCGCTGGTAATGGCTGGCACACCCAAGTCCTGGTACCTGGCCAGAATGTCAGGAACAAGGTACTAGCTTAAAGCCAAGTCTTTTAAGAGCTAGCATAATGAGCCAGCGCCGTCTTTTACGGCGAGGCGGTATTAAAGGAAGGCCCATTTCCTCCCCTTGTTTAGTTTCTTCACACACGATCTCTTCGAGTTCAAACATCACTCATTCCCACCTGAGCACTGAGCAGGACTCTCTCTCTAACGCACACACTCTCTCACACGACGTTCAACGTCCATTCATTCAATTCCAACTGACCAGATTCATTCCTGTGGAACAGAATCTCGCCTAGCCTTCCTTTACCTAGCATCCCATCGCGTTGAGATACCCTTTCGTCTTCACAACAGACGTATCACAGCTACAACCACTCTTTTGGTTGAAACTCAGAACTCGAAACAAATAAACAAAGAAACAACAAAACGCCAACATGAAGTCTTTCACTCTTGCTTCTGCCCTCCTCGCCGCTGCGGCCGTTGCCCAGCCCCACGGCAGCCCTCACGGAATCCACCACCGCCGTCATCACCAGAACGACAAGCGTGACGTTGTCACCGAGGTCGAGTGGGTGACTGAGGTCGAGTACGTTACCAAGATGGTTGATGCCACCACCACCGTCTGGGTCCGTCCCGATACTGAGCCTACTGTTGCTCCTGAGGTCCCCGAGACCACTGCCCCCAAGCCTGCTGCCCCCAAGAAGGAGAAGAAGCCTGCTCCTCCTCCTGTCCCTACCACTACTTTGGTCACCAGCGTCTACACTCCCCCTCCCCCTCCTGAGACTACCTCCGAGGCCGAGATCGTTGCTGAGCCTACCTCTGAGGAGGTTGCCCCCGTTGAGCCCACCACTCAGGCACCTGAGCCTACTGTTGCTCCTGCACCCAAGCCTGTTACTCAAGCCCCTAAGCCTGTCGTCAAGGCCCCCAAGAAGGAGGTCAAGACCGAGCCTGAGGCCGAGCCCGCGACTGAGACTGAGGCTCCTGTTGTCGCTCCTGTTCAGCAGGAGAAGGCTGCTAAGCCCGCCGGTGGATCCTCAGGCGGCAGCTCCGCCGCCAAGCAAGGAGAGTTCACTTACTATGACATCGGACAAGGTGCTTGCGGTGAGGACGACTCTGGCAAGGATGACTCTATCAACATTGTTGCCCTCTCCCACCTTCTCATGGGTACCGAGTCCAACAGCAACCCCATGTGCGGCAAGACCATCTCCATCAAGGCCAATGGCAAGACTGTTCAGGCTACCGTTAAGGATAAGTGCATGGGTTGTGCCGTTAACGACATCGATGTGAGCCGCAAGGTCTACAACGAGATCTGGGGCAGCCTCGACTCTGGCCGTTCTGAGGTTGAGTGGTGGTTCAACTAAGCGCCATGACAAGCATGTTTTCTTGAATCATGAAAACATTACGAAGGATACCCATTTTTTATGACTTGTTCTTTTCATGAAGCGGGAATCTCTCTGCCCCTCAAAGGTGCTAGGGCGTAAAAACAAAGAATAGGAGGAACTCGGGCTTTCGTTAGAACCCGGGCCTGGAGATTCTGGACCGGGGTGTTTTTGGTTTCTTAGGCGGATCAGCTACGGTTGACATTTGTTGACTTCTATGTACATAACTTTAGATACGCCGTTCGGATAGACAAACAATCACAGAAACCTTGAACGGGGACTGGACTTTTGAACACATAAACCGTACTATTCCCATGCATTTCAGTGACCTCTCATCGTGCATTGACTCTGCTCATCATTTAATCTCGGAGCAGATGATGTTTGCGGGCTTCAATTTCACAACCCTGTTAACTATTGATGACATCTTTCCTATTCCCATGTCTCCAATACCCATGCGCCGTCAACTTTAATTAGATCTCGTTTAGGCTGAAACTTGGACATGTAAAACCTAACCAACAGAAATGGAGAGTCTGGAGAATGCAACTCTTGCTAATTTACCAATGAATATCTCTTGGGTCAAATATTGATGGGGCTGTTGCACTAAAACAAATCCCTTTCTAGGACTCTAAAATTCTAACACGATCGATTAGTCTACAAGGGAGTGGCGCTGTCAAGGCTGTCTTCTGAAGCAGTCTAACGAAGCCACTCCCTTCTCCAACAACGCCTTCGTAATTATCGCAAGGGGCAATACAGAGTTGAGGGCTAAAACGGATAAGTCCGATTTGCCCTTGGGTCTTGAGAAAGGAGAAAATGAACCAGTATACGTATACGGAGTAGGGAGGCGTCTGCAATTGTGTACTAATTATACACCTGACACATGAATCTTTCACTTCCTTCCTTGAATACGAACTATCGATACGGATACAGATATAGGCATTGGTAGACTCTCAAAACTTCCCGACCCAGCCGTGCGTGTGGTGTTGCATGTACGACGTTCCTTATTTGCATATTTTCCCTTTTTCATCCTGTAGTAACTGCTTAAGCATATGTAGGTAGCAACGCGTCCAATGGCAACTCCGAGTCATAAGTCATGAATTTAGCGGTATGTAGTGTACTCCTGGGCCTTTACAACAGGTTCAACAGCTCCTCCACGTAGCGGCGTGTATCGACACCGATGCCTTGAGCCAGCTTGCCTGCGCCCTCAGTGGCATCTGCACGGAAGCCGGCGTGGTCACTTGCACGGCGGATAAGGAATATTTCCTTGGCAACGTCCGGATGGTGTGAATCAGGTCCAGAATACTTCCTTTCCTCTTCGCCAGCACCAGGACCGCTTTCAGGAATGGTATTAAGGTTGTTACCAGTAGTATCCTCATGACGGTCGAGAAGACGTGTCCAGACAACCCACCACCCACGATTCGACTTTTCAGTGCGCTCGAGAGCGGTTGAGCGAGACCGAGTACCGATATAGAGATTAACAAGGTGGAGGTGAGTATTGAGAGCATCGGGACGAGACCAGGGCTCCGTATCATCATAAGACTCAGGGATGTTAGGTAAAGATGAGTGAACAGTCAAAAGGACAGGGTCCCAGACAAGGTCATAGATACTGTTCCCAGAGTTGTTACCTGTGGAACCACTATCAAGGCCAGGTCTTTCAGGACGATACCTTGTTGAAAGGAGAAGGGGCTTGCGAAGAGGGGCGATCTGATGGTGCAGAGAGCGATATAGGGAGTCCATGGCCAGGGAGTCGGTTCGTAGGTTGAACAAAAAGGTGAACATAAAAGGTCGATTGACATATACAACAACTCGCAGCTTCTTAGCCTTGTTGAGATCATGTGAGTCGTAGCCAGGTATCATGTTTCCGACCACTTGTGACTGTGTGAGAGCACTGGCTGGGTGTTCGAAATCCCGTACAGTTATAGCCTCTGGCCTATCCAGAGCCTCGCTCTCTAGCTCGACGTTTACAGTTCGTAAAACGGTGCGAGAATTGTGCTCGCCATCGCCAGCATCATCAGAGCTTGCACTGTCAGTTCCACTGTACTCTGCGTTGATCTCACCCTTGAGACCGATAAGGTAGTGGCCAGCAGCCTCATACGAGGGCGTGCGCTCTGCTAGGCTGGGACGAGCAAGTTTCGAAATATCTTGTGTAGAGCCATGGCCTTGATCCGTGTTCTGAGGCTTATCGGTTGAAGAATCGCCAGTACCAGCACTGGCATCAGCACCAGCGCCGCTGCTAGATAAGGACCAGTATGTACCATAGCCCAATTTGAGGTAGCTAACCATCTTATCGAGTCTTCCGTCTTCAGTCGCTTGTACTTGTGGCGTATCCTTGTTGGAGTTATCTGTAGACTGTTCCTCTGCTGTAGGCTCCACGGGTTCACTGGTCGCTGCTGTTTGCGTTTGGTCCTGTGTCGCTTGCTGTGCACGATCGGCTGCCCTTCTCCTCTTTCCACGCCGAACCGATGTTGGGCTTTCTATAATTCCATATGCGTGATCCCCCCATGTATATAGATCCTCCATCCAGTGCGTCACATCCCTCAGTGACTTTCTCGACAGAGCACCAGTGCCTAGGAAGATGGCACCATCGTCTGGGGAAGGCTCTCGTCCGGTTCCTAGCCACTGTTCAGGGTCGCCATAGGTGTCATTTGGAGGAGGCGACTCGGGGTCATAGTCGCCGAATTTGGAGACAACTAGGTCAACGAGTCCTTCTATTCTCCCAACTAGACCCTCTAGTACGGCTCGTTCGCCGCTCCCCCGGTCTTCCTCACCTACACCAACACCAAGTTCACCACAGGAAGCAATGGGAATACCGCCAAATACATCACGGGCTGGGTTTCCATGCATCATAACGTTCCATGTTGAAAGGTGTAGGTCCCAGTAACGGCTAAGTATAGTGATGAACTTGGTTCGCCTATTACGCACGAATAGAGCGCTCAAAGAAGAGTCATGATGCAGGAGGAAGATGCTATGAGCTCGGAGTAAATCGCGTAGTAACAGGCTCGCGGGTTTCATTTCTCGGCTGGAATATTCGTATCGTTCTTCGGCGGTGTCGCTCTTCTTAGTAGCAAGTCGAGGAGGGAGAGGTAGCTTGGTCAGATCGATACTCTAGTGGCATTGATAAATATGATAACACTTGGAACAGGTGCGGCACAACCTACTGCTAATATCCACCATCCGGGCTCGAGTTCATGCAGTATGACTCTTGATTTCTCAGTGTCAATGGTGTCCACAGATGAACCGCTTGCAAAGCCGCGACTGAAGCTGGCCATGCCCTGGGCAAGGCCGATCTGGCGCAAACGCTCATTGCGCTCTTCTGGAGAAATGTTTTGGGTCGGTTGGCCACGAGTACGTCGGCGCTTGTTCTGCGAGGCTTGGGTGGTAACCGAAGCATAGTAAACGATTTGGTCTTCGATAGTCTCGTCGGTGTTGCCCAGCGTGGGGTTGAAGATGGCGAGGAAGCCAAGCTGAGCGGGCACAATGGTTCCCGGTGCTGCATTTGCAGTGCCTGATCTTGAACGCGCAGCCATTCTTTTGGTTGTTGGTATGTCACGCGTTTTTGCCTTGTGTCTTGCCGACTCACGATGGGCCTGGAGTAGTCATATATGGTGTTTTGTGTTGGCGCTGATGTGGCTATTTCGTCACACGATAAATTCTGACGTAGATCGCCGATCACGACAGGGCCTCAACGCAGTTCCTAGATTGTCACAGCGCCTCAAATTAACGGGCGCAAGGAAGAGGAAGTACAAGGCTAGAAATAAGAAAAGGAGCATAGGAAATAATGAGGGGAAGCAGAGGGGAGATCGGTCTTTTGCATGTAAAAGGCCCAAAAGTCGATCATTGTTTACTGTCGGAGGTTATACCCCGAGTCTCAGCGATTGGACTGTTGAATCGTGTGGAACTGGGGTGAACTGAGGGCAGGTGAGATGGGATCGAGATCCGATTTGTTTGGGCCAAGGAAATAGACAAGCATGAGTAGTGAAACATCATTGTGTTTCTATTGTTTGCCCTGCTCTTGACCTCATTGCACTAACTTGACATGGAAATGTCTGGCATGGATCGCTTGTTGACGAAGCCTCCATCTCGATAAAAACAAAACTAAGAAAAATACGGATACTGCCCCGCGACATCTCGATCATCGATGCTTGGATCAACATGCAGGAGTTTCCATTTCCTGGTGTGCACTTATCCATATTATCATCCCTCCTTAACAATGCCATGATTTAAGACCCAATTACCCAGGAAATAATAAACGGTCGCTAGCACCATCTTACCCTCGGATTTGACTGCAGATATGTATGATACAACCAGATACCCAATAATCAACCAAGTCCACAGCTCGTCATCGTAAACACTAAAATCTTCACTTGTTCATCGCAGAAATGGGTATCGACTCTTCCTCGTTATGGCCAAAAACTGTCTGTCTTTTTTTGGCCATTGCATACGCTTCACTAACGCGCTCTCGCTGATCCTTCAATAACTGCATTGCGGACCGGGTTTGCTCTTCAGATTTCATGCTGTCACTCCTGGGAAAGCCCCATCTCCTCTGCTCTCTTTGCTGGCTACGATCAAAGCTGGAGAACTCAGCCCATATGAAGTAGAGAATGAATGTGATGAGAGTTAACGGGATCGTGATGGCCCAATACAGTCGAAACTGCGGCGTGGGTTCAATGCCGATTCCTCCTCCGTCTGCCTTATCCCAGTTGAATAGATCAGTTGAGAAAAGTGCGGATATAAAGCTTCCAGGCAAAAAGAACATGGTAACAAAGGCTAGCGTCTTCATGGAAGCAGCGTCGCGAAGAGTAGATTTGGAGATGATGTAGTTTGAAAGACTGTAGTTCTCTGAAATGAGGTTATTCAGCTGGTAGTGTCAAGTTAGCCTTGGCGTTATCATCCTCCTTGGGCTCGACATACCACATCAATTTGGATCTGCACCCTCTTCAAAGTGTACTCCCTATCCATGGCCTGCATAGTTAGCCGCTCTTGCAGAACCCCTACGTGGTTTCTCATGAGCGCATCTGCCTCGGGTGTTGCACTTTGGGGAGCATCCAGTTTGCGTTGGACAAACTCCATCAGCTTTCGCAGCGTCTTGTCTTTTCTCTCCGTACTCGCCAGACGGACCGCGAAGCCACTCATCTGCGCACTGAGTGAACCTAGCTCGCCGGCTGCGGGCTTCTTTCGTGCTGTCTTGAAGTCTGAATACCCTGTTCGTGCTTCTATCTGCTGAATGCCTGGCTTCATCTCATGCTGCGTTACCTCGATCTCCACATGGAACATGAAGGTAAAAAGAAATGCAGGGAACATGGCATGACTTGCGGTGCCAATGTTCCATTTGCTTTTGCTCTTGAGAAGCTTGTTCAAGTATTGCTGCTCCTTATCTCCAGCTAGGATCATACCATAGACGACGCCTGGGCGTGAAGCAGGTGGCCTGAAGCGAGTATGTGACCATATGGACGCAAGCTTGGGCGCATAGCAGAAAGCGTAGGCCTGTTGATCTGCTTCAGGCTTGACAACCTTGGGAAAGGCATTTACGCCAGCGACGTAGCTTGGGAAGTAACTGTAAGCAAGGCCAAGGCCAAACTTTTCCAGTATTTGGTCCTTGGCGTCCTCGGGAAGCTCAACGCGGTTGTCATCCAGAAAAAATTTAGGCCATACAAGACGCAAAATCAGTGACTCGGGCCCTGTCGCTGCTGTTCTCGTTTCTGTAGCCAGCCACGACGCGACGTCGGGTATAGTCGTGACGCCTTCATGGTAGTCAACAATTCCGGTATCATCCCTGCACCAGAGCTCACTGTAATTGAACGAGAGGACATCTGGGGAATGGGTAACGCGCCGCTTGTTGAACTCGGCGAGCTTATGATATATCTCATCCATGTTTTCGTTGTGTTAGCGTCCGGCAAGGCAGACTGGCGGTTGACTGTAGATGTATATATATCCGTAGCCAGGCGCAATCGAAATGCACAGCACGAAAGTGGATGCTGAGAAAGGCCACGAGAATTGAAGATAATGAATGACCTGAAGGCGCCTACTTTGAAGCTGGCCACTTGCGAACCATCAATTGCCGATTTACCCCTTTAGCTGTTCACTCAGCCTGTCTGCTGCATCTCTGCATCTCATCACCAACTGCGTTCGAGGCAGCCAATCGCCCAAGTAAGACATGGGGCTTCCGCCGATCCTTGTTTTGGCATTGGGCTTTCCTTCTGGCCACTCACTATTCTTACTACGTATGCACACCATTGAGGCTGAACTATGTATTCAGAGCCAGCCTCAAACCGTCAGGATTACCTACCTATTCTTGGGCTGTTTGAAAGTATAATTGCAGGTCAATTAATCAAATGATAACATTCAATTCGGCAATCTTGGGGAAAGAATAAATCAACTACTGATATGCTGCTACGCTGTGCGGATACATGAAATAGGACCTCCAGAACCGTTAGTAAAAGACAAGCTCCCCAGCTTCCGCCGCTAAACGGGACCTAGCTTGGGGGGCTGAGCCTCTGAGGGGCTGTTTGGGTGCCCGCCCCGTCCCCACAGGCTACAGCCTACAGCACACCTGAGCCCCTCTTTAGCGGTCGTTTCAACGTGCAAGTTGCCCGCCCGCCCGCCATCCAATACAATGGAAGCTCAAAATCACATGCATCAATTAATAGAATCAAACATAAGTACAATGCAGTTGCTACAAAGCGACCGATTAAGTTTCGAGTCCGTGCCAACTGAAATCACGCATGTAAACGTGCCTCTTAGAGGAAGGACCTTTAAATCTCTAATTAACCAAAAAGACCCTTGTAAACAGACGCAAACGTGCCTACGTCATCCCCGTCATGGTCCCTTCCATCACCTCAGCCCAACATCATCTCACTTCGTACTGTATCTACTGTAAGCTCCCCCGCCGCTGACCAAACTTGCGGATCTTATTCTTTCTTCCTCCATCATCACGAACCTTCAACCGATTTGCGAATTGCCTTACAACGTCACTTACACATCGGATCTTATTTGCTTACTGGCCCTCTGGCCCAAATTCAACACCATGGAGTCATTCTCTATGCTCAAGCGTCGTACCACCGACATGCTTCACAATGTTCAGCAAAACCTTCCTTCTATGCCTTCTGTCCCTTCCGCCCCCTCCGTGGCCTCTCACAAGAAGGATACCATGAAAGGAACATGGGAACGCATTGATGCTCCTGACGTCCCCCGCTCTTCTCATTCCCTCAACATTGTTCACGGCACCGCTTACCTCTTTGGCGGCGAGATCGAGTCCCGAAAACCCGTCGATAATGATATGCACGTAGTTACTCTTCCTTGGAGCAGCGCCGGCGCCGATTATTACAAGATCAAGGCAGTTCCTGCTAAGCCGGATGCACAGCCAAAGGTTGAGGCACAGCCGCCCACTGAAACAAACACCGCCCAGAAGCCTGACGAACCTACCGAAAGTACAGGCGAGCAGGATATCGAGAAGAAGCTTGATGAGGTCTCTCTTGACGATGAAGAGACCGATTCTTCAGATGAAGATGAATTCGAAGAGGCCCCGACCACATCCTCCAAGGGCAAGGAGCCAGCTGGTCCCGAACGTCCAGAAATGGGCAACGTCCCAGCTCCACGAGTAGGCCATGCTACCGCCGTCATCGGAACCCGTATCTTCCTTTTTGGCGGCCGTGGAGGCCCCGAAATGCAGCCTTTGAACGAAGCTGGTCGAGTCTGGGTGTTTGACACTCGCTCCAATACCTGGTCATACCTTGACCCTGCACCTGCTGTTGTAGGTGGAAACATTGTTCCCCATCCTGCTCCACGAAGCTACCACACAGCCACCGCCATCGACCGTCCCCAGGACTTTGCGCCTAAGCGACCTAAGCAACCTGAGACTTGGGGACAATGGGCCCTGGGAGACACCTCTAAGACAGGTATTCCTCAGGCTCCTATCGTCGGCAACGTTGCCGAGGAAGCTACGGACGAGGAGTCGGACGGTTATGGTACCTTCTTTATCCATGCGGGATGCCTTGCAAACGGTGAGCGCACCAATGACATCTGGGCCTTTAACGTTCATGATCGCACTTGGGTTGAGTTTCCCGCTGCTCCTGGACCTGCCAGGGGTGGCACCGCCATCTGTGTGAGCAAGACCCGTCTCTTCCGCTACGGCGGATTTGATGGTGAAGATGAGATCGGAGGAGAGCTCAACTTCCTCCACCTCGAAGTTGAGACGTTCGACGACCACGGCTCAAAGGGTGAGGTCGCTGTTCGCGCGCGTGGTGGTTGGCAAACCATTCTCGCAAGTGATCCCAACAGCGATTCTACTGAGATACATGCCGAACCAGCCCAGACCTGGCCTGAGCCTCGAAGTGTTGCATCTTTGGAGGCCATTACTTCAGGTGCTGGTTATGAATACCTCCTCCTAACCATGGGTGAGCATGGTCCCAGCTCAGAGGGCCATGAAGGCGCAGGCAAGTTCTTCGACGATGCCTGGGTGTTCCAAGTCCCTCCTCTGGGCATGACCGCTGCCAGTGTCACTGCTGCCATGTGGCAAGCTGTCGGTCGTAAGACAGGCGAGGGAAAGTGGACGAAGCTTGACCTCGTACCCTACGATGATGACAACAGTGACGAGATGCCCCTGCCGAGAGGGTGGCTTGCTAGTGCGCCTATGGGAGAACTCGAGGAAGCCGGCATCTTGATCTGGGGTGGTCTAGCAGAGAATAACGAACGGCTCGGAGACGGCTGGATCTTGCGAGTGGGCGATACCTAGTTTAAAAGCCAAGCAAATTGTTGGATCGGATATAGTGATTCTTTTGGCGTAACAAGTTTTTGGCGATCATCTCAAATGGACGAATATAAGAGCGAAAGATAGGAAGCCCTTGTGCAGATTCAATACCTCACGTAGTATAGTATATTCTTGCTGATAAAACTCCACGCATTCTATACCAGATATAGCATTTCACATGGTGTTATGTACAATAGCGGCCTCCTCCCGCCGACGCCTTTTGCATCATTCACCCTAAGCATTTCTTGCCTTTGAACTAAAAAAGAGAGATAATAATGTCATAATTCTACAGGTCTGCCCTTGTGGTCTCAGTTCCCCAAGGCTCTGAGGTAAGGTTTGTCTGTCCGGCGCTGTTCTCGCATGTGTCTCGGCTGCTGAGAGGGCCAGGCTTGGGGACATTAACGGAGGATGGGTCGGTAGCAGTGGCCTTGGCCTTGAGGGACTTGAGGAGGTCCTTGACGGAGGCGGGGGTGAGATCCTCGTAGTAGTCGTCGTTGATCTGGATCATGGGGGCGTTGACGCAGGCACCGAGGCATTCGACCTCGAGGATGCTGAAGAGACCGTCGGCAGTGGTCTGGCCTTGCTCAATGCCAAGCTCCTCCTTGATGGCCTTTACGATAACATCGGAGCCGCAGCCTCCAAGTTGGCAAGGGGTCTGTTGATAACAACGTTAGCGGGCTTTTGTCTTACTAGACTTTGATAGTCTTCAATGACGTCTATCCGTCATTTTCCTAACTAGCGTAAAGCAATTGCCGTCGAAGAGGGCATGCTCCGGGTGGAGAGATAACATACTGTAGTGCAGATCTGGACAAAGTACTTGCCCACGGGAGTTCTGTTGTACATGGTGTAGAATGAAGCAACCTCGTACACTCGCATGGGTGGCATCTCGAGAAGACGAGCGACCTCGTTCATGACGCTAATGCTGGTGAAGCCGTGCTGGCGCTGGCCGAGGTCGAGCAGGGGCATGACGGCAGCCTTCTTGTACTGGGGAGGGTATCGCTTGAGGATCTCGGCCATGACGGCCTGGTTCTCTTCGTTGAACTTGAAGGGGATCTGGGGGTTGTTGTCCTCGGTGTTTCGATGCTGTCACACGCCATTGGTCAGACAGGTTCTTGTCACTTGGAAGGTGAAGGCAATTGCGCGCCAGCAGATAGAGATGAAGTTGCAGAGGGCGCAATTGACAGCGCCAATTGAGCTACTTACCACCATGAGACTGTCGCTTCGTCGGCTGGCTGTGAGGGAGAAGGCGGCGCGAGAATGAGGGCGGGCAGCCCGGCACGCCGGCCGGATGACGGAGCGGAAGAGGGGAGTGAGCTTGCTCGCCATTGTGAAAGAATTTGGTGGTATTTCGAGGAGCGAGCGGAGCGTGTGTCGTCGCGGGAGGCGGGGAGGGGCTTGTGAGGCAATCGTGAGGTCGTCGGTTCGACTTGTCAAAATGTCGCCGTCGTAGCGAGTATTACAATTCGACTTGGAGCTGCTTGCAAAATCAAGGTCGATGATTGGTGCATCTGAGCCTAAGTTTAGCCGTCGTGGGGTGGACCGATGGAGCGGTACGTACAGTCCAGATCGTGCTTGGAATGTGGATTTGGAACTGGAGCTTCATCCACCTTTCATGAACTGTGTTCGCGCCTCGAGCTACGGAGGCTATTCTATCATTTTTTCGTTCAAGAACTCGACTGGGAGCGAAATATTCTTTTTCTAAGCATTAGCTGTTTACCTTTTTTCATGCATCTCAGACCGCTGACTATGGCATCACAGAAGTTGTAACAAATTACCGAAGGGATATTATTGCAGCCAAGCCATTAACACCAAGTTAGCCACCAACGCAAGCAAGCAATATGTCGTTCGCTTACCGGAAACTTGTTTTTCGAAAGGACCATCGTGCTTCCGTTTTGTCTCGTAAAGATCGGTATATGTTGACGGACTTGAGTAACAAAGGCTCTGCAGTCCTCCTTATTAGCCGAACATATCTTGACAACACATAACATGCCGTTTTGACACCAACAAATAACACGCTACGAAAACGAATTTCGCGAAATTGGTGGCACTGCATGTTTCTCTGTCCCTGTGCGCAATCTCTGATACCTCTCGGTGCGCTTGAGTAGCAGCCATGTTGTGGCTCTCTATGCAAGTGCAGTTCCAATAGCCTATGGTCCAGCTTGCTGCACGACGAGTGGTGTTTGGCTGTGATCGGTATTAGGTCTGAGGACAACGATAACTAATACCCGTTTTGTAAGTTATCCAGCTGGAATCATTGTCCTCACTTGCCGATCCTTTCGACACTTCTCGAGGTCGGCACCAATAGCAAGAGCAGACCATTGCTGGATTTGTCTTCACAGATAATGATTTATGTGGGATAACCGAGAAAATGCATCATGCTCGACAATGCTACTCAGGCGCTGCTTTGCACTCCCTCACGTGCAAAGGCTAGACAACAGCGTACATGGTCAATATAAGCTTAAAGGGTCTTTGTGTTGAATCTCCGTCAACCACAATGCAAACCCGAGTCAAGGTAACTCTGTAACCGCGCATTGAAACAGAACATGCCGCTTGGTCTCTGGGGAAGCACAATTGCATAGTTCGGCTAGTGACTTGCCTCCTGCTATGAGACATGGACAATGGATTGGGTGCCCAGGTGTCACAGCCGTTCATGCTGTGGTTTCTCAGAGACCATAGCACGAGACTACCGATGATGTTTGGTTCTGCGGTTGATAACTCACAAGATCGAGCGCATGCGATCAACGAGCAATCAATGGGACGTGAGAAGATATTGGTTTTGTGATGCGGAAGGCGGGGCCAGAGTAAGAAGCTGGCGTTGTGATGGCTGAGATTTAGCAATGTGACTAATTTTAGGTAGTTAAGGGTGAGTCCCAAAAACAACACAGACAGAGTAGTTCGTGTATATAATATCGAGCCTGTCGCATCAATAATTCAGCCACGGGTGCAATTATTGATCTTGTCGTTCAATTGATCTTAGGTATCGTCCTCCGTTGCGAGCTAGCAACTCCTGGCTTATCGCAAACAACTCTATTTTGAGGTAAAATACTCTTGGCGTTGACTTGAACCAAGGTAGAGAGCTAATCTAGGATCTTTCAGCTCATACTTAGGCCAGTTTCAGTTTTCAAAGCTATTTGGAGAAGTGCCAATTCTTAAATGAACTACGGAAGGAGGTAGGTAGATGGCGCACCTCCTTCCTTCAGGTTCGAGGATTTCAGCTTAGCTTGTGGCTTGGCTCGATAGGCAACTGCGACCTTCCACCACGAAGTCGAACAAAAAGAATCAATCGCATATCATTTCTCTCATTAAAATATACCTTAAGCAGCTGTCAAATCTGACATATTTCTAATTCCCGCATCCGCAGCATCTGCGGACATAGGCCTTTCTAGTTGACCTTTGGCTCTAATTGCACGCATCATGCCAATCGAATCGCGCTTCTCCATCTCGGTTCCCAACTGCTCGATACAACAATGGATCTTTGGTTCACCTTCATGCTCGCTACCAGATAAGAAGGCTTTCATTGATGCTGATCAACCTCAGCAACGCTATTTTACCTACGATCAAGCTCGACTGCTCGCAAAACGTATCGCTGTTGGTCTTATCGACCATGGCCTCAAACCGGGCGATCGCGTTCTTCTCTTTTCAGGCAACAGTATCTTCTTCCCAACCCTCGTGATGGGCGTTTGGATGGCCGGAGGCATCTTCACCGGAGCGAACCCTGGATATGTCACTCGAGAATTGGCCCACCAGCTTCAGGATAGTGAAGCAGCGTTCATGATTGCTGCCGAGAGTGTTATGGATGTAGCAATGGCTGCTGCCTCACAAGTTGGTATGAAAGCATCACAAGTCTTTTTGTTGGACTCGACATGGCCAGACTCGACCATTGAGACACAGCCAAGCAAAGGGAGTAGACATTGGACAGAACTCATTGCGGCCAGGTCGAAGGGCGAAGGCTTCATCTGGGATGAGCCAAAAGATTCCAAGAATTCTATCTGCACCCTCAACTATAGCTCAGGTACAGTATGTCAGACTCTCATGTCAAACTCTAATTTTATATGTAAATCGGCTAACAAACACAGACTGGAATACCTAAAGGTGTCGAGATTTCGCACTACAACCACGTTGCCAACAGCCGCGGCGTCACCCTTATGAACAGACTCAATCCTGACTTTGAGGCTCGACGTCAACGTGCTGCTGCGCTATGCTTCCTGCCGATGTATCATGCTTTTAGTCAAGGCTACTTCATCACCAGTTTCCCTTACGAGCGCGTTCCTGTTTACATCATGCCCTCTTTTGACTTCCCCAAGATGCTTGCTCATATTCAAAACATTCGAATCACAAAACTTCTAGCTGTTCCTCCTATCCTTGTTCTTATGTCGAAACACCCGCTTGCACGCCGTGCCGACCTCAGCAGCATCGACATGATTGCATCTGGCGCTGCTCCACTAGCGAAGGATACACAACGTGAGATCGCCGGAATGATACCAATGGGTGAATCGGTCGTACGGCAGGGTTGGGGGATGACCGAAGCGACTTGTACCGCCCTGTCGTGGGACCCTAGCAAAGCTCCTAGCTCTGCAGCCGGCGAACTGACTCCGGACTCTCGAGCTAGGCTGGTCAATATCGAAACTGGAGATGAAATAACATCCGCGAACACCCCTGGAGAGCTATGGATCACAGGCCCAACAGTAATGCGTGGCTACTGGCGCAATTCTATCGCAACACGCGAAGCCTTTGTTACCGACTTACACGGCACCCAATGGCTTCGAACTGGGGACGTCGCATATGTGGAAGAGTACAAAAAGGGAACACTATTTCACATCGTGGACCGTGTCAAGGAACTGATCAAGGTCAAGGGCATGCAAGTTGCTCCAGCCGAGCTTGAGTCACTCTTGCTTGAGCGAGAAGACATCGCGGATGCCGCTGTCATAGGGGTCACTATCGACGGCGAGGAATTTCCACGTGCATATGTTGTCAAATCGCCAAATGGAAAGGACACATCCAAAGAAGATATCACAGACTGGCTAGCGAGTCGTGTAGCCAAATACAAGCAACTCAGGGGTGGCTTAGTCTTTGTTGATGCCATTCCCAAAGTTCCTGTAAGTGAAACGATCTTCTCCTTGATGTAGCAAGGTGCTTACATACAGTGATTTGTAGTCAGGCAAGATTTTACGGAAGACACTTCGTGAGCGAGCAAAGCGCGAAGTTAGCAACGGCCTTGAGGTGCGCGCCAAGCTGTAGGTCAGCGGCGGCGATGGGTGTGCATGCTAATCTCCTGTATCAATTCGCATATGGTCACTCACCATGTCACGTATGCGAAGATCTATACAGCGCGACAAGTCGGTAAGAACGTGCATGTCATAGCTGCTGGTCTATTCAAGATAATACCCCCAAGAGTAAATTGGAGGATGTGTGCTTGTAGCAACAGGTTTTATTTGCATGAATCTCCTTAAGGGAAGGGGCATATTCAAACACAATGTGGCGTTTTTCGTTTACTCTCTAAGCTATAGCTTCATATCCATTGATCATGAACATGGGTCTTTAACAAATCCTACCTATATAATGCGACGTCTCTTAGATCCCGTCACCAATAACCATCATTACCTCTTCCAACAATGTCGAGGGAATCTTCATGTTCTTAGCCCTATCGGCTCTACCTCCATCAATGCGATACTGAGCCGGCAGTTTTATACCATCTGTGACTCCCAATATCTCCTGCGCTACCGCTATTCCACACCTCGCTGCTACTGGCATGCCATGGCCTGTATATCCAGCACTAAGCCAGAGGCTGTTATTCCTACCACCTAAAGCATCGGGCAGCTGGCCAACCCAAGGGTAGCCATCTTTCGAGTAACCCATGATACCCGTCCACTCGTATGTAGCTCGAAGAGTCCCATCCTCGGTTTCGTCTGGTGCCTTTAGCTTAATGACTTTATGGAGTGAGGCCCGCAAACGCTGAGCGACAACTGGATCAATCGTATCGTCTCGCGAGAGGCCAACTTGACCATCGGGTGAGCCTTGTCTCTCTCCGCCGGTTATGAGCTCGCCAGAAGGTCTTTGAACGAGATAATCGTCGCCTCCAGCCGGTGTCCACCAGACATGGCTGTGCTCTAATGGTGCGCTGCCACTCGAGGGAACGAGAGCAGCAACCTGGCCTCGAACCGGGACGATAAAGCCTGATAACTTAGGAATAAGATGCGAAGTATAAGCGTTAGTTGCGAGGATAACCTTCTTGGCTGCTATCTGGCCCCGATGTGTATCAAGGGTCCACAAATCGCCTTTTTGCTGCAAAGAGTCCACGGGTGTCTTCGTCTGGAGATTAAACACGGAAGAATCATTCCCTTCAAGGAGTCGCTCAAGGACCCAGCTGACGAGCTTATACGGCCACAGTTTGGCGGCGTTGGGCTGGTATATGGCCGCAGATGCCTCTGGAATACGCAGCTTCTTCAGCTCCTCCTTGTCCGTGATGATCTTGACCTTGTCAGCCAGGTCAGGGTGAGCCTTTCCCAGGCGCTCTAGATGCTGAACTATAATCTCGAGGACTTCTGACGACGGAATGCAATGGACGCCCCCTACCGTCTCCCAGTCACAAGGGATCTTGTGCTCGGATACAAACTCCTCGAGAAAGTTGAAGGTATCCAGCTCGAATTGGGCTACAGGTGCTTTTGCAGCGTATATGAGAGGCTGGCAATGGCCGCCATTCTGATGAACAATCAGTAACATTGTATCAAAAGACCGCCACACGTTCAACATACTCTTCCTGTTGCTCCCCAGCACGCCTCTCTCGCTTCAAGGAGGACTACGCTCTTACAACCCCCCTTGACGAGCTCCCTCGCGGCAAAAGTCCCCGTGATACCGCTGCCAACTACCACAACGTCAGCTGTCGCGGGAAGTTCTGCCGTTGTGCGGTGACCCAGAAGCTTCTCCGAGGGCTGGTGGTGCCAGTACGACTTTGTGCTCTCGACAGAAGGCAACTCGGCTTGTTCTTGGAGCTGCGTGTAAATCGCCATTGCGCTGTTTGAGTCTGGGTCTAATTATAAATATGGTATGTAAGCGTTTAGTCGTGATGGTGACTAGGTTAAGAGGTGTTGTGTTGTGGAGGTATGAGTTATCACTCTTATATCGCGAATCCTTTGGCTTAGCTGAAAAAACCCCGCCTTGATGGGTAGTTCTTATAGGGTGTTGGTCAACGTTGGCACGCATCATGTAGATCTCCAGCTTCATCAGATACACTCCATGCTACGAATAGATACACCGATAGAGTGCAGCGAGGTTATAGGCTTATCAAACGACAAGTAACTACAGCGTGTAATGTACCTCACATATTAAGCATCAGCACGATTGTTCTGTTTGTGAATTGATCATATCATGTTCATGCCATTTCGTCGTCAGAATCATCAGCAACTATCAGATCAACCTCCTCTGTCCAGGGACCCTTTCGATCACTTCAGCAGTTGCTTGGTAGTGACCTCGGGTATCCTTCTTCCCCTATGTGCTCATAGAGCCATTACTATAATTTACAATATTCCACCTCCCATGTAGCAAATCTTGCCCTTCCAATGACTGAATACAATGAATTCTTGGAGACAGCCGTCTCTTTTGGCTCTCCCATATGCTGTGTCCTATGCTGATTCCCCTCTGCTCAATCCTGCAGAGGTTGGCCGAAACTTTTGATTATTACTCCCGCCCAATACGCGCTGTAATCACAGCATGTCTAATGCCTCCCGGGGTATTTCATACACGCAATCTCGCTGTTGAGACGCAAAATATTCAAGCCACCCTTCTGGGAGATGCACTTTTTCGCATGTGCTCTCACTCCCGGGTGGCGTACAAAGGAAATTTGATAGATAAAAAAAGGAAAAGTAGTTTCGTAGTGATGTGTTGTGTTTGAAAGCAGTGGGTTTCGGTTCGAATGTTGAAGGTTGAATGACAAGTCATAAAACACCATGCGAACAATACTCCCGCTTTTGCTTCCATTCCTCGTGGTATTCGTGTCGTGTCATATCATAGCAGCAATTGATGCAGATGGCATCAAGCCCCAAAATTCCTCCTGCCCGCAGAGCTCCAGGTATATCCAGAGTCAAATGTAATCGGGTATCTCTCTTCATACGTCAGTCATCTCGGTGTCGCTGTCACCCTCAACGATGGAGACAGGAAACATGTCAGCTTCAACATCGTCGGGTCCCCAGTTTCCTTCATAGACAGTTGCTGGTGCGGCGCGCTGGTGAGCCACCCACTGCATACCCTCTATTTGGAGGACCTGGTGCACAGATGGACGATCACTAGGTTCTTGTGCAGTCATCCATCGCACAATAGAATCAAGGGAGCTGTTGTGCACAGGGTTAACCATGAACTCGGGAGGCTGCTGAAGTTCCGATCGCTTCAATGAGCCAAACAAGTTGCTTGGGTCATGAGTCTTGCCGCTTGTGAAATCATCGCTGTGCATTCCCTCGGTCGGGTTACCGGTAGCATCTCGCTGAACCTCAATTGAGGGGTTCCAGGTGAGACTGGGCACCTCAGAAAGATCTCCAGAGCGAAGAGCAATCCAGGTGGGACCGTTATCGGGAAGGACAACGTTGGCTGCGGTTTCAAGAATGATGAGGCCTAGAGAAAATACATCGGCAGATTGGCAGGATCTGCCCTTGAGCATCTCGGGGGCCATGTACTCGCGATCACCCTCAACATCCACACCTTCAGCGGATGAGCAAGACTGAGCAAGACCAAAGTCAGCAATCTTGAGAACACCTTCGAAAGTGACGAGAATGTTGGCTGGCTTGAGGTCCAAGTGCATGAAACCGGCATCATGAATGTCCTTCAGTCCCTACAACGAAGTCAGTTATGAGAAAATTGCAAATATAACAGGCACAACTTACCAAGCAAAGATCCTGGAGGATCTTGAAGATGCGGAAGTCATCCAATCGCCCGCCCCGCCCGACATGACCAAGGAACCTATCGAGAGTACCCTCTTCGCAGTACTCTGTCTGAATGTACAAATGATAGTTGTGCTCCCAGTGGTCAAAGTACTGTACCACGTGTTCGGAGTGGCTCAAAGACTGGAGGATCTGAGCCTCTCGAACCTTAGTGTCCCGGTCCCTGGGTCCCTGGAAGGGCTGCTTGCTCTTCTTCACAGCATAAACCCTACCCTTCGCAGGACTGTTCGAATGGTCGGCGGGGGTAGCAATAAGTTCGTCAAATGACATTGGCCTGTCTGCCTGAGTTACGCGATAGACCGTGGAGAACTCGCCCATGCCAATCTGCTCAACCTTCTCGAATCGAGAGGACAAGCTTGCGTCAATGTCAAGATTGTTAGTGCGAACATTCACGGGAGTGACAAGGATACTGGTAGATGATCGCAAGTCTCGTCCTGCTGTTGGTGTGGACGGAGGTGGCATGTTGTCGGAGTAGGAATCGCCAGCCTGTGAGATTGATAGTCGGCTAGTGTCCAAAGGGAGTAGACTCTCCCGGGGTGTTTGCGGTGTTCGTCGTCCATCAAGAGGACTCGCTGAATCAGAAAGTTTCGTTTTAGTAAATGTTTCATTAGGAGAGCTTAGAGATTGACGTAAAGAAACGGTGCTTAAAGGAGAAGGAGAGTGTAATCCTCTTCGAGCTCTGGAGTGGCTGAATGAAGATAGAGGGCTGTGAGAAGATGGGGAGTACAAACGCCCAACATCGATGAGTCGATTCATATAATCAACTGATCCGGTTGAAGCGCCCGGTGCTGCTGTATCCGACTTACAAGTTGCTGATCGGGGTATTGAGCTGCCCAGAACCGGCGTAGGAGCGTGTAATGTTCGGTTGGCGGTTGGGCTGTGATTGTTTTGGGGACTCTCGAACGAGTGCTCGCTGACCTTGCTAAGGCTAGGAGTCAGGGTGTTCTTAGTCGGAGTTGGAGGAGCATCGCCCTCCATGGGCGTCGAAAAGTCGAGAATGTTATCAAAGAGCGTATGCTCGTCGCCATCCAAGCTAAGAACGCTGCCGCGGCGTCCACTTCTAGAAGCACTGCCACGCTGGAAAATCGACATTCCCTTGCCAGCTCTTCCGAAGCTCTGAGTGCTGTTGCCAAAGGGGGTTGAAGGGTTACCGCCAAAAGAATTCCGGTTGTTACCCCTCTTCTTCATGGCGCTTCCAGCAGGTGGAGGGAAGGTAGCGAACGGGTTCGAGTGCTTTTTACATGGTGTATCAGGGGGTGCCATCTTCTTGTTGGCCTCCTCTTCTGGATTTCGGTTCACCTTGGAAATCAATCCAGTTGAGTTAAAAGCGCCCACCCACAACTGAGCGTTGCTGGGCGTCGCCATCGTCCTGGTTACATCATTTGGACGAGTTGGCCTTGTGGCGTTGAGGGGTAGAGATCGTGAGAATAGGTGTTGTCTAGGGCGGTCTGGCATCCTGGCCACCGGGGCATAGATAGGTGTCTCCTCATGGAGACTGTTCCCTGAAGACGATGTCGTCAATGTCTTTGACAAAGGGTGTGGCTGATGGCCCTTGTCACCGAAAATATTAGTAGGTGGTGGTTTCGAGGTTGGAGTAGTAGAGACAGTAGGAGCGGTAGAAGTGCTGGTAGTAAAGGGACTCTCCTGGGGCGCAGGAGGAGGGACGAACTGATCCATTGAAAGGCGTGGTCGGCTTCGGACAGGTGAGTATTCGGCGCTGAACTGAGCTAGCTGTCGCTCGCCGGTTCGTCTTCCCCAAGATCCCCTCTCCCCATATCTTTGTTGTAAAGTGGACTTCCGTAAGGACGACGATCTCTTAGGAACGTTCGCCGAAGTTGACGTGGTCGTCGGGGTGGGGGAGGGGAGCGGGTCCCGAAACGGTGACCCGCTGGAGCCCGCAATCTCATATTCAGTAGATGAGTCCTCATGAATGTAGAAACTCTGCGAAGATGTCGTATTTGAGCCAAATATGTTTTGGTCCTCATTCTGGCCCAGTGCCGAAATTCCATGTAAGCTCCGTCGCTTAGCCACCGGGCTTTCCTGGCTCGGCTGGTCCAGATTCATAGTCGCATCGCTGCGCTTTAGCGACCCGTTGTTGGGAACCATTGAGTTGTCGCTATTGGTCTCAAGTGACTTGAGGAAAGCTATCTGTACAGATCCAGAGACGTCAAGCGGGAGACTGCGTCGCTTCTCTGGGCTGGAAGTGATAGGACTCGATGCACCCAGCGCGTTGTTCTCTTGCCCTGAGATATCGATAGCAGAGAGCGCAGGGGCCGCAGGCAGAGAGTTGCCACTGTCGGGGGCAGTGATGAGGGCTCTCTTCAACGGGCTCTTTGGAGATACGCGGGCGCGCGTCAGCGGTCTCGATGGCGATGTCTTCGCTGCTTTGGCGGAACGCAATGAAAGTCTAACGCTGGGGCGGAACGGAGTAAAGGCGGACGATGGCGCACCGTAGGCGTGAGGAGGTGCTGATCGAGTATGGCACGGTAAAGGTTGTTGATTCTGTGGCGTTGCGCCAAATCGTCGGCAGGGCGATTGTGGTGAGGTTTGGTGGGGGCTCTCGGGACTCAGCGAGTTCGGGGAGTTGGAACGCGTCAAGAACTTCGAGGGAGATCGCGAGATAGATCGCCGCAGTGTGCGAACTGCCGAGGTGACGTCGATATGGTGAGCGTGTGTCGGCGATGGTAAGGCGAGTGTGCCACCGCTGCTGTTCGAGAATGACATGGTGGGGTTATGAAATAGTACGCGCTCAGATATGTCGCGAACAGGTGATAATACAAGGCCGGTCGATGTGAGCAGTAGAACTGCAAGCCAGGCCTCACTGATGCTTGCTGCTGTTGCAGTATGAAGTAGTTCGAAGAGTGCAGCACGGCGAATTAAAGCTGAGGCCCGTTGGTGAGCCAAACGTGAATGGCGGCGTAATAATGCTGCGTCACGACGGTGAGATGCAGTACGTGAGAGAAGCAACTCGTCGCGATACCCTACAAATCGCAAAAGCTATGCCAGTCTCACTCGGATGTCGAAGGTCATATCATGACTCAACAACTAAAGATAAATCAGACGCTAGAGTGAGGTAGGCAGAAGCGCGACGGGAGCAGGCTGCAGTTATAAGTCCCGGGTACTGATGGGGTCGACAAGGCAGCCAAATAAGAGACGGACCGATGATGCCGAATGGAGGTGATGCAGTAAGTAAATAGAAAGATTTGCAGAGAGAAAATGAGGTTGAGTAGAAAAAGCAGGTTGGCGGAAGTTGGAACTACAGTAGTATAGTTGAGGTTGAGGTCGAGGTGTGGTGCAGCGGTGTCGTGTTTCGTCCAAGATGGGTTTGGGGGTGGGCTGGTTAAGAGACGGAGACAAGAGGGTTAGTGTGTGGCAGTTGGACCATGGCGCTTTTTGGGTGTGGGCGTGGATGGATATTGGGCATGGGCTATCCTGACACAAACTAAAGGAAGGAAAAAAGAGGCCGTAAAAGACTAAAAAAGTACAGAGCAAATGGTTGCTCTCGTCTAGTCTCTTCTCTTGTCTTGTCTTTCTTGGCTCTGCTCTGTTCTGTTGCGTGTGCCGTCCCGTTTTGTCTTTGATTTGTGGTTCTAACCTTTGTAGCGCAACGCGATAGTGACTCTCTGGGCAGTTGTAGTTGAGTAGTTGCAGCAAAAGACCCCTCGTGTGGCTGCGGTTGAAACCAGAAGAACCCTTCTCAGGACATCAACGTGGATCCTTCAACAGGGTCTGGTGACTCAGATAATCAGGTCGAAAGGACAACGAGTGGTAATGACAAGTCGGGCTGGTATGCGCTCGTCTCTGGTGTCTCTATCTGGGAAACTTGGTTACAGAACTGAGCTTGACTTGAAAGACCGAAAGACCCAGAGGGTGTGAGATGGGATAAAAGGTAGAATAAGATGGTTAATAGGATGGGAGGGAAGGGCGCGAGAGGGATAGTGTAGACTGGTTGGAGGAGAGGGTCCTGTTGGGGGGGCTTGATGCTTGATGAGGGGACGTGATAGGGAGCCAGGTGCCCAAGGATGGCGCGTGTTGGCCTAGCCTCCACTGGCAGCTGGCGAATCTTTAGGCTGGTGCCTCACATGCACGCCCCGTAAAAACACTTGGATAGTGCGCCAAAGTGCCAACCTGAAATGCTAAAATGCCGCCTTCAGTCACCCTTCGATTATCGTATCAATAGTCAATAGCTAGATCAATCAAAGGATCGCAATAATCAACAAAACAGTCACTACATAAAAAGGGGCAAACGCGCGTATGTACATGGGAGGCAAAATAATAGTTCGTGTCCCTACCTACAATTTCCAAAAACTCTTCGTCATCTTACAAAGGCAGAAAACAACAAAGTTGGGTCAGAGGCGCGCGACAAGTGACGCATTTGTTTACACGTTTCCCAGAATAGGACTAGCGTTACACGACAAGACGCGTTTTCTTCCAAACAAGATCAGGGGTGCAACAACATAGATTTAGATATCCACATACACACTCAGACTCACACTGTCCACACCCTGCAGAACCCCTTCAGCCCTTGTAAGTCGAAGCTGGAGGAGGCCCTGGAGGCTTCCTTCAAGGATGGCGCCGGGAGCTGGCCCCCGCTCATGTGCCGTCTACAATGTGCCATCCATGCTCATCAGCCATCTCAAGCCTCTGTCTGTACTCAGTAGTTTGTTCCTCGTCTCATCGATGATGGCACGTTCATCAAGACTATCACATTCCGTTCGTCATATCCAGAGCTTCTTTACCGTCTCTGTCTCTACACTACTCTACTCGACACTTCCTCGTCGTCATAGGTAGCTTGTTAGTTACGACAGCCAGCTACGATGGTACTCTAAAAAACGGCGATCATCGATCGTCAGGGAAAAGCACGTTGTTTATGACGGGTATTTTTCAGGTGCATGCGCTCACTGCGCTAGGACTCTTTGTAAGTGAGTTTTTGTGATATCCATGGATGGCTTGAGGTGGTTCCTGAAGCCGACCTCAAACTTAGACCATCTCATGTTGTAACAAAGAATAGGATGATAGAGGGAACTACCGTTCAATCTAGTGCTGGAGGACAAGTCTGTCATGCTCACTCCACAAGGCCGTCCAATATGTTCATATGTTCATAGTATCATGGGTATCCGTACGGAGTAAAGCTTACAACAATAACAACAACAACAAAGACGTGTGGGAAATCGTCTCAGGTATCGACCAGACGTGTAAGTCGGAACACACAACGCCCTGGTTCGTCAATACTCCACTGGGCGCATTACAGCGCCAGTGCTCACTCTCAGGGGCACTCCCGTCTTTCAAGACTCTCTCCCCAAGCCATCGCAAGCCTCCATACCCAGGGACTTTCTAGGTTTTCTTAGCAGTCAGGGGTTTTCTGGCAGTTGGTGTGGGCCTGACGCCGTTATACTGTAGATCGGCTATAGAATGGCATGGAGTTCAGACGACATGGGACAAGATTGAACTGAAATGGCATGAGGTTTATTTTACTTTAGATAGACCAGAAGAAAGTTGAGCGCTTCTGCTGGTCAGGTATGTGGTCGCAGATGGTTCAAGTATAGTATCAACTTGGACCCTGGAGCCGCGCAGCTTGCAGCTTGCGGCTTGCAGGTCGAGGGTTCGTGTGCTAGCAGTCGAAGCAAGATGCGCTGAGGCTGTTATGGATCGGGATAGAGATGGGGCCGTGTCTTAATGCCCACCCGTTCGCTGGCTCCCGTCTGCTTCAGACCATTCAGCGTCATGATCGTCGCCGCCTGATGGGCATGCTTTATCCTGGGTCCCGTCACTCGCCTCGCACTGCACTGCCTCGAGTGAGCTGTGCTGTACAATCAATGTACAACGTGTACAAGAAAGACAGGGCAACGTCAGCCTGGTTTAGGTATCCGCAAAGGCCAGCAAATTCTTCAATTCCAGTACAGCTGTACAGTGGAGGAATATTTACTTGTCTCGCATTCTTACAAGACAGCCAGCCGCTCAGTGGCCCTCGTCTTCAGGTCTCTCCCTCCACTGTGAACCAGACCAGATATTGGATCCTGGCTACCTACTCTATATAGCAGGCCAGGGCCGAGCCAGGCCAGCTCACACGCCCAGAAGCAAGCAAACAGCATCATCCCGCCCCATGGGACCAGACAGGCATGCCCTTCCCATCACATCCCGATACGCTGGGCCCTCCCATCCCATGACGCGCAGCAAATCTCGTCCAGGTTCCCAAGTTCGATCAAAACAAACAAAACGGTGGGCTTCCCCTATCCATCTTGTGCACTATCCACAGTTGACGGTGGCAATTTGGGCTTTAATTGTGCTCTTTATGCCAAATGGCTCGTGCAATCTCGCTTCTTTTGTGGGAGTCCGGGGGTGGCTCTCTTCACTGCATGCAAGAGACCTGACGCTAATAAACAATACCTTGAAGTACGGAGTGCAATTGTATCCGTAATTCTGTGTGTTTGCAAATCGTGAGTTGTTGGTCTGCGTGTGGACGAGAAGAGGACCAAAGCCCTGCTCGTGAGCGCTGGGGCCCAAGTCCAAAAGGTCATAGTACAACGTACCTTAGAAGTAGTTTTATATGCAGTACTTTTTGATGGTTTGATCTAATCGGCCACTAATCGGCCACCAATCAACGCTGTAATTCACTACTTACACACTCTTGGTGCTGCTCCGTGCTTTCTCGATCTAATGTCTAGGTCCCATCTGAAGACTTACACACGGATCATCATGGTCACTGGCACTCACACTGACACTTATGTACATGACAATAACCCCTTCATCATTCACAATCTCCCATCAACAACCCGATCAACAACAAAAACAAAAAAGCACATGCGTCCCCCGCGCTCGCATCACCTTGCACTAGACAGGGGATGCACTGGCTAACTCCAGTGCACAACATTTGAGCGCCAAGTTTGTTGACCGCCGGAAGCTGGCTGCATATTTTATGGAACATGCACTGCAGCTAGTAGCCCGCTGAGGCACACCGCACAAGTCTGCGGCTCTGTAAGAAAAGAACCCCTAACTACGGATACGGATATGCAATTCATATTATAAGGGCCGTGTAAGTGGCCCTGTGGCTGCAGCGGTCTCTTTCTCTTCGGGCAGGCTTCAGACGCTGGACACTCTTGAGCTTCACCCGCGCCCTGCATCCTGCAGCTCCTGAGCCCCTATTCACAGATTACTTTCTGCATATAGCGGCCGTTGTCCTGTTGTCCTGTTGTTGCGATGGAGGTTTTCCATGGTGATGAAGCGCGACGAAACCGACCTAGAAGTTAGCTACGGCTTGGGCGATGCACAATTGGGCCGTGTTGCAAGTAGTTGTAGTTGTAGTTGTAGTTGTACTTAAGATTAGGCGCTCGGATGAGGACGATGCCAGTTGTTAGATGTATTAATGTGCCGTATCCGTCCTTGCATAAGAGACCGTCGAGAACAAAACCGTCCTGCAACCCAAGCGCACCGTTTTCCCAAACGATCGACGCACAAACACTCATGACGCAAAGTGGCTTCGTTTCTCGTCTGGCCAGTGCTGCTGTCAAGTGTCAGTCAAGTGGAGTTTGACTACTCTACTCTATTTTTCCTATGGTTCGCCGTCATTGGGGAACCAGAACCAAGATCAGAATCAGAAACCTGCTGGCCTCAATAACTGGCCACGCTGGCAATGCAAATGCAAATGCATCTCAACGGGCCGCCTGCTTGCTTGGGATGCGAGCTATCAGCGTGGAAATGCTTCAAGTGGACTCGGGACAGAATGGACACTGCATGAGCAAGGTAAAGAAAAGTATTTGATTGGGCAATTGGACATCACGTTTGCAAGGGAGGGCAGCGAGGGGTAACTTCAACGTCAACTCCAACCTTCAAGCGAGTCTCAAAAAAAAACTCCTGTCAAGGGAGGATCGAGATGCGCGATATTCTACATACCAATTGCAGTGGGGGATCTCCAACGAGCCCTTTGGTGTTATCTCCCTTTCAAGTATCTCCAACTTCATCTCCAGCTTCACCAAGCCTCGACCCTGGGCAAGAGCCAACCTATCTCTCCAGGGTTCCCCGCAAAGGTATGGCAGGGAAAGAAAGTGAGACAGCCGAGATACCGGTGATCTAGTAGAGTTCCATCTTCTCGAGGTGAATCAGACCATTTGGGGGCTAGGTTTGAATCAGTATCAAAGCTCTCAAAGCACTAGTGAACGATAATATCTCATCCAGATCTGGATTTGAAAAAGGGGGTTCATGTACTCACTGGTATGAACTGTCTCAGCTTCACGCCTGCCTCCCTAAACACCCGGGCTGTGTCACTGTCCATGCTGTACGTGTGAGCGTAGACAACCTCGCTGATGCCCACCTGACAGATCTTGATGCTGCACGTAAGGCAGGGGCAAGTATCGCAGTAGAGGATAGACCCTTCGCGTATTCTCTCTCGTCCCGCCTCCAAGAGGGCGTTCTCCTCGGCGTGGATGCACAGACAGGTCGATAAACCCACGCCTGAGCTGTTGCCGTCGTTGCACCTGGGACAACCTCCTTCGGTGCAGTTTTGCAGTCCCCTTGGAGTTCCGTTGTAGCCCGTGCTGATAACTCTGCGCTCTTTACCAACGAGCACACATCCGACCCTACGCTTCATACAGTTGGACCGTAGCGAAGCCAGAGATGCCAACTCCATGAAGTAAGTATCCCAACCCGGGCGTAGACGATCGGGATTCGGGATATCTAGCTTTCCAAGGGTTGCGTAGAGGTGAGCTAGAGACGACGATGTGTTGAGAAGTCTTACTACTGCACGCGAGATAAGAGGAGACAAGCCCTTCTGAGCATCGTACAGGTGAGTGTCACTTTCTGTAACAAAGTCTTCTAGACTCATGTCAGACCCTCCCGCATGCGTTTCCCTTGCTCGGTTCTGGAACCGGCGCCAACGGACCGTCAATGGTGCGTCGACAGAGATAAGCAAGAAAAAAGGTCGGCGGAGGAAGACATCGAGAACAGCCTCTGTGGGGATGTCGGTAATCACAAAGCGGCTGCGCCATCGCTTCGTCACGAATTCAAGTAGCTCCTCCGCCGTTGAGAAGACATGCTGCGGGCCATCCCGGAGGGTCAATGTGGTTTCGGGGGAAGACTGGTTACCATTTTTTGTAGTGAGCGCCGTTGAAGACAGGGCGCCTTTGAATGCCGTGGTGCCGGCTGATCGGGACTGAGGCGGCGCTTCCGTGTCGTTATCCTCGGAAGAAGCGGATTCTGTGTCTAGAGAGGAATTGAACGGCGCGGGCAGCGATGGTGGCTGAAGGTAAAGGTGTTTGAAGCCATGGTGCTCAACCAGATACTGGGCCACCGTCTTTTTGCCGGAGCAGATACCTGAGAATGATGAGCCAATGAGCCGGTATGGGTGGTTATAATGAGAAGTCCTTACTGCCGCAGACGCCAATGAGCATTTTGAGGTTTGCTGTTATAAGTTGTTTTGAAGTTTGCAGGTAAAACGTCAGAACAGAACTGGTTGGTATATCTCAAGTTGGGGTTTTTACTTGTCATTAAACGCGTATAGCGAGTATCCGTCTAAGCGCGTCTCAGATTGTGGGGGCTGCCGTTGGCCATCCGTTCTAGAAGGTCGACAGAATATTTCGAAAATTGTCACTGCGCAAAGGGTTGATTCGAGAGCGGCCGATGAATTGATTTGTCTGTTTCTCTGTCTTACGACTTCATCATGCACGATCTCGATCAAGCGAGACAGAGTATATATTACTGCTCCGTGCTACATGATAGGTGGTCAAGTTTTCCATTCCAGCTTTACCGACGAGGGAAGTTTCCGAGTATGTTTTAGACACAAATCTCTGATTAATGAGATGGCTTACTTGGGAAGAGCGTCACATTCTTTGAAGCGCCAGTGGAAATAAACATGAACTGGTGTACCCCAAGGGTTGATGAACCCCTAATTTACCGGCTGAATGGTTGAAGAACGTGTTATGTAGGTATCTAGGGTGATCGTAAACGAGCCATAGAGCCCCTTTGTTTATTGGGCGTTGAAGAATGAGAACTTAAATTCGACTCTGTTTTTCCTAGGCCTTTGATGGTAGACATCTCTCATGAATTTACTTTGGTGCTTGAGCCAGGAATAGGGTCCTACATGAATGTATTGGTGTTTGACGTTCAATTGCCCAAATAATCCATGCTGCACAAAACAGTAGATCAGATAAGGTAGTTAACCACACAACTATGAAAACGTTAACTCAAGAATTACATACCCCGGCTTGGCATTATTATCATGGGATTTATGGAATACTGCCCGAGTTATACATATAAGCTTCAACTTCGTGTATAACTTATTCAGGCTGCATGAATATCGACTTGACTACCCTGTACGGAGCAACAGACCCTAGGTAAGTTATAACGTGGGGCGGGTCGCACCTGCCCGATCTGCCCACTCCCGCCGATAAGGTCGGAAAGAGCAACTGATAAGTTACGGATACGTTAGGCTGTACCTGTACCCCGCCGTGGGGCGGGTAACTGCCTGGCTTGTTGCTTGCTGGGGCGGCACCTGCCTGTTTCTTTGATCAATAACCACTACATCATCCGTTGTCTTGTGATGAGTGACCAAGTCATCAAGTGACAGCCTCACCCGTGTCAGCCGTCAAAGTGCCCGTAGCCTCGACGCACTCTATCAGTCTATACTCTTCTCCTGCTGATTAACGTCAGTTATCGACTCTGAGTCTCTGTCTTCGCAGGAGTATTAAACCTTGCCAACTCCCTCGGACCCCGCCTCAGCCCTACCTTACAGCCGCTCTGTAAATACATACATCGCCTACTTTGACTTTGTCAGCAGCACAATAACAACTACCACATAAAATTCAATAGACGAGATCTTCGTCAAGATGGCGGCGCCGTTGCAGTTTGCCCCGTTCACCTCAGAGATCGAGCTGCCCTTCTACTCGGCGCTTTTTGGCTCAAAGCTTGACCATGACAAGCTCGACGACTCGGCGCGAAGCGTTCTTGGTCTCTATGAACCACGCTTGGAAGAACCTGAGGCCAGCGTTCGTATGCAGATATTAGGAAATGCTCTCACCAGCAGCAAGTAGGTTTACTATTTGGTTTTTGCATTTCTGCTCTGACCATACCAGAACTAATGCGCCTAGCCCACCTCTTGGGACAATGAGAGCAGAGGGTATTATTAGGAACGTAAACACACTTGAGGATTTTAAAAATACAGACAAAGCTGCCATGCTAAGAACTGCTGGTCGACAGGTATTTGTGGTTTCTATCAAAGGTGGGCCAACACTGACACATTCAGGTATGGGATGCGATCAAGGATGGTAGTATCTACTCTGTTCCTTCCCTCCTTTCATCATTTATTATACTATCATATGCCGATCTTAAGAAGTACAAGTTCACATACTGGTTTGCTTATCCCGCCTTGCACTCCGACCCTTCGTGGAAGCGGTCCGGTCCAGCCGAACATCTCAATGCCCAGGAAAGCACAGCCCTTGTCGACAGGGTCGGGACTTGGAGGTACAGCGTTGACGCTCGCGAGCGTGGCTTCTTCCTGGTGAAGAAGGTCCGTGGAGAAGAGCTTGATCCTGAGGATACCGAAGCTTCTCAGGGGCTTCCCTTTCGATGGGAAGTTGGTTCGCTGCGTGAATTTGAGAATGGCTTCTTTGACCAGGTGGCCGAGGAGGACCGGTTTGTCTCATTCGTTGACCCTTCAACATACTCAGAGGGTCCTGGATGGCCACTGCGAAATTTCTTAGTCCTTATCCGACAGCGATTCCGATTGACAAAGGTCAAGGTTATTTGCTACCGTGATACCTGGGCGAAGAGGCACGAAGCACGCAGTGTTATTCTCCCAATCGAGATGGACCCAGTTGAGAACCTAGAAATCACCGAAATGCCCAAAGTTACTGGCTGGGCCCGGTCGAGTAACGGTAAACTCCAGGCGCAGCAAGTGAATTTGGGTGAGTACATGGATCCAGCACGATTGGCCGACAGCTCCGTCGATCTCAATCTGAAACTCATGAAATGGAGAATCGCCCCAAACCTCGACTTGGACACCATAAAGAACACTAAGTGTTTGCTTCTGGGTGCTGGTACATTGGGGAGCTATGTGTCGAGAAATCTCATGGGTTGGGGTGTAAGAAAGATTACATTTGTGGATTATGGACGAGTATCATTTTCCAATCCTGTCAGACAACCACTATTCGACTTCAAAGACTGCCTTGAAGGAGGGAAGCCAAAAGCTCCACGAGCAGCTGAAGCACTGAAAGAAATCTACCCTGGCGTCGACAGTGAGGGACATGCACTATCCGTTCCCATGCTCGGCCATCCATACACAGATGAGGCCAAGACAAGGGCAGACTACGAAAAGTTGGAAAAGCTCATAAACGAACACGACGCCATTTTCTTACTTATGGACTCGAGAGAGTCGCGCTGGTTACCAACTGTTATGGGAAAGGCTGCAGGCAAGATTGTCATGAATGCCGCACTGGGCTTTGACTCATATGTTGTTATGCGGCATGGCTCTGAAAACAATGCTGAAGGACAGACACCACTTGGTTGCTATTTCTGCAATGATGTAGTTGCCCCAGCAGATGTAAGTGCACACCCCGTTCATATCGCGTTCGTATCTAACTATCGTTTAGTCGCAAAAGGATCAGACTCTTGACCAGCAATGTACTGTCACTCGTCCAGGAGTTGCTGCGATTGCTTCAGCCCTCCTTGTTGAGCTTCTGACAAGTTTGTTGCAACACCCCCTAGGCAAAGACGCGCCAGCACCTCAACCAACTGGGGGAGTGGTTCCAGAGAGAGATCCTCCTGACCACGCACTGGGGTTGGTTCCTCATCAAATCAGAGGTTATGTCTCGACGTTCCAGAACCTTGTTATTCGGGGCCAATCTTATGATTGCTGTAGCGCATGTAGTCCTAAGATCCTTGATGCATACCGCAGCGACGGTTGGGGATTTGTTAGGAAGGCCTTGCAAGAGAAGGAATATGTGGCAGAGTTATCAGGTCTAGCCGAGGTCCAGCGGAGAGCAGAGGAGATGTCGGCCCAGGTTGATTGGGAAGAGGATGACGACCTCGTTGAGGATGGCGATGGAGAATTGATTTAGGAGGTTGTAAGGATAGCGGCTGTGGGTATATAGACACAGGGTTACCTCAATGGATCTTTAAGAGTTTAGAACTGGCGTTATTGGTATGTTATATACTATCATAAGGGAGTTGATGGAGGGATGTATTCGACACAAATTCAGTTCTCTTTTCTTTCTTTTTACGTTATTAATCATTAGACGTGATTAAAACCAGAGCGGCTTCGTACTATACTTGCTTCTTTACTTCGTTCTAGAGCAGCCCATGTTTGATAATGGACGACGTGTTTACACCTAAGTTACGTATTTGTGGTTGTGTGGCATTGACCTTGTATGTGTTGAAGATAGTAACTTAGTACTGGCACATTGATGCTTCCAGCATTCGTGTCGCTAGGAAAGCTAGTATCAAAGCTTGCCAATAACAATGCCAAACTCTCCCAGTTTGTATAAGTTTAGTGCCAGAATACAAAATTATCTGTATCCGGGTTTTCATCCGCAAACAGACATGATTGTTAGAATCAGTGGGTCAAGACGATGGTGGTGCTTGTGAAACTACTTACGACACCGAGAACGTCAATATACGCTATACCGGCCTCGGTGGTTTCATTTGTTTATTTGGTCGGACTTGGTATTTGTTTTATAGATTGGGTGTTGCGCTTCGTAAAGCTAGAACTTCTACCGTTTGAACTCAACTCGGGCGATTAGTCGATACCATTACCACCCACGACCAACATTATTAAACTCATGATGATAAATAGGTCTCTTATCACCATAGTGTTGGCTATAATACAAAACGTCAGTGCTTTCGAACCTGCCAATGACCGATGGCTCTGCCAGCAAGACAACGTTATCTGTGTCACATCGTTCGTATGGTGCTCTACCATCGAGGAAGATACTTCGAAGGGATGTTCCTATCCCGAGCACACCTGGCCTCATTCGAGTAACAATGATGGCAAAAACCCTGCCATGGTTCTCTGGGACCAGGAGTATACGATCAGTTGGAAGGGAACGGACGACAAGTACCCGACTCTGATTGAGTGGCACTTTGTGAGAGACACGGATCGGCCGAGTAACTCAACCGGTTTGGCATGGAGCAAGAGTAAGTACAGAAACGGAGACATAAATTTATAGGCATCGCTGACATGTATGGACAGAATTTAAGAGCAATGAGAAATCTTACACGTTCAAGTTTAAGGACCTTGCCAACGACTTTCCCAGCAAGGATCACGACGACATCGATGCTGAGCAAGTCAAAGCTGCCGCCAGTAATCTCATGAACATTTGGTCAGTTTCACAGCCTGAGAGGCCCTACAAGGGTCAGGCCCGAGTCCACGGCAACCCATGGATGGACAAATCTCAACATTTCATAGTCATGGACAACGATGTGGTGCCATATCTCGAGACGCAGCATGATCTAGCAAGAATGAAGGAAGAGAGCAAATGGCAGAAGGGAGTTGTTATTGGTATCGGAGTTGGCGGGTCTCTTCTTATAGCTGCTGCTTTTGTCCTCGGGAGATTGACAGGTGGGAAGAAAGTGCAAAAGCGGTCGGGATACAAATCGGTTGAATCGTACCATTCTGGATATAATCAGGCGTATCTAGGTGGTCAGTGAGATATCGACAAGGAGTGGTTTCATATGTACGATAAAGTGCTCTCGGATATCGATCTGAATTCCCCACGTTGCGCATACGCGAAGCAAGTGGTGCAATTGTTGCAATATGACAGCGTATTAAGCGGGGTGTTGTTTGATGTTAATGAAGTGTTGATGTGATGAAGATGAATTAATTAATCACAAAAGAATAAGTACTTATAGTGTTGAACATATGGAATTATATAAGTCTAGAAATGTATCATATGTAGTCGTAGTTCGGATGCTTTAAGCATCGTCTTGTTCCGTAACCAATGCACCTCAACGCCTTTCAATGCTATATACAAGTGACTGTGCACTGTCACAATCGGTCCTAGTATCCAAGTATTCATGCGTCCATGTCGTTATGGATTAAAGGTCCTTTCGAGTCTTGCTCGTTCGAAGTTGATCCCAAAGATGGGTGAATGTTGCCCGTTTTATCCTTTACAGTCTACCGTCAAAGGCATACTGGGCAGCCATGGGCCAGCCAAGGATGACAGCGAAGCCAGGGAAGAAGCTGAGGTAGGAGTTAGTATATGTTGACCGAGAACTAAAACTAGATGCAATTGGGCAACTTACAAGAGAGCTTGGCTGCCAACTCGCTTCATCATCTTGGCGTAGTCGGGCTTAGCAGGCTTCTGGCTGATGGGAATTCGCTCAAAGGGATGAGCTTCCATGGCCCGGCCAGCATTTCGCATAGCAGTGAGGAGAGAGAACTGGCGACGCTGGACAGCGCGGGCGGCAGATCGGACAACGATGGGAGACATGTTGATTGAGTGGTGGAGGTTTTTGTTATTTAATGTAAGTGGTTGAGTTGAGTTGTTTGGATGAATCGATGTAAGTTGGAGATTCAAAGAATCGAATTTGAGTGGTGATTTGGTTGAGTGGAGAGGTTGTTGTTTGTATTGCTTGATTGATGCTGTTGATGGTGATGAGAGAGAAGAGGCTACTTGGAACGGTACAAGGCATCCTCTTATACAGAACCAACATGTTGATCATTTTTTACCAAACATCACAAATTTAGCCAAATCCAGGGAAGGATTCCTTCAAACGGCGAGCTCCCAGCGCCCAGTGCGTCGGATACTCCATTGTGGTCAGATTCCATCTGGCTGAGATGGGGACTATCATGCCACTGCAGAGCCCCGAATCCTGGGGAATTAGAGGGTGTTTTGACGTCTGGCCAATCAGAGATGACCCATACCATCAGTCAGCTGAACGTCCCAGTGGTGCGTGGCACGATTCGCAGGGCGTAGGGGGCAGTTGTGGTGCGATTCTGCTTTAGTCGGCGGGGTCCGGCGACGCTGGCGATTGGTCAATGGCTACACCCTGCCATGCACCCTACTTATCCCGTTTATCCCGTTTATCCCGTCAACACCTCGTTTTATCGACTGATGATGATGACTGCCTTAAAGGAATTTCTGGATCCAGAAAAAGCAATGACCTTGCACCCTTCCGGGGAACGGCGATGAGTCTCTGTCGCTAAAATATCGAATATCATCAGGGTTTGCCATGATATGATTCTGTCCCGACCATTCACGATCTTCTCCGGCATACCCCAAAATCATTCCTTGCGGTTGCCTTTCTGCTCCGTGCCGCTCAAGACAGGCTCAATCAGCAACCGACGGTGTCACTACTCTTGGACAAAATTCTCCGAAGGGAACAATACCATATGTTATGTGCGGGAGTGATTACTGAGACTGAAGAATGGAAGCACCGCAATACCTGAGTTTGCCGGCATCGGCGAGGGCCACGGCAGTCATATCATGGCGCTGATCTCATGTAAACGATCTGAGCTGTCAAATCTAGACCTGCCATGCAGTCTAGAACGTGACCAGAAGAGACGAGGCTTCGGATCCGATAATCATGGAGCTCTATATCATGTGACCTGAAACGTGACATTATGCGGATCCACTTACAGCTGTCAAGTCTGGGTACCTAGGTAATCAAGCTAAACCACCCTGTTGGTGATCGCGACAGCAAGAAGCAAGAAGCAAGACAAGCACGAGCAATTGCTCAAGACACTCCTTTACAATCCCACCAATGCCTCTTATCGACCCTGTCACTATGTCGACGACTCTTGCAAAGAGCGGGCCCGCTGCCGCCGTGCCCGCCATTCCCCTCGTCGACTCTCCCATCGCCATGCCTGCATCAGTTGCCCATCACTTGTTGCTTGCTGGCCTGTTCTACTGGCGTTTCGATGCCCTGGTGGCCGATCCCGTCTCGACCCTCCAGACTAGTCTCCCTGTGGTAGCTGCTATCCAGGCAGTATATCTAATGCTGAGTCTTCCCCCGACGGGATCTTCGGCGTACTCCAAGAAGCCTCGTCCTGGTGAGAAGAAGAGGTCGGATGGACGGGAAGCAAAGGCAATCCCTGTAAGTAATAGATCTATTTTGGACGCAAAATCGCAAGACTAACATGATTGCTTCAGACTGCTGTTATCTCCCTCCTCCTCGCTCTCATCCTCACGCCTGTCCTCCATATCCTCCTCGTCCTCTTCGGCGCGCCATTCCTCACCCACGTTCCTCACACGTTCTTGTGCTGCGCACACATTGCTCTCCTCGCTATATATCCTATCTTCTACGTTCGCGGCTCCGACCCCGTACCCCTCCAGGCTGTGCTTGGTATCTCGGCTCCCTTTGACCGAACCTTTGGCGGTTTCCTAGGAACAGTGATTGGAGCGTGGCTTGGGGCTGTTCCTATTCCTCTCGACTGGGACCGCGAGTGGCAGAAGTGGCCCGTTACGATTGTCGTCGGTGCTTACGTTGGTTATATCGTTGGCTCTCAGCTTCTGGGCACTGTCTTCTTTGGCAAGCGCTGGGCGGTGACTCCTGAGTTGAAGGAGGAATAAAAGGCTGCCCCAAAGAGTCAGGGGTAGTCTATGACCATATATCAGTCATACAGATCTTGAATGTTATTTGCATGGATATATGGTACCATTGGGTTGGTTGCTGTAAGAAGTTGAGTGTAATATTGGCTTACTGCCGTCGCTACGAATATAAATAATTTTAAGATTTCATGACTGGACTGCTGAGCCCGGCTCTTCGTTTTCTCTTAGTACAAAGGCTTCTATACCAATAATCACTATATCTATATCTAGTGGCAGGCTGTTGGCACATAATCAGAGTCACTGGATGGAATATGTAGAAATGTGTGCGCAGGAAGTAAAACGTCTTTCTTGTTTTACAGTGCAAGAGACTCGGTAGAGCTCTTCAATAGTTGTGAGTTCCATCACATTCAGAGAGAAATAGAGCTTCACTATATCCAACACGTTTGGGGGGTTAGCTCTATTGCCTACCCTATAGACGTCGTCCTGTTTGTGCCATTCTTCCATCCACAGAGTAACGTTAAGTGAATACATGAAAAAACTTATTTAGTCAAATGTAGGCTCGCTCGCTTATCCAGTCATGTTTTAATCTCGATGGGGGCACTACACATCAAGTGCATCGCGTTGACTACCTGGTTGCCTATGGGTAGTTGTGTGATGTAGAGGAGCAAGCATGTTAGAAGCCAAGTCCAAATTGACGGATGTGTTAATCACCTCATCAATCTCAACACACGTATTCCCTGGAATGTTCAATAGTGGTTTGTTTCCTCTCGTCATAGGTAGTATGATTGGTAGGACGGGAAACACTGGAGTTTTGAGGTTGTCCAATGTCTTTACAGGAAATGTATTGTTAACCTTATTGCAAGCAAAATGTGCACCAAGCTTATCATAGCAGTATCCCATCATTTGCCTCGCAGGGTACCTCTTTCAAAGCGTTCTTATGATATCAGCCCTGACTTTGTCTATCCGAGAATATGTCAGGACGGACTTCCATTGGACGAATCGTAACCCGCAACCCTGCATGCTCGGTAATAGAGATAATTAGACCTACGGATAAAGTTTGTGACCCCAGATTTGCAGTCTCAATATGCGAACCCGAGCGCTGATATCATGGTCTCATCTGCTGAGATCATGACGTGAAATTATACTTTGAGACGGGCTGAGGTCAATTGTGAGGATTTCTTGGTACCGGGCATACAGGGCTTGGAAAGCTCGTACAGAACAGCTTTAGAGGCATAGCGAGACTTGTCGAAACGGGGCTGCCGACTCATTATCTCTTGGCCCTCCACCTGCGAGTGCCGGTGAGGCCGTGATACAAGGGCTTGGGACTTGAGTTAGATGCTTGGCATTGACGCGTGTTGCATGAGGCTTCTGAAACATTAAGCGCCTGGGGTGTCAGTGAAAAGATTTACCTGATTTTGGTGGGCTTGTCAAGTCTCCCGCTAGATAAGCTTGGCTCAGTCACCTCTTCTTGGGACGGAGCAGAGCAGAGCAGGCATGAGCCGCATGGATCAGAGAAAACTCGCAATAATTATTGCTTCCTCTTTCGGAAGGGGAGTTTAATTGATTGCCAATCTGACGTTACCGTCGGGGCTTGGAAGTCGGTAAACTCGGCATCTTTTAGTGCTCAACAAGCCCTTCTAACACAGTAACGTACTAATTACGACAAACATGTGTCAGGTAATCTTGCTTGTCAGGCACACTGCGTCCCTTTCGGTTAACAATGTCAATGAGGCTCAGCTGAAGAGGGCTGGACCATTTGTATGATCTATATCGAGATTTTGAGGTGAAAATTGGCATCGAAAACGAAAGATATCGGAAGCTCAGCCACCAATTATCGAATGCCTCCGTCACATCAACCAATCCTTGCGCCAAGATCACGGATTTCAATTCATGTGGTCGGTCCTTGGTGGTGTCTCTGATGTGGCGCGCCCCAGCCACAGCGGGACGCATGCCACATGACGTAGCCCAGAACACCCTTGATGATCTGCTGGGGTGGGGAGACAGAAATAACCGGGGCACTTATATGAGTTTGATGTTTATTCACTGTCGCATAACTTGCTGATAAACAAAGGCAGCATGTAATTGTAGTGAGTAGGTATGAATGGAGTGGCTCTGTGATATCTGAAATGTAATTATAAAATGATGAGATGCTGTAAAGTGGTAAAAATGACGAGTGTAGTTGTTGTACTTTCTGTTCTACAAGTGACAGAAGCCACGGTTATTTCCATCTGCCCAGCTCCCAGGTCCGAGCTAACCCGTCTCTCCAGGTTGTAGGCCGTTCGCAGGTCTGTCTCGAGTGGTCAGGCGGGAAAAAAAGTCAAAGCAGGGCAGCGCTTGCTTGGCCCACGCACACTCTCTCGCTCTTTCTCTACCTGCAAGCTGCAGATGTCGTTCCTGTGGCTTGCCACATCCTTGCGAGTCGATGACGCAGTGCCGAGAGGAAAAGGTGCGGTTGAGGTTGCGCGGACGGGGTTATTGGGTTGCTGTTGCTTGGCCAGGGAAAGTTGGAACGAAATTAGGTAGGGCGCAGGCGTAAGGTTAGCAGGTTCTAGCAGGTCTTACCCTTCTAAGTGAATGAGGGTGTGCGATGGGGATGCGATGTGATGCCATGCCGTACAGCCATGCTTTTAAGCCTTGGCCCATGGATGACGAAGGTTGTATAAAAGACAATCCGTTTCCCTCAATTCCATCAACCTTTTTCCTAACATCTCATAACTACCTCAGTCTAACAAAGCTATTCTTCCAACTCTTCTCAACTACCACCAGTAATACCTCGTCTTTACAACCGACAACATGCCTTTCACCGCTAGGTAAGCTCGACTTCGCTCAGTATACTCGACTTTACGACGACGTCATTCCGAGAGATCCGCGCTTGAGGCTGTCGCAAAGACATGGCTGCGATGGAAGCTCAGGGCGGATCTATCGAGTCGTCGCGAACGAGATAACAACCAACAAAAACAAATGCTAACATACTCAACAGCGACATCTGCAAGATCATCCTTGCCGTCATCCTCCCTCCCGTGGGTGTCTTCCTCGAGCGTGGTTGCGGCGCCGATTTCTTCATCAACATCCTCCTCACCATTCTGGGTAAGTCTTGTCTCCAATCCCCAACCACAACCACAACCACAACCACAACCACAACCGCATCCGACTTCTCCGGATCCGGGCTTACACCATCACTTGACCACCGTCTCCGCCTATTGCTCACCAATTGACTAACCCTTCACTTCAGGTTACATTCCCGGTATCATCCACGCTCTGTACATCATTCTGAAGTACTAAGCCTTCTCGCACCTCGCTTTTCAAAGCCACGGCGCTTCCCAGATGGCTTCAATGATCCCTGCCCCGCTTCCCAACCACCGACCACTGGCCAGTTATTGGTTGTCATGACCAGGCGACACTTTGTCTGACATCCAAGACACCAATGATCGACTGCCGAGTAAGCCGGGCGCATGCGGACTGCCGACGACGCTGTGACGAGTTGCGCAGGCTCCTCTACTCGCTTTGATACCTTACGCCGGCCATCCGCGCTTGGCGCTGGATGCCGATTTTACGACAGGCATGGACGCGACTTTAGTTCTCTTGGTTTTCCTTTGTTTAATTGCGACATGATGGAGGCGCATGTTGGACTGGCTCTCAAGGCAATAACGCACTGGGCTTTTTAGTAATTAATTCGATACCCGTCAATCCAACGTTTCCTTTCACACGTCACTATCTACTCATTATTGCATGTGTTGTTTTATTCCCGTTGCGACATGAAGAGTGAAACGTTCCAGCATATTAACCTGTTCTGCAAGCGTCGGTAGATGTTGTGACAAGGGTGCCCTGTCCTGATCGGAAAACTTCAACCGGCGATTGACATAATAACCCATGGGCAATACATGCTAATTCAGTTGCTGGTGACGGTGCTAAAAGTTTGCAGGAGCAACAGTACGAATATGGCCTACTTTATTCATTTGTTTGGTTTCTGGTGATGCTAACAATCTGTTATGGTTGCGGTTGCTTGTTTGCACGCGTATCCCGACGTTTTGACACGGCCAAAGTTCCAATGGCCGATTTATCAGGATCATTTGGCATTCGAAGTGGATTCGTTCTCTGTTGATCGATGTGGCTGTGCAGTTGTTGTTTGTAGTCTAGGCGGGAGTGGAGTTGATATTGCACTTTACGACAGCGTGTGTAAGAGAAAATCAACTGAGACAAGGGTGAGCTGTGCGTATGATTTTAATTGCACCTATACGCGGACCAACCTTCACGGCTACTTTATGAGTCTATCTCCGTGGTAGACATATTTACTCAGATAGCTCACCCCAATTATGTGTTGATGTCAGACCAGTCACGTGCTTTCGCTCTCAGAATGATGTTCGCGACGCGTCGTCACACGCGACTCATTAGTTATCATCGACAACCTCACTCTCCGACATGCCCCCAGTGACGCCAGACGTAATAGAAATACTTGACGACGAAGGTGCTGGTTCGGAGTCGGAAGATAACGCATCCACAGCCTCTAAATCCGGGCGAAAAAGAAAACTTGACGCCGAGATCGAAGAGAAAGTTGAGTGGACTGGCGATGAGGATGATCTACCCGTGAAGACCAAAAAACGACGCGGCAGGCAAAAGTCGACTCGCAAGAAGAGAGGCGATGATGTTCACGGAGAAAATGAGGCACCCAAAGAAGATTTCGAACTAGCAGGCTTGCCCGAGTACCTGATCGAGCGAAGGCGAAAGTTCGACTCTAAGAGGAAACTTCACCATGATGCTGCGCTTATGGTACCCCCCGATTACTCGGGAATTCAATTTGAAGAAACGAGAAGACTTAAAGAACTAGAAGAGCGGCCAAAGTTTAGCGAGAGAAGTGGTATCAAGCCTTCTCGACCATACAAGGACATCGAACTTCCTCAATCAGCAGGTCTCATCCCAGCATCAATCGCACAGTACCTACGAGACTATCAAGTCGCCGGAGTATCATTTCTGCACAGGAAATTTGTTTACCAAGAAGGCGGTATACTGGGAGATGACATGGGTCTTGGTAAGACGGTACAAGTGGCTGCCTTTCTCACTGTTGCGTTTGGCAAGACTGGCGATGAGCGCGATGCCAAGCGGCTGCGACAAATACGTCAGTACCCTGACAGATGGTACCCGAGAATATTGATTATATGCCCTGGGTCTTTGATCATGAACTGGAAGAATGAACTCGAACGTTGGGGTTGGTGGCATACCGATCTGTTTCATGGGAGTCACAAAGAAGATGCGCTGAGTACTGCCCGTGCAGGTCGACTCGAGATCATGATCACCACGTACGATACATACAAGAATAGCCGGAGCTCAATCAACATGGTTCAATGGGACGCTGTAGTCGCGGACGAATGCCATCGTCTCAAAGACAGATACTCGGAAACCACCAAGGCTCTGAATGAAATCAACGCACTTTGCCGTATTGGCCTGACCGGAACGGCAATTCAAAACCGTTATGAAGAGCTCTGGACATTGTTAGACTGGACCAACCCCGGACACTTTGGAACGCTTCCAGAATGGACACAAAGAGTGACCAAACCGTTGACTGTTGGCCAGTCTCACGATGCAACCGTTGCACAGCTCAGTTTAGCAAGAACTACAGCCGACAAACTGGTTCACAACCTTTTGCCACAGTACTTCCTTCGGCGAATGAAGACTATCATAGCGAAGCAGCTGCCCAAGAAAACCGATCGAGTTGTCTTTTGCCCCCTTACAGATCTTCAGAGGGATGCGTATGAGAACTTCTTGGAGAGCGCGGATATCGACACCCTTCGCAGCCTTTCAGAACCTTGTTGTGAAGGCAAGAAAAGAGGATGGTGCTGCGATCGTCTACTTCCTAGTGGTACCCGATGGCAGAACATTGTGTTCCCTAGCATGATGGTGCTGCAAAAGCTGGCAAACCACCTGACTCTTCTCGTGCCACAGACTACTGATCTGGAAACCAAGCACGAGTCAGATCTCAACACCCTCCGGACCTGTTTACCTGATGCTTGGAAATATGTCTACGACAATCGGGATCGGATTAAGAATCTGGTTAATCCTGAGTTTTGTGGAAAATGGAAAGTACTGAAGAAGTTGCTCAAATTCTGGCATTCGAATGGCGACAAGGTTCTTGTGTTTTCCCACAGCGTACGGCTTCTTCGCATTCTACAGCACCTGTTCACCAACACGAGTTATAGTGTTAGTTATTTGGATGGCTCGTTGAGCTATGAACAGCGCCAGGAGGTTGTGGATACATTCAACTCTGATCCTACACAGTTCGTTTTCCTCATCTCAACCAAAGCCGGAGGTGTAGGACTCAACATCACCTCTGCGAACAAAGTTGTTATTATTGATCCTCATTGGAACCCGTCTTATGATCTTCAAGCCCAGGACCGAGCCTATCGTATTGGCCAGACTCGCGATGTCGAGGTTTTCCGTCTCATTTCACTGGGTACAGTTGAAGAAATTGTTTATGCGCGTCAGATTTACAAGCAGCAGCAAGCCAATATTGGCTATACTGCGTCATCTGAGCGCCGCTATTTCAAGGGTGTTCAGCAGGACACAGACCGAAAGGGTGAGATCTTTGGTCTTGCCAATATCTTTACGTATCACAACGACAGCGGTTTACTACAAGACATCGTCAATAAGACAAATATCGCCGAAGCTAAGGCGGGTGTGCACCTCGTTGATGTCGACATGGAGAAGGCGGCCAAAGATGGAGAGGACCTTGGCATAGTAAAGAACGAAGAGCCTGATGCCGAGGATGGTGGAATGAGCCAACTAGCTACGCTTCTTACAGCTGAGAACCAGCAACGGATACTGGATTCCAAAAAGGCAAACAAGCCTAAAAGCGACGCGATCCAAGCAATCCTCACTTCTGCCGGTGTCGAGTATACGCACGACAACAGTGAGGTAATTGGAACGTCCAAAATCGAGGAACAACTCTCGCGACGAGCAGCCATGGTCTCATACTCATCAGGGGACATTGAAGGTCAGAGTGCCCTCTTTGCAGAAGGCGACGATGGGCGTGGTGATGGTTTGCATACCATGTACAACCCCCCTGAAGAGGTTATGCTACGACACTTCTGCGAAATGGCCAAAGAATTTGGCTTTGCGAATGCGACAGATTTTGCCTTGGTTGTGGAGAGCTGGACCCAAGAGGCCAGGCGGAATTGCCTGGACACATTCTACAAGAGAAGAGAAGCTAAGCTTATACGTGAAGGGATCATCAAGGAAGAGGATGTGAAGGATGCTGCTAAGGTTGAGGCAAACGATGCAGAAGCCAAGATTGAAACTAAGAACGAGGTTAAAGACGAGAAGGTGGAGGTCAAGCCGGCTATCAAAGATGAAGCTATGAAAATGGATGACACCAAGGAGACTGGTTTAAAAACAGAGAACACAAAGACGGAGATGACCGACACGAAGATGGAGGGAGAGAAAAAGGTCAAAACTGAAGTCGCGGGGTCTAGTATGCGGACCTCGATCTTCCTTTCAGACGATGATGATGACGATGAGTTGTAATGTGCGCAAACGTGCTCGATTTGATATCCTTCATAATGCATATCTCATATTTTGGCTCATCTGTCGGATCTTCAATGTTCGTGAAAAGCATGGCCTAAGGAGAACATCCCTGTCTTACGTCTCTCTACTTTGTCAATGTTCCAAGAACGTGGGGAAGGATCGCAAATCTCGCCTCGCCATCCGGTTGGGCTAGATCGATCTTCTCCCATGGCCCAGCTTCTCTTAACGCCTTGCCTGTAGATCGGCAAATGCGGCACGACCCCATGACTTGCGACCACACGAGACCAGTAACCCCTATCGTTATCAGCAATTGTTCTCGTGGGCGTTGATATGGCTGACTCACATTGATAGGCACGCAGGAAGAACCCCCTGTTCTCAGAGATGCGCACATGTTCGTAAGCATACCATCGACCGCCCTTCTTCAGACTCTGATACAGGAGTTTGATGTTCTTCTCAGGCTCAGGGATACTGCAGAGGCACAGGATGGTGACAATGCAGTCGACACTTTCGGGCTCAATCCGGCCGTCCCAAGCTTTTGGATCGTTAATGGATTCAATGCCCACTGGGACAACCTCATAAACACCATCGAGTCCAATCTCCTTCACTCTCCGCCTCAGAGTTGCCGCAGACTTGGGATTTGGCTCAATACCATATACGCGAGTCAAGCCATTGTCTCCTTTTCTTCGCCTCAGGTCTCCTTCAGCTTCTTCGGTGTTCACGCCGACGTTGACTTTGGCAAACACATCCGCCCACATTCCCGTCCCCGCACCAATTTCGAGAACAACTCCGTTAATGGGCTCCCCAACAACCTCATCTCCCACATGGCCGTTCTTCACCCGACCTTCGAGTAATGGGATGACACGGCTCTCAGCGCTGGACTTCACCTGCGGGCCTATGAAAGCCCAGAAGTTGCCGAACCAAGCATCTTTGAAGCGGGAAAGAGAGAACAATGTTCGGAAGTCTCTGTTACTAATTGTCTCGAAAAGTGTGCCAGGGAGGAAACGCATGGCTATGCTCATGAATAAATAAGGGCCGATGAGGGACTCCCCCAGCTCTTTGAGGGTCGAAAGGACTGCCATGACGGGCACCGGGTATGCGTTGATCTAAGTGATGAACCGGAAATACATGCATAGGGGGTGATATCTAAGGGGAAGGGATCGCTTTATATAGTGAAGGATGGGGGACTTGTGACTTAGACGCCCACACGGGAATCGGCTCGTTTTGTAAGCTTTCCGCGCGCCGGATACGGGGCTGGGCGGGGTCAAGGGCGCATCTGTTATCAGGCACAGTCATATTTGCATTGAAGCTTGTGTGAGTAGTGTGGTATGATCTTTGGTGCGGGTTGGATGTGTTTTGTAGTAGTAGATGCAGTCAAAAACATAATCTGAAGGTTAACTATCTGCTTGGTGTGTGGCCAACTCTCAAGGTGATCGTTTGGAAGTTGGTATACAGTCGGTCTGATGCATTTGCTTCGCTCTGAGCAAATCATGGACTGTTCTCAAAGCTCTACTCTCACAAGCTCGTTCATGGCGTCATCTGAGTGACATATTGGTTGATCCAACGGTATAACAGATCCGGAACATGTTCAATAACCTGTTGAAGTTGAGAACAAAAGAAAATGCTACATATTCAGCTCAGTTGGGATCGTGCACAAGAACCAATGGCCTATGCTGGACCGCAAATTCCTTCAACATAGGACCCTTGCCTCAAATATTGAACCCTCACTGTAGTAGTAGCCCCTCAAAGATCACATACTAAGATTAAGACGCCCAAACTCCAACCGTCCAATAAGTTTTCCTCCCCACCATATCTTCGAAACCTAGCCCCTGAAAGCACCGATCATAGCAGCTCAAAATCATCCAGCTGGTCCCTGTACTTCATAATGTTCCTCTTGATCTTGCTGCCCACAGTCCACGTCACAAAGTCCTCCATACCCCTCGTGACCAGGTACGCAGGATCAGTCACTGTCTCCGTTCCCACACGCACATGGCCCTGCTCAATCATCTTGGTCGCGGCCTGTACCGTCTCAGCCATGCGTAGCCTCGTCATGAGCACGGGCAATCGGCGGCGCGCAAAGGCGCTAACGGTGACGCTATTCTCAACCGCGGACAGCTTGGAGGCCGAGGATAGGACGCCCATGTCGTAGAGCTTGTCGAGGAGAAGCGCCTCGTGCTTGCGGCGGGTTGCGTTCTCGGGAGGGAGGAGTGATAGACGGTGGGCGAGCTGGCGCAGAGACTGCGATTGTTAGTACATGTTGATTGTATGCGCCTGGTATAAGAGCAACGTACGCCGCAGAGACGGTTATACTTGTGGTAATCCTCGGGCTTCTGGATCATGTATCGCCGCATGACGGCCTTGTCGCGATGGCCATTGTCAGATTTGTATGTGATGAAGTCTGTCTTTCGGAGGAGCTTCTGCTCGTGGTGCTTTAGTTTTCGGACCATGATTGCGGTTTCTGTCGACTCTCGATACTAAAGACTCGGTAGATGCCTTCTGGTGTGTGTTTTACTGTGTCGTCGCAGTCGTTGGCAGAATAAACAAGTCGCTGTCTCGCGGTACAAAAGTTCAAGGTTGGATGAGAAAACGATAAAATCTGAGTGGAGACGCGGAATTGGTACCGCCGCATTCCGCCCCGTCGAAAAACCTCCAACGACAGGACATCACCAAAATCAGCTCTTAAGCCTCGAAACCGCCAATTAATCCACGGGTTTGAATTGCAACCGCCCACGATGCCTCCCAGACTACCAACTCCTTCAACGGCCTCGGCCATTGTGCGAAGCGTCATTCGCCCCTTTTCAACCACAGCGCCCGCCGCCGCTCCTCGCGAGTTCACACCCCCCGCAGGAGCTCACAACCACCGTCTGGCCAACCTCAACAACAGTAGTCACAGCAAGAACACCAGCAATAACCGCACCGGCAGCCGAGGGGGAGGTACCACGCGCGGAGATGCAGCTGCGAGACTTCTGGATCGGTATAAGTCGCGGGCCAACTCGTACTCGATGGAGAAGTCACAGCAGATGGATTTTCTCAAGAACCAGAAGATGTCCAACGATTTCCTCAAGCAGATGCCCCGACGATGGCAGGCTGGAGATGTCTACTCGCCGCATGATTTGAGTCCTATTGAGATGCAGAAGTGGAGGAAGAAGTCGGTGCGAAACAACGACGTTATTGATGCGCTTGGCATCAACCCTCTTGATATGTACAAGGTGCGTGTATACCGACTATCCCTACCAATTGCCACCCAGACGAGTCTCGACTCTAACATCTCCCCGTAGAATTTCTCTCTGATTGAGCACTTCACATCCTCCTCTGGCATGATCAGCCACTCCAATCTCACCCGTCTTCGACCTGTCAACCAGCGCAAGGTGGCTAAGATGGTCCGCCGAGTCCAGGGCATGGGTATCTACCCCAGCGTGCACGCCCACCCCGAGATGCTCCGCGACCAATTCTTTCAACGTCAAAACTAGACCAGGTCGTGTATAAAGAAAGAAACGACTTGTTCATGTGCCGGCGTTCTGTTCTGTGGGATGATGTCATGGTCATTACTTTTGTGCTCATATGTATAACAGCCTCAACCTCTATGTAACATAATGATACAGTTGTCTACATCCAAAACTCTCTTCCTTTCTATGTTACAACGTTTTATCTTTTGGTACATATCAGGCTGTTAATATCCTGTTGAGCCTATACTGGCATAGCGAGTCCTTGTTGAGTCGCTTGCCCTTGGACTCCAGATCGGCCCATGCTTTAGGATACCGCGACTGGGCCCAGTTCTTGAAGTTCGCTTGTAGTGTCTGTCCTGGAAGAGCGTTGAACGCAATGCCAAGCCTGTTTCATGTTAGCAATGTTATATACTTGATGGTGATTGGGTTGGAACTCACGTCATTGCATCAGGCTCACCCTTCGTCGCCAAGCCCATGCGCATAATCGTATCCTCAGCCTTCTCTTCCTCTCCACTACCAGCAATAGCCCCGACATAAGCGTTGAACACCGATGGCGGAATGTCCACATCCATGCTTTCTATCCGTTTCCAGATGATATTTGCTTGCCTTGAACCGTTCGGCGTGCGCTCAAGAGCCCAAAACACAGCCTCCAAACTGGCGTACGAGGGCCCTTCTTGGGACGCCGTGATAGCTTGCCAAAAGTCCATCGCCTGGGTACCCTTGCTGCAAGCTGCATAAGCTAATAGGAGGGCAGTGTAAAGTTTGGTGTTCGGCGCCACTGTTGTGTCCATCTTGAGCATGTTGTGGACTATTTCCAACGACTCTTCATCTGGACATCGTGAGAACCTCTCAAAGAACGTGATATACGTCTCTCGCTTGGGGCGATAGTCGCTATTCCGGTGCTGCCGCATGTGGCCAAATACATGGGCGGCCATATCTGGACGTTTTCGATCAAAGAAAGCCTCCATCAGCTTCACGCGATGGTCAAAACTGAGATCTTGGAAGAATTGTCGTAGAATTTGATAGCCGTTCCATGCTCGCGAAGTGCTCGTTTGGCCATCAATGCAAAATTTGGTAAATGCATCCTGAATGACCTCCCGCTCAGTGGCACTGTATTGAAAAGCGTGAACGGATAATATGTCCATCACCTCGAAATGCTGCTCGTTTTCCAAGAATCTAAGGCAGAGTGAAGAAATCGTCTCTGGCTCAAGAAGTACTTGGTTCTCCTCACACATCTCGATAATCTCACCGATAGTTTTGAAATTTGGTGTTGCCTGTGAGCTGAGGGTCATCAAGTACCCGTTCACCAGTCGACTAAAATCCCACCACAGATCAGGCTGAACGTGCCAGGGCTCATGATGTGTTACTTTTTTGTACGCTGCATGAACTCCTGGTATGTAATCCGCTTGGATTCGCATCTCCATAAGAATAAGGTGAGATTCACCATCAAGTGGCAGACCCTTGTCTGCAGCAAGCGAGAGGACCTCTTCAGCTAGCACCATGTCCTTCAAGCCCAGGGCCGCCCGAAGGAGGCTGTTTATGGTGGCTGTATCCGGTTTGAAAACCTTCTGGGAGCTTTCCATTTGCGACATCATGTTTTCCACTTCTGGCAAGCCTCTTCCGACGATAACAATTGCCTGCAATAAGCTATCCCAATAATGCTTTTCCGGTTTGTTGGTGAGCTGGTCACCTATTTCGAGGAAATAGGGGACCGCCCATTCTTTCAAGTCGTTGCGGGATGCAAAAGTAGCAATTAGGGGTATGATATGGTTGGAGCGACTTCCAGACAGTGGCTTCTCGAACCAGTACTGCGTCTCAGAGATTCGATTCCTCTGAGCAAAGAAAGTGACCAACACACGTTGAATCTGTGTATCAAACGGATATCCATTGTTTTCGGCATGTTTGACAAGCTTGATCAGATCCTCTTCGTAGCCCTCTCGTGCCAACCCTTCAGCCAACCACAATATAGGATTTTTCGTCTTCTTCTTGCAAAATTCCAAGACCTTGTCCCAGTTGCCGTATACCATTTCGAGAGCTTCCTTAGATCCACCAAACGTGCACAGCACACTGATGTATTGGCACCATAGAGAACCCGAAGCGGTCCAGTCCGGCTTTGTGTGTAACTCGCTGGAGTTGATGGCTGACCAAAGATTTCTGGCCAATTCAAGATGGTCTTGAGTCCGTTCACGAGGCCTCAGGCGACCAAGAGCATTGAGGGCTTTTATAAGATCAGGACCCTCAATTTTGGATTGGCTGGGGAATTCTCGTTCTTTGAGAAGGTAACCGAGGAGTCGGTGGCATTGCATTGCCTGCGTACCGTTCAATGGCATTCGGCTGGAAAGCTTTTCTTCAAAGAAAGACTGCCAGGCTTGAACGAGCTCTGGTGTTGGCGGAGGCCGTAGGTTGTCGAGCATGCGACTCCTCCATATCATAATCTTTTGCCATCCTGGCTCGAATTCGGGTTGACGAATGTCTCGGGGTGCTTTAGCGAATAGGCCGTCGAGGAAGAATCGTTTCGAGTAGCCATTGTTGATCGTTCTAGGTGTACATCTTCGGCGGAGGGGAGCTGAGTAGACGGCGCAAGACGGGGATCGGACTTGCTGGATGAGGGCCCGTCGAGCATGGCGGGCCAATTGCGCCCTCATAATGGATTAGTCTATGAGAAAGAGAACCTGACAGAGTAAGCCAATGGGAAACATGGAGAGGAGTTTGGGGCATTGTTTACAGAAGCATGTTTGAAGCGGCGCATGTAGAAGTTGGAGGATGGGAAGCTTGTTACGGCAATTCAGAACCTCAGATTCAATCGCGACATTCTGGTTTTGGAGTTTAACTGGTTATGCGTAATATGGAATATCGGCCGCCGACATTTACCCGATCGAGGTCTCGATATCAGTATAATATCCACCCCAATCCACTTTAACAGGTTGTTCTAATAAGCTCCAACACTGTTATACTTAGAAAAGGCATCTGATAACGGTTGATCAAAGTTCAAATCTCGCATGATACTCTGAAAAAGGGTTGAACCTTGATGGACTCATCGTCTGGTCACAGTATAAGCTACGACTCCATCAAACGAGAACAGAACCTGCATACTGAGGCATGAATCATATGTCTTGAGTCACATCATAGTCACCACTGAATGCGCACCATAATTAAGTATCTAGCCAGGGGCTAACTCAGAAGGGTTCGGTGCTATTTTGTCCAGTAACAGTTCAATTACACGCACTTCCATTCACAAACTCCTGCATACGTCATGAAGCTATGGAACAACTCCGAAAGCTACTCCAACAGCTCCTTTGGTTACCACAGCCATCCGATTGCTTGCCGGGACTGGGATCGTACGGCGTATTAACCCACCAGTACTGTGTACTAGTCAGTCACCAGTAGACACAGGCAACAGCCGCCTTATTTCCCCCTTCATAGCGCTCATTTGACTACATCCGATAGATACAGCAGCTACCCCGCCCGAAGCCACCGATGTTGGTGGGGGTGGGACAAGGTCGCGGAAAGGCACGATGATGAACAGCTGGAGTTTAGAGTCACATCTCCGATGCGAACCCGTCCTTTAGCACCTATAAATGTTTAAATATCCCCCAATTCATTCGTAGTTCACCATCACCACCCTCAAGAATACCATAAACAGCCACAATGCCTCTCGTAACTCAGAACATCAAGCCCCGCGTCATCCTGGGTCTCATGACCTTCGGACCTCCTGGCAGTGAACAGCTTGACGCACGTATCTTTGACTCGGAAACCTTCAACAAGGCCCTCGATGTCTTCCAGGGCAAGGGATACAGCGAGATCGACACTGCGCGTGTCTATGTTGGAGGCAAACAGGAGGGCTGGACTGGCAAAGAGACCAACTGGAAACAGAGAGGACTTACTCTGGATACAAAGGTCAAGTACCCTGCCAACCCAGGCGAGAACGCATATGATAAGGTTATCGAGTCGGTTGAGACCAGTCTGAAGGAGCTGGGAACTGACTGCGTTGATGTAAGTTGAGGATGACATGAATAGTCAGCTAGCTTCGACTAACAGACCCGTCAGCTGCTCTACCTCCATCGCCCCGACCGTGGTACTCCTTTTGTCGAGACTCTCGAAGCTATCAACAAGCTGCACAAGGAAGGAAAGTTTGTGAACTTCGGCATCAGCAACTTCACCGCGTACGAGGTCGCAGAGGTTGTCATGATCTGCAAGTACAACAACTGGGTCCGACCCACGGTCTACCAGGGCATGTACAACTGCCTCACACGTTCCATCGAATCAGAGCTCTTTGTCGCCTGTAGAAGATACGGCCTCGATATTGTCGTGTACAACCCCATCGCCGGTGGTCTTTTGTCCGGAAAGATCAAGTCGATGGATATCAAGCCCGACAGCGGCCGTTTCTCTGACCAGTCTAAGATCGGAAATATGTACCGCCAACGCTACTTCAGAGAGAGCACATTCAAGGCGTTGAATGTAATCGAGCAGGCCGTAGATAAGCACGGACTTACCATGCTTGAAACAGCATTGCGTTGGATGGTTCACCACTCCGCGCTTAAGATCAAGGATGGAAATGATGGAATTATTCTGGGAATGTCCAAGGTACCACAACTCGAGGAGAACCTTGAGCTCCTGGAGAAGGGTCCTCTGCCTGACGAGGTGGTCGAGGCACTTGACCAGGCCTGGCTGTACTCCAAAGCAGATACAGCCAACTACTGGCATGGTGATTTGGAGTACACTTACAATGTCCACGAGGCTCTGTTCAGTGCATCCTCCAAGTAGATTATTTCAAGTGTGCTTGAAGTAGAGTTAATATTAAACCTAGTGCAAATACAAGTACATTTGTAGATGCTGAGGCCTTAACTCATGTGCTACTGTTTGCAAGTACAGCATCCCAACTACCAAGTCATGGGTGGTAATACCGTTCACGAATATTGTCTTGGGTTTGGGGGCGCGTGGGGAGAATGCGTAGGCACATGACTGAAAGCGTCATTTTGTTCGCAGACGAGGAGGCATACTCAGAGTCAGAGTCAGATTTAGATATTGGAGCATGCAATCAGATCTTGTCCAGATCCATAAGATTGGCCAAAACCTGTTGCTGTACGTACTTTTGTAATGTGCATAAGCTCAGCCCCTGTAAGCCGCGCAAGTTGAGGGACAGGAACGTTAAAGTCAGTTATCATGATAGATACATCATACATGTCAGTTCAACGCCTATTCTTGCTTCAAATTTAAATTCTAACCGCAGCAGCCTTAATAATGGTACAAACGCTACACTGATCATGGCTAACAAGAAAAAACTTCTCATGGCCCCTAAAATCAAGATAGCCCGGCCCTGGCACCAGTGGCCTGGGCGATGACGGCACCCCCTAGCCCCCCGTGCCTTTCAACTCCCCGCGCTGTTGGTTCCCTGCGGAACAGCGGAGTCGCCCCCTGCAAACTCGGGGTCTCGAGACCCGCTTGTCTCCGCCCCGGGCCCTCCATGGCCGTTTTTAAACACCACCTTTGCATCCCACGGATCCAATACAACGCCTCGATTTGCCCAAAAGACCCAAACCCGGTGCAGCGCCAAAACAGCCTAAGCCGTTTCGTTCCTTTGTCGCACCCCTTGTCCGATCTTTTACTTATTTCTTTATATACTCAGTCCTTTCCCTTTTCTTCCTCATGTCTCGGCGCGACAATAGTGACCAACAGGTCCATCTCCTGCAAAGTGACAATCGACTGTCTACGGATTCCGACTCAAATTCTGATACCACATCTAGCGACGACACCACATGCGAACCAGGACCATCCTCAACTGCCAGAGCAACCACTACTGGCGCCCGTGGCACCGCCAACCGTCCGAATAAAGCTTCTGATCTTAACACGAAACGCCACGATCGCGATAACAATACTAAAACCGACAGCGAGTGGCTAGAGTTGGACAATATGGATCCCAATGACCCTCGTCGTCCAAATTTCCACCGCGGGAAGTCCGGGACACCTCTCCTTCACAAGGAAGAGGATCCAGAGCGCGGTCGTGCTAGTTACTCACCTCCTCATGGCAAAGGGGGAAGATCTGGTCGGGATTCAAGGGGGTCGAGCGACGATGATTCCCCTTATCATTCAAGGGAGGTGATGGGACGACCGAGCCTTAGTCGAAGATCCACGATGCGAAGCAGAAGCCCTCAAACCGCTGCAGAAGCTGCTGAAGACTCGACCAAGAAGAGATATACGTATGCAGCATTTTTCCTCGCCATCAGCTTGGTGTCATTCTGCGTACAGACGGAGTTAAGCTCATACATACAAAATGATCTCGGCTGGGGCAAGGCTTATTGTATGATGTACTTCACCCACGGTTCCTGGGTTGTATTATGGCCAATTCAACTCCTGATTCTGCGCTATCAGAAGCGCGACGTGCCTTGGCCCGTTTTCTGGAAGCGACACAAGCAACAATTGCGCACCACCGCTATCATGATCGAGAAGCAGACCCTGGACGTGTTCCACCTATCTATTCAACACCGCGCGCGGCCTGTTCGCTATTTTGTCCGTTTTACCGTCATAATCACTTGCGCTTTAACCGTGGCCGGGCTGAGCTGGTACGTTGCTGTTGCTTTGACGACACCTTCGGATCTGACGGCTATCTACAACTGTTCCGCCTTCTTCGCATATGTTTTTTCTGTTCCGTTGCTTCATGAGCCTCTACGCCTTGACAAGTCGATTGCTGTTCTTATCGCCATTGCTGGTGTTCTTGTCGTCGCGTATGGTGATACAGAGGAGGATACTGAGAGCGTCGAGGCTGAAAACCGCTTCCTTGGAAATCTCGTTATTGGAATTGGTTCTGTTCTGTATGGCCTCTATGAGGTCCTGTATAAGCGCTACGCTTGTCCACCTGAGGGCTGCTCGCCTGGCCGGGGCATGATCTTTGCCAACACGTTTGGCTCTTTGATCGGCCTTTTCACTCTCACAGTCCTTTGGATTCCACTTCCCATCCTGGACTTCTTCAACATTGAAAAGTTTGAGATACCCGCTACCTCGACATGCTGGCTCATTCTCCTTGCGGTGCTCGCCAACGCCACTTTCAGCGGTTCATTCCTCGTTCTCATCTCCTTGACTTCACCTGTCCTGTCATCGGTGGCTGCGCTGCTCACAATTTTCCTCGTTGCTATTGTGGACTGGATGATCACCGGCAAGCCCTTGAGTTTCGCAGCCATTGCTGGTGGCTCGATGATCATTGTCGCCTTCCTGGGCTTGACTTGGAGCACGTATCGCGAGATGAAGGAACATGCAGTTATGGAACCTGTCGCGGACTTTTCAGACAGCGATAAAGACGGCGACATCGACAGTGATGACGACTAGTCTTTGCATTTTCATCATGGCGTTTCGGGTTTGGGGGGACGGTTAAGGCCAATGTACTGGCTAGGCCTGTCACACAGAATTGGCGGGTTCGATTATGCATATAGAGGCGTTAGATTTTGGGTTCGGATTCATGTACATGTGACGTGATAATGCCGTAGGGTCAAGTTGCTTGGATGGACAAAGTTGAAGAGATTGGCTGATAGACTTCACACTCATGATAGAACATCATGTAAATAAATGATGAACACCATCTGCTTGTGCAAAAACTCACCATCTGTCTGGGAAGTTCCTTGGGGTGATGATCCTTTCTAAATAGTGTGATTTGGCACTCACATTTCTTCCACCATTACTGCCTGTTCATCCTGGTCGGCATTTTCAGGCTCATCCTTGATAAAAACACCCTCACTCTGTTCTCGCCATCCATTTACGCCATTGATATGCCCGTTGTATGTATTCATCCTCCAAACACCTTCTGCTGGCTTGTCGCCCGTCTCAAACATCTTTAACTTCTGCCAGCCTGGCTGTGGGATAGGTTCCAGCATCTGGCGCACCAGGAGGGCGTAGGAGGTGTCGCACTCGAGCCACAAATCGGATAGATTCACCCGTGAGAGACTGCTGCTCTCCCAAAAATCGCGGTTCTTGGGCATGAGCTGAACGAAGAGGTGCTCGACGGGTGGGCAGTGGGGGATGAGGAAGTCGGATATGTGATGGGACAGGGGAAACGTAGCGATATAGGATAGGGACTTAAGGTTTCCGCATATGGTGTTGAAAGAAGGATCTGAGGCGTCGAAGATGGCGGGGAGAAGGGTTGCGGCTGAGTAGTGGAAGAACTCGTATGTTGAGTAGACTGGCGCAAAGGATCCCTCGTTAATGAGGAGAGAGTTCCAGTCTCTGATGTCGAATAAGTCGCAAGGAATGCGATTCCGCAGTCCGGGAAGCTGTGACGGCAAGAGGTCTGACTTTCTCTCTGGTCCCATAGTCTGAGCTGAACGAGACAGCGATATGATATAATAAGTGCTGTTAAAGGCCCAGTGGGTAGAGAAATCGACACTTCGGCTTAGCAGAGACGCAAGAACGTCTATTGAGCTGATCAATGTGATGCGCAATGGGTCAATAACATCGAAGATTGTATGCCACAACCAGTTATTGTCCCAATGGCACTTCGCCCTGTCCTGCTCTGTTCTGGCATCACTTTGTTCATTGTTGCGCCGATCATCCTGTGATAGAACGGACCATAATAGATTCCAGGAGACAGGCGAGTCGGGCTGTTGAGACTCAGGAGGCAAGATACCCCAGAGATCATCTGCATATCGGTTTTGGCCAGATCCGCGAGGAGTATCAATTAATATCGTAAAGGTTTCGACGATTGATGCTAGATTGTTGCGCCGTACGAAGTCAAGGACGTCTATTTCTGATGCGATGTCCTGTATCACTGGTTTATGAAAGCGCCGGAGGGGCCACACAATATGGCGGAAGAGATAGTTTATTACAGATGTTCTCCATAGACTGCATACTAGAGAAGCGTTCTTTAGAGGCGTATTTGGACCAGAGGATATAGGTCGTGCGATCTTCGCAGGGTCTTGATAGACTCGTGTTTGTAGATCGGACTCGGAGTCAAGGAAGCTGAGAATATGAGCGATGAGCTCGTTAGGGAGTTTTTGCATGGTTGGCGACGCCATGTGTCAGCATTAGGAAATAGAAATAAATTAGTTGAGCGAAGTCTAGTTGAAGAAAATCAAGTTTGCATTTCGATAGGCTTCTAAAAGATGTTTGAAGTGGCTGCGACTCTTGACTACGATCCTATGACGAACAAGGATTACCCCACGTCATCGTCACTACAACTCGGACTCGCTTCCTATCCTGGAGCGGGAACCAAGGACAGTGTTGATTAGGTGCGTTGTAGATGTTGATTGGACGAATTATGCGTATTAATAGTTGCAGTCAATATCTGTTGGCTGTCAGTTGTTTTTGGTATAAGCACTCAAATGGATACCGACAGGACTCTAGTCGAAGGCAGGTCTTGCGTTTGCAACGACCCGCGCGGAAGGACCAGTGTTAGGTATTCGTCCACACCGAGGATTCGGAAGACTTAGGTACTAACTTATTACGAGTCCATCACGGGCTTTTTGATACAAATACCAGGGTACATGTTGGCATCGTGCATTGCTTCTCGGATCGGATATCGGTCGTTTGAGAAGCACAGCGTTGAGGCCCGAATGTGCTGTGACCCGTGCATCGAGCACTGCGAAAGATGTAGATAAATATACCCGTAATCAATTTCTTCAAAGAGTTCACATTATTACAGGCGCTTCCTGGATAACTCACTCTGTTAACAGTTGCCCAGTTATGATAAAAGGTCAGCGGCTCTTGATCGTGCTAACATCTACATGGCGAATGGGTACTAACAGGTTGAAAGGTTACATATTCTCTTTCTTATACAAACAAACGAAGTTACTCTAAGCCTTTAACTAAACTTGTTCTATCTATCTAGTCACCGCGCTTGTATGCTTTGTTGTTTTGTTGACTCAAGAGATCGCGGGTGCCAGCCGCTGGCAGTTACATGGCAGTTGCACTGCTGCCTCGCACTTTCCTGTGAATAATTCCTAGTAAAAGACCATTCTATTTATTCCTCATCTTGCTCCGGTTGCGCTTTTCATCAGTTTCATCTTTGATCAATGGTCCTCCAATAACCTCAACCTTTCTTCAACCACAAGCAACCATCACCATGTCTGTAATCACTGAGCAAAACACCCAACCGACGATCACGATGCCCACCATCATCGAGGAACGTCTCGATACTTTTCTCGAGGGTGATTCCTCTCAGTTTGCAGATGCTCGAGTCGCAGTACTAGAGCCGGCCTACGACAGCTATCTCTTCTCCAACAACCTGCGCAGCGATGAGCCAACTCCCTCTTCCATTCAACTCCTCCATTCCTCCGAAATCGCCATCACGATATCGCGCTGTGCCAAGACTGGAGTGGCCACAGATCTAACCATCGTCAAAATATCAGATCCTCTCGCAGACAACTTTGTAGGCTACTCCCCAGAAGAAAGGTGCATAGTGTTCAGGGGCGAGAGAGGCCTGGTGGACGATTTTGTAGGCTTTGCGGAACTAGTTGCAGGAGAAAATCAGGTCACGGTTATTCTAAAAGCCCTAAAACAAGTCCGAATACCTCCACAGGGTTTGGAGTATGGTCTCACATTTGAGCGGTTTGTCGACCGTGTTGAAGTGCTCGAGTGCGCTATGTGGATTAGAACTTCACCCAGCGGTACGCATCATCCCTTTTCTAGTCACTATTGTGCTAACTCGCCATAAAGAACAAGATGGAGGGGTAAACAAATTTGTCGAGTTTGTCAGCGCATCTCAAACTCCTCAGCCTATCCCATCCAAACAAACCATATCCAATGGTTTTCATGCCACAGACGATGACAAGCCCACTCTCAAGGTCTTAGAGATTCACAACTCAGTTACAGACAAGGGTACATTCGGTTCTGACTCTTCATCCCCTCTATCTTCTCCTCCACCCTTCGATGAGTCTGAGGATTGGGAGTTTCCATTCAGCGACTCTAGCTCGCCACTATCTCCCCCTCCTGAGATAATCGAGACTCCCCCATGGCTCAGCCATTCCGAGTCATGATATATCATCTTTTGCTAAAAGTTTATGAAGAAGTAGATGATTATAAGGGTTGCTCGGAGGCGACCATCATTGGAAGTTTTGCATCATTTGAAAGTAATCAGGATGAGCATGACTTTAACAGCATATGGGAAAGGATTATCAAGTGGCAGGCTTACACAAACGTGTGTTTATTTGGGGAATATTTGCTTATGTATGATAGTACAGTGCATTGGTGGGCGGTTTAGCTTGTATTACGGTTGATATGAGCCAGTCGCTTATTAAATTCATGAAGAGTCACAGATCGGAAAACTTGAGTGTAAGCGATGAAGCTCTATGTTCATTCATGTATAAGTATCTAGGTAGATTATGTGTTGTAAATCATGGTCTAAACGCCAGCCAATGCTCAATATTAAACCCATAGTTCTAAGGAGGGAAAGAAGAAGAATGTCCGCCCGCTATCCAAATGCGTAATGCAATGCCTCTCATAAAAGTCGTAGAGCTGCGCCGTTTACTTCTTGATGCCGCAAGCAGAAGGGTCGGCGTGGTAGACCTGGGCGTTGATGCGGCCGAGCTGGGCACCCTGGCCGTTTGTGAGGGCGTTGAGGGCATCGAGGCCAATGTTGAAGCCAGCAGCGGCGTGGTCGATGGCGAGGACGTTGATCTTCTTGCCCTTGTACTCGAGGCGGTAGCAGCCACCACAGTTGGCCGAGTTCCAGCCCTCAATGATGTTGACACCACCGACGTACTTGGCAGGGGTGCTGCCCTGAGTCTTCCAGCCGTATCTGGTGATGAGACCGTTCTTGCCGTCAGAGCAAGAGACGGAGGTCATAGGGCGAGACTTGTCATCGTAGCCAGTGTCGTAAGAGACGGTGGTGGCCGAGACGGCGGAGGTAAGAGCGAGAGCAGAGAGGATGCCGGTGAACTTCATGTTGACGGTTGGTTGGTTGGTTTTGTGTGTAAGTGAGGAGAAGTGGTGGTAGTGGAAGATTGTTTGGTTGGAAGATGGAGAAGATGAGAGTGGTTGATGGTTGATGAGAGTGATGATAGCAAAGAATAGCTATCTGGAGGAGACGGACAGGTCTTCTTATACATGAGATGAGCTCTCGCATACAACGTCCAAGCCTCGGGCAGGAAAACGAACCATGCCATCTCACATCACGATGCTAAGAAGATCGTCCATATCTCCACCATCCGAATCGAGAAAAAGACTGGGAGGCTGGAGGCTGGACAGGCCTAGCTTCGTCCCATACAGCGTCATAGCTGGCATTGAACGTGGAAGACGGTATCACTGACAGCCCAGCCCGGCCGAGACACTACCCAACGCTCCATCTGGTCCGCCGCCAAAAGCTGGTAGGGACTGGGGCGCAAGGCTAGGGCATGCCCGTGATGCTATTTCAGGGTGCGGATAAAAGAGGCTAATGCTAATGGCGTGGGCAGCAAGCCTCAATGCATTACTGACGGTATTACGGATACGGGTTATTAGAGTGATATCGTCGGGGGCCCAGAACTAAGATCCAGAATATCTCCGTCCGACAGGGACTAGAGTGTTGCCCGGGCTTGTTCTTCTGCCGGTCATGACCCCCGTTTTGGGGCTTGTGGGGTAACGTTAGGTAGCTTTTGGTTGAGAATATCTCGTATTAATGCTGAGCTAGTGCCATTCTGTGAACTAACGTAACATGCCAGTTTTTTAGCTCTTAGTAATTCTCAGTTGCTTTACAGAGGCAGCCGTTAAAAGTTCTTACCTACGCTAAAACCATAAAAGTAAGGAAATAGTACCGCTAGATCTAAAAGGGTTAATTTTATAGAGAATAATCCCTGCCTTTAATATATTTATTCCCTCCTTTAATATTAATAATTTTATAGATATATACCGGAATTCTTTCTATCTATGCCTATATCTTTTTTTATAGAAGCTCCTTTTAAGCTATTTTTTATTTATAAATAGCTTTATTTCTATTCTTTAGTATGCCTTTCCTTATTATATTCCTTTTTATTTACGGCTATACTAACTTAATTATATTTAAATTAGGTAAATTTAAATACTAAAAAAGCTATTAAACCGTATAGAAATTATATACTTATTATTATATATAATATTTATAAATAGGAGCTTTATCTTTTTATATAATAGTATTTACTTTTTTCTTTATATATTTTTTTATAAAAAGAAAAAGCTTTAAAAGAAGAATAGTTTATTAATAACGTTATTAATTAATACCTTTTTTTCCCTTCTTTATTAACTTATCAGTCTTTTTTTTTTACCTTTATATAGGCTTCTTACCTAATAGGTTATAAAACCTTAGTCTTTATATACCTATTTTTAATTCTTATTATATTTTTACTATTAGCTTAAGCTCTTTATTAAGGTTATTAAAAGCTTTTTTTATAGTAACCTTTTTTTTTATAGTCTTTAAAGATTAGTAATAATAAAGACCTTTTTTATTATAAAAAAAGGTAGTTTAAAATATAAATTTATTAAAGCCTTTTTACCTTTTATAAATATAATTATAAAAGACTTATTTATTTACTTATTATTAAATATAATAACCTTTATATTAATAAAAATAAAATAAAAAAGTCTTATTTAATTAAATAACTACTTTTTAATCTTTAATAGTTTAATTACGGTAAGTAATATATTAAGTAAGGTATTCCTTACGTATTTTTAATATTAAACTAGGCTTCCTTATTAACTTTATTTTCCTAAATCTAATTACTTTAAGGATTTTCTTAATTATTATAGTTAATATTTTATTTCCTTAAGTATTAATTTCCTAAGTAATATTATTAATAGTCTTTTCCTTATTAAATCGATCCTTACTAATCTTTATAATAATTAAATTACTATTCTTTTTTATATATATAAAAGGCCGCCTTAAGTAAGGTATATCTTTAAGGAATATATTAAATAGGCATAACGGTCTTTTATTTAGCTTAAAGCCTTACTATATTATTTATATATATATAGTATTTATTATATAAAGGGAAATACCTATTATTTAGTTAATTTTAATAGTTATTTTTATTACCTTAGTAGGTACTTTTAACGTTATTATTAAAGCTTAAGTTATAATATTAATTAGTATTTTAAAAGAGGTAAGGAATAGGAAAAAAATTACGTATAGTAATTTCCTATATAAATTGTATAGCCGACCCCTGTCGGGGCTTACAGGGGTAGTTACTGATCCCTCTTGGCAGGTAAGAACTTTTGGCGGCTGCCTCCGTAGAACATGCTATATTGTGGTATTCATGCGGAGTGGCCGGCCATAGCTTTAACTACACATTAAGTTTATAATTTAGGTAGTCAAAACAAGGCTATGAACTATCAATGGAAATTAACTACCAGCTAGGTACGTTGGGATATCTGCTCGTTCTACTACCTACTCACCGCCAATACCCTCATACCTAGTCACGCTCTTCTAGATGCATGATTGATCTGAAGGGTCCTGCCTGTCCTGGGGCTGGCGAGACTAGTTTTTCTCGTATTCCTCCTTGCAACAGTGGTCTGAGTCCTGACGTTGTATCGCGTCTACTGAAAGAGTGAACAAAACAAAAACACCGAGCCAAGCTTAAAGGCAGCCGCGGATAAGCAGGAAACCATAACGATCAACAAAACTCCGCAAATGGGAGTTTTTGCAGCATGGATCAGCCTGCGGGGAGAAGCAGAAACACGAGAAAAGGACGATCGATAAACGTCATGAGTTCTGTTGTCTTCCTTGACAAAAAGACCTCAAGGATCCATATTCAACAGTTCTATTTACAAGTACCGGGAGTTCCGGCCATGATCCAGAGTGATGCAGTATACGAGGACCTGGGTCTGGCCTGTTCTGTCTCTCTCTGGAAGTGAATCCCACATGAGGACCCGTGATGCACTATTGGCATTGACATCATGGTGGTGAGACGCTAAATTCCCGTAGGTGCTATTTTGGGCGACTAGGCTTCTGGAAGCCTCCTCGTAGCGGGCTGTCGGCGTGGCCGGCTAGGGGTCGCACGGTCACTGCCAGATATTTGAGATCCATCAATCAATGGCCAAGCCGGCATAGCTGGAGCTATGACATTTGCCGTGTTATTGAACACCAAACTGGACATGTCTAGGGTAACGTACTGGTCTCGGTAAAAACAATCAGATAAACTGTTAATTGAATGGAAGCAATGTTGTGTAAGTTTCTCTAGCTCCTCATCTAGAGCAACTAAGTATTGTAGCACCTCAAGACATGTAGAGAACCTCAAGGGTCAGTCAGGCCATGTGTACATGATGGCCTAACGTTAACAAACTGCTCACATCATCGACTAAGACCATCAACGACAAATAAGGTAATGTGTAGAGTACGAAGATGTGTAGACGGACATCATCGTTCCACAACATCGCAACCACGCATTGGCCGTTGTGCGATTCATAGTAATCATTTCACTTAGATGTCACAAATCACATTCCATGATTCAAATTGCAACGCCTTATGTCAGACTAGAAGAAAGATTCAGCTGAGCTGAGCCTTGTGAAATAAGCCAAGGATTCAAAAAGAGTGGCTCTGCTCGTATCATCAAGCTACAACAGGAAGGATATATGTTGCACATATAATAGTCCAGATATGATGTTATCATCCGATTATCTGAACAAGCAAGCCATTTCCCTACCTTTTAGGCCAACAAGATAACCTGCTACATGCCTGTCATACGCCAGATCATCTACAGGCTGATCTATTTCCATTGCCGAAGTCGGCAATCAAAATTACCTGAACATTATCGACCAATAGATAAGCTCTTCACCCCGCCTCAAGTGTTCTGAACTGAAAGAGTGAGAGTACCTATTTACCCCGCCAACCGCCCAAATGTGCTGGTAAAAAAACAGAGAGCAAATTCTCGGACAAATGCGTGCGAACCGTATGTTTTTTCTTGTATGGTGGGGGAGCTCCGGTCATCGGCACCGTTTTCATGGTCATCTCAGTCGCTTGCAGTAATAAACATTTCCACTATCGGCGAAGCTTCTCTGGCATGACCTGGACTGATTTGACTTGCAATTTTGAATTCATTCTTTTGTCGTGAGCACAAAAAAAAGAGGGAAAAGGCTTTTGGAATCAATCGAACTAATCCCGATTTGCATCGCGCCATTGGACCCTCTCTTGGCTCTGTCTTGTCTCTCAAATCTTTCCTCCTCTAAGTAGGTACCTACAGACAGCTCAGCTCAGCTACAGTTCCGAACTTCGGCACATCTCAAAGCAGCAAGCAAGCAGCAGCCATGGAATCTTTCATCATCAAGACCCCCTGCTCCAGCGCAAACATTGGCCCCGGCTTCGATGTCATCGGCCTTGCCCTATCCGTCTACCTCGAGCTTCACGTCACCATCGACAGGTCAAAGACAAAGTCCGAGCTCCCGCTCAACTGCAGGATCACATACGAGGGCGAGGGCGAGGATGAGATCAGCCTTGATCCCGAGGTCAACCTCTTGACCCGCGTTGCGCTTTATGTTTTGCGCTGCAACGACCAGAGGGCGTTCCCCGTCGAAACCCATGTGCATATCAAGAACCCCATTCCTCTAGGCCGCGGCCTGGGTAGCTCTGGCGCTGCTGTGGTTGCTGGTGTAGCTCTTGGCAAGGAGGTCGGAGGTCTGAAGCACCTTGACAATGATCGACTGTTCGATTACTGTCTCATGATTGGTAAAGAATAACTCTGCGACCGACTAGCAATGGCCAGCTAACTTCAATTCCAGAGAGACATCCCGACAATGTTGGAGCTGCCCTCTACGGTGGTTTCGTCGGAACCTACCTCAAGCCCTTGACCCCTGAGGACGTAGCCCGAACAGAAATTCCTCTCAGCGAGGTTCTCCCCGCGCCCGCCGGAGGTGAAGATACCGGAAAGAAGCCCCCGAACCCTCCTCACGGAATCGGTCACCATATCAAGTTCCCCTGGGCCAAGGAGATCAAGGCTGTTGCTATCATCCCTGATTTCCAAGTTGCTACACACGCTGCGCGAGGAGTGCTACCTGCAAACTACACCCGTCCCGATGTTGTAAGTGGCAAATCCTGACCATATGTTCAACCTGAGCTAATTCGTGACCAGGTCTTCAACTTGCAACGAATTGCCCTTCTTCCCGTCGCCCTAGGCCAGTCACCTCCCGACCCCGATCTCATCCATCTTGCCATGCAAGATAAGATCCACCAGCCCTACCGACAAACTCTGATTCCTGGCCTTACTGAGATTGTGGAAACTATGTCCCCCAAGACCGACGAAGGATTCCTTGGCGTCTGTTTGTCTGGTGCGGGTCCTACCATCTTGGCCCTCGCAACGCACAACTTTGAGACCATTGCGGCAAAGATCATCTCCAAGCTTCGAGAACACAATGAGAAGAAGGATCTGCCTTGCGAATGGAAGGTGCTTGAGCCTGCCGAGGGTACTCACGTTATTCGATCATGAGGCGATGGTAAACAAATACCGTAAAAGAGATATGTGAGCTCCGGATGAGACACATATATTCGTAGATCATCTAGTCAGGAAACCCCACTTGGATTGACATTTCTTGATCGAGAAGATGGATAGGACATAGAGGGCCGGCAAATGAGGTATGTGGGAACGAATCAACGAAAATAACGGAATAAAGCAATAAAACACTTAGGCATTAATCAAAAACATATAAATGGAGAATTGACGGTGTTCTGATTGTGTCTGATGTTCGCAGAGTTGATGAGAGAGCATAAATGAGCCTTGATGGTGAAATACTTGCTACACACCAAATACAAATTGAGACCGGGTAGAGCGTTGGTTTCCTTTATATTGATGTTCATAGGATTCTTTAAAAAAAACATTAATCCCTTGATTTGATGCCTTAATATTATTGACCATTGTCGGCCTACGGGTTGACTTACACGGTGTGTGAATGAATATATGGGTTGAAGCTATGTTGTTCATGTACAACAATTGGCTGCATTTGACAACCAACTGATCCGTGTGTTGCCGAACCGAACCAGATCCCGACATGATCAAAACCGAGGGGCAGGGTTCCACCGAGTTTGAGGGGCGTTCGAATTTACAGCTCTCGATAGGTTGAATTACTGCTTTTCCCCAACTTCTACATGATAGTACCGCTATGAACTACCCCGAAGAGCCGAGGCTGGGGTACATGACAAGAGATGCGTACGTATAATACTACGCGATGTCCTCAGTAACCCCTCACAGATTTGTAAATTCTCTCTGTTATTCAATTTACCTGTTGTATTAAGCATAATTACAAGCAAAAATGGCTGCTCCTCCGCCCAAGGGCATCTTCGTGCCCGTCCCCACGTTCTTCGCTTCTAAGAAGACTTCCAACTACAACGCCATCAGCCCGCCTGTTGATGTCGAAACACAGGTTGCCCATGCAGTTTTTCTGGCTAAGAACGGAATCAAGGGCTTAGTTGTCCTCGGTACCACAGGCGAGGCTGTGCATATTCACCCCAGGGATCGTCATGCCATTCTTCATGGCGTCAAGATTGCCCTGGAGAAGGAGGGCTTCAATGACTACCCCATCATTGCGGGCACGGCGACAAATAGCGTGGAGGAGACTGTTGAGCAGCTCAAAGACGCCCACAAGTCTGGCTCTCAATGGGGCTTGTGTCTCGTTCCTGGGTACAATGCGGGTGCAGTTACACAGGAGGGTATCATTCAATGGTTCACTGCTGTTGCTGACCAAAGTCCCATTCCTGTCATGATGTAAGTCGTCTTGGTTCAATCGTTCTGGAAATATAGACTGACTCTGCCATACAGCTACCACTACCCAGGAGTATCAAACAATGTGAAGGTGGCACCATCTACCTACGCCACCCTCGCCAAACACCCCAACATTGTCGGCTGCAAGCTCTCTCACGGCGATGTATCGGTAGCCACTCAGATAGCTTCCAACCCATCCATCGACCACGATCACTTCCGTTGCTACACAGGTCTCGGCCAGCAGCTCCTCCCTGTCGTCTCAGTCGGCTTCGCCGGTGCCATCGACGGCTCAGCAGGATTCTTCCCCAAGTCCCTGGTGCGACTCTACGAGCTCTCGACAAAAACCCAGCCTACGGATGCTGAAATTCAAGAGCGAAGGGTCCTGCAGTTCAAGGTGAGCTCAATGGAGGAGTTTGTTGTCAGATTTGGTACTGTCGGTATCAAGGAGGCGATTAGCAGGCTGAGAGGCTTTGGAGACATCGATGGTACAAGATTGCCTCTCATGGGAGGTATTCCTGGTGGTGATACTGAGTGGAAGAACTGGAGCGCGGTGATCGATGCTGTGGATGAGGTTGAGAAGTCATTGTAGGAGGTGAGCAGATAAGTAAAGCATCGATACAGCAATATTAGAACTCCAAATGAAGGCTATATAAATCCCTATACTTTTTTTTAACACAATTAATTGATCAACATTGTTTCTGATTCCCACGAGATGGAAGCAGAACGAATGTACGCATAGTGATGGCCAACTCTCCATATTTTCAAACAAGAACTCAGCTGTCAACAACAACCGGGCGAATGGTTTAGTGGTATAATACTCCCTTAGCATAATTCGACCGAATAATCCAACTGGGAGTGGTCCAGGGTTCGATTCCCTGTTCGTCCATTGTAGGTGGTTAGATTCCACTAAATATCCTCTTTTTGCATCTCCAGCCTCTCTATGCTCATGACGACAACATATTCTCCGCTCCCTTCTTGAGTGTGCTCATGTCTGACGTGATCGTCTTTTGTTATGAGCCTTTAGCCCCAAGCTTACGTGTGACATGCGGATAAAGTTGTTGTCAGATTTCGATATCTCGCAATATCTTGCATATTGACTTCGATTGCACTTATCCACGCATCTTAATGCCCAGCCAGGCAAGGCACAGGAGTCAGCACAGACTACAACAAATAGAGATATATAAGGACATTCACTATTTTACCAATTCCCTTCCTTTTTCCTTCTTCTTGTTCCGTGACCAAGAGGTTCTAAACGTCGTCTCATGTAGTATTTGGATCTCCCCAACGCTTTGACACCTTGGCTCAGAAGATAAGTCGGCCGAGTCCCCACCGACACTCCGTGCCTCGGCTCTATCGATAGTGGCATTCAGCGCGAAAGAGCTTTGAACTTTTCCAAGCGGCGAGTTAAAGCTAAGACGCTCTTTTACGGCATCTTCGGCGCTCATTGAAGGTCTGTTTGGCTGGTAAAGGTTGTCTAACGCTTGCATTTGTGCTTATCTGTATTCGTTGGTATAAATAACAGGGGTTCGCTCTCTTTTCCCCTGCCACCTCAACGATTGTCGCAAACACCTTAATCAACTATCATGGCTGGCGCAAACAAGAAGATGTTCGGGCTCTCCCACGTGGTGCCCGTCATCACCCCTCTAGTGATCGGCTCTGCTGGATATGCTGCCTATCGAGTCAATTGGGGCCCCTTGATCAAGGCCTTCCTCACAGGACCTGGCCGGTCATCGCGGATTTTACTCCTGCTCTTTGTCATATTCAACTGGAAGAGCATGCCTTTTGCTTGGACTGTGAGTCTCTGAGCCTACCTCTTGCGCACGCAGAGCTTTCTAACTCTCTATAGTACCGAGTCTTCTACGTTATCTTCTACCACAGCCTTTGGCGCAAATCTCCAATCCTCGGGCCCGATGCTCTCTTCAAACCTATCATCTCCACATCGCACGCGCCTCTTCTCGAAATAGACTACAACATACACAAGTCCAACTCGACCTACTTCGCCGACCTGGACGTTTCGAGGTCGCACCTGGTAACATACCTCTGCCGTAGTTCATATGCCACCCTCTCGCAAAACACAAAGACCAAACTTGTCCTAGACCCCAAGACAGACCTTCCCATCAAGGGCCAGGTGAGCATCATACTTGGTGCCGTCGAGTGCAGCTTTAAGCGTGAGATTCCTGCGTACACGAGCTTCGAGATGTGGAGTCGTATTCTCTGCTGGGATCGCAAGTGGTTGTATATCGTTACACACTATGTCCCCAAGGGAACTGCTAAGCCGACTTCGTGGCTCGATCCTACGTTCAAGGCTCCAGTAAGAGGTCCACAGGACCGAACTGGTGGCTGGGAGAGGAGGATATATGCGACGGCGATTAGCAAGTATGTCTTCAAGCTGGGTCGCTTCACTGTGAACCCAGCCATTGTCCTTGGTGGCGCTTCTTCTCTTCTGCCCCAGCGACCTGGAGGTTGGACCAGTGGTGAGGAGCAGGTCGGTGATCTCTCTGTTGATCTCTCTGATGTGGATCTGGATGTTCCAGGGGAATGGGACTGGCGACGTGTTGAAGCACAGAGACGCAAAGGCTTTGAGTACGCAAAGCACTTCCAAGAACTTGACAAGCTGCATGATTTGTTCGACGGTGGCAGTGAGGGCGCTCTGGGCAGATTCTCTCCTTAGTGCAAATGAGACATAGAAGAATAGATAAGAAAGACAAGTAGAAATAGAATTATACACGGAATATTCATTGGACAAAGAGATATCCGACAGCGTATTAACAGGTCATTGTTCTATATCTCAACAAAGTTAAAACATATAAATTGTATACAGGGTAAGACAGTGTGAGTGACACCCAACAATGCAACGCGTGAAGTCAAACGACGAAGGCCAAGATATTCTCCGTGTTTGGATATTCATGAGGACTCCACCTGTATCTGCTTTCATTTATTGGTAAACTTGAAAATATAACGATACAGCTGTTACGATACGTCGTCATGCCTCGAGGTAGAATCATGAGTCAACCGAGAACTTTTGGCGGTACCATTTTGAATAAAGATATCCAGCAATTCGCGTGAATGAACTTTCGAGGTGAACAGGGAGGGTGACCCTGCTTGATTTACGCGCGAGTAAAATTGCTCGAGGATTCTTGTAGGCAAAAATCTGTTGCTGATACCTACAGAAAAGGCTCTGCTGGGCTGCCTTGCAGCATTCATGGGAGAAAGGTCCCATTGTTGCTCCCAGTGCTTAATGGCAGTTTAACATCACAATCAAGACCATGGCGAGGATGTACAGCTAGCTATCTATCTTGATATCCGTTACCAAAACGAAAAGGTTGAAGTTTTTCAGTCGACATAGTTTGGTCTTCCACAACGTCAGGTTTTCCTGACTCAGTGCTTGACTCTAATATTGGTCATCATCATAAAAACTCCAACCCATCTCGTCCCAGGCTCAGGTCTCTTCCCAAAGATGAACTTCCAGTGAAGTTTAGAGTGTAAAAAGAGGGTGAAGACCGTCACCCAAGGGTCAACGGGATACCGACCCCTCGCATCAAGAATGAGCCCCATTGAGTAACCCAGCTTTCGCTGGGCAATCGCATACCTATCAACCTCGACAACAAGTCCTCTGCGACCCGATACCACACACGCGAACACCAAGCGTCTGCCCACCATCCACCTGCCAGACGACTCGTCTGTCCCAGAACCCATCGCACATCGGCAGCGGACTCATATCTTCATCCATGAGGACCAAGGGCGACAGGAAACGGGGTTCAAAGCCTGTAGCAAGTGAATGTAGCGGAGGACAGGGCCGGTGCAGGGCGAGGGCCTGGGTGCAGAGGTCAGCCGCTGTGCTTCTATGGCGGCGCGTTTCCGCAAGCTTCGTCGAAACGAAGACGTCCGGGGACTTTCTCCCAAAGCCATAAAGAGTGTGCGAGACGCTGCGATAGAAACCATAGCGTCTCTGTTTGTGAGCTTCGAATGGCGATTTATTGAGCGAGGGGCGCGGATGAAGAAAGGAAGAGAAAAGAAAACTGAAATCAAGCTCGAGTTGAATTTTTATGCTCGAGATGGGGCTCAAGTGTGGCGCTAAGGACAGCTTCGAGGTGTGGCTGTAGCTGCCTTTTTTTTTCGTGGCGCGCTTCACCATTCAACCAATACGAACATCGCGTTGAGAAGGCTGGGTTGCTGCCTTCGTGCCTGTTCATCCATCTCAGTACAAAGCTCGCGGCGCATCCAATTTCGACGGCGGAGACAACGACCATCTAATTCATTGTTCCATTGTCTTTGACTGATTCTTTTAAGCGAATCGAGAATCACGAACAACCTCTCTTTACGAGTCCCAGAAGAAGTTGCTTATACATAAAAAAAAAGGCAAAAAGGGTCACCGACCGGGTTTCTTACTTTCTCATACTCTTATCCTCACTCCAATCATGTCGACACTTTTCGGAGGCGCGTCAAGCTCAGCAGCAGCGACAAGCAACACTGTTGGCGACCTCAAGAACGACGTTGCGCTTTCCGATCCTCCCACTGACACCATCTCCGATCTTTCCTTCTCCCCTGCGCCAAACGGACCCGACTTTCTCGCCATCGCAAGTTGGGATAATAAGGTCCGCGTTTATGAAATTGCCGCCAACGGCACCAGTCAGGGCCGACACGCTTATGAGCACAGTCAGCCTGTTTTGGGCTGTGACTTTTCCAAGGTACGAACTCGATTCGAACACGCGACACGCACCGACAGCTAACACAAGCTTCCAGGATGGAACAAAAATCGCTTCTGCAGGCGCCGACAAGAATATCAAGGTCTGCGATCTCGCCTCCCAGCAAGATATTGTTGTAGGCACACACGATCAGCCCGTGCGAACAGTACGGTTCTTCGACAGCGGTAACGGCCCCATGGTAGTCTCAGGCTCTTGGGACAAGACGGTCAAATACTGGGATCTTCGACAGCAGGGACCTGCGGCCACAGTAACATGTCAAGAGCGCGTTTATACGATGGACGTCCAGGACAACCTCTGCGTGGTAGGCACCGCCGACCGCTACATCAATGTCATCGACCTCAAGAACCCGACCAAGTTCTACAAGACACTGCAAAGCCCACTTAAGTGGCAGACCAGAGTGGTTAGCTGCTTTACCGACTCGGCTGGTTTCGCTATTGGTAGTATCGAGGGCCGCTGCGCTATCCAGTATGTCGAGGACAAGGACGCAACGTAAGCAAGCTTCAGAACATCCAACTTTTGCCTAGGTAAAGCTAACATATTGCAGGTCCAACTTCTCCTTCAAGTGCCACCGAGACCCGCCGGCCAACAGCGTCACGAACGTCTACGCCGTTAACGATATATCATTCCATCCCGTCCACGGCACATTCAGCACGGCTGGTTCCGATGGTACCTTCCACTTCTGGGACAAGGATGCTAAGCATCGTCTGAAGGGATACCCCAACGTTGGCGGTAGCATCACCTCGACCAAGTTCAACAAGAACGGTTCCATCTTCGCATACGCTGTTGGCTACGACTGGGCCAAGGGATACCAGCACAACACGCAAAACTACCCTATCAAGGTGATGCTGCACCCTGTCAACAACGACGAGTGCAAGCCCAGGCCATCCATGAAGAAGCGATAGACGAATTGCGCAGTGTATGGAGGGTTTGATAGTTGGCGAACTACACGGTGTGGGGGATTTCGGGTGCTTTATTAATACTTAGCTGCGTTTTCTGCGATTATGTACTGGATGACAACAATAGGCGGAGACTTAAAAGATTGACAGGGAGAGGCCAAAAGAAAGGAGGAAAGAAAGAAAGGTGTATCTCTGGGCTAAGGAAGTAAATTCAGGTAGTGGTGTTTTATGAGAGATGATACCATAGATACAATAAGCATCAACACAAACCTGGCATAGCACGGCAGTCATCATATCTCTATCACAGACCAGTTCTAAACTTCATAATGGTCATGTAACATTGAAATGATAATTTCTTTGCAACTTAATTCATTCACATAATAAAGAGCTTCATCAAGCTACACAACAAATGATTGGAAAGAGTAACAAAGGATTTGTATTGATTCCAGTCTGCCACTATTGGGCTTTCATTTGATCATAAAGTATTGTGGTAAAAAATACTAGCTTCTAGCCACGAGCAGCCTCTTATAACGGGCTATTAATGATGCAACGGCATCTTGTTCCAAAACAGATTACAACGCTTAATAGATCTTCAGCTCCCACCATCGAGTAGCTGGTACAGTCAAACTCCCATTCCATCTTTTGTTTTATGCCCTTCAGCTTTTCTTGAGCTGATTTCTGGTGCTGAAGACATCGTCAACCATACCGCGGAAGATGTCACTGAGAAATGTGCTGCGGTCGGAATCGGCTTCCTTGGCTTCTTTAGCGGGCTGCTCATGGATGAACTTGACGTCAACGCCATCCATGTTCACGGCTTCCATGGTAGCCATGGGAGCACCGGGAACAACGACGTCAGGGTCAATGGCAAAGATGACGGGCCGAGTTGACAAATCGGCGGCATCAGAAAGAGAGCTGTGGCGGGCGCCGTAGTTGTCGGGGAGAAGAGGCATCAGGGGGAGAGGCTCGTTGAAGTTGGGAGTAGCGTGGATCTTAGGCAAGACCATAGTATCGACATGGTTGACAGGAGCACGCGAAGGTGCAGAAGAGTGGAAGGTCTGCATCAAAGGCCTGGGACGACCAACAATTGATGGCTGAGGAGTAGGACGGTGGGTGGTCTTGAGACCGCGAGCCTGGAGTAGTTGTTAGTATCAGGGCTGAATTGATTGACTGAGGTTGGAAACTCACATCAGAGTGTTGCGACTGGTCTGAAGAAGCTCCAAGGAGCTCAGCATACTTGGGCATCAGAGAGATACCAGCATGGCGGTTCGACTCGGCGAGAGTGCGAGAGAGCTTGGAGACGGGAGCGGTGATTCTCGGCATTTTGACGTAGATTGATTGATTGTGTAGTAACAGAGGTTTGATTGCTGAGAAAGTAGGTGTCGGTGGTGTCCAGCTACTTATACGTTGAGTGTAGGTAGGGATTGGATGCAGGAGTGTAGCGGTGACGGATCTGCGAGTCTAGGTGCTATAGTACTATGGTATGTACGACAATCAGGCGATATAGAAGAGGGTCCAAGAGGCAGGTGGCACAAGGTGTAAGTGGGAGCAATTGGGAGGTTCAGTCGAAGGGAGGGAAGGAGGGTTTATGTATTGAGGTGAGACCAAAGGCAAGATAAGCTAAGTGAGTTGGCCAGAGGAGAGGAGAGAAGGGGGAAGGTGGGAGCTTCCAGATAGCTCGACCTGAGAGGTAGCTAAGGTGAGGCAGGTACGGCTGCCCGTCCGAGAGCCCGTGTGATCTGGGGATGGACGGGATTGGAATGAGCAACGTAACGGGGTTGAGGAAAGACTCATCCACAGCCTCCACTGGCCGATTACCGGTACAGATTTCCGCTTTGCTAGCTACCTCCCAAGTTACCTTATTTTAGAGACAACAATGCTGATCCTGCTAAAGTAGGTGTGGAGGGCATCCATGCACCCTCTATCGAACTGCCCGGGGAGTTGCGTTGCTTCAGAGGGCGGTGTCAATTACCTTCCACCCTCCTGCTTATCCAAATAAACAACCTTTCGGCTATGAAACATCACCGTATCAGACGATGCTTATCGTTCATCTTCGATCACCCTTCGTTGCAGACCAGCCAGTATCAACAAGAATAGAACGCAGGGCACTATAGCAGTTCCCGACTCGGCGGCGAAACACCGAATGCCGCCCGGTAGTAAGCCTACAAGGTACCCGTCCCAGTAAGCACACCCATGGCTGTCAATTTATACATGTTGAGACCCAATCAACAGCTCGAGAACCCCGGTTGCTAGCTACAGCTTACAGGAGCACACTGCACACTCTCTAGAGCACTGCAGCTACCGTACTGTACTGTACGCGACAGCTCTCAAATGCTTACTACCTTATTACATGCTGCCTCTCTTTTGCTTCTCCAGCTTTCATTTTGCTGAGATCTTGGGGCCCACCCCCGAGTTAGAAAAGGGGCAAGCGAGTAGACTATGGGGCTTCCAACGTTAAGTCTGGACTACGCGGATCTTGTTCACTTTAAAATCTCGAACCACATTTGCTTGAGCCGTCAGTGTCCGAAATCTTGAGGTTAGGAAAAACGATGAGGGGAACGGGGTTGGAGGTGCCAATACCGAAACAGCTATGTGCACGGCTGGCTGAGAATCTTTCGTGCATCATAACACTCAGAGATAACGGTATCAGATCACAGCAACAGTGGCGTCAACTGATGGCAACCGAGATACTGTGCGAAGAGCTCTGCAACACGCCGCAGGGAGAATTGCGATTATGGCACCATACATACAGCTTTCAAAACCATTACCACAACCGACCAGAGTTGGCGGTGGAACTCGTTGAGCTGTACTCGTAAGACAGGGGCCTTTACTTAGGCACACAGTACCGCCGCTTTAGCACACCCATGTATGTCTGTCTTGCAACTCAACCTTTCGCTTGCCGCCAACAAGATGCCAATAGTCCACTGCTGACGAGTCTCGGCAGGGGAGCACTGACTTGATTGATCTGGCGCACGTGGATTGTGCCTGTCGCTCACTCCAAGTCTCGAATAACCTGACCAATCATTGCACGAACATTGACAGGGCGGTCAGAGGCCTGTATGTGCGGAGTACTGAGTAATACAGTACACTCAACACTGACACAAACCTATGGGCTTGAGTATGATGATAGGCGTTACCTCCCTTATTAATGTTACGCATCAGTTGCCTTACTGCGAAGTACGGAACCCGAATACGCCATATGAGTTAATCTACAACAATGCGACGTGCAATATCATCAATCATCAGGGATGATACCAGCCACTGGCTTCTTTCATTCTGGTACGGGTATTTCTTAGCAAAATACCGTGCCGATCGTGCATCTTAAAGCGGCATGACAGTTCATAGTTAGTGGGTGGCAGCACGGCACTGAGCCAACCTTGAGGACGGGAGGGACCCGTGATCACTTCAAGGCTGGCAGTGAGCAGGGGTCAGACATCTCCTGGTCCACTTCAAGACATCCGCCAACTCGGTTGTTTGGGAGCTCCCTTTGGACCGGGGAAACAGAGCAGACTCCGTACGCACTCTCACACGCCGGTTCATGATTCACTGGCAATTGATCTGTGCCTTTCTTGCGAATAAAGCTTCCGAATTGCCTCGGCTTATATGACGGGAAACCTCCGATGTCAAAGGCTCGGCAATTAGTGCTACAAAATAGCAGCTGAATGATTTGGAAGTCACGAGATCTCAATCGAGGCCTGGAGACCAAGAACAGATAGAATCTGGGATTTAGGTCTTGGGCTGATCTGTAGCTGAAGGCGGTGCGAATATCGTGATCTCGCTAGAGATTGTTGAGGTGCCCTTGCTCCTGAATTTTAGTTACAAAGTCTCACAGACCAAATTCCAGAAGGAAATCTTTAGACTTTGGCCCTGCTTCAGGAGACTAGCAGGTGGGTAGCAAAATAACCGGCACACTGAAGCTCTTTTGCCATATAAAGTTAGGCATAAGGACAAAATAAACTCGTCAGATTTATACAGAATCTCGACTAAACCTTTCTGTCAACTCGGCCTGGTGTGCGGGTTTTATTGCGACCCACCTGACTAGACCCCCGGACTAGGGGGAGGCGAATGCTATTGTTGGACTTACGACGCCAGTCAACAAAAATTGTTGAACGGAGTCAGCCTTCCAAGCTTCTTCCTTCACCTTGGTCTCACCGTCAGACAGGTCTAGGGTCTCTAGTCACCGCCACCTGCTTGACCGAAACGAAACCAGAGGCGATCGGATCATCCCCCGGTTCTACATAATACAGTGGAAGATAAAGAGTAAAGTCTATCCAAGGGTAGATAGCCAGATACCAAGAAGACATGACGACTCTCAACAAAAATAGATAAAGTGTCTGAAAAAGAGCCATGATCTGCCAATCAACGGGTGGCTACATGTCTATCATGATACAGCTAAGTGTTATCTTGAAACTTTGACTTTGGCTGCCAATGAACATCAGAAACTGGCTGTACAGAGTTGAGATTGCAGCTGGAGTTGCCAAGTTGCTTAGATACGGACCATACGGTATCAGCCTCTTCGACACCGAACCGTGTTGCTAGCTATCACATTGTTTTACTGTGGATGATCTGTGGCTGTTCTTGTGTTCGGCGAAAGCCCTGGCACTGCGGCCACTCATTACTTCGCATAGGTCGCAATAGCTTCAAAAGCAGCCATGGCGACTCTGATGGCTACTACCACATCGCCGGCCCCCACAGGATACCTATTGGTCATACGGGAGCTTTTCTGCTCAGCGCACATCTTCGGAACCAAGGACCTCGGCTTCATGCCGAATGCTTTGCTTGAGATGAATGACATGCCGGATATCTCGTCCGAATCGGAGGAAGTGCCACGGTCATCAATCATTCCCATTGCTCATGTGACATGGCATGATATAACAGAACAATGCCCGAGGTTCATGATGCCCTGTTAGGTTGCCCACCACACAACTGATATCCTGTATCAAGAAGCAACCTTCGAGTTCCCCCAAGGACTTCTCTTTCAAGTGAAAGGATGAGAGACGTTGATTTATTCCTTTAACATCTGTTATTTAACTCGGCTTCTGGAATACCAGGATACCTGCAGGATCTGTGGATGTACATTTTCTTCTCTAATCGAGACCACGGCCAAGATCGTCCATGGCGTCATTTAGGGACCCCGAAAATGCCCCGCCATTCCAGGAACCGCTGGCGAGTTTGGAAATCAACGACTCATGATATGCGCCTTTTGTGTATACACGAGCCTAGAAATATGGCTTCTAAGTAATAGAAGCCATACCTATCTAATATCCTTTCCTTTCATACCATTATCATAAACAACCTGTTTGTTTATTCTGTATATCACCACGCGAATCTCACTCTTTCTTAGCTTTCGACACCACTACCCCTCCCCCACTAAACTCGTATCTTGCAATACCGCTTCAACAGTTCATCTACAACTCTTTGCACACAAATCTTGACGTTTACGCAAAAATGGCAGACTTGAAACCCCGGAAACATGCTGTTGACTCGCCCAAAGGTATGATACCGTCTTGCAATCTTTGAAAATCGACGTTCTAACCGCAACTCTTAGTCTGGACGACACTCATTACCAATCTCAACTACTTGTCTGGCCTCCTCACTCTCGACCACTCTCTCCGCGCCGCCAACTCTCGATACCCTCTTGTAGCTCTTTACACCGACTCGTTTCCTCCCGAAGGCCATGCCGCTCTCCGCGCTCGTGGTATTCCCATGCAGCACATCCCCTACCTGCTCCCTACTAAGGGCAAGGACTACTCGAATGACCCCCGGTTCTACGACTGCTGGAGCAAGCTCGCTCCATTCTCCTTGACCGAATATGAGCGCGTTGTTCAGCTTGACTCGGATATGCTCGTTTTGCGCAACATGGACGAGCTGATGGAGCTCGAGCTAGACTCTCCTTCGATAGCTGAGACAGGCGACAAGACCATCAGCAAACGTGTATTCGCAGCCGGTCATGCCTGTGTCTGCAACCCTCTCAAGAAGCCTCACTACCCTAAGGATTGGGTTCCTGAGAACTGCGCTTTCACATCGCAGCATTCAACACCCGATGCCGCGCAGACGGATGCTGCGGACCCGTCTGTTGGTCCACTAGGCTTTATGAACGGTGGGCTACAGGTCGTCAACCCTTCTCAGGGCCTCTACGCACAAATAGTCGCCCATATGGAGGCTGACGCGACCAACATGGATTTCGCAGATCAGTCACTTCTGTCAGACCTGTACCGCGAGCGCTGGGTTCCCCTGCCCTACATATACAATGCGCTCAAGACGCTGCGATGGGAGGGAGTGCACAATGCTATTTGGAGGGATGAGAGCGTCAAGAACATTCATTACATATTGAGTCCTAAACCCTGGGATGAGATCAATGATAAGGGTGAATGGACGGGTAAGGAGGAGAGCCACAAGTGGTGGATCGACGCCAACCGTGCGAGAAAGGATTTGGAAAAAGAGAAGGGTATCCCTGAGGATAACTTTTGAAGATCTAGGAGATAGTCGAAGGATGATGTGGGCGAGGCGTTGATGGTACAGATAGCTTAAGCAGTTTTGAATAGTAAATATGGACTGAAGAACACCAAAATTAATTTTGACGCCGAGTCTTCCATTCTGTGACAGGTATCTATACTGAAAAGAGCTAACCACCACAAACCATAATCGAAACGTTGAAAACACATAGAACCGACCCTAGGAAATCCAACCCCAAGCTTTAACAAGAATATGATCACCCAACCAAAATCTGCCTTGTCCAAGGTCTATGTTGCGTATCCCGTTTTTGCCGATCTATCATAGATGACTACATAAGCATAAGCATAAGCATAAGCATAATCTCCAAAACAACAAGGTATGCCCCCGTTCCGAGCACCTTTGGCTATATGCTGACTTGATAACAAAACATTGCAATAAAGTGTAAAAAGAACATGCAAGACTAGAGACACCTTTGACGCTCCAGAAGCGATTGGTATCTGAATATCAGTACGCCACAAAATGCTCTCGTTGTTCTTGCCCCTGTATCAGTCCAGGACATGCGCAGAGCCGTGGGAAAACGGCTTAGTATTGTTTGTATTTCTGCCAATATGTTAGTATATATGACGAAGTAGTAAGACTAATGACTCACCTCCTCAATTCTTCGTCGGTTGTTTGGATCAATCGAGTTGGTTGCTCCCATCAGAGTCTGTCCGATGGCCCTTGTGACGCCAACAGCTGGCCGGAAGATGATAGTTGGTGCTCGTCTTAAGACAGCCTTCGCAGCACCAGAAGCTGAAGAGCTCTCCATTACCTCACCTGGAACAGCGATGATGGCGTCACGCACAAGATTCACATCTCTGGCAAGAGATCGGTATCCGCCCCGGATACCCGAAATCACGCCTGTAGGTTGATCTGCGTAGAGGGAGATTTGCCTCTGCTCCTCGGGGTCCACATCATCCTCATCCCAGCCTTCGTATACCTGTTGAGGATCCGAAAGCATGCCCTCAGCACTTTGCAAAGCATATTGTGTACCGTTGGCAAGTTTGGCACCAAACTTTACCAACTCGGTACCTGTGGTACGAGCAAAGGCAGTGGCACCCTTGGATATGCTGCGAATGATACGGCCATCTTTCTTGTATTCGCGAATGGGCACCTCCACAAGATCCCTGAAGCCACTGCCCACGTTGACAATGGAACGAACTGGTGCAAGTCCAGCCAAAATGCCAGGAAGTTGGTTTGCTTTGACATCAGGCGTCCAGATATCATTGAGGGTATTGCCGAGCTTTTCGAAACCAGAAATGCCGTAGATAATCACATGGCGGAGAACCATTCTGGCCTCTTCGAGGACAATGAAGTTCATGAACTCGGTGGTATGTCCAGATCGGAGACCAGCATAGTCCACTCGCTTTGGTTTAAAGTCGAGCTTAACTGCCACGTTATTAACCTCAGCCCTTTGCAAGAAAGGCACGTCACTCTTAGAGGTGTGAACAGGAACTTGGTCGTCCTTGAACTCGAAGAACCGTGTAATGAAGTCAAGAGCATCCTGGTCAACGTGAAGTCTCAAGGGTAGAATAGTCGCTCGCAGCACAATCTCAGATGCTTCAAGTGATGGTTGAGGTTTGACGTTAAGCATTTCGAGGTGAACCATGCTGGTGCCCATCTCCCTCTCTCCCATGTCTTGATCATATGTAGCAAACTTCTTCCATGTCGAAGTTGGGACATGGTCGAAAACGTCAAGGTTGTTGATGCGAACATCAATGCTGTTGAGTGTTTCTCCAGAATCAGGTGGGAAGACAAAGACGTCCGCATCCACACCCTGCAACTCGAAGGTGATTTTATGGTGCTTGCTGCGCTTAAGCTTCAGTCGCTTTGACCTGGGTTGTCGGGTGCGTGCTGTCCTATTTGTGGCTGCCGTATAGGCTGTGGTAGCAACAGATTCAGTCTCTGTTGCGTTATCGTTCAGGCCTTCATTGATGGCTCGAGATAGCTCCTGGGGATCGCGATTGGCCGGGATGCCTATGTAGATCGAGTTAAAGAGGAAGTCTCCGATAGCCTCTTCATCCTCCAACTCCTCCTCGTACACATGAACTTGGCCAGCGCGAGATTGTCGTTCATACGCCTTTGCCTCAACATCATGGACTGCCTTTGTTATAACGTCCCGTGTATGAGCCCAGTCGTAGCCATCAAAGAGATTCCATATAACATGGACATCCCGTACTGAGATTTTCACAGGGCTGCGCTTTACCAAGCTACTTGGAGCTTGATCGTAGCTGTTCTTTTTCGAGTTCCAGACTTTGGCGTTGCTATCCTTTGAAGTGCCGCGGTCATAGTAATCCTCCTGAATGACCAAGTCATCTGAATCGACCGTTTGCTGACTTGTTGACCCGAAACCAGTCAACAATACACCCTCATTGGTATCTTTCATTTGAGGACCGCCAGATCGGTGCGACCCATGTGAGATGATCGAGCTGCTCGTTGCGTCAAATAGCTCCTCAGCAACTGGCTCCTCGTCGTAGAATTGCGACTCAACCTGCAATGGGCTGTCTGTGTTAAAGTCTGCCTCCGAACCACTTCCTGCCATTTCTTGAGCTCCGGCAAAGTCTTGATCAAAATCGTACTCGCCCTCGGGTCGACCAAAAGCTTCAGCAGATATCGAAGCAAGGAGATCTTGCATAGGAACAATGTCCGTGAGATATTTGTTCTCTTTGCTTGGCGGAGTTGGAGGTTTAAGAGCATTGGCTAACGAGATAAGAGTCTGTGTGGAATCCGCACATGTTTCGAGAACAAGAAGATCATCCTTAAGCTCGACATTGAGTTGCTTCTCACCATCATCAAGTTCCTTGACATCAATGACGACCTTTGCAGACGAAATGTAGCAGATGTCAACGTATCCTCTCGCACACATGTCCGCTACCTGGCGAGATGTTGAAGAAGAAGCTCTGGGTCGTTGAGCAGTCGGTAGTTCGTCCTTTGTGATCTCGTTGACATCGTTAATAAGTAGGATGGACGACTTGTTGATGGTGAAAACTGCATTGGTTTCCACGTCCTTGGGCAAAATGGCGACAAGATGAGCGTCTGTAAGAGCAATCACCATCTTGGAAGGTTGCCCCAATGGGTTGAGCCCAAAGAGACAATCCCGGAACCCAATATCCAAAGTCATCGGCTTTCCACCCTTGGTTTTCTCTCCGGGAGAGCCAGGCTGGCGGGCCAAAGCGTGGTGCGCTTGATCACCCAGGTTTGCTACCGAAGCAGCAAGACTGGCTTCAAAGTCTTGTGGGGTTGCATCTTCTCCTAGTTCGAGGAGATCCATTATGGTAGGGACGCGATATTCAATGCACAAGTCTTGCATCTTCAATTTGACCACTGGCTCGATCTCATCACCGATCATTCGCACCATCAATACTGGATTGCGGAGTGAAATTTCCTTGAGACCATACGATGCTGAGTGGACGAGTTCTTCCGAATGGTTCCTCTTGACTGAAATATCATGCACAGCCAAGGCAACGAGTGAGGGAACGGAAATATGGCCGACATGAAGATCCTTGATATCTGCACCCAGGTGACCCAGCTTGTCACCAAAGTCTAGGCTCAGAGCAGCCTTGTTGATTTTACTTAAGGTTAGCAAACCAGGGCGGTCGTCCTCAGGTAAATACTTGGCAACAGTGGAAAGCTTTGCGAGTTCTTCACCCAGATTCGGCAAGACGGAGAGTTGCGACATGTTCTGGACACGGACGTTAACCGTGTCAACAGTGAGCCTCAAAACCGAGCCCTTTCTTCTTTGGCGTAGCAACGTGTCCACCATGATCTCATCGTTATCGTTGTCAAACTGGTGCTTTGAAGGAATAATGAGCTCCAGCAGTCTCTCAAGGTCCGAATCCTTGGGCGCTGTTAGGAACTCGATTCGGACGCCGCCGACTTCGGCGCTGATAGGGGGATCGGCCGTCGAGTTTTTTAGATATGGTCCTGACACTCTCATCATACTGCATGCCATGCCTATAACCTCATCTCGGCTTACAATCTTGATGGCACTCGTCTCAGCGGTCATGCTGCAATCTTTACCCACAAGTTCCACCCAGGCTCCTCCAATACGCAGATTAATCTTATTGTCAGCTGCCGCAGATTTGTCGTTCGGGTCAACTGGAGTATCGAACCGGACCCCCCGAGGCTTCTGCGCAGGAGCAGCTATCTTGGGGGTTGGCGCAGGACTTGATGCGATGGAAGCACTCATATTAAGGAAGCTGCTTAGACCACCAAACCAACTGAAGGTCTCGTCGAGTCGTCGTAGATCAAGCTGGAAAACAAGAGGCAGTGTTTGTACCTCTGTTTTGGTATTGCCACCTGATTGAAGAATCTTGATGCTAACATCAGAGCCTGCCGACAAGAATGTCTCTCTGACAGATGTGCTCATCGGCCTGCCGCTGTCAAAGGATATGATGTCGCCATTTGCATACCCAAAGCGGAACTTTTGCAAGTCTATCTTGGTCAGCACGGCTGGTTGCGCTGTCAACTTACCCTTTGTGACGGGCGGAGTTGCAATCTCAGTTTGAGAGATGGAGATGGTCAAGTTTTGTAAGGTTGTGTTGAGTAACACCTCCTGATCGAAGATGAACGCGGATGGATCCATATACCGTTCAGGGGTATCTGAAACCCCGCCCAAACGATTCACGAAATCGAGTTTGATCTCATCGAGCGTTATTTTGACATCGGGTGTCTTCTTTGCGTTTGATTCCTTCCTGTTCTCCTGAGCTGGTGGTGCCTGCTTGTCTTTGATGGCGTCTAAGAGCTTGCCAACGACCATAGCAAGCAAAAATCCAAGAGAAGCATCGAAGCGGAGGTTTATGGGCGACAAGTTCACTTCAAGAGTGTCGTCAACGTTCGTAGCCCCTGGCGAGTAATGGTGTGTAGATGCAGCGCCGTGCATCGAAAAGGCACCCGGAGCTTGAGGATAAGCTGATCGCCTTAAAGACTGTGACAGTTGCGCCACGGACTCTGCTGACGCAGGCTGAACATTCAGGTGCTGATGCTGCGATGGTATATATATGGAGATGGTCTTAAGATTCAGAATCTCCTTGACCAGGCGTGTCGGGCCCTTGGGAGTGGTGACGTCGTCTTGCTGTTTGGGTGGGATATTTGAACTTCCTGGCTCAACATCGGTGAGGCACGCTCTTGAGAAAGCAGGCTCAGAAGATCCGCTATCAGATGCATTGGCAGATACATCCGAATTTCTATTGCGGTAGGCCGAGCGTCTTAGTGTGGTTGATGGAGCGAGATTTGTTTCAGGAGGAGATTCATCATAATCGTCGTTCCATGCGCCTGGTATAAAGTCCTTGGGCCTCTGTTCTTCTTCCACAATATCCGGAACATCTTCTACAAGGGGGCTTGGAGGCTTGTCGTCGGACGTGTAAGACTTGGTCAGGTCTTCAACATCGGATTTTGCATCTGTGTCTGGATTGCTTGGCTCTGGTAAGTCCTCCTCCTCCTCTTTGACTATTTCGTCTGGCAAATGTGGCGAGGGCAAACTGTCATGAGCAGGTGATGGTGGCGAAAATGCCGCGGGTTGAGCATTAGTCTGTGAAAAGGCACTCATGTACATACTTTCTGCTTCCTGATGAGTATACATATGTGATTGTGCGAGATCCTCGGTCGACCTGGCGCCAAAGCTCTCGCTTGATGACGTTCGACTGAGTTGTTCATTCGGAATACTCGCACTAGAAGTTTCTAGACTGAGCCGTGTTGCTGGGTTTTCGAGATTAGGAGCTGATCTGGCTTCTCGTTCTGCGTTGGTCCACACAGGGCGTTCATTTTCTAAGGCGGTAGAATGAGAGACGTGTTCTCCGGGAAGCAATGTCGAGTGAAACAAAGAGTCCTCAATAGATCCATTATTGAAGTCATGATACATCGAGGCCCGAGGAGTTGCTGGGCTGTCTTCTGCGTCGTCGTCTTGTGGGCTCGAGAACTCATACGGGATGCCAAGGGCATCCTCACTGTCACCAAGAGGGTATTCGTGTTCTGGGGATTCGTGGTCCATGAAATAATCTTCCTGGAAGCTTTGTTGTGAGTCGGCCAAAGGGTCGTCGTCCTGGAGGCTCGAAAGCGAGGAGTTCAAAAGCCGCTGATCAATACTGTGTTGTGAAGAATCAGCGAGTTCCTCATGCTGCTGTGAGTAGAGTGATGGAGAGTCCTGGTTATGGGATCGAATGCTCGCTTGCGACGATGCTACTGATTCCTCATCAAGACTAGCCTGGGAGAGTGAAGTGGTCTGGCGCGATGGCGGATTTCGGGTCATGGCCGGAGAAGAAGCAAGAGATGGCGATGCCACTGAAGGAGATCTCACTAAAGCAGAGAAGACATTTGCTTCGGAAATGAGATATGCCCGTACGTTTGATAGCGAGACATGTCGCTTGCCCTCCTTGGGTACGATGGTGGGTGATCCGTTAGCATCATATGAACGAGTAGTCACGCCTTCGACGTCGATACCTTCAAGCGCAACTTGAAATGATACCACCTCAGTCGTAGTCGCATTTGGCTCAATGGGAACCTCGACGTCAAGCTGGAAATTGACACCCTTTATCCTGACCTGCATGCGGTCGACAATGCCCTGTAGGAAATCGGCCAGAAAGGCGGGAAGGGAAAGGGACTGGCCCGTCCCATAGGCCAGATCCTCTTCGCTGCCATCATCGCTCATAGAGACTGAGGCACCTAGGTCCTGGGTTTCGGCCGCGAGGGCATCCTCAAGTTTCCGGCGCTCGGATTTTGGTTGTGTCTCGAGGAATGACTGGGCTAGATCGACGGTGTTAGGGACGGCGACAGTCTCCTCTGGTGTCCTTGTCCCGGATGAGCGATTCGGCTTGGATTCTGTGCCTACAACTTCCAGTGCAATATCAACGCCATCGACCTCGACTATTATAGGACTTGTATAAAAGTCCATCGGGATGGTGACTCGTAGAAGCAAGACCTTTGCTTTTCGCAACTTGAACGTATCGGGCAGCTGCAGCAGCTTGTTGAGTTTCTACGGCAAGACATCAGCCACCAAGGTTCTGTACTATTGGCATGATTACTGAAACCTACATTCAGCTTAATTCCAACATCACGAAACTCAAGAACAGTATTCCTTCCTATAGCCAAATCGAGGTTGTCCATATCAAGGGCTTCGGCATCGAGGAGTTCTAGTCGCGACAAGGCATACCGGAGCAGCCTCTTTGGCATGGAGGAGCTCCGGAATGACTGGAAGAGGGTCGCCATGATGTCGTCGTTGGACAAGATCGAGTCGGGTTACGGGGGTGGCGATGACTGCCCGCGCAGCCCGAGAGAGAGGTGATGAAGAAAGATGACAGACAGAAAACAACTGCCGTGTTTGATTAAGATTATCGACAAGTTGAAGTATCGTCGTCGTCTAGGCAGGGGCCCTCGTCGACGTCTATCGGTCGGTAGCTTGAGTACCCCGGCGAGATGCGGGGCCGTAGGTCATGTTTCGAGGAAACGTGAGTCCATGAGATGAATGCGGGAGAGAAATAACAGATAGAAGAAAAAGTCCTCAGATATTTTTAGAGATGAGAAACTATATTTGCTGCTTTGAGCTGTTAATGCGTGGCTTGAAAGGCTAAGGTAAAATAACAAAAAGATAGAGTTGGCAAAAGGTGTCGAGGCACACTTCCCAAAGAGTCGGGTCACCGTCACAGCGTCACACAGTCACGACATGGACATGAGTGATGGCTGAGGCGGCAACGGGCAAGTGGGGGAGATAGACAAGTAAGTACACTGTAGTGGCCGCAGCTGGAGGCCAAAAGTGGAGCAAATATAGCCTAATGCAGTCGAGCTACAGGCCATCTACAGGCGGCAGAGGGCCTGGAAACAGTTCCGCCTGGACCCTGGTTATCGCTCCCCCATGCGCTAAATCCACTAAGAACCATGAGGCTCGTGACTTAATTTCTAGGATCCCGTCGTTTCGAGCGAAGCGCAAAAACAGCTGGTCCCAAAATATGGATGAATGATGTGTCGACAAGGGGATCTACAGGGTCGTCATTTGACCTGTGAATTACGCTCTTAGTGGGCGATACGAGTCGCGCAACCTCCTAACACAACTCAATCCGATAACGTCGACTCACAAGCAACACCATCAGATTGCACTGCCATGTGGTGGGCGCGTCATTAATGCTACAACAAGTGCTGCATGTCCTCCTTTGACTCATGCATGTTTTGTTGCTTTGATGGGATTTGGTTGTGAAACCTGTGATGTGTTAGGCTTGCTTTACCTGGTGGTCAAGGCAGCTGCCTGCAATTCAAAGCGACACAATCGTCGATCTCTTTCTTCAGTGCCTTGATAGTCTGAGACCTACACATACACAGCCTGTCACGCGGTCTTTGTTGCTAAGAATCTGTCGACAGCCACAAGGGCATGTCATCTATTGCAGCATACATAACTGGAAGCATACGACAAAGCCTTTGCTAGTCATTGAAGACATTCCCAAATCTATAACTCCTTACTTGGATCGTCCATAAGCCTCCGCTATTCTCTTTCCGACCGCTTCACCGCTCCAATAGGCTCCAGTCGCTGTGCCTAGACCGACAAACGGCGCCGTGTGCTCGCCCGCCAGCCACAATCCATGGTCCGGCATACCCTCCCGCATAGTCCGAATGTCTGTATCGCCCTCTTCCAAACCAACCTGAAAGTTGCTGTAGCTTCCAAAACCCGCCAGCTCGTCGTTGAGCCAGTCCGTAGCCATGAAGCCAGAAGGCTGGCAGTCAGGGCTGCTCTCTGCATAGTGTGGCAGTAGCGAGTAGTAGGGCTTGAAGAAGTTGAGAAGAAACTCATCCTTCTTCTGCGGATCTGATATCTTAGACAGCTCGCCGGTGATGAACTGAGATTGCTCGCCGTAGGTGTAGAATAGAAGTGTAGGATGTGATACTTCTGGGCCAAGGCTTGCGAGTTCCACCACCTCCTGATTCCACCTCTTTGGGTTTGTGTCAGAAACATATTTCGGAGACAACCACTGTACAAATCCCTCGGCTTTTCGATCGTCATCTTTACTACCAAGCCAGTAAGCTTTGGGAAAGTTGATATATACTTTTTCAAGGCAGCCGTAGCCGATGGAGCCAATCGCCTTGGTCAATCGCGCTGGCAGCGCAGGCTCGAAAGCATCAAGGTTCCCTTTTAGCCACCCCAGAGGTGCGGTCACGACAACCTCGTCAAATTCAAGTGTCTGGCCACTTTCCGTTCGGACTTTGGCCTTTTCCTCGGGTTTTGTTCTGTATGATATTCTGTCCACCTTGGTTTGGTACTTAATCTCAGCACCCTGGAGAGCGGGTTTCGCGATCTCATCTAGAATCTTCTTATAAGTGCCTGAACAGAACAAATTTTCTAGTAACAGTTAGCCAAACCATTCCCCTCATGGCAATGTTATTATACGTACCACCTTCTATGCACTCCTCAAGCCAAAAGAACTTGAGACTCTGCCTGTAAATAGGGCTGCCAATAAAAGCACCCCACATCTCAGATATTTGCATAATGAGGCTTCGTTTCCTCTCGTGGTCAGCCTCGGTATCGGGTACCTTCTCAGCTACTCGTTGTACGAAAAAGTCATGAAGACTTTCCTTGGAGTTGATATCTTGCGAGTTGCTATTAGAGTGCTGGAAGGCGTCTTGCACGATATCCCACACAATGGTAGAGTACTTTTCGCCATCTTTGAGCGATAAGAGCTCGCCAGACTCAGTGAAAACGCAGGAAGTCGAGTCCCAATCGCCAACAACTGTATTCGTCTGCTTGGCCAGATCCAGCATAGGGTTATCGTCAGTTCCGTGTATCCAGTTAGGCCCAACATCGGCCAGATGTCCATTAGGTAGGACTTCCTGATGTAGACGACCACCAATACGATTCCGAGCTTCTATTATGGTGACTTTGAATCCATTCTGGATGAGAACATCTGCGCATCTTAGACCAGCAAGGCCAGCACCAATCACAGCAATGTGTGGTTTTGAGGTAAGATCAGCCCTCCAACGCTATGAACTTGGTGATCAGCGGTGCTTTGGAATATGTAAGAGGCTGGGGTTGAGACTGCCGATATCACGGAACTCCAAAATGGCGCCAATGATGTGAGACAATATCACAACGACTCGTGTTTCTGAGGGAGTTTCTTTTACATACCTGTTCCGAACTCCCCATAGTTGCAAATTTCCTTAAGAACTTATCCTGCTCAAAGCCAACGCGAGTATGCGGTCGAGTAGACCAAAGATCCTGGTAGATCTTGGAAGTATGCCTAGCGGCGGGACTAGTGCAGCATATCGAGTAAGCATCCATGCTCAAAAACGAGATGTATTGGCCGTAGGGTTTATGTGTAGTTGTGGGTGTTGAGTGAGTGCAACAGGAGATGAACTACTGGACTTCCAGTAGCAGAGGAAGATCAAGATATGTAAGGACTTGACAAGGTGCAATAGGATGGGCGGGGAATTCTTGAGCACTCTCGATTGGAGAATATAAGCCTCAAGACTTGACAAGGTAGGTCACCGGGTGTCACAGCCATGTCGGACGAAATTGGTATCTGGCTACCAAAGTTCCGGATTAAATGACAACTCAAAGTGGGCTAGATACCATGACGATGACGATCACGAGGGAATACTATGCACCACTTGATGGGGAGAGGGAACTGAGCGTGTGGTGTCTCGCCTGTGTTAGCTCTATGTTGTTTGGGTTTAGGAAACCTCCAGCCAATTATCAGACAGGAACAGAGTTGTGTCAACCTGAGCGGTTTATACCCTCTAAAATGAAGAAAACAAAAGGACGGCTCAAAGTCAATAGTCGATCGGCTTAGACCGTTAAACAAGCGGGTGCAGGGGTAGATGCAGCCATGTACGCCTCTGTGCTTTAGCATGAGCCTTAACTCGACCTAGCAGACCTCGCCATTGAAAATAATTGATAAGAGAACTCATAGCAGGCAGAAGAGAAAAGTGAGGCGGGCATAGTCTCAGAATAGACATGGCTATCTGACTGATAGAGACCCGATTGTTCAGAAAAGAACGATAGGCTGGTAACACAAAACCACTTAGAGAAAACAGGCAAATAACCAAGCCAATGACGACTGAGAAACGATGCTCATGGGGCATGGGGACAAGACAAGGCCCGTCGTTTGATATACAGCCCAGGTGCCCCTCAAAAGGCCTCTGCAGATCCAGAATCGAATCGCGGGCCCTGCCGATTGCCAAGCCGTACTAGGCAGCAAAAATACAGAGCTCACAGTTTAAACGCAAGCCAGGACATGTAAGCCCGAGGGAATATTGCTAAGAGTGAATGCATGGTCTGAAAGAGACAAGAAGAACTGATACGTACTGCGGTGAGACACGAAGTTGCAGATAAGATTAGGCCAACCGGAGTAAAGAATTCGGCATAACCTTTGGAAGGGTCTGTGTGGATATGAGAATTACATCGAGCTCAGACAAAAAAGAAGAAAAAAGGTTTGAGGCAATCATCAAGACTTTGTTGAATTCTGGCGGCGTGGGGCTACATGACTAACGCAATTAAGCGTGAATTGATAAACTTTGGGTTGTCTACAATATGGAATCTTGTATCCATTCTTTGTTTTGCCATTTGGTATAGGGTATTCTCAACACAGGAAGTTCGAGATGACGTTGACCAATACTCAAGTGTACCTGGCAGATTTCACTGCAAAGTTAACACTCTCTGAAGCCTCGCCTCCTGCCAATAAACAATGGAAGGGTCGAGTTTGGCACCCGCTCACACACAATTCACTGCAATTTCAACCCACTCAGACCGGATCTGTACTTTGTGAACCCCTGCCTCGACTCGACGGGGATCGAATAAACAATACGTGTACCTGAGCGGGTCCGTGGTCTTGAATGGCCACGACTATAACCAAGTCGAGAAACTGACCTAGGGTATATCCGCATATTCAATATTTATTATACCGAGGAAAGATGCGGCTCAGTCTAGATTGAGACGTCTATTTCCTTAACTCATGTATCATGTGCAAATTGTATCGGCCCCGCCCCCGCAAAATGGCAGTGAAGCCGCTGAGGCCAATGGGAGACTTTGTATTTCATCACGATAGGCCCACTTAGTCGGTGCCGAGGTTCGAGGCCATCGTCATCCGGGGTAAGGTAAGGACTAATTGTCTGGGCGCGTGCGATGTGATAAGAACAGCTAGAGCTAAAACCTTCTGTCTCTTAGTCTTACTCTTTCTTCGCTTTCTCCTTCTCCTTCTCTCATCAAACACCATCGATCCTTTACCCTTTCTTTGTGTGATACCCCCCAGAACCACTACAGCATCATGAGTCCTCCCTCAGACACCTTCTCCCGCGAGGAGGTCCGCTCGCATACCTCCGACGAGTCTCTGTGGTGCATCATCGACAGCACAGTCTACGACTTGACAGACTTTGTTGACGCGCATCCTGGTGGTGAGACTGTCTTGCGACAAGTTGCCGGTCAAGATGCCACAACCGCCTTCTACAACCTCCACCGACACGAGGTTCTCACAAAATACAAGGACCTCGCCATTGGCACCGTCGAGGGCGAGAAGCCCCAAGTCATTACTCCACAGCCCGGTGACCTCAGCCAGGTCCCTTACGCCGAGCCCCTGTGGCTTGCAGAGCCTTTCCGTTCGCCCTACTACAACGACAGCCACAGGCGACTGCAGCGCAAGCTCAGGGAGTTTGTCGATAGCGAGCTGTACGCCGAGGCGCAAGAGTGCGAGGCTACTGGACGTTACATCAGTCAGAAGATGATCGATCGCATGAGCGAGTTGGGCATTTTGCACATGCGCATTGGTCCTGGAAAGCATCTGCATGGTGTCGATCTCATGGGAGGTGCGGTCAAGGGCGAGGAGTTTGACTACTTCCATGACTTGATCGTGGCACAGGAGCTTTCGCGGGCTATGGCCCGAGGTTTTGCAGATGGTAACATGGCTGGTATGACCATCGGCTTGACAGCTGTCCTCAACTTCGCTCGCGATGAGGTGTGGAAGAAGAAGATTTCCGATGAGGTCTTCAGCGGCAAGAAGAAGATCTGTCTGGCCATTACTGAGGCCTTTGCCGGCTCAGATGTCGCCGGACTGCGCACGACTGCCGAGAAGACGCCCGATGGCAAGCACTACGTAAGTCGAACACTGCTCTACGACCAGCGATAGGGAACTGACGCGAACTAGATCATCAACGGAACAAAGAAGTGGATCACCAACGGTGTTTGGTCAGATTACTTTGTCACCGGCGCCCGAACCGAGAAGGGCTTGAGTGTTTTCCTTATCGAGCGCGGCGAGGGTGTCGAGACAAAGCAGATCAAGACCTCTTACTCTACCACAGCCGGTACTGCTTTCGTGACGTTCGATAACGTCAAGGTGCCAGCTGAGAATATGCTGGGCCAGGAGAACAAGGGTATCCAAGTCATTCTTAGCAACTTTAACCACGAGCGTTGGACTATGGTTTGTAAGTTTTACCTCCTCTTGACTATCGCCATAAGCTTTGACCAGAGCTAACCCAATCAATAGGTGGAAGTCTTCGTCTGTCAAGATGCATCGTCGAGGAGTGTCTTAAGTGGAGTAACCAGCGTCAAGTGTTTGGCAAATCACTGATTGACCAACCCGTCATTCGTCAAAAGTGAGTTCTCCTTTCATTCTATCTATGTCCTCAGCTCTAACATCTCGCAGACTTGCCAAGATGATCGCACTCGTCGAGGCCAACCAATCCTGGCTCGAGACCGTCACTTACCAGATGTGCCACATGCCCTACAAGCAACAAGCACAGCACCTCGCCGGCCCCATCGGTCTACTCAAGATGAGCGCTACCCGTGCTGCCCATGAGGTTGCCGACGAATCTGTACAGATCTGGGGTGGCCGAGGTATCACCCAGACTGGCATGGGCAAGTTCATCGAGATGTTCCACCGAACGTACAAGTTCGATGCCATTCTTGGTGGTGCCGAGGAGGTCTTGGGAGATCTTGGTGTGAGACAGGCCATGAGGAACTTCCCCAAGGCCATGTTGTAAGATGAAAGTGGAATGCATATTGGCTATCTTACTTAACCTTGTATCATTTAAGCATATCTATCAATTGAAGCGATCCTTCCTGTTTCATCAAAGTGTGTATGCCTTGTAGTGTATTAAATCTTATATTTTGCTTAGCGATCATTCTTCAATGTAGACAGTAAATAAGGTTAGTCTCTTCCTTTGCTAAAGAACAGGCATCATGGCTTTGAGACTGTGAGTAAAATCAGAAAATGAATATTGGTGTTTGAGGTCAGTCTTGGTGTTTCTTAGAACGGCAATGAAATTGCTGAAATCCACGACAAACACTTCCCGTAAATCTATGATGTCTTAACATTGGTATTTCAAGCTCATTATTATAAATCCAGGAGCTCACTTCGAGCTTTCTAACTCGGGGGAACTAATTTCTATTTTGAAACCGACTCTAGTTACTTGTATTTGGCTTATAATATTCACGAAAGAGTAAATCTGATATGATTCGATATTCATTTCAGTAGTGAAATAATAAACCACCTATTGGGTTAAGAATTATCCTATAATAATTACGGGCAGTATGTATGAGATAGATTTTACGGTAGCATTAAGTATAGTATTTGAAGAATAGGCAATGATCTCCTGAATCGAATGAAATTCCAGCAAGCAATTTACCTCAGCAATCCACTTTCTACCACAAGGAATATCGCTGGAAGTATCCTTTAGGGATTAGTTCGGACGAGGCATAGTTTCTCAGATATAGACCAGCAGCAAGTGTTGTCAGGGCTGAGTGAGTGTCGTTTTCTGACATGCAATTGGCGACCAGCAGAGACCTATATTCCTCAGATGGGAGCTTTTATTCTACTTAGAGGGAAACGCTTACCTGGGAGTATGAGTTTAATCAAGCTTGGTTGCATAGTTGGTAACAAACTTGTTTGTAATTCATATATCCCAAAGACCACCCAAATTTCTTGCGTTGAATTCTTAGAAGCAGAAGGGAATTATGAATCCAGTTTTGATTATTATGAATACATTATATCTTGGGTTATACCCCATTAAGACCCTCATGCTCATTCCTTATTTGCTATCATAAGATCGTCCTATGACATAGGGGCTGTCGCCCAGGCCCTATCCATAAGTGATCGAATCGCCAAAATATACTCCTTCGGTGGCCTGAAGTTCTTGAGATCATAGATAGATCTTAAAAAATGGTTTGTAATGTTCTGCTGGCAAGTTGGAACAGTAGCTGTAGTAGTAAGGTAAGAGTCTATGAAGCATTTGTGCCCGATCTAGCAAGATTCTTCGTCAATGTGCGCTTGAACCATCCGGCTGCTTCAATATCAACTGAACTTGATACTAGAAACAAGACATATCTATGCCGAGAAACATCGTTAGTAGTACACGAACCTAGTTCCGGTTTGATCGAGATCTAGGATACTCGAATCTTCTTGAATATGCCCGGGTTATGTATATCCGTCTGGAGTTGGGTTTATATCACCAATAGCTCACAGATAACCCCCGTCAACAGGCTGGATTGAATTGTCGTTTAACTCTTAGCCCGGTGATTTATGCCGGCTTCGTTTGAACGGCGCAACACCCCTTCTATCGGGATTGGTCTTCATCCTCTACACCCGTGCCCAACTGCCTTTGACGCAGAGCAGTTATCGACAATATCGAAACACACAGTCACACCAGGTTGAAATTTCCACATCGGGATCAACACATTTCATCTCGACTTGACTACCAAAGAGGCACACCCAGCTGCCCTCAGCTTGGGCTCCCCACCAGGAGCAAGTTATCCGAACACCAGAAGCGTTGAGAAACTTGCTTGCAAACCGCCAAATATTTTTCTTTTTGATCTCGTCACTCCTCACCCGTCACCATCCGCCTCTCTCTCAAAGTCGAGTCGTATTAATGGTCGTAGTCGTTGTTCGTTGTGTGACGAAATCCAATGCTGATATGTTCCAATCCAGGCTGGGCACCGCCAGCCAATTGTCGAATTTCGCGCGCGTATCGTTTTGTGAGCCGCCATTCTGCCGTGATGATCATGAAGGTCGTGCGAGAGAAGATGAACTTTTGTTAAAGATGCCGTAAAAGAAGTAGGAAATAAATCGTCCGTGGGTATCAACGAGTCGCCACGTCAACCTCGTCTCAGTCATTATGCCGAGATATCAAGCCACCGTTTTAGTTTCCGGGGCACTGAGACTGGACGTGTCCGGGCTGCTGGCACTTGTAGCAGATCTTCTCGCCGCCAGCAGACTCCTTAGGGCAGTCGCGGGAGTAGTGGCCGGACTCGCCACAGTTGTAGCACTTCATGCCGTTGACACACTCGCCTGTTCACTCCGTCAGTCAAATGATAAGCCTAGCGGTAGATATGAAACTCACGAGACATGTGGCCGAAACCACCGCAAGAGTAGCAGGTCTTGCCGGCACCGCCACCGTAGCCGCCAGCGTTGCCGCCGAAGTTGTTGTTACCACCGAAGGAGGACTTGGTGCAGTTGCGGGCAATGTGACCGATCTCGCCACACTGGACAATTGTTAGTCATCTGGCATCTGTCTAGCTGAAAGAGTGAGAATTTACCTTGTAGCACTCAGTGGCCTGGCCAGTGCCACCGCTCATGGGGCAGTCGCGGGAGATGTGACCGGGCTGGCCGCACTTGTAGCAGGACTTGTTGTCCTTCATGGGCTCAGTGCAGTCACGGCCTGTAGGGGATTAGCGATTGTATAAAAAAAGGAGGTAATAAAAACGTACTCATGTGGCCCTCGCCTATAGTGAGACAGGTTAGTTTGCAGAATTCCAGCTTGTGATCATGAATCAGTTTTGCTTACCACCGCAGTTGTAGCTGGAATATTGGTTAGCGAAGAAGTTGCAAGTATTTCGATGGAATGAACACTCACCACTTGGCAGGACCCTTGGTAGGGCAGTCACGGGCCTAAATAGAATAGTGAGTATGTAAACAAAGTGAGGACGTCAAAGCACAAGTCGTACCTGGTGGCCGGTAGAACCGCCTGAGAATCATATTAGCATGTGTCCAAACTTGTAAAAGTTAAGTGAAAAGGAAGCATCCTATGAGCATCTCGGTAGTTGCTTAGTGGGACCAGAAAGCCCTTGCCAAGCCGGTGGCAGTAAGCGACTGGCACGCGACCAGTTCGGCTATGCACCAACACATCGAGGGGCAAGCCACAGCACCAGTTCCAGAGTCTACATAAGCCGTGCAACATATGGGATCGCTCATAAAGCTAAACCAAGTGCGAAGCCTGTATTGACCTTGAAAGAGGGCTTGGTACGTGGTGATGAGGAGAGCTAATTGGAAAGGTGAGACTTACAAGAGTAGCAAGCGCCACGGGGCTGCTGCTGCTGCTGTCCCTGCTGCTGGAAAGAATCCATTTTGAAGAGTTGAGAGGTTGTGTGGAAGGGTTTCTGAAGATCTCAAGTTAGTCAACGGAAGCAGAAGTTTGAATGCTTGTGATGTATCTGTAAAAGTGCACAAAAACTAGCGTGGTCACCCGTCCCCGAGATCCGATAGAGGCAAGAGATTGGCGAGGGGCTGATGAGTGGTGACGGAGGGGGAAGAGGAGGGGGAGGGGAAAAGAAGGCTTTTGCTTTTGCTGTGCCCCCGAGAAAACACAAACTCGTTGAATCAAAATAGCAGAAAGACGTGAAAAAGACATCGAGAGAAGGTTAAACGGGTATCGAGCTTCTCAATTGGAGCTGGAAGCAAACGTTAACAGTGAATAACTGTCTAACTCCCCAACGGCTCTCCCTTGTGCCACTCATGGCAGCAAGTTTTTGAACCCACTCAGCAACGCCGTGTTCACTGAAACTGGTAGGCGGGGGCGGGGTGCAGAGATTTCCCAGGTAATTTTCCTCCAGCTTTTTTTTCCTCTCCACGAGCTGTCGTTGAGAAGTGGCGGGGTGAAGTGGACGCAATTGCTGGGAAAATGTGATCGCGAAGGGAAGACGACTTTTTGAACTGTGGCGTAGTAAAAGTCCGAACTTACTGTGAAAGTGAATTGCTTGCGGTTGCAAGGAAAGAGGATCAAGGAAGAAGTTTGTTTGTGGTTGTGGTGATGTGTGAGAGAGAATCTAACTCGAGCGCAGGTCGAGTTTTGACGCGCTTTGGCGGGCAGTAGAGCTTTTTTTGCAAGTGCGGGTCTAGGTGCAAACTGCCCGCAGTTGATAACTTGATATTCCTAGGAGCTAGCCCCTCTAACCCAGTGCATCTCGCAGCCCACAGTGGAGGCGTAGCTTGCTTACAGGGCACAAATCGTTGGCCCTCCCGTTGCAGCTGTCCCTTGCAGTGCATGCATCCACTAAGAGCCCGAGCAAGCATCGTGAAATGGGATCTATGGAACGCTGTGCAATCACTCGATCAATTCTCTGTTCTGCAATCTCTATCATTCTGAGAGACAATTAACATGCCTCTACCCGTTTCAATGCTTCAGGTAAATCGTTCTGCTGTTGTGTAGGGCAAAGATTGGCTCGCTTATAGGTGTTGTAGTTCTCGATGCCCTCGAGATAAACGAAGTAGTACATGGTTAGTCTGACAAGGCGTTTACCATCAATGTCGTCTGAGTTGGCGGTAACACAGCGTTCACTCATGTCTCCCTCCTGGGTAGCTCAAGCCCTGTGGAGGTTGTACAAGATGATGCAGCCATCTATAATCGGTGGTGAGATAGATACGACTGATTAGGCTATTGCCCATTTTGTAGCACCTCGAGATGTGCCTATGAGATGAGGTCTGCATACGCCCTGAGACTATGACCAGCCATAATACTAACTGTCTTAGAGCGCAGAAAGGTTGTTGTCAACTGCCAACAATTTATTCCTGGCAACACAGTCTACCTTCTAATACCCCTTTCACCACAAGACGAATGACTCCGCGGTTACAACATGCAATGCAAATCTACAAAACTGCAACGTGATAAAATGCAGTTGCCCTAACCATGCAGCCATGCACAATCAGGCGAGATCGCCAAAGAAGCGGCGCGACCGCACAGATGGGGCAGAGCGGGGTCTCTAACTGTTTAGGGGATAGTTTTACAAGCTACAGCTTCCAGGTCCAGATTGGCAAAACCATCACGAAACGGCAGCCAACCAAGATCACGAGGGGCTCAACCGACCGAGGCATGGATTGTTTAGAGTCTGACTGAACTTGGTGACTATTCTCAGTCCCGCTATTTTTCGCTCTTCTACCACTAAAACGTGCACTGCCATGTAATCCACCCAATGAAGATTGCGACGGGCCGACGACAATCCGACGATATTGCTTCAAGATGTCCCTACATACCTGATCATAGGACCTTAACAAACTGCCTTTCATTAATGCAACGTTATTCTCTTGGCGCTTTCCAACGAGGTCACCTGTGCTTATACTCAGGATGTTGTGTACCCAGGAAATCGGAGAATTGTACTTATTCGGTAGCAATGTACAACGTGCAGAGAGCCGCTGTACGACGACTTCGTTTAGCCTCTTCGTCAACGACTCAACAACATAAAGGTCGGTCAAGATTTTGCACTTATGTGCCTTACAATAGCAGGGGTATTTTTTCATCGTGAAATCAACTTGGATGATTTGTATATCTGCAGTTAACTAGTGCACTGTCTTATTCGTGCTGGGAAATCAAACGAGGCATGAATATCATCAATTTCAAATCCTTGCTCGGCTATTTTGAAGGAAGCAAACGTCAAGGATTTTGTAGAATTCAAAACAAAAGGTTGGATAGTAAAGCTTAACGATTGTATTGATATTGCCCCACAGAGGAGAAGGCATATCCATTTGGGCTGGCTTAGGACTTGATTATAAAATTTGACACTTGAACTTAGAAACACGGCAAAGCTGCGATATTGAAACTCTTAAACTGGCAATTGGTAGATTGACGTCTACTGCTTTTCCGATCTTTCCAAATATGGCAGTCCTATCTAATACATTAGGAGGCCAGATATATGCCTAGATGCTTTCGTTGCTAATGGAACTGTCTTGGAAACAGTTAAGCTCAAGGATCTGTTGGCATCATAAATATATTAATCTAATACCTAATCTAGCTTCGACTACCTATAATTCAACAGATGAGTACAGAGGTTTCTCAGACGGGCCGTTCCCCTCCCTATCTGCCCTGAACCCCGCAAGTTCATAAATCAGAATTCCCCTCGCAAAAAGCGCACTTGCCATCAACCGAATAACAATGATCGCTGAGTCTCTAACGCTGATAAAGACCAAGCTTGAAAGAACAAGAGTCCCAAAGAATGCCTGCAGCGCATCTCCTACGTAAAGAACAGACACCAGTACCAGAAACCAGCCATTGTGTTTGTCGGTCGTTTTCACTTCAAGTCTGCCCTGCCAGGGCGTCGGCGTGAGCTCAGTCGAGATTCCATGCCACAGTTTCCCTCCCCGGTTTGCCCTGGCTCTTCCGTCTCCTCCTTGAACAATGATTCTCAATCTTGCTGCGAGATATCCACCAAGATGTATTGCCAGAGCTGCAGCAGTCCATACTGCAGGGAGAAAGTCCTCAGCTGGCGCGAATGTGCAAACTGCCCAAGTGCTAAGCTGGTATGCAAGGTAGGCATTATTTGCAACAGCCCCAATGGCAACTAGATATTCCAGCATAGACACGACTGTGGGTATCCAGAACGACCTCGGTTTACCAAAGTTGGTATGGAAAGGGTCGGTACCCATTGTAGTTACAAAATCATCGTGTTCTGTTGCTGTAAGAGGACGTACTCCAGAACTGGCCATGGACAGCAAAAAGGCAAGTCCGGGACGACGATAGGCCAGCACAGCAGTATCGAGATAAGAAGCGCTCATCAACTGGAGCACTGAGGGCGCGAGACCGAGGATCACAGCAGCGGAAGCAAGTTCAGCCTTGCGATACTCAGGCATGGTTTCTAAGATGCATCCTATCACGCTGTATCCGGCTTGCCGCATCGTGTTTGATTTGTTTTGGTATTTTCCAAGAGGCTCGGTGCAGTTCATCCGAAGCTGATCTTTGATGAGGCCATCCCAGGCGGGGAAGAACTGTTGATACTGCGTGTAAGAGCGCTCGAGTGCGACTGCGGAGGTGATGTGATAACAAAGAATGAGTGTAGCCGAAAAAAGAAAGCTATGGTAGCCTGATGGTGCCTTCGGGATAGCCATTGTGAGTAAACCAGAACCTCATGAAAATCAAAGTCAGAATCCAATGCAGGGAATACCAGGGATATAACCGAGGGGCGGCTGAGATTTATACCGCTGGCTTCCCTATCTGCCTACCTCCCTTATCAAGGTGGCTGAACATCAAAGGCCTCAGTTTCGAGATTTCTGACAACCGCGAACCCTTGCAGCCTGGTGACCATCAACCATACATAGTTATGATTCGAGGATTTACGTAGTGAAAATAAGAATCCAGACCCCATGTTACACGAGCTCAAGAGCGTCCACTCAAGCTAGTGGAATAGTCACTTGGGCCGCCATATAGTACAAAACCTAATGACTCAATACAACATCACCCTGCCGCTATGACACAAGGCATATATTGAGATGTGATGAGTTAATATGCTAGTTTGTGTAAGTGGTCAGCCCTAGAGCCGTACGCGCTCTAGCAGCCTGGCTACGTCGAAATGCCACAGAATGGAGGTCAGCCAGTAAACAAGCCAATCAAAACCTCATGTTTGCGACATTTTAGTTGAAGTCGATTGCTAATCAGGCTGGTTCTGTTCGTTGGCAACAAGCTTTGATTGGTGAAATATCTTCTACCCTGCCTAGTCGGCCACGGGACGGGACGTCTTGTTTTAGAATGGTTTTCAGCTTGGTTTTGTACAGGGATCACGATATGCACAAGACGTGGGATCTGAATAGCTGACGAGTACTCTTTTTGGGGGCCAAGCCTTAAAACAGTTGATGATTCATCTGTTGTCATACTTGAATGAACTTTGACGTTGTAGGCTGGTTATCTGGTGGGTAATTAATGAAACCGAGAATTGTTTCGATTTGATATGCCTCAGACATGAACCATTTCTTATTCAACAGACATGGATACTTATAATTGCCTGTCATGAACAAATTAGGATAAATAATAATAAGGTCATCAATTTCTATCGTTTGGATTTTGAATGAAGTATATTTACGGTGACACCGCTATTAACCTTTGTTGTCGGCGTTAAAGACCTTTTTCAGATTGAAAGGTGGCACGACTGTTTACCACGATAATTGGATAGTTGCTTTCAAAATTGTTCCGACAGATATTTATATGGAGTGTTTGTAAGCCACAAGGTTGATATTCAAACTCCTCTGCCACTTCGCTATCATTCTGATTCTGATGACAACCGTCTAAAATAACCTAAAGAGGTTATTCGGGAATGCCGCCCTATTTTGTACTTGTTTGCTCGACTTAATTGGATAGTGCTTCACCTCACAGTTTAGAAATTATCGCAACTCCATGATGTAACTCTACCATATATGATTCGTCCTTTGAAGTTTAAGCCAAGTTACTTTGCAGGATGAAGCATCTGCGCCACAAGATAGGGTTATCTCTTTCTAATGGTCTTTTGAAAAATTGAGTATAATACCATGCTGTTTTTGAAGTGGTGGCAAGCGACTCCATTTTCAATACCAACCCAGCCTGACCCACGATTTCGGCTATATAATTAGATACGCTGAGCCTTAGTATTGATACGCTGACTTAAAGATGCATTCTAGGCTGTCAACATGTCTTTTGGCATTCCTACTGTCGTTTCCCTCTGTCGACGCCACGTTCCCTGACGATAAACACTCCCTTCGAGCGCCCGACCCGTACGTCGAGTCCTACTACAACGTCAACGGTAGCACGCATGCAGAGAATCACAAGGTCCTCGCAAGTCGAGGCTACCGACCGCTGTCCCTGAGCTCATATGGACCTGCAAACGAGACCCTATATGCTGCCACATGGGTACGTGAGAGAGGTTCTACATACAAGATGATACATGGAGTCAACCAAGAAGTATTTGACGCTTGGGTAGAAGAATGGAGAGGCAAAGGCTATGTGTCTACTCATGTCACTGCAACTGGAACCGCCGATGAAGCGGTCTTTGCTGGTGTTATGGAACAGCTCAATATCGTCAACTGGTCGCAGGCTTGTGGAATTCACGACCTTCGAGAGTACATGCACACAACTGATCAAGACAAGAAAATGGCTGTAAAGGGCTTCCGGATGTACGGAGAATGGAGAAACCGGCGATACTGCGTCCTGCGACACGAGAATATTGGCAATGAGCACAGAGCCTTCTTCTGGGAACCTACCCTCAACTTTCCGAAAGCGTATGATGCAAAGATCGCAAAAAGATACTGGCGTCCTGAGAAGCTATTCTTGTCTGATGACAATATCGTCTCGCCAATATTTACCGACACGAGCGTTGGGAAATGGTCGAGCGGAGTACGTTTGAACTCAACGGACCTCGAAGTGAGAATTGCGGCAGAGAAGGAGAGAGGCCTGTTCCCTGTCGACATTCAAGGCGGAAAATTCGACGAGGAGGAGGAGGAGGAAAAGTTCAACGTTGTGTTTACCCAACTCCTCGAGCCAAAACCTAGGCGCTGGCACGCTGTGGGAGACATGACGGAGTTTAATGACAATGTTCGCGCCAGACAGGGATTGGACTGGATCATGGGAACTTTCATGAAGAAGAATGGCGTTAGACAAGCGCAAGTAGCTATATCCTTGGAAGGAAAAGTCGTGGGCGAGCGGAGCTACACATGGGCCGAAGATGACCGCAGTATTGTCAGGGCTGACGATATCTTCCTTATGGCAAGCGTGAGCAAGATGTTCTTGTATGCAGCTATCACATGGTTGGTAGACCATGGAAAACTGTCCTATTCAACAAAGGTTTATGATCTCCTGGGCTACAAATCGACTGCAGACGATCGCGCAAATAAGATCACTGTTCAACATCTGCTTGACCATAAAGGAGGATACGATCGAAAGCATGCTGGAGATATTGCATTCCAGTTCGCCGAAGTCGCATTGTCCCTACCAACAGGGGGAACAAAGCCTGCAACTGTACAGGATGTAATTGAGTACGTGCTTGACAGAAAGCTGGACTTTATGCCAGGCGAACGCTCAGCCTATTCCAACTACGGCACACTTCTTTTGGGTTATGTAGTGAGCAATGTTACGGAAATGCCGTACATGGATTTCCTGAAAGAGAATATCTTTGGGGATCTCGATGTGAGACTCTACGAAACCGCTGCAAGCAAGCATAAGGACGATCGGATCATCCAGGAGAGTTCGCTCATCGGACTTGATCCAACAAGACCTCGTTCTCGACATATGGTCCCTGCGGTAAACGGAGGAGACGGCGCCATTAAGGAAGAGTGCGCCGCTGCCTTTTCTCTCGCAGCGAGCGCCAGTACCCTCGCCAAGTTCGTGGGGAGTCACTGTAAGTATCATCCAATACTCGCTTCAAGTTCCTATCGCAGAGCTAACGCATTGATATATAGCAGCCATCGGAGTCGGCAAACGTGATCAGACCTTTCGTCGAGGAACGATGGAAGGCGCCCGCGCGCACGTACAGACCCGCGGACACATTGACTGGGCCGTGGTCTTCAACACGCGAGATTTCGTCAACGATGAAGAGTTTAAAGATCTGGTAGACCGACAGATTCCAGATTTCCTGGACACCTACCAATTGCGAGGTTGGGGAGACTTCGAGACGTTGGCGTGCAACCAGGGAATGCATCCTTTGCTTGCAAAGTATCCTGATCGGTCGCCGGAAGGCATAGGAATATTGCTTCCTTGTATGTCTACCGAAAAACGGTAGACCTTTCATATATTTATATACTTGTTAAGACTATGAACAGAAATTTACTTACCAGATATTTGAGGAAGTGTGCTTATAGCATTGGGTTCTTTCGCGTATTCCAGAATGACTACCTAGACAACACCAAGCTAAACTCATCCTCTCAGATAATTGCATGAGCACCTGATAAAACTTACCTACTTAGCAATAATTATAAAGTAACGTAGCCGTCATTCACGGTGAACTATTGACACATTCTCGGTGAATTATTCAGTCAGTGGGTAATTCACGTCATGGTTTAATGCCAAGCAAGCTGAAGTCTTGGCAATATTGTCGATAACTTCCATGATCAACAGGTAAGTTAATCAGTGAAGCTGAAATAGACTTGTATTAGAAATAGACGCTTATCATAAGTATCATGAGAGTGTCTTATGCGCTTCTTTGTAATTGGCTTATCAAGCTGAAAACCTCAAAGATTGACTTACAGACTTTCTGAGCTAATCAGACATGGGTGGCCGGCAGGTGAAAAAAGACCCATCACGAATCCACGGTTTCGTCATCACCAACACGAGCTTGATTCAAACAGTGGATCGTCTATTAGGTACAAGTCTTTGGAATTTTGCTATATTGTTGTTATTCTTGCACTGGCAAACCCTTCTCATGATCTCTCAACATTCTTCAGCCTCATAATGTCCTTCTCAGCCGATGGCGATGGCCGTCTCGACTTCAAAGCCCGCATCCAAAACATGGATAACGACAACTGGAAAGAAGGCCACACACGAGTCGCCGGCCAAAAGCGCTTCAAATCTTCCGCCAAAATCAATTTCATAGAGCGTGTGAAGCACTTGACGTGGGCTTGGTTCACGTTTGTTATGAGCACGGGCGGTATTGCGCTGTTGCTGCATTCTACGCCTCACCAGTTTCGAGGTCTAGAGGTCATTGGCAAGATCTACTTTATTTTGACGATAGTACTCTTCATCGCTATCGTATCGGGTCTTGTTCTGCGATTTATGACCACACCTGGGGCGTTGGGAAAAAGCTTGATGCATCCAACTGAGAGTCTCTTCTTCCCTTGCTTTCTACTCAGCATCGCAACACTTATTGCCAATTCAACTGCATATGGAATTCCTGCTACGGGGTCTTGGCTGGCTACCGCTTTGCGAGTGTGCTTCTGGATATACGCCGCTATATCGATCATAGCAGCCATAGCACAATACTTCGTCCTCTTTACCGGCGCGCATCTTCCCATCCATTCCATGACACCAGCTTGGATCCTACCAATCTTCCCGGCAATGCTTACCGGGACTCTCGCCTCTTCGCTTATGTCCTCCCAAAGTCCCGAGCACCGCATGTCAATGTTGGTGGCCGGTGTTACTTTCCAAGGCTTGGGATGGACTGTGGCGTTTCTCTTATACCCGCTGTATCTCGGAAGGTTGATGCAAGATGGTCTCCCGGCACCAGCAATGCGTCCTGGTATGTTCATTGCCGTAGGCCCAGCTGGATACACCTCCGTTGCAATCATTGGAATGGCTGGATCGCTCCCAGAAGGCTACGGGTACTTCGCAACATATCCAATGGCACGGGAGGTTCTGCAGGTACTGGCGCTCTGGATAGGGGTATGGATTTGGTGTGTTGGATTCTGGTTCTTTGGCTTTGGACTCCTTGCTGTCCTGTCCTCTGCTTTCAGGTGGAAATTACAGTTCAGCATGTCTTGGTGGGCTTTTGTCTTCCCAAACATCGGCTTCACCCTTGCCACGGCAAACATTGGAAAGGAGTTACAAAGCGAAGGGATAATGTGGGTAGCAAGTGTTTTGACGATAATACTCGTCATTATGTGGTTCGTTGTACTGTATGCAATGGTCTCTGCAGTCATTCGCAAGAAGCTTCTATGGCCTTCGCGGGATGGAGATGAGTCGTAGCCGCAGTTCTTGCAATAACAAACCAAAGACCTAGACAATACGATAATTATAGAGACAAGAATCATCCCCAGCGCCGAGATACTCCTGTTCATCCGCGAGGGTTCCAAACACACCAAAATCCCTATCTTTAGCCCACGGGCGCATCATATCTTCAGACATTTCTAGGTATCCAATTCTGCGATACTCTCCCTTTTGGATGCCTCTTGTAAGGATCAGCGCTTCCCCTGCAGGGTTTCCATCTGTTATCATGCGGCAATAGAGGATAGCCAGATAGATGGTGATTTCGTCTTCAGCCAAGGCAGTGGGGAACACATTGTCCAGTACATCTGGAGAATCAGCTGTCGTGATTTCTAGATGCGTGAGTAGCGTCACCCGTTTCAGCACAAATCGCAGTTTTCCACCTGGTAGAAACTCTGCGGCGTGTTCCGGTGTAAATCGACCGGTGAAATCTTGCATAGACATTGAAATACGAGCCTTGAATAATGGACCGCGCAAGACCACAGAGCCGTCAGAAACGGATCCAAACTCAGATCCCACTGTTGTGACCGCTGCGTCCATGACAGTTGCCACGGGTATCCAGGGCACCTTGCTTTCTTTCCAATCACGAGCAAGCCCTCTGTTTCCTATCGTAAATCTCCCCGAAGAATCTGGATCTGGCTCGACCGATGCCCACGACCAAGATGGAGCGCGGTAGTTTTGCGGCGGCAACACCTTTCTTCCCTCACTTACAAACCATAACAGGCTTGCAAGGAGAGCAGGACGCCAGAGTCCTGCAAGATACGAGTTTGGAGGCATTTTTGCATAGCGCTGATATACATCCGCAATACCAGCAATTGCTACCAGGCGATCGGACTCGAAAGTAAGAGAACGTGTCATGTACTCTTGTAAAATGTTGTACCATGCCAGCCGAATAGTCCCTTCGTCATTGTCTTTGGCGGAGTGTAGAACCCCAGGTGCCACTGCGTTAACGTGTTCTTGAAAGACGTCGAAAGCATACCCATCGCAAGTTTCGTTTGAAGCAAAACCTTGGGATTTCATGCTCGAAGCTGTTGTCCACCAAAGTTGGTCTCGAGCTACATGGATTGTCTTTGGAGAGAGAATCCATTCTTGAAATACCCATCCCCTTCGAAACAAAGGCTGTGAGAGAACCTCCTCACAAAAGGCGCCTTTGTCTATTATCCGAACAGGGCCTGGGGAAATCTGGTTCTCAAAACCTGTCCATGATGGTGTAATCTCACAGGGATGTTTAAGCATCATATCCTGACCTTTCAGACCAGCTGCTGAGTCTTGCGCAGAAGTAGCTGAGATAGTAACATATGCTTGAGAGTAAACAGATGCCATGTGCGAGGCTTCAGTATGCCAGTCGTCCTGGGAATCTTGGATGATACAGAGCGAGTCAATCCATACATACTCAATACCCAACTTATTCGCTAAATTGATAGCGTCTTGGAATGTAGCCGGGATCGAATCAAAGGGAATATTCTCGGCAAGTTTAGCGAGGAGAGACTGTTTCAACATAAGAGGTTGTATCGCACCCCAACGATGGCTGAGGGCACAATATCGAGTAGATGTGTCGAGGCTTTTGGTATTAATCAATCTGACAGTGGGGTTCCCTTCAGGGCTTGGCCGGCATTGAAGCAGTCTTGTGGGCAGTCGAAGATTCAAGTCTGAGGTTGTTGGGGATGAATCAAGCCAGCTTTTGATTCGCAATAGTGACTGTTGTCGATCAAACACAGGCTTCCACCTTTCTCTGTTGTCTCCCTGTGAAATACCTGATCTGGTTATGAACCTGGTCACTGACTAGGAGACATATACATACTAATTGCGTGAAATCCAGGATATATTTGGAAGTCATATGGATACCACCCGCTCCCGTCCCAGAAGGCCCAGAACATGGCGAGCGTGAACATGCCCAAAGATGCTGTATGATGCGGGAGAACGACGGGGATCCCAAACACATCCTTTTTCGTTACCTCCATTTCTTCCAGGCTGTCAGAAGCAAAGACAGCCTGTTTGTCGAGCCTGTGCCTTTCCCACATCATGGCACAAAGAACGCAACTATCCGCAGATTTTGGCAAATCGTGTAAACTGTGATGGAGATGAGGGACCGGGTGGTCTTTCTCTGCACTGTCATCGATTCTGAACTTGCATTCACTCTTGGATTTGGACGACCAAAAATCGAGAGCCTGCTTAGACAGACCCTGCAGAGGGATATAGTGCCCTTGAAAGATGTCAAGACATGCTGTGCAAAGAGTCGAATGTGACATTGTGGAGGAAACAGCGAACTATACACGTCACAGTGATGTTCTCTATGAGCTGTATCACGTTGGTATAAGGTATGAAGTGGTGTGGGAAAGGAAGGAAAGAAAGTGAGGCATGAAAATAGCCAGTCAGCGCAATTGCTTCATTACTGGGGCTGCAGCTGCATGTAGCCTGGAAACGGGCACAAGGATGTCCATGGCAAGGATAAGCAACGGCCTGTAGAAAAAACATCGATGTTCATGACATTATACGCGCTGTACAAGTTAAGTAGCCAGACACATTGGTTGAAAGATCGAGGTGCTCAGCTAAAGCTGTAAAGTCTGAAACGTAGTGTATCATCAGTGTGATTTCTCTGTTCGTCCCATCGGATTGCTACTAATTTATTAGGCTTCGGCAGCGCTAAAATCTCCCTGGCTAGTGAGCACTGCGATTAACACGACTGCCGGACAAACATCTAATTTCTTTTTATTTCATCACGATCCTTTTGTTGATTTCTTTCGTCCTAGACAAAATCTAAGTTTGTGTGATCAAGTGAAACTCTTGTCGATACAATGTTCTATTAATTGGCATTTCATTTTTACAAACATTCGCTGTCGCATTCACCACATAACACGCATCATGGACAAGTTCCTTATCCCGGCACAACCGCGAGCAACGCGTTCAAGTGCAGTCAATGCCTCGCGGAAGATTTCGTCTCAGTTGGAGCCTGATGACGAACCTGTCCCTATAATCAAAAGGCGTTCAGCTAAGCGACCTTCTGTGCGAGTTGACGAAGATTTTGACGCGTCTGATGGAGTCGCATCTGGAGGAGACGCGACACCTGAAAAAGATGTTAAACAACGTGCACCAAAACGACGGAAAACACAACCATCAAGAAGCAAAAGTGAAAATGCTAAAATCCATGAGAGCCTGTTCTCCTCTGAGGGTGAGACGAGTCAAACACCGTGCATCCCTCCATCCAGGCAACATCAGCTCTTATATCACCGACCTCTATTGCTTAAGGAATCCACTTCTCGACAGGCACTACTCAGCTGGTTTGACAGTGTAAGCACAAAACGTTCAATGCCGTGGCGAAAGGCTTGGATAAACCCGAAGGACCACGATCAAGATGAACTTCGCAATCTTCTGGAGCGACGTGCGTATGAGGTCTGGATCAGCGAGATTATGTTGCAGCAGACACGGGTTGCCGTGGTCATCGACTACTGGAACAGGTGGATGGAGAAATGGCCAACGATCCATGATCTTGCAGCTGCAAGCGCCGACGACGTCCTCAGTGCTTGGCGTGGCTTGGGCTACTATAGCAGAGCGACGAGAATCCACGAGGCAGCGAAACTGGTGGTGAACGACCCAACTATGAAAGGCTCACTACCTTCATGCACGCAAGATCTTGAAGCCAAGGTTCCTGGTGTTGGGAGATACACTGCTGGCGCTATTTCAGCCATTGTCTTTGGACGAGCTGCACCTATGGTGGATGGAAACGTCTTGCGTGTGTTGAGCCGACAGCTTGGGCTGTTTGGCAACGCGAAGACAAACAAGGTTGTGATCGATACCTTATGGGCTGCTGCAGACGCTCTTGTCAAGGCTATTGCTCGCGATGGGACTGAGGTTCAGAACGACGAGAACGTTGAGACAAGTGATCGGCCTGGTAGATGGGGCCAAGCACTAATGGAACTCGGAAGTACTATTTGTGTACCCAAGCCAAACTGCTCCGAGTGTCCTGTTACATCAACTTGTCGTGCATACGCCGAGGGAAAGACACTGGTTTCAAACAAAGACCGTGGTACAAAGATCGCAGATATCGAAGACATGTGTGACCTCTGCGAACCTTTCGAAGAAGCGACAAGCTCAGATGACACAGACGTCAAAGTCGAAGTAACTAAGACTGCCAAAAAGACCAAGGCCAATGAAGGGAAATCCAAGCAGATGACACTATCGGCTTTTGCCTTCAAGGGCCCAAATGAAGACAAGCCATCGACGACCAAGGCGGCGGTATCTACAAGTCCACGCGACATGGAAACCATTGTCGATCACGCCCGCAAATTTCCGCTTAAAGTAATCAAAAAGGCGGTTAGGGAGGAGGAAACACTGGTCTGTGTGATCCGTCGTGGAGACGGTCAATACCTCATTCAGAAGCGTCCAGAGAAGGGACTTCTAGCCGGCTTGTGGGAATTCCCCAGCTACATGCTGCAAGATCTGAAAGAGGGCAACACGCCAGCAAAGCGACGATCAAAGGCATTGGCGTATGTTTCCAAGCTGGCTGGCGAGCATGGAGGGAAAGCGTCGAAACCCAAGTACGTGGAAGAGCTGGGCAGCGTACCTTGGCTCTTCTCCCACATCAAGCTCACAATGCATGTTCACTTCTTCACACTCGAGGATGGCAATTTGACGGATACTAAATCACTTGAGTCGAGTCGGCTAAGATGGGCGACGAGTGAGGCTGTTGATGAAGAGTCCATGGGAACTGGCATGCGCAAGTGCTGGACACTTGCTAAAGACCAGGAATAATGAACAATATTAGTTGTAATTATAGCGGTTGTGTTACTTTGATTATACTGGTAGAGAAGTAAATAACTATGATGCTATTAATACAAGGACGTTTTATCGCCCAAATTGAAATGAGTCAACTGTTATTGACGTAAATGTCTTTTGTTCAACTTTTATATAAACAGCCGCGGCGTTATTGCGTTGACAATACCTAATCATGCCTCATCATGAGTTCTCAAGATGATCACGTGGGGCCGATCTCGCGGGTCTCGAGTCTCGAAGGATCCCTGAAATGGGAAATCGCCGCGTTGGTAAATGTGGGGACGCGTCAAGGTTGCACCACGTCCAACTTCAATACTTCAACATTGAATCTCGTCTGAGTAAAGAGAAAATTAAGCGGATATGTCAATAATTTTGTACATAAAACAATGACAAGTTGGTTAGCTACTGGTCGTCCGGCTCTTTTTGATGCCCTCACCAGTGCTTGCGACTTGATTGATCAGCAAATCGCATCAGGTACGTCACTAATGACTGACACGACGTGAATGAGCTGGCTAACACGCTTTAGATCTTGAATTGGCCCAGCGTAATCTTGATGAAGCTCTTCAACAGCGAGATGACCACGCGTCTCGAGTTTCTACTTTGACAGATGAAAACGCCAGGTTAAAAGAGCAATTGCAGCAAGCAAATGCCAAGGCAGCTATCAGCGCGCAGGCGTCAACTGAACAGAGATCGCCTGGAAGCAATCCCTCAGAAAGTGAACCAGATTGGAAGCTTGAATGCATCAAAGTTAGCCATAAGTTCAAGGCACTTTCGGCAAATTTCAAACAGGCAAAAGACGCCCTTCGAAAGAGAAAAGAAGAGCGCGACCGGTGGATCAACCACGCCATGATCCTGGAGAAGAAAATCAAGGTCGCTGAGGAAGAGCATGGAATTAACATCACAGACCGCCAAAGCAAGACCCCCCGACCAACTGCGGCTCCAATAACAAAGACTGAAGAGCATGCTCCCAGTCCAAGTACCAGCTTTACCTCCGAAGCCGGCCTCGAACAAGCCGATCTGGATCTTCCCCCGCTGGCTGCTGCATCGCTCCAGGTTGAGACTGATCAGCCTCTTCCCGATACCAAGTCTGCCAACCCTAGCTCAGACTCGACACAAGGCGAAGAGGAGTCAAGGCAGGACGACGAATTGCCAGAGTTGCCGCCTCAGAATTATATTAGCGAAGTGATAATCAAGGAAGAGCCATCGTCCGACGCTCCAGTGGTCGTATCTGAGAGGGAGGTGCGAAAGAGGAAACGCGATGATGTAGACCCAAACGAGTCGCCTTTGCAAAAAGTCAAGACGGAAGAAGATGAACGCTCATCAAGCCCTATACAGCCCATAGGGCATGCTACTTTTAACCCCCAGGAAAGCATAGATCTAGGCGACGTCGCACAAAGACTATTAACACCCAGAAAACGTCGCGAGTTGGAAGAGTCGCAACGGCGAGAGCAGATCCAAAGCGAGGCGTTTGCAACAGCAACTACACCCAGGACTCTTTTCGTCCGTCCAGATCCTGTGACACGGCCAGCTCGACCAATAGAGCGAACGTCGGCACTTACGCCGTTAAGCGTCAATCGAAGGGTGGTTCAGTCAATTCGAGAAAAGCCAATCACGCCCCTCAGAAAGGGGCTTGGGCGCGGCATATCTACTTTGGCTGAGGATGGTGAAGCCTACCGACTGGATAAGGGCGCAAATGAAACTCCTAAGGGGAGACTCGATACACTCTTGAATAGTCCTGCTGCTCAGGAAGCCACGCCTACGGGTCGCCTGAATCCCAGAGCGGCAGCTAGGCCGAGTACGACCGCCGAAGATCTTGCAATACCTGGACGACGAGTACTTCCGTTTGAACAAGTGGGACGAGTTAGAGACAGAACTCCCGCTCAGCAGGTGAACACACCAAGTCGGACACTCGACCTGGGAGCTGGTTCCAAATTTACGCCACAGAACACACGATCCCCGTTAGCCCCTAAGGAAGGCACACGATCAGTTTTACGGCACAAACCAATCGCAGAACTCCGGCCAGACGACTTTAAGATCAATCCTCAAGCCAACGAGGGACACGACTTTGCTTTTTCGGATGTGATACGAGATAGGGATGAGAGATCTCGTATGCAAGGCTGTACCGATATGCACTGCTGTGGGAAGCATTTCCGGTCTCTCGCCATATCTCAACGTCCTGACCCTCCCCTCACAGCCGTCCAGCGGCAGGAAGAACAGAAGTTACTGGAGGATTACATGGGCGATTTCGCATATCGACTAGGAACCATGGATAAGAAAGAAAGAGATGAGTTGTGGATTGAAGCCAAAACACAGGATCTTGCCAATCGGTTTGGCAAGCACCGATACCACCATCCAAGAATGCGGAGCCCTCCAGGATTCTGGAATGCAGACTTTCCTGACACGCAAGAGATAGAGGCGGAGAGATCAGAAGCTGCGCAGCGGGAAAAGCAGACTGTTCGGGACAGGCATCGAGAAGCTATGCGTCCAGGTGGTAGATGGCTGTTCCGTGATGAGTAGTGCAAAGAATCATTATAAGTATAGGTAGGGTTGTTTATTTTATACCGGAGTTGTGTTATTAGGTCGAAGGATGGAGTTGGAAACATAGGTACAAGGAACATGGAGTAAATTGCACTTTAACTTTCAATATTTGACTCGCTTGGTCGCTATAATCTTTGTTTCTCGTGGTATCCTTGAAGTCTTACATCGGATCCGACACTCGGATCCATGATGAGCGATGCCGGACTTGAAGCCGGATTAGTGGAGCATGGTCCCCTCTTACACCTTCAATCTGGGATCATTTTCTGCCTCAGACACCAACTTTTGCCTCCAGACAAAGTCTTGAGTGGTGAGCCTACTTTCTTTCCATTGGGGTTTTAGTTGCTGGCTCGTGCAGTAACTACAGTGCTGGCCCTTGTTGAGTGCGCTGCCTTTTACTTGCGCCTTGACTTCTCTGACAGCTCATAGGTCAGCCCATTCTGTTGCAGTTGTTCAGCACTCGCCCAGACAGCAGCAGAGAGGCCTTGGATAATTTTATTTCTCCAACCGCTACCTACTACCTACGCTTTGCTTTTTACGCTACGCACCCCGAACCATCGCAACGCAATATCAAGCGTCCCCGTTTTGCCTGACGCAACTCGGCCCCCTCGCTCTCTCAGTGCGTCTACTCTTCGGCTTCCACTGCGCTCCTTCATAAGTTATCTTTCAGTCCGGATTTCTCTGTTGGGGTTTTCTTTTTCATCCTCTTTCTGTGCGGCTCTATTTCTAGTCGCCATCGGTTGTTCTGTCTTGACAAAGCTGTCCCATCTTACCTACTTTTTGCGGCCAAAATCAGGCCGCTCTCCTCCCGGTGTCGCGTCGCAACGTCTCTTTCCCCGTCGTCCCCCGAAAGCTTCGACAAACTGAAGCCCGCCGAGTTCGAAACCTGCAGCTACCGCAAGAGTAGGCTACGAAACTGTCTACTCGGGTGTCGCACCAACTGGGCGACTCCCATCTTCACTCAACCCCCAAGCCGGCACGATGAGTAACCGCCATCTGCCGGCTGGGCAGAATATACAGGGAGGGGCTGGAGGAGTTCACAACGCCGACCATATCGGCGGTTCAGGAGCGTCTCGCCGGAGGCAGCCTCCTCCCTTTGTTCCGCAATACCAGCAGCAGCAGCAACAGCAACAGTACCATCACAACCAGCAGATGAACCACATGTATCCCTATATGAACTACGGACAGCAGCAGTACTATGGATACCCGCAGCAGTACCAAGGGGGACATTACCAGAATGCACAGTATCCCGGTGTGCAGTACCAAGGTGGACAATACCAAGGTGGACAGTTCCAGAGTGGACAATATCAGAACGCACAGTACCAGAACGGTGGCATGCCCTCGCCAGGGTATAATATGCCTTACCAGCACTACGCACGATCACCGCCTGCTATGAACCAATTTGTTCCCGTTCCCCTGGCTGGCGTGAGTGCCCCTTCGAGCTACCCTCCTCGTCCTGCTCAGCAGCAGTCTCCTGCTCTATCGACTCCCTACCAACCTCCTACCTCGATTCCAATTCCGGCTCATACTCCCAACTCCATCCATTCGCCGCAGAAGTTACTCCCTCATACCCTCCCGGTACCGCAGGAAATCGAGCCTGCTCCTCCTACTCCTCCTGCTCCTGTTGAACCTACCAGAGAGCCTACGCCCCCTCCGGCGGCCAAGGAACCTTTCCGTGCACCTGTAAGCTTATCGATTCTTGGTATACCATGTATAAACTAACCCCTGCAGCTACCATGGCTATCTCATCCTCACTTGGAGTTCCCTGCGAAAACCACAAAGTCGAGACGAAGAAGGAGGCATCTCAATGCCGATAGTCAGGCAGTCTCTCTGCCGATTGAACAACAGCAGGCCATTACAGAGCATGCCAACGGTCCTGAAGCTAGCTCTACCGAGCCCTCTGTGTCGGTACTTACCCCAGCGACATCGACTGCTCCATCTGAAGTTGCAGCGACCCCTCGGCAGGGTTCCGAAACCGCAACTGCCCCTCCCCAGCAACGGTCACGTACCAACACTGCCACCAGCGCTACCTCTACCGCAACAAACCGGCCTGCCACACGCACCTCCGCCGTTCCGGTTCCTGCTCTTCCGTCTCTTCCTAAGGCTAACACTAAGGATGCTAAGCCTGTGGAAGCTGAAAAGCCGGCCAATGGTGACGTAGCGACTGAGAGTGCCCCTGAAGAAGCGACGGTGTCTGAACCTTCTGAGAAGCCAGCTGAGTCTGAGTCAGCTGCTACTGAACCTGCTCCTGCTGCCAGGGCTCCGCCTTCAAGCTGGGCGAAACTCTTCTCGAAGCCCGCTTCTGCGGCTGCCGCAAAGTCTGATGTGGCCAATGGTGCTGTTCCTGTCGATACTGCCGTCAATGGCCATAGCACCAATGGTATCGTTGGAGCCCCGAACGGTTCTGCGCCAAGCTTCTCCAAAGCTAACGCCAACTCTGTTGCGGAAGCTATTAACTCGTTCCAAGTTGGTCTTGCCGATGAGGTTTCGTTCCTCGAGCCCCGTGGATTGATTAACACTGGAAACATGTGTTACATGAATTCTGTAAGTCCCCGTTTTATCATATAGGATGTTGAAAACTAATACGGCCCAGGTTTTGCAAGTTTTGATGTTTTGCCTTCCATTTTATGATTTCCTGAGCCAGATCAGCAAGCGTGCTGTCCACAGCTTCAAGAGTGATACTCCTCTCATCGATGCTATGTAGGTTGTGCTTTCAACTTTCTTGGCTCGCAAGCTAATGTCCTGACAGGATTTTGTTCATGCACGAATTCAAAGTCATTAAGTCCGCAGATGCAATTGACGCTCTACGGACCAGCCTGAAGAACGAGGAGTTGGAGCATTATGGAGAGCCTTTTGTTCCTACTTACATATACCAAGCCATTAAGCAGTTTACTCGCTTTAGTAGTATGGAGGTATGTATCAGTTTCGGAGCATCTTATGAGTTGAGCTAACTGTTTATAGCGGGGCCACCAGCAAGATGCTGAGGAGTTTCTTGGTTTCCTGTTGCAGTCTCTTGACGACGAATGCACGACAGTTCTTAAGAACTCTGCTCTGCCTGAACAGTCGGAGCGAAGAGCCAGTGTCGGTTCCGGTGCTGCTGGTGCTGATGATGATTGGCTTGAAGTTGGCAGGAACCAAAAGGCCGCTGTCTCTCGATCTTCAGGTTCCAACTCATCCAGCCCTATTACAAGAATCTTTGGAGGTTTGTTGCGATCTGAGCTACGAATCCCAGGCCGAAAGGACTCTATTACCACTGAGCCCTACCAGCCTCTCCAGCTGGACATTGGGTCACCAGATGTGCGCAACGTTGTGGATGCCCTTCGTAGTCTTACTCGCTCTGAGCGTGTTCAGGGTGATTTCAACCCAGCCCGTGGCAAAGACGTCGCAGCCACCAAGCAAGTTCTGATCGATTCGCTCCCACCTGTTCTCATCTTGCACCTCAAACGCTTCCAATTCGACACAGAAGAGAAGGGAACGGTCAAGATTTGGAAGAAAATCGGATACCCATTAGAGCTTGAGATCCCTCGTGAGGCTTTGTCTCGGCAGAAACGCCAGACGTACGGCGAAGAGGGAATGCCCAAGTATAAACTGATTGGTGTCGTATACCACCACGGAAAGAACGCCAGCGGTGGACACTACACTGTTGACGTGCGTCGTCAAGAAGGACGTGAATGGATTCGTATTGATGATACCGTCATTCGCAGAGTTCGAAGTGAAGATGTCGCTGAGGGCGGCGAAGAGGAGGATGTGAAGGACACACGTGAGGGTCCTGTGTCTGGTGCTCCTGGCAATCGCTTCGGTGCCGTCCTGGGCGAGGATGCCGGAGACGATGATGGATGGAGCAAGGTGACGGCCACTGCCGGAGGAGTAAAGAAATGGAGCAGCGTCGCCAATGGGGCCGGTAACGGCATTACCAAGGCCAAACAGGTGAAGGACAGCATCAAGGACAACAAGGTTGCCTACCTGCTATTCTACCAGCGAGTGTAAGGAACTCACCACCACCTTACCTCGAAACTACTTATCACACTCACTAAGGCCCTCATGCCGAGTATCGGTTATGGAAAAGGCGCCATGATTTGACACGAGCTTAACGGCCATACTTGGATGGGGAAAAGTACCATTTTCAAACGGAGTCGCATGTTGGGGTTGGTTGACCAATTAGGGAAAAGCTGGATGTCGGCAGATATCCAATATCTAGCTTGGCACTCGGCGTATGGCGTCGAGGGAATGGTTCCTACGGTTTGGGAATAGGAAAGAGGAGACGCCGGTGACATGACGCCCAAGAAAGGCTGATCAGCCGGTGTACATGGGATTCATATCAAGGAAGACGAGGATCTCTAGACGAAGAGGGGTTGTGGACCCCTTCTGTTTAGAGTTCCTTGGACGGCGGCACAAGAGCTGCCTGGAGGATAACTTCTCGCGAGGTTGTTTCCAGATAGTACATTGTAAACTACAAAACTGTGCATGAGATAGTCTTAACGAAAAGCCATTCACATGCGTTCAAAATCTGACGACCATGACGATACGTGCAAAATGAGTCAAGTCAAACGACGTCTATACATAGGATACACGGGAACTGTCGAGTCCGTTGATGTGTGGCCACCATTCTTCTAGGAGGCGGCAGTTCCCTCTGTCAACCACCGTCCTGCTGCGCTATTCAACTTCCTCCTACTATCCTTCCAACCCGATTCCCAAAACCATTTAGTGCTTGCGGACGACGGCAATGGAGTCGAGCTCGTTCTTCTCGGCCTTCTCGGAGGCGACCTCCTCCATGATGGGCTGGAGGTAAGGCTTGTCCTATTTTGGAGTGGCGAGTTAGTTGATGCGTTCATTCATTCGTGATATCTCGGGATCGTGAACTCTCATTTGCCGAGGTGGAACCGGCAGAGGAGTATTCGATCGTGGGGTTTCTTTCATACCGAGGCGGAGGTAGTCCACTGGTCCTTGGGGAGGAGCTTGTGTTGGTAACTGCACTGGACAGCACGTCGGATGCGGTAGATGCGCTCGTAGGACTCGCGGTTGGAGAGGCGCTTCAGGGCAGCCTGGGCGGTTTCGTTCTCCTCCTCGAGAAGATCATCGTACCTATTTCAACCAATTGAAGACTGCGGTCAGCCAAAACCATCCCATAGCATATCGAATTTCCATCATGTCGGGGTCCAATTGGTGGCGTAGGAGGAAGGGAAATTCGCATACTTGAGACCCATCTGGCGGTAGCCGGCGGCGTTGATGTACCACTGCGAGACGGGCTTAATGAGGCGTGAGAGCCACGGCCGGCGGAGGATGAAGGGGGCGAGCGAGTACTTCATTTTCGAGGAAGAACAATTGACACGTCCGGGGTTGGGTTGGAGTCTTGGTCGTCGTCGTTTCGTCGGAAATGGCGCGAATTGCGGATGGGCTGAGCGAGCAATTGCAAAACTTCTGGGAGAGCTCGGGACGTCACGTGGTCTTTGATGACCATTGCTTTGTCGTTTGCTGGCTCACTTTCCGATCGGGCAGAAGGGGCAATTGAATGCCTGGTCGAATGTGGTTGGAGCCTGAGGCGTTAACAGATTAGATCCAAACTGTGGCGACAGATGTGGCGCGTTGTCTGGCTGTGGCTGTAGTCCAAAAAGCACATGGCACCTGCAGAAATGACGATGTGGGGGTTACTTGAAATGTCCCGCAGGAAACCGGCTCGGCATGGCACGGTCACGATTAGGTGATATGTTGCAGAGGGGATTTTTAATTATGTACTCATGTTCTCATTCCATTTAAACAAAGGAGAACCTTACTTGGGCTTGTCAGATGTACATATATTCTGCCTCGGACAGAACTTCTCAAGTTACTCAACTGCAAGCCTCGGAGCAAACCCGTCTAACGTCGTCATCCCACGTCGAGCAAGGGTTCAGTGTCGGTATCGGAGCTTGTGCGAGAGTGACCTACTGGTCCTTACAAACAACCTGCATATTTGACCAACGCTCGGCTCGTGCTCTGATACCACATAGAGTCGAAGTCTTTCTCGGCTACGAATCTCAGCTATGCACATGAAAACCTGTGATATTTTCCTAGCGCCTTGTTAGTACAACCTGCGTTATTTTGAACGTTGAGCTATTGTCTCCGCTAAAATATCGGCTTGCACCGGTGCAAAGGTGAAATGAAATGGTCGCCTGAAATGACGATTCCGGCAAGATAAGAGCCCGGAAGATAGCGATTTTGCCCTGGAACAACAGTTCGGCGGATTTATTAAACAAGCCTTCAGCGGACTCCATATTAAACATAAACCACCGGAGCGAAACCCTGTAGGTGTTGTTTATAGTGGGTTGCAGTGCATTTAGGGCCTCTCCCAGTTGATCGCCCGCCCCGTCCTTCCCTCCGCCGCCGCCCGCGCTTTCTCCATCCCATCCTCCTCCGCTCCGTTTCGCCAACCTACCAAAGGGAAACTTGCTTTCTTCCCTCTACTTCTTCTCTTATTGCTACTACAGTACTGCTCGTGACTCCCGGTTTTCTCAACCTCTTTTTTCGTCCCTTATCTGCCCTCACTCCCAGCCTAAGCCTCCAACTCTCACCGGTTCTTCCGGTCCCCGGGCTATCGCTTTTTTCTACTCCCAAAGTCAATGGCCGGCGCCATTCGCTGAAGCGGGAAGCGGTCGGTCACGGCGCGTGGGAGCGTTCCCCCGCAGTACCTTTGTACCGGCTGCGAAGCTCCAACAGCGGCGGACGTCAGACCTTTTGGGTGGACGGGACTCGTCTTATTTTTGGGGGGCGGAATCGGATTGGACATTGAGAGATCACGAAGGCGACGATACCTGGGGTTGCGGCCGATCAAAAGCCTACAGAACCGCTGTTGGTATTAGCCCGATTCCGGTTCCCGAAATAAATCAACTTGACGCCTGCGACGGATTAAAAACGGAGAGGCGCCAAACGAAACTTTCAGCACGAGCACTACCAAGATAGCCTTTACGTTTGAGTGACGCCGAGAGAGATTAGCTGTCGAATTTCGTTCCCGAGTGTTAAAATCGCACGCAAACGAGTAGCAAAGCGAAAAGTGACAGACATTTCGACGAACCGCGATTGGGATGTCGACTGACCAGGTCCCTCCTCAAACTACCCGGTCGCCGTCTTCAGACTATGCTGCATCATCTTACAACTACGCATCCCCCGACGCTCCAATGCACTCCACAACGGTTACCCCGTTACATCGATGGGCACTCAACGCCTCGGATTCCCAGTTCAACGCTGTCGCCGGTGCTATAGGTGGTTTCACGTCAGGCGTAGTGACATGCCCCCTCGACGTCATCAAGACCAAGCTCCAGGCACAAGGTGGCTATGTTGCGCTTAACAAGGGACGACATGTCGGCCATCCGAAGTTATACAACGGTCTCATTGGCTCAGGAAAAGTCATATTGCGGGAGGAAGGTATCCGGGGTCTCTATCGTGGTCTGGGACCTATTGTAATGGGATACCTGCCTACATGGGCTGTGTGGTTTACTGTTTACAACAAAAGCAAGGTGTACATATCACAACATTATGGTATGTTGACAGACTCACACGGGATGGGTGCTATACTAACCTCATTTTTCTCCACAATAGACAACAGTCATCTAGTCAACTTTTGGTCGTCAATCATAGCGGGCGCTAGCAGTACAATCGTCACCAACCCAATATGGGTCATCAAGACTCGGCTCATGTCACAGAGCAATATTCGCAATAGCCAGGACCACCATTCCTCATACTACCCGAAAGCGACAACCACACCAACAGCGCGGCCGACTCTACACGACTGGCACTACCGATCAACACTCGATGCAGCTCGCAAGATGTACACTTCGGAGGGCCTCGTCTCCTTTTACTCCGGCCTAACACCTGCCCTCCTTGGCTTGACGCATGTCGCTGTCCAGTTCCCAACTTACGAATACCTCAAAACCAGGTTTACAGGCCAAGGAATGGGCGAATCTAACGAGGGGGATGACGATTCTCATGTTTTTGGAATATTGGGGGCCTCGATTCTATCCAAGATTCTCGCCAGTACCGCCACATATCCTCACGAAGTCATTCGCACCCGTCTACAGACACAACGGCGCCCAATCGCTGGGGAGGAATTCAATCAAGGCATGGGTGTGACAAGTTCGGGTTCGGGGAGCACTCGTGCTCCAGTCGAGAAGCCCAGGTACCAGGGTGTCGTGCACACCTTTAGGACGATATTAGCTGAGGAGGGATGGCGGGCATTTTACGCTGGGCTTGGTACTAACATGATGCGAGCTGTCCCAGCAGCCACAGTCACCATGCTAACGTACGAATATATTATGAGGCACCTCTATCATGCCAAGGCTGAGGCGCGGCATCTTTTATTGGATCCGACAGCAGAGCCATAAGCATTCATCTGTTCTGAATTAGGGCAATTAGGGGGACAAAATAGGAGTTGGGGGATATTTGAGAAGGACTGTACACATCGTTTCATGGAAGCAATAGGAGACGGAGCAAGGCTGAGATACCCTTGGTCGGCAGCAGGCTTAGACAATATTTTGGTTCACAATGGGTCACGGAGCGAACGCCAACGGCGACTTGGTTCTGATGGTTGACACTTTTCATACATACGGATGAATGTTCAAAGCAGGCGCACATGGATGTACACACCATTCTATCTTGTTTGGGGGACAGAAAGACATTTATGTTTTTGAGTTGCATGATGAGCAAACGAGTTGAGGCATGGCGAATTTGGTGCAGCGCTGGCATTCGAGAGGAGTTTGTTTTATGATGTATGCTTGACACTAGACAATAAATCATAAAAATGACATATGCACTTGAAGTCACCCACTCCTGATCCTTAATCAAGTACAGCCCCTTGATGATTTATGAGAAAATGAGCCGCTCGCTTGCTGTGCGCCATTGCGTGCCAGAAGATAATAATTTCGTCTCACTTATGATGAACCGCCTCGTGAAGTACGCTCGCCATTTCTTGGCAATTTTGAATATTTCTTTTTGGACGTCGTGTTAGTTTATGTGCCGCAATGGCTGGGCTGGACATACTGCTTGGTCGCGAGCTGAGCGAATGGATGAGCGAGTGTACCTGCAAGGCATCAGCTTCTTGGTTCATTAGTACGCATTTAATAGCTTTATGAGTGCAGGTCATATTTAGGCTCGAATATACGGTAGAGCAAACTGTCTTTTCGAGAATGGTATATGACTTAACGGTCAAGTGCTATGCCCAAAGACTCCTTAGCCTTATGCATCACTTGATACACATTTCCTTGTGGGACATATAATGATATGTATACCATATCAATCTCATGTGAATAGCTTCGTACATGGCCATCAAAATAGTACCATGGCTGGGGGGAATAGTAGTGATAACTTGACTTCTAGAAAACATGCCACTTTCTTTACTCACACAAACAGTAAGCAAGCCATTGTAAAGGCCGCTCCTGGGGCCATGAACTTCTATTGGGATTATGTTAGTATGACGATGTTGATGAGTGCCTCAATCTAAACTTACTCGAGGATTCATATCTTCAAATTTTGCATCACACCTCAAATGTTGTAAGTCGCAAGCTTATAGTAGTGAGCATCCCAAGTAAACGGATGATTTCGGCAGGATCCATTGGTGCGCATTAGAAGCATAACTTCAATTGATGCATTCCCTCTGCTGTCCTCGGTGCTCCGCAATTGAAGTGCCTGTAGGTACCCACTATGAGACGCCAAGCGAGACAACCTGGTCCGTGCGCCGTCCGCTGCCGAAGAGCCTAGCATCTGTGGTCCAAGCTCCCGGAAGCTTGAAAGGCCTGGAACGACCTCTATTGGACCCCAGACGAGACCTCCCGTTTGGGGGAGAGAGGGGAGGCGCTTCCTCATCTGCCAAATGCGACAGCGACGGGCAGACCAGGCCAGGCCTACCCTCTCCTGCTCCTTCTCCATTTCTATTTCTATTTCTTCTTCTATTCCCCCCAACCGCCCAACCTCATCTTTGTTTTTATCTCCTACATACGCCTTTTGTTCACGCGTTTTCTAGTATTTACACGGTAGTTTTTCGTTCGCAAATTCTCTGCGATTTTCACAAGATATAGCATTGCTCTTTATCACGTCGCATACAGCGCAGCGCATCGCATCGCATTATCTCTCGTCGCATAACTTGCTCTTTCTCCCATATATCACCATGCCCGTCGAACTTCGCAAGCGCAAGGCGCCTGCCGCTCCTCCCCCTCCTCCTGTGAAGAGAAAGGCGTCTGCCAAGAACGTCAAAGCCGCTGCTAAGGTGAAGGAGGCTGCTACCAAGGTCGCAGAGAAGAAAGAACCTGAGAAGGCCGAGGAGCTCAAGGAGGAGACCAAGGAAGAGAAGAAGACCGAGGAAGAGCCCAAGGCTGAAGAACCCAAGGCTCAGGAGTCCAAGAAGTCAAGCGGCAAGGTTGAGGTTGGCGATGTTGTGGACCTTGATGACTTTGGCGGCGAGATCGAGACCAATGATGGTGAGAAGACAACATTGAAGAAGCTCATTGATGAGAGCAAGTCGGGTGTTGTCCTCTTTACTTATCCAAAGGCATCCACCCCGGGCTGTAAGTTTTCTATATCTCCTCATCAAGATTTTTCTTTATCTGACACCTACGCAGGCACCAAGCAGGTCTGCTTCTTCCGCGACTCATATGAGCCACTCACCAAGGATGGCCTGGCCATCTACGGTCTTAGCACCGACTCCCCCAAGGCCAACACCACTTTCAAGGAGAAGCAAAAGCTTCCATACCCTCTATTGTGCGACCCCAAGGCGACACTGATCGGTGCGATTGGCCTCAAGAAGGCCCCCAAGGGAACAACGCGCGGCGTTTTTGTCATCGACAAGGAGGGCAAGGTTCTGGTCGCTGAGCAAGGAAGCCCACAGGGTACTCTTGACCGCGTGCAGGCACTTGTTGATGAGCTGGCTAGCAAATAATGGTGAGGTCTTGAATACGCCCGCACAGCGTTATTTAATACGCACATGGGTATTCGGTACGATAGCGAAAGTTCGGATCATGATACGGTTTTTGTGTTTATCTGGAAGTTCATATTTTTGTCCACGTTAGAGAAGGTTAATAGACCGTGAGAGTAACATGATGATAATCACATATCTTTGGAAGGAACATGCACAACTGGTGATCAAGTTTCCGAGGCCTTGCTTCTTTGACATTTGGGCTGGTTGGTAATTAACAGGGCCAATCACTGCTTTGTACCTCCCTCTGGAATACCGCACGCTCTGTAAACTGGGTTGTTTGCTTTCATCATGGTTTAAATTGGGCGCTGTGCTCACCCATGGGAGCGAAATTCTCTGGCCATCCTAACCATTTTTATGCTCATAACATGCATAGTAAATATAATCACCGGAGCTATCCAACAAGGCACTATGTCTTCTATAATTCAAAAATATAGAATCAAATATCTTAGCCAGACGATTTTGGTTCTAGATTGCTTCATCCGTATGGAGTACTGGTTTCGAGGTGCAGGGTAGGTAGCCAGTATTATTCGGTGGAGCCTCGGATAAACCAACTTGACCAGCCAATAATCACGACGCCATTTCAACTTGGAAACGATTCCATCACCCGAACCTCAACGACAGCCTTCATCAGCCTACCACTCGCCATCATGTCGTCCCAAGCGGCTAAAGCCGCCAGCAACGTGGTCAGCATCGCCAAGGTACGAGATAGGAACAAGTCTCCCAACTCAATGCTTCTCCGTGGCCTCCTCGACGGCAGCCCTACCTCCGAATTACCTCGCAGATCATGAAAGCCTATACATGACATACAGCCGCTAATAGAACCTCTGCCAAACAGAAGCAAACCCTCCAGTCGACGGGTATCTGGGAGACCTTTCGCCGATTTTTGGCCATCGACCCCGAGCGCTCCAATGGTGTTCCTCTGAACCCTCACTTCCGCAACCCTCCCCCCGGCGCCAACCCTCCTCTCGAGTACGACGACCCCGTTACGGTGCCCGCTGGTGACATCGCCGACAACCCATATTGGAAGCGCGACAACCGCCGCAACTACCCCCAGCTCAGCGTCGTCAACCAGTCCCAGTTCGCCCAGCTCCTTACCGTCGGCAGCGCCGCGGCTCCCAAGGTTGAGCTCATTGGTGAGGCGGGCGAGAAGCAGCTTGTGGCTGTCAAGGAGGAGTCTGAGACCGGTCTGGCGAAGACCCTTGAGAAGGCCACCGACGCGACCAAGGATGTATTTGTCAACGGACTTCCTCCTCTGCCCAGTGGCCAGACTCTATCAGGTGGAAAGTGGGATGTGCACAAGTACGAGATTGCAGAGACATCTTATGGTGAAGGGTAGGTTGCTGAATGAATTGCCTGGCGAAAGAGAGAGTGCGTGCTAACGAATTACAGATACCCTTGCAGGTCGTTCAAATAAAGTAGAAGCGACGGAAGAGTGCTGTGTAAACAAATTATGAGGTAGTGAGGGTATAGAATTTCCATTGACAATGCAGATGATTTTTTCCTTTTTCACATACAAGCCTATGAATCCCGAAAATTGTTGATCCAACTTTCATACGCCGACCAGAACTCCCATTTCGGTTTATGTGGTTTATGGGGTTGAAGATGCCCCTGAAGTCTCTTTTCCAGCACTCCCCGCCATTTTCTCGATAATCTTGGCTTTTCCCTGTGCCCTCTTAACCCGGTCATCAAAGTCCTGCACCGCCTCATCCGAGTTCTCAGTTGAAAGTGTATCGGGCTCTACAAGAGCGTACAGAGTGTTGATGTTCTTCTCCAGTCTTGCATTCCTGGGCAACGCCGGCAATGTGCAGGCATCCCCTGACGAGGAAGCGCTGCCCTTGGGTGGCATGCGGTTCGCCCACACGATGGCTTTGCTGGCAAGGCGACCGCTCTCGAGGAACTTCTCAAAGCCCTTTTGCATGCCAAAGGACCTTCCTTCGATTCGTCCCGCCTGGACGCCGTCCTTGATGCCTTGCTGGTAGCCTTCTGAGTAGAAGCGCTCTTCGAGGTTGAGGACGTCCTCGAAGGGGTCCGAGGTGTCTGCTTGTCTTGTTTCCATGATATCTCGTGTTTGGTTCTTGTTCTTGAGTATGAGCCGTGACTCACTGTGGATTTGTAAGTGAGTTGAGACTTGACGTGTGAGTGAGTTCGGCAGAATTTGCGTCACCGCCCACTAAGTCAATAAATAAGGCGGGGCATTTCGTCCAACATTATTATTGTTGTACATGTGGAAAGCTTATCAACGGCATTGATGATGAACTTAAAGGTGCGCATTAACTATTAATTCATGTTAGAACATAAAATTTTGCTTCACTCTATGGTCAAACTATCTATTGCATCCCAAAGATCATTCCACCGTTGGCACAAATGACTTGACCAGTACACCACGCACTCTCAGGACTAGCTAGCATAGCGACAATACCAGCAATCTCATCAGCTTCACCTGCGCGACCGCCAGCTGTTTTAGCCTCCTCGACGATCTCAGGATCGTCAACACCGGCGCGAGCAGCCATGAGGGGCGCATTCTGAATAAAGGGCTTGATGAGTTGCTTGAACTCGTCTGAGTTGCGCGAGTACATCTCCGAACGGACAGGGCCAGGGTTGATGGCGTTGACGGTGGCATTCTCGCTCAGCTCACGAGCCCAAGTGCGTGTCATGGCCTCGAGAGCAGCCTTTGTGCCGCCGTAAACACTCTGGCCTACAAAACCCAGACTGGCGCTTACACTGCTGAGGTTGATGATACGGCCTGAACGGTCGTTGGGAAGGTAGGGCTGTGCGGCCTGGACAAGGAGCATAGGACCCATGACATTGACGTTGAAGCTGGTGGTGAAGTCATCAACTGTAATATCGGGTAGCTTGTTGTTGTGAGCGACACCAGCGTTGTTGACGAGGATGTCGATGCGCAATGGGTGAAACGCCTCAGCGGCCTGGGAGATGAGCGAGGCAGGACCCGTAGGGACGCCAAGATCAGCCTGCACAGGGACGACCTTTATAGAGTGTTTTGAGGAAAGTTCAGAGGCGAGACTGGCTGTTGAGTCGGCAGAGTTGGCGGATGTGTAAGCGAGGACGAGGTTTGCGCCGCGGGCTGCGAGGGCTTTGGTGATGGCCAGGCCGATACCTTGTAGGGTCAGTAGGGTTCAATTGGATATAGACAAGATGGCACAACTTGCCTCGAGAGGCACCGGTAACAATGGCAAGCTTGCCAGTGAGGGGGAGAGCCATGATGTGTGGTGGTGGTTATGTTGGTTGGTGGTGAAGTATATCAAGACAGGATGAATGGGTATCAAGACAGCAGAACTGCGGCACAAAATGGGATTGAAATGAGAAGAGCACGATTTGTCCAAGAGGAACTAGGGAAGACGATATCCTCTTTATATTTTGATCTACCAGCCTAGACATGATGAAGGACCCTTCTTTTGTGATCCTGTTGCGTATTAGTGAACCAACAAACACAATCTAGAGTCGGCAGCAATTGACGCGCCAATAGAGACTCAGCACCAAGTCCAACCCACCTTCAGCGCAAGTCTCGTGGCGGCCATTGCTGGCTTTGACAGGTGCGCTTTTAAAGAGGTTATTTCTCGGGTGTTACAAGTGGATTGGGGGTTTTCTTGACTTGATAAATTAAGTGGTGCCTGGGTTAGTTACTTTAGCAGGTAGCTTCAGGCTTCTGCGTCCTTCAGCGCATCGTAGCGGGGTTGATGATGCTACGGCGCGGGGGAGTTTACTGCCGACCTCCGGGGGGTCGGCCGCAAAGAATTTAGGGACCCGCCGCGAATTGAGGGGCCGATTCCGCTACGAAGTGGGCTGAAGCTCATCTTTAACGTCTACCGTTATCCATACAGTGCTCTTGAGCCTCAATCCCGCGATTTCACCACACAACAGTCCTCCCTCAAATTCCTCTTAACCACCGCAGCCATGGATATTCGCATCCTCACAAACGCAGACCTGCCCCTCATTCAGCACGCAAACCTCGAGAACCTCCCCGAGAACTACTTCCTCAAGTACTACCTCTACCACGCCCTCTCGTGGCCCCAGCTGAGCTACGTCGCCGTCGATGTCTCGAGGCCCAAGAAGGACCCCTACGAGTACCCCAAGATCGTCGGCTATGTTCTCGCTAAGATGGAGGAGGAGCCCTCAGACGGCATTCCTCACGGCCACATCACCAGTCTGAGTGTTATGCGCACACACCGAAGGCTGGGTATTGCCGAGAAGCTGATGCGCCAAAGCCGTACGTCTAAGCATATATGACACTTATGTATATTCCAGAGGAAACTAATTCTTTTGCCCAGAACTCGCCATGGTCGAGACATTCCAGGCCAAATACGTTTCCCTCCACGTCCGCGTCTCCAACGCCGCAGCCCGCCACCTGTACGAAAACACACTCGGCTTCACCAACGAGAAGACAGAGGCCAAATACTACGCCGACGGCGAGGACGCCTTCTGCATGCGCCTGGACCTAGGCGAGATCAAGAAGGCCGCCGATGAGGCCGCCGCGGAGGACCAGGAGGAAGCCGAGGACGAGGGCGACGCCGTGGGCGAGGTCGGCCGTGATCCAGAAGCGGGCAAGGATGCGGACAAGAAGAAGCAGGTCAAGGTGGCCGTGGGGAGAGGATTGGGAGTTGGCTCGTTGGTCGAAAAGGATGAGTCGAAGAACTAAAGAGAGATGAGATGATTGATGATTCAAAAAAGAAGGGAAGGGAAGGGAAATGTGTTTTTAATAGACGGATAGACAAAAAAGATGTGCGGTCCGGGTGAAAAACACATCATGAGTATGGAGAAGGTTTATGAAATTCATGAATCGTTACGCTCAAGATATTTATTATACAATTAACTGGGACAGGTACAATATCACTAGTCCGGTTACACTTCATTGTTTACCTATTGATACATATAAACCCAAAGAAACCCAAGAAATCAATCCATATAGGAGACTGGGAGTTCGGTCTTAGTGTCCATCAAGCGTCTCAGCCAGCTCACGAGCATACGCCTCATCCGCCTCGATCCTAGTTCGCTCAAGCGTCTCCGTGAGAGCCTCGATCTCCTTCTCCAATGCCCGACGCTCACCCAGCGTCACTTCCCCAGAGTCGGCATCTTTCAGCTTTGTTGCAATTTCCTTCTCGATCCCCGAGATGGTGTCGTATTTGGCAGCAGATGCTGCCCCTGGTGGTGGAATACCGGCGTCTCTGTCTCTGTCGGTGTCTTCTGGCCACGAGCCGGGGAATGGGCCTTGAGGACCTTGACCTTGGCCAACTCCAGGGGGCCAGTCTCTGCTGCCAGAGACACCACCTCGACCTGGTGGTCCGAATGCACCAGGATGGGGAAAACTTGCGTGGAATTGTCCTCTTGCTCTCCCCCATGGGCCTTGACCATCGCAACCCCAACCTCGACCCCTGCTTCGGCCACGAGGGCCTCTTTCTCCTCTGCCTGCGCATCCCCAACCCCCGAAAGTAGGTGGTGGAACTCTGACTCCCGGGACGTTCACAGGTGGAACATGAACTTGAACGGGGGGGACCTGGAATGGAGGAACATGGACTTGAGGGACTTGAAATGGAGGAACGAAAGGAGCCGGGTGCGGTTCGACATGGCCTCGACCTCGGCCCCTTTCACCTCTTCGATGGTCCCTACGAGCAGTCTTCATCTCTCTTTTCTGCTGCCTCCTCTCCCTCTTCTCTGCCTTCTTCCGCTTCTTGAGACCCCTCTTTCGGTCCCTCCTCTCCTTCTTCTGCTGACGCTTCAGATTTTTCCATTGCTGAGAGAGGATCTTACCCTGTGCCTTGAGTGCTTTTCGATCCACGTTAGGGTTGCTAGTGTTTGCGTTTTGGGCTTTGAGCTCAGCTTTAAGTTGCTTCACATCACCCCTGCTGCGCACCTCATGGGGATTGTTGGTCCATAGTTGGAGGCGGGCGATATAAACGGGCAGTTGTTGGTCCTTAAGGTCGTCGTAATCGGGGAGCGAGCCGATGGACGCTGAGCTCGCTGAAGAAGAGGACGAAGACGAAGATGAGGAAGAAGATGTTGATGAGGAACGAGATCGGGGCCCCTGATGGTTGTGGTGAGGTGCCCGTCCACGTCCATGTCCACGACCAGGACCAGGAAAGGGGCTGGCTTCAGGGTGAGCTGGTTGCCAAGGGAAATTCCCATGTCCAAATGGTGGCATATTGCGAGCATTTGGAAGTGGCGGCTGTGCAGGTGCATGTCCTGGAAGTCCTCCGCCTTGACCGTCCATGCGAATACCCCTACTGTCCATTACCAAGCTCCCAATTCGAAGTCCGTTGCTGTCAGCGACAAATCTGTCTCCCCACCGGACACTATCACTCTCGACTTTGAACCCACCCCATCCGCCGTTGAAAGTGTTGGATCTCCCTTGTGGAATCTCTTCTCTCTGGGAAGATGGACCGGGCTGCGCATGGGCTTGCACAGGGGGCTCATCAAAAGTTGGCTCCCATCCCCCTGGCATGTGTGATCGCTCCTCGGGCTGTAGCCTGACCATCACGTTTCGGGGGGCGAAGAAGGCAGAATTCCACTGTTGTACTAGAGCTTCGACCTCTGAGCGTCGGCGTCGTAGTTCGTTAGGGTCAGATGTGTGTCGTTCGGACTTCTCGCTGTCACCGATGGTAGATTTGCTATCTGAGCCATCTTCGGTCTTGGCCTTTCCACCAAGAATCTCTTCATTTTTGACCGAATCATGGTCGGGAAGAAGGAAATTGACAAACGTAGCCCAGTCTTGTGGGGTGATATCATATGAAGCCGCCCAGTTCTGCGGGTAGGGAATATCGTCAGGAACAGAGTCTGGCCTAACGGCAATGCTGTGTATCTGAGGCTCCCATTGTGCCGCTGACACAGGAGCAGGCCGGGTTTCAAAGTAAAGAGATACGCTGGGAGACAGCGGTATGTTGGTACGCTGTTGGCTTATCGGTGTTGTGATATTGGCGTTTGATTCGCGAGGTGTAAGTGGTGGAGTGAAAATGACAGGTTCCGTGGTTGAAGTGGAGGACATCCGGGATGCGACGTCGTCGCCGGGACCAGCGGGGCCGTGGCCGGAGCCGGCGGCCGAGCCAAGATGCGGTGACTGCGGGGGTTGAGATGAGGTAGAATAGATATCCGTCTCTGAGTATGGCGGTGGTGGCGCATCGTCAGCCGTTGGTGCGGCCCTTCTGTTTCTGCTGGTAGAGTCCATGCCTGGCGATGGAGTTGGCATGAGTGAGTGGTGTGATTGATTGATGTCAAGAGGGGTATCAAAGGCGAGAGTGCGATAGTCGACAAGGTAATACAGCGAGCTGATGATTAACAGCCTAACAACCGTAGTCTAAGCCGTCTTCAAAAGTCTACAATATTCCTAGGTGGAATTGCAATGGAAGATGGAGTATCCGTAGCGAGGCGACATCTGTCATTTATTTAATCTTGAATCATTGCTACATCACCTCGGATCATCACCAAAAAGGCTCCAATACGGTGCATACGATATATTACCCGACACTAGACAAACCACGACGCCTTGGGCTGCCTTACAGGGCCTCACCACCTACCACCCACTAAGTGCTTCGTGCGGCTGCGGGTTACGCAACTCGCATTCGCAGCCCTATGACTCCCCAGGATCCCCTGTGTCCAATGGCCGAGCTGACGCTTACGCGGCCGAGCGAGGCAGCCTACACTAACTGACAGCTGAGGTGCCGCATTCCCGGCCATTGAGCAGCATTGAGCCTTAACGGCCGATACTCTAAGTTAAGCTTGTATTCATGAGGTCGTCGTCATGCTTAATACACATGGCATGTCTTTTAATCACGGTAAACTCGTGCAAGGCTGACTCGAGTCAACAGGACAGGGCTTGTTGTTGACGCTGGTGATACGTGATATCAAAGAAATCTATGGCACCTTCACTCCATTTCGTTTTCACCCGTTCACATGTATGATGGAAATAAAACTCCATCTCGCTCAACGCCGAGGAATAAATGAATGACACAACTTTTGCGTTTCTTTGCGTTTGCTTTTTAGTTTGTGATATCTCGACATCATCCGCTCCACAGGTGGAAGTCAACATCCTCCTGCTTGTAATGGTCTGCGATGAGACTCGACAGATGGTCTCTTGAATGTGTTCCCCTGTAATGGATGTTAGTAAACGGTCCTGCACACGTATTTATCACGACTCACAGATTGGTGATGTACGTATCAATCAACTCTGGCGGAACCAGCTCTGTGATAGCAGTCCGGACCTCGACGCTGTTCACCATATGTCCGTCTGCAAAGTTGACATAGCTAGCAGAGTCTCCCCACTCAATGAGTGCGTCCTCGTTAAAGGGGTTCTCAGGGCTCAGCTTGTACACGCCGCTGAGAACAATGACTGCGTTGCCTTGCTCCTTGGCAGCTCGAGCCACAGCAGCAGCACCCGCGTCAGCGACAACTCCACCGTTGGCCACAATGGCTCGCGCGCCAAGAATAACCTTGTCCACTCGGGACATGTATGCCATCAGTCCTCCATTCATAACGTTGATCACCGAAATTCCGGCAGACTGGAGCTTCTTTCGGAACCCAGCATGCTGAACTTCAGGGGTGTGCTTTTTCGGGGGCTCGATGGCGATGAGAACTGTGAACCGTCGCTTTAAAGCTGCACGTAGGATAAATCGCTCGACTGTAGGAGACGGCTGGTGAATGAGCACGTAGTCACCAGGGTGGATCTGGACCTCGGCCAAGGACGCAATCTGGTCGTCCACTTGGCTAATCTCGTCCTTGATCTCCTCGATGCCGTCAATGACCTCAGATCTCAAAGCATGAACCTGGGCAGAGGGAGCCTTCCATGAAGGAGTAGACGTCCCTGACAGACCCAAAGGAGATCCTTGGCTACTGGGGGCAAGCTCGCCTGGTGTAGTCACTGAGAGGAGGTGAAAGAGGGTCTTGGGAATGTTGACTGAGCTGTAAGAGGACAAAGGGCCAGGGCGGGCGGGAGGAGGCTTGGCACTGTTGGTTATATAGTCACCGGCGGAATCTTGCTTGCCATATGTCGAAGGCGGCCACTGGTGAGCAAGAGCATCTGGGTTCGGGACAGCATCTGTTGGTGTGTTCTGGGCATCACTGAGGGTTTCGCTAGCACCCTCGTTTCTATCCTCGGCTGCTTCGTCGCGAATGAGGCCCAAGACTCGGCGCACGATGTTCGCAATCACGAGCTCCTTGGGCTGCGCTTCCACAAGTCGACGACCAATGCGGGAAACATTGTCAATCAGGCCGTCAACGTTGAACCATTTCGATCGGGCGACGACCTGGAGTAGAATATGTGCGGTTGCGACGGCGCAGGGCTCAGAACCCTTGATCTGGCGGCGCCTGAGGAGTCTGAAGATATCGCATTATATTTTTAGCAACGAGCATCTTTGGCAAAGGGGGCAACCTGGCAGGTGATGCTCACGAGACAAGACTCTCAACGGAGGATTCCAAAGCTTGGCCCTTGAGAGACCGGAGATATTTCTCAAGGTCGGGCGCATAGCCCGTAGAAAGAGGGGCCATCTCTAGGTATATCTGAAGGGGTCGCAATCGCAGTCGCAGTCGTGGTCGTAGCTAGCGCAAGCTGGGGGTGGGATATGTGTGCGGTCGCGGGGCGGAAATGGAGGGGTGGTTTTGTGACTCGGGGCACGATGCCTGGCAGATAAAGTGCAGTTATTTCGATATAGAGATGCTGTAATATTCCGTGTAGCAATTGAATTGAAAATATGCCGTAAGTGTAGAATGTTTGAGCCTTGACGTGGGCGTTGAACAGAGGCAAACGATCTGTTCTGCTTGGTTTAGATTGGATGATTTGTGAAAGCGAGTGTGAGTCAATCGATTCCTCCCACCGGAACGGACCTTTTTTTGCGCAAGGCTGTAGGTCACTGTCGGCTCTTAGTTGTGGGGGCCAACAGCCTTGTCCCCTCGGTGGGTCTCTGCACCGAAGCCAGTCATGACGACAAAGGGACAGGGGGTTTGTAAGTGACGGCCTTTGTCACTAATAAATGGAAGGTTATGCTTTGTGTTAAAAATAAACCAATAGGGTTTAAGTTCGATCGAGTCAAACCTTTCGGAAAATACTACAAAGGACATTATCTTAAACTTAGAATGAGGTGGGACATGTGTCTTTTATGAACCATCAACTAACTGTTGATCCTTGAGAATGGAGCTCACCGCCAATGGATGATTATGAGTTGTCACCGTCCAACAAAGGAAGTGATTGATGAGTTGGCAATTCTCAAAGCAGCAATTTAGTAGTCTAGCTAGGTAGTCTTCCAAGGTTCGAGTCATCGAAACTTGATAACGGTATTTGTGCAGGACAAGAACAAGTCTCAACACCTAGTTCGACTGCGTGTTGGGTATTGTTCTTTATGCCAAGGTCAAAGTTTACCTCGAAACTTATATCACATATCTGATTCACAGCTACCGATCTCAACAAACCTTGCAAGGCAAATCGGACGTATAAGTGATATACCTTAAGACACACTTACATCATATGAAAGTGCGTCAGTCTAATATGGTCGGATGGCAATAGCATAAGAACATGGCACATTGTGCTTGCTTTGTTCCTGAATCGTTGAACTTTGGCAGAATAAAGAATATAGACTTTGACTTTCTAACAGTTTTATAAAGAATAAGATTTATGAAGAATAAGATTTATAAAGAATAAACGGCCACTGGCATTCAAGACATATTTTTATTTCCTCCATTATCTTTCTATTTCATCAGTTCATCATGGTGACCCTTCGCAGTTCTACGCGGCAAAGAGCCCAGCGCTCGTCAAACAACATTCACAGCTCTACACGAGAAATAACCAAGCACGCCTCATGGGATTTCTTACCACAGGACATTCGCCGTCTCATTCTCGAAATTGTCTCACGCCAAGAAGGATGGGGGAGTGCCGCTTCTGTTTGTAAAGAGTGGCAAGACTTCATCGCAACAAAGAACTTTGGTCGGCTGGAGCTGAACCAAAGTAATGTTCACGGTCTAAGTAAGATCGTCCGACAGAGAAATCTCATCCGTCATATCTACCTCAATGTCGAGCTACCGACATACAGTTGCCGCAGTTGCGATTCCTCGTTTATAGTAAAGATTGCCGAGGCGGCGACTGTGAGAACTTGTTCACGAAAGCTCTTCTCGATCCTCAGTACATGGGGGCTAGACTACCGTATAACCCTTGAGCTAAATGTTTATTCACCCAGCGATCAGTGCCACTGGTTCAAGAACCATCTCTTTGGATTCGACCACGAAGACGAGGACGACTTCACCGAGGACCTCAAGCTTTTGCATGACCCAAGACACGGCTGGGAACATGGAAAGCAAGTTTCGGCTCCTCATACGGCAGCTATAATGCATCTATTCACCCCCTTTACCAAGGACGGCCTGGTGAGCCTCAATAACTTCGCAGAGGTTCCTGCAATTAAGAAACTCATCATTCGTCGACAGATGCGACGTAGAATCCCACCAGACGCGCTTCAGGTACTGCTCGAGCGACTCCCACAGCTGGAGAGCATCACATACGAGCCATGGTATGTGCTTAGCAACTCTGAGAGATGGTCCCATGAAATTGGCACAAGGACGATAATACTACAGCTACCACAGAGTGTCAGATCGATCACCATTTTCGAGGATTTCAACAAACATATCATGGAATCCGTGCGCTACGACAGCTGGGGACATATACATACCGTATATGACGATCTTGACACCAGACGCGTGTATTCTAACCTATCGTGTGACCTGGCGAATGAGTTTGTTTTGCGAAGTCTTGATCTGGAACATCTTTCCGTCTCTTTCATGATCAATTCTCAGCACTTTTTTGAGGCGTGCCGTGCACCGTCCACCTGGCCTCGCCTCAGATCGCTCATACTCACAACACGGATCATGACAAAAGGAAACCATGAGGAAATCATGGATGAGGTCGCCGCTGCTGCTATAGCTGCAGAGAGTATGCCACAGCTAGAGGCTCTGGCGATCTGGTACTGTTCTGGTAAAAAAGCATGTGCGGCTATCTTTCGCAGGAACCAAGGACCGATGGCCCGGTGGTCGACGCTTACATGGCGTGGTACAGAGGAGCTTGAGTTTAGTGAACTTGCAATTGAGAAGTGGCAGAATGTCGTTGGCGACCAAACTCTTCTGGTCAAGTACGAGAAAGTTGATGGGGGAGATATCGACTCTCATGGAGATGCTATCCATCATCTTCAGTTGCCTGAAGGAGTCATTGATCCCAGATCGCTTGCGCAGATACGCAAAGAAGGGAAGCTACAGAAAGAAGCCTGGGCGGTTCTTCCTGTTAACAGCTAGTCATTTGGTTTAAAAGAGATTATTAGAACGACAGAGAAGTGTTGTGCGTATTGTATTGTATTTTATGAAGTTAGATTCATTAGACGAGTTTCAATTGGAGCATATGTTAATTGTAAATTGATGGGCAAGCCGCGGTACGCAAATACCCCTGCAGCGCTACTGTACGCATCGTCCACTGCAAAACTCCCCCCCCCCCCCCCCCCCAAGCCTCCACAGGCAATTCCCCAGCATCCAGCATCCGTCGGCAGCTCTCCCCAACACGTGAACCATTCCTCAACCACACTCGCTCACTCCCTTTCGATCTGCTCTGCTCTGGCTACTTTGAGTTGATTTGTTGATCAATTCTCCGTCAGTTCTCACACTCGCACTCATACTCTCTCTTCCCTCTTTTTTTGCGCGCGCAATACTCACAAACCTCCCCCTCATCTCATCCCCTAAGGTTCTTTGTTCCTTGGTTCAGTCCGTTGATAGCCCTGTACTCTACGTACTGTATTTATTTCCCCCTCCGAATTCCGAGCGGTACTCGTTCCATCCGCTAGCGCCTTTCTTGTAGCTTTGATTTCTACGTTAGAGGACCTAACCTAACTCAAGCCAACAAAGTTCCCCATAACTCCCCTCTCAACGCCACGAAACCAGAACACTGATTACTGTGCGAGGGCGGCTTGTTTTAGTGGTGCAGAATACTAGACTATCTAACCCATCCTGACGACTACTCGACCACTCGAGACATCTGTACTTTTGGATTGGATTGTACAGTATTATCTTCCTCCTCCCTGGGACTTTCCAGGCCCTTTGTACAAAATACTCATTTACCTGCTCGGTATTGGCACTATCGCGACCACATTACATACATCTTTGGGTCATTTTTTGCTTCGCCGCACTTGATGCCTTCGTCTTGACATCATTCCGTTCGTTTCAGCGTTGTCAGAGTAAGCCTTGGGACAACCTCCTTCCTGCGCACAGCGCATCCAACACGACCAGCCTTCGACTCCTTCCCACCCACGGCCCTAAACTCATCATAAAGTCCATTAATCTTTCCGAAACTTCTCCCCCTGGACGATCTATACTTTAGGCCTTACCTCATGGAATGTCATAGCCCGCAGCGATGAACTCCCTGAACATCCTAACGGCCCGCGTGTCGCCGCCCCCAAGCCCGGGACAGTCGCGATCCAACAGTATAGGCTCCATTGGAATCGGTCTCACCTCCGAAGACCAAGACGATAACGAGAGACCATCCGGTCACGAGACCGAGCCATTCCCTCAAGACACTATTGACGAATCGCGATTCGAACCCGAAAATAAGCCCGCCGACGAGGACACCCCATTGCTCGGCGACACAGGAGAAACCGGAAGTCGAAGCTCGTGGTGGCACTCTATCCCTCGACGTATTGCTTCTAGCATTATCGGTTCCCTTCGCTGGGTTCTTGCGACATTGGCCTCCCCAGGCGTATATCTTATCGCTTGTTTCTACGACGAGTACGGCAATTTCGCCCCCTTTGCACAGCTTGGAAAACTATTTGGACTACACGGAAATCGACATAAAGCTATGGAAGAGCCTGACGCCATCTCTGAAAAGGAGTATGGCAGGACTTCGGGATACAGGAGGCTCGCGCCGAGACAAAGGCCCGTATCATCTTCTTCGACATCATCAGGCCTCTCTTCGGAATCGGAATCGGAAGGATCACGGTCAGGTAGTCTTAGTCGGCATGCTCGGTCCAAATCGCTACAGCCTGCAGAGGAGTCGGGTCCTACCAGGAGATCTATTCGAATCAAGCTCAACAGCGACGAGGATCTCAGGCAACGGAAGCACAGGAAAACGCAATCAGCAGTCGCGCGAACCAAGGCTAGTGATCTAGGCGGCGACCTTTCGGCGCATCTCAAGTCTCCTACTTCTCCCATCGCAGCACTTACCAAATACCCGAAGACACCGGCACCGCCTCGACCTTTGATCCCCCGCAGACAGCCGTCCTACATCAACGTTGAACCGTCGGCGCACCCGCAGAAGACTTTGATTCTAGATCTAGACGAGACTTTGATACACAGCATGTCCAAGGGCGGACGGATGAGCACCGGACACATGGTTGAAGTACGCTTGAACACGACATATGTTGGGGTTGGAGGGCAGACATCCATTGGGCCGCAGCATCCTATCCTATACTGGGTCAACAAGCGACCTTACTGCGACGAATTCTTAAGGCGGGTGTGCAAGTGGTATAATCTGGTTGTGTTCACAGCGTCGGTGCAAGAGTACGCAGACCCAGTGATTGACTGGCTAGAGACGGAGAGGAAATTCTTCTCGGCGCGCTACTACCGCCAGCACTGTACATTCCGCCAAGGAGCTTTTATAAAGGACCTAAGCTCGGTCGAGTCCGACCTCAGCAGGGTGATGATTCTGGACAACAGCCCTTTGAGCTATCTGTTTCACCAAGGTAAGAGCCGCATTGGCCGGGTTATATGAGAAAGGAGAGTATTAACGTCGAGTTAGACAATGCCATCCCTATCCAGGGGTGGATCAACGACCCTACAGATACAGATCTGATGCACCTGGTGCCATTGTTGGAGGGCCTGCAGTATGTACATGATGTGAGGGCGTTGCTGGCCCTGCGGGGTGGTGAGGATGGGCAGCATATGGCATAACTTATGATTATTTAATCTGGAGTCAATAATGATCGATTTCTGCTTCTCGAGTTGTAGCACGTGGGAGGCGGGAGAGCAACCGCCATGTTACCCCAAGACGGTTGACCCATTCCATCGTAGAACATGCATGCAACGGCTCGTTGTTAGAGAAACCGACATAACTTTGCGTAAAATTACAGCAACAGTCGACGAATTACTGCAGTTTAGGGTAAGGATGAAGAGAGTATGGCTTTCCGTCCTTAACCTAGAATAAACTATGTGTTAAGCTACATCACAATGTAAGGGAACTTGAAAATAAACATTGAGTTCATCCGTCTGGTCTACCCTACGTATTAATTGAGCCGCAATTATGGTCATACAATTCATTGTGCACATGTTCATCAGGGTCCATCCACAAACACACGTCTAATCTGCCGTGGCATCCAACCTTCGCATGCTCGAATTGTATTATAGGGATTTTCTTCAGCGACAGGGTCTAGAGTCAACCGTGTGGTGGAAGTCTGAGACACACAAATAATGCAAATGCAAACATAATTCAAGCTGGTTAGCTCAAGCCTAGACGGAGGCTGGGCCGGCTGTTTTCGGGGAGGGCCAGTACCGGCTTTACAGAGACGGCTATGGAATTGTTGAAAACGGGGAATAAAACAAGCTTTTCGCCGGCCTCAGTTCCGCGGATGTCAATTCTCTACCGAGAGCTACAGTGAAGCGAGAGAAAAAGGTAAGGTCCCGGTTGCGAAGGAAGCACAGTAGATCACACACGCCTCGGTTTCTGTAATGGAACCAGTTTCAAATTACCGGGGGAAAGGCCAAAAGGGAATCGCAAGAAAGCAGCCGAGGGAATGGGATAGATGCAAATGACGCTGTGACACCATCATCGCCCATCGTCCATCGTCCATCGCCCGCGGGGCATTGGGACAGCGCCTGTTCCCCCCCGCTAATAGTTGCTGTATGTTTTGCTTTGGCGCTTCTCTGCGTCTACGTCTACTTGTGCTGGGAAAACTTGCAGATGGCCCTGGCCCTGGCTGGACCTGGAGGGGCCTGGACTCAAGCTTTCCCCATATTTTGCCCCGCCTGGAGCAGGAGATCAAGCTCCTAAAACCAACAAGAAGAGAGCTCCTAGTGACTGACTTGCTCGAGCTCTGCATTGTCTGCAAGTCGTAAACGTCAGATCAGGTACAAAGTTGGCAGGGGGGGCCAGGAGTTCTGAGTAAAAAAGAATCAATGCAAGGCCAACCCCGCAGTAAAAGAAATTCGGGTTAGTGCTAAGGTACATAATTCTTTCGGGTCTGAGAGCTGTTTTTCCATTAGAGAAGACGGCTTGTTGGAGGTGTCTCACCAAATGGTGACATCATCACCTCTGGTGACGACACAAGGGAAGACGAGACAGGCAAGCCACCGGTTTTGGGCTGGGCCTGCTCAATGATGCGAAGGGGGAAAGTGAAAAATGGGTGCTGAGATCGAGATCTGTGATGAGCTGCAAAGTACAAATACTGGGAAGGATGCCAGCTGGACGTGACCTGCCTTGTTCTCTCCCATACATAAATCTCAATTAAAGCTATCTCCCATTCCAACCTCTCTCTTCAACCACAACCACAACCACCACAAAACAACTATCCAACATGTCTCTGCACTACCTCCCCCCCGTCAAGCCCTCCGCTATCGCCCTGGGCACTGCTTTCAACCACGGTATTGAGCTCGCCGTCCTCGCCCCCATCTTCGGCCAGACCTACCAGCGCGCCAAGGCCGCCAACACCAAGGAGGAGTTCATCCGCTCCAAGGAGGCTTCCGGTGCTGCTCTCGCCTGGGGTTCTTCCCTCGCTGGCTCTGCTCTCCAGGCCTACGGTGTCGGTGCTCTCATCAACGCCACTGGCACCCTGAGCTACAAGGGCGCTGCTTACCTCGGATCTCTCATCTTCTTTGCTACCTCCGCTCCTGGTGTATGTTACCCTCCTCAAGTCATGGACCATTGAACATGAAACTAACATCGCATAGTACATCGCTCAGGTCCTCGTTGAGAAGCGACCTCTCGACACCGTCGGCGTCAGCTTGGCCACCAAGCTCATTGAGACTCTTGGTCTCTCCGTCTTCCTCACCTGGTGGGGAACCCGAACCAACCCTTTCGAGTAAGGGATTAATTATGACGAATATTTTTAATCACCCATGGTCGGGATGGGTTTCATGAATTTGTTATATCGTGGCTGCGGGCCCGTGTGAGTTAGGGATTAAGGATCATTATGTACCTATAAGCAAGCCAAAACGGCAAAATAATACCACTCAAATGATCAAAAGTTATCTCATCCCATGTGAATGTCATGACCTTAAACGTTATTATCGTGAACTAGAAAACATGTGTCATGTACCTGAGCCCTTATTCATTATTAGCTAATTGTGGGTACGTGGTTATTCAACTCACCTTGTGGTTTATGTCAATTTTCAAAAACCAATGTTGCAATCATTGTTGGGAAGTTCCGTTGTTTAGTGCGCTACAATGTGACACTAGCCTGCAGGTTATGCCAGACGTTGAGAAATATGCGCGAAGGTTGCGTACAGCATATTGAAGAGATTGAGCGTATTTTATCGTAAAAGGGTGGTAGTCTCTTGACAATACTGGAGTTAGCTAGGGAGGTAGTAAAGAAAACACAAGCTAGCAGCTTGACTGCCAAGGTCTATGCTTGATCGCGTGCTGTAGCTAGACAGACGATCCGCAGAAGCATCGTGAGCGAATCAACATCATTGTGCTCAGAAAGCTCTAGGTCTGCCAAATGTTTCAAGGACCCTTTGTAATCATGTCCCATTTTTAATGCAATAGCTAAACCTGAACGCCGCCAAAGCCCTCATCTGGCCGTTGTTCTTCGGCCAGATCTTCTGGTATAATACATCCAGACATGTTTCTAACAACACACAATCCATCCCAGAAGAGCAGCAAAGCTTCATGCCACCCTGGTCGACGGCTTCACTCCTGACATAGCACTGTCGCGTCTTCGACGGATCGTATTCCCCTAGTATTTGGTTCCGCCCTTGACCCAGAAAGCCTGCTTGCCATACTCCTTCTGCACGTACTTGACGAGCGACGCGTAGCTCTCGCCAAACGCCTCGCCATCGTCCTCGCCGTCCTTCTCGGCAGCCTTGGCCTTCTTGCCCTCGGCCTTCTCCATGATCATGACCACGGATGTAGGTCGCTTGGTCTTGGCAGCGGCGCCGAGCTCAGCGCGCGACGTGACGAAGATGAAGGGCACGTTGTGGTCCTCGCACAGCACGGGGAGGTGGGAGATGACGTCCATAGGGGAGATGTCGCCAGCGATGATGACAACGCCGGGGAAAGAGGTGTTGCCAGGACCGGAGGGAGCGGACTTTCGGAGGGTCTTGACGACCTCCTTGACACCGCGCTTGAGGGTGTTGTTCTTGGCGGCTGTTATCGAATGTTAGCAATCTGCCACTGTCAAGTAAAGCTTAGTTGTCATCGCATACCCTTTCGGATGGTCTTGTAGACCTTCTTCATGCCCTTGTCGTCAGCGACGGGGAGAGCGAAAGGAACGACAACGCGCTCGAGAGGGAGCTCGGCAGCCTTGTCCTCCTCGGCGTCGGAGTCCTCGTCCATGTTGGCGGCGGCGGCGGCAGCAACGGGGGCATCCTGCTGGATCTTCTCCTCAAGAGCAGCGGCGAGCTTCTCCTTCTTATCCTTCTTGTCCTTCTTCTCCTTCTTGGGCTTAGAAACGCCGGACTCGTCGCTTCTCTTCTTATCCTTCTTCTCCTTCTTCTCGGGCTTCTCGGCGGCCATTGCTGCGGTTTCTCGTCGAAGTGATTACTTGTGTGTCTTGTGTAGAGTCCGCTGGTGTCGCACGATGAGTTATGTGTGCCAATTGAAGATTCCGCGGGACGATGTGTGTTATCGCAAAGTTTCCGTGTTTTCTTTCAGCACTCCACTGACCTCGAAATTTTCTAACTTTTTTTTCTGGGTCGAGGAGCTACTGCGCTGAGGCTCGGCGTTACATGCAGCCGCTTCCGGGGCGACTTTTGTGTCCACGTGATTTGCACCAAGAGTCAGCCCAATCAGGCGTTTGATAATGGTTATTACCCATGTATACGAGATTCTGGGATCATGGAGATATGATACTACATAGTAGACTTCATTCATGAGACGTTAATAGCATTTTATAAGACAAATTGTTATAAATAATGAAAATAGTGTGACAGCTGTCTATTGCACCTCCTGATCTAGGTATTGATGATGTACAATGAGTCCAGAGGACCTGATCCAACATATCCGCCATGGTTGCATTCTCAGAATCAACCAATTTACTCCTCCTCATCAGCGTACTCGGCACGACCAGCCTTAGAGTTGAGGTACTCGCTTCTGTAATCGGAGTTAGTACCTTGTCTTTAGGTGAGCTCTGCATGTGAACGTACCGCTCGACGGCCCAGCTCATGATGTAGTAACCGCCAACCATAGGGGGGAGCCAGAAGAAGATTTGACCCTTGGTACGGCGGAAAGTGTTGAAGATGGCGGCATGAACGGAACCAGCCCAAGGGTTCTGTCGGTTGGCGGACAGACCGTAGGTGACAATACCACGCTGCTTCTCACCACCTGATGTCGAGTTAGTCTCCCGTTTCGTTCGTAGCGTTTCTATTCCTCCAAGACGGCATCGACGTATAGTAGAGATTCAACAAGCGCATGCATCGAGTTGTGGTGTTATGTTGACCCAATTGCAATCCCCCTCGCATCGTCATCAATCCGTTGGTCCGTCGCGTTCATCGATCCAGGTTCAATTCGTTCGCACAGGAGCAGTCACTTACCAAAGTGGCCCCAGTTACCAATGTAGCTATAGAAAAAAACCGTCAGCATGAAATTCTACAGCGATTGGGATATCTAGCGACGAGTTGGTGTTGCTGGTCCGGCCAATTATCGAGGAAAAGCCGCATGGAACAGCACTACCAATTGCCCTCGCTCAATCGCAATGCACGTACTGTCCGTTCTTGGGGTCGGCAGCGCCGCTTCGGAGCATCTGAGTCGGTCTCATCTTGGCGGATTTGGCACGGGAAGTCGAGTCTCGTGATGTGGTGTTTTTTGGAGTCGTCGGTTTGAGGCTGGAGGCGAAGGCAGAAAAGAGCCACTTGAGGATTTCTCGGATCGGGTTGGATTGGAAAGCGCAGACACAGGCTTTCTTTCCCCATCAGCCGAGCTTTCCTGAAACGGCCTAGCGTGTCAGACCACCCCACCTAAACGTCCAACCAGCGAACACCACTGGGAATTTGTCCAAAGGTGGACTAACAGACAGCTTCAAATCATCATCGCCGTCCGTTGACTCCGAAAAGCTTCAGCTACGCCTTCATACTCCCGTCGCTCGCTGTGGTTCTACGACCACCATTTTTGACCAACATCTTTCAACAACAACGAAAGATTTAACAGCAAAACTTCAAAATGGCGGCCGCTGCACGAGCCCTCAACTTCATGTACCGCCTGGCGGTCCCCGCCTCAGCTGCTGTCTTCCTAGGCAGCCAGGCCATATACGACGTCAAGGGCGGAACTCGGGCTGTTATCTTCGACAGGTTGTCTGGTGTCAAGGAGGAGGTCATGAACGAAGGAACTCATTTCCTCGTCCCCTGGCTGCAGAAGAGCATCATCTTTGATGTGCGCACAAAGCCTAGGAATATCGCAACCACCACAGGTAGCAAGGATATGCAGATGGTCAGCTTGACACTTCGAGTGCTGCACCGGCCAAATGTCAAGGCTCTTCCCAAGATCTACCAGGTAAGATCTTCAGAACAATACATACAATCTAGACAACATGACTAACTCTCGTAGAACCTCGGTGCTGACTACGATGAGCGAGTCCTCCCCTCCATTGGTAACGAAGTCCTCAAGGCCATCGTTGCTCAGTTCGACGCTGCAGAGCTCATTACCCAGCGAGAGGCTGTCTCTGATCGCATCCGCAACGACCTCACCCTCCGTGCCGCCGAGTTCAACATCGCCCTGGAGGATGTTTCCATTACCCACATGACCTTTGGTCGCGAGTTCACAAAGGCCGTTGAGCAGAAGCAGATTGCCCAGCAGGATGCCGAGCGAGCACGCTTCATTGTCGAGCGAGCTGAGCAGGAGCGTCAAGCAAACGTTATCCGGGCCGAGGGAGAGTCCGAGTCCGCCGACGCCATCAGCAAGGCCATTCAGAAGTCAGGTGACGGCCTCATCATGATCCGAAAGATCGAGGCTAGTCGCGAGATTGCCGCCACCCTCTCCACAAACCCCAACGTCGCTTACCTACCCGGTGGAAGCGGAAAGCAAGGTGGCCAGTACCTGTTGTCGGTAGGCAGGGCTTAAATTAATGGGCATTGTATGATGTAAATGGTGTTGAGGAAATGATTGGGAACTCCCCGCTTATCGTTGGTGATGAAAGTCTTTATTTACAAGCGCCAACTATGTATTTCTAGAACGAGACAGGACGGGAAAATTCACCGTATCTCGAAATGTATAATCCTCTGCGACTACATGGTTCGTTGTGTTCTAACACGGTATAAATATGCACTGAGCCTGTGATATCCTTGCTTTATTTCCTAGAAAGTTACGAATTAAGGTGGGATGTGGTATTCATCCTGAGATGTCGGATAGATATGTGGGAGTGTGTGGAGGGTATTATATAGTGTTATTTACTTGAGATCTATTTCATTGCGTTCACGGAGTCAGGATGATATAGATCATCTTATGACCGCAATAGCAAACCCTCTTCTCCAACTCAGCTATGCTGGGTATCAGGCCTGAAGCAAATCGCCTAAGCCTCAAGAAAAGCTGCTGTCAATCCGGCAGTCTTTCCAGGACCCACGAATCTGCCGTCCACCAATTTCCAACCCTCCCTCTGCATATCCATCCACAAATTCCTAATCTTGAGACGTACAAGATCTCCTGCAGCTCTCGCATCCTCAGCAGAGTCATGGCCCAACATCTTGGGACCCGTCTCCTGCTGAATCTTGCGGTTGAGCTGGCTATCCATAAGCATCTTCAGACCGTAACGGTACGGCAAGCCAGCCTTGTGGGGGTAGAGCAGCACGGTATCTATCAGCGTTGGATGCACAATACGAACCGAGTTGAGATCATTTTCCAAGCCGTGACCGATTAGAGGTGTGGTCGGGGCGATGAGGGAAAAGAGAAGATCTCGAGCGACTTCGGGTGATGAAACGATCTTGAGCTGCTTCTTCTTAGGCTTCAGCTCACCGTCTTCACTCACATCGTCGCTGTCACTCTTAGTTGGCTTCGTCGAGGTGTCTGCAGACCATGATTCAGCCTGGGCCAAATCTTCTGGCCAGACACCAGAATACCGCGAGTTCAGGTCCAGGATTTCTCCCAATGGTCGGACCAGTACATCTAGCAGTTCTTCGCCGGTGGGCCAGGAGGTTGCGGTCAGGCGGATAAGTTCCATTCCATAGACCGTATAACCCATCTCGCAGTCAAAAGCCACTGCTCTATCTGGTGGTGGCAGAGGGTTCTCGGGGGTTTCTGCAAAGTTAAGTGTAGAAGCAAGCCTCTTGGGATCTGAGGTCTTGAATACGTGGTGATCGCGTGTGTAGCAGCCGACTGAGTCGCCGAGTTCCTGGCCACAGCACTGGTATCGCTTGGGCTGCCTCGTCTTGTCACCCAGAGCCTTTGGAGCGATAAATGTCTTGCCCCAGTGGAATGTGCATGTTCCGCCAGAAGTGAGTGCACCGTCTTCTTCGCGTCTCCCAGGAAAGACTTGGAAGCGCTGTTGACACCGGTCGCATTTCTCCCATCCTGCAGCTGTCTCTAAGCCTTGCCTCGCCTTCTCAATATCTTCTTCGGAAGGGACAACAGAAACATATCCATGGCTTGCTAGCTTATCAATAGGAGTTAAGATCCGCTTCGCGAGTTCAACTTCTTGAGGGGGTGTTAGGTCAGTCTTGATTTCAAGTGGTTTCTCGGAAGGATCCTTTCCAGAAGCTTCAAGTTCTAGTTTTTTCCTTTCATCTTCTCGTTCAGTCTTCCACTGGTCGACCTTCATTCGTTTGTACTGCATGACCTTGTTTTTCATGACATTAGAGTAGACGGCAGTTTTATGGACAGCAATGTACTCCTCCTCGTCTAGTGATCGAACGATGAGCTCCTGATCTGACAAAAGGAGGCTCATATCATTTTTCTTGGTGATTTTCTTAAGTTCTTTGTTCAGTCGTGTTAACTCTTGATGAAGCATCCTGACAAGTTTCAGACGAATATCATGGCTTGCAGGAGAGCTTTTAAGGAGTCTAGGGTTCAGTGATTCAGCTTTCTTGGGTTTTGCTGACGCAACTTTCTGAACAGAAAATGGCCGTGAGTCACTGGTAGGCTGACTGATTTTGGCGACTTTTGAAGGAGCGTAGGGGGTATCATTTTGAGCATCTACTTTTCGCTTAAGAGGCGGAGGAGAAACTGGCCGACCAGCTGTTTTAAGCTTCTTCGCTACTGGTTTCGGAATGTCCTCCGCTGAGTCCGCACGAGACGTTCCAGATGAGCTCTGTCCAGCGTTCTGGGGAGTTCCAGGGGAGGGCGCTGGATGAAAGGGGTCAGTCCTCACGCGCTTGCGTGACACGTCTTGGTTTGCTGCCGTCTTCTTGTTGCCAGTGTCATTTGGCGAGGTTCTCGTTACAGAAACCTCTGGGGCAGATGGTTGCTCGTTCGGATGGCCAAATATGCAGTGAAACGCTGTGCATTCGTTGCCCTTGGGACAGGGGATGTGTTTCAGAGACAAGCTCATGGTGACGACACCTTAAGATGGTATTGACAGCGTCTCGAAAAGGTTCCCGTGATGGTGATCACGGTCATGTGGATAATCAGAAGCAGTGATGAAAGATCTTTGGCTGTGAACAGATGTAATGAAGTTGGAACGTTGAAGATGAGTTTAGAGTGGTTGTGTTAGGTGAGACGAAAGCGATAGGAGTTGTGATCCACAGATGGGAGTTTGCCATATGAATAAAGCCCGTGCTGAGGTCCATGCACGTGAGCTTCTTCGAGGCCAAAAAGAAAGAATTATTGGATATCCATATTGCTTTGTTTCTGTTTGTATTTCTGGCAATGTATGTATCAATTAGAGCAAAAATGACTTCTTTGAGGCGATAATTGGAGTTGAGCTTTGAAGTTGAAGGAGCTGCACTTAGCCTCGCAGGACCCTCCACTCCCGGAGCGGCTACTCCCTTGGTAAGCCCCACTGTCGGCTACTGAACAAGATGTCCTGCATGCCCGCACGCAAACTCCGCTAAGATCTAACGTTAGAGAGGCTCAGTGGACATGACTCTTGGGACCTTGGCTGATGGGATGTAAAGAGACCATGATGATGAAATAATATGACTAGATATGTAGCATAGACTTGTATGAGCATGGCAGTTATTAGTTAGATAAAAGATCTATTTGGATATAAACTTAATACATCATGGTAGCTCGCACTCGGGTTCGCTACCTTTGTAATCGTCATGACCAGCCAGCTCCAGGGAATTCAGTTCGTGAAAGTCTACCCAAATCTAGAACCCATGCGACCATGCAGCAAAGCGCCACTTTTCAATATCGATTAATCAGATGAAATGAGATCCCTAGGGCTCTTTGCTCGTCAGTCTGGCCTTTCAGATCTAGACCAAAGCCAGCTACTGCCATCAGTCGGAATTCGTATCTATCCGAGATATTCGTTCTTCACGATTAACTCCGCAACTATAAAGGCCTCCAAGATGCCGCATGAAGTGACCACATACGCAATGCTCAGCCTCACGGGGATTAATACTTGCAATCACCGCTTATTTCATTTCCACAACCAGATTGTTGTCCTAATTTGGACATATGTTGCCGCGTGTTTGGTCGACGTCGCTAATAGTCATCGATTATTTGGTGGGGATATCAAAGGCTTAACTCCGTCCCTCCGTCCCTGTACTGAACGCGGACTTGGAAACAAGCCGACTTTACACTCTAAGTCTACGCAATCCGAAACTCCGTTGTTAGCTGTTGGGACGTATCTCCTGAGAAATTCCCAACTAAATTATTTCTTTTAAAGAGTGGCAACCTTGCGGCCTCAGTCTTTTTCTCTACTCCGTTTCATTTTCATCACAATTTCAACTTATACACCATGTCCAAGCCTGTCGCTCTCGAAGATGTTACTGGCGGAAGCCCAAATGCGACGCACCTTGTTGTTCTAGTTCACGGCGTAAGCAATCCATCCCCTGACGATCGACCCCTATACGTCATTCTAACCACCATTTTGTATTGCAGCTTTGGGGAAAACCCAGCCATTTGCGCAACGTCGCCAAAGCACTGCGAGATGAGCATTCCGAAGACGAATTATATATCCTACTTGCGAAGCAAAATAGCGGCAACTTTACATACGATGGTATCGAACTTGGTGGCGAGCGCGTGTGCGCAGAGATCGAGGAGGAGTTGCGCAGCATTGAAGAGAAAGGAGGCAAGATTACCAAGTTGAGTATCGCAGGATATTCTCTTGGAGGTCTAGTATCGCGATATGCAGTTGGTCTGCTCTATGCGAAAGGCATACTTGACGATCTGGAGTGCATGGTAAGTTAACAGTAACAACAACATGGGACGAAAGACTAACAATCTCACCCCAGAACTTTACTACATTTGCTTCCCCCCATCTTGGTGTACGGACACCACTCAAGGGCTGGCTCAACAACATCTGGAACGTCCTCGGCGCGAGAACGCTATCCATGTCTGGTCGCCAACTCTTTACGATCGACCGCTTTCGCAAAACCAACCGACCTCTTCTTTCAGTGCTCGCCGATCCCGATTCCATCTTTATGTCTGGTCTGAAGAAATTCAAGCGTCGAACACTGTACACAAATATTGTCAACGACCGAAGTGTAGTGCACTACACATCTGCTATTACTAAGAGCGATCCTTACAATGATCTCGAGAACGTTAAACTCAACTATCTCAAGGGTTATGAGGGTGTTATTCTCGACCCCGATTATCCCGTGGCCCCCTTTCCAAAGGTCAACGGCCAAGATTCGTTATCGTCCGATTTCGAGGCCATCAAGAAGTGGGTTAAGGGCATCCCTTTTATGGTGACAATTAGTGTGATGATTCCAATTGGAATCACGGTATTCCTGGCCAACGCTGCAGTCCAAACAGTCCGAAGTGCCAATCGAATCAAGGCGCACGAGTCAGGAAAGGCTGGCTTCAAGATCCAGGACTACCGCATGCCGTTACAAATCAAGCATATTCGGGAAGAGGTGGAAGAGGCCTACGAGGTTCTCAACAGCTCACAAAGGCAACAGTACCTCGAAGGATCAGATTCCGAGGAGGATCTAGCTTACGACGCTGCAGATCGCAAGATACTTAAGAAGCAACGCAGAATGTCAACACCCTCGCAACCTACGCTTGCACTCACTCCTGATCAATTTGAGATGATTGAGAACTTGGACGCGGCTGACTGGCGCAAGTACCCCGTCCACATCCAGAAGCACCGACATAGCCACGCAGCGATTGTTGTGCGCATGGATAAGGAGAGTTTCGCAGACGGTTGGGTGGTTTTAAGGCATTGGGCTGGAGATGAATTTCTGTCTTAATCGTTCTATTTTCTATGTGGCATTATAATGGATGGGAAATGAATGCGAGGAGTTCTGGAATATGTTTTAGGCGGTTTGGCATAAACGGATAGAATTGGGAGTTTACAATTAAACAGGACCACTTGCTTTGAAGTATGGACTAGGAAGAGACATGAGATAGCACTTAAGTCGTAACGTTGTCAGATACGATATTTGTTTAAAATATTTTGTTACAGATAGTGAATTTGCTGTAATTTCTCCACGGTATAAGCTCATTACAAGCCCAATGTGTAGTCTTATACATAGTAGAACTATGATATCTTTCATTTTGTCCTCTAACTAGATGCAAACCTAGCTTGGTCTGCTCCCTTCCTACGTACAAAGTATCGTGAGCTCAGACCTTGTCGTCATCTCACCATCTTTTGGTGTTGCAACGTTTGATGACGCTATGATCCATCCTCACGTGTCAATCGCCACATACTTCTCCCCCAGACAAAACCGACCCCTCACCTTTGTCCAATCGGAAAGTATCAAGTCAGCCAAGGTGTAGTGATCAGGAAGCTCGCGATTGGCCAAACTTGTAAGCACTGCACCTCAATCAGCCGATTACTCCTCTTTTCTTTGCCTCCACTTTCTTCCTCTTTCTTTTACAGCGGAGAGGGAGATAGGTTTGTGCACTTTGCTCTGCTCTGCTTGTCGAGGTCGCGAGAGCTCCAACTTGATCACTCCATCTACCCATTATATGACAAATTATTATTTATTATTTTACTGTTATTCCTTCTTCGTCTAATACTCTCTCGCGGCCCGACATAGCTGCGAGCTACGTAACGCCACTGCCTTCGTCTTGCTGTCTCATCGATTCCATTCCCGGCTCCGTGCCCGGAGATAAGAAAGTGTTGGTTTTAAGCCGAGGCGCCGACTCGTTTTTCCGCAACCACCAGCCTCCCAACCATCAACTTGATCGAGGATTATAGCTGAGTTTACGGCTCTTTGGGATTGGGACTGGGTTTGGAGATCGATAGCTTTACGATTCTGCTTCGAAGTTACCATAATTGAGACGCCATACCACACGCCAGTCTTCTAATTGCACCCTCGTCATCTTCGTGGTTTATCTTCGATTCTTTTTTCTCGAACGAGCAGCATCTGCTCCCGGCCGCGACGATGGTTCTCACTCACACGACAAACCACACCTACTCTCACCCGTTCCCTACCGTCACTCTTGCCTACTTCCTTCGATACTCGTCTCCTCAACTCAATCCCTTCGCCGCCCACGTCCTGAGCACCGACACTATTGAGAACTATGTCGACCCAAAGACCAGCCGACTGCACACCACCCGCATCCACCTAAAGAAAAGTCGCATGCCTGGTGCTGTCTACAAGCTACTTCCTGCCAGTGTCACTGGTGGTGGTTCCGGTGACAAGGCTTCGTACATTCTAGAAACGAGCGTAGTCGATATCAAAGAGGGTTGGATGAGAACCGAGAGCCGAAACCTCAACTTCACTGGTGTGCTCTCTGTCATTGAGAAGCAGGAGTTCAACGTTCCTACTGAGGGTGTTGCCCAAAAAGCGAACGAGACTGCCGTGACAACCATGGTCCAGTTTAGGTCAAGACTTGGAGACAAGATCAGGGGCAAGCTGGGGCAGGCTCAAGAGGATGGCTGGTTCAAAAATGGCATCATCGGCGGTTGGGGTACGAAGGGTATTCAGCGAAGCATCGAGAGCATCGCCTCCACCAAAACCCAGGACCAGATGGGCAAGAGCCGCGACGGTATGAAGCTCGTCCTTGAGCGCCTGCGCAACAATGGCGTCATGGGTGTTCTTGAGACGATAAGGAGAGAACGTCAGCGTCAACTCGCTTGAACTGATCCCGATACGATTCAACTGTAACAACGAACGACAACGGCCTTTGAGCAACACGATCTCACGAGGGAATATCTGAAAACGATTCCCAGCTCGTCCTCGTCGATTGAGTCGTGTACGCTCTGATGTATTATTACTACTTTTTACCTGAGCATGGCGTAATGTGTCACTTTTTTTTTTCTTTTGGGTTGGGGTTATTTGAGGTGGAATAACGAAAAAGTTGGAGGCTCGAGGGAAAGCGGTGCTGGATTTGGCCAGCTGATGAGGGGGTGGAAGAATGTGCAAGCAGCATCACGTCTCTACCAAATATGGCATCCCCTCTCTTGTATTGAGTATGAAAATCTGAATGGAAACACGAAGTTAAGGACCAGACCGAGTTCTCTGGTGACCAGTATCATTTACGTGAATGTTAGACCCCTTTATGTCATGATTATTTGACTTGATTGCAGCAGGGGCCCAATGAGGGTGGGGATATAGCCTCGCTGGGTTGGTGCATTCCTTACATGGAAGTTTGTTGCTTTACATTGGAGGCCCTCAGATATTGGAGCAAGAGGTTCCATCAGATCCTGCAAGCGCTATACAAGTCTGTCGAGGGCATCTCCCGGACCCCCCTAGCCATGAGGGTGACTCTTTCTTGAATTCGAAACTGGCAGATCAGCCTAAGTCACCCATTCTCCGTGGCTCCTGCCCGGCAAAGTTCAGACACTTGCTGGTATTATGACATCAACAACTCCTAGGATTGAACAATGATTATTGCTCAAACAATGCTATACTCTGTATAGCATACTGTCTACATCCGTCTCTTCACCTCGTCTGCATCATCGCCGATACCCCTGATGCTATCCAAACCCCCCGTCTTTGAACTCCGACCTATCAGTTCGTCACACCACTTATTGAGTATTCTTTTTATCTAGTATACCTCCGGAAGAGTATGTCTCCAGCTGGAGACACTTCTGGATCCACTACCGCCGCGGACATTGCACAGCATGAAAAACCGGACGACCAACAAAATGAACTCGCCGTTGTTTTCCAAGAAATCGACCCGGAAGAGGAGAAGAGACTGGTTAGAAAGTTGGACCGTTATATCATGCCCCTAATGGCGGTTGTCTACTTCTTCCAATGTAAGTCTCACCTAGCCTTCACCAGGAGTCGAGTCTCTGTCTGTTAACTTCTTTTCGAAAAGACCTTGACAAAAATTCGATCAACTTTGCTGCTGTATTTGGCCTCCGAGAAGATCTAAGCCTTTGTGGCGAACAATTCTCCTGGGTTGTGTCCCTCTTCTATCTCGGTCAACTTATCTCGGAGTACCCAGCCGCATACATCCTCAGTCGTTTCCACATCACTCGCTTCGTTGGTGTCACGATTATTGTCTGGGGCTTCATGGAGATGTGTATTGGAGCATCGAACAACTTTGTGGGCCTTGCTGTCACCCGTTTCTTCCTTGGATTTGCTGAAGCCGCAGTCTCCCCCGCCTTTATCATCATTACATCCAACTGGTACCGCCGTGACGAGCATCCCATACGTGTAGCTACATGGGTTTCCATGAATGGCATCAGTCAAATTGTTGGCGGTTTACTGATGTATGCTCTTGGCCGTACGGATATGGCCATACCGAGTTGGAGAGCCATTTTCCTCGTATTTGGAGGACTAACTGTCGCATCCGGCATTGCGTTCTTGACGATGATGCCAGTGAATACTACGACCGCGTGGTTTTTGACTGAGCGAGAGAGAGAGGTTGCCACGATGAGGCTGGCTATTGACCGGGCTACTCGTGACAAAGCAGACTTTGATAAAAAACAGATGGTTGAAGCATTCAAGTCACCCTTGACATGGTTGAGTTTTATGATGGCATTATGCATCACTCTGACTGCACCTATCTTAAAGGTAAACTGCGGAAGTCCCCACCAAATCTTGTCCCTTTGAGCTAATCATGCATCTTCAGTTCTCTTGTATAGCCATCGAAGGCTTTGGTTTCTCCAAGTTCCGTACAATGCTCGTTAGCCTTCCCGCTGGAGCCCTCAACTTCATCACCGTCTGGGCTTCGGCCTTGGTCCCCCATTTCTTTCCCGGAACAAGAATTTCATCAGCTGTTTGCCTCATCACATTCCCTCTTATCGGCTCTATATTGTTTCTGGTTCTGCCAGAACCTGCCCCCGATTGTCCTTGTTGGGGTATTGTGGTTTCTACATGGCTAGCAGGCTGTACTTCTGCTCCCCTCTGCTCATGTGCTGCTCTCCTGGCCAGCAATGTCAAAGGAAACACGAAGAAAAGCATTATAAGTGCCGGGTTCTTCATTGCGTTCTGTGTAGGGTCCATCGCAGGCCCACAGGCGTGGCTCGAAATAGAAGCCCCGCGGTACAGAACCGGTTGTATGCTCAGTATCGCCAGCTGGGCTGTTCTGGTGTTGGTGCTACTCGCCTACCAAACCATACTCAGAAGAAAGAATAAGAACCGTGAACGCAAAGCCGCCGAGGGGTACGCGGAGTATAAATCTGGAGGTCAGGTTGATGCGAGAAGCCATATTCAGATTGGTGTGTCCGAAAACTCGGATCTTACCGACGTAGAGGACAAAGGATTCCGATATAGCACCTAGTTCATTGGGGCGACATGCTGCGAGCTTGCATGGCCCATTACTGGAGAATACGGCAACTGTGTTTGAGTGTCCAGCAGCAGTGTTGCTGGTCTTCTGTTATTCAGACTAGTGTTTTGTATAAGCTTATAAAACATCATTTGATTGATCTACTATGAGTATCACAAAAATTCCTGAAGACAGAGCTCCTGATCGATACACTATCTCAGCACGAACTAAGCACTCAAGCCATCTGGTAGACAGCGCCAACAGATCCCTCGGTATCTTCAAAGTAGCGATACAGACCAAACTCGCCTTCTTTCTCCTTTTCACTCAGCATTTTACCTCCAGCTTTCTCAATGATGGGACCAATAGTGTCGACATTCTCGACAAACCAATGAAGGCAGATTCCACCCTTTCCAGGAGCGAAATGACCAGTGCGATCAGGGGCCTTTTGGATGCCACCTGTCAAGCCAAGACTCGGGTTGAAGTCAAACATCCTGAGCTGGTCTTCAGGATGCTTGTCGGAAGAGTCCTTGTAAGTAAAGTTGAAGACGGCTTTGTAGAAGTCTGCAGCTACAGGGGATGTTAGTGAAAAGAGAAACATGGTAAAGATGAGGACATACCACGGCCGACGTTCGTTGCGGGTATGCTCATCCAGATAGGAGTTCCAAAGGCCGGGGGCTTCCAGTCAGACATGTTGAATTCTTGTTAATGATTTCAAAGAGTGCAGAGTTGCTATGTGAGGACGATGAGAGTTTGTCCTGAGGTTATATGGACAATGGCACCCCTTTTATAGTCCATCGTCGTTGCTATGCACTTCAAATTCACGCTCATTCACGCTCTTTTGTCTCATCTTAAGCGATAAAACATGGACAGACTTTACCCCGGTGGCTTGAGCTAAGTGAAGATGCTTACACGTTCCCGACAATCAGAACGCGTCTGAAAAGCCATGTTGGCAGGGGTCCTGACGCCTGCTGAGCGCGAGAGCACGTGTTGTGAAGATAGAACAGTACAGTAGGTATTGAGTCATGAGATGGTAAGCTAAGTGCTATGTGGTGTCAAGTAATATTGATGGATACAAATACAGATACGGTACCTAGGCTATGATGAAATTCGGTTTTGTTATAGGTAGCTTGTCTATATCACCGCAGCGCATTGTCGATTATCATACATATTGCTCGTATATCAACCACTTGAGTCATGAATGTCATGGCGCTTTCGCTATACTCGGGTGGTTGCCCCTCTAAATTATCTCCATCTAATAACCCACTCCGAAGCTTGGAAGCGAAATGGCGGGGCAATTATGCGCATCACTCGTCACTCGGGTCGCGACTTTTCCTCCTTATTTAAATAAGCAAGATACTTTGTGACTTGTTGCAAAACATTGTTTCGTTTCAAATCGCTTCGTCGCAAACATGCCTGATCAAGTTTCTGTACTATTTGTGTGCCTCGGCAACATTTGCCGCTCGCCCATGGCTGAAGGCATCTTCCAGAACCTCGCCAAGCAGCCGAATCTCAAAGACAAGATCGGGCGCATCGACTCTTGCGGCACAGGTACGATTACCTGCGCTTGTCTTCATGATTTAAAGGGGAAACAAGATACTGATTCTTCTCCTTTGTAGCTGCGTACCACAGCGGCGAACCCCCAGATGACAGAACCATGGATACTCTCGAGGCCAATGGTATAAACGATTACCACCATCTCGCGCGGCGCGTACGTTTCTCTTCCCCTCTACACTCCACGGCGCATATTCGTCAGCCTACGAATACTGACACAATGTTTTGCATTTTCTAGTTCCATCCAAGTGACTTCACCAACTTTGACTACATCTTTGCCATGGACAGGTCGAACCTGTCCGATCTCCACCGATTACAGAAGAACAACCCAGACTCTACAGCCAAAGTGATGTTGTTTGGAGAGTTCAGCGGCACCAAGCGACCCGAAGTAGTCAACGACCCTTACTACGGCGGAAACGATGGCTTCTCAAAGGCCTATGAGCAGTGTACACGCTTTTCCCAGAACTTCCTCAAGGAGGTTTTTGGAGAGGAGGAAAAGTAAAATGAGGATTAACGCATAGCCGAGATGGAGGCTGGAGCTTGGGCGAAGGTGGATAAATACCCGATAACCTGGATATGTACATACAGCGGATGAAGGCAGGGGGAAACCAGGTTCAATATTAGATGGACTAGGTATAGTAGATAGATTGCGGATAGAATATTTGCATTTCGATAAAGTTAACGATTGGCTAAGCTTTTCCCACAACACGGCTCAACTGAGTTCGACGTCGATCCTAAGATATTGTCTCAACCCAGTGACTCGGTTCCATTGCAAGTCAGCACAACCAAGGCTCCAGCCCCCAGCTACCAAAAGCAATTCGCCAAAATGTCGCAGCCTCTGATGAGGCCCAGTCCCACTTGGCAAGCTTCAGCCCTATGCTTCCAGGGCTGACAATGCAGCGGCCTAGGCCTAGTGGGTGGCCTTGAACCTTGAAGCCTGAGCTGAAGGTGGCAGCGTCATCACGTTGTGCTTGTGGTAACCATTCACTCTGACGTGATGCGTCGGTGATGCCGAGCTCAGAGAGTAACGAGAAGGAGTTCGAATTGAACAGTTGGCATCGTTTACGGCATCGGATCTCACCGGCGGGTCTTTTAGATGCCGGGTAAGATTGCTGACAGCTATTGACACTCAGCCTCCCCGTGTGTGGCACAGGACGAAGTACATGATATCCAGAAGTCTAAGCAGTAAACTTTGAGCTACGGGAAAGCGGCGTATCGTGGAAATCATCGAATTTGACCTGTATCCTCTGAGCGTTCAACACGAGGCACTTCCCCCTTTTTAAACAAGATGAATCCGAGCCGTTGCATACAAATTGTGACTTGGAAACAAGGGTCGTTGTCGCGCGGCTATTCAGTCAAGAGCCTGATCTCTCATCTCATTGGCTGAGATGACTATGGAGTCCGCAAGCCGAGCAAATCAGCCACATACATCCCTCCCAAGTCCGCCGCTATCACTTGGCTGCGGGGTCCATTTGCATCTGCTTAGCGGGCTTCGGGTCACTATGGATCGGTCCTAACAGCCCTGGAAGCCCCTGCTGAAGAGAACCCTGGACTCGGGCTCCATCCAATCCAGTGGCCCAAACCGGGGCTTAGCAGCTGACGGGAAGAGAGCTCTGGGCCTTCCCCCTCGTTCCATGTCCGACCAACCAACCAGCAACATTATTAGGTACATATATCGCAAAAAGACAGACACTTCTTGGTCTTTGTTCTTCCACTGCCATTCTACTTGCTCCTTTTTGATACCTTTTCACCTACAAACTTTTTCCTCTCGAGCGACATATCGTAACGGTCGCTTGTTCCTCAGCAAACGTTGTCGCATTCGAAGCTTCTATCTGCCCCGCACATACACCACACAGTACACCATGGGCGACCTTCAAGGACGCAAGGTCTTCAAGGTCTTCAACCAAGACTTTGTCGTCGACGAGCGCTATACGGTTACCAAGGAGCTCGGACAGGGAGCTTACGGTATTGTTTGGTGAGTGCGCTTCTTACCTGTGGTCCTCATCTTGTCTTGTGCCATCAAACCAAATCTGTTTTATATCGTCTTTCTACCCCGCCGCAGCTGCTGACGATAACCCCGCCTCTCAGTGCTGCCGTGAACAACCAAACCAACGAGGGCGTCGCCATCAAGAAGGTCACCAATGTCTTCAGCAAGAAGATCCTCGCCAAGCGCGCTCTACGCGAGATCAAGCTACTCCAGCACTTCCGCGGCCACCGCAACGTAAGTATTTCCTCGGCGCAACGACCACCAGGAAGAACGCGTATGCTAATACGCTCACGATAGATCACATGTTTGTACGACATGGACATTCCCCGACCCGATAACTTCAACGAGACATATCTGTACGAGGGTCAGTAACGGTTCCCGAGAAAAGAGAAACTATAAGCTGACGCCACGCAGAGCTGATGGAGTGTGATTTGGCTGCTATTATTCGTTCCGGCCAGCCTCTTACCGACGCCCACTTCCAATCCTTCATTTACCAGATCCTCTGCGGTCTCAAGTACATCCACTCCGCCAACGTTCTGCACCGAGATCTTAAGCCCGGAAACCTGCTCGTCAACGCCGACTGCGAGCTCAAGATTTGCGATTTCGGTCTTGCCCGAGGTTTCTCGGTTGATCCCGAGGAGAATGCTGGATATATGACTGAGTACGTCGCTACTCGATGGTACCGTGCTCCCGAGATCATGTTGAGCTTCCAGAGCTACACCAAAGCGAGTATGTGAAACCCGGAAACCACTGCGTTGGTGAGCGTCCTACTGACTCGATATAGTTGATGTGTGGTCTGTTGGCTGCATTCTCGCTGAACTGCTGGGTGGCCGACCTTTCTTCAAGGGTCGTGACTACGTCGACCAGCTGAACCAGATCCTGCACATCCTTGGAACTCCCAACGAGGAGACTCTGTCTCGAATCGGCTCACCCCGTGCCCAGGAATACGTCCGCAACCTGCCTTTTATGCCCAAGAAGCCGTTCCCCAACCTGTTCCCTCAAGCCAACCCTGACGCTCTCGACCTTCTCGACAAGATGCTCGCCTTCGATCCTTCATCCCGTATCAGTGTAGAGCAGGCCCTCGAGCACCCTTACCTCCATATCTGGCACGATGCCTCAGACGAGCCTGATTGCCCCACCACCTTCAACTTCGACTTCGAGGTTGTTGAGGATGTCGGTCAGATGCGAGGCATGATTCTGGATGAGGTTTCACGATTCCGACAGAGTGTCCGCACCGCCCCCGGTCAAGGTGGCGCTGCTGGCATGCAGAACCAGCAAGGTGTTCCCGTGCCTCTGCCCCAGGGCAACAGCCAATGGACCGCCGAGGACCCCCGACCACAGGAGTACCCTGGCCACGGAAACACAGGACTCGAGCAGGATCTCCAAGGAGGCATAGACGCTTCCAGAAGATAAAGAGATGGGCGCATGAGCCATAAGAGATGGAGAAGTCGTGTTTTAGAGAAGGGTTAAGAAGCCATGTTTCTAGTTCAAGATGAAAATGACACTTTGAAAAGGGGAAACAAGGACCGGCCTTGGACGATTTCAAAATCTAATGCCTAGGATGAGAAGGATAAGAGAAGGAAGTTTCCGGCTGTAGCATGCCTGTACATGCGTGGCGAGGGCAGAAGAAGCGTTACCCTCGTCTTCAATTTTTACCATTTGTTTTTCTGCAAGAAAAACGAGATCAATACTATATTTCTTTGCTGTTATGTTCCGACTCACTATTGAAGTCTCATAAAGCTGTGGGGTGTAGTGCTGGCAGTATTTATGAACGGCTATCTATTTGTCTATGATGACATCCTTTATACTATTGTCTCATGCACAAGTTTGGCCATAGCAAGGACCTTTTCTTCTTCCAGTCTGCGTGCAACAATCTGAAGACTAACAGGTAACCCGTGGACCAGTTCCGCATCGTCTGAGCAACGTTAGTGATATCTTTATTTTGTCCAAGGGAAATTACTTACAATCTTCATTGACAGACTTGCACAGTGGACTCAAGGGCTCGTAAGACTCAAGCTTGTCAACGTCCTTGTCAACACTAATCCCCGTTGGAAAAGAGACAGCTGAATAGTCGACGACGTTGAATACGCCGGTATAAGCAACTATGCACTATCAGTACGTGGCCTTGGCCATAGAATTGGGGACTTACCATGTCTGAAGCTCCCATGCCTCAATGTACTATACGGAGTTGTTGGGCATATAATAGCATCGATGCCTGCTTTGTTCCAACGGTCTAGATAGCGGTTCTGGAACGCCGTTCGCTCGAGATGAAGCTTCCACATCTCAGATGTGCTCAGATCTCGCGCAGTGCGATATGCTTCCATCTCTGGCCTCCATGGCTCATCTGTGCGCTCAAGTTCCTTACGGATCGTCTGCCCTCCATCCGCGAGGAACATGCGACCCAGAAGCTCAACACCTTCCTTCTGATCAACTGGATCCCACTCAATAATAGTGTGACCAGCCTTTTCCAGTTTCTCTCTTGCGATCTGGAGAGCTCGAGACACAGGAGGTGTTGGGCGGACCATGCCGTCGTGTAACATGAATGCTATCTTCAACTTTTCAGAGAGCTGGACTGGTCGCCATGGAATGGGAAGGCATTTGGGGTCAAATAGCCAGGGCTGGGCATCTATAACAGCTTTGCTGTATAGCTGCACGTCTTGAAGGGTTCGGGCTAGAGGGCCGTTGACAGATGCTACTGCTTCTTGGCCGGGCATTCCCGAGCGGGTGTTGCGGACGGGGAAACGACCTGCTGAAGGCCGGATGGTAAAGAGTCCGGTGCAGGCAGCGGGAATACGCAGTGAGCCTCCTAATGTTCATGTCAATGAATATCCAAGAAATTCATAGGATGTGAACATACCTATATCAGATCCAACACCCAAAGGACTTCCCCCAAACGCTATGAGCGCCGACTCCCCGCCCGAACTCCCACCACTGGTAGTATTCCTATTCATAGGATTCACAGTTCTTCCAAAGGTATTGTTCACAGACTCCGCAATCATCATGGCCGTGGGCACATTTGTCTTGACGTAGAAAACAGCACCGGCGTTCTGGAGCAGAGTTGCCAAGGCCGAGTCGGACACGGCAGGGTCGCCGACGTGGGACGTGAAGCCGACGGTTGAGTCGAGACCTACAAGGTTGAAGTTGTCTTTGAGGGAGATGGGGAGGCCGTGGAGAGGGCCTATGGGTTTTCCTGTTTGTGCGAGGTGGGCGTCTAGATGACGGGCTGTTTGGAGAGCGCGGTCAAAGCAAGTCTCTGCGAGACAGTTTGTCTACCACGTTATTAGTATGATATTGATGTTGTTGAATCCGAGCAGTTACAAGTTGATGGGCGGCACAAGCTCTTTTACAGAATGCCTTTGTGACATGCTCAGACGTGAGATCCCCAGAAGCGAGTTTCTTCAGAAGCTCAGCGACCGTGAGAGATGTAATGGCGAGTTCATCTTTCGTGAACCAGCCTGAAGTCTCCGGCCATTTGGTAACATCCGCTTGATCTTTCGGTGGCAGGAGATGCTCTGGGATACGCCATTCTTCTGGGATGGAAGCATTTAGCGCGTAGATCTTGTTGTCGCTAATGTCCTTCCACGAAGGAGTTGTATCAAGTTTTGCTGTCTGGGTAGTGGTGGCTGTAAGAGTCATGATGAGAGGTTCGCGTAAGTTGGTTTGTTAAGTAAGATAAATGTTGAGTTGCTCAAGGGATATGAAGGCTCCTTAAGTTGATTTGGGATATAGACTATGTTGTAACTTGTAAGTCGTGGTGTAAGAGATATTTTGCCTCTATAGGCTCTGGTTGCTACCCAGAGGATGTACACTAGTGATTGGTTACTTTACGTAGGGGAGAGATGTCAATGCCCGTGTAGTTGGACTTGAGATCTACACGCTTATCATGAGTTGTTGATATTGGGGTACATGAGGGTATCGGGTTCTGGTATCAGTCAAGCTTGCATTTGATAGCAGAGCGGGTATTCATCTGCCTTCGCCGTTTACTTTTGTCTCCGAAAGATTCTTGGGTTGTATTCTTTGTATCTACGGATATAGACCATCATTCACCCCCTCACTTAGAAAGCCGGATGCCAACTCCGAATACCGGTACGGGCAGTTAATGACGCCAGGTGAGATTAGCCCCATGACCGAATTCTCCGAGTACCGAGTATTATCAGCAACCACTTTATCAGACTTGGGTATCGAGTAAAAGTCAATCCGTCCAAATTCAACACAAGAATGTAGAAAAGAGATTAAGACGAGACTTGGCAATTTGTCTATCAGTTATCAGTTGTCTAGAGAGATCCTTGCCCCATCTTGATAACACCCTTGAAACTACGGATATCCTCCAGGTTTATTAATCGCAAATAACACGCCCAACGAGATTCTTATCTGCAAGGTCCGATCCGTAAAGAGTAATAACTCAAGCCATCAATTGCGGAGAGAGTAGAGAGTGTGACGATGCAATCGCCTTGTGGGTTCGGGTTCTATTTCTATTTCTCCACTTATTAATATCGACGCATAATAAATCTCTATCAAAAACAATTGACTTGTATTGTCCGATAACCGATTAATAGAGTTGCCTATCTTCAACAAGGTTACAGAGTTAGTTAGTACCCAATACTTGAGAAATGGGGTTGGCTTACAACTGAGACAGCAACTATGATATACCGAGAATAGGACGGTCTTGTCTTACCTCGAGACCCTGCACTGCAAAGATCTTCACTGCGTGCATGTATAACTTAAGTAGTAACTTGCAGCGCCTCTTTTCCTCCAAGACAACCTCCTACACTCACCCATCGTCATCGCGCCGCCACTTTCCAGCGCTTGGATATAGAGCGTCCAGCAACACAAATTCACCAACATGATGTCCAAGGTGAAGGCGTATCTGCATGTGGACTACAAGCCAGGCGAGAGACGTCTTGTTCAAAAGATTGACTTTTTTATCCTGACGTTTTGTTGCTTGAGTTACTTTGTCAACTACGTATGTGGACATGTCTGTGCTGGTGGTTATTGATGCTAACTGCTCAACAGCTGGATCGAAATAATATCAATAATGCGTATGTTTCTGGAATGAGGGACGACCTTGGATTTAAAGGTGATCAATTGAACCAGATCATGACATGTTTTACCGTTGGGTACGCTACCATCTACATCCACCTCTTATACAGTAAATACATCATCCTAACACCCAGCATAGTTACGTTATAGGTCAGGTCCCCTCCAACCTCGCCCTTCAGTACGTCAAACCTCATGTTTTCCTGCCGCTCATGATGGTCCTATGGGGCTGCCTCACCATGGTCACCGCCTCAGTCAAGAGTCCCGAGTCCATCATGGCAATCCGCTTCTTCCAGGGCATCTGCGAGGCGTCCACCTTTGTCGGGACGCACTACGTACTCGGCAGCTGGTTCACCGAGAGGGAGCTCGGAAAGAGGAGCGGTATCTTCACGGCTTCTGGTCTGGCGGGGACCATGATTGGAGGTTTCATCCAGACGGGCATTCACTCGAGTATGGATGGCAAACATGGCCTGAGCGGTTGGCGCTGGCTGTTTATCATTGACGGCTTGATCACTATCCCTGTTGCCATATACGGCTTCTTCTTGTTCCCGGATACACCGTATACAACCACTGCGTTTTACCTCTCCGAGGAAGAGCGAGCTCTGGCCATCTCCCGCGTCCCTCCCGCTGAGGAGAGGCCCCGTCTCACGCTTCGCTACGGCAAGATGGTTCTCACATCGTGGTTCTGGTGGGGATTTGTCATTCTCTGGATCATCGCTGGCGAGACCGAGTCCTTCAGCACCAACGCCCTCTTTGCTCTCTTCCTACAGAACCACCCGACCAACAAGTACACGGTATCCCAGATGAACAACTACCCAAGCGGCGTGCCAGCAGTGGGTATCGTATCTACACTATTCTGGGCAACATTGACAGATTTCCTGGGCGGCAAGCGATATCTTGTCGGATACTTCATCGGCATAACAGGCATCGCGACATCTATAATGGTTCTAGTCGCTTCCAAGGACCCAACGAGCGCGGGATCGACTACAGTTGTCTTTGCAGCTTACTACTGGGCTGGATCAGTTTATGCATGTCAGGCTACCTTTTTTGCCTGGTGTAACGATGTCATGAGGCATGAATCCGCCATGTTCCGCGGTATAGTCCTTGCTGGAATGAACACAGGCAGTAATGTCATCAACGCCTGGTGGAGTATAGTCTTTTACGGTGCATCCATGGCGCCTTGGTTTATTGTAAGTTGTCATTATCATTATCTGGGCACTGTTTTCGGGAATAATCACTAACTTGTATTTTCAGCGGGGAATGTGGGCAATGATTGCTTGTAGTATCGCCATGATCATTTGGTGTTCGGCTTTGACGTGGAAGACTCACAGGTATATGAGTAATGTGGTTGTTTCTTCTGAGAGTCGGAGTTTAGAACACGACAAGCAAGAAGCAGGAAAGGAGGAAGCATGAAGATCATATTTTGCGAAGTGCCATGTTCACCTGTTCATAAATCTCTAAACATTTTAATACCATAATTTGACATAACTCCGATATCACTGTTTGAGTTAGGTATTATGCATGTGCACGATAAATACAAGTACGATCCAAGTTGTTTCCATTCAATAATGGCTAACTACTTATACTACTTCTTCCCAATGACTATCAATAATGCGCCATCCAAACCTCAATCCCATCAAAAAAAGCAAAACGCCAGATAGTCACTCCATTGGATGTCCCATCCTGTAACAACCCGTGGTATCTGTTCCAAAGACCAGCCAGAGTTTCTTGTATCAATTAACGATCGTTGTGAAACGTAAGTCTCCATATGTAAAGCGATTGTGACCTTTTTATAAACTCCGATAAACCGCCGTTCTATCGCGAAATAAAGAAAATATGTAATTAAGAAGGGAAAAGGAAAAGTGATAAGGGGGTTGGTTATCACTAAGTTGGTTGTGTTTAACCGTAGAACCAGTAGAGGGTGGCGTAGGAGGTGCTGTCGACGCCCTTGGCCTTGCAGCCGTGAGAAGCACCTCCAGCAGTCAGAACACGGTAGACGTAGCTGACACCCTTGCTGCCACCGGCATCTCCAAGGTAGAGCCAGTCAACAGCTCCGGTGCCATCAGGGCCAGCAGGAGCAGAAGCAGGAGCCTTGATGCCGTCGATCTTCTTGGCGATGAGGACCTGGTTGGCCTTGTCGAGGTCAAAGGTAGGCACGCCAGCGGCGTTGAAGAAGTGGTGGCCGAGGTAGGGGATGCTGCTGCGGAGGCTGTCGACTCGAAGAGCTTGCTTCCTGGGGAAGGGGTTGGTGGAAGATGCACCGACGCCGTTCTCGTTGAGGTTCAGAGGGATCTTGCCGGTGGTGAGGACATCGTTGGAGAGGGTCGCCCACTTCTCTGCGCTTAGAGATGAGGAGCTCTGGCTGGGGTAGAGATAGGTAACGTCGTAGAGCACGGCCAAAGCTCCAATGGCTGCGGGTGAAGCACCGGCGTCGGCACAGGTGTAGTTCTGAATACCAAAACCAAGGGCAATGTGCTTTAGAGTTGCGCCTTGGGGAGGGCTAGCAAGCTCCACGGCTGTGAGATGTGTTAGTAAAACTGAAGGTTTACAAAGCTGAGTTGAGCTGAGACTTACAACCACCATTGACAGGGAGAACAGGCACAGGCTTTCCAGGCTTGCAGCTAGAACCTTGACCGAAGCTCACAGTAGGTGAAGCCAAAGTCAATGCAGCTGAGGCAAGGACGAGGATAGAGTTGGCGAGCATGTTGATATTGAAGGTGATGAGACGACGGGATGCAACTTTCTGAGACGCCGGACTATGACAAGTGTGTTTTAAGGAGGTAAAAGGTGGTGTCGATCGTGCGTGTGTGTGCGTCTATAACCAACCCAACAGTAACAGTTTAAACAGCAGCTGGAGAGTACTCGGTAGCAGAAAAAGGGACGGAAGAGCGCGGTCTTGTTATACAGCCCGCGGCAACAACAAGTACAAGGGCGGCAATGCTAATAATAAACGCAACGAGCAAGGGGTGTTAGTGGACGGGGCGTTTCCACCTGGGCGCTTATATCACGAGTGGGTGTGGTGGTGGTGAGTGAAGGGTGGTGTTGTGCAGGAAAGCGGGGATGAGAGAGAGAGAGAGAAGGGTTTAAGAATAGAAGAGAGTGATAGTGCGAGTGAGAGTGAAAAGATTGAATTGTCTGAACTTGGTATTTGTTGTTCAATGGGGGAGGATATGAAGAGAGTTTATATGTAAAACACCAAGACAGTCCAACATGACTTAACCAACTACGGATACTGCGCCCTACCAAGGCAGATTCTAATACTACAGACGAAACGAAATAAACACAACCGTTCGTTTCTCCTCTGTTTCTGTTTCCGTTGCCTTGCAAGAGAGTCAGACGAAAGATGAGCAAACAGGGACTAGGGGCCTCGAAACGCGGGCGGAGGCGAGGCCGTTGATCCTTGTCAAGTGTGGATGCGGGCATCGTCTTGGCCGTAAAATTGGCAAGCGAAAAGCGTTGCATTGCAGAGAAAAGAGTGAGAAAGAAAAGAGAAAAAGGCGCAACGCCAATGCCTCGTGGCCGGGCGGCCGCATAGAGACGCGACCCTAGCGCGCGGTGATGATGGTATTTTGAGGTGACAAGCGCAGAGAGAGATATTCTCGGCTTTGATGTTGCCGTTACCAATAATACTAAGGATTAGACTACCTATACCTAAGACTAGATAGTTCTTGTACCTATTTAGCCGATTCCTACCAACTCCTACCAATTCCCCTTCTCAGTATAGACTCGCCGTCGTGTTTCCATCCGGTGACCACACACACTTGGTCCCCTTTAGAAGGATCCTTAGGCTGCGAAACCCTCAAACTAACCACCATCATCTGAACTTGTAACCAGAGCAGTGTCATCCTTGGGCTTAAAAGGATCCCCCAAGTTATACGCCGCACACGGTCTATAGCCAATTCATTGTTACTAGACCCAACAGGGCACATCCACGATGTTACCAAGGCAGGGATGAATTCAATGTTGCAGCAAACATGATCGATGATTATTCCAAGTTCCTTGCAAGGGAGCAGGGGGTTCACAAGCTGCATGTTTCTAATTAGCCTCTCACCTGAAGAGCAGACAAAAGCCAAAAAAGCAATAGTGAGTCAAAGACGAAAAGGTGAAGAGAGACAGCGAAAAAATGTAATCTATCCAAAACATAGCATGCCCTGGCAGTTTCAGCTCCCGTCTAACTAGTCAACGCTACTGCAGGATACAGCCGAAGTCACTCTATATTTCATTTCCACTGCATGGCTCCCTTATTTTCTGCAGATTTGGAGGAAATTAAATATAATTCAAATTAACAATCACGAGATTAGGTACAAAGGAAATTTAGAAGAGAACAAAGAACAACGGACAAGCTGTTACTGTTACCTTGGGGAGAGGGAATTTACGCGCTCACAACCGCTTCTCAAGCCGTGGTTGGCCCCATTCTCGCGCATCCCCCGCGGAACCGTTATAATCGGGCTTGCGGCACGGGCGCGGCCACGGGAGGTTGGGGCCCCCTGTAACTCCTTCTAGTTTAGCTGTCCTTAGCTCGCTGTATTAATTTATGAAAATGGTCAGAGTACCATTTGGCTATCCCACATCGAGGAGTTGGACTTGACCTTTTGAGCCTTTAAGCCTTCGAGGTGTGGTAATGGTTGAGACTCAATAGCATCCTGCACTCAACATGTGATGGTGCAAATTGATTATAGCCCTTGTGGAACGTTGGTAAGATTGTAAGCCACCGTTCTTGGGCAGTTATATGTATGGATAATTATGGATATAGCCAGAGATGGAGCTTGGTGGTGTTGGTCAACCAAGAGATGTGCATGTGGATTTTCTGGTGTAATGCAGGTAATCAGAATTAACCAATTCAGACAATAAGTTATCCCAAGATTAGATATCTGTATTACCCTAAACTCAGACTATTTTTCTCTAAATCATCACATCGCCGACGTAGAAGTTAGAACCATAAGGCTCTATCATTATTACAAGTTTCCCTTAAGATCAGCACTATATAAACACAAGCCCCGAAGATATAAGTAGAAACATATTGGATACCCGCTTACCCGTCCACTGGAAACATACCGAGTATAGCTTCGCTTGTTGGGGCATGCATGTACCACTTGTTGGTCATGGCAGCTCTTGGAAGGCCGCTTATCTGTTGGCCCTACCGCCATTCCACAGGGCTCAGCGAGGCTTTCTTTGTTGGTGATTCTTTGAATCATGTTGGTTGTGGATAGAAGGAAGTTGGCTCGAGGATTGATTATGCCTTAGACTCGGTCATTTCAATCGCCGACTGCTGTGTAACACAGAATCAATTCTTACCAATAAAATGTTTTCTTCATGACATAATATCACATGATGCTATCGATATTGACATGCAATGCGCTGTCCCACTGCATCTGCCATGATTGAGGCCCCCGTGTTGCCTGCGTAAATGCGGCCCCACATGTCCATGACATCGGCCCAGCGACCGCCCAAAACAACACCGACCACCGACCGACTCTCCTCCATCCTCCGTCTCCGGGCCCGGTAATTCGATAGAAACCCGCCCATCATGTCTCGCCGTCCCCCAAAGGGCGAGTACATCGAGACCGTAAGCATCCTACCCTTTACTCTCCCCCAATCCCTTTCTCTCCTCGTGCTAACTCTGCTGCCAGGACACAGGTAACAAAGTCGCCCGCAAAGCCGTCCTCGTCGGAACCCAGAACATCATGCTCGGCGGCAAGACCGTCATCCAGCCCGAAGTCATGATCCGTGGCGACCTCGCACGCACAGCAGCAGCAGCCGCTGCATCGTCCTCGTCCGGCAGCGCGCCTGCCAGCAACACCGCCGTCGCCATAGGCCGCTACTGCTTCCTCTCGCGCGCCGTGCTGCTGCGTCCGCCGGGCCGCATATACAAGGGCGCATTCACGTACATGCCGCTGCGCATAGGGGACCACGTCTTTGTCGGCCAGGGGACCGTCGTGCAGGCGGCGGCGGTGGGAAACCACGTGCAGATCGGCAAGGGGTGCGTTATCGGCGAGTTTGCCATCCTGAAGGACTTTGTCAAGGTCTTGGACAACACTGTTGTGCCGCCGAGTATGGTTATCCCTAGCTTTTCTATCGTCGCGGGTCAGCCGGCGAGAGTTATCGGGGAGATTCCCGAGGGTGGTTATGATGAGTTTGAGTTGAGGGATATGTACAAGACGGTTGGAAACAATCCTCAACCTCCGGCGCCTTGAAGACCTCACAGCTATCAACAATGCAGAAGTAGACATATCGACAGAAAGCGGCATGTTGTTCTGTTTCGGGGCAACGAAGAGCTTCCCATCATCTAGACGACATGAGTTGGGGCCTCCACTCGGATGTGAGTGTACGTTCAGACTACATCTACGACCTGACAATAGTCAGTGGACCGATTCCAAAGAGACGAGCAAGGTTGTCAGTCTGGAAAGCATCGCAGGTTCCTTACCAAACAATGCTTCGGCCTGCCCTTCATCGAGTCCTCCGCTCGACACCTCCGAGGACAATTAATGTCAAACGTAACGGCAGCATGAAATGACAAACGTGGAATGGACTTGAAAGCGAGAGATGTCAGTTGTTGCAGAATTTTAGACAAACGTTTAATGATACCCTTTTGTGCGTTGTTTCTTCCCCGCGCTGGCCATCTTGCTCGTTTACTAGTGAATTGTCGTTCGTTTCAAACATCGCCGATTTCGCTCGTATCAAACGCGCTTCAACTTACAAACCCAACGCAGTAGAATCCTATACAACCCCCATCAACATGAGCGTTTGATATGGTCCGTATATCGTACCAATGTAGCGTTTGATATAACTGCTTCTTCTCCGTTTGCATCGCCTGCCACTCGTCTATATAAAGGACGAGTCTCCCCCCAATCCCTTCTCACAATCTTCAGCCAAGCACACATCATCGCCAGGCTTACCCTCTCTTTACTGCCAAACTTGACCTCGAGACATCATCAACAAACACCTCATCTCCAATCAAGCAATCATGGCGCCTCCCGAGCTTCCTCCCAAGCTCATCACCATCTTCCCACCATGGTGCACTGTCACTACCGACGAGATCAGCAACGCCGCTGAGTCCGAGCCTGCCCCAAGCCCCTTCTGTCTCACTGTCCCTCACTCCCTGCGCCGAGGCTCTCATCTCTGGGAGATACTCGGAAACACCGACGGATTCGACAACCGCAGCCTCAAGCGCCGCATCGCTCCCGTCTGTGAAGAGATCCGGTACTACCAGGAGAACGACAAGAACGAGCTCTACGGCCTCTCCAAGAGCATCGTCATCAAGTATGGCGAGACTGCTATTCGCGTTCTCCGCCGCGTCTGGGATCTTAACCTTGTCTACAACCACAAGCCCAAGATCCCCGGCAATGACCCTGGTGTCTTTGACCAGAGCACCTGGCTTGCTACCATCCGCGACACTGTCCTCTACCGCATGCACGTCCGTCTTTTGCGCAGCCAGCTTGAAAAGGCTCTCGATGCTTAGTACGCCGAGGACTTCAAGGTGGCCACCCACGACCAGGTTAGAAACGGTGTGTACGTCACCGACGTCTTAGTCCATGAGCACCGCGACCGAGTCGAGCGCGCCATCAAAGAGCGCGAGGTCTTCACTGCCATGGTCGAGGAACTCACCCAGGACTCCCTGACCCATCTCCCCGGCTACAAAGCGACCGCCCTCGGAACCGCCCCCCTGTCGTCTCTGAAACGCTGTGCCGAGACCGCCGAAGCTTTTTACGTCGTCTCTGACGAGGAGGAAGACATCCTTGAGAACGAGGACGAGAGCGACATGCGCTACTACCAGGCGTTCCAGCTGTGGCACATTGCAGCCCGAGCCGCCATGAACTGGGAGCCGCGCCGCCCCGGAGCGCAGCTGGATGTTCTGAGCATGTACTGTGAAGACATTCTCCGCCGTCGCAAGATCGAGAAGAGCAAGCGCAATGCTGAGTTGCGAGAGCAGCTCGAGGCGATCCTGGGAGATACCCGTGGTGAGCAGGGTGGAATGGGTAGTGAGGCTGCGGAGAGTGAGAGTGAGGCAGAGTACTCGAGCCAGCCTGAGGATGAAGATAAGAGCAGCGATGAGGATGATGAGGGTGAAGAGGACAGTGACGACGACGACGACGACGATCGTCCTATCTTTGGGCACTACGTCACCTAAATGGACTCAGTCACATTCGACATCACGTCCCAAAATTGGTCTCTCGGTCTCACAGGGCTCGTGTGGCTCAAGGAGTTAAGCTTTTTGGAAGGGAATCAACAACAACAAGTTCATCAAAGGATTTCGGGATTAACATGAGAGTCTATCAAAGACTTCGGGGTCAATCAAAGTCTAACAAAGGACTCCCAACAATAGCCTAAAGGGCAGGTCAAAGGATGGTTACGGGATCAAGGGATGTGTAACCACAGACGTTATCTACTTGCTATTTCATGAATGAAGGTACTTGCTTATAATTTCCCATGATGCTTTCGGAGGTACTCTCAAAGCTCCTTCGCGTTTATGAACCTGAGGTCTACACTACACCTACTCAATGACGACGGCCAGTCGTATATGAATGTCATGCGAATTGAAGTTTCAACCTGTCTCTAATATCAGGTATTTGCGACTTTCTTTCGATTTGCATGACAAGCATACTCGGCATCAGTAATTAACTGCGTGTTTCCAACACTAACCGCAGTATTTCCCCCTAACCAAGCCACACACCCATAGGTGAGAAAAAAAAGGAGAAAAAAAGTAATCTTTTTCTAAAACCAATCTAAACCTAGACGAAATCATGGATTTTTGAATTCCCATTCTCAGCTCTTTTTAAACTTTCCTAGTCACCCACCCCCTCGCGCCAGCCAGTGCGGGGAAGAAAGGGTGCAAATGGCCGGTGGTCGGCCGGATGGGAACGGGCAGAAAAAGACACACGGCACTAGAAATAGCGAATGCCGGGCAAAGGCCGTTGAGAAGCGATGGAGTATGAGTGAAGATGGTGTAAGAGATCAGTTTAGCCGAAGCGGTTACGTTTCAAAGACGGATATTTCTATCCGTACATGCAAAGGCTGTAGGTTAGCATCGATACAGGGACGAACAGAAATAAGCTGGAGATTAGTAGCGAAGAGTCTGAGTCACAAGGCAAATTGTCTGAAATTGTAGTTTGAAAGGTTTCATGATTAAGTATTCTAATCAGTATCTCTATCAAGAAGCCCGTTCTAGGCAATGAACCATGAGGAAATCTCCTTCAAGGTCATGTCTCGAATGTCTAAAAGACCGGGGGTATAGTCCGTACTCCAAATAAGCAAGGCATCTTCATCCATCTATTGATGAGATGCCGTCAAACAAGAACTCTTTCCTGTCTTTTTATGTAAAAACTTTTTAAACCGTCTAAACGCCTTGAACCAGATGTAAATGCTCTAAAATTCGAAAATAGCTCTCCCTCTTTTTTAAGTCGCGCCCGTTTATGCCGTGTCGTCGTTAATGGTGGTAGCGGTGAGTGGTGGAGTTATGTGCGTGGCAAGCCTTGGAGATAAGGAATTTTGCCAGTGTAGATCGGAGATAAGAAGTGTGATTCATCCGTGACACACTCATAGAATCTGGCGCGCCCTCTCCTCGGCAAAGGCCTTGCGGCTCATGAGCAGAACGCGCTCGAAGCCTTCGCGGCCCTTGACGGCGTTCTCGCGGAAGCGGGAGACCATTGTGTCCTCGATGCTGTTCTTGATTCGCTGCCAGCCACCGCACAGGGCAGTGATGTTGGCGTTTTGGATGAACTGGGTTTGGTGGTCACCCATGGGCTTGTAGATACACTCCTCCTGAACGTTGACGAGGTTGCTCCATGTCAAGTTCTGGCTGACCATTGTGACGGTCTTGTTCACAGGGTCGACGTAGCTAGCCTCGTACATGAAGCTCTCGTCTCCTGTGCCTCCGATGATAGTCTTGATCCAGTCAGGGACGGTCTGCTTGCAAGTGATGAGACGCTCAGTGCGCAGGATGCCGGTCGCGGGGTCGACTTCGCGGGAGAGGGTGTCGACGGCAATGACATGCTCAGACTTGTTGTTCCATGGGCCGTACTTTGTCCAGTTGGCCGTGGACACCTCGTCCCAGGAATAGTTGTAGGTCACGCTGTTGCTGAAGACCTTCATCGTGATGGTTCGTGGGGTTGTTTGTTGGTGGTAAAGTTGCTCGCGTGGGGGAGTCAGAAACTTTTTTTTCACGTGTAGAGCTGAAAGGCTTTTTAATAGAGTCAAAGAAGGGGTAGACTCTTTATGATGGTGAGTCGAAAATTGGAAGAAGAAATGAAAGTGGAAGACGCCTCTGTATTATATCTCGCAGTGAATGAAGATAAAACAAGATCTCCGGTGGCGATGGAGAGTGACGGAAGTGAGGGTAAAGATGAGCGATTGTGATTGACGGCGATGCGGCCTTTTTAATTGGGGACACCGACTCCTCGATGAAAATATTCCATGTGAAGGTTCTGGCTCGCTATCGCCGGCCTTCGGCTCAGGGGCCCGAGCACATCCGTACGAAGACACTTAGCCCGATATAGCTGTATGCTAGCCTAACAGGGTAAAGCCTCTCGATCGCGATAAATCATCGGGTTATTGAGAGGTTCTCATTGGCCCGGGTTGCAGGAGGAGGTCGGAGGTGGAATCCTTGGTCTCGTGCAGTGCTTGGCCCAAACACAGTGAGCTCTGCGCTGTAATTGCCTAGACTTTCAGGCTTTATGCCCTGCCACAGAGTGGCGAGTGCGTTTCCCTTGATCGCTGACGCTTAGCTTCATCATTCTCCGGTTTTCCCCCGCCTTGATGCGTGAGCATTGGCTCAGTGTTGTCACTTGCTCACAAAATCGGGAAGGGATTAACACGGGCTGAGAGGATCAATTTCAGGGTCTTTTTTAGCTTCGTGGAACGTGGAATGTACAAGAACCGATACGTACAGAAACGGTCTGGGGCATTTGACGTATGTCATTATTATCGTTTGTGTGGTTCATGGATCGATCGATCTTGTACCCGTCGAAATGGGCAGTTTTTTGCATTGATGGTCGTAACAATGCAATCTATGTAGCAATGCATAAATCATAATTCCAATCTGCATCATAATTGTAGGATTGCATAATGCGCTGCTAATTTCATCATGTCTGTTGATGCCTAATATACGATATGGCCTTCAACCATTCAGACCATATATGTGAGATGTGTATTTTATGATAGACGTTTTTATTTTTGTAACTTCAAATCATCTAAATAGTCAACTTGTTCATAGAAAGACAAGGGTCGTGTCTCAGAGCCCTTGCCGCAATCCGTTGTTTTACTCAGCATCACCACCAGATATCACCTAGTAATCATCACCACGGCTGATGACCTCCTTCACGGTCGGTCTAATCAAGATGGTATGTTCACTCTGGGCTGTGTAACTGCCCTTCTTGTCACATAAGGGCGGGTATGCATCAACAATACCAGCGTTGACCAGATTGTTAAGCTGCGAGGATGTTAGATGTAGTTCCTTTGCGGGCTGTCACGCACTTACTCCGAGTAGGTACTTGTCCTGGCCAATACGGTCTAGGTATCGGCGGCAGAACGGCAGGGTGCCAAAGTTCTTGTTGATAACGTTGAGCAGCGACTTGGCCGAGCTCAGACGCAGATCAACGTGCTGTCCGTCTTTACTCTTAGCATAGTGCGATGTCTCCATGTCGTCGCGGACGTATCCGTTACCAGTGCTGCCAAAGGTCTCGATAGCAAAGACATCGCCCTCCTCCATCTTGGTCTGATCATTACTCTTGACAATAGGCACGGCCTTGGTGCCGTGAATGCTGTAGGGCAGGATGTTGTGACCTGTGAGGTTGCGGATACTCTTGACAGGGTATGTAACTCCGTCGAGTTCAACCTCAAAACTCTCCATGGTCTCTTGGATGACACCTCCGATCTCTCCGACACGGGCATCGATGCCTGCCTCGCGGATACCAGCGTTGGTGGCCTCCTTGACGGCCTGGATGAGGTTGTCGTATTTGTTGTCAAAAGACATTGTAAAAGCAGAGTCCACGATGCGACCGTTCACGTGAACGCCAAAGTCAACCTTCATAACGTCCTCTTGCTTCAGAACCATCTTGTTGCCAGCGTTGGGGGTGTAATGCGCAGCACAGTGGTTAAGACTGAGACCGCAAGGGAAACCCATACCGCCCTTGATGCTGTCACCCTCCTCCAGACCAGAGTGGCCAGTCAGGGCACGAACACCATCCTCGATGCCCTCAGCAATCTCAGTCAAGGTCTGTCCGGGCCGGACATTCTTCTGGGTCCACTGGCGCACCTGGCGATGGATCTCAGCGGCCTCGCGGTAATCGGTCAGGAAGTCGCTGTTCATGTTATCGAGGTGGCGCTTCTCCTCGTCGGTGGTACGGTAGTTGTTCTCGTCCTTGTATTCCACCTCCTCTCCGTGAGGGTAGGACTTGTTGGGGAACAGCTGGCTGACCAGGACTCGGGGAGGATCGCTCTGGCTGGTAGGGTTCTTCTTCTTCTTCTTCTTGGGCTTTCTCTTCTTCTTCTTTTTGGCACCTCCTTCAGCGGGAGCTGCACCGTCGGCCTCGTCCTCCGAGTCATCGCCGTGGTCGTCGCCGGCAGCGTCGGTCTTTGATTGTGTGTTTGCGCCGGGCTTCTGGGAGCCATTGGCCACTGCGGGGCACTCTTGTCAGTTTTGTTCTAGATGTTCAAGACTGCACCAGCACTCAGCAGCAGGAAATATACGTAAACTCACCGTTGAGCTCCTTGAGAGCTTCAGTGGGGACTTGAGCTGCCATCTTGGCTGACTGCGCGCGGGTTCAAGCTGCAAAAAAAGATAATTTGGTGGGAGAGTTGGATGAGTGGGATGTTGTCACACCCCGCCAAGGTTTTGAAGACAGAAAAGTTGAACATACTGCCTCCTAATTGATGCGCTTCTTTTCTGTCTAGGTCCCCACCGAAGATTTGTGACTAAAGTGGATTATCCGAACTAGAACACTCGAGAGGCGTGGTCAGCAGTGTAACAGAATGACTGCAGCTCAGGAAATGATTGGTTCATAGGTAATGCCATTTGGAGGTATTTTCCAATATCTAATCATGGAACTTGTATCCGTTCTTGAGAACTGTTAATTCTTGTTGTCATGAATACGCACACACTCGCTTTTCAGCATTAACCGTCAGCTATCTCAGCACACTTGAATTCTCAACTGTACCATGGACATCCAGGTCGCTGATCCTCTGCCGCCGCAACCCTGCAGTAACATATGAAGCACAAACACACTGCAACACTGCATATAAACCATTCATCTAAAGTAAACCAATACTACTTCTTGTACAAAACATGTAACAAATGCCAACATCTACCGCTCACTTTCTATAGGGTATTCAAGCACGTCCCCTGCCAAATATGTCAGACATTGTATGACCTCACAGCCAGTCAAAAAAAACAAGCTAGTTCCCAGCCGCTGAAATTCAGGGCACGCATCGTCAAACCAAGCAAGGGTGAGCCTTAGCCACCAAGTCATACTCGTCGGCCGCTTCTAACGGGCAAGCCTAAAACACACGCACGTCGCCACGCAATTCCCCCTTTTCCTCTTTTGCTTTTGCAAACAAGTAAAGAATCTGGTGATAACCTCAAGAAACCTCGTGAACACAATCAAAGCCACTGGCGCTTACGACGACAACAGCCTTTCCCCACTGCGGCCGGCGCCTTGCATTTTAAGAACGTCCCGTATATTAGCGCTGCACGCCACAGGCCGCTGGATGCCCCTCTGTTGGATTTCCTGACTGTTATAAACTTGACTGATCTACGACCACCTCCGTTTGGCTTGACGCTTGCGAATCGTGATCCTTTTAGCGACTTAAGAAGAGCTATCGCAGCAACATGACTGACGTCAACCTAGAGGCTAATGCCTCCGTCTCCGCGAAATCCCCCATTGAGCGCAAGCCTGTGGGAGGCATCCCACCCGAGAACACCTCCGCCGAACCGCTCCTACCTCAACGACCAGCTCAAGACACAGACGAGAAGACTGTCGAGGCCGTAAGCTGCGACACTTGTTCGGTACCGCGTAAAGCTGCTTCATCCAGAAGCAAGTCTCCCCCGTCACCGATCAAGATCGACAAGACACAGCCCGAGGACTTTGAGGGCGAGCTTGCGACGAACAACGATCTCCCATCAGCTGCGACTCTGAAGAAGATCGAGAAGTACATCGTTCTTGACAGACATGGGAAATCACACCCTTTCAAGACCCTCTACACTGGAAGCAATGTCGCACGACGTGTGCTTATCATCTTTGTCAGGCACTTCTTCTGTGGCGTATGTCGTAGTACCCCGTCTCGTGGTTAATTGTCATAAGTTGCTGATATTCAATTTTGCAGAATTGCCAGGAATTCCTTCGCTCTCTATCCGGAGCCGTAACGCCCGAAGCTCTCCTACGCTTGCCAGTGAGCACATTTATCGCCGTTATCGGATGTGGCGATCCTGCTCTTATCGACATGTACGTTAACGAGACAGGCTGTCGCTTCCCTGTGTATACCGACCCGACAAGGTCGATATTCGACGCCCTAGGCATGTCGAAGACGCTCCAGCTGGGCACTAAGCCAGCCTACATGCGTCGGAGTATGATGCATAGCATCGTGGGTAGTATAGTCCAGGGCGTCAAGCAGATCCCCACTGGAAATGTTCTCAAGATGGGTGACCAGCGCCAAGTCGGTGGTGAATTCCTGTTTGAACCTCGAGATATCCTCACACCCGTTTCAACACCACGGAACGAAATCGCACAACCTATCAGCGCATTTGATGAAGGAGAAGAGAAGGGAGCGGAACAGGATGGTCATGGAAACGAGGAGAAGAGAGTAACGTGGTGCCATCGCATGAAGACGACGCGCGATCACGCCGAGATCCCTGAACTGATTGAAGTGTTGGGACTGGACCAGAACACAGCCGTTGGGAAGGATGTGAACCGTGGTTCGATCACATCAGCCCGCAAGGGCAAAGGGCATAGCATGGCACAAGAGATCCGAAAGTTGAGCGCCGAGAGATCTAGAACATCTAACGAGACATGATGCAGATATCGTATAAGTGCGCTAGTGGATTTGAGCGATTCGGAGCATTGCTGGTTTTTGTCACAGCGCTGGAGTAGGAATTCATTGATTGTTTGGGATAGCTTTATGTTTTGGGAAAGACTGCTGTAGAATGCTTATAGAGCATTAGACTTGATGTGATATCCTCTGATATTGGCCGATAGAATACATAAATGTTTATTACTACTGAAACGTCATCGTTCATTCATGTACCCAGGTCCCGTCTTCGCGACTATGAATTACTTCATCGACCTTGAGTCTGAAGTCAATGATCTCCTTACCATTAACAAGATCACTCTCCATGGCCCTTCGATCTCCCTCCTCCAAATCCTTTACAATACCTGCTCTTACATGCCTCTCCCTCAACCGTTTCCTCGCAACTTCAAAGTCCACCTCCACAAACCAAACCTCATCCAAAAGCTTCGCCGCATCCCGCCAGACATCCTGGTCCAGCGCAAGGTAGTTCCCCTCCAGAACAACAACACGATGCTCTGGCTTGACGACAATGTCATCGTCGCGAGGGTCCTTAAGGGCATGATCAAAGGACGGTGCGAGAATTGGTTCTGATGGGATGGGGGTCTTGGAGAGGGATTGGACAAGAGCAAGGAACTTGGGCGCATCAAAAGTAAAGGCTGCGCCGCGGCGGAAGTGGGCGGTATCGGGATCTGGCATAGCGGAGAGGGCGGCGCGGGTGAGATGGAAGCCGTCCATGGGGACGAATGTTGCTGGTGGAGGAGAGGAGGGGTTGGAAGATAAGGCCCGCGCATTAATACGATCAGTGATGATTTGTGAAAAGGTCGTTTTGCCTGTTGAGTGTGAGTACCTGGTGTTGAGAGGTAGTAGTGAATCAACTTACCTGACCCGGGAATGCCGGCAACGCCAATCACTGAGAATGTTAGCCATGTGTGTTAGATCACTTGACAGAACTGGTAATTGGTTTTGAAAGAACCAACTCTCGGATGTTTCATCTCTTCTGCTCATCTTCAAACGGCATGAGTGTGCTGTGTATAGGTACTCACATAATCGCTTATCCTTCGGCGTCTGCTCATATTTCTTCCACGCCTTCTCAACAAGTCGCTCAACCTGGTTCTCCATTCTTATATACAATTTTTAGATTTGAGAATGGAAGTTGTAAGTTGAGGAAAGGAAAGCTATCATAAGTTCGAATGTCGTCTGGATATGCCCCGCGGCGAGGCATTGCCCCACGTTGTTACATCAGAGCTCTCCACATGATGTACCATGCGCTTACGATCACGACGAGAAATGAACCTCGACAGCTCTGACGAAATTGGGATAAGAATAGATCGCTTCCTATTGTACGAATTTCACATGTAAGATAGCAATATGTTGGAATCAAATGCTACACTAAAATAATGAGATATCAGGCCCCATACTTGACTGGCATCTTATCCTCCCAAGATGTCGGCTATACACACCATGTTAATTCTCATAACGTTGTAAAATGAATTAGATAATGACAATATCTCAGCTCGGGTTATGTTTCATTTGTAAAGATCAAGCATCATGTACCATATAAACCTTCTTCCAACTCTCTTACTCTTATCCTACTGCCTTTGTCATCCAACCACCACAAGCCCAAGTGGGTCCTATCACCAACTCCCAAAAACTCAGTCCAACACTTTCTCTCCCCGTCACTCCCTCATTCCTCAGAATCTAACGCTTAAAATGGATGACGAAGATCCCCTCGCTGGCTTTGCCGTCGCCGATGTATCCTCCGATGAAGGCGAAGGGGTAGAAGCCGCAAAGTCCCGCCGCACAGGGCAGTCAGAGGAGGCCTGGCAGGCCATCCGGAAGGAATATAGTGCTAAGGTTGAGAATGGCGATGTAAGAGACCCGTTCACCGTTTTCATGTATATACACTAATATGGGGCAGATTTACAAGAAGATCAAGCTACCACTTGGGCCTGGTGCTTCCAAGATGGATATCCAAGAAGCGATACATGCGGTTGAAGAGCATTACTTCTTTCGTCGTTACAATGAAGCCGAGCACCTGGCATCCGACATTCTAGTTGCCAGTGATGGACTCGACCCAGATTCAAGACAATTATTGGAAACATACCAGGCGAAATGTCAAAAGAAAAATCAACACGCTTAAGCACATTCTCACCACACGATGCAAACACAAAGAGACCCATACAAGCTTGTTAATTACGCTGGAAGTATCCCATATCGTACAAACATGTCCCTTGACCGCTTCCTTTGCTCCAGACCGGTATATCTCCAACTTGGCCTCCAAAACCCGATGCCAAATAGTTGTAGCACCGGATGCCCGAGCCTCTAGGCCAAGGTTACCCATCACACCAAGCCGACTTACAGGCCTCTCAGATAGACTTGGTTGCAGCGGCCCGCCATCTACCAATAATTTCTGTTGCGAGGACGAACACCAGTAAAACTTCCCTGAAAAGTAACAGTCTTTTTTGCGAACCGCGACGAGCTCAAGCCCTTGAGCACTCCACGTTCAGAGCTGGCGGTTGAACCGTTTTGATCATGGGGAATGACAGTTGGGTTATTAGCGCTGGTGTTGTTGTCGACTTTCGGAACGCTGATCCCAAAGTCAGGGTACTGATTCTCCTTGGCCTTGTCTGAGAGATCTGCTCCAGTGAAGTAGGAATGCAGACTGAAGTGTAGACTCACCAAGGACCGAATTGCCTTCATGAACTCTTGCTTGAGGTGGTCGTTGAAACCTCTGAGAAATCCTTCGCTCATCCATTTATCGAAGATGGCATCGTTGATTCCGGCAATTTCCTCAGCACCCAATTCTCTCCTTTCTTGAATGTGTGAAATAACCTTGTTAACCAAGCCAATCACATGTTTGGAGATTTGGTCAATTTCCGGAAGTGAATTGTTCTCAACAAGACCCCATCCTTCTTTCATAGAAATCAAAGGATCTGGCTGTTCAACGGCCGTCGAAGTAGAAGTATCAGAAGCGCATGTCGAGACAGGACCTGCAGGTATCGTAGCTCCACTGTTTGATGCAGAACTCGAAGCATTGGTGTCTATCTTGTCCGGCTTGACCTGGTCTGCTTTTGGAGTAGCAGTGTCAGACGCCATGGATTGAGTGGTCTCGGTAGTGCTGGAGGTTTTGATATCTGCCTCGTTCGTGGTGTCTGTCTGAGAATGATCTGTGCTGTCCTGCTTCTGGTGGTGATGGATCGACTTCTGAAGGCTGGATAGGCAATGCTTGAACTTTCGTGCCTCTTCTGTGGTGTCAAATCGAAGATAGTAAGGCCATTCCATGGCTTTGACTTTGACAACACAGTAGTCGCCTTCAAGAATAGGCTTGTCCATGGCAAGTGCATTGTGGATCTTATCCCCCTTCAAATCACTTCGAAGCTCCAGAACACCCTCGTTTTCAGATATACGAAGCTTAACAAGGAGCTTGGTGATGTAACTTAGGGCTTTGTTTTTACCAGGCACGATATGGCATTGTCCACTGCCAGCTACGTATTCCGCAGCGTTGAGCGCTGGGGGAGCTTGGTTCCTCGTGAAGATCAGGCGCACTGGAGACGTGCCGTTGACAGGGGAACTAGGTGCAATAACACCGCTTGAAGAAGTGCCATTCGTGGGTAAAGGCCCTAGTGGTGTGGTAAGGGGGTCCGTTGAGATCGGCGGAGGCCCCCATGTCGCTTTCAGTCGTGAGCTTACATTGCGATCGCTAATCAAGCTTTTAACCGCGGGTTCCTAACCCGGTGACGTTGGCTTGAATGGCTTGTAGCCTCCGGAGTTGTCAGACTTGGAGGAGGATACCTTGTCATCAATGGTGGCTGGAGGAGGCTGGGTACTAATCAAACCGTTAATCGCCTACTCTTCTTCAACGCAAGAATGACTGACCTCTTTGCCTCGAAGGTCTTGAGGACCCTTGTTGCTTCTTTGTGAGCCCAAGGGCGGGGGTCGTAATCAATAAGACCCTCCATCTGTTTAGACTCTTCATCCTCAATCTTGGTATTCCATCTACCCTTGAGCTGGAATTTACGATGCTTGGAATAGTGATCCGTTCTGTTGTTGCAGTTTGGTGCAAAAGATAGCCCTCGCTTTGGTTCGTTGTTTAGAGGGAGTTCCTCCTGACGATCGCGGTTCAGGTCGGCCTGTGAGAGTGATCGTCAGTATACTCCTAAAGTCGGAGGTAGGTGACGGGCTAAGCAATATCTTACCGCCATGGCTTTGGCAACAATGTCGTCGTCAGCCATGGTGACGTTGGAGATAGTGCCAAGAGAAAGATATGGATAATAACGTGAAAGAATGAATCGCAACGAGTGCAGACTAAGAAGTGAAGGTCGATATCTTCGTGTGCAAGGAGGAGGAAATGAGTGGATAAGGAGACGGGGATGAAAGAGTGGAGGGGGTGAAAGAAGAAATCCGAAGTGGTGTTGCAGCAGATGCAGCAGGCGAGTCGCGCTTGCCGCCTCCAGCCTCTAGGGACAGCGGTAACGCTTCAGGTAAGACAGCGCAATATGGGTCTTGAAGGCGAGGCAAAAGAAATCAGAAGGTAATATAGTAAAAAGAATGAGATAGCGCAAGTGCTACTCGTAAATAGAAGGGTAAACTGTCTCCCCTTTGGTTGTTGTGGAGGAGAGAGGTCAACATGCGCTAGTGGAGGAATTTATAGCCAGAGCAACACGGCTTGGCAGTGATTCACTGGGCCAATAGCGGGATAAGTTGATGAGGAAAGCTGCAGAAACAAAGGCCTTTCAGGTGGAAGCGTATGGAACCTGGTAACCGTGCAAAATTCAAAGGCATACATTGGAATTTATAGGGGTTGTAGGTGTTCATTGACACTTGGATCAGGCATCAGCATGTCAACATACATACGATAATCCATACTAGTCACTGGTTTGGATTATTTGAATTTATCTTATGTCAAGTTCCCAGATATTTGGGACGTGTATGAAGTTTGCTAACACTGATCCATTTCCGAGTTATCGTTTCTTCTTGTGACACTGATGCCGGTCAATTGTCGAGTGGCATTGGCCAAACTCGACAGGATCCTCTGCCTTGCATATTGAAATGTGTTACATGAACCAAAACAAGGTTACATCTTCAGACTGACAACACTAGTGGAACTTCTGCTGAAATCATCACTCAAGGTGGGCATGCGATCTTGCTCAAGCATGAAGATATACAATAGTGGCGATGATTCTTCTTCTGCATCGTAATGGATTAAAATACGGTATGTTTCCTTATATGCATACCTTAAAAATGTCTGGATAACTATTTTGGAGCCCACACAACCTCTGCATTCACCAGTTACTGCTCTAAGTCCCCTGCTCGACTGGGTAAACATCTATTGCGCTGATCTGGCACTTCGATTTATCACGGTTCAAGTTGGGCATCCTCGCACAATTTCCATTCTACTTTCGGCCTGCTATATGCTAATTTCCCGTTGTCAAAAATCATAGGCAGTTTCTGTCATCCAAAACTTCTTGCATCACGTCGCGGCACCGTGCATACAAAGAATGCAACATACCAACACCTACGAAGAAAAGTATTTCTTCCAGAAGCCTTCCAGAGTCATGAGCTTAGTCTCATCGCCAGACTGCCCCTTGGCCTTAGCTGCCCTCGCCTTCAAATCTCCAGCAGTAATCAAATCGTTAGGCACGCCATAGTACAAACCGTCAGAGTACTGGCAGAAACCAAACATGTACTTTACTGTTTCGAAGCCCTGCTCGCCATACGTCTCCATGGACTTCCAGTCCTCGATAGGTACAAAACGAGCTTTCTTTCCAGTTACTGGGAAGTGGTTAGCAGACAGTTTACCATGACCAAGAGCTCAGGGGGCATACCCTTTTCAAAATCAGAAACTAGCTTCTCGGGCGTCTCGCTAGCACTGACACCATGAACCAGCTGTCCGTTGTACTTTTTGGGATCAAGGAAGATTCCGTGAACAAGATCACCATAGTCATCTCCGATATCGATGAATGGAATCTCATCATTGCCGCCCCAGCGGGGGATATGCAGTGTAAGATATCCTTCTTCGTCAGTCTGGTATGGAAAACCTCCTAGCACGGGTGCAAACTCCTCGACAAGATGGTTCTCCAAGTACCAGCCGGGACTGACAATGTTGACAGTTTCAAAGACTCCCTTACTCTTGGCGTATTCGCCAACTGCATTTTTCACTGGAGCGAGTTAGCCTAAGCTTGGAAACTTGACAGGAAGGAAGAACACACTATCGAAGGCTTTGTTAGGGACGGTCCCTCCAGTAACCTCAGAGGCAGAAGCCATGCCGCTATACACAAAATGACGAACTCCCGCCTCGGCGGCAGCATCAACAAGATTCTTACCGAGATCAAACTCAGTAGGCCCATCTTCTTGGCTCACAGACTATGCAAGACTTTAGTGATTGAAAGACCGTTAACTGACTATGATGACTTACAGGATCATCCGAATTCGTGTTGATGAAGACACCCCAGCTGTCTTTGAAAGCTTCGACAACCTCGTTCTTGACAAGACCGTCAGCCTTGACAACCTCAACGCCTTGACTAGTCAGGGCCTTGGCCTTTTCAGAACCAGGATTACGAGTAATACCGCGGATCTTGAAGGTCTTGGCCTTGTTCTGAAGGAGGGATTGGACAACAGAACCGCCCTGGGCACCAAGTGCACCAAAGACAGTAATGAGCTGAGGAGAAGACATGATGATAGTTGATAGGGTAGAAAGTAAAAGCTTCAAGGTATGATAGTCTTTATTTGTGAGTTGATGAGTTAAACACTGATGGGAATAACCTCTTTCTTATAGATCTATCCTACTTTCAAGTATACCTAATCAATACCATGTAAGTCCGCAAACCATGATACCAAGGTCATCATGGTATCGTGAATAAGTGATCTCGGGGCACGCGGCCACCGTAAGAGTCGGCGTAAAAGACATTGATTATCCCGATTGTCCACTTCCAGAAGCTGGTATAGCAAGCTGACCAACCAGAATACTAGCACGCACCCATGAGTTTCTCAACTTTCGAGCTGAAATCACATTAGCTACTGTGGCTTGAAGACGCCCACTTTTGTGGTGTGGGTACGATTACAATTCCGCTCCTAACACTTACATGCGATGGAGACTGCTGCGGAGGAGAGCGGACTTTATGGCAGCGCGATGGCATTGACCGTGATGTGATGAATAATATCAGAGTGGTAAGGTGTGGTTCGAGTGTTCTCTTCTGGGATTCTTGAATGTTTGGTTGCAGACGTGACTGGTTGTTACGGGAATATGTGATCACTCACGATTATTAAACACTTCATTTTAGAGCGTACCAAGCTGTAATACATATTGGCTAATTCTGAGCTCGACGTTCACCAACAGCAGTATCCACTGTTCTGTTCATCACTGGTCTGGTGGTCTAGTGGTATGATTCTCGCTTAGGGTACACCCTACAGCACAGCTTGCGAGAGGTCCCGGGTTCAATCCCCGGCCAGACCCTTCCTTTTGCCGTATGCGTCTTCAGGACGCTGGCGATGTTCGTTTTTTGTTAAAATGCTTTGTTCTTGTTCAATTCTAACTAGAGTGAGTGAGTGGTGAGATTTGATGAATGCAGCGTGTGAGCTTGTGTTCCGTTGAACTTATAAAAAGACCGTAACGACATTCAACGTCTTCACCTTTGTGTCAATAACAGATCAATCCTTCAATATTTAATAAATTTCAACTACGCCCAAAGGATAACTACCCTGGCTGTTCCTCATGAAATCACATCATTTCATGCCTTGGTTTACCTGGATCATTCACTCAGCATACTCCGAAAATACACCCCCCCCAAACAACTCCCTATCCCAGGTATCAAACAAGACTCATCAAGACAAAATAAACAGCCGAGAACATGACAACGCTATTTCAAAATACCGAAATACCCCTCTATCTCTGTCGCGAATTATCTGGCAGCTCCCACCTCTGAACTGGAGACGTATAAGCAGGTGCCGGGCTTGCATACCCTGGAAGCTCAGGAGGTCTGGCCTCACCCGACATTTCCACTCGAGCATCACGACCATCCATCTCCAAATTTGGCCGCCAACCTTGACCTGACATCTCATGCTGGCCTGCCATCTGGATAGGTGGACTGGGCGTCATGCTGGGAAAGGGGTGAACCTCGCGACCAGACAGTTCAGGCTGGACTCCGGCACCAGATAGCTCATTAGTTCTGGACAAAGAAGAGACAGAAGAAATTGTTGAAGCACCGACAGGCTTCCTTGGTAGTGTATCCCTCCTCTCGGGTGTAGGGGCAGAGGAGGCGACGACAGTAGAACCTGCACCAGTGGTTACTTCGCTGAGTGGATGAGTAACATTGAGATGTTGAGCTCTTCTTTGTCTTTTACGTCTGATGCAACACCAAGCAAACACTCCAGCAGCGAGGAGAGCCGCGATTGGTACAGTAACACCCACAGCTATCTTGACAACACTGGAACCATCATCTTTGTCCTTGGCTGATGCTGCGGATCCATCCGAGTTCACCCAATAGGTAGAGGTTGCTTCAACGATTACTAGTAGACAGACAGTTAGTAACACTCTTTCATGGGATAACGCTGACACAGTACCTGAAGCAACACCAAAGGTACCATGACCATGAGCAGCAGGAACTTACCCTGCGTCCTGGAAGCACCGTCCTCTGCCGTTTGCGTGACGATAGTCATGTGAGTCGAAGTCGCGCCACCGCCTGAATTGGCCGTTCGGCTGGGTCTCGCATCACTGCCACCTTCATCACTCTCGCTAGCCTCAGCCGTGGGCTCTTCTGTAGCCTCGGCTGGATTATACCACTTAGTGGCACCCGGCTGCGTGAAACCTGCGCCCATGCAGTAGGATGCGTAGTACGATTGCATCGAGGTCAGATCTCGAGAGCGATCGCCCGCGGAGCACCGGGAGGTGGCACACTTGGACATGAAGTTATCAGCCTTGGAAGCCGACGCAGCTGCGGTAGCGCAGTAGCAGTTGTTCTCATAGGGGTCGTCGCAGCCCATGCCTCTGCCCATGTCTGGGATGACAGTGTAGAACAGGCATTCGCTGATGCAGTCATGGCCGACATTGTCCAGGTATGAACTGATGGTGACACTTTCGAAGTCGGCGGATAGGACGTAGGGGAGAAAGAGAAGGATGATTGGGAGTAATCGAACCATGGCTGCCGGTGTTGCCGTTCCAGCAAGGAGAACGTGTATATGATACACAAGTGTAGTAAAGGAGTGAAGTGGTTTATGGGCTCGTGAACTAACAAGACAAGGCGACTCACACAACCAGCAGCCGGGAGGACCAGCACTATATGAGCCCAACAGGCTCTTGCTTCAGAAAGCCCATTGTGCGGTACATCTTTACACCGTTCTTCGACTGTGCTAGCTACTGCCATCTTCTTATCGCCAAGAAGTTGACCTAGCCATGTAAGTGAGAGATCTGCATCGAAGCCATACCCGCCCATGCACACAGTTCCGCGTTACCGCCAGGGGTAGAGGGCTTTAATTGGTCTCTATGGGAGGATAGAGCGCCCATATGGTTTTAGACTGCATGAGCTGAGCAGAAGTGGTAGAGTCACGATGGAACATGAAACCGCCATGTCTGCAAGGTGCCTGACCGAGTGGGAGACTTGTTAAGGGTATTTTGGACTCAGACTCGGCAGTTGAACTTAACCAGCAGTTCGACAATACCGAGACAGGTAGAAGCATAAGGCTTCCTTTTTGCTTTTCTTATTGCCGCCTTTGACTCAATCATTAGTGAAGTCGTCCACTTCAGAAACGAAGTTAACCTCACTATAACTAAGAGAGAACATTGAAGGCAACTTGCATAACTACTCAACAACCATTGGCTTATACCTTGATAGCGTTGCAATCTGGCGCGGAAATAATTCAGTACGTAACTGGGGTCAGGTATGTAGAAGCTCAGCCGCAGGCAAGGGACGGACCGATGCAACAACGGCATTGGCCTGTTGAGAGGAGTTGTGACCTCCGGCGACCCGACACCGGCCTACTTTAAATTGTGCTACTTCTTCATTGGCCACTTGAGTTGCCGTCCATTAGAGGATATTCGTATATTGCCTTGGACAAAGAGTTGTGCTAATTATTGGACTGAAGCGCTTCGGCTTCCAGTCAGATAAGGTTATATAACCAGAACCTGCATGTGGAATTGCAGAAGATAAAGCCTGGCAGCAACTAATTATAAGTCGGAGCTCTGCATGGATGGAGCGAGCTGTCAGATGGACGCTAATTGAGACATCGGTTAGCCTTTGTTCGTTGGGTGTTTGGTGAGTTAAGTTAGAATTCTGCCCAGTGAGAAAACGCTCACACAATCAAGAGCACTGCTGTAATCAACAGAATACTTGAGTGAAAGATTGGGAGTGCCCAGTACTTTATCGATTTCTAAATGCTTCTTCGAATATAGTTCCGAGATGCTTTAAATGCTTGCCAGGCCCTGAACCCGTTTTATATATACATATCAAAGGGTTGGTTCTGTGGCTGTCGCGGGAGAAGAAAGACAAACATTTTGGGTTTCTCCCGTTGGATTAAGCTCTTTGAGTTTGGCTGTCTCCACTCCATGCGGGTCTGGTCTTTCAGCTACTGCAAGTAGGATAATTGTTGGTCATGTGCCTACGTTGCTGCTTATCCCCGCAGAGGGTCAAGACCAATAGTCTGGAGCTAATAACTAGAGTGATTGAAGGGGATTGAGATTGCAAGAACAGCAGCATAGGACGGACACGCGGCATGGCGAATGGCTTCGTAAGAGTTGAAAATCTTGGCATAGATGTTCCTGATTCCATGACAGATGCGTAGGGTGGCGCAGCATGTTCAGAATGCGGTATTTCTGAATGAAGAAATTGTGGCGATTCACAATATCGGTCAGGATATTTTTGGAAATGCTGACCAGCTGTAGTAATCGTTAATGGAGGGACGGGATGGGACAAAGAGTTGCCCCTGTTTGGGACTGCGGCTCTTGATAAGCGGGTGGTGCGGTATCTTGCCAGACTACCTTGTAGATAATGGAACTTAGCACTTGGTGAAATGCGATGCGATGTTGCAGACGACCAACAAGAGAGCCTTGTCGTTCAGCTCGAAAGCCTTAAGGGCACACATTCTCCTTGGAGGCTGAAAGGTGTAAAGATGGGCTTGGCTGGATTCCTCTGGGCTAGATATTTGGCGGAGGCGCGGCTTGAGGCTAGTCTCTGAGAGGAATTGGAGGATCATCAAGCTGGGGCTGGGCTGACAGAGGTCAGAGGATGCGATGCGTTGGGCTGAGGGTGAGACGAGCTACAGAGTACCTACTACAGCCCTAGCTTCAACTGCAGCCGCAAAGTAGAGGTCAGCCTCTGTATAACGGTGCTATCTGCCCTCAAACAATGGATGCTCACCTTCATCTTTCTCTCTTGCTATTCATCATTTCCCACGATAATAACAGAACCAACCTAATCCCTGCGAACCCTCCCCGCCTGCGGTTCAAGCCGAGCCCCAAAGCTCAACGTCACTCGCTCTTTGACCTCGACGAATAGCCCAAGCTCGTTCCTTGTTCACTGGAGGATCGCCCATCGTTATCCCGCAAGCGGATCGCTGAAACACACAAGCCGTTGCTTTCAACTTTCGAGGGGCGCCAAGCTAGGACCCTCTCATTTTCTTGTATTTGACGGAATAATCGGTAAATCTGCCAAGAAACAGCCTTAGCAGTCGCCTTCGCAGTGTGTACACGCATCTCATCGCCGAGCCACAGCGACGCATCCATTGACTAGTTCCAACTACAGTGTAGTGCGAAGCGCCCAATCCCTGCGGCTGCAGTCTGACTCTCACATTGGATTGATTTTCGTCAGCTTTGAAACGAAATCCTTCTTTCTCGTCGTCCTACACTTGCACACCCTTTTGTTATTATTTTTTCTTTCTCTTTTTTATCTGCTGCTGTGCATTCGTTTCACAGTACCTCCATCATTCGTTGTTTCGGCGCACGTTGTCCTGCATCTGTGCACCCGTCGCATAAGGACTACAACGTCACTCACACAAACGTCTCCCGCTTGCTTGCTCCAGTGGGCGCCCGGGGCAACGAGCTAGCCCAGCATCATCAACCTCCTGCGCAACAACGCAACTGCGCTCGAAAAATAAAGAGAGAAAAAAGACCAACCACGCACTTCAAAACACATGCGAATAGCTCCACGAGTGCGCATAAACAACCGCAGCCATGTCGTATAATCGTTTAGGTAAGTCTATTGCTCCCGCCATTCCTCGTGAGCCCTTGGATCATCATATGCCCCCTTTCTCCCTCAATATGAGACAGACGAGACATACCCCTCCCTCTTAAACCACCCCCTAGTTGTAATTGCGACTCGACGCTGCCCGGAACTGAATTCGGTGTCGCAATAACGAATAACGTCTACTGTTATTGTTGCGAAATAAACTTTCCCGTTCATGCGTATCATAACGCGCAATCTTGTGCCACCGCCCTCGCCGGCTTATTTACCTTTATCGCACTCTTCTTGAACCACTCTCCGCACCGCATGCCCAACTCTATCAACAAGCATACTCAGAACACATAGTCTAACCTCAATTACCTTCAGACGGCGATTACTACAACAACGAGATGGACCCACGATACGGGGCCCAGCCTCAAATGCATCGAACACCTTCGCCGGGTCAGCCGCACCAGCAGGGCTATCAGCTCGACGATAATCCCTTCGACGATGGCCGCTATGGACAATATGGCCCTTCCCAGCAGCATCTAGCCATGCCCTCGGGCCCTGATCCTCACCGATTACCTACGCCCAGCGACCATTTAAACCTCAATGCTGCAGTAAGTTTCCGCCACTGCCATCAACGTTATACACATAGAGTTTAAGAATTGCGCTGACTTTCATATAGCAATCCGTCGACAACTTATCTGGCTACGGTCCCAGTACTGGCCCAAGCCCCGGTCCCGGCGACTACGCCATGAACCCCGAAGCGCATCACGATGCCTACTACAACCAACCCTACGAGCCTCGGCCTACACAGTCACGATATGACTCGGCCTATGACCAGGAATACGAACAACCTTATGAAGAATCCGACAACAGGCCTATGCTTCCTCATCAACAGTCAGAGGCTCCTAGCGAGCAATACCAAGACCAACCCCAACAGGGCGGTGGAATCAAACGCTGGAAAACGGTCAAGCAAGTTCTCTTGTACCGTGGTAACCTTGTTTTGGATTGTCCTGTTCCTCCCGTTCTCCTGCAGCAAAACCCCCACGGAGAGCGTGATGAGTTCACTCATATGCGATACTCGGCCGCGACTTGCGATCCCAATGATTTCTATGATCAAGATTTCACCCTGCGACAGAGACTCTTCACCAAGCCTCGGCACACGGAGCTGTTCATTGTTGTGACAATGTATAACGAAGACGATATTCTGTTTGCCCGTACCATGACTGGTGTTTTCAAGAACATCGAGTACATGTGTAACCGTCCCAACAGTAAGACATGGGGTAAAGACGCCTGGAAAAAGATCGTTGTCTGTGTCGTTAGCGATGGTCGTTCCAAGATCAACCCCAGAACCAAGGCCTTGTTGGCCGGTATGGGTGTTTATCAAGAGGGTATCGCGAAGCAGCAGGTCAACGGAAACGATGTTACAGCCCATATTTACGAGTACACCACGCAAACCCACCTTCAGATCAAGAACGACGTTGTGCAGCTTGTCCACAGACGCCAGCCAGTTCAGATGCTGTTTTGTTTGAAGGAAAAGAACGCCAAGAAGATTAACTCGCATCGATGGTTCTTTACGGCCTTTGGCAGAGTCCTTGACCCCAACATTTGTGTCCTTCTCGATGCCGGTACGCGACCCGGTGGAAGCTCAATTTACCATCTATGGAAGGCTTTTGATCTTGAGCCCATGTGCGGTGGTGCTTGTGGTGAGATCAAGGCTATGTTGGGTACTGGTGGAAAATACCTCCTGAACCCTTTGGTTGCGGCCCAGAATTTCGAGTACAAGATGAGCAACATTCTCGATAAGCCTCTGGAATCGGCTTTCGGTTTCATCTCTGTGTTGCCTGGAGCCTTCTCGGCCTACCGCTACGTTGCTCTCCAGAACGACAAGAACGGAAAGGGACCTCTAGAAAAGTACTTCTTGGGTGAGACGCTCCATGGAGGAAGCGAAGCCGGTCTTTTCGAATCCAACATGTACCTCGCTGAAGATCGTATTCTTTGTTTCGAACTGGTCACCAAACGCAACTGCCATTGGATTCTTCAATACGTCAAGTCTGCCACCGGTGAGACTGATGTCCCCGACACTGTGACAGAGCTGGTCCTCCAGCGACGTCGTTGGTTAAACGGTTCTTTCTTCGCTGCTATCTACGCTATTGTTCACTTCCTCGACTTCCTCCGCTCTGATCACACTTTCCTGCGAAAGTTTGCTTTCTTCATCGAATTCATTTTCAACACTATCAACATGATCTTCGCTTGGTTCGCTATTGGTAACTTCTTCCTGGTTTTCAAGATTCTCACGACAAGTTTGGGAGACGATACTTTACTGGGACGGACAGGAGAAATCTTGGGCGTTGTCTTTACCTGGCTTTACGGCGTCTTCTTGATTACTTGTTTTGTGTTATCTCTGGGTAATCGACCAGCAGGTTCTGGTAAACTCTATTCTGCCATGTGTTACTTCTGGGCTATTATCATGGTGTAAGTACCCTCTAAATCATTTCCGCTGCATTCCACTAACAACGAGTAGTTATCTGATGTTTGCTGCAATCTTCATCTCGGTCAAGGCTATCATCGCAGACGTTAACGACGAAAACGGTTTTAACATTTCCGACATCTTCAAGAATAAGGTCTTTTACATGCTCATCATCTCGCTCATGTCGACATACGGTATCTGGTTGATTGCTTCCCTGATCATGCTGGATCCCTGGCACATGGTTACATCTTTCCTCCAGTACATGCTTCTTACTCCCACATTCACCAACGTTCTGAACGTGTACGCTTTCTGTAACACACACGATGTTTCTTGGGGTACCAAGGGTGACGACAAGGTTGAGAAACTTCCTTCGGTCAACACCAAGGACGGTGCTGGAAAGACGGACTTGCCTGACGAAGGCGATTTGAACGCGCAGTACCAGCGAGAACTTAGCGTCTTCTCCCAGAAGGAGGTGGTTATCAAGACCGAACCCACTCCCAGCCAGCTTCAGGAGAGGCAAATGGATTACTACAGAGGTGTCCGTACTGGTGTCGTACTCATCTGGATGGTCACCAACTTCGGTCTGGCAGCGCTCGTCCTGAGCTCGGCCGGCCTGGACCGAATCAGCACCAACAAGGACAAGGAGGCAGACCAGCTGAGCCGCTCCAACATCTACATGTCTATCGTGCTATGGAGTGTGGCAGGTCTGAGCGCATTCAAATTCATCGGAGCGATGTACTTCCTCGTGGTCAGAATGTTCAGAGGTGTTTGAGACACCCGATACAGGCTACAAGCAGTGCGGGACGAGAAGTTCGTTTAGCTCTTCACATTATACCCATTTATGACGATTGGCCCCAGTGGTTGAGGGGCCAGAGACGGTTGGAAACGTGTATGTAAACTTTTATGTTGATGTCCATGTCATGGCGCTTCGTATGTTTTTACATAGTTGCCAGGAAGGCGTTTGGGTTGGTTAGGTTTATATCCTTAGATGTACACATATGAGGATGAATTTTATGTTATCTATGCTCTATGCTCTATGTATGATGCCTTTGTTGCAATCATTGTTGTGGTGATGTTGATGAGTCTCCAGCCATCGGATCCATAAAAGTCCGACAGTGATATCATGGCAACTAACGCTCCAACTTAAACCCCCAATACATCAAAGCCACCATCATGACACGCACCCCGTCCATCTTCAACTGCCTAATACGCACGCATCACATAACATCACGCAAGAAACTACAGCACGTGCGCCGTGCCGCTCAGCAGCTTAACGTGGACTGGCTCTTTGTGCGCAGTGGCGGATCCCCGGGGATAATGTTCGCCGAGGCGCGCGACGAGGCGGGACTGACGGAGTGGGTTGCCACGGTGCAGGCGCTGCGGTACAAGGATTTCCGGTGCGTGGCGAAGCCGGCGCCGGCCGAGGGCGTGGCCACGGGGAGGATGGGGTTTGAGGAGACGGAGTCGGTGGCGGTTTTCGCAAAGGTTATGGACGAGAAGGGGTTGGGGACGTGGTGGAAGAGGGGGATGGGGTATGAGGGCTGAGAGGAGGGGATGGTGATGATGAGGTTAGAGACGCGGCCAACGCGCGGCCTGAGGGATTATCAATCGGGGTTCGTGGAGTTAAGCGTGGGAATGGTAAGTTTAATGGAAGGTTTTGGAGGTGTTGCTAATACTTGTTCAGATGGAATTGAGTCGTAATGCTGTTTGTTGTTCGAGATCACTAACGACATTGGGCACCACATCTGCTGCACCTGGGACATTATGTGCGATAATGATGAGCTTCAGAACTACCTGGTAGCCATTCATCATTAATGGCTCTCAAACGCATCAATAGGCCTGCCTAAGATCTTGCAGCACTCTTCCACAACTCCGGAGGATACAGCATCAAGCACTCATTGCACTCTCCACATCCATTACAATCTGCTCCCCATTCCCCAGTCAGGACATTGAGCCTCAAATCCGCCGGTCTCTCGCCAAAAGGACCAGTCTTCAAGTCAAACCTGTCCGGCCTCGCGGGGAAATTCCTCCAGTAGCCTCCATCGTCTCTGTTCATGAGCGTGCACACATACACACCTGCTTTACGTCCTGCGGCTATCGATTTCTGGAAAGCAAGCTCCTTGCGGCCTGCGTTGACTGGTTTTCCCATGGCGATATAGCGGTCGGGCTGGCGGTGCGACGTCTCTACGTCTTCGAGGTAGATGACTCGGAGATTCTCGTATGCGCCGGATTCGATGAGATGTGCTATGGCTGAGTCGAGAACGTCCGATGGTCTCGCTGGATTGAGGCTTTCCACATGCGCATCTGACTGCCCCCAGATGCAAATCGCCTCGACGGTTGAAGGGAAAGCTTCGAGGACAAACTCGCCCAGGTCCTTTGCGGTAGGCAACCTAGTCTGACTCGGCCGTTGGCAGTACGCACCCAACTCTATGTCTCCAGCTGCGATGGTGATTCGTTTGATGCTCTTAAAGTTGTTGAATTCTTCTGGAAGACAAGTGACAACGTCATAGCCGTCAAATCCTTTAGGGTTGTACATGACGAGTTGCTCCAGATGTGGAAAATCCTTTGCCAAGCCTTGCACGAACCCTTCCATATCGTCGACATACCACGAGTATGCATCATCAGCACGTATAACCATCGATACCAGGCTTTTCGAGGCGCCAGAAATAGAACCTAAGAATTCTGGTGAGAGTTCCGCAATACCATCAAGAAAGAGATGCTTTACACTCGACGTCTTGTTAGGAAAGTCATAGTTGTCATCGAAATCAAAATCTTCCTCCTCATTCTCCTCCTCATTCTCCTCCTCATTTTCCTCCTCGTATTCCTCCTCATCTTCTTTGTAAAAATTTGGGCAAAGACCGTTGTAGTAAATGCTTTCGATATTGGGAAAATGCAACAGTGCTGCAAATCCGACGATATTCGTGCGATTTACTCCGCCCCCAGACATGGACGAGCCTATTGAGATGCTGACTTGGATGTGACGCAGAGACTGGAAGCCTGGTGGCCATGAGTCGATAGACCTGCTCCATTTCGTTGCCTTTGTGATGCACTGGAGGGATTTACGGGCGTCCCAGCCTCGTTGAACATATCTCAAAGTGTGTAGACGCGGGCACGAAGCGATGAGAAGTAATTTGAGGAATGCATCTTCTCCCAGTTCCAAATCGGATCGAGCCCGCTCAAAGTCGTCGCAACCGGAGTCCCATAATCTGTGTGCTTTCCGGATGTATGCATCTATTTCTTCCTCCTCGAATTTGCCTCTCGTGATAGACCCCCCAACAAACCCGTATGTCGTTTGTGGTTCTGGATCGAAAGATCGCCAGTCCTGCCAACCACGTCGAGCTCCCCAGAACTCGAGCTCGCGCACATGCCACCGCTCGAGCTTTGCACTAGGAGTATCTTTCAGTAGCTCGATTATTGTTTCTGGGTGGAGGTCTGATGTGACTCGGTACTTGGAGTGAGCAGCGCGATGAGCGCCAAGAATAGATTGGTATCGTCTATGCAGCGCTGAGCAACTGAGTGCAAGGTCAAGATGCGATGAAGGAGGCAGATAGTCGAAAATGTCCAAGATTAGTTCGGTAGAGAGGGAAAGTATAGGATTAGCTGTGTTGTCCATGTTGTCGGTGACTTGGAAGGTAAATGAAAGTGAAGTGTTTGATTGAGGTGCCGCAGGCTGCGTAGAGCTTTTATAACTGCCGGCGGTTGCCTACTTTGACAGTGAATACCTATCTAGGTAGGTAATTCACGATGTGTTGGCAAGACGGGAAGGCGCCGATGATTAAGGTCCATTCAAGAAGCTACCTACCTACTAACCTAGTAGCTACCTCAGTAGCTAAGATGCCATCTCTAAAATTGCTTGCCAGGGAAACTATCAACATGCTCATTGGATCGTGTATAGTAAGTCAGAACACTTATAGTTATACCATCAAACATTAAATATGTAATCTAAGTAGTGCGGCTTTCTGCGGAGGATATCATACAAAGCCAATTCGTTCCGTCTATCGTCTAAATATAAAGAGAAAGTCATTCATTTCGTCTCCAATCCATCTAAGCAGCAACCATGAAAGCAGCGACACCGACAGCAGCAGCAGCGGCAAATGAGTTGGCAGCTCCAGTAGCACCAGCATTAGGGGCCTTAGTGGCAGAAGCAGCACCAGGAGTGAAGGTCGCGAGGGCAGTCTTGAGGAATACAGTGTCGGTGGTCTTGTCGGCAGTGAACAAGATAGTTCCGGGAGTAGGACAGCTGTCGACCCCTCCGGCGTTCTCAACATCCTCCTCCTCGAGACACTTGCCGACGAGCCCGTTCAGGTCGCCATCCTTCTCAACAGCCCACTCGTTGACGGCGGTGAGGTACGCCATGAGGTCCGAAGAGAGCGAAGTAGGAGCCTGGATCACGCAGAGCTGGGTGGTCTCGGCAGTGCGTGCCCACGACTCGATGGCGGGCTTGGGAGTGGGGAAGCTCAGCAAGATGGAGGTGAAGGAGCTTTGGCACTCCGCGTCGTTGTCGCGGGCGAAGATGGCGTTGAGGCTGCGCTTGTTGGGAGTGAAGCTGGGGATGTGCTTGCCGACCTGGAGAGTCTCGATGATGTGCACTACGTCGACCTGTGTGACTTGGCTGGCACTGGCAGAGACGGTGGTAGCAGCCGCAGCGGCGAGGATGGGGAGGTACTTGGTCTGCATATCGATGGTTTGTAGTAAGCGAGTGTAGAGGATCAGATTCAGACGAGAATGTTGAAGATGAGATGATTGTTTTTTACTTGAACTCCAGAGAGGATCAAGGCCTACTTATAGTAAACTCTCACGATGGGATGAGTTGGGATCGTCGTTGTCATAACATGCCATTGAGAGCTCCCATGGGAGTCACCCGGCGGGCCTTGGGGAGATTTCTTGAGGCACAGCAAACAGCTAAAGCGAAATGTACCCAATGATACCCCATGTAGTCCATGAAGACTAACAGAAGGGCCTTACCCCTGCATCTTGGCAGGGCAAGGCTGAGCGGAGGAGGAAGGAGATTTGATCGCACCAACGGAGTGAAACGCAGGGTTTATTCTCCATAAGATGAGTTCAATGCCGACCGTGCTGTCTCATTGTTTGTGAAGGGTTCTCTCTCTGGATGACTCTTCACATCTCGTGCAACGTTCCCGTAGAAAATATCGTATAGATTTCCTTATGCATCCATTTCGATCCGATACACCGCTGTCACATCGAAATAGAGCTATAATTAACTCTATTCCACCCTTTTACAGCGCGGTGGCTGCCTTGCAAGGCAAAAAGGGCACAGCACAGCCAATCGCTTAGCGCGGGTAATATACAACTCTATTCGTATCATTGCCCAGTGTCGGCCATTTCCCAAACCAGAAGGGGCTGAGTCTTTATCAATCCTTCATTAAGCATTGCATTTCGATCATCGGCACAGCCCGTAAGATCTGCTTCGTATCGTTTATGACTTCATTCTTCAAGTCTGGAACCATCTACTGATAGCAATTGTCTCTTCCAGGTTAATAAAGGCAAAGAAAGGTCTTGGTATAAGCTGGTCGGTGTAGAAGCCCGATCCTTCTACAAGCACTTATGGCAGAGAGTCACTATAGATCTTATCTAGCCGCTACAGTCCCACAATAACACAACCCTCATTTTGGAGATTAGCCTAGTGGAATCATAGTAACGGGTAACTAATGGTACCTAGTAACGTTGGCAATGCATTGTTGGTGGACATACCTCTTCCTAGGTAAATAAGGAAAAGCAAATGTACCCCGTTTAAATTGCAATGGATAACTGCACCACCAAACTAACTACCTGGATCTATTATCTAGGTTCTCACGGATGGCTTGAGACGTATTTCAACTTTTGTTAACAAAACAGGGGCTGTACAATACCGGACAAAAGTTCCGATAATAAGTTAATAGCATGATTAAGCCCATGATATCCACGAATATTATAGATATACAATATCTGTAAAAACAAGATGTCTTATAGTTCCTCAGGATAAAACAATAGATTTACATGTTTCTCTTCATCATTGCACCAATTATGTTAGTGCTCAGGTATCTCATGAAATAGCTTAGTTTTAATTAAACTGCTTGGGTCTTTACAACTAAGCCAATTGTACAGGAACTGCAGCACTGATATCCTAAATCTAGTGATGGAATGTAAAAGCATAGTATACTTTACGAAACAAGGTTTGACACCGTTATTTAATTGGGGTGTCAAGCTCGGTGCAGGTTCCGAATCAAATTACCCAATCACAGTTCTTAATACTGTCCTCCTCTCTCAACAGCTGTCAAAAATTCGTCATTCCCCAGACAAAGCAACGAGGCCGCAGCCAGCTTTATCATATCTACGCGATCTGGTTGGATAGGCTCCGAACGGAGGGTCCGAATGGAGGGTTCTAGACACCAGCTTCCTGCACATTCATCGGAGGAATGTAGACTCCCTCACATTCATTTTCCCCAATCACCACAATCAGCATCATTTATTCGCATTATAATGAGCAGCTCTTTCACTCTTGCTTGGGATAGATCACTACTATAGTCGCTGATTCAACTATCTTGCACTTCTTGGTCACCTGTCGTTTACCACACTCCCGTATCATACGACTCATGCACTCCGCATCTCAGCAAAGAATCAAACAAATAACGTGATTATTCTATGATGGCGCCTACGACGGGAAGCCGGCACACATGTCATGTACCAACCGATACCCAGCAATGAAGACTCCGTTCAAATCATTGACCAGCTTCACAGCGCCATTCAAAAGTCCACAACAGACCAGGCCTGCCATCGTGTCGTGTAGGAACAGAAAGGTCACAGCACTGTACAGACGGGGAGTTGCATCTTTTGGTCGACGAGATCAAAGAGCTGAAGATAAAGCTCAGGATGCATGCGGTTATAATTGAGACTTTAGCCAGTGGGGAGTGGGATGATACGATTGCTCTTCTGCAGCGCATCAGAGATGGTCAGAGTATTGATACGGTATATTATGCGGCTAGCCGGCAGAGAAACCTGAACCAAGCTTGATTTGGACAGATGTACCGTCAATACCTTTGTCAGTATGAAGGCTGGGTCGGATGGATACATGTAATGTGGTTGTGTGTATCAGAACCATTATTCCAAAGCGATGAGAGCTTAAGCGCAGAATTGTGCCTTCTCTTTCCATCTTTGTTCGTCTATTAATATGAAAGATAAAGTTCTTGATCAGGATAGCGATACATGTTCTGCACAGCATGAAGATCTTTGTATGTCGCCACGCCTATTCCCCAAGATTCAAATTTCAAGTAAACAGCTGGAGCTGGACTTTGATGCGGCATTAGTATCTTTCATGTAAATTATGGTCTTCAAAGTATGATACAACTGTAGTATGCATCCCTTTTATTAACATGAGTTTAATTATCTGAACAATGAATATGAGATTCGCATCTTTGCTGTTAGAAGCTTCAAACTTATCCAGAGCTAGATTTATATAAGTAGGGTGGCCTCCCTGATCTCGTTTCAATTTCCCCTAAATCACTCAAGTCTTTGCCAGGGAATTCATCCGATAAATCTACTGGAATATACGAATAGCTAGCTACCCCTTCGCCAAGTGTCATCCATCAACCATACGCAGCAGTCCATACCATCCTGCCAAGCTTACAAACCCTTTGGATCAAGAATGTGTACAGATCTTCTCAATCAACCCTCGAATATCGGCTCCGATTGCATGTGGATCCATTTCTATGGAATCTGGCTGGTTGATCACTTGAGACCTCCAATGCAGATTCCAAAGGTTGTTTTGTCACTTCTCGACAAACTTCAAACCAGGGAAATTGAAATCCCTAGGTGTGTTAAGAAACGAGCTCCGCACAAAAGCGACATACACCGAATTTGGGAGGCCACGTCCTACAAAGACACCTGCGAGTACGTTAGTGCTCTCTTCTTCGACGATGATGATCATAGTGTGCGTTTTCTGAGAAACGAGGCTATGTGTGCGCACTTTATGCGTGACTTGCCGGTAGCTCACAACTATTTACCGCCTCCGACACCCAACATCATCTATGGATATTCGAAGGAGTCTCTTTGCCAACCTAACGCACCAAAACTTCCCATTTGGTTAGTCGAGGAAACAAAAGCCGAGACTGATCTCTACTATCCCTTCCTCGTGATCAAGATGCAGGGGGATGAGACTAACACCAACCGCAAGTCCCACGAGGCAATAAACGACTGCATGGTAGCATCTTCGATCTGCGTTGGAATGATAGACAAGCTCAATGAACGTCTGTTCGAGCTCTACAACTACAACGTACCCGAAAGATTGAACGACGCGGTGTTCGGTATCGTTGCCAATGGGGGAGTTGCTCGTGTCTACGTAACGTATGCATGGTATAAAGGTACAGAACACACCTTGAAAGTGGCTAGCTTCTTGCTGGAAGATCCAGAGCGCCACCTAAAGTTTTATAAACTTGTGCGAAGTATTATCGCGTGGGGGAATGGAGAAAGACTTGAAGGGATTCTCAGTGCTTTGAGGGTTATTCGACTGGGAGGTCCTCGATGGCATCGATACCCAGCATACGGCGAAGATACATCTTGAAAACAAGGGTGGTCAGGAACTCCAACAGGAAATGAATAGCTTGTATGTTTTCTCATACTTACATAGTCTGATCTTAGCCGCATACCCCAGCAGTCCGGTGTAGATGGACTTGCCGACGGGATTTTACAAATCTACCTATTTGTCTGTCAAGCTTGTCTTCTTCTGATCATTGGGCAAAGCTCCTTTTATGTGAGTCCCTGGCTGAGCTCTCCAAATCTTAAACTCGTTAAGTATGAATATCAGCCCAATAGCACTAAAACAAAAGTTAGTAATACCACCCTCAATAAGAATCTTTCTAAGCAAGAAGCTTATAATGCCATTTTGTACCTCTAGAGTAAGGAGAACTCGGATTTGACACATCCAGGGTAGCCCCTTCTGCATGACGGTATCTGCTCGATTCTCGACCCCATGTGTGAAAGCTTTGTTGGTAATCATGCCAGAAAAATCTGTCTTTACATCTGGATAAAGGTGTGGAAGTTGAAGGCGGCAAAGCAATAAGCAATAGTAACGCGCAAGTTGCAGCGTTACTACGTGTGAGTGATCGACTTCTCGATTTTTGAGACTAGTGTATCTATCTGGATTATGGAAAAATTAATAATACTTAACTAAGCCAAGATGGCCGAGTGGTTTAAGGCGCTGCATTTAAGATTTATCTTTATCTGCAGTATCGAAAGATGCTTGGGTTCGAACCCCAATCTTGGCAAAATTTCGTCCATTTTTTTCCTCTTCCTAAAATCCCTATATTTTTACATAACTCCGTGTCTCAACGATAAACTAGTGATTTCGAGGCGTCGTATTTGCAAGGTTGAACAACAGTCACCAGAGACGTGTAGCTCCCACCGTTATGAAGCGTATCTTCACATTAACACCGCATTCCCCCAGATTATCACCCGCAACCTACAAGCAGGTTATCTTAGTCTTTTTTTAGTTGCGCATGGTGTTTCAAGAGATTGATGTTGTTAATGTTCAACATAGTTGACATTTAACGCAGGTTAGCACGCCGTTGTTTACATATATCGGATATACATATCTTGGGGGTGAGACATAGAAGATTGCAACTCACTCATACCAAAACCCATGTATCTCGGTCCAAGACTCCAAATTGGGTCGAAAAAATTTAGTGCTTATCCTGCTTATTGTCATGAGTCCATTGCGGAGACCGAGGATAGACCGTCGGGGCAAGTCATGCATGTCCTCAAATATTAATAAGCCTTGTTTCCGTGTTATAAGTATGTAAGCTGACTCAAGCTTTAACATCTTTGCGAGTTCCAAAGTATTAGCTTACTATAACGTATCATCAGTTTCCAAACTACACCCCGAGATCCCAAAAACCTCACCAAGATCCAACAACGGACCATTTCTCAAAATGGCATCTTCCCAGAGTAAAGATCTTCCCTCCTCCAAATACTTCTCTGCGTTCGCCGCCAACTACGTCCAACAAACTGGAAGAAGCACCCGTCGTGTCTTTGAGTCGTCTTTCGATGAAATTCATGCAATCAGACCTCTGAACAAGGAGTCTGTGGTTCACGATAATGCCGCTGGGCCTGGAATAGCCGCTTCGGTCATTATCGACAAGCTCTCGACTGAAGAAGTACCCAAGATTCTGGTGACGGATAACGTACCTCCTATGATACAGGCTGCCAAAGACTCGTTTGCTTCCTGGCCACAGATCGAAGCAAAGGTTCTGGACTCGCTCAACCTAGAGGGAGTCCCTAATGACCACTTCACCCACAGCATTCTCAACCTCAGCATCTTCACTCTTGCTGATCCGACCAAGGGCATCACTGAGATCTACCGTACGCTTAAACCTGACGGCCTTGCTGTCATTTCATGTTGGAAGCGCTTCGGTGTCGGGCAGCTCATCCATGCTGCACAAGCCATCGTCCGACCAGACCTTCCATCTCTGAAGCTCCCGCATCCCGAGTTTTTCAAAGAAGGAGTTTTGGAGAAGACAGTGGCCGAGGGAGGGTTTGACTCGTCTAAGTTCAAGCTATTGGAGAAGACAGTTGTTGTTAGTGGTCCTGAACTAGATGAGGGGCTGAAGTTGTTTATGCTCGGAGATCTGATGCGTCCTGCTCGTGCTGGATTTACGGAGGAGGAGGAGAAGAAATGGCCGGAGGCTGTGGACGAGGTGCTTAGGAAGGAGATTGAAGTTTATGGGGGAGTTGAATTTGAGAGTTGGGTTCTCCTTGTTCAGAAGTAGCTTAGCCAGTAGAGGTGGAGGAGATGACCGACGCGATATATAGCCAATGCTACAGCGTTAAGTTTCAAATTCTTAGTAGTTGTAGCAACATGCGTTTATTCTTAGTTTCAGATAGATTGTCAAAGTATTTTAGTAGCACATGATTCATACCGGGAAATATTTAGATTTAATTATAACTTATATCGTCAGGTGCTCACATTCTGACCAACACATACACATGAGATATTTTTGGGCATAGACAAGTTTGTCTATTTAATTCTCCAATGTTAGGAAACCTTGATCATGCAAATAGTGCCAGGGTAGGCTTTCTCGGCCGCATTCTCCTTCGCGACGACACATCGCTTGGTGCCAGCGTGGTAGGTAGAGGCAGTGGCGCCTGCGTCTCTAGCAAGCGCGGCGCACTCAATTGCAGAGTTGATGTTCTTGTGGGTGTCTCCGACTCGGAGCACGTCACACTTGTACTGGACGGTGTAATCAGGGCTGATCTCCTCACGAGCACCGTCGACACACTGGGCGTGGACCTGGGTGGCACCCAGGAGGGCGATCAGGATGGAAGCAGTTGAGGCCTTCATATTGAGTAGTAAGGGGAGAGAGAGACTCGGAGAGCGATGTATGGAAAAGAGAAGATAGTTGAGGTGGATGAGTGTTGACTGATGGCTGGGTGGTGAGGTTAATAAAATTGGTGGACCAAGGCATGACTTATATACCTTTTCTGAAGTCGTATCTAGCCGCGTTCTCTACTAATTCCGATAAATGAAGCCCTATTTGATTCTCCCTGCCGAATCCAGCCGTCTTAACGCATCATTCACTTGATCACAGCGGCCAAGTCTCATGGGAACCCTCGGCCGGCACGATCGATGACAACTTCAGTCCAACATTCCCAGACACCGTCGACCAATAGTTCTTTCGATCAAGGATTCTTCTTCCAAGACCTACGTCAACATTCTCAAGGATCCATTCCATGGTTCAGATGGCTCGATAACAATCCGTGACGTCGATCCCTCGTCAAGCTAGGCACTTCTTCTGGAGTTAGTTATCAGGGGGCTTCAGTGGCTGGGCACTTACGAGCCGCACTGGAGAATGTCTCAATGACTGACCGAAAACCCCTTTGCTGGCTTCCTTGCATAGACCTGGATGAGTTTCTGAAAACCTGTATCGGAGTATGGGAGAACTTGATTCAGCGCCACTATTGTGCAAATCCAAATCCCCACAGCGGCAGGATGTCATGTTATCACCTTGCAATGCCTTGTCATACTCCTTGATTTTAAGTGGAGTTGGAGAGATGCAGCTGTATCTCAAACGAACTCAGTCCGATTTCAGGAAATACGGATCAGGTGTCGTTGGGGACACTACGAGCGTGACTCCTCATACATCAGCATGAAAAGTCTGTAACACCTGAATGTTAGTCTGCGGGACCTACGGAGTAACTGATTACTAGATAGATAGTCGAACCGACCCATGTCCCGTGTTTAGTTAGTTATATTGCTGGTATCCACTCGATCTGAGACAGACCAGGCCGCTGATATAGAATCGGAATGAGTTTTGCTTTTGTATCCCGTGCATTTCGCGTCCAATACCTCTGGTTGGCTACAAGATACAAAGCGAAGTCAGAACCACCAGCTGACAGATCAACTCAGCCCCGAGTCGGCAATCGTAGTTGTGGCGATCCGTCCCGACCCGCCAGTAAGTCATAGGTTGAAAACCACCCGTCGCATGCCAACCAAAGCCTATACTGTCTCACCTCGGCATCGAGAATAAGTACGACCCCTCCACCCAGTGAAACAGCGCTGGGGAGAAGTATCTCGGCTCGTTTACTAACATATCAAGTCAAGCATACTAAACTCAAGATATACGAGCTAAGACACGGAAAACCAGCTCCTTGACAGGCATGTCTCAGCACAGCTACGATATATCGTCAGTCTATTACCATTTTGAGGTATACCAACCCTGCGTAATTATGGAGAGTACCTAAAAGCAGCTTTACGTATCAACGCCGAACCCAAGGGATTGTGGCGGTCAGTTCATGACAGGGCCAATCCATGTTATTATGCTGTCCCAAGTGTAAATGTTGCCTCATCTCCCTGGAAGGGACTACATAAATTCGCTGATATGATTAGCCGAGCTACGCAAACTGGTACTCGCCTGTTCAGCAGGGGAGTTTCTTATACCCTGAATTAACAAAGTGATGTACTTGATTCTCGAGAAACACAGTCATATTCATAATGAAGCACTTTCACTACATTGACAATACCCAAGATTGTTGATGTATCTAAACCTCCCACTAACAGATAAGTGAAGGTTGACTCCCAGAAACCTAAATTCAAACGTGAGGTTCCAGAACTTGCTTAGTGTGGTCCACAACCTTCTTCTGTGCATTCTCCCGAAGTGAAGGCATAGCCTTTGAATTTGGCGTACACTCACACTTATAGTTAACAAGAAACAACCCATTTTCCTGTTTTCCATGCGAGTTGACTCCCGCCTTCTCCACCCATTGTGTCCCACGGCCGCCAAAAGCAGCACTGGTGCTTTGGAACAAATGCCTCTGTCCAGATTCCTCGTCACTGTACGAGAAAATAGCGATCAACGGTTCGAGGAAGAACCATATGACCCAAGCCAAGATTGAACCAGAGTCTAGGCCCCTCCTAACATTGCCTGTGTTGACCCAGCCAGGCCAGGAATGAACGAAGGTGACCTCGGGGTTTTGGTCTGCAAGTGTTTCTAGAAATAGAGTGTTCATGGCTGTGTACTGTAGCTGGGCTTTCATGAAGTTGAAATTTCCTGGCTTCTCAAGATCGATATCGTCCGTTTCGATAGTTGGTCTTTCCAATCCTCCGCCCAAAACACTAACGACCCTAGGGGCTTCGGCCCCATTGAGCAGAGGAAGCAGATGTAGAACAAAAAGTATTCGTGAGTAGTAACTCAGGCTTTGAGAGATTTCCAACACCTCAGAAGTCTCTCTTCGTGAAGTGAAAGGGGCATAGCCCGTAGTGAGGAAAAGCAGATCGACATGACGCTCTTTGGCTTTGACAATCTCGCAAACTCTCTTTGTTTCTGCAAGAAGTGAAACTTCACCTTCAACCCAGACGATGTCAGCATTGGGATTGATAGCGTGCAACTCTTGGATAAAGGTCTCGGTACGTTGCTGCGAACTCTTTCGTCCGATCAGATAAAGTTTCAAGTTGGTGCCGGCAGCGACCAAAGCTTCAACTGTGGCTTCTCCAATGCCTGATGTACCGCCGACAAAGACGGCGATGCGCGGGGCCGTGGCTTCGTTGATGAGGGCGTTGGAGACTTTTATGTCTTTGTATTTGACCATTGTGAAGCTATACCAAATGCTGCAAAGTAAAAGGAGGGCGATTGCAGAGTGTGGTTTGAAAATTTCTGTTGGGTTGCGAATTGTGTTGATTAAATATGGCGCGGCCTGAACTAACATGCGGAACGGGAGTCAGAATGTATACCGAAGGCCGTGGTCTAGGCTCCCTGCTTACTTCGTCATGGTGCCAGACGTTGTCGAACACGCAAACCTATAGCGGCCTACTATAAGAGACATATTCTAATATGTCTCTTGTGATGCGATAGTATATACGCGAAAAAGAAATGATACTGTATTTACACCTATCAAGTTGTTGGCCCATTGCCATCCAAGCTACGGGGTACGGTAGACAACTGCATCTATTGGCCGTATGGTATGAATAGGTAGTAAGCTTGAATACAACCGCGACTACAGTAATAACACAATATTGATTGAATTGGCCCCCAAAATTACTCTCTATTATCTAACTCGGCCTCATCACCTGACAGATGGATCCCTCGCACTCCGTTCTCGGGGACCTGCTAGAATCATGGCTTCTATCAAAATGTTGCTATTCTTAAACAAGAGCATTGTAGCGGACTTTAGGCACTCTCATAGGCTGTCAGCCTTGACAGCGTTCCGCAGCACACCCTTTTCATTCGCTGATCGTTGCTAAGCCTTGGCTCGCTTTTCGTGATTGGCGATTGGCGACTAGTCCGCTCGAGTCGGAACATTGAGCGAGCTAAGCCACGACTAACAGCTGTACTGCGCGGCTCATTACGTCGATCACTTCACAAGACAACAATTTTATATAGGTAACGGTAGTTAATTGTTATATAAGAAGAACGTTTCGCCCAGCCAAGAGTTGAATAGATCAAGACACATCATTCATCTGCACTTTATCATAAATCTCCCTTCTCAACTATCAGAGTTGTACTCAAAATCTCCAGAATCTTCAACTACATTCACAAATATGTCGCTTGTCATGAACCACATCAAGAGCTTTTTCTCAGGAAGCTCATCATCCCGGCCCAACTCGTCTGGGTCTGAAAAGAGCACCAACTCTTATCAGCTACACACATCTCACAATGATTCTACACCCCCGCCATCATACTCCCCAGAACCAACTTGTGGTCAGCAACCACCCAAGCCGTTCGTTCTAGAATTCCAACGACCAGCGCAACAAGGGTACCGCGTTGCTCGTCCAGAAGGCAGAAATGGCCAACAGTTTCTATACCGTCCCACTTGAGGGATATTGTTGCTGCCAAGAAACACTATCCCAGTTGTAACAACTGCAGACACAAATTTCAAACAAGACGTTCTTTTCAAATACCCTTAAAGCTGGGGAACAGCTCACTGCGAACCTCAAATTGATTTAAGCGCTTACATATCGGCCGGGAAGTGGGCACAAGGAGGGGAAATCTTGAAACCGGAAGGAACAGTCAATCTCGTTTCATGAGCATGATCGTCATATATCCTGACCAGATAAGGACCGTTTTATAGGGCTGCTGCGTTATATAGAGGGGGGCATACGTCAGCAAACAGGGCTGATAGTTTTAAGTTGACTCAATTGTATACTCAAATCTACCTACGGATAATAACTGACCCTCCACTTTAAAAAAAACGGTTCTCTGTGTAAACTGAGTTTCTGCTTGGCCCATGAACCAACGTCACGTGAAAGGACCCTGCCCCTGAAGCGGCTGCGCTAACACAAGTTTTGGGGGTCTAACTCCGCTATAACTAGCACAACGTCGATTCCCCTGGGGCTAGAGGCAAACTTGAGGTTAGTCCGTCGAACTATTGATACTGAAAAATACTTATTTTGCACCGGTTATCGCACTATTTAAGGAGTATCGATAGAGTGGCTTGCTGAATGCGACCCTGGGCTCACTTCCACACTTTCTTGCAAATTTAAGAAAATAAGCTAAACCCCGGTCTGCCAATCACTCCCCAGTGTCAGACGCTCCATAACATCCTCTGGGCAGCCTTGAAGGATTCGAACTACAATCTGACCGTCTGACGAGATCCGAGCTAAAGAAAAAGCTGAAATATTAAGTGGGGGTTCTTGTACGCCTTACCCCTTACTATCGATTCTTATCCCTTAGCACGGACGAACTGACCCTCCTTTACCGATTTACCTTATCACTGCTTACCTATTTGTACCTGCTGATGACCCTTAACAACGGGCATGGCTAAGACTCCTCCCTGATCTCGTCTCCCTGGTTTGTCTCTTCAATCGCTCGTTTTTGCGTCCCCCGGACTTTCTTCACGCTCGTTATGGGTATCGCTATCATGTCAGAGAAGTCATCGCCATTTCGCCGACCGGCTGCCCTGGCTGTCGGCGTTCTTGTCTTCTTTATCCTCTTCGAGACTTATTATTTATACTCTAATGCAGTAGGTTTCCTCTCTTTTTGGGCCTGGGCTCGTTAGGTACTGACCTATTACAGTGGACACCTACACATGGGTTGTCGTCCGAATCCGTAACGAAAACGACCGGGGCAGCATCACCTGTCAGTGCGCCCAAGAAGAAGCCCGTCAAGACGTCACAGCTTCACTTCCTGCTGCCCGCCTCGAACCCGAATGATATGTTCTGCGCCATCGTCACTTCCGCCCTCGTCAATCGATACCCCGCCCCTTATATGATCGGATGGAAGGGAGAGGGCAAATACAACGCATCTGCTGCCCACACTGCAAAGCTGTACTCTATCAAGAAGTATCTCGATGAGCTTCCTCAGGGCGGTGCCGACGACGACCTGGTTTTCTTCGGCGATGGCTACGATGTTCTGGCTCAGCTGCCGGTTGAGGTTGTGATTGAGCGCTACTTCAAGGTCGCTGCCGAAGCGGACCAGCGTCTTGCTGACCGTTTCGGCATCTCTGTTGAGGAAGCTCATAAGCGTGGATTGAAGCAGACTCTGTTCTGGGGTGCTGATAAGATGTGCTGGCCGGCGCTCAATGAGGCACAATGCACCAAGATCCCCGGATCGCACTTGTCGCGCAACGTCTACGGACCCAAGACGGGTAACGGTGATGTTACGTATCGCGATGCCAAGTACTTCAATTCGGGAAGTGTCATCGGACCTCTCGGCGATTTGCGCAACTTCGTCAATGCTGGCATCGAGAGCATGGAGAACACTTTCGATCCCAACTTCAAATACAAGACGTCCGACCAGATCTACCTCGCCAGATTGTACGCACGCCAGGAGCTCTCCCGCGCCGAGCAGATTGAGGATGAATACATGGACGTTGCCAGCACTAGCGGTAACGGCACTGTCGCCAAGGAAATCGCAGAGTACCACGTTGCCATCGACTACGAGTCGGAATTTGTGCAGACCGGGTGCTTCTCCCACAAGTGGATGGAGAACCTAAAATACAACAACTCGGATAACACGGCCACCATGTCCAAGGACCTGTTCGATCAGGGCAAACACTTCAAGCCCTACCCCATGCAGATGCCCAACAACGTGTACCGATCTCTCCTCAAGGTCTTCAAGTCCATTTCTGAGGAGCTTCCCCCCACGTCCGCCCGCGACTGGATCGGCAGCCTAGCCCTCAACACCAACGTCGCAACACGCAACATCTTCGGCTTCTACCACGCCACCTGCAGCAAGCGAAACCTGGTCGGCGACTTCAAAAAGTACTGGTTCCACCCTTACGCGGTGCCACTGCTCCAAGCGGGCTATCTCGCCACCAAGAAGAATGCGCCCATCACGGAGAAGCTCATTGATGGCCGCAAGTGGGTTTACAAGTCAGTGTACCCCGACACAGGGTCGCCTCAGGATCGACTCGGCGGTGTCTTGACAGATTTCAAGAACGAGACATATATTTCCTTTTCAGAGCTATGTGAAGATCATTTAGAAGTTCTTGAGATTCGATGATAGATTTTGGTATAATTGTAATGAGGTTGGGTAACGGAGTCAAGGTGTATTGGTACAACGGTATGGGATGGGACAAAGTGATTTAACTGGTGTATAACTACAAACATGGCTTCAATGTTTACCTTTACGTACTTTTTCTAATGGTACTTCAGTAGGGAATTACCCTATAATTCTTCATGTTACTCTAGCAAATCCACCGTGACGAGATCTGTAGTTGCAATCATGATGGCAGACTGCAACCCACTCATGATCAGGTCGTACAAAGCCGGGGTCCCCAGCACGTAGAGTTCTAGAACAGGACAACTGCAACCAACCGGACGTCATTAACCCACCAGATTCGCGAATACATGGCGGGGATTATTAATACGCAAGCATGAATGTAACTGTAACTATGAATATGCCCTGTCTATATCCGACACCTCTAACATCCATCTGAGCTTTGACGTTGTTACAACACTTAGTCTAAACTCTCTGCCACATCACAGATGACATGTTCTAATAGCAAAGCTTGATTAATAAGTAGAAACTATGGCTGCTTATGTCCTGGACTAGTTCAGGTTGAAGAGGGTAACTATTGAAGCGGAGGCCGGAAGTTGCATCAGTCGAAGCGGACAGAGACCGCTTGTCCGCTTTTGTCCGCTCCAGCCTCCGCTCTGATATCCGCTCTAATATCCGCTTCACTACAACTCAAAGCGAGACATGTCAACAAGATAAACCATAATAATTTACTGCGTGTACATTCATTGGACGACATCAATTTACAAGCGGCACGATTATGAAGCACAAGTCAACGTCTCAATATTTTGTATTTGGCCTATCTACGAGACAAGCCAATGATGATGATAAGTTGTCCGTTCAGTGTGGTTTAAAGCTATGGAGTGCACCACTAAACTATTCATCCTTCATCAAAGCACCCATCTGCTGCAATTCGGCCACCAGGTCTCTCGGCTCCTCCGTGTTTGTCACGATTTTGACTTTCTTCACCCTGCTATCGCACCTCCACCCCCACGCCCCGTAGATGTCAATCAGGGCGCTGTTTAGGGGAGACCAGGACTTTACAAGGTCGCTGGAGAACTCATGGGTATAAACAGTCTTCTTAGCATCGAAAATGGGGGTATCTTCAGTAGGCATTGTGATGATTCTTTCTTTGTCAGGTGATGTGATTGTTGTTGTGTTTTGTTGGATGTCGAATGGAATGACGGTGGTAGACCGATGCACTTATATGCGCCCTTTGAGTGTGAAACTGTCGTTGAATCACCCATGAAGGAGTATACTATTCACTACTCAGAGGAAGATGTCAATGCTACCAACTGCATACGGCGACAGTGACCACGCCTCACCCTCACTTACAGTTCCGTGTTTAAGCACTGCCAGTTGATCACCGCAACCACTTCCTGCCAGACAAACGATATAAACCCATCGCTCATGTATTCACGAAAACCAAACGGTGGCATCGGTGTATAATTCCTCCGTAAAGGAACGTGACAATAGCCACGATAATTAAGCTGGGCTTATTACGCCGACTCCGAATCCGATCTATTCCCGCCTGCAACACCGGCCGGAGCGGACATTTATGGAGACGAGCGGCCTCTACGACATGATGGCAACATCAACGATCAAAGGCATCGAGAGGATTGGCCTTTCTGCTGATAAAGCATGAAAGTACAAATGAGACTCAAGTTGATCCTTCGTAGATGTACGTAGTAGTGATCCTCCAAATATATGTATATAAGGCCGTCTTTTCTCGACTTACACTGCATCTATCTATCAGTCACACCAGTCACACAAACTAAACCACCAACTACTCACTATACACTACCCTCGATCAACTTCATATAATGTCTTCAACCAAGCTCATTGTCATTCTTGGCGCCACCGGCAACCAAGGTGGTTCCGTCGCCAAGTCCTTCCTCTCCGAACCAGGCTGGAAAATCCGCGCCATCACACGCAATCCCACCAGCCCCAAGGCCCAAGCCCTCTCCTCCCAGGGCGTAGAAGTAGTCAAAGCAGACCTTGATGACCCCCCTACCCTAACTGAAGCCTTTGAGGGCGCTCACGCTATTTTCGTGGTCAGTGACTTCTGGGCCTTGTACTACGATCAATCCAACAGATCCAAGACCAAGCCTGGCCAGGCACTCAATGAATGGGCTGCAGAGCATGAGGAACAGCAGCTCAAAAACGCCATTGATGCTGCTTCCAAGGTCCCCACGCTTGAGCGCTTCATCCTCTCGTCTTTGTCCAATGCGGAAAAGTGGTCCAAGGGCAAGTATACCCGCGTCTACCACTTCGACGGCAAGGCTCGTGCAGCAGAGTTTATCCCAAAAGCGCACCCTGATCTCTGGACCAAAACGAGTATCTTTCAGGCAGGCCTATTTTTGAGTAACTTCACCATCTTGCCTCTGAACCAACCCTATAAGGTGAGTCCAGCATCGTGTTATCAAGACCCAGACTAACATCAGTAACCAGGATGCCGACGGTGTTGCCCAATTCACCACAGCTCTGAACCCCGAAACCAAGTTTCCCTTCATAGCCGCCGAGGAAGACTCTGGTCCGCTTGTCAAGGCTCTCATCACCCAGGAGCCTGTAGGACACAACCTCATTGGCTATAGAGAGTGGCTATCTCATAACGAGATCGCAGCAGCGTTCACGAAGGCCACTGGTATCAAGTCAGCGATCGTCAAATCGGACGGGACCCTCCCCCCTGGCTTGCCTGAGGACCTCGTGGGTGAAATGCTTGACTGTTTTGGCTACTTCAACGAGTTTGGCTATGAGGGCCGAGACGATCCCACTGTTGTTCATCCTCGTGACGTAAGTGTGCAATAATCTTCTTGGCAAACGAGTGCTAATACGTGGTGGCAGTTGAAGTTGGCAGTTGGACTAGAGACAGTGGAGGATTACTTCAAGAAACAGGACTGGACTCAGGTGTTCGGGTCCTGAGAAGAGCAATCAGATGAGGGTGGTATATGGCACAGGAGTACCTATGGCCGAGGGTGCCTAAAGATACATTTGTACTGCAACTGTTTACTTTTCATCATCACAACGTCTAGTTATCTATGGGATACTTTGTTGTACCAGGTGTGGATTCCTATCGTGTACTAGTTTAACCTGGCTGTCCGTCTTTTTCTTGCAACCCCTTTACCAACCAAGAATGCGCAGATATCTCTGCCCAAAGAAACGAAGTCACACCTTACAACAGACCCTAGTATCCGATATGCGACATAAGAACAAGTGATCAATCTCTAGCAGCATATCACTTCATCTCCCCTTTGGCGCAATCGCTTCCCGTCTCGTAGTGCAATCCACCATTGTCGGCTGGAAGTAGCTCCTCCTATATAGCTAGCTTCAACAACTTGTCGTATCGTGGTGTTCCCCAGCCTGAAGCAGGATCCCACCCCTTGACAGCATCCCAGCCAGCGTTGGGGATCTTAGGCGAAGGCAAACCCTCCCTGCTAACCCCAAAACAACCTCCGCTCTTTCCGTCCACGATACTAAATATGGTTGGTAAGAGACTAATGACAGGGTTTTAGTTTGAGAAGTACTTACTCTGTGAATCCTGCATAGCCCTTGCTGTAGAGCCAAGGGTTGAGAAATCCCATCGCAGGTTTTCCCTTCTTGAATCTCTCATTATTGAGGAGGGCAATAACAGCGCCAAATGCAGGAGTTGCTGCGCTATGGTGGCTTGTTAGTCCATCGTGTTCATTGATAGTCTCATTCGACTTACCTTGTCCCTCCCCCGCGTATCTGTTGGCCACGAACCATCACCGGCTGGCCGTCCGCAAAAGCTGAAACATCTGGGTATGCTCTCCCGTTCTGGTTGAAGTAAGGCTTCCATTTCTTGCCGTATTTCTTCAAATAGTCCTTCACAATCTTGTCTTGGTACTGTGGGCGTGCGAAGCCATCTGAAAAGCCGCCGCCGCCAGATAATTCTTCTTCGGGGTCATTCCAAACTGTCTCCGGGGTGTTGCTCATCGTTCCACCGACAGATGTCACGTATGGACAAACACTAGGCCATGCCGGTGTGAATTTGGTTGTATTCTTTCCATCGTTTGACTGGCATGCAGCACCTGTACCATCATTGAGAGATGATACCAAAATCGAAACACCACGCGTGCCAATCTGTCCAAACTTGTTACAGACCTGGCGGGCATATTGCTTGGGTATATGTTGCTCCCTTTCACCGTATGAGATTGAAAAGACTTGAGGGAGCTTCTTATCAGGAAGATTTAAGATATACTCCGCAAGTCCAAGCCAGTTCTCAATAGCTCGGAGATTGTCGCCTGGCACCTTTTGTAAACTTTGAGTTTCAGTTAATAGTGTTTACGAATTCCGCGATAGACAACAACTCACTCAAGGTCAGGAATGAAGTCGTAATTAAAGCCCCCAACAGTTAGATGTTGTACTGGGACTCCGTGAGCCAAAGAGATAGCCTGCTGAGTATTCAGGTTCCCTTCACTTTCGGGAACATTATCACCTTGCGGATTAGTTCCTCCAGCGGCAGAGGCATTAGAAAACACAACGCCCTCAAGCTTGGGACCGAAGCGACGAAAGAACTCCTGTAGCTCGTCGACTTGCGAGGTCATCTAAGAAAAGGATCAACTCGGAGTTCATGCGTTCGTAAAAAGAGGGATCTTACGTTGTTGAAGCTGACAATCGTATACAAAGAACCCTTCGCAGCCTTCGAGTAATCTTTTGGCATCTTGTAAATCTCCTTAATGCAGGCAGGTGTAAGCTCATTCTTACACTTCTTCAGATTGATTGGTCCAGGGCCACCATTGTTGCCATCTTTGGGTGATTTCGGCTTCTTGTCGTATTCTACGCCTCGCTTCACAATTTCGGATGCAGGCTCTTGGATACCCCGAGCTTTATGAAGGGCAGGAAAGAATGTGGTAGGTTGAATCGATGCAATGTGATGGCGGATCTCGAGGGGAACAGAGTATTCTCTGGTTCTCAAAATACGTTCATCATCGCGAGCGTAGACAGAGAAGCGAGTGCTCAACATGCCTTCGGCCTTGCTGACGGTGGTCCGTACATGAAGCCACTCTCCTTCGTCACGTACATGATGTTCAGGTACTCCAGCATCAGAGAGCCAGCGCTTGACGGATTCGGTGGCCTTGCGAGAAGGGCTGAGTAGAGCTTTGGCGGATTCTCGAGAAAGAAATTTGCCGTATGTAGCCTGGTCAGGGTCGGAGACTTCGTAGATGATGCGATCAAGAAGTTGACTATCCTCAGGCTCAAGGCCAATCGAGAAGTCAACAAGCTTTTCGGGGTCAGGAGAACCGGATTCCTCCCAGTCGGCGGGTGTTTCACTCAGTGACTCAACCACGACTGGAACGGCCAGCACAGAAGTGACACTGAGGATTATGCCCCAAAGCTTGAGGTGATTACTCGCCAACATGGCGATAGAGACTGGGCTTTCAAAGAGAGAAGGATGTGTGCAGTTCGGAGGGCTTCTCTTCAAGTTGCGGTTGAGAGCTTGCTGATGTTGTGGAATATAGCCGGGGATTGATCGTCTTTATATTCGATTTGAGACAATATTTCGACATCAAACAAGAAGATGTTGATTCAATACCCCTACCTCTATGCGACCATGCTGGTGTTGTGGCTATCCTTCTTCCCTAACTGGGAGGCGGGCGTTGTAGAACAATACTAAGCCCCTTCATATTGTTCATCACACCTTCCAACCAACACACCAACACCATCTCCCCTTTGCGCGGGCCCCTGCGTCACTCCTTCCCAGTCGGGCGGCAGGTTACGGGAGGGCCCCTAGGTTGTCTTCTTCACGGGGCACATCATTTGCTAGATGAGGATTCATTGTGCCTGTGGCGTTGACTACAGGTTATCCCTAGCTATGGCCCTGGTGAACCCGTCTTTCTAGAAGAGCGGCAGAAGGTAATAGTGAAGACAAACATGCGCGCGACATTCAGGTGCGACAAGGAATAAGGCACACATGTTGGACAAAGGCTGAGATTGCAACTGCCATCGCAGGATCACCAAGTTGGGTTTCAGAAACTTCAGGGCTGTTCCTTCAATTCTGCGATATGTGATGGAACTCTGGCGTCTGCGATGTCCCTCATTCCGTCCTTGCATGAGGCGCTCATAAAGGTAAACTGTGCTGTGCCTTGCGTCTCTCCTTGCGTTGTTTTGGTGGATCTACTTGACCAGTTGATGGCGAGGCTTGACCTGTGACTCGTATCGACTGGTCTCTTCCAGGCTGTAGAAGATCACCAGCTGACCCATGTTCCTGCTGTTGGTTTCTGGACTCGATAGCTGCTTGCTAGGGCAGCTTGGCGATGGGCTGGGACTGAGAGGATGCGTGCATGCATGCGTCGAAGCCAAGCCATTGACTGTGAGCAGAGGCCAATGGTGTTGACAATATATTGGAATGTGCCATGGTTCATCATGCTTAGAGCCAACAGGTGTTTCAAACAAAAGATCTCCGTTGGCCGCACCGGGAGTCTTGGTGACGATCTATCGGAAATATGCATCAGATATGTGATGATGGCATCCGATTCTGGACGCTATTAGTGAGACTCAATATGCATATATCGCACCAACCGATTTTATCGCAACGCTTCCCTAGAACAGTCGCAGGGTTTGTCAGTTGTCGACCAACACTCATTTGAACTTACGGCTTGCGATAAAGGTTGACTACCGATGGGAGGAACTCGGAGCACGATTAGACTTTTGGTACAGGCAACATTGGCGAATCCTGCCCATCAATTTGAATCGTCATATTCGCGAGGAAATATTGGTGAGAAATTTTGAACCTGTGTTACCAACCCAAGCTGTGATTTACCTAGGGTATCTACATATCGTTTATGCCTTGCAAAGTTGTGCAACCATAGCACTCGTATTGCGATGTGGAAGACATTTTTGGCAAACTCAAAAGAGCACTTCAACAGATTTTCTTCATAGGAAAAGCGTGGGTTTCGAGAAATTATGTTGCTTCCCCAGGTGGCTGCTTGCTTGTTAAGTTGCTCACTGGATTGCTTCCACTATAATGAAGGCAACTAACCTGCACGAAGCTTACAACCTCAGGCCTTCAGACGAAGCTTCTCTCTTGCTGTGCTCCTGCCCACAGGGTGGACCGCCTCTCGCTTGCAGCAGGCAGCACTCGCAGCCTCACCAAGTTCTCAATTTTGATTGGCCCACATTCTGCCGCGCACACGATCACTCGGCTGCTCACCGCCTTCAGAGCCACTATATAATCTCGTCAACCCTCTCCAAGCTTCGCTTTTCCCTTTCCTTTTCTCCTTAGCTCTCTTTGCCTTTTGGCTTAGATCAAGTGTAGTATCTGTTCTTTTCAGTTTAATCTCTGAAAGGTCTCTAAGGAGACCAACATTGATTATTCCTATTTTTGGTTTGAGGGTGATTTCCTCTGTGCTTGCACATGATTTCGCCCACTGTGTCCCTGGTATTACACTGCCTCCAGGTGACGCGAATCAAACTTTTGAGCTCGTTTTTCATTGCTTGCTTGGGCTTGCCCGGGTAGTGAAGAAGAACTCCTTGTATCGTGAAAGACGCTTTTGAAGTGTGAGATGTGTGCTATGTAGTAGATAGACAAATAATGAGAAACGCATCTCTCATCACGAGGGTGCATTTCCCTCCAACGTAGATCCCTTCACTTTAAACTCTTATTGACCTCGTGCTGGGCAAAATCACACCCGTCATCTAAACAAACCACCCTAGCGTAAACCACCATCTTCCCCAGAGCCTCATCCGCAGAGCCTCACCCCTCCATCCATCCTCTTTCAACCCGACCATAATGTCTTCTGAAACCCCCCTCCTCGACCCTGCCATCTTCTCCCACCTGCAGGAGAAGATCGATGAAGAGGCCACTGTCCGTGATAACCTCACGCAGATAATTCAGCGTCTGGAGCGCGCCGCCGCCACCGCTCAAGGTCTTCTTTCTCGCGTGCACTCTACTCCCCGCGCTCGCTGTCAGTTTTTTTTTCTTCCTACCTGGTCGTGATATGATGCATAAAAGCTGACGTATTTATTTGACTACAGATCCTGCGCTGGTTTCTCAGGTTGAGGATGCTATCAAAGAAGAGGTCGCTATCGTGAAGGAGCTCAGCGAGGTTGCTAGCCAGCACCCATACTACAAGTAAGATTTCACAGCCGGGCCCAAACAAGCACCGAATTCTGACTCTATGACATAGATACAACTTCAAGTGGGCGAGAACTGTCCAAAATGCCATCGGTACCGCCATCTACGCTGCCTGGCTCGGCGGTCTAGGCTCCGACTCACAGCCCGCCTCTCTGGGCCGTCTCCTCACTCTCGAGCAAGTCGGTGACGTTTTCCAGGGTATGTTTTCTCATTTCTTCCACACCCAAACCTTCAATCTAACATTAACAGTCCCTACAAACCTGAAGGACCGTGACGCCTTCCACTTCACCATCGAGGAATATCTCCTCTCCCTAACAGACCTAACCAACGAGATTGCCCGCCTGGCCCCCAACGCTGTGACCCTCGGTGATTTTGAGCTTCCTCTCGTTATCAGCGGGTTCCTCAAAGATCTCTTTGCCGGGTTCCAGCTCCTTAACCTCAAGAACGACATCCTTCGCAAGCGAGCCGATGCCGTCAAGTATGACGTCAAGAGAGTTGAAGATGTTGTTTACGATTTGAGCCTGCGCGGACTAGTCAAGAGGGCCGGCGAGGGTGATACGGAGATGGCTGCTGCCGAGTAAATTGATCATCAAGTAGAGCATCCCAGATTCAAAAAATGGCAGGTCAGCAGATAGTTAGGCCCATTTGCTATGTAGAAGCATATAAAAAGTTCATTGCTTAACATCTCACTCGAAGTCGGATATGGTTGGATATATAGTGATTTATTTAATTGTTTATGCGATGGAGCAGATGGCACCACCGGTACTTTAGGAAAATGTTCCAAGGTCTGGATCCCCATATTGACAATAGTCAATGCGAGTTTTGTTTACGATAGAAATACACCATGCTCCGTCCCACTGCTTAACTCCAGGTAAGATGTAATATATGGGCCAGCGTCTTGCATAGAGTTCCCTCTTAGTCATGTCTAAATGTACACTTATCTCCTCTGGCACACTTGCCTTGCTGCCAGAAGGTACAGGGCTTGGTACCAATAAGTGCCTTGTTCGCAGGCTTGTGAGGTGGGAGAGTGCCTCTCTTTTTCCGCGCGTCTTTATTATCACGGTCTCCTCTTCCTCCGTGATGATGATCCTCGCGGTCACGGTCATTTCGGTCCCAGTCCCTTTCTCGTCCGAACTGACTCTCTCGGTCCCATTCTCGCTCTCCTGCTGGTGGGGGTGGGGGTGGTGGAGGAGCTTGCTGACCCTGAGTCATTTGGCTGAGCAGCATGTACTGTTGGTATGACGGGTCATTGGGGTTAAGATAAGGGGCTGCATTCGAGGCTGCACCTGGTGCTGGTGCTGGAGCCGGCGAAGGTTGGTTAATGGCAGCCAAGATAGACTGCAGTTGGTTATCAGCAATGTGCGGCTGCTGAGTAGGCGTAGATGTAGGCGCAACGCTCGCCGCAGGCTGGGCTGGTTGCTGTCCACCTGTCATCTGCTGTAGCAGAGCCATGTAAGGGGCATATGCCTGTTGTTGAGCGTAGTAAGCTGCCCAGTCCTGGGGATTGGCGGGAGCTTGGCCAGACGAAGCACCCAGCGCCGCGGCCTGCAGGGCGTTGGCCTCTACTTCTGCTCGCGCACGTTCTTCATCTTGCTTCTTTTGTCGAGCAGTCAGTTCTTTGTTATAACCCATTTGCCACTCGCGGACTTTCTCGTGGTCATGCAGAATCCATTCTGGAGGCGAGTTGGCGGGAAACGGCAGACCTGCTAGAGATTTGGCCACTACTTCAATGGCACCCCCACAAAGACGTGTAGGTACATCAGTGTAATGGAAAGTGCGCCAAACGTCGCTCTTCACTGGATTGGGATCTTGCCAGTTCTTCGCCTTTTCAGACTGGAGTAATGCGATAGCCTGTTCCAAAATTGGACGCCCAGCGACGATAGGTAGAGTATCATTTGCAAGACTCATGTTATGATGTGAGCCAGAGGCGTGTTGATGAGAAGAGCGTGACACAGAAGGGGCGCCTCGTAGACTGCCAAGAATCGAATCCAGGCGGTTGCCTGGATGGTTTTTCCCTTCGATACGTTGCAGGGCTGCGTAGAGTGCTTGATCAGTACCCATTTGCTTTTCGTCCTGCCATCGAAGCTTGATTTCTTGGAACTTGGCATCGTCTGGTAGGTATTGGGTCTTTTCTTGGCCGTCTTCAACTGTCTCAGGCGGAGGTGATTTAGGTGACGGAGGAATGTCGTCTGGGTCGGCGTAGATAGCCATGAGCTCTCGTTGTTCCCTATCAGCGATACGCTGCTGCTCGTCTGTCGTAAAGGTGACATTGCCGCCTCGCGTGACAAAGTTCTTATTTCGGACGTCTGTTGGAAGTCTGGAAAGGTCGATTTCAACTGGTCCCATCCAAGGCTGGTAGGGAACGTCGTCGTCGTCCTCTTCCTCCTCCTTGTTCGCACGTTGTTTCAGCACCATTCCTTCAGATCGGTCATCAGCAGCGTCTCGAATCATGTTCTGCTCTCTGCCCTCGTCCTCGGCATCTTCTTTATGGAAGATCTTAACCTGAACAAGCTCGCTCTCAGGCTTCCAGCTAACTCGAAGCTTACGGCGAGCCTCCTTACGAAGACGCTTAGCCTTCTCTTCGGGCGACTCTGAGGTTTCGGGGCCGATCGATTCCTTCGGGGCAACAGGAGACTCAGGTTTCGGGGCGTTGATAGAGTCAAGTAGTGAGGCGATGCCAGATAAGGCACTGGAGGCTGCGCTGGGAGCCGAAGGAGTAGTGGTAACGATTGTGCCATTTCGAGGTGCAGGTGGTTTCGCCTCTGTCCGCGGTGGTTTTGAATCCGCCTTTGTCTTATCATCACTGGTAACCTTGACTTCCGCCTTAGCCTCGGGCTTGGGTACGGATTTAACGACTGGTCTGGGTTTGCCAGGCAGAATAGAAGCAGCTGTTGCCTTTGCTGCGCTAGTCTTGGATGCTGATTGGAGTTGAATCTTAGGCTGTGCAAGTTTCCTGCTAAGAGCATTGCCGCTTGATTCTATCGCAATCTTCTTCACCGTTCGAGTATCGATCTCATCGTCTCGCCCACGTTTGGCAGAAACCTCCACCCCAGGTTTGGTTTTGGCTCTGCTTGACGCAGAAGTCCCGGTATATCCAGTACTTTTTTCAGGGTCATTAGATCTAAGCTTCCTGACCTTCGCTGCAATTTCTGATACAAGCCCTTTGATTTCGGCGTCTCCCTTGTCGGCGAACCTCTTCCTGACTGTCTCAAAGTTTGTTGTCTCAGCAATCCTCTTTGTCATTGGAAAGTGGGTAAACATTTCAAGGACAATCTTGGGTAACTTTCCCGAAAAGTCACTCGCTTTGATACACATAATCAATGCATTTACCAAGCTCAGGACGAGCTTCTGATGACCTCCAAGATTATCCAGAACCGCGTCATCAGCATGCTCGATGGTAGCATCCAAAGCTCGATAGAGTATTTGCTTTTTTAGCTCAAATTCTTGTCGTTCATTGGCATCAGGCTTCTTGTCCTTCACAGCTTGGTCAAGTTCCTGTTTGGCACGGTTCATCTCACCACGTAGTTTGATCAAATATTCCCCAGCCTGTTGAACACGACTTGCGATAAGGGCATTAGTCCGCGCAACAGGCTGTTCGACATGGACCATGCCAATAGCATCCCAGGCAGCCGCTTCAGCAGGATCTGTTGAGCGAGTGGCAGCGCGAATCTAGCCGATGTTAGAAAAGTAGCAGTGACGAGTGGCGAGAATTAACTTACTGGCTTACCGCCACGTTCCTCCTCTAATTCTTTTTTTGCCTTCTTCTCGGCTTTATTTTTCGAAGCTTCATCAGATTTGAGTTGCTCCTTGAAGGCATGTGGGTATTCTGTGTACTTCGGCCTCCGTTTACCCAGTCCCTTCATAGCACGGTCAAACTCATCCAGAAGTGCCTCGGACTCCATACGTCTTTCGTCTAGTCCACCTTTGTCAGGGGAAGGACGATACTGACTTGTGAAACGGCCCTGGACCTCACATGGAAGGCTGTAGCCGAGCTCTGGCACCATCTGTCTTCCGCTACGGGCTGGCTGGGCAACGAGAGGGGCAAGCTTATCATAGCTTTTGGGTGCGGGGAGCATGGTTGTTCCATCGTAGATCAAATGAGGGAGCCCCTTAATCGCGGGTTGCTTGGCTTGCACAGCTTTAGGTCGCTTGTTAAACTGGATAATCAACTGGGCTTCTTCAGGCGACGGGGTCGGGGCTGGTAGGCCATCGACTTCATCGACCTTCTTCACGGCAGGAGAGCCAACAGGCGAGTCCATATAGTTTGCCGCAGGCTCGGGAGTGGGAGTATCAGGAGCACTCTTAATCGCTCGCTTTCTTTTCTTGGCGGGCGGCTCATTGCTAACAGATTGAGAGATCCCGGCATCCAAACCAGTGGCCGGCTGCGACATAAGATATTGATTGTTAACAGCAGATGGTGACGACGCATTTCCAACGAAGTGGGATTGTTGATGTATCGGCTGCTGAAAGTTTTGTGCAGACAAAGGCTGCGAAGTTTGAGGGTAGGCAACGGGCTGCTTTGGGACGAACTGGGCCTGGGCGTGAGCCTGAGGAGGTTGTGATTGTTGAGGCGGATGTTGCTGCTGGTGTTGCTGCGGAGGAGGTTGTTGGCGCCCTTGTTGATGGGGCGGTTGGAAGTTCAGCTGATCATTTGATCGTGGTTGAGGAGTCTGGCCATTGGCTGGAGGAGAAAAGGCCGCTTGGTTGTATTGCTGTTGGTTCTGGACAGGAGATGGCTGAGGAGGACGGCTAAAATTGTGACCCGGTGCGAACTGTTGAGGAATTCCTTCAAACTGCTGGACCGGCGTGTGACTCTGCTGCCGAGCTGGCTGGGGTATCACATGGGGTTGAGAGTATTGCTGAATTGGAGACTCGAAAGAGGACTCGCTAGGTGGTGCCATAGAGTATGGGAAGTTTGAAGAGTGTGGGTGGCCTGAGAGCTGTCCAATGCCAGCAATAGCGCCATCTATGTTCATCTTTCCATGCTGAGCGTAGATGTCAGGATGAATACCAGTAAAATCTGTGTCCATCACATCCTGTGACGGCTGTGAAAATTGCTGGTTCATTGACAACGAATCATGACCTGGGTGATAGGCCGATTGGTCCTGTTGAGATCCATGTAGAGTACTGGAGAGGAACGAGTGGCCTTGGTCAGAGTCGAAGAAGTTTGATGGAGAGGGATCTTGAGCATTAATCTGAGAGTAAGCGGCTGGGTCGTTCACAGATTGCGACCAAGCCTGATGGGGGTCAAATTGACCATTCTGTCCAGGAAAAGCATAGCTGTTATGCCATTGGTGCTGGGTCTCATCGGCGCCATTTTGGCCACTGTTTGACCAAGACTGCATCGTGTCTTGACGGTCTGTAACTTAGTAGCGACAGCTGCTACGGCAGCAATACGACCACAAAGATCAATTAAATTGAACAGCTTTAAGAGCTAACGGACGATATTAGCAATCATCGCTCGCTATCTTTAAATGGATTGCGATAGCAAATGCGCAAACGAAGTATGGGAATGCAATCGCAACAGCGATGGGCAATGACAATGCAGAAGGATGTGGTTGAGCATTGGTAAAACGATGCAAGGTCTGGTAAGCTGTGGCTAGTTGTTGACGTAGCCTTTGGTGACAGCTACCAGTTATGTATCAGATGGGCAGGAAATAAGGTATCGACATACAGAATTAAGCTGGTAAGGAACCTTAAGCAAGCGCCTTTCTGTTAGAGGAGCACTGTCGGCTATCGCAGCTGCAGGCGGCCCACCATAAGAGAAAGTGAAAATACGCTAGTCGATAAGCGGACGAACTGACAAGGGTCTGGGTCTTAGAGAAAAGACGAGGTGACAAGGTGAATCTGTAGTCTAGAGCAAACAAAAACCATCAGCAAGGTCTGGAATAACAGTTATGAAAAAATCGTAAAAGTGGTGGTAAGTGAAAGGAGACAGTTAAGTAGAGAGCCATTTTTCAAAGACTATGGGTGTGAAGAGAGCGTTGGTACAGAGCATCCATTAACAGTAGATCGTCGGCCAGAAAAGGGTGTCTTGTCTTCCTGTTTGATCAATGGTTGGACAAAGACTTAGGTTGAGCGACAAAGAAACCTAGAAAATCGAATAAAAATAAGATAAACTCAGGAACCAGAATTAAACGCTGGCTTTGTCGCGACAACCTGAACCTTGGAGAAATAGAATTGCTGGGCTGGTTGTGGCATTCTGGAACGATTTCTTGTGGTGGAGCCACTGTTCCAAGGTTCCTTGAGATGCGTGAGCACCCGCATTTTAGTGTAGGTAGTGTAGTCCTTGGTGCTGGGCAGCTGGAGGTATCACCCAGCCCCCTGTACCAGGCAAGCAGCCTGACTGCTGCCCGCAACGTCGCAAGACCATGATCAACGGCCAGAACGCCCTTTTTTGACTGTCTGGATGCTCTTTTTATCACCAAAACACTCGCGTCGCGGCTTTTTAGGTGCGCGTGCGCATCTAGGTTGTAGATACTCAGATCTCGTCACCTGGACGTCTTGGTTACCCAGCCTCAGCTCTCTGCTCCTCGAAGACCGCGCTGAAGAGCTTTTATCTCCAAGCAGGTCTCCGCAACGCTCACCATCTTGCTTCTCGCAATTTAAATGCTGCAGAGAGTTCAAGTGGTTGCTTCCATTGTTATAGAGAATTCACAGATACAATGCTGCTGCTTTGATCCATACTGGCGTGGCGGTATGACCGAACCATGCAGGATGACGCGACAAAGGTAAAGAGGCTGATTGGTGCAGAGTGTAGAAGGGAATGGGGTCAAGTTTGGGCATACCCTCTGATTCAGGAAAGATTCCTTCGATACAAAAGCTTTGTCCGTCGATTTACCAAAAGGTGCAGAGAAATCCTATCCCGTCTGTATATTGCGCGAGTCGCGTGGTGTTTACAACATTATCGATCGAAGTGCGACCTGTTGGGTAGGCAGAAGACAGCACAAGGGCGACCCGTCAGTTCGCCAAATCGAGGCGTCGACGCAGGCGCAGATTGGGAGGATGAATACAAAAGAATCGAAATTGCGATAACAAGCGCCGCTATTAATTAAACGCAGTTGACCTGCTGAACGCGACGCACTGTAATGTCGCGATAGATGATGGGTGTTGATGAAGTGTCGTCGGATCGGAGAGAATGAAAAGAAGTCAGTCCCTGGGCGGCTTCGCAACTGGGAGAATGGAGCTGGCCCGACGTGTTTGCTATGTATGGCCCCGTATTTCAGGCAAAAACACTCTGTAATGGTGAGTTTGGCCGCATGGCTCCACAATTAGTACCTAGGTAGTCTCGAGCTGCCCCTTGGAAGTTAGAACCAGCGGGCCCAGCACCGTGGCACTTTCCATGCCCAATCGTATCGGCGCTTGTATCGGTCCGTGCTTCCAGCTTGCGCGCTGTCGGGGAGCTTTCCAACCAGCCTGGGTATTGGATCGTGGCCTCAAGCTGGCATCAATCGGTACAATTTCTTGTGTGGAAGATTGGCTTAAGAGTTTATACCTGAGTTTGTTTGAAAGAGTCAAGGTTTCTTCGTTTGATCTACCTTTCTCTGGTAGAGAAGCCCGCCGTCAAATAGTGTCCCTCTGCAACTCCTGGACCACATATACACATCCCACTATCACCAACTTGAGGTCTCAGAGGTCCGACGTCATCTGCCGTTATGGCGACCAAGGGAAACTCTCTGCGCGATCGCCAAATAGGTATGTAAGGTCCAGTGTCCAGGCGCCTTCGACCATTGTCTAACTCTTTTCCCAGCTTCGCTAAAAAAGATCCTCAATCTGAACGAGACCGTCGAATCGTCTGAAGCCGACGAAGCCCACGCCAACGGTTTACTTGCCCCTGTTGCGCCCATTCTCGACTCCGATGGAAACCCAATCTGGAAAGTCTTGGTCTTTGACGACCTTGGCCGAGATGTGATTAGCAGTGTGATGCGAGTCAGCGACTTGCGGTCAATGGGCGTAACGATGCACATGTAAGTCAACAAACATGGTGAAATAGAGCAACACTAACATCTACTGCGCAGGCATATTGGCGGCGCAAGGCACCCCATTCCTGACGTTCCCGTAATTTATCTCCTCGAACCGAATGCGCAAAACATACAGGCCATCACTTCCGACCTACAGAAGGGACTCTATACCCCCGCTTACATCAACTTCCTCTCCTCCCTCCCTCGTGTCCTCCTCGAAGACTTCGCTACACAGACAGCAACTGCTGGCACATCCGAACATATCGCCCAGCTGTTCGACCAATATTTGAACTTCATTGTCGCAGAGCCCGATTTGTTCAGCTTGGGAATGCAAAAGGAACACACATACTGGGCTCTAAACAGTGCAGCTACAAGCGATGAGGAGCTTGACCGGGTGGTTGACAAGATCGTGAGCGGACTCTTCAGTGTGGTTGCTACTATGGGTATGCTGGACATCTGCGTCGTTGGTTCGATCTGCTAATTCATTACACAGGAGTTATCCCTATTATTCGATGTCCCAAGGGCGCTGCAGCGGAAATGGTCGCTGCGCGACTCGACCGCAAGCTTCGAGATCATATCCTCAACTCTAAGGACAACCTCTTTTCAGGACCACGGCCAAATGCGTCATCCGGCACTCACTCATCCCGGCCTGTCCTTATTCTTCTCGACAGAAACATTGACTTGATACCCATGCTATCCCATTCTTGGACCTATCAGAGTCTGGTGCATGATGTCCTTAACATGAAACTTAACCGTATCACTATCGAAAGTCCTGCAGAGGAAGGAAACCCGGCAAAGGGACCGACGAAGAAAGGATATGATTTGACTACAAACGACTTTTTCTGGGCCAAGAATGCAGGCAGTCCCTTCCCTCAAGTGGCGGAAGACATTGATGCTGAATTGACCAAATACAAGGAGGACACGGCTGCGATTACGAAAAAGACTGGTGTTACGGATCTTGAGGACCTGCAGGCTGATACCAGCGCGAGTGCCCAGCATCTCAAAGCCGCGATCACATTACTCCCTGAAATGAGAGAGCGCAAGGGCATTCTTGACATGCATATGAACATCCTTGCAGCTTTATTAACAGGTATCAAGGACCGTCAACTTGACAACTACTTCCAACTGGAGGAGAATGTTGTGAAGCAAACCAAGGCGCAAATCATGGAGATTATCGAGGACAACAACAAGGGCACAGAACCTGTCGACAAGCTGCGACTATTCATTATCTGGTTCTTGAGCACCGAACAGGAAGTTAACCGACAAGAATTCGAAGGTTTTGAAAAGGCTCTCTCGGAAGCGGGCGCAGATGTGTCGTGTCTGCCTTATGTTCGACAGTAGGGCTCCAATTCCACACGTTAAATCGCTTTTGCTAACTTAAGTAGGGTCCGCGCAACTACCAAGATGACACAACTCACAACTATCAACAACACAGCCCAACCAGCTCAGTCCTCAGATCTCTTTGGGCGGTTCTCTTCAATGTCGTCGCGTCTCACTGACCGTCTCAAAGAGTCAGGAGTTCCTACCGGTCTGTCATCCAACTTTGAGAGTCTCATTAGTGGTGTAAAGAACTTTCTTCCTGCCGATCGTGACTTTACTGTCACCAAGATCGTCGAATCGATAATGGATCCCTCTTCAGCATCATCTTCGGCAATTGCCAAGACAGAGCACTTCCTTTACTACGATCCTCGATCCGCCAACGCTCGAGGCACCATGCCTCCTCCCAGCGCCATGCGATCTGGCGGAGGAACAAACACACCTGGCGGTATGCCTGGGTCACAAGTACCTGGACAAACCGCCAGCTTTGGTCAGAGGCGGCAAGGCTTCAGCGAGGCAGTTGTTTTCACAGTGGGTGGCGGCAGCATGGACGAATACGGTAACCTGCAGGAGTGGGTGAGCCGAGCTGGAGGAGATAGGGTCAAGAAGAGAGTTGTTTATGGCAGTACCGAAATGGTCAATGCCGCGGATTTCATCAAGGAAGAACTGGACACATTAGGAAAGGAGGTGGCATCGTGATACTCGTAGGATGATCAATAGATTAATGGAATTTGTGGACTAGAACAATTGAAGAGAAGAATGAACGCAGCCTTGCGAGTCCAATTTCAGAGCTTTTTGAACAAACATTTGTAGTACAAAAGCTTATAGGTAAAGGTCCAAGAGAAAAGACTCTGAATCACTACTATCCTATTGACAATCGTGCTCGGAAGATATTTGGACCGGTCTAATCCCTAATCTGGGGCAACAGCAGGGCGGGAGGTACCTGAGCTACTGTAAGGTACGTACCGACCAAATCCAAGCCCAGCTGCCCGGAGAACAACACCACTAGGTGAGTTTGATCTTGGTTGCGCAAGGCCCCCAAACCACCAAATCTTATTGGCAAAAACCTGGCCTGCTGGGACAAAGTTCCATTACCTTCATTCTCTCAACATCACCAGCATCACCAATTCAAGCTTCATCATCAACACTACGCGCTAGTCCATAACCTCCATCGAATCTCTTCGCAATCCGGCGCGTTTCATTGACGATATCTACCCTCGATCGCGCGTCGATCGCAGCCTCCCTCGAGATGGACGAGTCCCCCGTTAAGACCGAGGGCGCCACTCGCCATCGCGCTGGCTACAAGTCTTGGAAGAAGAAGTACAGAAAGATGCGCATTGTGTTCGATCAAAAGATGCACGATGGCGAGGAGCTACACAAACAAGAGGACAAGGCTGCGGCGCTGGTCAAGCGCTTGGCTGTAGAGAACGAGTACGCCATTCCCCAAACGCACTTCCACATAATCACTAACAAATGTTTCAATAGCCGCCTTTTAGACTTGCTACTCGAAATCAACAACTCTCCTCAGATCCCCCCAGAAAAACAGGTCGACGTATCCCTCGAACCTCCGTCCGACCCCAAAGCGCCTGTTCTGCCCCTGGATGATGAGCACGAGCTACACAAAGACACACCCAGAAAGAAACTGGAAGACCTCATCAGCGGTGTGCCACATTCATCATACAGCAATGCTAAGGAGACGCTACCGCAAATTGTCAACGAGCTGAAGGCCCCAGACGGCGAAACATATCCTGCCGACTTTCTATCTGCCGACGACATCGACAACTACATTTACGAAATCGACATGGCCCTCGATTCCGAGACACACCACCTCCCCACACTTGCTCCTCGCGCCCACCCTGGCAACCACCATCAATCGCACCCACACCTTAAGAACCCTACCAGTGTAACAAACTGGCTGCGCAAACATGCCCCCAAGATATTCCTCCAGGACGGCGAGGCGCATGGCGATGCAGATGATGGTGAGGGTGGCCATACCGGAGGACGTAAGACTCGTGGATCACGAGGCGAGCGTGGTGGACGGGCAAGCACAAGAGGCAAGCGTGTCAGCATAGCCGCTCGCGCAGCCGCAACAGCAGATCGCGATGTGGATGCTAGCATGGACGAGGACCAAGAACGCGCCTCAACGCCTGTCAGCCGTGGCAAGCGCAAGAGGAATGCCGAAGACGACACGGGTTACAAGCCCAGAGGCTCATCGACAAGGCCAACAAAGAAGAAGCGCAAGAGCGAAGCAGAAGGAACCCCTACCGTTCGCAAGTCTAAGAAGGACAAGGAGATTCCTGCGGCTCATGCCGATTAGTTCCGTTTCATGAAGCTCAAAAGAATATCCCATTGTATAGTCTTCTTCCAGGAGCAGTACTTCCAAGCGAGGACAACCGCTAAAGTGTATTGCCAAAGCTCACCACATGTACTACTACTGAAATCAAGAACGAACCCCAACGGATAGAATCCGTGTGTACGCATCATCCCCAGCATCACAACCGCAATTTTCCTTCCGGTCAGCCGAGGCCATCAAGATCGGGACATCCCGGGCCTGTGGGTTATTTTTCCATCATTATCAGCTTTTCTCAGCTCCTTATACGATCCATCTCCTTACTTGTACATGTGCGGGCTTAAGCCGAGGCATTCCCCAGCGTGGAGCAGCATGCAGACGCCGAAGCTAAGGGGTGCATACCTGGGTTCTTGGGGAAAGGGGGAAGGGAGAAGGGAAACAGGGAGTTTGTTTTGCTATGTTGGTCTTTTTTCTTAAACAGGGAATTATTTTGGAGATTGGGTGTCGGTTATACTAGCTACGGGCAACTACCGAGGTTTGACAGCTTGCAAAAATGAGAAAAAGAGGCGTTTGCAGCGGTATCTGGATGAGCACCTGTGTATTTGATGCACCGTGCATGTGAGAAGAGGTGCAGGGACAGGTATCAAGGTCCAATAGATTTGCTTTATGCTAGCATCAACTTTAATGTTATGACTCTTCGACCCATTACTCCGCAACTAAGGTGAACTAAAAGGAATTGGGTATGGGGAACAAGTAGTCACAGAGTCAGGGATCAGGAGAGTATTCGGTGAAGAAAACTATAAAGCAGGGCTGGGTATCCCATCTTGTCTATGTGCTAAGAACATCAAGCAAGAAGCCTATCTACATGGCACCTACATCCTGTCTGTCCTCGACAGAATGTATCATGCTACCTCCTCCTTGAGATCTTTGCCTTTACATATTCGAAAACCCAACATCCTATCCTATCCAACTATAATGACGAAGGAGGAATACTCTTCATAACTCATTAGCCTACTGCATGTGTCCTTGCAGCAGGTTCCGGTGCATGAAAGCTCTTGACGACGCCAGCGTCCTTTCTGTTGAGGAGATGGGTAGCCAAGAGACCCACAGAGTTGATTCTCTAGGGGGTTCTCAAAACTGGAGTGAGATGCTATTCAGGTTGTGACAACATATTCGACGCCGATTCTTGAAGACTTCATAAAAGAATGGCTGCCCTTGGCATATGCACAAGAGGCCATGGGATTGGAAGCGGAAGGTAGAGGGGATGGGGAGACTGTGCGAGACGACAGATTGTCGACACGTTTACAGCTTCTCCTTGAGGGTGCGCTTGAGTCGGCGCTCAACGGCGTCAAGGTACTCGTTGGTGGTGGCGTAGTCCTTGCGCTCAGACTTGCCGGTAGCCAGGGCAAGATCCTTGGTCATGATACCGTCGACATCGACAGTGTCAATACAGGCCTTCTCGAGGCTCTCAGCAAAGGCAACAACGTCGGGGGTATCGTCAAGCTTGCCACGCTGGATAAGACCACGAGTCCAGGCGAAGATGGAGGCGATAGGGTTGGTGGAGGTCTCGTTACCCTTCTGGTGCTCACGGTAGTGGCGAGTGACAGTACCGTGGGCAGCCTCAGACTCGAAGGTCTTGCCATCGGGGGTGATGAGAACGGATGTCATGAGGCCAAGAGAGCCGAAGCCCTGGGCGACAATGTCAGACTGGACATCACCGTCATAGTCTGCGAATGATTGTTAGTATTTTGTACTATTAGGTGATGCAGGTGGTCACCGAACAAGCGTTCGGTTCATCTGGGGAAACTCACTCTTGAGGGCCATGATGTAGCCACCAGAGCTCTTGATCATCTGAGCGACCATGTCGTCAATGAGACGGTGCTCATACCAGATCTTCTTGGCCTCAAACTCCTTCTTGTAGGTGGTTTCGTAGATCTCCTGGAAGATGTCCTTAAAGCGACCATCGTACTTCTTGAGGATGGTGTTCTTGGTGCTCATGTACAGGGGAAGCTCCTTGTCGATAGCAAGCTTGAAGGAAGCATGAGCGAAGCCAGTGATGGACTCGTCAGTGTTGTACTGAGTCTGGGCAACACCACCGCCTTCCTTGAACTGGTAGACCTCAATCTCCTCGGGCTTTCCACCCTCGGGGGTGAAGACCATGGAGAGCTTACCAGGACCGGGCAGGACAGCATCCTTGGCGCGGTACTGGTCACCAAAGGCGTGACGGCCAATGATGATGGGCTTCTTCCATCCAGGAACAAGACGAGGAATGCGGGGGATGACAATGGGCTCACGGAAGACGGTACCACCAAGGGCATTTCGGATGGTGCCGTTGGGGGAAAGCCACACTAGACAGGTAAGTTAGCGAGGTTTGATCTCATTGACATTATTATATGTAGCATTCGCCATATCTCTGCTAATTTCCCCTCATCTCGGTGCTCTGCATGCCTCTCATGCATGCGGGGTTGCGATTGGTGGGGGCCATAGCGAGATGCGACTCGAACTAAGATGGGGTCGGAGGATAAACTTACTCTGCTTCAGCTTAAACTCTTCGACACGAGCCTCATCAGGGGTGATGGTGGCACACTTGACACCAACGGAGTACTTCTTGATAGCCTCGGCGGCATCAATGGTGACCTGATCGTTGGTCTCGTCACGGTACTCAAGACCGAGATCATAGTACTTGAGATCGATGTCGAGGTAAGGGTGGATGAACTTGTCCTTGATGACCTGCCAGATGATGCGGGTCATCTCATCACCGTCGAGCTCGACGACGGGGTTCTTGACCTTGATCTTGTGGGCGGAGGAAGCCATTGTGCGGACGGCGAAGGGGGAGATGGTTTGGATGGCACCGAAGGAAGCGCGGACAGGGCGGATGGTGGTTGAAGTAAGAGCAGCTCGGCGCAGCGAAGACGAGAAGAGAGATCGCGGAATGGCAGAGGCGAGAGCAGCAGCGGGCATGATGGGCAAGAAAGGGAAGAGGAAGAGAGGGTGGGAGTTTATAAAAGAAGATATAAAAAGGGTAGGAACGGTACGGGAACCGAACTCGGGAAATCGTCGCCGGGAGTCCTTCCTAGTTTGCGCTCGAGTCGTGAGGTCTGGTCACTGGTACTATGGTACTATGGTACTATGGTGCTTCCTGCTGCAAGCGCGGGGTGCAGCGGTTGGTTTGGGGTCGGGTGTGGAGGTCGGAGGTCGGATTCAGGAAGGTGCTTGGGTCGCGTTCTTTCCACGTCAAACTTGAACAACCGAGGAAGTAGCCGGGTCACTGTGGCGGCGACCGAGAGGAAAACCGACGATGCGACGGGGGAAGGAGAATATGGGGTAAGTAAATGCGATGTATCCCCCCAATGAGGCGGGGTGTATTTGATCAAAGAGGTGCCGCTAGCTGACGGGAAGCTGGAGAATCACCAGGTATTAGTTGCCGTTGCAGCTGCAGTTGCGCAATTAAGCAAAACTGGAAAGAGGGGAAATGAAAGAGTGGTTATGAGACGATTAATGTTTTGGGTGTTGACTTTTGACTCTTCTCTTGTCCTCTCTGAGGGGTGAAGAGTAGCAGTGAGGTTCGAGAAAGGTCAGAGAAGAACCATTCTCGTTGGTCAATAAGACGATGCATCAATCATGACATCTTCTGTGGCTGACCACTGACCTCTAACAAGTGGTGAAGCTAGTGAATGACATATAAAAGTCGCACTTACAAGATTCGAGCAAACGTCGTCTTCTCGGTTGAAGCTGGTTCAAGATGTTGATGATGATGCAAAGATGGGATTTCAGCCGAAATAGAGAAAGAGCAAGAGCAAGAGGACACAAAGTCATTCATCAATTCTTCCGACAACGGGCACTCGCTTTTCCTTTTAGCCTTCTGGGGTCAACGCCGAAGACGGACGCTGCGGGAAAATCGACCGTGGCTGACATGACAATCGCATGCCTCGACAGGGGTCTTGTCGCTCTATCTAAAGTGTCTACATATGACGTTCCCGTCCAACATGAAGCTCAACATGAGCTCTCTTTTACTGTCTCACGATGTTTTTGAAGAGTATTCGAATCCCCGGCAGCTCCATTACATCCCCCCAACGCTCAGGGTGTGTCTCGAGTGCTCTTGTTCCTCCTCTTGCCGGGTTCTTTTGGGGGATGAGGCTCGGTACCTGACCGAGCTGGGGCTGTTCGTCAACAGCTGCAAGCAGTAGGAAAATGTTTCTAGCCAGTCCCAGCCTCGGCGGTTAACACTAGTGTTGATGGGTTCCGCACTTGGCTCCCCGCTCAGTGGGGGGAGGTAGATTACCGCCAGGCGCCATGACTTTTTGGCTTTGGATTAGGTACTGGATCTCGTGTATGACAGCTGCTCTCGTTTTTGCCTCATCTCGGTGTTGCTATCCCCGAGTACGGCATGCTAGCATGCCTCGCACGACATTGTGTTACAGCTGTAGGCAAGCACAGGCCTGGACCGCTTAAGCCAAAGAATATTATAAACATAAGCGACTGAACGTCCAGGCTCGTACGCTCGAAATTGTCCCTATAAACTCAATTGACACACTTGGCTGGTAGTAACGTCCCTCGGGAGGCTATATCTCGGCGCGGAGCGCATCTCCGTCTTCCGTCTCGGATCTCCGGTCTGGGTATCCACTATCCACGCCGTCATCGGGGGATGGTATTGCTTGCCTCACGGTCGATGCCCGAATAAGTGGAATGAGTATCCTATGCAAGACGGGACGCGGGATCATATTTGAGACCCTTTTGCTCAAAGATTTCCCTCAAGTAGGGTGTGATTGTTGTCGGGAGTGTTACAGCAGAGTATCGGTTTCACATTTGTATCCGGGTAAGCATATTTCCATCATACGTATTACAGCTTTTATAACTACAAAACGTGTCCGTACTATGGAATTGTTCGGCGATTAGGACCCCCCCTCAGTACATATCATTGAACCCAAAACACATCCGAATGAGACTCAATGACCTCGCAATCTGGGTTGAGTAACTTTAAAGCTGTCGTATTCAGAGTATACATATTTGGTTTAGGGTAGGAAGCTATACTCGGAACATTACTCCCAACCTCAAAAACGAAATTGCAACCTTACATAGCTAGCCCGGACTGGAAACAACCATCAATGATCTAAATGTATACCCTCTTGCAATGTATTTCTATGCCAGTGCAATTCTATTACTAGAGGCTTGTGTAAAACAGCAACAATGTAACATACAGTTTCAGTTTATACGTCAAATATCTCACCGACACCTTCATTGCCACCTCTTCTGTTTTCCACAATATCCAGTCTCCATCCTTCCCAGTGCTTAAGCGATCGCTTGATCTCCTTGATCCGCTCGATCCGTCTCTTAGACTCTTCCTCTTGGGCTTTGCGGAACGCATCCTCATCAAAGTCCATATCGTCATCCTCGAGGAACTCATCGTCGCCGCCTCCAGCCAGGGCATTCAGACCACTTGTGAAGAAGTCGCCGATACCCCCGGGGCCAGACTTCCTACGGTGACTTGGAGACAGGGGATTTCCAGTGTGTAGGTCAACGTCTTGGAAGCCCGGACTAGTTGCCTCCAATTCGCGACGCTTGCCAATCCAAGCGCCACTCCGAAGCTCATGAACCTCACTCTCGAGAGCACGAATCTTTCTCTCAAGCTTCTGTCGTTCCTCGTCCTCAAGCTCATCCACCCCCTCGTCGTCCAGCCCGCCACCTCCCTCCATTGACTTGCGGCTTTTGAGTTTTGTATTCTCACTTTCGAGCTTCTCGACCTTGACCTGCAGTTCGGCGACGTCATGTTCCGCCTTCTCCTTCTCCTTTTTGATTGTTTGCAAACGAGAATCTTGATCCTTGTGTAATGTAGTAAGAGTTGACGCCTTTTTATCCAAGGCTTCAACCTTCTTCTCCAGCTCGCTGCGTGCGTTCTTTACTTCCATAAGTTCCTGCTCAAGTGTTTTGACCTTGGTTTCAGCACTCGTTCGTTCGCTACCTTCGCGAACCGCCTTCTCTGCTGTTCTCTCGAGGTTGCGTTTGATATCCTGGAGCTCGCGCTGCGCCTTTCCGGCAGCAGCCTCAGCACGTGCGAGCTTATCCTCAAGAGCAGTAACTTGTTCCTTTTCGGACGATGAACCACTAGCGTGGCGCTCAGCCTGTGCTCTAAGTTTTGAAATCTCAATTTCCATAGATTCGATAGTTGCTGTCTTGGCCTCCAGTTCAGCTTTAAGGTCTGCTGGAGGTGAGGCCATCGATACGGACGGACGGTGGCCATGTCCAGGCCCGCGCGAGACTTGTTGTTGAAGTTGAGTGTTTTGACGTTGGAGTGCGGCGACCTGACTTTTCTACAGATGTGTTAGTGGATCAAGGAGTGAAAGTGTTTCCAAGTGTTATCGCGTACCAAGCTATCCAAGAGGCCATCTTCATGGCCGCCTGCCTTTCCGCCTTCTTCACCATCGGCCTCACGGATGTCAGCTAATTCGTTTTCAGCCTTCTGCCATCTCTTTTCCGAGTCTGAGGCCTCTTTAGACAATCGCTTGTTCTCGTTCTCCAGCTCTTCAATTCGGGCCATATGCTTTCTGTAGATATCTGGCGCAGTTTCTCCGTCGGGGCTGAAAGGGCTGGGAGACGCAGCACCTCCAGTGGCAATAGCGCCGGCGCGGAATGATGTAGATCTCAGCTTCGACTGCTGAGCCAGTGAGGGCGTAGCTGAAGGCGAGTTATCATCATCATCACTTTCGCTGTCGCTGTCGCTGTCACTATCGCTATCGTCTTCCTCTTTCGTTTCAATCTTGAGCGGCTTCTCTGCTTTGTTGGCAGGCGGCTCTTGTGGCTTGTCTTCTGTCTGCTTCTCGACCGGTTCTTTAGTAGCTTTCTTGTCGCTTGCAGGGGTAACGTCGGCCTTTTCTGCGGCGGATTCGGGCGCAGGGCTTTCGGCTGATTCTGGCTTTGTTTGCTTGGTTGCAGTGGCCTTCTTGTTCTTCTTCTTCTTCATTTCCTCAACCTGGGATCGCAATGTGTTAGCTATCGGCCAGGATAAGAAGGGAGGGGTACACAAACGCGCTTCTTGGCCGCAGCAATCTTCTCCTTGCGGGCCTTTTCCTCTGCGTCGGCCATGATGTAGTTTTATCAGGCGCAAATATCCAAATTATCGTGTTTGCGCAAGTTGAGAGTTGGGGTTATTAGTGAAATGTGTCGTCTTGGCGCTAGATGGTAGATGCAGCTCCACGTTCAGGGACTCAGGGACTCAAGGGAGCTCCGTCATCATGGACGTCGAAGCTTAGCTGGCCTGTGCGTATACAGTGGTTGTTGAGAAATATGTACAGTTACACACTGTCCCCGTCTGCGTGTAAGTCAACATTGATATCTTATGAGGCATGATCTTTTTCATGGTGCACAAACGAATTAGAATGTGGATTATCATCGCATACTGTACCGGATGAAAAAAAGCCTGCTATTTCTCCAGGATTGTGTTAATTTCTTTTACTTTAAATAAATAATTTATTGAACGAGTTTCACCTTGACGCTGAACAATGTTACACTCGCCTATAGGATGGGTAGGTAGTAAAGAAAAAGTATATCATGATGGATAAGGTACCTAGTACTTTAGATTATTACTTTGCCTACTGCCTACTAAGATATGCTAAATTTTCGGCGTAGAAAGCGCTAGAAATTTCCTGGTTGGCCTTTCTTCCTGCTACCTACGAACTGGAGGGCAGTTACAAAAGTGATAGCAACTGCCTTGGCAAATCAACTCCAGCCGCGTTCTTCAAATCCCAATCTAAGGTACATATATTTAAAACGGCCTCGATAAAAACTGAGATCTGAGAAGTTTCACTCTTACACCATTAACTTTCACCATGAACTGGACTGAGGGCGCACTTTCTCGTCACTCTCGTGGCAAAGGCTGGGACAAGGACGCCGCCCGCCAGAGGCAATACTTCGCTAAAGCAAGAGCACGGAAGCATGCTCCAGCTTCAAGCAAAGGCTTGGATGTTACATCGTTTGTACCCGATTACATATCACAGCCGAAACCCTCTCAGGAGCGTCAGTCGACCACCTCGACCTCGTCACGTAAACAGAGAACACCAAGAAGAGGACTCGTCTATAAACAGCCTGAAGTAGCCAAAAAATCCGACAACCACTCACCGAAAGACACCAGTACACAACTCGGAAAGCGGAGTGCAGAAGATGAACAGACCTCCAATATGCCTGTGGACAAAGATCATCAAGACTTGAACATCACTGAGAAGAGGCGCAGGCTCCTCGAAAAGACTGACTGGACTGGAGTTATTACTCAAAAGCCTGCCTTCGTCGACTTCTCTTGGAGGAAAAATCCATTCACCAAGCCAACCACGAAACCGATTTCCAGACATGACCACCGATCTAATTTACCATCACGCAGGTCTCTTCAGAGGGACTACCCCAACGAAGGAACCTTGGGCCGGATTCCTGGTAATGAGATGAAGATCAACATCGGAAACCAAAATCTTCGTTGGAGTAGGGACAGCAACTCAGTACGAAGTCTTTCTACCAGGCATGGCCTTATCCCGTACGGGTCCAATCACTATGAAAGCCAGGGAATAATGTCACCATACCAACAACACGCTCACAGTGTGGATGTCTCCGAAGAATCCTCAACAATATTACCACGCCCTTGTGAGCCACAAGCGAATATCGAATCACGAAACCCGCTTCTGAAATTCCCAACCGATAACCATAACCTCGTAAGGAGACATGTTGAATATGAAGAGAACCGACAAAGGGAGTCCGACGAGCCAAGGTACGTTGTACGGGCAAACACCCCAGTCATCCACCAACCACAACCAAAACGGGACACACGACCCTTGATGTTCGACATTCGATCTCCGGAACCACAGGAAGACATAAGCACCGTTGGTGTACTCGGAACGTCAACGAAGTCTTCAAGCCGTGTCACACCTGAGGATATCCGATGGAATACTTGGCTAAGTTCAAATACCGAACCCAAACTACAACAGCCAGCTCCGATGACCCATGAGAACCAGCTCTCGAGATCAATTAGCCCCGGCATAAGTCAATATTGGAATACGTCAGAGGATAGATCGATCACGCAGAGTCCGGCGAACCGCGTGCCTTCAAGACAAGGCATATTACATACAATAGAAAACCCACAACCGTGCTCTTCCGCAAGTTATCCATCCAGTTTACCTATGCCGGAGAATCATCAGAGCGGGACGCTTGACTCCGAACCTGAATTGCCCCAACAGCAGATGACATATTTACCAAGTATTCCAGGGGAAAGAAATATTTGTTCCCTTCCAATGAGTTCTAGCTACGGAACAAACGAGTTTTCTATCAACCCAGGAACAGATCTGGTTATTGCACTTCGAACAGAGCTACCAGTGATTCCCAATGCTCAAGATCTGCTAGACCTTTTGGCAGCAAGCGAAGAGTGTCAGGGGCCAGCAAACGATGCTAATACTTGTCGGGAGCCATCGCCAGATGCTAGAGACGAAGACGAAATTTAGAAAAGGTTCGTTTTTGACGACGATAGCATCGAGACCAGCCGTAAAGCCCGACAGGAAGCTCATGAACAAACCAAGCGGGATCTGGGCCTGAAGAAACCCAAAGTTCCATTCCCTCTCTTCGAGTCAACCCTATCTTCTAGCTCGGTAGCACCACCAAGCGACGTAGCAGAACCACCATCAGCATCGCGAGATGGTTGGTCTTTACACAAGGACAGCAACCATAGTAGAACAGATGATCGGGCTGAAGATTTGCGAGAGCCATCGGAAGCAGTTGCAAATACAAGTATTGGGAGTACAACGGACTCAGTTATTGCCCACCCGGCCTCACCTCAGCCGCTACTTGCCGAGTTCAAGTTCCACCAGCCCCAACTCTTCACAGGAAGGTTAGCCAATGATGCGCCATGCAATCCACTGTCTACTTTGTATGCCCAACCAAAGAAGGGAAGACGGCCAAGAAAGCGAAGGGATAAGGAGCGACCTGATTTCCGTGCGATTCCTAACTATAATGATGATCCAATTGAGGAGGATTAAGGATTTGAAGATGGGCTTGACAAGAGGAGAGGGCCCATGAACGTAATACAACTAGGACGAGTCTTACAAATCTGAGTTCAAAAAGTCCAGTAATTTACAATACCTCTCTGATAGTCTTCCATATCACTCAAGTATTAGCTGTTTTTTGTGTGGTAGGACCAACAAGGGACAGATGACAATCCCTACGATGAAGTTGAGTGGAATTCTATCCACGCCTGCCCGTGAGCACGGAGAAATGAGTCATAAGATAACTGGACCTTGCGAAGCTGCAAGCGACGTGTGAGGTCACAAGATGAAATGCATAGCGTTGTATCGCGCAATTGGGGCTAGGGGGAGACATCCGGCTGCCGTGTAAACACCAAACACTATTTCATTCCCCACCATACCTATGTAGTGATACATGTAGGATTTAGGGGTGATCTACCACCGTTACTTACCTCTTGTCTTGTTGCAAACGCTCAGGCCAGGGGGAACTTTCATGTAGTGTCACGTCGAGGAGAGTAAAGAGAAAACAAAGTGTGTCATATCGCCTCTCGATTTACATCATACATATATGAAATACAGTAAGGGTACAATAAACTCCTCTATATCCGCCAAAAACTCATGATCGTAAGAAAAGAGGAAAACTCCCACCGTCTATCTAATAACACCATCTTTCTAAGTAACCATGGAACTCATATCTCATCATAAACGTCACTCCGTGATCGACCTGCCAATCACCAATAAGTCTTATCTCGGTGCCTCCAGCTAGAATCATGAACCCCAGTCAGATCCCGGTTGACTTAGCCAGGAAAGGAAACTCGAAAGAAGGAATGGAAGCATGACAGAAGGCCTCGTGCATGACACAGCCACGCTGAAATAATCCCCGCAAACAGCCCCGCTTCTAGAACAATTCTTTGGAGTCAGCCTCAGCGTAATGCAACATCTCTGTGGGGACAAGATCTGCAACGCATAGGCGTTTTTGCGGGCCTCTAGGACTTCCTAGAGAGAATGTATGTGGATGGAAGAAATGAAGGAATGAAGGGCAAGACACAAAACTGCCTAGCATAAAGGAAGCAATGTGCAGGTAATCAGCCCTCGACGTGTATCTATACATAAGGGAAGATAATGTGCCTTGAGGGGTTCGCTGTCTCTGACGGGACAGGATGTATTCCGAGAACAGCTGCCAGGGCTGAACTGGCCGCACATTGGCGCTGAGTGACGATGTGTTGTCCAAAGTAAGAATGCCCTGCACGTAGCCACTCCTTTTTCGTTGGTTCGATTGGGCAAACTCGATTCTGTGAGGAGGGCACAACCGATTTCAAGCTATAGTTTCAAGCTATGATATGCTGCCGAGAGAAAGGCTGTGTCTCTGCTCGCGCATTTCAAGATCGGCCGCGGCGTTTCTCCTTACGCTTCGATTCACACGAGGTCTTGCATCCAGGGCATTCGTAACCGTTTTTCGAGACGTAGACTCGAACAAGGCAACGGGGACAACGCCACCAGGCCGAAGGTGTATAGCGACCCTCTAGCCATTCCTCGTTTACAGTGGCTCCACGCTTCTGGATGTCTTCGCGGTGGTACTCCCGAAGATGGTCTCTCATGTGGTCGCGACGATGGAAAGGCTCACGATAACGGGGGCATCTGGGGTAATCGCACAGGTAGGCATCCTTACTCGATTCAGGAGCATGAGTGTTCTTGTAGTGACGCTGAAGATCAGCAGTGCGCTTGAAGGGGCGAGCAGTACATCCGGGATGAAGACAGGAAACTGGCCAGTCGTTGTTACTAGGGAAGTTAGCGAAACGGATCAACATATAAAAGAAATCAAGACATACGCTTCGCTCCGTGGAACAGAAGAGCCATCGGTCCTGGTTTCGTCGGCGAGGTACTGCTGCTGATAGGTAGAGTACTGCACCGGGGATGAGTCGTGCAGAGCATAGTAGCTGTTATGTGAAGGTGACTCGGGAATGGAAGAAGCCTGAGAGCTGCCTCCAGAGCTGCCATCTCTGGCCAGAGGGTGGGACTGATAGTAGTCGTGAAAGTGCTCAGACGGCGACGAAACCTGATCTTGAGGCGACGAGGTACCGTAATAGCCGTTGTTGTACCATTGGTTGGAACCCATTGTGTCTTGAAAGGAGCGAAAAACGTCAAGTAAAGAAGTTGATTGTTGTGTAAGCCGATCAGGAAAAAGGCATACAAATGCAGGCCGCAACCAAAGTGATGTCTTGATGGCGGTCTTGAAAAGGAAGAGATGAAATTTGGGACATGAGAGTTGATGTGATATTGATGAGTTAAAAATTCAGAGTAGGAGAGGAAAGGAGGGATGGTTATATGCTGGGGGAGTTATGAGAGACGAAGGTGCTGGCTAGTGCAGTCCAGGATGATAAAGGTCAAGGTGAGGCTCAATAGCACATTGGTTAGTGAGGCGAAGGGAGGAGTCATCTGTGTAATACACAAAAGGTAAAGGGCAACATGGACTTGAAACTGCAAGAGATGTCTACCCAGAGAAACAAACAGCTGCGGCTAAGACTGGCAGCGAGTGCTAAGTGGTATTGTCAGGGCTCTAGATCACGTCCCAGGGTTAAGAACACCACCTGGGTAGCTGCCGGGGAGCACGGGAGATCCAGCCCGGACCACCCTTCGATAAGAAACATAGCTAGTTAGAGAGAATATGATTAGGAGATAACCAGTTCCAAGACCGAAGACTGGAGAAAGACAAGGGGGGCGGTACAGAAACAAGGGTCGAAGGCGAAGCAGCATCTGGCGCAAGCTGGCTCGTGATGTGTGAATCGACACTTATCGCTTAGACGAGAGGCTAGGGTGAAGTCAAGTTACTCCGTAGACGGAGAAAACAACAACGACAAGTGGGAAAACCAAGTCGAAAGCTAGAGACGTCCTATCAGAAGTGGTGTGCTCCTGGCCGGTCGCCTGAAAGGGAAAAGGCAATTCGGATGGTAATGCAAGTGCAGCAAATGGAACCAAGATGGCTCATCGTAAGGTCAGGAACAGCTGTATGATGGCCTGCATAACTAGAAAGGTCCGCCTTAGCGAGCTCCGGCTCAACCGGGGATCTATGTTTTAGTTGCTACAGCATAAAGGACACAGTACAATGCAGTACAAATCCAGTGGGCATGTGCATTGCATTGCACAGGACGTGTGCCCAAAAGCCGGGGTGGGACTAAGCTTCTGACGACATGCCTAAGGTTTGGGAAACTGACAGGAAGGGCTGTCTTGGTTGCTTGTTGTTGTGAGTGGCTGGCAAGGTGAGTCTAAGCCGAGACGCCCAGCAATTGATAGCTACTGTACTCCGCACAGCTGCTATATCCGCCGGCAAGATATGATGTTACCTGGCTGAGTGTGGGCGTGGCGATGCGCTGGGGCTGAAGACCAAAGAACAAATGGTTCTAGCACGGGTTGACGGGAGTGGAAGTGGATGCGGGAGCCATGACAAGTAGCGTATCTGTAAAGATAACCGATATTCCTTCTGTAGGGGCTGTGCGAGAGCCAACTCAGCAGAATTCGGTCAGTGCCAAAGGCAAAGTTGGCTTTCGCTCAGTGCGCATTTGCGCGCCTGTGCCCTTCAATCTCAAGCTCCAGCTCAAGCTCAAGTTCGAAGGTGCACAGCTTAGCTTCGGATCATCCAGCAAAGAAGCTTCGGTGGGTCATCAGACTTGGCCTCGGTAGCGGGAGGAATGGGACTGATGTAACCAAAGTACTTTCATCTTCGTCTTGTCGGTCAACGAGAATGGCTTGAAACTGACAGTCAAAAGATGTAGAAATCAAGATTGTGGCTCAAAGGCAGAATAACAAGGCAGAATGGTACTGTAGGTAGCCTACAGGTGGTGTTCTAGCGCCCTACAGGGTACGGCCCAGCAAAATTGATGATGATGGGCCGCGGAATTGATTCTACTCCACAGGGGCAGGGAAGGTTGATCTGGCTGTCACTTCCATCGCACTGGTTACCCCTCCTGCTCCTGCCCCTGCTCTCTGTTGTTGACTTGTCAGGCCACCCCTGCCCTGCCTCAATCTTGAGGTGTCGACCTTAACTTTATTCCTTCCCGTTCTTTTAATTGATACAGTAAAAGGTAGCTACAGTGCGAGCCAAAACCGTTAACATTGGATTGACTGCCCGGAGTCTAATCATCTACACCCATTCTTTTTTATAAGGTACCTACAATATCATCTGCACTTTCATGCAACGGCCTAGGCAATGCTTCGCATTAGCACCATGACTATCATTAGCCGAGTCGGCTTGTCGATTTCTACCGAACAAAGCTCCCGGTGCTCAGTGCTCAGTGCTCTCACCAGCACGACCACGGGCCTCAACGCCACGGAACACTCCATCAGATGCACCAACAAAGCTGTGACCATCTTGCTGCCATGGTTGTCGATCGGTTATGGGACTCAATCAACAACAGTATTATTTCGCTGCCTGGCCTTAGCAGGGTCCTCATCGACGTTTCCGGCAGAACAAACCCAGCCAAGCCAGCATTCTCTCCCTGTCATCTTACACACCCATCACGGCTCCCCACAATTTGGTTACTTATTTGTTTGACCATCAACGTTGTGTAACTAAACCTGCGTCTATCACACTCTGCCGTATCTATCTCAACCATTCTGATGTGTCTTACTACTTCACAAGGCAGCTTTGGGGGACACCCTCAAAAATGATCGGCAAAATCGCATCACTAGAATGATAACTATCCTGGACGCCTTGCCTTGAGTAGTCTTACAAGCATTGACCTGCAAATGCTGGGGAAATTTCCGAGAAAGACATTGCCGATGTCTTGTACCTTGATCGCCATGCCCACACGTTTGATAATGTAGCTAATGCTTTCGGAAGAGCTTGCCGTGCCCATTTTAGTGAGGCTGACGGAGCTCGCGAGTGTCAAGTGCAACAGAAACAGTTGAAAATGGTTCGCCCACGATGAAATCATCATTGTTTTTGACAAGGTCATCAGACTCATCGCACGCCCTAATCGACTTCCCCGGAACCCTTTCCCCAGCTAAGCTTACAGGGAAGTCAACCCATGTCACCCTAACCACGGAAGTATCGCCCGCTTGCCAGGGAGCCCCTTTCTCGTATTGACAGATCTGTTTCCTTAGAGGCATAGAAGCATTCTAGAAAACTTCCTGTTGCAACCTGCATTGGGTTTCCCTTGTGGGTATCCACGGCGAACGCCGACCAGGTTGGGGGCGGTGATCTTCCTACACAACAATCGCCCTTATTCGGCGATGAATGGTATCAAGCGCAGAGCTGCGCCGCAAGCTTGCCATTTGCAGAACGTTCTGCTCACCGATCAAAGCAACCACCTGACGAATGCTATTGAATGGTTGCCTTACTAGAACCTGGCAGGCTCGATGATGACATAGAAAAGGCAACCGTACCAAAGGTAACAAGGCAAGTAAGGCGCTCAGTTCGCTAGCCTCGGATTCAACTAAAACCGCACTTTCAAGCGACTTCGTTGCGTAGGAAGAAGACCAGGCATCTCCACTGTCGTCTCATCATCGATCAAGTCATACTGTACACTTGTCAGCTTGGGTTCAACACTTAAGGGGAGAGTCAAGAGAACGAACGAGCTGCAACGGATGTCACTTCGACCAGCGCAAGATCTTGTACTTCGTTTCCTTATTCGCTTTCCCGTCTCCGGGAGCCACGTTGTCTGCGATGAAGTGAAATGTGCAACAGGTGTAGCATAGCTTTGCTGAGAGTGGCGATATGGCCAGCCCTGGCAACCTGTGTACAAGCCGCCCACTCTAGGAGTAATGGGAAGAAGACACTCGACGAAGCCCACCTCTTTTTCATCGAAAGTCGTTCTATCTTCAGAGTTTTATTATCGAGCAGATCAAAGCTTTGGGCTTGCTATTGTCTTTGGGCAGCAATATAGCAGCCTCGGCATCGGGCTTCAGGTGAAGAATCACATAGTTCATACATTTCACTTACGGCATGATCCAGGAAGTGCCACGTCGACACGTACACTCTGGGATTCCGGTTACAGTCATGGAAGATACAACTCTTCACACGATTTTCCACAACCAAAAAAACAGCCCCGTCACATAAAGCGACCAAGTTTGAGGCTGCTCTCAATTAGAGGCTGCCAGGCTGTCTGAGCTTGAGGCTTCCTGACGCACCAGCCTTGACGTAGACGACTATTTCCCACAGATCCCATGAGGCAAACAAGCCACGCAAATGATTTATACACATCAAGAAAGCTTGTCATCAAGGGTGGCCACGCCCAGCTCTGGGAGGGTTCGTACTTGGTCTCAAAAAACAACTGAGATGACAGACTGAGGCTACTAACGCCCCCTTATAGCATTGCGATATCTGGCGGCACTAACAAGCACAGCAAAATGAGTAGAGTAAGAAAGTTACTCCCCTGCGTCTTTCTATGCTCCCAATCAACGTGTCCCTCTACTGAAGGCCACAAAACCAAAGTACATACAACCTAAACCCAAGGTTCCATTCCATATTTCTCACACACGCCCAAAGGACGGGACCATTCCATGGAATGGCCTTGAAAGTTCTGATCTTTCTGCTGAAGACTCGTCTTTCTAAACCTCATCTTCAAGAAACTTGTAGGCAAACTTGAAGTCGGCTTTTCGACGATTCATCCTGCATCTTCTTGTTAGCAGGCTTCTTTTGAGCACTTGTCAGGATTCCACTTACCATGTGCTCTCATAGTCGAAAAAGCGATATGTTCCTTGTTCAAAGTCCTCAGTGATGTTCTTAGGCTCCTCGTGTCTTTGAAACCAAGTCTGATATTGCTTATGGAAACGCCAACTCTGATCTTTGAGAGCCTTGGCTGCCATGTACTGCTGGGCGGTGCCCTGCTTGTAGTAAAAGACGTAGAAAAGCGTGTCGGGGTCGATGCGGGAGTACAACCTTGGGTCGTCGAGGATGGCAAGCGGCTCTCGAGGGAAACCTGACCCTGTTGGGTGTGCCGGTACTTCAGGTTGGTATGATCTTGGCACATCGGCATCTACAATATCAGGGCAGCTGGCTTGACTGGCCGCCATCAAGCGCAGAGTTGATGGCGAAGAGGGATGATATGGGCGTTTTCTGGATGTCTCATATGTATCAACAAGATCCTGCAACGATGCTGGCAAGTGGTAGATGGACTCCTCCTCTTGATCGACAGGTTTGACACCATTGGCTGTGCCATTTGTCCGTTGGGCTACATCCGAGTTAGTAATGAAAGTCAAAGACTGTCGTGCTGCACACATACGCTTTGTCGGGGTTGTAGTCTCGGGCACCGCAGCTTGCTTCCCAGCAGCCTTGGATCGCTTGGTCTGTTTCGTAGGAACAGGCAATGGCGCTGGCGCTGGGACGGGTTCTGGCTCGACATGAGCTGGAGCTGGCGTGGGTTGTTTGGACTCTGGTTGCTGAGAGGCGGGTTGGGAAGCTGATATCGCAGGAGAGTTGGTCGCACTGCTTCGAGATTGAGGTATCGGAGATATGCTTGAAGTGGCGACACCGGGCGGCGGAGGTAACGGAGCAATACCCACGTTGTTCTTGTCGCTTGCCGCGGCGGCGGCGGCAGCTGATGCATACTTCAGACCTTCCCCTGCGGGTCTCGTCGGTACTGATGCGGGCTTCATAGCGGGCGAACCCGAGCTGCCATTGCTGATTGTTGGTAGAGGGGCGTGAAGTGTCGCGAGTGCAGGTAAAGGTGACTTTGTCTGCGAAGACGTCCGCCGTACAGGGTCAACTTCCTTCTGCGTCTTCCTGGTCAGTGTCTTTGGCAATTCGTTGTCGGTTGTTAGATCCTCCTGCACGGATTGAGTATCTTGAGAAGAGCCCTTCTCGCCATCAATACCCATGCCAAAGGTGCCTTCCTCATCCTCGAGATCCAGCTCCTCGTACATTTCCTCATCCTCCATGAAGTCCTCATTCATGCCGTCTGACACATAGTATCGAATACTCTCTTCTAGGTCGGTGACTTGTTCGGGCTCAACGCCACCATTCTCGAGGGATCTCCGAATAAGCTCCAGCTTTCCCTGATGCCACTTATGTCGTTCGATAACACGTTCGATTTCGGCGATACGGTCGGTTTTCGCAGTGTTGTTCTTGCCCTTCTTCATCGTTGCTTGTATCGATTCGCCCTCAGCTTCGAGTGTCTCGATTTGCTGCTCCAGCTCGTCGACCATGCCACTTAGGAATTCGCTGGCCTCAACCTTTGCCTGCTCTTTGGGATCGAGCTTGGCGGCGGCTGATAGGCCTTCCTTTGAGTATGCTTTCGTCTTCATGGCTTTCTCCACGGCCTTGAACTTCTCCATTTGCTATTTCCATAATGCCAAGTCAATAAAAAACTGAACAGGTTTGCTGGTCAGTGGCAGGACCAACCGTCTCGATTAGCTTCCGATGCTCCAGCAGCGGAGCCTTGTCTTTGATGTCGTTGCTAGCGGCCCATGTTTTGATCTGATCCCTCAGTCGCTGGAGCTTCTTGATCTCGCGCTTGAGGTTATCTTCTAGCTTGTCCTTCTGGGCGGGGTTACTCGATTGCTCGATCTTCTCGTAGATGGCTTCAAATTCGGTGACTCCCTCCGCCACCTTCTTGAAGCACTTGTCGACCTCTTGAGCCAATTTCCTCGCTGCCATTGTGATATAAAAATCGCGGCCTCTCGGGCGCAGGATCTAATCGTTCGTATGGCTCGTCTTCGTCGACTACCGATGCTATTATGGCTGTTGTGCGTCCTGCCTGCAACCAGTCGTTGGATATGTGGCAGCGCAAGGGGGGTTATTATTGGGATAAAACGGCGCGTCGCGTAAGCGATCAAAAAAGTCGTCGTTGGATATGATACAGATAGGATGCAGTGTCCGTACCGGGAGGTCAATTCCGGTCGCAGGTGGTAGATGAAATGCGTTGCTAGAGGCAGGCTGGCCAGCATTTGATGGTGTACGAGTTCAAGGTGGAAGGTGATGAGGCCAAACAGCCGCAGGGTTGTGATTGGCTGAGGGACCGCGGGCTATCTGGGGCAGGCGCGGTTAGCTGCTGAAACGTGTAGCAGTGGATTTTGAAGGTTCAACTGCGTTTTACAGGGAGCAACATACCTGTAATAGCTGGCGCTGATTTGCTAGTTTCTCACTCAACAGATATTTAAGTGCAATGTGTAAAATTCAGATCGAACCGTGGTGCACAATCACAATGTCGCTATCGTGGGACACCACCTCATTCCATGACGTGGTTTTTCGCTAGCACTCAGGTACCCTGTTGGATGCTAAAGTGCCTGGCAGCCTGAGTGCATACCTAGACCACTAGGCCGCTTCTCACATGATATGCGGCCTAAGCACTGTAGCATCCCACAGAGGAGGCCCCGCACTTGCTACAGAGCAGAGACCGAGAGATACATTTCAGTGATTTATAGGAGGAACAATTCAAACTCACGGAAACTCAATTCCATGAAAAGCCTTCGATGTCTTCGGGGCATACTATCCATGTCAATTTACCGTTAAATAATATGTTCTCATCATGTTCTAACAATAAAATAATGCTCAAGATTGCATGAACACTTGAGCGATACACACGGTAAATTCGGAACCAATGCCGATCCGAATACGGAGCAATATCTACAATCAAGACCTCAACACCAGCCCGAGTGATAGTGAACTTTCCATCCTCGAACAGACAAAATTTGAACACATCCCGAATATGAAGGGTAAGTGCAGTGCTGTAGCCGACGGTGAAGACGCATGAAACATGAGAGCTTACCAACTCGTCTTGAATAGTCATCCTGCAGCGTGTCCTGTCGGCGTCCGTGACAGTCGACAAGGAAATGATCTCGTCCATCGGAAAGGGCGTCTTGGCCTTTGCCGCAGTGGCCCCTGGAGATACGGAGAAGGAGGCGGATCTGATGGCTGCAAAGGTTCTCAGAATGAAGCTGTGGGATGACGAAGAGGGCGGAAAGGTAAGAAGAGGCTGGCTTCACATTCGCAAAGTATGGGATCTGACGGGCTGTTCGACACACAGTGGAAGAAAAGCGTGAGCGACATTGGCGGCGAGGTCCTCTGCGGTGAGTCTCCTCTTCTCCCAGCCACGCTGAACACATCACAGAATGGGCACAAATGGTTGAGACTCGATATACTAACACTTGCACAGTGTCGCAGTTCACTCTGCTGGCCAGCACCAAAAAGGGTGCCAAGCCTGACTTCCACGGTGCGGCCAACCCCGAGGAGGCGCGCCGGCTATACCACTACTTTGTGCAAAAGGTCAAGACGGGATACCTCGAGGAGAGAGTCAAGGATGGGCAGTTCCAGGCCATGATGGAGGTTGCTCTCGTCAACGACGGGCCGGTGAGTTCAAGGAAGCCTTGTTATTTCTTTTCTTTTTGGACGGGATATGTGCTAACTGGGACAAACATTACAGGTCACCCTCGAGCTCAAGAATGGTGCCAAGACGGAATAGAGATGCTGAATGGGTTCTATAAAGAAGGTGAGATATACCATATAGGCTATTGAGGAATGGATGGGTAGACAAAAGAGAAGTGAATTGAAGGGATCAGGGTTATAGAACGGCAGTGCTACAGGTTTGTTAATTAAGAAACATGTTTGGAACTTCAGCCCTTTGGCGTCTGGGACGAACATGATATGATATTGAAAGGCTTCAGCTCGGCTGTTGAAACTGTACATATGCTCATACGGAGAATGATTGGACGCATGGCGGCCGGATGTTCTTCCCCGAAAAAGGGATCTCTTACCATAAATAACGACAAACATGACCCTGGCATGCGTTGTAAATGTTTAATTGGATGCGTTACTAAAACAGCTGCATGATGGGTGGTGTTGCACACGCGGCTGAGGTTCCGTGCTTGCCAGAGGCACAGAGGGGAAAAAGAAGCAATTCGCAGGTGGTCAAAGCGAACAACGGGGGGGGGGGGGGGGATATCACAACTGTCCTGCTGTCTCGTCTTGTCAGTATCGGTAGGGATGCTTTTGACCAGGGTTCCCTTTTTGACCTGGCATCTATCCGATACTGAGGGGGACAGACTGGGGAAGTTTGGTCAGGGCTTATTCTCGCTGGGGATTGGCTGTTGATTGCTTGCATGATCATCGGGAACGCCCGTAAAATCTATGCATCGCTAACGTTAGGTGGTTGACGCTACAGTACGGATGTTCTGCGTTGGTTGGTGTAGTAAGTACCTAAGCAAGTAAGCAAGGAAGCGTGGATACGATATATTATGCGTTGGCAGGATGTGAGATGTGAGCCGATATTGACGTCTGGTACATGAAAGCATCAAGCGAGTGATTGTGATAATTGGTGTGACAATTGTGCTTGATGATTCATCTCTTTCTGCTGAGCCTGTCATGTAAGCTCAGCCTACCCTGTAAATTTGTGAATTACAAGGAGCCATGTCTTGTCTTGTCTGGTCTTTGACCCCTGTCTCTCATGGGTTCAATTCCGCTTCCCCTCCCCCGCCTTGATGAGGTAACCTAGGGTTTAGACAACGTGAAGTTATCTCTTTTCTCTCGTGTGGAGTGAAGATAATAACGCATGTTTTAGTTGTGCAGACGCCTTTTTGACTGTTGAATCAAGGGCAGGATCATTGATATTATGTGATAGGTTGAGTATCAAGGGTCTTGCGAAACTTGCTTCAGCAGTAACTGCAGGGCGGACGTGCGTTCTTGAGCCTCACCTCACCTCACTCACATGAACTTGTCTCGATGCATTGACTCATATGAGTATTTCTATTATATAAACTGATAGGTTAACGAATCTTACTTCTTATCTTTTGCTCGTCACCGGTGTGAGAAAAAGAAAAGAAGAAACAACCCTTGTTTTGTCTGTCCCGTGGGCTTTTTTCCTTACAGACAGGAGGGGACGGGATATATGTCACAGAAGGGAAGGGATCTGGGCTTTGCTTATTTCAAGATATCTCGGAGATGATGCAAGGCTCGGTCTTGTTTGCGAGCATTTGTAGCAATAGGCAGGTATGATCTGACTACCCAACAATGCCAATTGTATCATTGGCAGTCCTTTCATCATTGTATTCGACACGTATAAATAATATCTAGTCGACGTTCGTACCTCATTGTTATTCCAAGTCAGTGTTACATAGAAACAAAACCCTTACTTTGTTTACCCACTTATAACCGGCGCTCACTTGCATCGCGACTTTTCCACAATTGGCAACTGAGCTCCCCTCTTCTGTTACCTTCTGTCCGATTCTGACCTTGCCTTGCTGCCTTCCCAACACCCAAACCCCCACGTCGTTACTCCTTGATCCTCCCATTGCAACAAAGCTACAATACAAAGCTCTTTCCTTGCAGCGACTTGTGCTCTTTTTCTTTTCCTTACACCCGTCACAGAAAAAGCCCATATCAAAATACCACAATGGCGACCGAAGGCGACTCCCCCGCGCGACCCCGCGTCTACTTTGATATCTCCCTCGGCGGCAAGCCCGTCGGCCGTATCACCATGGAGCTCTACGCCGACCTCGTTCCCAAGACGGCCGAGAACTTCCGCGCCCTCTGCACAGGCGAGAAGGGCATTGGAAAGTCCGGAAAGCCTCTGCACTACAAGGGCTCCGTCTTCCACCGCGTCATCAAGCAGTTCATGATCCAGGGTGGTGACTTTACTGCTGGCGATGGCACCGGCGGCGAGTCTATTTACGGCAACAAGTTCGACGACGAGGCCTTTCCCATAAAGCACGAGAAGCCTTTCCTTCTGTCTATGGCCAATGCCGGTCCCAGTAAGTTTTGTCGAGCTTCAATCCAATCATGCCATGTCGTGTCATGACGCTGACGGCCATTACCCCACCATAGACACCAACGGCTCTCAATTCTTCGTAACCACCGTGCCTACCCCTCACCTCGATAGCAAGCACGTCGTCTTCGGAGAGGTTCTGAACGGAAAATCCATCGTCCGCCAGATTGAGAACCTTACCACCCAATCCGGCGACCGTCCTGCCAAGGAGGCCCTCATTGCCGACTGTGGCGAGCTGACTGGCGATGCCGCCCTCGCTGCCGATGTGAAGCAGCCTGATGCCCTCGGCGACCCTTACGAGGACTTCCCTGAGGACTGCACCGACACTCTCGATGCTCTTGCCGTCCTCAAGATCGCAAAGGCAAGCAAGGATTACGGAAACACTGCTTTCAAGTCGGGCAACTACTCGCTTGGCCTCGACAAGTACCAGAAGGGACTGCGCTACATTAACGAGGAGCCTGAGCTCGAGGATCAACCCCAGTCCATCAAGGACGAGCTTGAGGCCCTGCGCTTCACTCTCAACAACAACTCGGCCCTTCTCAACATCAAGCTTGAGGCCTGGGACGACGCTGCCCGCGCCGCCTCTGCTGCTCTTGACGTCCGAGGCGTTAAGGACGCCGATCGCGCAAAGGCATTCTATCGCCGCGGTTACTCCAACATTCGCCTCAAGGACGAGGAGGCTGCCCTGCGCGATTTGACCGAGGCCAACAACCTCGCTCCAAACGACAGCGCCATCACCCGCGAGCTCAACTCCGTCCGAACTAAGGCTGCTGCTCGCGCCGCCAAGGAGAAGGCTGCTTACAAGAAGTTCTTCACCTGAGCGTGATCCGGCGAGAAGCCATGAAGAAAAATAGAGGGTGTCATTTTTACACTCAACATGAGCGATAGAAAGCCAGATGTATTTGAAAAATCAACACCATGTTTGCTATGGGACGACGGGCGGAGGAATGATCCATCTTTTTATAACATGACCCATGCGAGGCAAAAGCGGGTTACTTAGGAGTCGGCGCTGAATGAGATACCATCCAATTGCACATGTTGCAATATACTACACAGAGACGTTGCGGTTATGAGCTGTGATGTTCATGACTGACCTGACTTGATACTTGCCATGCTCAAACTAACAAATCAGTAACCGTTTAAGTGATGGGCTCAGTCAAGCAAAGATAATTTTGTTCTGTGATCATTTCTATGTATAACCTAACGATTCCTGTACGGTTACGTTGGTAGCTAGCCGTGTCTATGTGTTGCCTTCTTTGGTTTCAAGAAACCATGACGCCTTCCAGCCAACTTGGCAAACCCATGCATCGCTATCCTCATTCCCAACACAGGACAACAAGAAGAACTCCGAGACCAGTACTATGAGCTCACTGAACCCTAGATCCAAGAATAGACCCTGCATGCTATGCAGATACAAAAATATGACTTGATATTGCCAGTCTATGGCAATGCTAATAAGAAGTAAGGAAAGAGATGGAGCATAAAGAGAAGAGGAGAGAAAGGAAAAGTAGAACAAGATGTGGTATTTAAAAGAAGTTGTATTGTTCATTCAATCATGAGGAACTATATCTCCCATCTAGTCGTCAGAAAGGTATATATATATGTATGCGGTTGTGTATAGATGGGATATAAATGGCTTTTTCTTTTTCCTTTTCTTTCATTTGTGATGCTTTGCGGAATCCTTGCCCTCAGGGCTCTCGCCGCGCCCGCCTATGCGCATGATGCCGCTGAGAATCGTTCGTCCTACACGTCCGTTCTTAGCCTTGATCGTGCCACTTGCGCTCCCAGACGCGCTTCCCTGTCTCTGCTTGCGGTGCTCCCAGCCTTCTCTGTGGTGGTGATGGTGACGACGGCGCTCTTTGCTACGTCGTCGGCTGCGCGTTGCGCTCTCGTCATTGACTTCGCTGCCAGAGCTGCCGGGAGGGGGAGGCTCGTATATATCGTTCCATGCTGTTGAGGAGCCGCCGTAAGAAATGGAGAGGGATTCAATCAATGAGCCTTGTTCAATGGACTCGGCGACGTCTTCTGTGGTGGCATTTGTGGCGGTTTCGCTGGCGCGTTCGGTTTCTACTTTCGCAAGACAGGCATCGGCGCGTTGCTGAAGGGCGAAGCAGATGTCGTTGAACCCAAGGAGCTCCTGATCCACCTCATTCCTCTTATCATCGACTGGTTTGGCGTCTACCCATAGCTTAACAAGACTCGCTAGGTTTCTTGTGTCATCGATCAGGTATGGAAGGCTTGGGAATCCCTCCTTGGAAGAAGGGCTCAGGCGGCCTAGGATAGTAACAGGCGTGCTGTAACCGGCTGGGACAAAGTTGGTGCTGCGATCAGCAGGAATGCTGCACACTTGGTCGATGTAGTCGCGAACAGATTGTCTCTGGACATTCAAGAAGCGATTCATAGGCTCCATCCATTCCTCTCGTTTTCCAAAGTTGGACAGATTCGCCAGCTTCTGCAGTGCTTTCGCAATGAGCGTGAACGTTCGTTGGGCTTGAGGTCGAGGGTGGTCGCGCAGGAGATTGAACAACTTTGGCGAAAGAATGGCCGGGCAGATGAAGCGGAGGAATAAGAAACCAGATACCGATGTGTATGTAACTGTACGCAAGAAGTCTCCATAGCGGTCTTCGGCAACTGCCCTGATGTACTTAAGTATATGCCGTAGGTCAGGGGGTAATCGGTTGGCTGAGCTGGCGATGCACTTCCACACTTCTGTCGTGTAATGGATAAGGACAGTCCAGTGTTGGTCTAGATCCGATTCGTGGGGGATCTTGCTGGGGTCGACTTCACAGTTCGGGTTGATCTCGTTAATCTCAAACAGCTTTTCTTGCAGAATCTCCTCCAGATACTCCTTGCCCAGGCGGCGCATATGAAACTCAAGAGACTGTGTTAGTAATGAGTTGCCGCGGAAAAGGAGATTCGCTTCTCCAGCAAGAGACTTGCTCATATCTCGGACAATGAGCTCGCGATCTGTTGCGGCGTCGATAGAATCGTTCGACTTGAGACGGCTGCTGAAGCGGTACTTCTTCATGGAGGCTTGATTACCAATGCCATCGATTTCGTCTTCGACTAATGCCATGAGCCACTCACTAGCCGAGCCGGACACCTGGAAAATGTTGAGAAATAGCTCCGACAATCGACGCAGCTGTCCGGGTAGTACAGCCGAGATTTGGGTCGTCAATCCTGCGGGGAAACGATGTAATATGTCCGTGAGAGGTTGGTATTCCTTCGACAGAAGCACAACGTGCTCATCGTGGTTCACCTTGACTAGCATCTGCCCAACTGAGTTTTGCTTCTCGTCAAGTATCTGGAGCCACTGCTCACTATCCTTGCCGCGTTCAAGATGATCGAGAGAAATATCGACAGCCCCGACTACAAACTCCTGCAGGTTTCGTGTTCGAGGTAATCCCACAGAAGCCTGGAGTAGGTTGCTTGAGCTTTCCATGTTACCCTCGACTCTTTTCAACACAACAGATAATAAAGGCGTGGAGGGCGGTAGATCGGTAAACTCGCACTCTTCTCTCCAGAAAGGATTCTTGGTCCCTGTTTTAGTTGTCGTTCTCGCCCGAACTTCGCCATCTAGTATAACTTCGGCCAGGTAGTTTCCGATCAGGTGGTCAGGCTCTGGTCGTCCTGGCTTTTCGTGTATGGTCGGCTCCATCCCCCCAGCACCACCCGGTCTGGCCTTAATCTTCGCTTCAGTAACCCTGACACTGATTGTCTTTTCAAGACGAAACACCTCGCCCTCATACTCGGATTCAATATCGTCTAGTTCCAAAATTTGAGACGTGTTAGGATCGTCAAGGTGGTAGATATCTGGTACTGCAAATGCCCGGAGTAAGCAAAGCCAAACTTCAAAATGAACTCTGCTGTCGAGCGCTAGGTAAACGGGTCGGAAGATAGAGAGGTGTGTCGATGTTGAAGAGTAAATTGGGAAAATGGCAATGCAATATTCCTCATCGAGTACTGTGCGGTCGAGTTGCTGAACAGCACACCGGGAGAGCTGCGAGAGGTCGATAATGGATAGAACCGTCACATCGTTCTCTGTCATGAGTTTGAACTCGCCACTGTCCTGGAGAATACAAGAGACTCTCCTCCATGATGTAGTAGGCGACCGCAAATCTCTCGTTGACGGCCGCTTGACAATCGCCCTTGGTGAAACTGCCAAACCCTTGTCCCAAAGCATCACCTTGCCGACCTTGATAATATTCGTAGGCTTGTTCTTCTCCTGTGACCAGCCATGTCTTTTGAGCTCCGGTCTCATCGGCGTCACCTGGCTGGCTGGCTTACCATTGGCAAGCTTGACACCTGTCGGGCGTAGTTGTTGCCAGCATAATAAAGCTGCCAACCATAGATCGAACTCCTCTGGCACAAGAGGGCATATTAGAATTTCCACAGGGGGTTGTAGGCAGACCAACTCGAGGCATTCCTTGGTCAGTTCGGGATAGTCGACAGGGAGGACCCTGCAGCCGCGGAGATCGGAAACTAGGGGGATATGGAAGGGACCATTCTGCCCAGAGTCAAACATGAGGCAGCCCTTTTCCTCTTCTATATAAGCCACACCACTGTGCCAAGGTCCGCCAGATTCACCCTGGTATTCGATCTCGCCGCGCATTCGACCGCATAGAGTTCTCATGAGGAGCAGGATCTTATTTGCGTCATCAGTAGCTATAGGTAAAGGTAGTGAGTCAACGGTAGGTGGCGGAGAAATAAGAGGCGAGGTAGTTCGAGCTGATTGCCTTTTCATGAGTCTTCTGGACTTTTTATCTTTGGGTACTAAAGGATCTCGCCCTGTTATCACAGAGTGATGTAGCGAATCCAATGAGGTGAGTTGCGGCCTTAACTCATCTGCCGGGTGTAATGAGCCTGATGAGCTCACGCTGCCGACTCGATGTCGTTCTGATGTAGGTGGTGGTACACTTCTTTGTGCTAGCATAGAAGTATCCATAGTGCGTGTCCTGGGCCGCAGACTTCCGCTTGTGTGCCGTAGGTGTTGACGCGGAGGGCTGGATTCACTGCTTTCGTACGAATCGCTGAAAACTTCGTTGAAAACCATGCCTTGCCTGCGAGTTGGCCCGGAGGGTATAGTCCGGGGCGAGCTCTGTTGTGAAGAGGAACCTCGCGGGGTCTGTTGCGACTCTCCAGTCACACTGACGATGGGAGGCTCGACAGGGTCGGGGGTTATGGAGCGGACGGTGGACGAGGCATTTATCAGCGTATTTCGAAAGGCAGACCTCAGGTTGGATGAACTTGAACGCTCCATCTTGGGGTCCCGCGGGAGGTTGAGGTCGGAGGAGGAGGCTTGGTTCCAGGATGCGGCATCACTGGAGGTGCCGGATCGTGAATGGTCTTGTTCGTCCATGTTTGGCGGTCGCAAGCCTAAGCCATTGCTTGTCCACATCCACATACACGCGCCCGTCCCGCATTGAGGAGAAAGAACCAGCAGTAGAAGTAGTTTTTGCGAATACGACGAGGCTTTGACGTTTGGGGTGGATGCCGTCGAGGGCTGTCTTGCAAGGCAGGCGGGGGAAGCGATTAAGCGTTATAGGCGTTTGGAATTAGTCGGTAGATGACTATCGATCATGCGAGTATCGCTTTGGATCGTAGTCAAATAGTGCGCCTGTCGTGATTGTCGTCGGGTGGTTGATCCGATTGTTGAGGGATCTCTTGCAAATCAGTTCACTGGTTGCGGGGAGAAGGCTTGTTAGTCTGGGCGGGCAGGGAATCGCAAGCTGGGAGGGGGAACATACGCGAGATCAGCAAGCTACCTTAGGTACCTATATAACATGCACTAAGCCGCCCCGGGAAAGAATAAAATAAAAGGTAGAAGAAAAAATAGGTTAAAAAGGAAGAAAAGGAATAGCTCAATATTGGAGTAAGTACTGAGTAGAAGCACGAGGCTCGGGCAGTGAGTTATTGTCAGCTATTTTAGACAAGAAAGTGAATTGCGGTGAGTTGAAGACGTGGTGGTGTCTTCTAGTTTAATGGCTAAAGTAGAAGCTAAAAGCAGAGAGGTAAAAGTGACTGGGGGGGGCCAGATGGATCACCTATGGAATTACAAGAAATTACAAGAGCGCACCAGGACTGGATCTGGGATATAAGAGTGGGCGTGAATCAATTCAAACGTCGCCACGCGCTCATTCTCACGCACGCACGCACGCACTCGACGCAGTTCAAGTCAAGTCAAATGTCTTTGTAAACCAAGTACAAAGCCACTGTGAGCCAATGGTTTTGCGTGAATCCAAAGCTCAGGCTTAAGCGCAACCCGAGAAAAGGGAAAAACAGACCTTGCTATGCTGATTCCAACAACCCTGAACGCTGTTCTAGTAGGGATGGCCTTGTTCCAAGTCTTATTAAGGTATGGTATTGTATAAGTAAATCAATCCTTTTCTTCCATCTCAAGCAACTGCCGGAAGTATAACCATAGTCTTTGTCAATTAACGTCAGGGTTTTGTCCTCTCTCCCCTCCCTTCTGCAATCACCTCCATCCTGTACCAGGACCTGCTTCTTCTGTCTTGGCCCGGCTTCGAGAAGCGGGGGATGACTGATGATTCAAGCAGGGACGGTTTTTTTTGCTGCCGATCACATACACAATGGAACGCCATGCAGCCTTTTCGGCTTTAGTAGTCGGGCGAGCATCGACAACCAATCGTTCTATTCACTTATCCTGTCTAGCTGTAGGAAGATGCCGAGACAGAACGGGCCGTGGCGAGAAGATGGTTAGGGAGGTGAGGGAGGTATCCGTACTTACGTATACCTCCTTCGATAGTCAGACAAGCTTCCAAGGCTACAATCATCCGTATCTGTGACTATCTTCACTGTTGAATGCTGCAGGGCCATCCTTACAGAAAAGAAGCCCTGTAAGTTTGACCCCCAGCAATGGAAGGCCTCCATAGCCTGGGTCCTGGTTCTGGGCACGCAACGCAGCACGCAACAGTGGAGGAGTGTGGAGTTCTGGAGTTTGGAGAGCGGAGAGCGGATCTCTTGGAGTTACAGCAGAACTGAGTTGACGACGTCGCAATCCGAAATTATGTCTCGCCTAACTGCATTGCCGTGATTATGTGATGATAGTATCAGGATCATCCGATATCTAGTCAATGCAATATCCGTACGTAGTCAGCTATGTGATGACTTGTATTGAGGCCGCCCAATACCCGTCAAGTATGGATAGTGGTTAGATTAATTCTGCTGAAGCAGCCCGGAAGCTCTGCTGTTCACCAAACTCAGTTTACCCTGTCTGATCCCCTGAGACTCTGTCCAACTTTGACAGCCACACCCGACCCGCCAGACTGGTTGTTGGGTGTCGATTGTTGATTGTTGGGTGTTGGTTGTCCATCTGACAGCCAGCGAACCCCGACAGCCCCATCACCATCTCACAGCGTCGCATCGGATTTCCATGTTGCCTATCCTGCTTATCCCGCAAGTTTCATCCCAAGTCATTTGGCGTTCCAGTGTTTACAAACCCCAGGGACGGGAATGAACATGGTCCATGGACACCAAGACAGGGATCTTCGGATCCTATGATCCCAGAAAAGGATATCCCGCGGATGAGTTTTTCCTGTAAGGGTTCGAGTTGCGACAACTGGGTGCTACTGTCCTCAATACCGGATGTCGTATCCTAGGGGGGGTCTGCTGGCTAGGATCAGCGCTTCGAATGTATAATCGATCAATCTCAACGTTCGTTAGTTTGTCCGAAGGTTCGCGGAGAGTGACAGGAATGACTCGAGTTGTTGATCATTCTCGATATGAAGGCTGCAGATAACAAGTATAGGTGAGAAAAAGGAGTTGGTTTCCTGGATCAAAGTGTCCGCATTAACGGCCATAACCCGGAAACAATCACACAGAATGTCATCCGGCAGCTCTTAGCTTTCGCCCGCAAAGGCGGGCTGATATCAGAAGCTCTAGCATCTATGCAGGGCAAGTCAAGCTTGAGCAGCCGCTAATACAAGAACATCTACGGGAGGATGTACGAGTTCCCTAGTTTCTAAGTTAATCACATTTCGCTTCCGAATCTCAACCCCGAGTGGCTCAGGAACGAGATCGTCAGTCAAAATCAGGCCGGGGTGTTAGAAGGACGCCAAAAAGCAAGATCGAGTCTGCCAGGAGCGGATAAACGACTCCAACGAGCAAGTTAGCTTGTTCGTGTACCTGGCGCTACCTATCAAAGAGAGACTAAGATTTGAGGCCGGAGACGCCCACAGGAGTATCTCCTCTTGTGACCAACAGTTCTTGGCAAGGCTCAAACTCTCCCGGTACTATGGGAGAAAAAGCAAATAAACCTTGTCAAAGCGCAGAGGAGCTTCAAGTACGGATAAGCATTGCCAGAGACGATATCAATTGGTCTGATTATCTGATAGTACTCATTTCTCCTGAGTCTTGCCCCTGATGATGATGGCCACAAGTTCGGAAATAAGTCGAAATAGAACTGAGTTTGTTGAGAACCCCTGAGCTTACGGCATGTCGTAAGCACGCATTGCACGCATAACGTTGTAGGATCTGCATACATGCATACAGGTTATGGATATTGAAAGATGAGGCTGTTGGTTCCAACGCCGGTTGTCTGTCCCGTCCCGCCGGCGTGGGACGATCCCACGTGCCGCATTGAATCTACTGATACTGATACAAGAAACCAAGAGATCAAGAAACTTCTCATCTCCATAATTTGCTTCAGACTAAAAGTTTAAGTTTGGAGCTGCATCCTACGTGTCAAAGGGAAGGCCTATCATGGACTGAGCCGAATACATGACAATTCCATTGCTTTTGCTTTTGCTCCTGCGAGTACAATCTCAACGGATTGCTACCTTTATTGATACATCTCCATATCCATGATGCAACTTACTAACACCATTGACTTATAAGCCGTCCATTTCCAAGGCAATTGTTTCCCATCAACACGTCACCGTCAGTGCCCTCTAGGGGTTGTTTCGTTCCTGTCAACGTGTCCGGGTGCTGGAGAACCAGCGATACATACAATGGACCAATCAGTGCCTTTTCCAAAGCTTCCAATTTTAGAGGCTTGCTTGATATGTATCCATTAGCGACCTCCTTTATATCTTTAAATAATCAAGCACAGTCCATCACTTGACCCAAGAGTCTCTTAAAACATCATGTCATAAGTAAAAGGTTATTAGGCAACATAGACTTCAGGATCACACCGCTTCTGTTTCTATCAGTAGACGTCTAATTGGTAGTCAGGCTGAGTTGTGTTTCCACGCTTCCGTCTTCGGACTTCGTCATGTTCCATGTGGTACCATGCCACCGGTTTCAGCAATCCATACACAATAAGCAACATGATCTATAGGGTACACGTGTACGGATAGTACCCTGATCAAGTCATCCTTGAAACAATCTACTACCTCTAATTCATGACGCCCATGCTAGCAGGTGGATCAAGTTGCCCTTCAATACTAGTGCTCATGATGTGACAGCCGCCTATATGCATTGTGATGCCTTACAGACTCCACATATTCATACCCATCATGATACACAGCAGCTGGAGTCACCGTTTCAGAATTCACTCGTGTTAATGAAGGTCATGTTTGTGCTCATATTGTGTGTGCAGCGAGAGTTTTTCTTGCTCGGCGTCAAGTGTATAATAACAGTGACACACATGTCCATATGCCGTTCTTCCTTCCTGTGCGTCCCTGGTGCTCTAGGTACCCATTGATATGATGTGAAATCATTATTCACTTTGGTGACGCCCCCTTGCCAAGAAATCACCCGCAAAAATATTGAAGTTGACGCAATATTTTGAATACTTGACTGCCGAATGGGGCAGTTGGTTTTGTATTTTCTCGCGCCAGAAAAGAAGTCGACAAAGACTAAGAAAGCATGATTTGTGCCTGGTGTCTGCATCGCGCAAAATCTCGACGCCTGGTTAAAGTCTCTCTTCCAAGTCCCAATTGCCAGGTCCCAGTTTGTCTTCATCTTCCAACCCTCCCAAAATGACGATCTCCGTAAGGCATCGTAGTCGAATTGAATAAGTGAACTAAATCACCAAATAGTAAAAAGTATTGCATTTGCTGTGTGGATATCATCGATTCTCCTCTTAAAGTAGCGTCCCTCTGTTTGCGCTAAATACTGATATTAACGAAGGTGGGATGTCTCAATCGGGCTGGTAGGGCCACTACGAGCATGGCTAAAATCACTGCTGCCCGTACGTCGTAGAGCTTGGCTCATGGTCTCGATGTTCAAATCTCCGCCCAAAGGATTGAGTTTGAGGTTGTTTGTGCTTGTTGGGCTGCCCAAAGGTCTTCGCGATGGGCTCAGCTCAATACCTTTCATGCTTCCGGGGTTGCTCGTAGGAGGACTTGTCTCAGGCCCTTGGCTCGACACTGGTGATCGGATGGGTGAAGGCGAACGGTTGACCGTTGTTGGCAGAGACGTAAGACCTGCAAGGTGGATGCTGTCGCGGGATCCTGCAATGCCTACACCTGCAGGAGGGTTGTGTTCAGCCTGTACAACATCGGCAAACGAGATGAAGGATAGCCGGCGGACATCGGAGGAATCCAAAGACCCATAGTTGGAAGCGTTATCGGTCGAAACAGCATCCCGATTAGCAAAAGAAGCAAGCTCAGCTGCCCACTCGCTGGCTGACGGGTCGTACACGGGCAAGCCATTGGTGGCTCCTGTGACTGTCACAGCTGCGGGCTGATGCGAAGAGTGGGTTACGATCTCGACAGTATCAGGGTCAAGCTTTTGGTTTGTGATTGCTTCGGATGCATCGTCCAGGACAGGAGGAATAAAGTTTTCGGTCTGGATATGTGTCGGAATAGCGGGAGAACTGGGGTTGACAGAGCTGTCTTGGACATCACGCTCGAAGATCTGGGAGGTCGCTGGCGATGAAAGTCGTGGAGAGCCGGTGAGGCCGCGGCCTGGAGACGAGGGCAGTGTGAAGCTCTGCTCGGCAGTTGGAGGCCATGATGGCTGGTTCGAAGATAGCTTTGAGATATCTCGAGACAGAGGTGGACTCGCAGGGTTGGAGTTTGCGTTGGATGGAGTTTGAGACTCAGACCGAGATTGGTTCTTGGAATCGTCGGTGTCGGGCTTGGAGTCGGATTTTGAGAAGATTGATGACTTCTTCTTAGCAAGACTGAACAAGCTTCGCATCTTACTCTTTCCGTCCTTCTTGGTATCGTCTCGCTGACTGTTTGTGTCGTTGTTGAACTCGCTGGCTCGAGGCGTGGAGTCACCTAACCGCTGGTCGTCTCCCGACTCAGGGTTGAGATATCGATCATCACGAGTGATGGGTGCAGCTTCGGCGAGACTCATTCTGATAGCTGGGCCCGAATGCTGGGTGTGGGGAGTTTAGTGGTTTTGGCTGCGTTTGTTGATGAAGTATTTGACAGAAGTTTTGCTGGAGCAAAAGGTTGTCTGTGAAGCTGATCGATGAGGTCGAGTTAGTAAATAAGGTCGTGGAATCCGGCAAGCGAGAGGAGCAACACGACGGGACAGGGAGGGTAATATGTAATATGTACTCTGTACCTCTGTAGGTACTGTACGGAGTGGGATGGGATGGGATGTGTTGGGTCAGAGGCCGATCAAGGAGAAAACAAAGTAAAAACGACCGTGCGGAACTGAGACTTTGTTCCTGGCGCCGCCGCAGTTGCCCTTTAAGATGGGAGAAACATTGAATATTGAATTAGATGCTGCACAAACCTTTAGACTAACGACCTGTAAAACAATCAGGTCCGTAGCTCCCGGTTCCCGGTATAAGACTGGAGACTTCCGTAAACAAAGACCCGCAACGGCCAGCGCTAGATGTAGGGGACCTGCTAATCGGGCAATGCCGTTGTCCGTCAAGCCGCCGTCGATGGTAGGCGTGATGCACTGAGATTTACAGCTTCTGTCGAGGAATCAGGCGAGAAAGTACTCGGTAAACTTTTGAGATATGCTCTGGTGGTGAGAGACAAGTCGCGGATAGTGCGATGAATGCGGATAGAAAAAGGGCCAGGTGGGCTGAGACGCTGGGCGCGCTATGGCTTCGGGTGCAGCGTATTCGTGCAAAGGGAGACGAAGCCCTGAAAGTGCAGCAGGCGCAGGCTTATTGCTTTTATCGGATGTCACTCGCCTCGTTGCCCGTGTGTAGTAAGGTGCAGGGTGCCAAGATCTGATGTTTATTGTCTGCCGAAATGAACAATGAAAGTGAGAAGGGGGAGGGAGAGGGAAGACAGAAAGTCAGAATGGAACTGGAACTCGACGAGAGGGGATGCACGAGCTCTAAAGGAATTGTATCGCAACTGCAAGTGACAGTGACGGGGGGTCTTACGGCAGCGTAGGTGGCTTTAGAAGCTTCAACACTTGGACGATCAGCGCACTTTGAACAAGGCACGGGATCAGCTGTAGGCGGGATGATTGCACTAAGGTATCCAGGCGCCAGGGCCCGTTACGGGGCTATTTCGTGTGAGTCGCCAGATCGCACAGACAGAACCTCCACTGGCAGCCAGGGACGAGAGATTTAATTGCAATCGAACCGAATCCATGGAAAAGAACAAGCTTGCAAATGTGACCACGGGACCGCTGCCAAGTTGGCACAACCGACGACACCTCTCGAAGCAAAGCAAAACCTGCTTAAAACTGACAAGCATCGAGATGCTAATGCCAATGACCATACACGAAATACAATCAAGGACCAGGGCTGGCCTGTATCGTGACCACGTTTTGGAATCTCGTCCTTCCAAATGCTCTGTTGGTCATCCATGTTGTGATCTTGCATTGAATGTTACGTTTTCTGGTATCCTGCACCGGGCTGCACTAATCCATTCATATGCATGCACTCGACAAAGGGACTCTCGCCAATGCAAGTCAGGCACCAGAGCCTATACTAAAGGGACTTTGTCCCAATGATACGAGTATCAGCCCTAGACTGCCTATCTCAGATACTGAGGGACTGATCCGACGGGCTCGAGCGTCCCTTCATCACCAGGGATATCATGATATTGTCGTCCACTCCCTTACACACGCTGGCACAGCCTTGGTAACATGTGGTTGCTATATCAATTTCATCAGTCCATTTCTCCCTCAAACAGCAGCCTTCGTCCTGCCTTGGAATGGTTGGGTGCCGACGCCCATCATCTCGGGTCACCTCTCTTATCACATCCCATCACTGTCACCAACCTAGCTACAGCCCCGCTACCGACATGACCCTCGTGACAGTTCCTTCAGGGCTCATTTTCATCGGCCCTGGCAGAACAGCACAGAACAGGCTAATAGGGGGTAAGATCCGCGCGTATCTGCATCGAAGTGAATGTCGACAAGGGAGAAGGGGGAAGGGTGCCATGGTTATCAACCGGTTGTTGCTTTCTGGCTTCAAACAACATCATAAACACCAAAAACGCAATCTGATATGCATCATTGGGCTTCCCTTCCAGCCCCAGCTTGATACTCCAAGTTTTGACAGGCCCAAGTGCCGACCCTTAATTTCCTTGTTATATCTCGCCACTGATAAGGGGTCGCTGATCGCCCTGTAATCCATCCCCATCTCTAACATTCTGTCAAGAATTTTCTGTAGATCTGTTTAATGCCTGAGAAAATGAAACATGGGACTCGTCAGCTTGGGGGTTCGTCTCATTGGAAGAGCCGAAGGTAAATGCCACGAGGGGTCGACGGGTAGAACCAAGAGGGGCATTTCTCCTGGCTAACTGGACCGACGTCATACGCTTACCTTGACCGAGCTAACGCTAGGCTAGAAGATCTCATGAGCTGTCTTATCATGTGATCCTGAAAGTCGTGGCCACGTGATCAGCTGATTAGATAATGGGATGCATTAGGTAATCATCGTGGCAGAAACTTCAGATCTTCGACTTCAAGGTGTCAGTAGGGCCAAGCTATAATCACACGATACGTCAATTGCCGCGGCCAATCGCCCTCAGCCCGGTACCCAAGGTCCACAAGATAATCTGACACTTTGATCAGTATTTTCATCTTCGCTTCACCCCTGCATTTCTCAATTTCGGTTCTTAGCAATACTTCATCGGTCACAATGGAGTTTCGAAGTCTCGCACGACCAGCTGCCCGGCTCTTCAGCCCTCGCGCATCGGCTCTTCCCATCGTGCCTTGCCGTGGCCACAAGACGACAAGCCGAACAAAACGGTCTCTCAAGATCGCTCCCCACGACTCTTTCCTCCCCGACCGAAAGACCGCTTTTCCCGCCTCCGATTCCATCATTTACAACCCTCCTTCGTCCGAGGCATCTCCTCTCCATACTCCATTCCTCTTCCTTCCTCCCAACGATGCGCGCCGTGCCGCTCTCACACGACTTCGACACACTCCCGGCTCTCCACTGGAGCCACCGTCTGAGGGCAAGCTTCCCCCGGCGATGAACTATCCCCGCCGCAACCCCAACTATAACCTCAACGCTGCCGACATCAAGGAGATGAAGCGGTTAAGGACAGAGGACCCGGAAACATGGAGCGTCAACAAGCTTGCTGAGAAATTCGGCTGCTCGACTGTGTTCGTCAAGATGGCTGCTCCCGCACCAGAGAGACACTTGGAGGGTCTCAAGCGAAAGCAGGAGAGAAGGGAAGCTCGATGGGGTGCTATCCGAACCAACGCAAGAGAAGACCGCAAGAGGAGAACAGATATGCTGTACCGCGGCGAGTTGTAGTGAGGTTTTCCTCTAGAATGTTAGCGGAAGGACGGAGCGATTGTCCATCAGATTTGTACAAACACATAAAATTCGATTGGAGCTTGTGTATGATTATGATCATGAGATAGGGAGTGAGATGCGAATCATGTTGGATTGAGCCCGGTGAGAGGGTGAAATATATGTATAATTGCCAAATACCAAAAAACTCCTTCAATACAATAGCCTCCTGTGTTTTAAACCGCTCTTACCCTGAGTATATTTCTTATATGTCTCATCATATTTCATCTGCCAGAAAGTTCAGGGCATCTAAATGTCCAATGTTTCTCCCCGGCGTGTGCCCCACGAATCTTCCCTATTCCCAAGATAACACCATATTGATGCTAATCCGATACACATACACCCGCCTATGAAAATGTTCATAGTCAACCCAGTATAACTAATTGATGCAAAGCAATTTAATCCAGTTTCATCTCAACAGACCTAGAAGTCGATGTTGATGTGCGACGACTACCTCCAGCGCTTGAAGATGACGAAGAGGGCGGCTCATTCAAGAGATCCTTTTCGCCAGGGATGACACGACTGCACCAACCGCACCATGATCGACGCACGCCTCTGACCTCTCGGCCGAGGACACGGCTGCCGCTTGAGCGCTCATCATCCCACTCGGGAACACCGCGGCCAACACGCACCATGCGAACACGCTTGCGCTTCACAACGCCGCCGATGCCCTCGATCTCGTGGCGCAGGTAGCCGGGACCGAGAGACGGCGACGGTGTGCGCTCGTGCGTGAGGCGAAGCTGGTCGATGAGTGCGTCAACCGGAGCTTGTTGCGGGCCCTGACCCGTGGCAACGTTTCCATCGCGGGCGTCCTCGGCGTCGCAGTCTACTTGGTGCTCGACTTCTTTGGCAGCACAGCAATCTGCGTCGCGACCGCAAACGACACCGCGGTCGCCCTCGCCTATACCTGTGCCAAGACCGCCCAGGACTTCACCGTACTGGTTTCGCCAGCGCCAGATGCTAGAGTGAATCAGCGAGAGGGAACGATTAAGAGAACAATAAGGCATACCGTTGATAGTCATGGTCTGCGGCACGAATACTTCGTCCACAGGGTTGACAAAGCCAGACGCCCTCATCGGCGCACTTACACACGTCCCGCGATACCAGCTCGGATGATAGGGGGACGTCTGGATCTACAGGGGCCTTGATGAGGGTTGCAATCGAGGCGTGAACACAAGGTTTGCAAAGTCTTCTGTGTCTTTCTTTGAGTGCAACGGAAGCTGGTGGCTTAATGGCACAGTTCTGTAACGGTTTAAACGTTAGTACACGAATTCTGGTCGACTTTTACCGGCTGCATGCAGATTGATGTACGTACCCGGCATATCACATCGTTGCATCTGCGACACTCGCCGACCATATCCCGAGCGCAGTCGCCCGACTTTCCGTTGTAGCTACGGCCATCTTCCATGTAGAACCAGTTGCCGGCGCGAGCGCGGTAACGAAATGTCTCGGAACCATCGACCGGGACGTGCTCGTTTTGACAGTGGAGGGTCGAGTTGATAAGGGTGCTGCGATACTGAATGAGGCCATGATGGACAAGGCGACAGGTACGAGAAAGAGCGTCGAGGGTGTTGAGATCGATAGAAGCAACGATGGCTTCAACGACACTATGTCAGTGGTCAGAAATGGAGTTGTCATGACATGTACCAAAGCAGGCATTAAGTGAGCCGAGAGATATCATGATGAAGGCCAACACCCTTAATCATTAATCTCCCGAGGCATTGAGTTTGCAAATTGAGTATAGAAGAGATTCAACTCACGGATAGCATTGGAATGCGCTGGTGATAGGCGACTGGAAGGTAGGAGAGTCCATGGTGCCTAGCGGCTCTGGGTTATACAAAGTATGAGGCCAAGGTCCATTCCGGCTATTGGCAGACAGCAATTCGAGCTTCCTGAGGAGTAGCAGATGCTGATCTTTTTGAGAAAGATCGTTTTGCTGGGACTCGTCATGATGTAGAGTTCCCAGAGAGGAAATCGGGGGCGGGATGGGCGGCACGACCTCATCATGAGGAGCAGCGGCACGAGGATCGTTGACGGGAAAGCCACCAGGGCCCGCACCAACATCCTCGTCTTCGTCCAAGTCCACAAAACGCGCCATGGCTTTTTTTGTTTGGGTTTCTTTTCTCTTGTTCTACTAGTGGTTTGCGTCTTGGCACTTAAAAAAACAGTACAGTGTGAAGGAACGGTGAACCCCAGGATCTGATAAGCAGAGCACGCGACGGGGGAGGGGGTGTTTAGAAAGTTCGGGGGTGAGATAGATGTTAATGTTAGAACCGGAAGTTGACGACCGGAAGGGGGCCCGGGATGCGGAGCTTTTTTTGTGAGAGAGATCGGAGCTAGACACGACAGAGGAAGGTAGAAGTAACAAAAGCACTGTAGCTTGTAGGTACGGTAGATATGGAGGTGAAACCAATAGTAGGTGAGGAGGGGCGTGGAATGCAGGAAGAGAGAGAGCGAGAGAAAAGAAGGTGTAGGGTCGTTTAACGGAAGGATTAATGTTTCTGAGTGTGACGGTTGAAACTGGAACTGGAACTGGAATTGGAACTGGAACTGGGGCGCTGACGAGTGAGTAACAAGTGGGTTATGGTTCTGTTACGGAGGCCGGGAGTTGATGAAGCGGGGAGAGACGGAGCGGGACAAAAAGATCACGGCGAGGAAGAGATAGAAGGAATAGGTTATGGTGAGAGTTTAGAACCGGTCAGTGAAACTACACAAACCGGTTCGTTAGGTGGCTGAATCATTGACTCCTGCGATTGCGATTGCGATTGAGAATGAGACAAGAATGGCGAGAATGATTGCATCAATCAAGTGGAATCCAATCCCCGTCAATGATGCGTCAGTCACTTGATACCAGCCACAGCCCGCCAATGGCTGAGCTAACTGCTATAAACCAAACTAGTATGCCTGTGGTAAAGTCCAGGACCATTTGCTGAAGCTTGTCAGAATAGCCAAGAATAGCCTAACCAAACAAACCGCTCCAGAGTGTCAAGAGCCGATCGAAGCCAGGACAAACCATCATGGGAAGCGAAGCGAACCTCAATGTTTCCCCTCTTTTTGTTCCCGTTGTATTAATAACTGTTATTCCCGATGCTCAAGTGGAGACTATCAGGTGCAAGTGCGAGTGTAAGTGGTTGTTCGAGTTTTTAGTTTTACAGGCCAGGAATTGAAAATGAATCTGTATAAACCGGCGGTGACGCTTATGTAGTGCTGTAATACGATATGGCCCAGTAACGAAATAGCAATCCTTTCTGGCCTACCCAAGTCACATGGGGTGAACCAACAAGCCCCCACGTGGTTTTTTACTTGTCATGAGACGAGCAGATTTCCCTTACTCGCGTCTTATTACAGATGCAGATGCAGATGCAGATGCAGGGGCATAAAGAGACAATTCACCATTCAAATCGCAACAGGACTTCTCGTTACGTACAATGCCTTCCTCTTACAGAACCATACCCAGGTCTAGCTCAACCGTCAAGACAATGTGCGAGCAGAAAATAGCGACACGGCGACTTAGACCATTCCGGTGTCGGGGCGCCATGACAATCTCATCTTATCAATCTAATCTCTCATGCAGCCTACCCCATACCACCGCCGATTATACCCACTGTCGGGCTTGTTGGCGTCAAAGGGTTGGTCTGCTTCTGGCCTGCAGATTTTTTTGTTGAGGGTACGTAAGAGCTCGGTTCGCGAGAAGTGCTTCTCGGATTTACATTTCTATATTGGCACCCCAGCACTTGTGAGTTGGGATCTTCATCATGCAAGCTTACAGTTCGTGTTCTTTCCAGAATACACCTTCGAATATTCTAAACCGTCTTCTAACTATTATGAACTTTACACCTTAATACCATTATAGTGCATTGACAATGTTGTTTGTGTTAAAAATGAGTTGTCTCAAATTGTCTTATTGCCGAAACTTGTACAAAACTGTAAATACCTTCACCAAGCCAATAGCTCGATGTTACTCGAGGAGAAGGCTCCTGTTTACAACAAAAGCATTGAATAGCAATTGCTTATCTTTTGGGGCAACTTGACTCACTTCTAACCTGATCAAGGCGATGGCGATGGCGATGGCGATGACTTTCCTCGGTTATCATGAAAGTTGATCGTTCTGTGCTTGGGGTATAGGTTAACGCACAAAGAAGTGCGATATCACATATCAAATTAATAGTAAACGCAGGCCTGCGAACTCCTTCACTTTACCTCCATGCCTCCCCAATAAAGCCGATCGAAGTGACTAGGCCAATTCCCATCTATGTAGAGTATCGTGGATCAAAGACAAATCTTGGTTCGTTACTACCACTGGGATTGTACTTGCTTTTGGAACCACCTCCTCACCGATTGGCATGGCATTTGCACACCATAGTATAATTGACTAGCACATGCCAATTTGTCGTATATTGCTTCGCACCAGCTTTGGTCTTTTGGCCAATATCACTTAGATCACCCTTCCCAAACTCCCACCTGTACTGTCAGAATGGCATGGAACACAGACTGTACGTTCATAAACCTCCATCGCCAAACATGGAGGTAGCTGAATAGGGCATCAAGCATGAATACAAGCTTGAGTGAGTCAGTTTAGTATAAATCACGTTAGTCCATCAAACTTGACTAGTCTTCCAGGATGATGGAACAATCAGCACACATGTCCCCTTACTGTTTATTCGATCTAAGGATTTCAAGAAAGGGTCCAAGTATGTTGATGACACTTCTAATAACTGTTAGCTTCGAATTAAATTAATACTGTATGTTACCGAGGCTAACAACCCGTGCCAGGAAGGTATTGATAGAGTGTCACATCCTGTGAAGAAGTGTGAAGAAACCTGGTAGATTAATACTTTGAGCATGGAGCAATTCTTAATAATTGTACTTCCCTCAAAAGAGAAGAGGATTCAAAGACATGCTCCCAGAAATCTGCCGCTGAATCTGTGGCTTGAGTTTTAATCGCAATTCTTCAACTCGTGGTAGGATGATATCCATATTGGCTTGAGCCAGAAGACGTCCTCGTAGGTCTTTTTTTGCTTCTGATTCTCATTTTTTCGTCAATACCCATATCCATACCAATAACAGCTTGTCATTGTTGCAAATACGCGAAAGCTGTGATTTGATTGATCGAGAGTTAATGATTCGTCACCTCAAACCGAGGGTCCTTAGGTTTCAGCTACCTCCTCATGAAGAATCACTCTGTCAATCGGCAGTTTCACATTTCACGTCAGCCACATACTACCGCACATTATTGGGTAGGGTTGGGTTATAATAGAGGGTTCATATACTCCTAGTCCTGCCTGTCTTGCCTGTGGCAGGATATTTATAGATGGTGCGTTGTAACAGATGCCCCTTTGAAAGGAGGCTGCCTGTCTACCTACTCTGGGAAAAAGGACATACATGTATCTCCTTATATGTAATCGAAATATGGGTTCTTGATGTGACAAACTACCTGATCAACAACGTTGAGGTTCCGGATGGGTCGGAGAAACTTTCAGATCAAGACAAAACACCCACAAGTCAGCCATCGATTAACGTTCAGCACTCCTCTTGTGAATGCAGGATATTCGACTTCGGCTTGGACGGAAGGCATAACGCGTCCCCCAGATGAGATGGAAAACACAACATGATTGTCATCAGGGTTGATTTATTGGATAGGGAGTGAGCTAATGCAGGAACAACGTCCCATGATCCACTGATCTTCCAAGCCACCCCCAGCTTACCCTGGGTCACACCGTTGCACCACTTGACAAGTAAGGTAGGGAGGATTGAGTAAAGGATTCGAGGATCTGGTTCTATCACAAACTATCTATCATCAAACTGATCGAAGTGTACTGTGTTGTAGTCAAATCTCCGAGCTCTCTCCTTCAAACATGTTATCACAATGAGCACCAATGAGTGAGTACCCGTTTACATCTATACAATACTTTAGGCGTTTCTTTTGCTTTTCATAGCCAATGCATAGTTTCCATGTGAAATGATCCTACACGTACCGACCCGAGATTACACCGGCATTTATGACGATGTCAATGATTACGAAGGATCAAAATCCCCATCCCGTTTCATGAAACAGAAACAAGCTGATTTGGGGAAACAGCAAATAGGATGAGACCTGCAGCTTGTGTAAATTAAACTGCGACGATCCGGCCGTGCTGTGTCTAAGCGGGAGCTAACAAGTGGCTCTTCCAAGGAAGATATCATCCAAGCGCACTGAGTAGTGCTGATGCGTAGGTTCATCCACATCTCATATTAATATAAACGAAGTTTGTCTTATTGCTCGGGTGTGCCAGTGACGGTAATGATCATCACATCAATTAATGAGAAGGGGCCTCGTATGCCGTTGTGAATGAGAATATCCGCACATGTATCGAAGACTATGGATAAGTCGGCAAAGTCCGTCCTTGTCACAATCAAATAGATATATTCAATATTCTTCAACTGCAGAAGTCTAAAACAAGATCGGGTTACTCATCTGAGTTGCAGGTTCTCAAGCCAAGGGGGGGGGCTGTGTTTGTTCCTGGGGTGAGGCGAGTGCAGCATCTTCAGGAAAAGATCATGCTTGTTTTGCAACGACGGAGTCGTTGTCGTATGTGATCGAATGGGTTCGATTCGTGTACAAAGGACGAAATGCATGAACATAGCACCTCAATTCGGCCATGGGCTCTGTTCTGAAACATGCCAGAAGCAAGGTAGTTCGGAGCGTGAGGGGAAGGATGAAACTCAGTTCTGAATCATGTATAGTAAGAGATGAAGCTTGGACCAGGGTTAATTACAAGCATCACCACTGACTTTTTAGCGATTTTAGGCTCTAATTAGGTTGCAGACGAAGGATGCTGGCCGACTCTCGACTTGGCAGTGTTTTATACGAGTCTTTTGAGAAATTCAGAAGATGTTCTGGAAGGTTTCCAAATTGTGGAATGCGATTGGCTTAACAGAAACGCAACAGCGTAACTGACAGAAGTTTGGAGATGTGCAATATTCTCAGTATTATACGGAATATCGTGCATCAGATTGTTTATTCGACTCTTGGCCAGAATTAGAATTAGAACCTGATAATTCCCGTTGTAGTGGGAAAAAGCACCCGATAAGCCCATGTCTCACCCATGCCTCTCGTGCGACGTCAAAGCCCCGCTCCCCTGCAAATCCACTTTATGCATATTCCCTTGTATCGCATCCCTGCGTATGATCCTGAGCCTTGCCTTTCTCTACCTTCCATCTACCAATTACCTGCTCAAGCTCACTTTGCATCAGTTACCAGCTCTTATTACAGCCTTCACACCAAAACAACAGAAACCACCTACGGAGTACGATGCCGTTTGAATGCAAATTAGTGGGAGATCGGCGCAAGCTCTGCCCTGGCAAACAAAGTTCAAACAAGCTCTGCCTTGGAACATCACAATGATAGCTATAGCTGTCTCATCGATATTGTTAGCAAGTGCTGACCGACTCTCGCCCTATTTTTGGATCTGCCTTCACCCCAGAGGGCTCACTCGGCCGTCGGAATAGTTTCACTGTTGAACGGGAGGAGGCGTATTTGTCACAAACGTACTGTACACATGCACATACAAACACAAACAATCGGGTCAGATTCATAACCCATGGCGGTCATCCAAGGTCGGGTAGCAGGCCGAAAGACCATCGCGAATGTAACTCCCCAACTCGCCACAGGATGTATGTGTTTTGCTCGGTTCTTCCACACCGGAGAATTCATCATGACCAGATGAATGACGACAGGGTCCCTTAATTCCTCCACTATCTGGTGAGGACCAAGCCTGGTGGCCTGGCTACTGAGGAGGGCCCATGCCAATTGCTATTTGCTGCCAATATCATCCTGTCCAAGAAAGTAGGTAGCCATGGGCGCTCGACCCCAATATGGCACCCTACCCTTGTCCTGCAGTCCACTTCTTCCAAAATCACGTCTCGTGTATACTGATACATAGGTACTCTGCTTCACCAAGGTGCAGGAGGGGGACCTGACATCTCCATCACGTCTCATGTTGAGGCCACTTCAATTGAACCCGATCGATGACCGGGATGGTCGTGCTACTCCGCCCCCATGTCGAGCTCCATGTCACAGTAAACGCTCGAGACTTCTTTCTGCAAGGCTCGGCTGTGTTCTTAAAAGAAGGAAGCTCTCGCCTCTTTCCTGGCTTCAATTCACTTCAATACTCAACTCTCCTTCATTGTCTTCGTTTGCTCCCTGGTTTGGGCTTCTTTTCTAGTCATTCTCTTCAACAGGTGCTTTGGTCGCCCTTTTCAAGCTTCAACAACTTTGCTCTTTGATAGAGTCATTTCACTCATTGCCAATCGACAGAAAATACAAACCAAACCAAACCATACACTTTCGATCTATTTACTTCCTTCAACATGTTTATGCGCAACGTTTTGATCGCGGCTGTCAGCCTGCAAGCCCTTGTTGAGGGTGTGATTGCCCACGATAAGCCAGAGAAGGTCACACTCACTAAGTTTGTTACCAAACACAAGGCCAAGCCTACCGCCGCTGCCGCGGGTGACAACCCTTATGAGCTGCCTCCTAACCAGCCCGACGAGCCTGAGGTGACCGTTATTCCTACATCGTTCATCACCGACGGAACTACCATCTTCGTTGACGAGACCGTCACTATTCCTTGCTCCAGGTGCACAGCTAGCACAGCTGGCGATGCTGATGCTGAGGTCACCTCTGAGGTCATCACCACTGTCATTTCCAGCGAGGATGGCAACGTTTCGGACCAGACTGCTGAGGTGACCGTTATTCCTACCTCTTACGTTACCGACGGAACTACCATCTTTGTTGACGAGACCGTCACAATCCCTTGCTCTAAGTGTGCTGCTACTAAGACTGGTGGCGAGGCCGATGCTGAGACTACTTCTGAGGGCGTCTTTGTGACCTCTCCTCCTTCTGAGGAGACTACTGGCGGTGATTCTGATGCCGAGGGCACCTCTGCTCCTGCTGAGGTCACAACTGCTGACGACTCTGAGCCTGAGGTGACTGTCATCCCTACCTCTTACATCACCGATGGAACCACCATCTTTGTTGATGAGACCGTTACGATTCCTTGCTCCAAGTGTGCTGCCACCAAGACTGGTGGTGACTCTGACGCTGCCGGCACCTCTGAGGCTGTCACTGAGGCCGAGACTCTCTCTACTGCCGACGCCACTGACTCCGGCTTCATTACTGAACAGACTGCCGATATCACCACTGTCGTCCCTACCTCTTTCATCACCAAGGGTACTACCCGCTTTGTTGATGTGACCATCACCATTCCCTGCACCAAGTGCGCTGGTGGTAAGAACACCAACACTGCTGCCACTGATGATGCTGAGGAGACCACCGCTGCTTTCGAGACCACTGGCGCTACCCAGAAGGGTGCTGAGACCTCCGCTCCCGCTGATGAGACCACCGATGTTGAGGAGGCTACCCAGCCCGCCAACTCCGCTACTGATGAGGTTGATGCCAGCACTGAGGCCGCGACCCCCATCCCTACCATCATTCTCACCACCGGTAACAGCCAGAACACTTTCACTTCTCAGCCCGGTCCTTTCGCCAACACTACTGTTGCCGCTGGTGCTGAGACCACTGGTGCCGACCAGCTCCCCAGTGCCGTCACCTCCGAGGCCGCCACCAGCAGCGCTGTCATCAGCAAGGTCAACAAGCCGGTCATCGTTGTCATTCGTGAGGTCACCATCTTCCATCGCACTGTTGTTATCGGTGCTGCCTGCCCCCCTGTCAAGCGTGGCAACAAGGGTGACTTCGTTGTCGGTACCGGCTCCGAGGAGCAGACCTTCCCTGAGGTTGGCGAGGCTCTTGACGATGCTTGCTCCAAGCAGTTCAAGGGTTGCTCCAAGAACGCTGGCAAGAACTTCGAGGTTAGCGATTGCCAGAAGCAGCTCGAGATCTGCCGCAGTGATGCTTCCTCCACCGCCAAGGCCCCTACTGGCGACATGAAGGAGTCCACTGAGACCGCTTCCATTGTCCTTCCTTCCGATGCCAATGTTACCGGCAAGGACAACAAGGGTGCCCTCGGTGGTCACGTTGTCATCTCCACTCGAACTCTGACTGTCTCCGAGTCTTGTGTCATCTCTGGTGGTACTCCCGTCATCACCAACCCTGCCTCCACTGATGCTGCCGAGACCACTGCTCCCGCTGATGCTGAGACTACCGCTGAGGCCGAGGCTACCTCTGATGCTGAGGCCGCTGCCTCTACCGCTCTTGGCGCCGAGACTTCCGAGGCCGTAACTGTTGTTACTGGAACCAAGACTGGCGTCGTTGTCGTCACCATGACCAACTCTGATGGCGAGGTTAGCACAACTGTCATGACTCTTACCAACGGTGTTCCCACCGGTACTGGCACTGTTATCGTCCCTGGTAACACTGAGGTCGAGTCTTCTGCTGAGGCTGTCCCTACCTCCGAGGCCCCCGTTGAGACCATCCCCGTTGCTGAGACCACCGCCGTTGGTGAGGGCTCCAGCGCTCTTGGTGTCGGTACTACTGATGCCGAGACTATTGTCACTGAAACCAAGACTGGCGTCGTTGTCATCACCATGACCAAGTCTGACGGTGAGATCAGCGTTACCTCCATGACCCTCAGCAACGCTCTTCCCACTGGAACCGGAACTGGCGTTGTCGTTGTCCCTGGCAGCGGCGATGAGGCCACCGCTGAGGTTCCCGTTATCACCTCTGTTATCGTCCCCAGTGGCGCTGACCAGACCAGCGTTGAGGCACCTGCCGAGACCACTGAGACCGCCATTGGCCAGGAGACCACCGTGGTTGACAAGACTGTCACTAAGACCATCACCAACCAGGTTACTTCCTACGTCACCGTCGGTGTCAACACTGCCACCGTCGGAGTTGAGACCATCACCAAGACCCTGACCAACGAGGTCACCGAGACTGTCACCTTGTCTTGTGGTGGTGGCCAGAACGCCAACGTTGTCACCTCAGTTGTCACCATGTGCCCTGCTCCTACCACCATGGCTACCACCCAGAGCCGCGAGCCTGAGACCGTCTATGTGACCGCCACTGTCGAGGCTCTCCGCATGCACAGCTCCGTGCCTGCCCCTGAGCGCTTCCGCCGCATGTTGGGCTTCTGGTAAACGCAAAATTGTGAGCCACAGTTTCATTTCAATTCGACTTCACACAACCTTTTGGGCAAAAACAACATGAGGAGGATTTTAGAACGCATAGGATGGAAGGAGTTTATCATGGGTAGCGGCTATCACTCTCCATTAGCTACGCCTCGGTCTGAGACTAGGAACCGTACTAAAGGGGAGTGATGGTTCGTTAAGGAATGAGAAATATTGAGATTTAGATTTGAGATGTATCCCCTATGTTTATTTATGTGCCATGATTTTACCTACGGGTGTGTAACACCATGTATCAGCTTTGAATTAGAGAATGCAGCCTCTTTTGACAATTTCTTGTGTCCTTTGCCAGTGAACAACGCCGTGAAACACAAGTTGCCCATGGTCTAAACATGGTCTGATATCCCTATAGGCTGTATAGTCAGGCGAACGACTACAGCAATGTGAAAGTGGCTGTAAACTTAAGCAACAGACAAACCTCGAATCATTGATCAGATTCGACGATCGGTAAGAACCTGGTTAATAGTCCTCTTTGTCACTGTTCAACAATGATAGATAGCAATAGAAAGCGGGAGAGCAACATCTTGTTCATATTGTATCCTAACAAGAATAAAATAACAGCCAAAAAGGCTTATTTTCTCCCTAACCAAGCTCATTGAGCCACACAGCCCCCTTCTTCCTTCCATCACCAAAATTTCAGGGGAAAAAACACAAAACGCCCACAGAGCTCACCAAACGATAGCGTAGCAAGCATTGTCGTCGTAAGCTCTGGTTCAACACACTATCCGCAAAGCGATGGCGTAGGAGCACTTTCGCTGCCGAGGGACAAGGAAACTCGTAGGACAGCGTGTACAAACGCTGATGGGGTATCATAAAAAGCAGAACATGAACATAAAGGCCGGGGCCTAAAGTATAAATGACAGAATTATCCAAGCAAGGGGGTGAAATGCCTAGGAGAGTCTGACCTGGTAAGGTGAGCGAAGTAATAGCGCTGAAGCATTGTCACCGCGCTCGTCACCAGATTAGGTTTACTCCGAGGGCATTGTCGTTTTCAAGGCCGTCGTATTAGTGGTGTATGTACCGTTTTGAGGATGTGGCGACGCCTCGGGGCGGAACGATGGTCCCTTGTTGGATGGAGGAGAGAAATGAATGTCGGTAAGGCATATTATAGAAATATTGCCATTTTTGTACAAGTAGCCAGACCAGCAGGTTGGGCTGCTGATAGCTGCTCAGAGTGAGAAGTCGTCGGCCGGGGAGATTGTTGAAGATGCAGTCCAGACGAGCGATTCCAGGGAGTCTTAAACAGACTTAGGTACGGTTCGACTTCTTCCAAGGAAGAGATCCGAATCCGCGCTCCTGCCCCTCTCGTCGGGCTGCACCATCCTCAAACTCACTGGCCGAGTCGGACTGAAGCTTGCTGCTAGCTGGGTTGCCGAAGTACGTGAGGAGGGCCTTCATGGCGAAGGAGCTGAGAATGCTCATACACAAGATCCCAATCATGGTGTAGTTACTCTTGCGGTACTGGCGGGGACCAGGAGCGGCATCCTCAGGCCAGCCAGTGTAGAGAGCGTAAGTTGTCATGACGCTACCCAAGTTTCCGAGACCAGAGACGAGAGCAGTGGCGGCAGCAACTCCAACTTCACCGTGGCGCTTCTGGAATATCTCAGAGCTCCAAGCCATACAGATTGGGACAGTAGGGCCGAGGCCGAATCCAACCATGAGAAGACCTCCGTATCGCGCCCAACCATTGTTGGTTGCCAGAGTGGTGGTGAGGAGACCAGCGATCTGGATGCAGACAGCAGCGGAGAAAAAGTATGGGCGAGATTGGTGGAAACGGTCCGAGATGGGCGTAACGATGAGAATGGCGATGAGATCCATAATCCAGATAGGAGCAAACAACAGACTGACTTCGACACCGCTAGCCTCGGGCCTGATGGATGCGATAATAACGGATCCGTACATCTGGGTGCCTATACCTACGCCAACAACACCGAAGTACATCATTGTCAGTGGCCACAAACGCCAATCGATCAAGACATGGCCAAGATCCTTGAAGTTCCAGGGGCGAGAGTGGTAAACGCGACGAAGGTCGTGATAGTGAACAACAGCGTCCTGTCCCGTGAGGACTTCAGGGGTAGCAGGGAGCCACTTGAAAATGCCGGTCTTCGGCCTAGTTTGGCCAGGCGCAAGCGGACGATCTGGGAGCCACCACAGAAGAACTACACTCAGGACGACACCGACAAGGCCGTAGACCATAAACATCCAGCGAAAGCCCACGATGCCCCTTGCGCCGTCCATGAGCTGGAAGCCTGCAGAAACAAGGCCAACAACAGCAGCAGACACTTGCGAGGCGGTAAAGTAGTAACCGATTCGCTGGCCAGTGCGTGAAGGAGGGTAGAAGAGGGTGAGGTAGAAGGCCATGCCGGGCCACATGCCAGCAATGACAAGTCCAAGCAAGAAGCGCAGCAGCTTAACACTCCAGGGGTCATTGACAGCAGCGAAACAAGTGCCGATAACACTGGTGGCAAAGACGATGCGGGCCATCCAGAGACGAGGGCTGAGCTTGCTCATGACGAGGTTGGAGGGGCAGTCGAAGATGACATATGCGACGTAGAAGAGGGCGAGAGCAGTCGAAACATCCTTTGGAGTCATTCCAAGGACGGTCATGAGATCATGTCCCTTGTCCTTGTTCATTGTTTGCGCAATTCCAATGTTGGACCTAATGGCTGAGCACAGAAAGTAGAGGACCCAGAAGGCTGTATAGCTGATAAGTAAAGGGTCTCATGAGACAATAAAGCTTGAACTTACCAGGAATGATACGGCGATCGATCTTTCTATAAGAGGAATTGGTAAGTTACATATCAATCCGAGTGGAGCTGGTGACAAACCTGTAGATACGTTCAACCGTCTCGACGTCATAATCACCCTCTCGGGCATTTCCCTCTTCCTGATTCTCAAGCCCAGTGGAAGCAAAGTGAGGCTTGGACGCATGATCATCATGCTGGCCACCACTGGCAAGCGAGCTATGAGCTGACTCTGCCATGCTTAGGACTCAAGAGCAATGGAGGAGAGTGCTATAAGTCCGTTTGCAGGCGACGATTTTGGAAACCCGATATTAACAGTAGCGGATCGGTTGAGCTAGGAAGAGGGGATAATGCCAGTCGAGAGGGTTCCTACAGATAAGAGAAGTAAAAGATGTTGAGGGGAAAAGAGAAAAGAAGAAAGAGGGTGGAGGGGGTTTTTATTAAGAAGAAAAAAGTTGAGGGTTCTGGATTATTGAATTGGATTGGATGAGATGGATTGGATGGTTTGTGAGCCGATCTAGGCCGCTAAAACCGAATAAGCATTGGTCCGTTAACTCATTGGGGGGTTGCAGAGTAGCTTTTGCACCTAGGTTGGGGATAGCTCGAGGAGCTCTAAATGGGGCAGGGGCCACTGAAAGGTAGCTAATAGTATAGAGTACATGAAGCTAATTACCTGCCAGAAGAAACGTGATCGGCTGGTTTTTCTTGCTCCGGCTATGTCATAAGCATGGCAGTATAAGAATGATAGCAGAGATGGTGGCACATAGAGTGAGTCCTTTGTTTTGGCCATATTTGTTGTGTATGGGAAGAATAACATGTTGAGTTAAACCATAGTATCAACAAGGGTCTGTAGATCTCATTAAGTTGCAGTTGCAGCCGCAGTTCCAATACCGCGGATATAACGTGCGATACGGCCCGGCATGAGCCGTCTCTAAATTGCCGGTCGCCTTAACTTAAATCCTACCTACGAATAGGTAGTATCCGTATAAATCTTGTTCGGTAATCTACCGAGTTTCGACCGTCAGCGATCGGGAGAAAGACAAAAGATTCCACTTCTGTTTGTGGGTGGTGTTGCTTCATAGAATATTCGGTGTTTGTTCGGCTTTGAAACCGACAACTCATGGCTCAGGGATCGGGATAGAAAATAAGTATTGCTGAGGTATCTGTATATAGTCCATAATGTATACCAAATACTACTCTAGCATCTCCCAGGCCATATCAACCATTGAATGCCTTTTCCAACTCTCCAATGTCGAATTTCTTCATCTTCATCATGGCTTGAGTAGCTCTCCCCGCCGCTGCCTTGTCCTCAGACGCCATCATGTTCTTGAGTGCCGTTGGCACAACCTGCCAGGAAACACCAAACTTATCTGCCAACCATCCACACTGCTGACGGGACACATCGCCGTCTTCAGTCAGCTTCTCCCAGAAGTGATCAACCTCGTCCTGATCCTTGCAGTCGATCATCAGGGACATAGCTTCGCTGAACTTCCACTTGGCCGGACCGCCGTTGAGGGCCACGAAGGAGCGGCCGCGGAGCTCAAACTCGACGACCATGACTCTGCCGGGTTCTTGACCATGGGTATCTTGGCCTGAGGGGGTGTACCGCTGGATGGAGAGGATCTTGGAATCTGGGGCAAAGGCCGAGACATAGTGGTTTGCTGCTGCCTCGCCTTGGTCTTCAAACCAGAGGCATGTGGTGATTTTGCCGAAAGACATAATGTGTGTTTAGCGATAATAATGATATTCAGTGTGAAGACGATGAGTTGGATTGAGTACAGCAGATGCAAAGAAAAGAGAGACAGCATGCCTTTTTATACCTAGATGTTTGAATACTTACACCGTCGCAAGTTGTGAACTCGGAGAGTTGGTAGTATGTGGCTTGTATCAGAACCAACGAATGTTTACCTGTTGCATTGTCTCATTTGAATAGTTCAACTTGGGAACAAGGAATTGCTAATTAGGCCTTTCACGGGATCCCACAGCAAACCCGCGAAGCACCGTGAACAATACCAAGTTCAAAAAGCCACTTCATTTGGAGGCGTTGTCTGTCGCATCGTCGAGCCAATGGCCTGTGGTGGGCTTGACGTTTCAGCGGGGGAACGCTTCAGCTCCAAGAACAGAGGTAGACCAGAGATTCACGGCATGGTAATGGGTATGGTTACTGAAGGGAATGCGACAGTCCGAAACGGCTGCTCGCACGGATGAACAGATAAATGTCTTTTGAAGTATTGCTCTTTGGCACTACAGTGTATGCCTGATGCCTTACAAAGGGCACATCGCCCGTTTCTCGAGAAACATAAACAAAAAATCTGTTTATTTTCAAGTCTAACAATCAAGGTTATTTACTTCGTGGAAATCACATCTGATCGTCCTCACTAATAACGATTTCTGTAATTCTTGTGGCTCATCCTTAACTCGTACAAACCAAAACCCAGTGTTAAGCTGCTTTGGGCCTCGGCCCTTGTAAGGTTGTATCGTTGAACCTGAGGTTCAATGTTCAACCTCATATTTCTGGTGTAAATGCACAAATGCCTTAGAACCTTAGCCATTCTTGCGCTCGCAAGCCCAAAACAACAAAGCGTCTCCGAATCTCCAAATCCTTGTTTTCAATCTCCCTCTTTCCTACCCTTTTTTCGACACTGCCTTGTCGCTGGACCAGATCTCGACATATATCATCCACGACTCAATTGTTGTCAAAACGACACCATCGTTGCGCAGCCGTCTTCGTTAATTGAATTTCCTCTCTTAGCGGCGTCTTGCAGCTCTGCGCGTCTCGCCAATGCCTCACTTGGAATCATCGTCGTCACCGCAATCGTCATCTATTTGTGCCACCCTTATCCTGGTGTTCGGAAACACACGCGACAACTCCACGCTTGGGACCGCAATGGACTGATAGTTGCAGGCACTTTGCGGACTACTCTTGATTTGGGTCGTCGACTCATCATCAAGCTCTTGCGTGTCGAGTTTAAGACTTAGTGGCCTTGAAGAGCTACAGGTTGATTCTTCTGTGGCATTGTTGTACGGATACGATTGGCAAAGTTGTCTATATCATTCTCCAATTATTGCCACCTGAGAAACAAGGTAGTGAGGCCTCACAACCAAAAGCCCAACTTGACACGATGAGTCAGGCACTTGCGAATAGCCACGCTGGATGAGGCCGACCAGTCATGGTGTGCTTCGCCTATTTTAGGAACTCGATTTACTCGTTTTGCCTAGGTATCTCATGTCCAATAAGCGTCGGCTGGAAACACAGATGTATTGTCGAAGGTATCACGATTTGTCAGAGCGTATCCTTACGCAGCCTCGGGTTCTAAGGAACTTAGGCTAGGCAACTCGCTTCAGAAGTGCACGTCACTGAGTTGAACCTGATAGATTTGGCCAGGTGACCAGATCCTCCCACTAAGCAAAGTTGGCTTAACTCAGAGCCGTGAACAAAGTCACGAGATCCAGTTGGGATGCGTCTCCAACTTACCCATGGGAACGGCCCGTACAAGGTCGGAACCAACAATAGGCAGTCTTCAAGCGAAGATCTGACAAGGCAGCGGTTACGGCTGATGAGTTTGAGGTTGTACCACGGAAATGTACTTGTGTGTTAGTACATCTTCACGTCGCAGCCTTGCAATTCTCCACGCCTCCATAATGCGCCGCCACTCAGAGGCACGGCGCGTGAGTCACGATCTTGCTCCATCCGAACCCCCAAGCCCAAGGACTTCTGCTTATTATGGGACCTTCCTCATCGAGTCACCCGTTTCCCGTTTCCCTTGCCTGCCTGCCTAGAGCGCAGTCAAATACTAATAAAGTCGCATTCGCATTCACTTTAGTTTCCATTCGGATCCATCGGCGCCACAACTCGATTTTGACTCAGCCACGCCACGCATACGCGATGTCACGTGCCCGTACTGACTAATCCTCGTTTTCTCCGCCCCATCCTTTCCGTAGCCTTCCGGCACTTCATACCAGAATTTTCAGGCCTCCAAACCTCCAAGCTTCATTCATATTGCCAATCGATTAGACATTCGCCAGAATATCGATCTCGGTCACGCCCAAGGCCTACCTCTTAACACCGACATAACTACAGTCTATAAAGCGCCCGTCTTTCCTCCGACTGCGAGCACCACTTCAATTCACGCGACCGCCGATTACAAACCACTCGCGACCGCGAATTCTGCGTCGCCTTCCAACAGTCGCATAGCGATATAACTTACCCATAGACACCATGAGTGTCGCATTCGAGCCTCGGAACTTCATGCACGATGGGGGCTATCCTCCCATCGGTGACGATCATGACCATACGGCCGACCAGCGATTTACCGACAACGATGTCGCCGAGCAGCTTAGCCATTACACAACCGAAGCATCGATGCTTCCAGATTCAACAGGCGTTCTCGGAGACGACAGAGGGATGATGCCAGAGCATGCTGCTGCTGTGCAAGAAGCGACCCGACTCGACTTGGGACATCCCGACTTCCCTTCGCCCATCGAGGCTGCTTTGCAAGCACCAACACTCGACCCTTTACCCGACGACAAGGACCTTTCTCCAAGCATCGGCTCTCCTCCCGCTGCCTCACGGATCAAGCCTATCGCCAAGCCCGAGAGGGAAGCCGTCAAAGGCGCGGATGGGAAATTTCACTGCACTCAAGATGACTGTAAGGAAGAAATCAGAGTGTTCTCGCGCAAGTGCGAGTGGAAGTAGGTCTCCCATGCACACCCATACTCAGCAATATGCTAACAATTCTGCAGCAAGCACATGGACAAACATGAGCGCCCTTACCGATGCCCTGCCGAAGGGTGCGAGAACCTTCCCGGCTTCACATACTCCGGCGGTTTACTTCGACACGAGCGAGAAGTCCATGGCAAACATGGAGGCCCCAAGAATACAGTCAACTGTCCTCACCCAAATTGCAAGCGACACACAGGGAAGGGTTTCTCAAGACAGGAGAACCTGAATGAACATCTACGCCGCGTCCACACCAACCCCGATGGCACTACCCCTCCAGCCGATATAGTTCAATCTCCCGAAGATAATGATAGCGAGAGAGCGGGCATGAAGCGCAAGCGACACTCAAGTGTACAGGCCAACGAGGAACTTATGGAGCTCAGAGAGGAGGTCAAGCGGGTTCGGGAGGAAAACGAGAAGCTCAAGGCCGAAATGACTCAACAGTCGCAACACTCTCTTTCCATGATGGCTCAGATCGCTGAGTTGCAAGACGCGTTGAGAGACGGCCTTCAGCACAGTTTGGGGGCCCCCACAGCACAGATGATCTAAGAACTGCATCCAAACTGGCGACCTCAACAAAACTTGCAACCGAAATTTTCAGAAGGGCCAGAAAGCGAACAAGTATTATTTTCTCTTCACGATGGCCCTGTTTACACCTTCCACAAACTCCACTCGGCGTTCGGCTTTACACGGGCTCTTACGGGTAGCCCCGAAGGACGAAATGTTTCGTCTTCGGGTCTATTTTACTTTCGATGTTCACAATACCTTTTTCTTTTCTTTTGCACGGCGTTTATTCCAAGGCTCTGGAAGAGATGATATCCCCCTCCTATTTACACGCAAACGCAATGCACACGCAGAACCCACATGATGGATAAAAGAATGTCAGACGGATCAGGGACTGGGAAACGGGAATCGTATACCAGGATGGATGGCTGTATGAGAAACGAACCGAAGGTGTGCTATACTGATGGCGCTTGAGCTATTTTCTTCTTCAAACTTGAAAGACTCCTGTAATATATACACTTAGACCTAGGATGCCCTGTGCCTCCTCGCTCACTTCTCTTAAATTCCAAGCGTCCATGCTCCCAAGCGCCAAGCTTTCTCCGCTCACATACCATGTCTTTGTTCTTTTCAGTGCTCGTGATACTATGACTCTTATTTCCGGAAAGTTCGGTTCAGTGGCAAATGGCACGTCAAAATAGCGTCGTAAGCTTAATGCGAACGCGGCTCAGATGTCTACTATTCTGAACTTGAGTTCATACACTATTCTGTTCTCCATGAATGCTGCTTTTTCTCATAACAAAGCCGAATTCTCTCCTCTCGGCTCTCTTTTTCTTGGATGAAGGTTGAAATAAATCTCCATCGAACAACTCCGCACTGTCTCCTCATACATATATACACGTACCGGTTCTCAATGCTTCGGAACTGTATTGGTACAAGGTAACTCGTTTCATACAAGACTCGTCATCCTTCGTCGACAAACCTTGCACCTGCACCCCTTGCTCGTTCTCTAGACGGCCTGCACGTAACTCGCAGGCACACTTCCCGTGACACCCGCCTTCTCGACCTCGACCCATCCATCGCCCGGGTCATCCTGCACGAGCACAAAACGTTCGCCTTCTACCATGGAATGCTCCGCCTCGCCCTGGGCTGTGTACTCGTACAGCGCTTCTACATAACGGAGCTTCTTTGCGCCGCGCCTTGGTGCTACTGCGGGACCCTTCTTCTTAGTTGATTGGGTTAGGGAGGAGGTTGTTGAGTTGGAATAGGTGGATGATGGTCGAGCGGAGGGCGCGGGTGCAGCAGGCGTAGCAGGCGCAGCAGCGACGGCTGTGATTTCGATATAGGATGATGGGACAAGACCTTCCTTGTACCCTACGCGGACCTTGGCCCAGCCAGAGCCATCTATACCAGAGTTAGAAATGTCGCACCACTAGGCAAACGTAGACTTACCATCAGGTTCAAGTAGTATCACTTCGCGGCCGTCTTGCACTGTTAATTCGCCGTCACCAGTTGCCTCGAAAGCATATAGCATCTTGCCCCTTTTCTCTTCTTTTGCGCCACCATTCGTTTCATTGGCGCCCGAATCTGTGATATAAGCTGCTGGTGGGGGCGCCATAATTCTGTTCTTTCGTGCAGTACCAGATGTCTTGGTCGAGGACATGCTTGGTCGCCCACCCTCTGGTGCAGCTTCATCAGCCGGACTAAGATGCCCGGATCCCGATAAAGATGGGCGTGCTGAATGAGAGCTAAGAGAGTTCATAGTATTCGAACGACTGAGTTCGGGTCCATCTGAAGCATTAGAGTGAAGGGATGTCATCGTCGCGCTGGGTTTGAGGAGCTTGTTGTTCGCAGCGTCCTGGCGTTCGGCCTTGAGCTTCTTGCGCTCATCCTTGGACTGCTCGCCGGGACAGTCAGGGGGCACCTTCATTTCACACTTGCTATGACATGTATAGCCACAGTCTCGGCAATCGAAGCCCTTCGCGCTCAAACCCCAAATCCTCTCTCCACATAAATCGCAATTTGTAGGTATTTTGAACGTCTGACTCTTGAAGTTGTGGTTCTTAGCACCTAGCGTCACATCCCCAACGACCGATGTGATAGTAGATGTCTCGACCTCGGCTGTTAGTCGTTGTCGGTCAATCGCATGCAGGCTTTCTTGCATTGCGAAGAGCATGCGAACAACTTCGACTTCGTCTTTCTTCTCCTTGCCTTCCCGGACTCGCTGCTTCAGTTGTTTGGCACTTTCGACTTCTCTTCGTTTCTTGTCGACCTCTCTCCGTAGTTCTCCCAATTGCGACTTGGATTTGCCCAGGACATTACGCAGGAAGACCTTTGCAGTCTCGTCAACTACCATGGTACCGTCATCGTGCCAGACTGGGCTGGCCTCGAAATGCTTATCAGGTGGTTCGCTGAAAGATCCCAAGTTGTGTTGAATATACATCATTGAGTCAAGATGCGGCAAGTTCCTCAAAATCTCGGTGCCTTGATGCTGAACCATGCCGTTGCTCTGTTGAAGCATGTCAGACTCAAGGTTGGTCGCAACGGTCCAAAGGCTGTTCAGCTTTGTTGTTCGAAACTCGCTGAGATCTTGCAGACTATCCATGACCTCGGGAATGTATTCGTGGTAATATTTCTCCTTCTGCTTGTTGGTAACATTGATCGCAATGATATAGGTGTTCTTGGCGTTGTTCATCTCGAACAGCTGTTGTTGATAGGCATTCTGGGTTTTGGCTTTATCGAAATGCGCCTCGGTCTTCTTACGCTTCACCTCAACGTCTTGACAAACACCGTCATATTTGCCCTTTGTTTTGGCGAGCGAAGCGTATTGGGCATCACGCTCCTGTTCGAGCTTCGAGGCATAATCGGAGTGACGTTTGCGCAGTTCTTCGAAACGACCGCCAAAGAATTTGAGCGGCTCAGCGACCTGAGAAACGAGATTGTTGGCGTATCGGTCGTGTTCGTTGGCGCGGGATTCGAGCGTCGTAAGCTGGGTTGTCCATGTGGTCAAGGAGGCACTGGTTGTCGCACAGCAATCAGCAGTTGTTCGAAGCTACATCGTGAGGGGTCCGGATTTATACCTCTCAAGCGAACCGGGAGTCATGGCAGGAGTGTCTCCTACACTGAGCTGAGCGGTCTTCTTGTTCTTTTTCTCAAAGTACTTCTTAGCAAGTGCTGTAAGCTTTGCGCTATATTCCTTCTCGATGGTAGCGCGCTCTCGGTAGAATTGCTGAATGTCTTCAAGCCAGCCAATGCCATGACCGAGCCATGCATTTGCGGGTTTGAAACCATCCTAGTAAGATGTGTTTGTTAGCCATGTGTCTTGGTCGAGCGCAGAAAGACAGCTTCTGATGCAGGCGCAAAGCATTAAAGATGACCCAGAAACGATTGTTCATCGAGGACCGACTTCTGTAAGCAAGAGAGAAAACCAACCTTGAGCTCTGTGCCAAAGGTGGGCAGCGCGTCCACCTCAGCCATGATGGGCAAGATATATATTCAGTCGTTCTCAGGAGCGGGGAGTAACCGGTCGGCGCGGATAAGACGGAGGCATGTACGAGATCGCAAAGCCGAGGCCAGGGGTCTGTGTAGATTGTGAAGGGCCTTTCGAGAGGACAGATACGTATGAATTGGCGTTTACTTGGTAAGATGGAAGTTGAGGGTATAAAACGGCGACAGACACTAACAATGGCGGGGGAAAGTTGAGGCGCAGCTTATGAGGTGCCTCGATACAGACTACGGTAGAAGACTAATAACAGGAAGGAAGATGGAAGGCGTAAGGTGTTCCGCGCCGCGCAACCGATAGTTAGATGGAACATTAGAGCGCATGGAGAGCAGTGGAGGTGCCTGGTGAGATTAGGCTCTAGCGCCCCCAATAATTCGTTCCATTGGCGGGGTTTTAGGCTCTGCATGCTGCAACTTGGGTCCTGGGGGGTCTTGTGCTGCGCCCCAGCTTGATCTAGCGCCCTAGCCTTTGGGGCAATGGCATCCATAAACTGAACAGTTTGGGGGAAGCTTACCGATTTCCGGTCCAACCTAGCCACATGGCACTTTGTCAGAGTTGCATCCATGTAGGTACGGGTTTGACATTTTGCAGTCTTTGTTGACTACTTCGAAGAATATTTCTAATGCTGAGGGTATGTATAATGACGATATCTCTTCCAGTGGGTCAGCTAGTTGGGCGTTAACATGCCCACATCGTATCCAGCGTCATGGCTCTATAGACAGGATATCCATGCTATGTCAATAGGATCGTTCTCACGGCCAATTGCCAACATTTCGATATTCTTTACAGTTTAAATTCTACAAACTGCATTCAGATCTGGGTCACACATAAGGGATCAGCTGTTTCAGGGGCTCAGACGATACCAAACCCTCATACTCTCACCTGCTTCAGAATGTTTTCATGGTTACATCTCCGCGGCAACATCACCCAAGCTCTCTCCATTACAGACGCGTAAAACTGCCTGATAATCCACTTGGCAGTGGATGTAGTTCACTGGGTGGTCGCCTCGGGTGGAAGCCGAACGACCCCCGGACAGGAGCACGTCATGTCCCGAGACTACACTACAAATCCCCTTATCGCGAGAGACTATGCAGAGTTAGAGGGAGCTTGGGTCGAACTAGCTTAACTCTACTTCTTCACCATCATCATCACCCATTGTCTAGTCAGTTGCTGTCAAGTATAGGCAGTATAATCGGCGGATATACTTACAGAGACGTCGCGTTTCACCATCACAGCCACACAACATGGCGCTCACTCTCCAAACCGCCATTGACCAGAGCAATCCGCTCGCAGAGGCCATCATCGTGCCCTCCAAGTCAAAGACCCTCACCGTCCGCTACTCTGACCTCCAATCCGACGTGGCCGCCTTCCAGCGCAAGCTCGCCGATCTCGGCATCACCAAAGCCGCGCCCGTGTCCATCGCTCTCGTCAACTCCTACGAGTTCATCGTCTCATTCCTCGCCGCCTCCTGGCAGCGCGGAATCGCTGCGCCTCTCAACCCAGCTTACAAGCAGGACGAGTTTGAGTTCTACATCCAAGATGTCAAGAGCGCTATCGTCCTTGTTCCTCAGGGCGCTTGGGACGCTGGTGCTCCCAGCGTGAAGGCCGCTAAGAAGTTCAACGCTGCGGTTGCTGAGTGCTACTGGGATGCCACAAAGGGTGAGGTTGCCCTCGATGTCAAGGACTATGGACTTCTCAAGGGCAAGAAGGAGCAGATTCTTACAGCTGAGCCTGATGATGTTGCTCTCATTCTTCACACAAGGTTGGTCTCTTATCGCATTTGCGATGCGCTCATAACTAACAAGTCAATAGTGGCACTACATCACGCCCCAAGGTGGTGAGTAGACAAACATGTCAATCTCATAGATATCACTTATACTCACATTCTTAGGTCCCTCTCACTCATCGCAACCTGACCCGAACCATGAGTATGTCATAGTGTATATTCACCTCGCTCACCCATCACTAACTTCATCATAGACAACATCAAGAACACATATGAACTCACCTCCAAGGACCGAACCATGCTGGTCATGCCTCTGTTCCATGTCCACGGCCTTCTCTGTGGTCTTCTCGCTCCTCTCTTCACCGGTGGCTCCATGGTTGTGCCTACAAAGTTCTCCGCCAAAGAGTTCTGGACCGACTTCGCCACTCACAAGGCCAACTGGTACACAGCTGTCCCCACGATCCACCAGATCCTGCTCAAGAACCCTCCCCCAAGCCCCAAGCCCAGCATCCGCTTTATCCGATCATGCTCCAGCCCGCTGTCTCCCACCGTCTTCCAGCAGCTCGAGGAGACATACGGCGCCCCCGTTCTCGAGGCCTATGCCATGACCGAGGCTGCGCATCAGATGACATCCAACCCTCTTCCTCCCGCCAAGAGAAAGGCTGGCACCGTTGGTATTGGTCAGGGCGTCGAGGTTAAGATTCTCACCGAGCAGGGTGAGGAGGTTCCCCAAGGCTCTGAGGGTGAAATCTGCATCATTGGTGAGAACGTCACTAAGGGCTACCTCAACAACGCCGAGGCCAACGCTTCCTCCTACCACAAGAACGGCTTCTTCCGAACTGGCGACCAGGGTAAGAAGGACGAGGACGGCTACATCATCATCACGGGCCGCATCAAGGAGCTTATCAACAAGGGCGGCGAGAAGATCAGCCCCATTGAACTGGACAACGTCCTGACTCGCCATCCTAGCATCAGCGAGGCTGTCAGCTTTGCCATTCCCGACGAGGTCTATGGCCAGGACATTGGTGTAGCTGTTGTTCTCAAGAACGGCGAGAAGCTCACGGCTGAGGAGCTCAAGGCATGGGTTGAGGAGCGCTCTGCCAAGTTCAAGGTTCCCAAGAAGGTGAGTTTCATAGAACACCGCGAGGATGGTGCCCAAATACTGACAGTGGTTTAGGTCTACTTCACCGAGGTGATGCCTAAGACGGCAACTGGCAAGATCCAGAGGAGAATCGTGGCCGAGACCATGATGACGGCTCCCAAGGCGAAGCTGTAAAAGTGGCGATGGTTCGTAGCTGTATAGAGTATTTAATGTTAGAATATTACAGGGGAGCTAGACATATTAGACATATGTTAAAATGTCAGATAGACAGACGTTGTTTTGAACACTGATGAAGCATCGCTTTGAAATTACTGCTGGAAATCGTTATCCCACGCTATCTATCTAACTAGCATGTATAATAAATAGTGCCCATGATCGTGTTTTAGGCCAAAAAGTATCTGCCTCAATAGCTTCCCTCGTCTCATTACTCTGTCATTCAAATTTCTCTCCATCTTGGTTCCTTAATCGTATTGACCATCGTGGTCATCAACCACAATTACATCATCCTCATCATCGTTGATATAAAGCCTGCTATCATTCCTCTTCAGCCCCGGCTTATCAGCCGCACCATGCGCATGCTGCTTGCGATTCGTCACAGTATGGCGCTCAACCCAGGCAGATGTGCCGTCGGCTGCCTCCCAGCGAAGCGGTTCCTTGCTGAGCGAGCCCTTGGCGTCTGAGCTGGACGTTCCAGAAGCCGGCTTGGCGGTCGCAGGGTCGACGCCGGCTTCCTGGGCTAGGTGCAGCAGCGCGGCGTTGGCGTCCTGAAGATCGAGGAAGACAGAGGTGATTGTGACTGTAGACTCTGTGTCGCGCTGCAGGAGGATGTAGACTGAGGGTGCCATGATGGCGTGTTGGAGGGTGTATGGGGATGGGAGGTAGGGAGTTTTGTTGTTGTTGAGATTGGGGTTTTTAAGTATGATGTGTGGCATAGATTGGTTGTTTTAGATAATGGATGTGCTCTTGTTTATTCAATATGAATGAAAATACTTGGGACAATTGAGGAATGTGAGAGGGCGACGTTGAGATATTATATCACAAACTACGGAATACGGAGCACAGTCTATGGATACAGGGCCCTCCAATGACACAATCCAATGGCCAGCTGACCCCGACCCTGTCCATCTGCACCTCTACCTTAACTAAACTTTTAATCAATCCCACTTCCCCCGCCAATAATTGGTCATAAGTGGTACGACAGCTCACGAGGCGGCCGGGATTGTCTAAGCAAGACATACAAGAACTTCGAAGAATTGCTCTAATAATCGAGTCTCTCCGGTCCGGCCGAGTGCTCTCGAGACCAAACTCCCCACGGAGCCCTGTTTTTTTTCGTACCTGGGGGGGCGAATATGTACGGGGAGAATGAACGCCGATGGATCTTCGGAGCTGAAGCGGAGCGAACCCGGTGTTAGCAAGTCCGTGTCCTCCGGCTGCGGCTGGTTAACAGAAAAACAAGTTATGATGTAAGTTATGAACCCATGATGGGAGAATTTCGTTACAGGATATTTCGGGAAAAGAAGAAAGATATGAACGGATTCTTTAATGGCGCCTTCACCCCAGATATCCATCTGTATCCGTACAGTGACCCTAGATCATGGCGACGCATGGTGCCATAAGACTCCACCTTGCATCTAGAAAGCACATAGCATGATGACATACGATTTAAAGCTCAGTGTTTAAGAAACGGATCAAAACCTACCCTTATGGTAGCTCCAGGACAAGGAGGCCACAAAGAAATATACTTCGGCAACATGTTCAATCTCGGGAATCTCGCAGTTTCGTGGGCATTATCACCGGATTTCCCGATGGCAATGTTGATAGTAATTATTCCTTGCTTTAAAACAGGGTCTTGTCGCTTTTCAAGGGTCCAAGCTCCAGTCACTCGCTTAGCATAGCTAGCCCAGGACTTTGGCTTGTGACGTCGTGTCTTGGTCCGTGTAAGATACGGAGTACAGATGACTCAATTGTGTTTACAGTAACTTAGTATCAGAATAATTACAACACTTAAAGTTTTAGAACCGCAATGCGTGAAGAGAGTATTAGGTGGCTATTCTACTCTTCTATGACCAGAAAATTTCTACAAATATAGTAATGAGTTAATGCCAATCCAACTCCATCTACTTCTTTCACCAACCTCAATTGTAAACCAAACAAGAACCCTTGATGATCGGACAGGCCCTCATGTCCAGTCTCAGCCAACATCTCTCCCTCTATCCTCCATGCCCAACTACCTTCGTATTTCATAGCCCTCATCAGCCGGTCGAGAGTAATCCAACTTTGCAATCTCATGCTTCAAGGACCGTGTCTTGATACCAACAAAGAGAAAAATTATAGTAACCAGAATCTCGGGTACCATCCCTAGGCACACGTCGACAGCTTTGGAAGTCAGGAACCCAGACTCGGGGTTGGAGAGTTTAGTCTGAAGGTAGGCAATCGCGTATCCAAGGCGCAGTGCTAGAAGCGGAAGTGCTACGAAGACTGCGTATAATAGCTTTTGGGGAGTTAGTCACCAAGAGTGTACTTTGTGTAGACTTATCATGACTTACTACTCTTCCACCGTGGAATGAAGGAATTCGTTTGCTTGAGGATGATGCTTGGGACTTGCCAAGGGACCACAAGGCCCATATCAACAGCAATGACCATGCCAATGCCATGAGTGCAGACGCAACTGTGATCAGAGTCTTATTGCTTGACACAGAGCCCTTGTCATGCGAGCCAGTTACAGCCACAATGATAAGTGCCATAGCTGCTGCGACCAGGCCATGGAATTTGATTTCGAGAATTATATCAAGTCGTCTGTTGAGCCGGGGGTTTGTCGCTCTTCGACTGATAAACCATTAGTGAACCATAAACCGCAAGGCAGAGAAGAGAACTCACGCCTCATGCAATATTCCCGAGGCGGCGAGCAGTAGAGGAGAAAGACCAATACTGCTGACAATGATGGCTCCGGTCGAGCTGGAACCTTTAAGGCCGATACCCCCCGTGGCAATGCGAAGTACGCAGAAGATCTGCACATAAAGCCATCCGATAAAGCCAGTCTTGCCGTGCTTGAAAAGACAATACAAAGCAGGCTGGAGTAGGATGATATAAATAGCTAACTTGGCCGCAGAGATCGAGTCTGTCATTTCGGTGTAAGTGGAATTTCGGGAGTGCTGTAAGAGAGTCGAAGCAAAGGTGTGATGATTGTTTTGGATGAAGAATGCGAAAATAATATGAGTGTTCTTGTCTTATTATACTTGAAAGCAAAATATACTGGCTGCCTCTTAACGATACATTCTTCCCGTTGTGGTAATGGTTTCGATGCAGTTCATTTAAGTCAGGATGCGCCTTAGGCTTTCAACCAATCAGGTATAACATCATTCCATGAGGGGCGGAAGGATTGAACGAGAGCGAGATCGATGGAGCTACGGATACTTTTGGTGTTGAAAGTCACATCCCAGCACAGCCCAGACGAAACTGCGGACCCTCATAACTATGCCCTGTCTCACTCCTTGTTCTCTCCAGCTACATAATGTTCCTGCAAAATCCTCTTTGGCCAATCAAGCAGTCCTTGCCATTCATCAGGCAGGATAGCGGCAATGGCTCGAACCTCTCTGGGCCCAGAGTCGCCAATCCACCAGACCCGACTCAGAATTGCCAGAAGAGCAAAGTAGTGTGCAAGGATAACAAGCGCCCGTGGCCTAACCTCCTCCACCATGTCCGCAAACCGCTTGTTGAGCAGCATGGGGAACACGACGACTCTCCTTCCGACGCCCCCTGCAGGGCGTTGACTATCTAGGGCTTTCCATATACCTCCTATGGAATTGAGGGCTCCTGCATATGCTGCTTCCGTCTCAGAATCCCACGGCTCTTCCAGCTCGTGTGGCTTTTCACGACTCATCAAGTGCTCTAGATCTCGCCGCAACTCTTCACTTTCGCTATCGTCACGAAAATCAGAAGTACTCTCAATCATCTCGTAGGCGACCGATTTGGGCTTGTCCTTAATGAGATCCCACGCTTGTCTAAAAACAGCTGTGCTACTGCCCGTGATGCGCAGCCAGTCCATAGGAGGAGTATACGGCTGCAGCGAACGGCCTTGAAGTCTGACAAACCCGTAAATACGCAGCATGCTCGAAGTCAGACAGATGTATTCTATGTTCTGGGCATTCATCTCCGCGACATCCTTATGGTGTTCACGAAGCGCCAGGTTTAGATATGTTCGACAAGTGTCGCTGGCTTCTAGATCCGTGAATCCGCTGCGGTGTTCCGTCTGCAGGGCGACTACCATATACATAGCGTAGAGCAGTGCATCGGATTTGAGAGCCAGTCGACATGAAGTCGTGACCCAGAAGTGAACAGTAGCATCATCCACAACAAGAGATGGGCCTGTGTCGGTCATGTACTGATAGAACAGGCCAAGTTCTAGTTTTCTGCGATACTCTGATTCTGGAGGCTCGACAGCGGCCTCGACTGGAGGTTCGCTCTTAGGCGATGGTGCATGGCCGTATGTACATGGCAGTTCCAGGCGATTACAGTGAGAGCACACCGGCTTGGCTTCATCGCACTTGAGAAATAGTAAGTTACAAATCAGATACAGACACCAATAGGATAGTACCTTTACACGGCGGTTGCGACATTGCTGACAACCAGTACGAGACTTTTTGTGGAATAGCTTCGCTGCACGTTTACGCGGTTGCTGATCCATGGGTTGAGACTTGAGTCAACCGAGACAGAAAGATACAAAGGAAATCATCCTGAACGAGAACGAGAACGATGGCTCATTTTCATGTCCCAAGGACCGGGGGCTGTGGGAGCTAAGAACTCGTCAGCTCGTGCCGATTTCCGAGACGCAGGGCTGATGATAGATGCCCAAGTTGGTGTGATTCGTTGTAGTTTCGATGGTGGTTGTGATCCTGGCTTACGGATCGACCGTCGTTCTCGTTTAGACGGAAATAAGCCGGTGTTAGTTCCGGGGTGAGTTACTCCTTGGTTTATATAAACACAACTTGCTACCCTAAACATCATACATTATCTTCTATCTGCCAGATTCCAGTTGTACTATTGTCGATATGATCATTGTTCTTTCTTAGAGCTCCATATACATATTCATAAGCACATCTTATCTATCGAGGTGTTTTTAAAAGCAATGTCTACCAGATTGTTGATCATGCTTCACACTCAAGCTTGACCTCTACCCCTCAGTCAAACTCTTGTACTTTGCCTCCATATGTCCCAACGAAATAATTGTTTTTAATAAAGATATATATTCATAATATCTCTTTGAAAGTACTAATGAGCCCGAAGCCAAGAAAAATTCAATCATCTTTCCTCATCTCATTCAATCGTGTTCCTCAAAAGGCGCATCACCACGCCCTCCGAGACCCCAATTACCCCACTCTCCCTACCTCCCGATGGTGTGACGGCATCGGCAGCTACAACTCCGCAACTCGGAGCTACCCTACCGTATCACCTCATCTTTTGGTTGACTGCATAAATACACAACTAATTCGCTCCTAGAAATGTCATCTCGTCTTGCTTTCTCATTTACCAGAACCAGAATCGCACCCCGCTTTACCACTATTCGAACGATGGCTTCCTCATCTGTCTCTGTCCCTCCTGGGAAGTTCGAGTTCCTCGTCGTTGTCCACGACAAGCCCAATGCTCGCGAGAAGCGTCTTGAAGTCCGAGGGTAGGGGCCTTGACCTAGCTACCATAAGGCTGCAAGCTTACTCGGTTGTTTAGTACTCACTTCAAGAACATGACACCTCATGTGGAGGATGGAAGTTGGAAAATGGGCGGTATGTAGTCTGATAAAGTATATGAACAGGGCTAATACAGTATCCAGGTGCTATTCTCAACAGTGTCCCTAAGGACGATAGCCCAAGCAGCCTTGACTTCGCAGGCAGTACGCTTGTCTGCGTTGCCGAGTCTGCGGAAGAGGTACGAGAGCAACTAAACAAAGACATATATGCCACCTCAGGTGTTTGGGACATGGACAAGGTATGCAACCAAACATAAACTCATTTAAACTAGGTTCCTAACATAGTATACAGGTACAAATCTACCCTTTCAAGGCTGCCTTCAGAACGAATTGATACTCTGAGACCATTACCGCATATTGAATTAGCAATAGTGGACGCAAATCACCAAAATTGATAACATATCTGCTAGTTGTCCCGCAAGTCCCTGTGATATCCCCATTCCTGTCCAGAAAACCTGACCCTTTGAGTGACCATCCTCCCCGCCTGTACCATAATGCTGCACATATATCCCATTAGCAGCTTCACCAGAGCCAGTTCGAGCAATACCAAAAAAGCAATAAGCAATATCCACCCGACCAATAAATTCCAATCACGTAATAGTAACGCCATCATATACACTGGTCCCATAGGGAACCCCCTTTCCTCCGCTGTGCCACAGCCTACCTCGGCCACATATCATGATTTAAGCCTCGTCGTTGTTTGCACCGCTCTCTGCCGCCTCCTCAGCAGTAAGCCTCAGTTCATAGTTGAGGTCGAAACACTCGGCCAATAGCTCAGAGACACTGCCTTGTCCTTCAGGGATGTCGCCGTTTACCACGAACTTGCCATCCACCTTCATGTTATCAAGCGAGTTGAGCTGAGACTGGTTAGAAAAAAAGGGGGGAAATCACATATTGGGACTCTTCAGCATACCTTCATGCTGTAAGGGTACAGCTCTCGTACTGAGGAGACGCCACCGTTCTTCTTAACCTCAATGAGGCATCGCTTCAATGTTTGCAGCTGGTTATAAACAGGCAATAGAGCTTCAGACACCGGTTCGGATGCCAGCATGAACGAGTAGATGTAGGCATATGACCGTCGAATCAGGTATAGCAGAGTTCGCTGAGTCCAAAGGTCAGCTGGCCGTCCCCGATCGTCAACCCAGTTTCCGTTCTGTCGGTTCTCATCGATCCTGTCAAGTTGCCGTTGGAAATCGTAGAGGTCTGTCTCCCGGAGTGACCATGCCTGTGTGAGAGAAAGCTTCTCAAGATCATTGCGAATTTGGATGAGCGTGTCGTAGACTGGTCGCCATTGTTCGGCCACCTCTCCTTGTCTTGAAACTGGTAAGTATCCGTTTGTGTAGAGGTGTCGGGTATCTTACCTTTCAAGAACCATATCCGACCAGCGGACGCAGCGGTAGTACAAGTCTCGAAGTACCTCACCTCCCTCCTCTAGAGTTCCATCCTCTGCCGTAAATGTGCCACTATTATGCTTCTCGCCAATCTCCAAGATTTGGTTCCGTAGCTTTTTGACCTCCGTTGTGGAGAACTGATCATTGTCAGTTTATCTTGTAACTCACTACACCGTTCAAAGCTTGCTCACCTTAGACTTTGTGTTGGCCAACGAAATGGATCTCAAGATTGAGATGAGCTTTTCATGAGCTTCCAGAAGATAACCTGGTAGCTTTTGTAGTCGTTTTTGAAGTCTCGACAAGGTTGAGTGACAGAGTTCTACGCGGTTCTCAAGAAGTGTGAGCATATAAGGTGGGTGTCGCTTATCAGGAGATGGGTCGCTGGCGGCATCGCGAATGCTCTGGGATAGATCCTCGAGTGTAGATTGAATGCTTCCGAGATCTTTGGCTGAGTACAGTTCGGCTTCGGTGAGGTGATCGAGAAGTCGTTTGACTGTCGAGGTCATAGCGTAGGTTGCTGGCGCCTCGTTGTTTCGTCCGATTGTGAGGTAGAACAGAGAGAGTAGCTGGAAGCAGCTCTCTAGGACCTTATCCACTGTAGAATTCACTGTCAACATCTTCAAAACCAGCCGCAATCACATATGATGACATACATCTGTTCTCCTCCTTATCGCCTGTCTCGGCGCGTACAACAGTCAGCTCCTTGACCTGATCCATCGTGTCATCGAATAGAGGCATGACATCCTGTGTTCGAATGTAATTTGTGCGATCCTGCTTGAGAAGCAGCAGGCGATCTCGGACCAGCTGTAGTTTATCGAGGATAGCTCGCTCACGGGGGTCCCGCGGCATTGGGATTGCTGGAGTCTCCATGTTGGTAGGTGCTGTTTCTGATCTCGTTGCAGATGCAGAGTAGAGTAATAGTTTCTGGGAAGGGCGGAAATGCAAATCGTTATGACTTTCACGATGTTCGGCTCGAGGATGTATCTTTTGATGTTCGTCTCTTGCGCAACTTCTTCGAGGCTCCGATGAGTGACGAAAGTCGATAAGTGGCGGCGGGGCTAGAGATACAAGATGTTGAGTCGACCTTGAGTGGGGAGAGTCGTGATGAGCTAAGTTGGACGCGAAGTAAGTCACAATGGCTCGACGTCACACGAAAAAAGAAGGGTGATGGTGCGCAGGAATAAAGCTGAGGTTGAAGCGCACTAAAAAGATAGAATAATTGATGGCGGAGTTGACTAGGTAGGTAGTAATAAATTGTGTAGAAAAGATATCACGAGCGTTTCAGCTGGAGTCTTTTGGTTCCAGCGTTGACCAAGAATGCTGTCACTCGAAGCCCAGACCCTGTCCACGACCCCCTCCAAGACCATCCACTTCCGCCTGCGGCATTGAGCAAAGCCTGACGTGACGACAATGGTTAAGGACTTAAGGTGCTTCGGTTTTAGTGGGGGACCTCAGTCGAGGTGGGGTAAAGGCGCCTCAACTCGCAATGCATCTCTGGGAGCTGCGCCTATTGGCTCGTTTGTGAGCAGCCAATCACAAGGCGTGACTCACTCCCACAGCACCCACGGATCGGATAATCTTTTGAACCCTCCACTTTTAGGTCTTCAAAGCCCTCCAACCGAATTTCGACCAGGATTTTCTGTGGTAAGCTCCATTTGGTGATATTCGACTTCAAACCACAAACGACTCGACTTCGTGCAGACTTTACACTCTCCCACCCGCACGTCAAAATCATTTCACAATGTCCAACGCCGAGCTCGCTTCGTCCTACGCGGCCCTGATCCTCGCCGACGACGGTGTTGAGATCACCGTACGTTAACCCGTCATTTCGCCTATGCCCATCCCATGCCCCGCGATTTCTCGAATTTGTGTGCGTGATCGCTAACTTCGTCATCGCGACTCTCCAGGCCGACAAGCTCCAGACCCTCATCAAGGCCGCCAAGATCGAGGACGTTGAGCCCATCTGGACCTCCATCTTCGCCAAGGTACGAACCGATATCCCCAGCGACTCCAGCGCCATTTCCAGGACTTCGATTTTCTGACGGATTTTATCATTTATAGGCTCTTGAGGGCAAGGATGTCAAGGACCTTCTCGTGAACGTCGGCTCTGGTGGCGGTGCTGCCCCTGCCGCTGGTGCCGCCGCTGCTGGTAGTGCCGCCGAGGAGGCTGCCCCTGAGGAGGCCAAGGAGGAGGGTACGTTGACCCACGAACCACGGCGGATTTACACGGATTGCTGACAACCACTACAGAGAAGGAGGAGTCTGACGAGGATATGGGCTTCGGTCTCTTCGACTAAGAAGTTACGCCGCTACGACTGTTTCCTTGTTCTTTGTACTTCGACTGCATGGCTTCGGGGTTTCCAATCAATCGATCATACAGGATGGAGAGCGGGCACTATATCCTGCGCCATGGACAGAGTAGCTTCTTTCATACGACGCTATGACGAACGCACTCAACGGAGTTTCGCGGAGGGAGAATTGGTCAATTCAAAGGCTCTGATAAAAAAAAGTCCCGCCATGGGTGGTTTGAGTTCAACATGGGTATCCTCGACTTGTGATTTACGTGCAAGAGTGCCGGTGATGTCATGCTGCTCTTACAGCTCTTTGGTCTATCTCTACCTAAAGGACTTTTATGTTTTCCGTAGTACCCCATACGGCTTCTTCCTAACCCCCACCAACGCCGGCCATGCATGTTCTTTCACATCTACAGCGCTGTATATCTATTTGACGATCAGAACGGCAGATGGGACCAATCCTGCCTCCTTCAAGGTCTTGGAGAAATCAACATCCCCCTCAAAGGTCTTGCGAGGGAACGTCATGGTAAAGCTTGACACGGCATTCCCTGTCTCGCTCTGTAGCTGCTGCGCCAACTCAAACAACGTTGTCTCCGCAGGTAAAGTCTTGGTGATGTTTCCACCATCGGTCTGCAGTCGGAGTCGAGCCTCGTTGTGGTTGCTCTTGGGCTTAGCCGCAGCGGCCACAGCAGCAGGTCCGCCAGCAGGGGTAGCAGCTTCAGCCTGGGGAGCACGACCCTCACGGGCGGCCTTGGCTTCCTCCGCCTTTCGGCGTCGCTCAGCTTTATCGGCTTCGATCTTGGCCTTGATGCGCTTCTTGGCCTCCTGGTCCTCGAGCTTCTCCTGTCGCTTCTGGGCAGCTTCCTTGATCTGCTGCTTACGGGCCAACTCCTCCTTGGCTTCGTGGCTCTCCTTGGTAGACTTTTGGCGAATTTGCTATTCAGGTTAGACTTTAGTGAAACTTGTAGACAGGAAACCTTGTTACCTCATTGCGCTTCTGGTCTTCCTTGTCCTTAACGGATTGGACAGCCTTCTTGGCCTGAAGACGCTCACGTAGTGCTTCAAGCTTGGCCTTCTTCTCGTCTTCGGTCAGAGGAGCGATCTCTTCTGTTGACTCCGAGAAGTCAGTGTGCTCACTGTAAAACTAGTCAACCAGATATCCAAAGTTGAGAGATACAATCTCAGTAGGATTACATACGTCTTGGTTGCGTGATAGGTGGCCAGATCATGGTTTCTGAATCGCTTGCCACACTCATTGCAGACCAGGGACTTGGCATTGCCGGTCTCAAGCTCTGCAATCTTGGCCTCTGTATCTTCATCATCGTCATTCTCAGCGGCAGTGGCCTTGAGATCCTCAATAGGCTTGTCCTGGTTATCCTCAAGCCACTGAAGGGCGCCCTGGACTACTAAGTATTAGCTTGGAACCGGAGATATGCAATGCTGCGACTTACGGCCTCCGGTCTTCTTAACGGCAAGCTCAGCACGTTCCTTGTCAAAGCCCATATCGAGCAGTGTTTCGAGGTCGGAAGCCATATTGGCGGTGATGTTCAGGTTGTTGATAGTGGGGTTAAATGAGGGGCAAAGTAGGTGTGAGAGTGAGATAGAAGTATGGAAGAAAAGGAAGAAGATTATGGTCGTTAAATAGGTAGACTTAAGTTGAGGCGATAAACAGATTTCAATTTGAGTGTCTCGGATATGCAATCATCAACTTAATTGTCATGTGTTGAGATGCTTGTTTGCAAAGACGGGAACCGAGCTTAGGTAAAGTCTAACGAAACGTCATTCAAGCCGCTGCCTCAGTGACGTCCCTGACGCCGGACTTACTACGGTTAGCGGGGGATCTAATCAATTGTGACAGTCAGGTGTACAATTTCTTCATATTTCTTACAGCATGTTTCATGCATTTATAAACTCCTGGCAGTGTTCCTTCCATAGGACACAATAAAGTTACTAGCCAGAAGGTTGGTAGTATCAAAGCCAACTTGTAGGGCGTTATCGCCTCGATTTTAAATTTTGGAAGTAACAAAAACTCAACACCACAGTTGATTCACATCATGTGCATATGTGCCGATCTAAACCAGTATTATCATTAAGTGGGTTTGGTAATCAACCCGGGTATCATCATAAGCTCATGCTGTCTATGTCTAACATCCATGCGACACGAAATTATTGTCCTCATCGATCCTCGAATTTTCCTCTTAGTGCCATACAATGGGCCAGTTTCCGTGTGTTCGGGCATAGGCTTCTTCTAAGCGCCTCAGGATCTCTCGCGACACATCCTGATGGTATTCCTCACACCATTCGTAGATCTGCTGGGCGATGATGTAGTCTTGGCCAGTGAGACTCAAGTATCGGTACAAATATGCAACCGCATCATCCATATCGTGGGATCGTTCGATGTCGCGGAGACTGTTGAGTTTGCTGCACAGCGCAAAGGACCAGGGAGCAGCATATACTCTCAGACCACCACTGGTTCCGTAATGTTCGAAAATAACTTCGTTCTGCTTCTTGGCCTCTCGGATCAGACTAGCCTGAACATTTCGAGGCATGAAAAGTTGCATAGAGTTGTTGAACCACGCTTCGCCGAGACGACCGTGAGTTTGGCTGTTGGCAAAGCTGGCAGCGTTGTTGAGAGCAACACACTCCTTGGATTCAGGGTTGTTGAGTATGAATTCGACATCGTGTGTCGACTCTCTTGAGCGAAGGTAGAGTGTGTTGACAGCGCCGTCGACAGCAACGCAGTCTATGCTCACGCCGCACTCGTTGAGATACTCGGCCATTTGTTGGAAAGCATCAGTGATTTGCTGCCGACTCAACTCCGATGAATCAGGGTGATCTTGGAAGATCGAGGAGGGAACCATTACAGAACCAGCTGAATGACTCGAGAGTGTGACAGGGCGGATGGGACGAGACTCCATCTCGAGAACGTGGCGAGAATTGTTGCAACCCATGTTGAAAGTGGTGAGAGTTGTAAGTTGTGAGGGGTTGAGTGAGATATTCTTGGGTTAACGGCAGCGTAATATACCCGAAAGTTACAAAGGATTCAGATGTGTTTCGTATCAAGAACTGATCTGCTCAGATTTAGCCCACCTGACCCAAGGGATCGCTTCGTATAAATACCAGAAACCCTACTCTGTGAACAACCCTACTAGGTCATGTTCCTGAAGAGGTTGCACGCAGGTGCTTCCGTTCAGCGCGCCATATGCGGATGTTCCAGGACTCCTTCGACTGTACTGCAACGTAGGAGGGGAGAAATGGAGTCGCCCTGGTGGCACTGCCTCGTGTCGATCAAATACGAGGGTCCTACCCGCAGATGGCGTTCCTGTGAGCCTGGGCAATCCACCTTTTTGTTCAGCTCTGGAGGACTGTGGTAGGCTGAACGTGCTGTTGTAGGCGTTGGTATTCAATGTCTGTGGTATTTTTAGATGATTTGTCCCCTCTAGACGCCCACTAATGTAAGTCCTAGATCAACGGTTCACAGTTCGTGATGAAATATTTAGTTAGGGTCATCCATTCATCGCGCCAAGCGCGAACAGTTCTCTCTGCTTGGCTTTGCTTGACAATCGATCTCTTTCTCATGCCCACGTCATGCCTCGCTCTGTGCTTGATTCAAGGCTGTACAGACATGCGCACGCCACTCAGAATTTAATCACGCTCTGTCTGTCGTCTTGACGCAGTAAGCAGTAAACTATCGAGTGGATCAAAACGAAATCCTCACATCAACAGAATATGTTAAATACCTTGTACACATCAATACCTAAGCAAGGTTGAGGAATATTGTCCAAAACTATGGTAGTTCTGAAATATACTGAGTATACGATCCTCCCTGATGCGATCTGATTTCTCATTCTATGTAGTGTGCAGATTTTGTTTCAATCTGCCTGACTACATTCCATCCCGGGCTTGCTCACAATTGTTCAATTCTCGGGGTTTTGTTAGCGGTGCAACCCACCTTGCGGTTTGAACCGCAACAAAAAACAAAAACCAGATATTAGCGAGTCTACCCAGTGGCAGTGCAGTAGAAGCATTTCATATGCAGTCATGAAAAGAAACGGCCTAGATTGAAACCACTAGGATTTAAACAGGAACAGGGACCCTGAAGTGACGGTAAAAAGATGTGAGATTCGCAGAACACAATGACTTGCGAATATTTAGGACTCGTCTCGCTCCAAAGGAATATGGAAGCATATCCAATCAATTGGGTTTCAAATGAGCTTCAGGTTGCTTTGAACTACCTAGGGTTTAGCTTTGGTATCTTCTCCTAACGTATTTCACCGCCACTCCGTACACCCCGTGACCCCGCACACTTTTCTCACTAAATAGTTAGTTTTTTAATATAAAATATAAAATAGTAATAAAATAGCTAAATATAGAGAGTAAAATACTAAATATTATTTAAGATATATATAATATTTAGAATTTAGGCTTATATATTTAGCTATTTTTTAATATATTTAAATAATTCTTTAATATCCTAGCCTTTCTATAGAAAATAGTAATTTTATTAATAATTTAATTTTAAAGTATTAAATAAATAAATATAAAGTTCTTTTTATATTTACTATTAAATATAGCTTATAAATAGTCTATATAATATAAATTTTATTTTATATATTTAATTAATATAATATAAAATTAAAAGTAAATAGTATAATTTAAAATATATTTTTATTGATAAAAAATATTATTTTTAAATACTAAATAAATAATATAAAAACTAATATTTACTTAATTTATATATTAAGCTTTAAATTATATAATAGAGTTATTAAATTAGTCTATAAATTTAAATTAGAATTTATAATAATATTATAATATATATATTATAATATAAAATAGTAAAATATATAGTTTATTTATTATTATTTTAATTATAAAAAAAAAAAGGTCTTACTACTATAAATATATAAATATATATATAAAATATATATTAAAAATACTTTTTATATATATAAAAGCTTAATAAGATATATAATTAAAACTTTATAATAAAATAGTATTTATTTAAAATAATATTTATTTATTTATTTATAAATAAATAAACTTATAAAAGATTTATTTATAATCTATATAGTATATAATATTATATAAAGATTATTTTATATCTATATTATTTCTATAATGGATAATATAGTAATATAAAATATTACTAACGATAATATATTTATTTAATATAAAACCTTAATTAAATATTTTATAAAATATTTAAAACTATAGTAAGGCTATACTATGCAGCTGCAAGGGTCGATTGACTAGCTTGTGGTGTGGATCAGTTTGAGGGGTGTGGGGGGGAAGCCAGCTTTTATGCATACGGCTGTGTGAGTCATACAAGTGTTTATTTGATTAGAGTTTAGTCGCCGTGTGCGATATCTATTGTCTTGATCATTGAGTTTTGACCTTGGAAGAGGTTACTTTTATCGTTGATATTATTGAGAGTTTTGGAAAGCCTGGGCTTGATAAAGTTGAAGGTTAAAACAAAAAAAAAAATAGTAATGCTATAAAGTCTTAGTATAAACTTATTAATTAGGTTTAAAATTTTAATTATTTTTATAAATACTTTTAATAAATATTTTAAATACTTTGAATTTAATTATTTATATTAATTCTTTAATTTTATATACTTATTTTATAAGCTTAAGATCTTAATATATAATTACTTAACCTATTATAGTTCTCTATTTATAATTATATATTAATATAGTAATTATTTATAATTTTATTTAAAATATAATAAATTACTATAAAATACTATATTTTATATATTAATTTAGAAATAAATAAAAAATACTATACTTTATATCTTTAGATTATATTATAGTTTAGACCTTAAATAGTACTTTATATAAAAAGTGGGTCGATAGCTATTTTTATAGTATTCTATTTATATCGTTTAAAAAGTGACCTTTTGGTAGGAAAAGTATGCGGGGTCACGGGGTGTACGGAGTGACGGTGAAATACGTTAGATCATATGATATAAATTCGTACGATTAGATCTTCAAGACTTTGAAACACTTTAAAAAGGTATAAGTCCTGTGAGTTAAGTCGCAGGGATCCTTCCTTTCGCTTCAACATCTCCTCAAACTACATTCCAAACATATCTAATTTACTCTCACGGAGTGAATTACGAGATTTCACTTCGAGATAAGTCAGTCGCAGTCAACGTTTGTACCAGAAAGACAAGCGCCGGACTAGGTACCGTATTAATGCATTGTCTTGTTTCAACGAGAGGCATCACAAAGATCCTCAGAAATGTTTGGCGAGTATAACAAAGAATGAGAGTTCCCGATGGCTGCGCTAATACAACTGCCAAGCTCTGACGCTACGCCTACCTAGGACTGCGCATTCTATTCCTCAGACTTTGCTCCAACCATGATGCCCTCACTTCCCTGATTTTCAATGCGCTTTCTTGCTGCTTACCAATGCAGGTGCTGCATATCATGGGCCTGCTTCCGAGGCAGTCTATAACCTTTTTCTGTGGGCAACAAACAGACACTTGGCAGCAGAGTGGATTGCGTGGCAGTAAACAACGGAGAAACTATACCAAGATTGACGTTTGAATAAGAATATGAATATGACTTTCGTCTGAATACCAACCAATCCACGAATCCGACGATCAAGCCGAGGTGATGTGTAGGAGATCCTGCCCGTGCTTGTACCGGTAGTACCTGACCCTGACGGCGGAGTTTAAATCCCCTGTTGGCTCGTGCGCGCTGGAGCAACCACCTGAAGCTGAGCCCGACTTAACGGGGAATAGGGCGAGAGGCAAAGAGCCCGAGAGCACTGCATCTCAGTTAGTTGGCTAGAGCAGAAGCAAGCAATTACGTCGTAGGCGACATAACGTCAAACCTGCCTTTGCCTTGCCTTGCCTTGCCTCGCCATTCTCCTTCCCGTCCATCCTCGACACACCACCTCCACTTCATCTAATCTTCCATTCTATTTCGTCACCAACTTTCTTCCTTCTTACACGCGACCAGCTGGTAATTCCACATCTTACCGATTCCGCGCACCACCGCCTCGCCATACTCTACCTTATCTATAATCTAACTTCCCCCCTTGCTCATCGTCAACGTACAACGTGCATACCTGCCCGTTGCCACGTTTCCTCTTGGTTACCCGCCCGAAGCAATCGCGCGACACCACAAACCGACATCTACATACTTAATCCCCTCTTTTACGACAATAATCAGTCATCATGTCGGTCGATATCGAGCCTTTCGAGCTTTCATTTAAGCGTGCGTGATCTGCGATTGACGACAACGGGGCAGCGGAAGATTGACATGATTGCTAGGCCCCTTCACCACCGAGGTTTCGCAGATTCTTACCCTCAAGAACCCCAACCCGACTCCTGTTGCCTTCAAGGTAAGACGCCCACGATCCTTGCGCGATGACCGTACTGACGCAATTCAAAGGTCAAAACTACTGCACCTAAACAGTATGCTTGCCCCACTCCTTGGACCCTTCGGATCGCATACCTGACACCTCACTAGATACTGTGTTCGACCAAATGCAGGCCGCATTGAGGCCGGTCAGAGCTTCGATGTCTCCGGTGAGTTCGCTCTCATCTAGCTCTGACTACTAGCCATTAACAATCACCTAGTTCTGCTCCAGGCCATGAAGCAGGACCCTGCCCCTGACGCACGATGCCGTGACAAGTTCCTTGTCCAGTCTGCCCCCATTACCGCAGACAAAGAGTTCGCCAGCGTTGCCAACGTGGTATGTACTGAGTATCGCTCGAGCATCGACTTCCATAAACTTACACGATTACCAGCTTGAGACAGCAGACAAGTCTCTCCTCATAGAGCGCAAGATCCGAGTCAACTGGCTGGCCGCTGGTTCCGATGCCAACCAAGTTACTAACCGACCATTGTCCACGCCTAACAAGCAGGCCATCGCTAACGGCGTAAGTATTAGCACCTCAGTTATTTATTTGGTAACTAATTGTATTCCTAGGCCAACGATACTCCGGACGTCTCCCGCACGTATTCTTCTCCCGGCGCCCGAGACGACTCTCCCTCCACGGCACCTCCCCCCTACCACTCCCCCAAGGAGCCTTCCTACGAAGAGGAGAGGCCTAAGTCTGCGTACGAGGAGGCCGAAGGCAAGATTAGCCAGGCTACAACAGCCATCAAGGAGACTGCCGAGATGACCTATGAGGAACTCAAGGCCAAGCTTGTTCAAGCCGAACAACAGCTTGTAGCCCTCAAGGACAACGGCCTCCGACAACGCAACGTCAAATCTACCTCTAACGAAGATGACAAGCGACCTCTCGCTCAAGCCGCCCAGGCCATCACTCAGACCGTTGAGGGTGTTCCAGTGCAGATGGCGGCCATTCTCTGTCTAGTCAGCTTCCTGCTTGCCTATTTCTTCTTCTAGGCATAAGTAGAGGACGGCAACTCCAGAATTCTTTCACAAGATTAAATTAATAGACAAGCCTGACGACGCTCATGAGAACTCAGCACGGAGACTTGAGATCAACGCATGCATATATCTTCAAAGGACGGCGAGGGTAAAGCCCGGGAAGCATATCATCCGATGGGTGGAATGTTATAGCGTCAACGACCCGAAACAGCACCGAAACCACTGGAGCACTTGTGGGCGAAAAGACAAACTCACCAAGGGGAGAGGTGTCCGGGCTGAGCAGGGCTGTCAGGCAGCTGGAAACTGAAGGTGGAATGATACGTGGAGGAGTTCAAAAGGGATGGGTGGAGGAGGAGGTTTCCCACACGACGGTTTCGACTGTACACTCTCAACTTGAGCTTTTCATAGCTCTCGTATTTTTCTTGTCTCGTATTGTTCTATTGCTTGCGTTCAATGTTAAATTTGGCGTTTTAACTTCTTAGTTAATCCGACTCGGTGTTTTCTGTTCGACCTGTCGCATGATGTACTCTTCCGTTACCGCAACAAATCCATAAGTGCTCATGATGACATATCGTTTATCCTTGGAACATTGCTCTTGCGAAGAACCTGAGTGATCGCTCAAAAGATATTATCTATTTTATTCGTGACCTAGAACGCCGCGCGCGAAGATCTATATGCACTATGAGGCTTGTCTCCATCTGCCTTGTCCAGGACTCGGCTGGGCAGTCAAAATAACACAAGACTAAGCTCTTGCGTCGTCTTCCAATACTAAAACAAAGGACCCAAGCATCAAAAACCAACCGTATAGCATCGTGTTCTATGAATTGTCTACTTTTGCATTGCTTTTAAATCGCCTCGATCTCAGACTGCTTCCAGTCGGCAACAGCACCACCTCCGACGAGACGGCCACCCTGCTTACGCTTGACCCGGCAGTTCATACCAACATTCTCGTCCCAGATGAAGCGCCAAATAGCGTAGCACCAGCTCTCATGGCGAGGAAGGTCCTCGTAAAATTCATGTGCAATGTCGCGAACACGGTGGAGGCGGGTCCAGGGCACAGCGGGAAAGTCGTGGTGCTCGTTGTGAAGGCCGACATTGTATGTAAACCAGTTGAGAGGTCCGTAGTAGGAGAAGGTCTCGGGGACGGGAATGTTGTTATCAGGGTTACGAGCAGAAGGTGCAACGGTCTCGTAAACGTAGTGCTCAGCAATAAAGTGGCCGGCTAGAGGGTGAAGACTGCCGGCAAGGAAGGAAGAGAGCAGCAGGTAGAGGAAAGAGTTGACGGAGGCGTACTTCAGGAGAAGAAGATCGAAGCTGATTTGCACGACGACGTTCAGAGCGTGAATCTGGGTGAGGGGAATGCGGTAGACGGCCATGGGTCGCAGGGCGTAGAAGAAGATCTGGAAGGTGCAGAAGAAGGCCTTTCCAAGGATTGAGTCGAGAACAAAGGCTTCGAAAGCGGTTGGGAGATCGGTATCGAGGCCATCAACGCCGAGGGACTTGTGATGAGTGAGATGGTAGGGCTAGACAAAAGTTAGCAATGTTTCGGCTCAAAACGCAGGCCATGGTCACATACTCTGAACGAAGCGCTGTAAGGAATACCAATGGGGAGATTGGCAAAAATAGCGATCAATCGGTTGAGGCGAGGGCTTCTAAAAGCCAGATTGTGGGAGATCTCGTGGATGGCGAGGAAAAGGTTCTGGTTGGCAGTCGCACCGAAGACGTATGCAACAGCCCAGAACTTCCATGAGAAGAACGGGGTCGACTGGAGCATCCATGCGAGAAAGACCTGGAGGGAGACGACGCCGAGGACGACCCATTTTGTAAGAGGCTCAGGGCCGCAGAGCTTGGTGATCTGCAGAAGGAAAGCCAGGTTAGCAACGAGTGCTTTAGCAAGAAACCAATTGGGTGGCACGAACCTCAGGGTGCGCCTTGATGATTGCAAGACGACGGGTTCGATGAGGCTCCTCGGTGTATGTCCAGAAGAAATCGTTATTGTTGGCGGCATCGTTATGATCGGCCGCAGGAGCTGGGGATGGGCTATCGCCCTTTGCCCTCGATGTGACGGTAGAGGAGTTTGTCGCAGCCATGGCGACGGTTGATTTCTTCTCTTTTCAATATCGCTTTAGTTGGAAAGAAACGAGAGAAAGAATGAAAGCGAACAGAACGTAACGAGGTTGAAATTAAAGGGAAGGTCAAAGTTTGCCTCCTTTGCCTCCGTAGACTTGTGATTTCTTTAAGCTGCGGCGCAGACTGTGCTAGGACAGGGGCACGGCAGAGAAAGCTACGTGGAAGGCGGTGAAAATCCCAATGTTAAATGGGAGCTCGTCCAATGGACTTGCACTTAGGGGCTAGATTTGGCTGGCAGTGGGGGATCAAATCAGGGGACCGCACCCCGTTTTGAGGGGCTCCAAAGGCGGGGCATGCTCAGACCACTCAGAGGGGCGAGTTATGTGGCGTGGCAGGCGAGATTCAGTGCTATTTGATGTAAATTGATAAATCAAGAGCAAATTGGTTGGCTTTATACGGCCTGGTTCAGTTCATTGCAGCATCTATATAACATTCAAGTCATCTCGTAGACTGTATAATAGTAGAGAAATAAAAAGAAATAAATACAATCATCCTTCAATTGCCAGCGGAATTGTCGGACGAGGGCGGGGGAAGTGGTGCCATTCGGGACTGGTAAACACCAAGACCATACGACTTTTCGGTATTTGATGGAAACATCATCGCTCTAATTCTTCTCCTTAATTCTGGTGTGAGATTTTGGTTCTGGGAATCTTATAGGGATATACTTTCGACCTTTGGACTAGGACCAGGGATAATTAGATACAGTACTAAGAGAGCGCGAATACGAATACTACAATATTCGCATGTCGGATACTTTCCCTTTCTCGAGTGATAGCGAGTTACGTCAATTGTTCCATACTATCAATTGGCCTCTGGCTACGGAGTATAAACCAGTTACGCTTTCGATGATTTCTGATATGGTGCTTCGGCAAGGTGGGTAGCCATGTATAGCATTACCTTACCTCCCTCAGGCGTAGTAGCAGTCAATGATGAAGATTACCGTTACGTTGGACAAAGCTCACAGCTTACAACAATACTTTCTGCTTGCAATTCAGGTTGGACTTTCAAATTGATAGAAACGGACTTCGAATTGAAGATGCATCATGTCTCAATTGATTGGAAGGCGCATGTGACATTCATTTCTAGGCGTTCTTGGCATGGAAAGAGCCGTTTGGTCTGAGCTAAGAGCCTCAGCCTCAATTCAACCTCCGCTTCTTTAATGTCACTCGCATCAGCTTCACTTCCATCTCCTGTTACAACATATCGCGTCCTGGAGTCTGTGATCATTCATAACAGCAATATCACTAAAGAACCCAGACTAATATCGATCAAGATAACGCAAACGCGCGAAACTGCACGAGCATCACCTGATCTGCTGGGGGTATCAATTCATTATGTATTCTTTTGTAACTCGTCCGCCTTCCATCTCGAAAAGGTCGGCGGCTCTTTAGCATCGATATCTTTACTCCGCTTACAAACCATTGGTAGCGCATGAGAATACACCAGCTACTGTACCGGCCTCAAACTGATCAATAATGCCTTGCACACTGGCGTACGTGCCGACTGTGAGGAATGCAATACCGATTGCGATCAGGACGAGGTTCACAATATTGCCAGTCATATCGGTGATCTTGCTGTGATGTCGGCCAATCTTTTGATCGGCTTCGCGCATTCGGAAGTAGGCAACACCCCAGAAGATGAACCCGAACCAGCTGTCGAAAAGAGATGACATAACGGAAAGCACTGCCAGGTAAATATTAGCCACCATCTGTACAGCTTCTACCTGAAATACTTACGAGAGTTGAAGAAAGGAATCACCATGGCGATGATAAAAGCAAATACCCAAGTCGCGAACAGAATTCCACTCCAAGATCCCCAGCCAACCAGAGTATGGCTGTTCAGATGCTTGGAGTTGCGGAAAACACGGAAGAAGACGAAGCGGGCCGAGACCGAAGCGTATAGACAACCAAGGAAGATGATGGTTGGGATCATGAACGAGAATGCTGCCTTCTTGTACACATTCTCCAGCGAGCCGAAAGCAGGTGCTGTCACATACTGGTTGCCTGTATAAGCATACACAACAGCTCCCACAAGACTGAAGACGATGATCTCAGCAATTGTGCACGCCCAAAGAGCCTTAGGGAAGTCTCGAGGGTCTCTCATCTCAGCAATGAAACTGGGCAGAGTGATTTGGCCGATGAAGGTATAGCTGATGTTGAGAAAGGCGGACATTCCGTTGACGAATGTCGTGCCCTTGACAGGGATGGCGGTGACGATGGGCTCGCCCAACTTTGCAGGGTCATATCCGAACGGGTGATCCTGGATGCCAGCGAAGATGGCAGCAAGGAGGACGGAAATGAAGGTGAAGATGGCCGAGGCTGTTCCGAGCTTGGCCATCATGTCGAAGGTCCTGGGCAAGGAGCAGATCCAACTGATGAGGGCAACAATAACGGAGAACATGACAGTTCGGCAGCCACCGACATCATCGGAGGCAGTCATGGTGTTGAGGTACTTGGCACCGACCAAAACGTGAAGACCTTGGATGAAAGTGTTGTTTAGGATGAAGCACACAGCAGTTGCCCACCAAGCCCACTTCTTGCCCCAGAATAGCATCTGCCCAATATCACAGACATCGCGCATTTCAGGATGGCGCAGGCAAAACTCCCAGAGCACAAGACTGGTGTAAAGAACGATAAGAGCAATAACGATTGTCAGGATAATACCAGGAACCAAACCGAGAACACTGTACGACCAAGGGAAACTCATGATGGCGAGACAAATGTACTCACTGAAGAGCAGACCAGCGGTCTTTTGCCATGAGCAAGTGCGGTACTGGATCTGTTCTCCTTGTTCGGCCTCAAGCTGTTTGTTGAGGATGGCCGAGCTAGAGTCTTCCGAGTCTGAAAGATCACGCCTCACAAATTCGGGGAGATCAGCAATACGAGGCCCGACAGTAACACCTTTACCACCGAAAAGAGACGCCCATCGCGACGAAGGGGTTTGGATTTGGGATTGGCGACGCTCGGGGTCAGGGCTTCCGCCTCCAGAACCGAGAGATCCCTTTTCAGCCATTATGACGATGTCAAGCACAATATAAGTGCTTCTCTGGATGGTTGATTGGGGTTGTACGTGGGTTTGTACAATAAGAGGTAAGACGATGTGACAGTGAGGTCAAAAGAAGAAAGACGGGCCAGGCACAAAACACAAAATGGACAAGTGCTGGTTGCAAGCGGCAGAAAACATTGGGAACTATGCTGCATTTTAAAGAGTGAGAATTCATGTTCTCAGACATGAACCCTACGGCAGGTTGCGATCCTACAGTACGATCCCTACCACTACCAACTTTGCTGTTGGCCACCCACGCAATATTCGACAGCCTGTTCCCTACCTGGGCACAGAAGTTTACTGCTAGACTGGAAATGGAGTTTTCCTAGTCGTCAGTCTCTTCAACTCTCACCCCGGACGTCCTCCATAGTGATCCTTCTTGGTCCTCTTTTCAACCAAATCTCGCGCTACGATCAAAGTGCAACACAACTCACCACTCATGGAGGTTCAAATGTTCCACACACCGCGGAGTGTCGCCAGATGCCTACTAACGTTAGATATGCAGACAAATGAGAGTGCGACCAACCGATGCCAATCCACCCGGAACGGCGAATGGTGCCCCCACTCGATCCACGCCATGTGCCGAACTTCCGAACCAGGCCTGTCACAGCGCCGACAACCCAGAATGAAACTGCACGTCAGCCAGTAGAGGCGGGTTTAAGTTGCATCATTGTTTAAATCGCAAATCCACCGGCATCTCCGTCTGGTCGATCCCAGCTTGAATATGTCTGCCTGGCAGGGGCTCAACGCAAGGTGATTTGAAGATTGCTGACTGGATCACTGTTCATCAAAGCGCGAGGACTGGGTTGCTGATACAACAGCTGAACCGTAACGTAGCTTTTACGTACATGCACCTCAAAGAAGCGAGACCAGCCTTTCTGCAAGTTGATCACATTAATGTCGACACCAGGGGATAAGCTCACGAGCTGAGACTGGTAGATCGCACGCAATTAGGCCACTCATTGAGCAATGATCCACTATTGATGAGGCGTCGACTAAGGGATGATCAGATGCAGTAATAGTCAGACGTGATCACCTTGACCAGTCTGCAGGAGGGCATCCAAACCCAAAACCAACAGCAAGCAACTAGGGTTCTGATCATCATCGCATACAAACTCCTACAGACTCAACGTCACAGGTCTCGAACCTTGCCACAAAACATCATTTTATATCAAACCATCCGTTGCGAATGTTGGAACTTAGAAGGTTGAGCATTGGGCTTATTGTCTGCTAGCCATTGGATCTTGACCCTCATCACATCAGTTGACGGGGAGTCCATCAGACATGGCTTGATCCTTTGAGAATGGTGTGATTTCTAGTTTCAAAGGAAGAGAAAAGGATTCCTTGGCTCGGTGCCTTATGCCGACCGTCCAAATAGTTCCCGAGGGTCCGGAACGTTTGCCCCCGGTCAAGAGTGGTGCTATCCGTAATTCTGGCCTTGTTTTGCAGACCCTGCTGTCACACAATAACATGCTTAAAATTCGCCATTCAGGCTAAAACAGACAAGGTTGCGGCTCGTCGGACTGCACTCGAGCTATTGAGCTGATGCCATTTCTCTCTGTCATTCTCTGATGTAAGGAAACTTCCGCAGTTCCCACTCTTCTTTGTCTTCTTGGGATCGGGGAGTTCGGGGAGGTGATTTGGTGGTGCGAGAACACAAGTCCGTGTGCACAGGTGGGACATTTAAGCTTATTGCTCAAAGCGACGTAGCGAGCATCCATGATCTTGTGAGTGTGATTGATATCCACAACTAGCGAGGTTATCGCCAAGCTAGCGCCAAGGGCTGGGCGATCTCTGGGCAATCGGGAATCCAGCCAATTGCATAACATATTGTTTAACCTCACTCGTTCATTACAATCTTTAGAGACAGGTGCGTAGCTTTGTATAATGCATGTTTTATTTCTTTTAAATGTATATTTATATTTTTTTTATGTACTACTCCTCAGGGAATTTTCTTTTTTCTTTCATTTATTTATCTTTCTTAAAGTCAATTCAGTTATACTGCATAGAGATTACTTAGTCAGTAATAGACGATATCAGCCAAGAGATATCGGTCATTCTATCCCAGAATCATAAGCGCATTTATACAATCAATCACTCGGTATAGCAAAAAAATTCAACATGTCAAATTGACAAAAGGGTTCGGAGCCCGGTGGCTCCTACATCCCTGTCGCTTGGTTTTGTCGTCGGGCCATCTCCTCCAGGCAGGACCAGTTTGACCTGACCGCTTACCACGGCGCCGGCTGATCCTCCTATGTCATCGGGTTTTGTCGTCGGGGGTTGTCGTCGGGGGTTGTCGTCGGGCCATCTCCTCCAGGCAGAACCAGTTTGACCTGACCGCTCACCACGGCGCCGGCTGGCTCTCCTATTTTTTGGCGTTTTCGTCGGGATTCGAACTCGGGCGTTGGGGTGTCGATTTGAAACCTTTATCCACCAGGCGAGAGCAGTTTGACCTGACCGCTTACCACGGCGCCTTCTGCTCCCCCTTGGAAACAGAGAGTGTTTTTACAACCTATAGACCATTGGAAGATCTTCACCTCCTGGTGGGAACTGGGCGGTGGTGCTCGGTGCTCGGGTTGAGCTCCAGTGGGGTTGGTGGTGAAGCATCGTGGCCCGTAGGCAGTCAGCTGGTAGGCGGCCGGCAGCTGCATCTTTGACCGCAGCGACGTGAAGCTTTTGGTTCTCTGCAAAACAGGGCGCCGCGATGATTTCAAGGTGTTTTGAAGTCGTCGTGATGCGTGCCCCATACCCAAATGATTTCCCGTGCCGTGTTGAAGATATCGCCGCCACCACAACCTGATATCATATTATCACCACCAAAATGTTCAACACCACAGCAAAACAACACCGCGACAAATCAACACAACAGACATAAAACAAGACAAGCCTCGAGCGTGATTGCGACAAGACAATGCATGCGCTGGTATTACATATGGATATATGTATCCAACATCGCGGTACTTGCGCTTATGTCTCTCAATAACGGGCAATTTTTAGATTTGCGACGCTTGGTGTTGTAACGATGCAGCGCAAAGGCGCATGATTCGATGGGAATATATGTACCAAATGACTTCATTCATATGATGTAGCACTTGCTAGGTTTGTATACGCTGTTCGTTTAGTGTCGTGTCGAATTTTCTATTAGCAACAAGTCAAGGATTCCAGCAGTATTCGCGCTTTGAGTCGTCGTGCTAGGGGTCAGGCCAGGTATTATCAAGACTGCTTCACTTGTGCAGCGTATCAAATGTCAAGTCATCGGGGGGAGGTCAAGGCAAGATAGGAAGCAAGGCAAGGCAAGGCAAGGCAAGGACATGGCATGGATGGAATAATGTTTGGTTAAGGCAATGGCTGGAAAGGTAATGGCATGGGACAGATTAAAAACAGGTATCATGGCACTAGCAAAAGTACGCGTTCATCTGGTGAGGGAATAACGGAACATTTGACGGGGAGGAAGGGCGGTGGTTGAAAAATCGTATTTCGACGTGGAAAGAGGTTGTGATGATGAAGGAGTCAGAATGAGAAGGCTGCGACACGACGCGGAGACAAATTCTTGGCTAAAGTGGAGTCATAGGGTTTTGGGCGGGGTTTTCCAGCTTGCAGTGGGTGACGGATATAGGCATACGCACGGATAAATACAAGACACACGATTTGCTCTTGGGTGTGGCACCGTGGCACTGTGGCTCAGGGGCTAAGCTCAATGAGTCTTATCTTGAACCTTGCATCAGTTCATGATCGTCGTGACCTTGATTTTGGTTAACTGTTAAATCAAGAATATGTAGTCAATATGATGCGCTGCTAGTGCTCACGCCTTCCAAGTCTGATGAGAGCGATAATCAGAGGGAGACGTGGTGAACTTTGGATACCACGCAAAGGGTTACCTACATGATGATGCTGTCATCGTTCCTGATCTTGCCTTGCTGTATGTAGGTACTGATCTGCTCTCTTGGTTGAGAGATGTGCTGAGAGCCTATCACGTTGATGTGACGCTATGCGCCAGCCAAACCAAGTCATCTCAGCGGTTTCTGCTTGGTCAGTCAGTCCAAGATAGAATACAGAAACCTGTCTGTCTGATGATCTGAAACTTGGTCTCATGATTTATTTTCGCTTGCTTATCAAAGTTGGTCTAAAAAAGCTGCTTTGCTCAGTGACACGTGCCAATAAGTCACAAAACGAAATGCCAACCTTAGCACTAGAGGTACCTAAAGCTTCCCCCCACCAGCTTTCTTAGCGGCCGAGTGACGCTGGGCTGGCTTCTGCCACGTGAAGATAGCAGACGATAAGTAAAATTTGGTCGCTACCTTGATTAGCCACATTGCATCGCTGTGTGTGCAAGTCACCCTCAAACATTGAGCAACAGCCGAACATCAGAGCTCCAAGACTACGTACCGTGAATTTTAGACCGGCCAAACCCCATCTTTGGGAAACTTGACCGTCAGTACTGCTTCACTTGTCTTGACCTGACCCTTCATCCTCAAAAACTTGACTGCCTTTGCTCTGTAGTCTATCTAGTCCAGCCTAAGCCCTGTCGCTATTCACCGGTTCATTCGACACATTGCCCGAACGCACGCACTTTCACAAGCCGAACGCACGAGCTTTATCCATGGGCAAAATCTCCCCTTGAACTCCACACACCAGGCGAGATCTTAAATATCACCAACATCCTTCGCTATCGCTCGACGCACTTGGATGTCCAACTTCTGAACGAACCGATTCCGATATCCTCCCCTCGGCGCGGCCTACGCCTGCCATCTCTCCGCTCCGATGTGGTGGCTATTTAGGGCGATCTTCAGCTCTATCTTCCTGCTCAGCATCGTCCTCTCCATTCCCGTCGCCTTCGATGTCGGCGGTCGCGACAGCGGGCTGGCTTACAGTCTAACCCTCTTCCTCTTCTACTTTATATACTCCAGCCTGGAGTTTTTGACGCCCGAGAAGTCGCGCTCGCGGTTCTTCCTCGCCGGGTTTCTACGCCTGTCGCAGTGGATCATCATCCCTGCCCTCCTCATCTGGGCGCTGGGTCAATTCGCTGTCGATGCCGGCGACACAAACTGGGTAGAGCGCACAGTTGGTGGCCTGTTGAACTCTAAAAGCACGAGCTGGAGAGAGTGGTTGTTTGGCAGAGACGGCTTGGTTGAGACGGTCACTCTCGGCGGGTGGGATAATGTGCTACGGTATTCGGGTCCCGTGTTCCAGCTCTTGGAAGGTTTCTGTACCTTGTTGGTCATCCAAGCCGCAGGACAGCTCACTAGATGGCTCGTCAACCGCGGAAGAAGTGACACATGGCTGGTAAGTTTATATCGAATCTCTTTACAAGATACTGTTGCTAACAGTCGCGCAGATCGTTCTTCTGGTTCTATCAAGCTCTATTATGGCTAGCGCCGTCTACTTCCTCTGGAGGGTAGCACAATTCCCCCAGATTGGCAACATCGATGCCACCTTGATTGGCATCGCAATGACAACTGCCGTGTTTCTGTGCGCTTTTGGTATCGGCAGTGGTCGCGGCAATCCTATTGAGTCGTCGCTCCTGTTTGCCTACATCGTCCTCTGCATATACCAGATCTTTACCGACTACCTGCCCTCAGGAAATGCAGACCACGCACATGAACATGACAGCTCTGACTCTGATATTCCTCCTCTGCCACCTATCATCATGGCATCATATTCAACATTCCTCCACATGTTGGGCTCACTACCTTACGCTGTGCACTCGTCGCTGGCCCTGCTATATGCCGCCTTCCAGACCATTACACCATCAGTCATCATCTCTTTAACATATCGCTCATTAGTGTTCTACTGCGCCACACGCATCATCCCCTCCATTCGCGAGTCTGGTGCTCAGGCAATGATGCAGGAGCCAGAATGGGAGGATGGGGAGACTGCCAGCAAATTCCTGGGTTTCCTTAGCTGGTTTTCGCCATCCCTTTTAATAGCTGTTTACACCAGTCTGCTCTTGCAACATTTCTCCACCAGCGACGGCCCTGATGGCTGGACGCTCAGAGGTGGCGATGTTGAGGGCAGCAACTGGCAGTGGGCCAATATCGGCCTGACGATGGTGCTGTATGGCGTCGAGCTCTATTTGAGTTCTGACGAGCACGACCACTGGAAGGTTGACTAAATGTTACAAGCTCCAGGACTACTAAGTCACACTGAGATCTACTTGGTGAACTATTCTACAGAGAAACACGAAATTGCCTCTCAATAAGGAGTCGGTTGTAAAATGGGCTTAGAAGGGGAGGGCATGATTGATTCTTATTCTATTTTTTCGAAACAGCACACAATTTCGCAGGCGGCATAAGAAAACGGGCTGGACTGGACTGGATTGTACTGGGATAAGGCAAGTGGGCAAACGGAACAGGCACGATACCGAACATGGCGTTGAGGAAGGGTTTGGCGGCTTTTTTATATTTCTCTATTTCTGCTTTTCAACAGCATGGCGATGGATGTTGATAATGTTGGTTTTTTATTTAACACCTTATTTCTTATACGTTAGTTTCGGTGAAGATTAAGCAATACAGCGTGAATTAATCATTCTCTTGGAACCTCGGAAGCAGTGAATATTCTGTATTTGTGTTTGATGTAACAATAATTGCTTATGTACTTTTTGCTACGTTGAATAGTCCCGCGCAAAAGTACCAACAACTTAACTTGGGAATACACATAGCAATTAAAATATCTTTTATATAATTTTGCTCAAACAGTATGAAAGGGGTTATTATGATTATGTTATCTGATATTAACTCGAGAAAAGAGGAAAGTGTCGGAACATTTGCCTATTCCCTACACAGATTGTTCCACTCTTTAATAATGGAGGGTAACGTCTTTAAATATGGAACATTCGCTTTCACCAGTTTTGAACCGTAAACATCCAAGAATACAGGTGTAATACTTATAGATAGCAACTATTTTGATATTATTTTATACCCTGAATATTCACAATACAAACCATAGATACCTACTATGAGGTTATTTGAATTGACCGATCTCGGCTACCCTAGACCCACTTGTCGATCTCAAGAATTGAATAATGTCCGAATCTTGAAAGTGATGGATGTAAAGGGATCAACTTGCATCGACCTTTCCCTAATCACCTTGTCTTCTTTGACCACTCGAAAAAACCGCATTATCTCATAATGACCGACACGTATGCTACCAAGGGCCTTCCAGCCCCTCCAGAGATCTCCGTCAAGACAATCCCCATGGCGGGCTTGCTTGTTGACGTCTACGGCCTCGATGAGCTCCCTCCCAATGTTCCAGTCTCATGTCTTTGGCTTCTTCATCCACGGACAAGAACACGAGCAAGAATGAGCGATATTGCCAGGCGCACTATTGCGGCATGGACTTCTCATGCTGGAGCCAACCTCAAGCGAGGCCTCATTGCTCTATCCTTTGACATGCCTAACCATGGAACAAGACTTGTCAGCGAATCGGCAAACGTAGCTTGGGATAAGGGAAATTCAACGCATGCGATCGATATGTTTGGCATGGTAAAAGGAGGCGTGGCAGATATGAGCGGCCTTATGGACCTTGTCTCTGGATATCTTGGCCGTGAAATTGACGCACATGTTTGTCTGGGGTGGAGTCTTGGTGGGCATAGTGCATGGCAGGCTTTCTTTGGAGAGAAGAGGATTGATGCTGCCGTGGTGGTTATTGGATGCCCTGACTTTGCGGGTGAGTTGTGCTGGAAATCATGAACGAGATGATCAAGCTGATGAGATGATAGGTTTGTTGGGTGATCGTGCTGCGCAAGCCAAGCTCGACTGTGGCGCTGCTTTTGTCGGCAGCAAGTATTTCCCCAAAGACCTCACACAGACCTGCAACTCTCACGACCCGAAGGCATTACTATTTGGCACTTCGACCATCCCCTCCCCGTCTCTATCTGCTACTGAGCAGGCTCGCCTGAGGACCATCCTCGACAAACGCATCAGGGGCAAGAAGTTGCTTCTCTGCTCGGGAGGCGACGATGCGCTAGTCCCGTACGCAAAGACCAAGCCCTTTGCAACGCTGTTGAAGGAAGCGGTAGGTGAACATGGTTGGTATCGTGATGGAGGCGTCGAGATGGATGATAGAGTGTATGAAGGTGTTGGACACAAGTTCAGTGCTGATATGGTGGAGGATGCTGTGCGGTTCTTAGTTAGTGCAGTGGAAAGGGGACCGAGAGGAAAGGTTCAGTCGAGAGAGGGAGAGAAAAGTGTACTATAAACCAAGTATATGAATTCGTATAGATATGATAGAGGTCACCAAGGCCGCGCTGCCTTTTCGTCAATGACTTCGCTTCCATTCTCCGTCTTAATGACCAAACCACCATTATCACATCCCTTACTGAAAAACACCCCCTGATGTATTCCCCAAGGATTTCTCTTGGCTCTCTTCCCAGCAAGACTCTTCCCTCGCCCATGGGGATCCTCATTCCACTCACCCAACGCCAGACTAGCACCCTTCATCGCCTCCTCCTTATCTTGGTCTTTCGACACAGCTGCCATGCCAGGCGGATCTATGCCAATGAATGAGACTCTGTTGAGAGGAACACCTATAGCTGCGCAGTGTCCGTCGACAAGTCTTTCCTTCTTGAAACCATGGCTTACAACGGTAACGTGGGTCGGCCACGCTTGAAACCGCGCATGGAAGAGAGTCAGAGAGAAGAGAACATTGTGGTATGAATCAAGTGCACGCTCTTCTAACAATACTGCATCACTAACATCTTTGTTCTCTAGCAGCCCCCAGTAATTGTTTTCAGCTGCGATATTCTTGTAGCTAGCGGCTTCAGATGTCCTCGATTCTTTGCGTGTTGGACCACTCAACACAATTAGCAGTCAGTTTCACATGATGAATCGAGTTTCTTACCCTGTAAAAACGAGAACAGAGTTAGGGCGGTCTTGAGCGAGAGCTTGTACACCGGCTTTGATATGCTGAACAAAAGTCGGGGTTTCACCGCGTTGGAAGTCGGCGATTAGCCATTCATTTTCGTCTTGGCCATGTGTTGGACCACCGAGCCAAACTCCGTGACAGCAGACGATGATGAGGTGGTTGCGTGGCATTGTGGTGAGGTGAATGATGAGGGGATTCAGAAGTTGAGAGACTGGACTCATCAAGAGGGTCTGATCATGTGATGTTCCATACAATTCCGAAGGAAGCGGTGGATTGATCAAGTACTAATTCTTTGTAGTCAAGTTTGACTTGCGAAGATTGATGTTCACATTCGATATCATTTTCATACTATATCAATATGAACTCTATCCCTATCATCGTATTGTACAAAAGAGTGCTATCCATCCTCGTATCCCATGCCCGATCAATGCATCATTCGCTTGGTAATAGTACAGTCGACTAATAGATACACATTCAAACATTCTTAGTCATTTTATGAGTCTCCCGGACCTCGAGTTTGCTTCCTGTTAGCAGCCAACTTTGACTGAAAGGGATCGCTACTCTGCCTCTCCTTGTCCCTGCTCTCAACCTCTCGCATCTCTATTGACCTCTGTCTCTCGGCTGCAGCCACCTCCTCGCTGAAATTCCTCGGCTTATCCTTCCATGCCACGCTGGGCTTGCGCTTAGACTTGGTAGTCTTGGTAGGCTTGGGTTTCTTCGTTGACGCAAAGGGGGATTTGGTTGGTGGCTTGGGTGGTCTCGGGTAGCCAAAGACCTGGCGATGGGTCTTGTATTTAATATGTGGTATAGCGCGTCGCCCCCTGATCTTGAGCAAGGCATCATCGTACTCAGATCTATGGGTGGCAGCCTGCGTCTTCAGGTCTTCAAGTCGTGCAGCAATATTCTTGACGGGCTTTTTGCTTTTCGCCGTATCATTTGTATTTCTTTGCATATCTTTCTCGACAGCGGCGATACTGTTTCGATACCCCTCGGCCTGCTTCTTGTGGAATGCAGCCTTGCTTTGCAGCTTTCTTGTTCTTGCAGGTACGCGTAGCGGCTTGATAGAGCCACCTTCTGCTAGGTCGGCGAAGACATGTCTTCGGATGGGTGACAGGTAATGGTGTCGTCTCGCTTGCTTGAATTCCCGGGCCTCTTCACTTGAAAGATTTCTCTCGCGGGCGATCCGGGAGTATCGATATAGTTGAGCTCTGCCAGGTCTTCTCGTGCCCACTTCCCTCGGTCGGCGGATGCCTTTAAGACCAAACAACTGTCGGATCAGATAGAGACTTCCCGTCACAACCACAGGCCCGTCTCCTGCCTTGCTGCATGCCCAGGGAAGAGCACTCGCGATGTCAGGCTCTCCGTCGTACAATTGTTCAGGAGTTTTGACGATCTTCTGGGCGTGTTCTGCACCGTAAGTCGCAGGGGCTGGTTGGGGATCGTTAGGGCCCTGAGTAAATTCGACCATTGCAAAGTTATCATGGGGCTGAAGAATCTTCTCGATCATTTGGAAGAAAGGCTTTTCCTTGCTTGCTGACATGCCCATGACCCAAGTCACCGGTTGATTCCCTTTCCGAAGACGACTGTTGACATGCCTGGCTAATGCCTCAATTCCCAACATGTTGTGAGCACCATCGACCAAGATATCCCGCGACTCAACGCCAGAAGTAGGTGCCTCCACATGTACTGTTTCCAATCGGCCAGGTAGAAAGGGGTCTGTCGCTAGGAGCTTGTCAAAGTCGATCTCCTGCAACGGGAACACGTGGCGGAAGGCCATGGCTGCACACAGCAGGTTCTGAACCTGATAGCTTTCTAGTTTCCATTTAGTATTGTCAAGGGTGAGGAGTAAAGGTTCGCCCTTCCACGTGAGGATGATGTCTGTGCCGACTTCTCGAGCGTGTTGCCGAAGAACGCGTATGACAGACGGGAGGTTAGTGTGGTCAACGATACAAGGAACACCCTTTTGCATGATACCGGCTTTGACCTTGGCGATGTTTTCGATAGTGTTTCCGAGGTACTCTTGGTGGTCGAGACCAATCTTAGATATGACAGTAACAGCCTTTTGCTTCATGACATTGGTCGCATCAGTGGCGCCACCCATACCAACTTCGACAATACCGTAAGGAACATGCATCTTGTTGAAGACTCGGAATGCTGTTGCAGTTTCGGCCTCGAATGGTGATAGGCCTTTTGGATCATCTCCGTGCATATATTTCCAGCCTGTAGCGATGCGATTCCACTTCTCCTCGACGTGCTTCATTTCCATTTCGTACATGCGGGGATTTACATATAGACCATTGATAATGACTCCGTTATGTCTCTCCGGAAAGGCAGGTGATGTGAAGCTCCCATAGCCAAGACCGGCGAGCTTGAACATCCCAGCGAGAAAGGCACATATTGAACCTTTGCCATTTGTGCCAGCAACATGAATACCCTTCCACTCCTGCTTGTCTGGCACAACACGATTGATACGATCCAGGCCTAATCGGATATCTCTGTAGCCAGGTTTCCTCTTGCCGACCAAGACACGATTTATGCGGCTAATAACGAATTGGAGTTCCTGAGAGGAAGACATGATGAGAGTTTAGGTGAGACGGCATCTCATCGGAGCCCGGCGCTGGGGTGAAGAAGTGCCGTATGAGGCTCCTGAGATGCTGATTGGAACAGTCCCAGGGTAAATTGGCGTATCGGTGATGTTTGTAAGTTGAGAGTTGTCATGGATGTCAAGGCATGGATGAGTCTTCCACAGGCCATTATTTTTACCTTGGGGGCGATTGATGTCGAATGGAGTGGGGGTGATGAAAGCCACATCGAGGCCGCTTTCCGAACGCCGACGACGGGATAATGTGGCGGATGCTGTGGCTGTGCACATCAAGAGCATGATCGATGTTGATTGGCTGGCTGCCTAGAATCACTGTCCTTATCACGACACGATACACGTTGAGTTAACGCGCACGCGAAAAGACGCCCTTTGAGCCTCAAGCGTTATTCTTCTCTGATTGGTTCTTTTATTTTCATCGCCCTCCCTCAGCCCTCTGCTTCTTGGGACCCCCCGCACCCCCCTTCGCCCACTCCGTTCCTTCATCCTCCACTGTCGAGTGTCGACTGGTTAATTACCTACCCACTTCTCTCTCGCTTCACGCTTCGTGCCTTTCGTCCTGGCTTTATCATATCAACCTTTGCTATCCACCTAGGCAACATTGCCATCACCGTCGTCATCTATCAAAGCGACTTCTCATGACAACAGCTTCATCATTTTCCTTCTTGATTCTTTGATTCATTATTTGGATATTTCAGTCGTTTTCGTCCACTCGCTTTTGCGTTCCAACAGCCATGGGCCTCCCGTAAGCGCATCCTTGTTTTTTCTTAACTACCCCGTACTCCGTACACTACTTCATCACTGTTGCGCCAACGCAGTGATGCCCCGGTCAATCGATGCTGTCACTATCGCCGTCGCTGTCGTTATCGCTTGATCACTGCAGTATCACGGCACGCTGCTGAGAGTGTGAATGCGCATAGCCGTTATCGTTATTCGACATAGCGCGCATCGTGCTTTGCATATTCGTCGCAGTAGTCACGGCCTCATTCTATCGAAATCGTGCATTTACTAACCTTGTCCTATAGCTTGTTTATCGCCCCCGTCGAGTCAGACCTCCCGTCCAAAGCTGCAGAGAAGAGCAGTGCGACATCACCACCTCGTTCCAGTATCCGTCGCTATTCACGCCCTGATCTGCGCCGCGCTTCGCAGCGCCGTCTTGTCTCCCTTCGCGACAGATTAGCCAGTGGTTCGGCACAAGAGTCCATCTCTCTTACTAGCAGAGATGGCCGACCTTTGCCATGGGCGGAAGTTGGTTTCCCGCCTGACGCGGAAACCGCAAGGGGTTCTGATGGTCTGCGTCGACCAAGGCCGTTTCGTGACGTTTTGAGCGAGATGACTAGATCGGATGACCGTAGAAGGGAACAACTCGAGGAGCAGATCAACTCGTTATTTAGAGATGGCAGTAGGTCTCAGGTCAGAGTCACATGGAACAATTCTCCTGATGAGCAGCAGCAGAGGCGGGCCCACCCACGAGGAGCATTTGAGCCTCCACGGCTTACTCGTACTGCCTTGGTAAGTTATTCTGCACTCGAACTCCTGGTTTAGGATGTGGAATGTGAGCTGACAACTGAGCTAGGCGAGACCACTAGTTTCCCAAAGATCTTATCAGATGGACGAAGTTCTATCCCGAAGAAGTCATCCAATCGTACATCAGCCATCAATTCATCGTCCTTTATCTGAAGGTGAAGAAGCAAACCAGCCACAGTCCCTGCCATGGCCGGAATCGCAGCGCCCTATATATCATGACTCAAGCAATGGCCGACGACAACGATTCATCCCGCCACAACGCAGTCGCGGTGTTGATGGGCTTGGTGATCGTGACAGGAGTCTTAGCCCAGAAGTGTGGGACACACTTCTGTCCACGCTCACCCCTGACCCTCAACCGCCAAGCGTAGGTTCCTCTTTTGCCTCAAATGTTGCTTCTCAGAACACTGCCGCGACCTCGAGCACCTCCTTCACTGCCCCCGACCTAACCCAGGATACCACGCTCGACCAGGCCTGTGAATCCGGCTGTGAAGGTTCTGACACAGAAGCCCCTACACGACCTATAATGGAACGAATTCAACGCCGTCGAGATGAGATGCGGCGTGTTCGTGTACGAGTGCCTACATTCAGCATTGCAGCTCAGCTTAGCGACGACGGCGAACAAGACGGTGGGGCGGTCGGCTTTGATTCGAGACATCAAAGATCCCCGGACGGCCCAGTGATGCGTGGAGACGGAAACACTGATCCTGACAGAGCAAGCCGGCATCGTCAAATCAGGGATCGATTTCGCAGATCGAGCGCCGCGTGGGTGGGACACTTGTCTGTTGGCAACTCGGATGACGAACAGGGGCCAGAACGAACCAGACCTAATGAAGAGGGCTCTGCAACGCCAGGAAACAACACGCATGCAGGGGATGAGGAATGGCTAGGTATGCTACGTATCGTGCGTAATTTGGCACGACGCGAAGATATTCCTGATGAATGGTGGGCTGAGGCTGGCCTCAGTCGAACACTGCCTGGTGATGGGACAGATTGAAGCAGGCGGGGTCTGCCAATTTATATTCGATTCGAAGCGGAGTTTTAGACATGGAATCTTGGGTTACAAGCCAAGTCGGAAGGCGTTGCAAAGGAAAACAGAGTTGGGCTTGAATCGGTTTATTGTATTATATTTGTGTTATCGATGTAACCACCCAATAGGTGACATTCAGAGGATCTAATGAAAGCTGAAGCGCAGCAAACTTTTACTTGCTATTTGTGCTCATGAACAAACTTGACGGACTAATATCAGGATTCTGGCAATAGCGGCATCCAGATGCGATACGCTTTCAGACCCGGTCAGATCCTTATTGATGTGGCTTGGAGACCTTGTCTCCGGGACGGCTAGGTGCTGCTAGCTACGATATCTATAGCTACATGTAAAGAATACGAGGACATAAGGTATCAAGATAATATGATATCAAAGTGGAAGACAACACCAAACGGTCAACTCATGAAGCACACTCCTTTTTAGGTCGCATACGCCTCTTTTGAACCAACCGTGCATACGAGTGCTTCCATAAAGCTTGCAAAGGGATTATCATGGCTGCGGGATATATCGACATAACTGCAACGTAAACCTGGTATACTTGGCAAAGAGGTTAGGTTCAGGTATGGCTTAGCTACTTCCATAACCTTTTGTCCTCAGCAATGCTTTTGCCTGTCGAGGTTATCAGTGACTGGTGAATCCCCACTTTGTGTTTTCGAACTCATGGAATGTCGAAATGTGTCACATTGGACAAGTCTCTTGTCGATGGAGGGCGCGAAATATCGTCATGCCAGCATCCAAACCATCCACATAATATTGAACTTGACACGAGGCACTTGAGTGAAATGAGATGCAATCTCAGTTTACGGTTCCACTTGGAGCGAAAACAAGAAAAGAGAGCCTCCGTGCACGATATCGATCGAAGATCCGATATCCCTCCTTGGCATCAAATTAGCCATCAAAATTAGAATAGCATGTGCTCCATAGTTAACCAGGCGATCGGAAGAAGGGCCAGGCTAGTGGTTTCAGATGACTTGAACTTTCGATTGAAAGGGCTAAAATGTTAGGTAAGTTGCTAACCTAGTCGTTACTGCGATTGTCAAAGTACTTCTATATTATCCAAAGTGGCCAAGTTCTCTTACACCCGGAGGGCAGGGCTCTTGTGCACAACCGGGATGAGATGAGACGCATTAGTGGCCTCGAGGCTAGATCGGCGTCGTGATTTGGAAATTTGAGAGCGGGGATTTCGATTGGATTTGGTCAGGTTTGAATTGGGTTGCTGCTTGCTTGCTTGCTTGCTTTGGTTATTGGTAGAGGGAGCGAAGAGGAGCGATCCTTGACATAACTAGTAGCTGAGGCGTCGGAGAAGTAGGCTGAAATAGAACAACCAGGATGTCTCGAGAACTGTGCCACAGGCAAATTCCTGAGGAGATGAGTTGTATCTGGGACATTCCTTTGTGATTTGACTAACGTTAGTTAACGGGGAGGCGTGTCGGTTTCTAGTGTCGTTCGACTTTTGTGATTATGCATAGTGCTTCGCCCAATCGCATAGGCAGAGACAGAGAGAGAGAAAAACATGATCGTAAGCATTAGGATTTAGTTGATGTATTCAGACGAGACGTAGATATCCAATACTTTACACATGGATGTCTTGGTTCGCCTTAGATACATGGCATGGGCATGAACGTGAACATCCATATGTTTCAGAGTGAAAGCGTGCCTCACAAAATGAGAAATTCAAAACAGCCTAAACTTTGTCTCCTCAGTAACCAAGTATAGTACTAATACTGACATCATTATTGGTTGAGGTCTACATCGGATACCTAGTCTTCTCTTTTGTAGTATTTGAACCTAACACCCATGTATTGCTTCGTTGTTGCTGTGTCTTGACCATGGATGATAGCAGATCCATTCATCCCTCCAGGCTGTATCCGTAGGTGGAGACGGGAGTTGAAGACCAGGAGGAGCTAGTGGGGAACAGCCCTGCAAGCAGCCTTAGGTTGGTTGCAACTTGCAAGCCTAGGGCGTTGAAGAGCGCTGGACTTGCAGGCGGCATGGTCCCCCCGGACATGCCGTCAGCGGTCAGCGGGCGGGTACAGGTAAAGGTAAATCGTAATGGAATGGATGGAACTTAGCGACCGTCACAAGTACCGCAGCGCAGGTACAGGCTTGCGGACAGTGGAGGCTGCCCCAGACCCGGACAGGTTTGGGTTGGGTTGCGACACCTCCAAAGAGTCCAGCTCGAGTCACCCAAAAGCCCAGCGCATGATTGATTGGAGATCAGCCCAGTTCCAGTGCAGTACAGCTGGGTTTGGCCCAAATTTCCACCCAGTTTCTTACCTTTTTTCCCCTTCCTTTTATTTTTCTTCCCTTGCACTTCCTCCCAGCAACCCTCGCAGGGCGATTAAATCGCTTGATCGCCGTTGTCGTCTATCTTTGTCCCTCCTTTAACCCTGTTCCTGTTAGCGACCGCACGAAACGAAACGAGCCGGCAACTTATTCCCCTCCTCGATTACGCTGACGACGTCGACCAAGCTGTTTACCGGGCCCGAACTACGTTAATTGTCGACAACGTCCACCCGCCATTCCCGACTACTGGACTTCGATATTGAATTCAATTTCGTATGTAGAAACGAATCGATTTGCGTCCTCCCGCTCCCTTACTTCGATCTTTGCCGGGAATGACATCTCCGCCTTGGCCTGAACTTCGTCTTTCCTCAACAGCTCGCTTCTACACAACCCGAGGAGCCATAACCCAGCTTGCCACGGCCATACCAAAGCTTTGTTGAGCCAGAGAGCACCTATGACATGATGCCCGAGCGGCAATACCAAGCCAATGGCCGTACCGCCGTGGCCTCGCGCGAGCGACCTTTCACGCCTGGAACACCATCACGGAAAGATAAGATACGGGAGAGCTCCGCCCTCCAAGACCCGGGGCTCAAGGACTACGTGCGTATATCCCAGTCGCCGATGTCACTGGTGCCTGGACCCTGGACAGCAGGAAATTTGGACGAAGCGCGGGGCCACCAGGGTGTTGCGAAAGCGATCGCTAATGTTTACCTTTTCTGTTTCTAGCGTTTAGGTGAATGCCTTGGGAAAGGTGCTTTCGGATCCGTATATAAGGCGTTCAACTGGGGCAATGGGGAGGCAGTTGCTGTGAAGCAAATCAAGCTTGCAGATTTGCCCAAGAGCGAGTTGCGCATGATCGAGGTGAGTCGCCTATACCTGGATATTTGAGGATATGCGACACAGAAGCTAACATATGTGACCACTACTCAGAGTGAAATCGATCTTCTAAAAAACCTTCATGTAGGATTCTGTTCTCAGGGAATGTTAGATGTGAAAGCTAATAAGCAGTAGCATGACAATATTGTCAAGTATATTGGCTTTGTTAAATCTGTTGACGCCCTCAACATCATCCTTGAGTACGAGTTTTGACCCTCTTTTCGATTGTCGCAACTGATGTTTCTAGATACTGCGAAAATGGTTCTCTACACTCAATATGCAAAGCATACGGCAAATTCCCCGAGAATCTGGTTGGGGTCTACATGACGCAGGTCCTGCATGGACTACATTACCTTCACGACCAGGGTGTTATTCACAGAGATATTAAAGGCGCCAATATTCTCACCACAAAAGACGGCACAGTCAAGCTTGCAGACTTTGGAGTTTCGACCAGCACTCTTGCTGGTGGCCAGGATAAGGAAGCACAGGTCGTCGGTACCCCATATTGGATGGCCCCCGAGATCATCCAGCTCTCAGGGGCGAGTTCAGCTTCTGATATCTGGAGTGTTGGCTGCACTGTTATTGAGCTTCTTCAAGGCAAACCCCCATATCACAACTTGGCTGCCATGCCTGCCCTATTCGCAATTGTCAATGACGACCATCCGCCACTGCCTGAAGGCATTTCTGCTGTGAGTTTCTCCGCGTGACTTGGACTTACATCTTGCTGATCTGTATAGGCTGCCCGTGACTTTCTTATGCAATGTTTCCAAAAGGACCCAAATCTCCGTGTAACTGCCCGAAAATTACTTCGTCATGCATGGATTACAGGATGTCGCCGCACCGAAGCACCCGTGGCAAGGACACCAGCCAACTTTAGCGATGCTGTTGAGGAAGTCAAGCAATGGAACAAGGCTCTAAAGTCATCAGATTCCTCCCTCCGAGCATCAATTGGTTCCGAAGGTGGGCCTTCGAGAAGATTTCATGGTGGGACTCCTGCTAAGGGTGGTCTGTCACTTGCGAAGCTTCGACCCGGCGCTCAAGCTTTCAGTAAGCCTGAATTAGCTGGTACGTTTACTGATGCCTTTAAGCCATGTAGATACTGATCATGCTATAGATGACGATAACTGGGACGACGACTTTGCCACGGCCATCTCACCAAGCGCACTGCACCTGCCTCACCTCAAACCTCAAGACAACTTTGGCGGTTTATTATCGAGCGATCGGTTAAAAGCTTTTGCCTCAGTCAACGATGGAAGAAACGATAATAATTCGTACGACGACGACTTTGAGGGGGAGTTGATGACAATAAAAGGTCTTGGTCACTGGCACGATAATGATCCTCAAGAACAGACGATCAGGCCTTTGCCAAAGAAAGCTACCAAGGCCTCCGAGCCTGTCAAAACGCATAGCCGGAATAAATCGAGCTCCAGTAAGGCCGCGGGCGCAGGCAGGACTCGATCGCCTACGAAAGCTCCTCTCAATAACAAGTTTGAGCTTCCATCAAGACCAGATCTTGCGTTTCGGGAGCACAGCGTGGAAGACTTTTCGGATCTCTTTGTGGACAACGACAATGTCTTCAATCACAACATAAATCAGGCTGTAAGAAGAGTAGGTCCTGCGTGTAAAAGTTCAAGCCCAAGACTTACATGTTTACAGAACTCACGGCAGAGTGATGCGCCACAACTGTTTCACCCGTCTGATCTCACATCACTGCCACGGTCGATGTACGATGCTGGTTCGGGTAGTATAAAGAAGAAACCCTTGTCTCGACCATCAGTTCTCCCCGATAAACCAATGCGACGGACACGATCTTCGATAGAAATCCAGAAATTTGCAGAAGACGACGACGAAGACTTTAGCGACGTTTTCGGACCCGAATCGTCAATAGCGGAGAAAGAGGAGAGTGACAAGGGATCTGAAGATGGTGGTTTAATGCTCATGTCTCGTGTGTCAAGCAACTCGTGGCTAGGAGACGACGAGGATGAATACGACCCGTTCGCATCGATGGATCCAGGATGGGATGAAATGGACCTCGAGGCCAACATTGCCAGAGACCGGCATGCCAGATTAGCAGGGAGGGTTGAGGACTTGGTGAGCTCCTTGAAAACGACAGAAGGCGAAGATACCCTGGTCGAGCTCTCAGAGGATTTGGTGAGTATCTTCAACCGTGCAACAAAACGTGTTACTAACAAGCATAGCTTGCATTACTTTGGGAGAACAACGAGGTGAAGAACCTGATCATTAGTGCTCACGGTCTCTTACCAATTCTTGAGATTCTGGAGCCTTGTACTGTCAAGAGCAGACAATACATGATCCTGCAACTTCTCAAGGTCGTCAACGCAGTACGTTCTTGCTTTTTCTGCTTTCGTGTATCTTGCTGACATTTCTAGATTATTCTGGATGACGTGGAAATACAAGAGAACTTATGTTTCGTTGGTGGCATACCCATTATCACCAAATTTGCCGCAAGACAATACTCGGATGAGATTCGTCTCGAGGCCGCAGCTTTTGTTCGCCAGATGTATCAGACATCGACATTAACCCTCCAGATGTTTGTGTCTGCGGGTGGCCTGAACGTGTTGGTCGAGTTCCTTGACGAGGATTACGACGTCACCCGAGACCTTGTTCTTATTGGGGTCAACGGTATCTGGAACGTGTTTGAGCTTCAGGGACCGACCCCCAAGAACGACTTTTGTAGAATCTTCTCACGAAGCAAGATTCTATATCCGTTAGCGCTTGTCCTACACCGAGTCCTTGACGAAGAGGGTGAGGACGAGCTTGGCGAGCTTGTTGAAGGACGAATCGTCAACATATTCTACCTCTTCAGCCAGGCCGAGAACTACGTCAAGGAGGTCGTAGCAGATCGGCAAGTATTGAAGAGTGTACTCAAAGATCTGCGGCGCATGACGCCGATACATCAGATCACAATGCTTAAGTTCATCAAGAACCTCTCCATGCTCTCAACGACAATTGAGTCGCTGCACTCAGCCGATGCCATCGAGTTTTTGATTGATTTACTAAGCTATAGCATGAAGAAGGGCCAGACACATTTCCGCGAGATATCCAACCAGGTCCTTAACACCCTATTTAACCTCTGCCGTCTCAGCAAAGAACGACAAGAGGATGCTGCTGTTGGTGGCATTATTCCTTTACTTCTCCGAATCATGCAGACCGATCGCCCCCCGAAAGAATTCGCCCTCCCAATACTCTGTGACATGGCGCACTCCGGATCGAAGGGCCGCAGATACTTGTGGCAGAACAAGGGTCTCAACTTTTACGTATCATTACTCACCGATCAGTACTGGCAAGTCACTGCACTTGATGCCATCTTAGTCTGGTTGCAAGAGGAAACTGCCAATGTAGAGACTCATCTTGCTGATGGCGGCTTTACACGAGCTATTATCAGCGGTTTTAGTACCAATAGGGTGAATGCCTTTGATTCCAACCTATTGGAACCGCTACTGAAGTTGTTACGTCTAAGCCCGTCAGTTGCGGCGTCGCTGGCGAAGCCTGAGATGTTTGCAGGCATTGCACAGCGGTTAACACACAAAAAGGCAGTTGTGCGACTAAACCTCCTCAGGCTGGTGAGGACTATCATGGATGCTTGTGATCCTGGACTGGGTAGCGGCGATGGAACAAGGTCCCTCAACAACTCGCAAGTGCGGTCTCTCATGGCTACCATACAGAACCTGTCGGAGAAGGACTCTGCTGTCCTGGTACGAAACCTTGCTTCAGAGCTGGTACGGTCCAATATCGAGCCAAGCGGAAGACCGAATGAAGGTGTACCCAGTGCTGCACCAAGCTCAACATCATCAAGGCGATCAGGGTCCCGCCGGAATAATAGCTACACACCTCCTGGCTTGCATTCGTCCGTGTCGGTACCACAGACGCCTCCTCACAGGAGCCGTGGTAGTCTCGCAAATAACGCTTATATCGAAGTAGCTGCCAGCCCACGCAGAAGCGCTGCTGTCGAACGAGAACGGGAAGGGATCCTTTACCGGCCACGAAGTAGGGATGGACCAACGGGTATTCCTCGACGTGTCAGTGGCGAGTTTGTTTCTGCAAAGAGCCGACTCCCTCGCACATCGCTGGCTACGTCGAGCAACTCCCGATCAGCCATTGGGATCAGCGCCAACGGCAACAGCCCAGCCCTCAGCTCCCGCAGCGACATCACCATGGGTGCCCGCAGCGAGAGCAGCTTGAGCAATAAGGAGAACGTAGGCCGCGCGCCGGGCAGCCGCGACGGACTCAGTAGTAGAGATAGCAGCCTGGCGTCGCCCGGTCTGCCAGGGGTAGCAGAACGAGCGGGCATAAGTAAGAGACGGAGTCGAATGCCTGATACCAAATGGTCATGACGAAACTGAAAGGATGTCAAGTGATAGATAAACAGACGAGAGATGAGCGGAATGCGTTATGAAAACGTATGACATGATGAATCAGGGATGGGATGGTTGTTATGCCACGATAGACACGAAGATGATACAGATGCAAATGAATTGCAGTCACACGAATGGATCAATAAGACAAAAGACCATGAACTAAGGAAAGAAATATTATGAAGCAATTCACTTTGTCAGCCCTTACGCCTTTGTGCGACTCAGTTCACACACATTATGCCAGAAGCCGTTCAGATGTGAGTACAGAAAGACGATTACCATTACAACTAGTATATGCTATGGTGGAAATGATAAAGACATTTTGAAAGACAACAAACCATGGCCAAACCCATGTCAGTCTAAAAACACAAAGTCACATTGTTAAAATCGTAAAATGGCTTTCAAATTGTGATTGTGCCATTTGTAAAACTATCTATGAATTGCCTTGCCTATCCATTTGCACAGTCCATTTGGCCATGAAAAAATCCCAAGTCTCGTGACTGTCTATGTACCCCCCTTGACATCAAAAGAACCCGGTGTCGTAAGACTGAGGCCATGACCAGCAGCAGGAAGAGACAATATGAAATACCCTAACGAATGCAACGAAAGCAAATGTCAAATTTGCCGAAACACAGTCCCCGTAGGAACGCCGGCCGTGAATCACATCAGGGGCTGGCTGACTACCTCACAGAGGCTACAGACCAGACTTGTTCCCCGGTGATGGTTCTCATCCTCATTGATATAAAGATTCCTCATCAACCCCCAAATAACCCATTCGTCCATCTAGGCTGGGACAAGATTATCCCCGGGCGATTCCCCCAATGTCGTGACGAAGAAGAAAAAAGTCTGAAGGAGAGACTATGAAGTGAATTATAAACTTCTGTAATGGTAAAAGTTCGCAAGATAAGACATGGAAACCGTGTTTCATCCACCCCATGCAGATGGCAACAAGACTCCCAGCGTGATCAGAAAAAGACTAAAGGACAACCATCAAAATGCAGTCCGCCAGTCCGAGCAGTCGTATGAACAGAAAAAAAAGTCCGGGCGCATAAATCGTGACAGTAAGAAGATCTCAGGCTAAAGCGTCACCTCTAAGCAGTAGAAGTGTTCTTGGTGAGCACCAGTCTAGGTGCCTTGCGCTGGTTGTCGGCCGAGTCCTGTGCCTTGGCTGCTCGCAGAGCGCCGTTCTTAAACACATTGGCAAAAGAGCTATTCTCACTCTCGGCATTGGAGGTGATGCTATCCATGCTGTCAACACTCTTGCGAGCCTTCTGACGAGAGCTGGGGCGGTCAGAACCAATAGCGCCCCAACCTCCACTGGCGGATGTGCGCGAACTGGGACACTCTAGGTCACCAGCCAGGCTACCGGATCCGCTGCGACCGGAGTCGGACTCATCGTCCGTAATAGGTGACGACGACTCCTCGGCAGTCTCGGAAACGGGGCTCATGCTGCCGCAAGAGCTACCAGTGCCCTTGCGACGCTCGAGACCGGCACGGACAAGGTTGTGAACAGCAGAGCGACGAGTACGAGCAGAAAAGTTCTTGCTGCCCTCGTGCTTAGCAGTAGGCTTCGCCTTGAGTTCATCCAGGGAAGGTGGGCCACGAGGCTGACGAACGGGATGCTCTCCAGCACGGGCCTGACCAGGTCCATATCCACCAGTCAAGGGTGTGATGGGGAAAGTAGAAGTCTTGGGGCCGGCTGACTTGGGAGCGTCTGATGAGAACGAAGTTGCCAGGACACTGTTAACAGGGGCAAGAGATGATGCCTTCTTGTGTCCACGACGGAAAGCGTTGGCGGATGGTGGAGGGAGGGGGGCAACCTCAGTAGGAGACTCATAGCGCTTGGGAGGCGAGTTACTGCGGAAAGAAAAGGGCTGAGACTCAGCAGGAGGCGAGACCTGCACCGAGGGTGTGTTGTGCTGCTGATATCCACCAAAGCCGGGAGTTGAGGGCTGCTCGTTGTAGGGCGATGTGACCTGAACAGAAGGCTGCTGGTTCTCGACGAAATACTGGCCAGTCATAGGGTTGTAGTAAATCGGCTGTTGCTGCTGCTGTTGTAGCTGCTGTTGCTGTTGCAGCTGTTGTTGTTGCATCTGTTGGAACTGTTGCTGCTGGCCCACGGCGGCCTGGACGTTAAGTTGCTGCTGCAGGTGGCGGATCTGCTGCTGCTGCTCATACAGGTTCATCTGGTGCTGAGTGAGCTGAGGGTTGTTGAGGTTCATGTTTGAAAATTGCTGGGTGGCAGCCTGCACGCTCCTAAGCTGTTGTTGCAGACGCTGCTGCTGCTGGGCCAAGTACATGTTGGTGGCAAGAAGCTGGGCATACAGGTTAGGGTCCATGCCCTCCTGGTTTTGCTCATCCATGGAGAGTTCAGGGGGTGCCAAGACCTGTTCAACAGTGTACTGCTGGCTTGCTGCCGAGTTGTAGTTGTTCTGAGCAGCATATTGAGGATACGCCGTCTTAGGAGCGTTGTAAGCGTTGTCCTGACCCATGTTGTAGGCATTTCCAGCCATAGAGTTCCGGGCATGCTGCTGCATGGGGCCGGTCGTAGGGGACTGAAGGCTAAATGAGCCAACAGTAGCAGACTTGGGAGCCGTCCTCAGACCAGCAAGAAGGTGGGAGCGGCTGGTGCGGGGAGTGGGGGCAGGGTCCTGCTCCTTGTTCTGGTTGATGAGTTCAACGGCAAGAGGCTTGGGTTGACCGCCACGACGGGCAGCGAGGCCACCACTGGGCATGGCGAGGCCGTTGGGTGCGAAGTTGTTGGAAGACATTTGAGCGAGACCGCCTGCGTCCATTACTCAAAGCCGAGTTCGTAAATCTAAAGATTCGAGAGATAATGAAAGATAAAAAGCAGAGAACGTGGTTTGACTGATTCTTGTGATCAAGAAGGTAGTCAGTTGGATTAGAAAGTAGAGTTTGTTGAAATCAAGGCCGAATAAATTATACGAGGTGGGTATATCGACGAAATCGACAAGACGTTGACTTCCGATTGATTATCGATGCAGAACGTATGCCGCGAAAGATGTTGCTTAGCGAGGCCAAAAACAAGCAGATCCAAGAAGCCACGAGTATCGAGAGCCGAAGGATGAATCGAGAGAAGGTCGGGCGACGAGTGATAAACTTGTCCAAGATTAAAGCCGAGAGTAGTCGATAAAACAAACAGGTAAAAGTCGATGAATGAAGGAGTGATGCCAATACGCAATCAGGTGACGAAAGTACCCAGATTTGTGGTGGGTTCGAGATGTTCACGCTGAAACGAAACCGGTGATTAACACACGACTGGAAAACGCGAGCACCAGCTGGCTGGTCTTTCCAAGACAGTTTCAGTCAGACAACGTCCTCCAAAAGATGCTTATCCAGATGTGAAGGTTCCAGGTATTACCTCCTCTCGAAGTCCCCTTTTTGTGTCTTTTTGGATAAAGCTTTTTGTCTTTTCGATTATTTTGTGAGCGGCAAGTCTGTTCGCGGTCTGTTTTCGATGGCGGAGTGTCAAGATTAAGCAGTGGTGTGGAGATATCCGCAGACCGAAGGCGAAATAGGCGATAAAAGCAAAAGAATCGGCGAAAGAATAATACAGAGATTAAAATGGGTTTTCAGGTATCACTGGTTGATGCGCTTTCCAGAACCTCAAAGTGTGATCTTGTTCCTTCAAATTTCCGTTGTCGTTGGGATTTTTCTTTGTGGTGCGAAGCGGGCGAGCGGGCGGGCGAAGGCGAATTTGGGTGCGGCAAATTGGAGAGTCAAGTTTGTCTTGCAGGCGCGAACGCTGGAGGAGCTTTGAGAAATGCTATGCGGTGCAACCGGAGCGACGACGCGGGGAAAGAGGGAGGAGGGAAAGAGGAAGAGAGATGGAAATGAAGGAAGAGGCGCAAAATAGTAGACGAAGGGGAGAGGAAGGAGGAAAAAACGGAAGAGGTGGAGTTTAAGTCTAGAAGAGAGAAAGGTAGGTAGGTAGGTAGGAGTGGAGGAGGGTGGAGGATAACTAGCGGGTGGATGTGGGCGTGAGCACGCAGGGCAAGCACGGCGAGAAAGAAGAGAAACGCGCGAGTATCAAATGGAGAAAGCGCAGGAGTCGTAAATGTGGGGACCACGGATGCCCTTCTTGGCAGGCGGGTGTGCTGGGGAAGAGAAGGAAGGAAGTGACGAAGACGGCACTGTGTACCTACTGTGAAGGTGGCTTGATTATCACTCCCAAAGAATCTTAGGAAGCAGTGTCCGGTATTCAGGTTATATTATCGTGAAGCCTGACTATATCAAATTTAGGCTGGAGAACAAGGTAGGTAGCTAACACATTTCATTATATTGCATTATTTATTGATAATCGAACACGGCTTGAAATAGATGCTTACCCAGGTGGCCAGCACACAACGAACATCGAAGCGCCTACTCGTCCTATCTGATAGCTTCCCATCGCTTTGGAGGACGTTCGTCTCGAGGCTCTGAATGGACAGAAAGTATACAGTGCATCACATACATATTTGAAGCCATATAAACCAGTGAGTGCATGCCAGCCCCTTGGGCCATTTTTGGATATCCCATCTTGGTCTCCCATCCATCTTCGTTCCCTCACCCACCAGAATCGTTCGTTGGAACAGACTTGAGAGAGCAACCAGGTGGGTCGCAATAAAACCCGCACACCAGGCCGAGTTGACAGAAAGGTTTAGTCAAGATTTTGTATAAATCTGACGAGTTTATTTTGTCTTTATGCCTTACTTTATATGACAAAAGAGCTTCAGTGTGCCGGTTATTTTGCTACCCACCTGCCAACCTACAGCAGAAACACCCGACGAGTAAGGATCCAGTTGAATGGATGGAATGAGAGCAGCAGGGCTACAGGCACGTTCGACTTAGTGGCCAACGCGCTACCGCAAGCCCATTTGCTCACTAGGAACGGGCAAGGGGGGGAAGCTATCGACAGTGCTTGAACACAGTGTGAGATCGGGTTCTGGGTTATAACTTTGATCACCTCATTTATGCCTGGAGGACATGGGTTTTTTTCTTTGAAGGATGCGCAGTTACCATTAATCCATGTGTTCACGGGCACTGACTCACCAGTATGTTTTAATTGATGACGAAGTTCTCCATTTAACACTCGCTTATGGGCAGGGAAAAAGAGTTAGGGTATGTGAATACGTGTACGCACAAAAAGCGACTCGCTCGAATACGAACCACTCGACAGAATCGCGAGTAAATGAATTGACGAACGAAAAGAGAAGAAAAAAGGTCCTCTTCTGCGGTGGTGGCCAATAGTGTCTCGAAATAACACCTGAAGATGCTAACTTGGGCGCGCAGTAGTCTCTGACCAGATAGCGCGTGACAGTCCAGTAAGGAGCTTAGAAGGACCTCCTTCTAGTGGGTATGGCCAGCTCATCCACCAAGCACCCGCTAAACTGGGCAGAAAACGTTCCCCCCTGAGCTTACATGCAAGTGACAGGGGGTCTTCGATAGCTCAACATCTCCAATCAGAGAAGGTTGCGGGCGCCGCGACCGACATGAGGCAGCCCTCCAAGGGGTAGAAACCAGGGGGGCACAGTCTCGAGGCGGCGGTTTGGCGTTTGAAGCCGCCAATCACACGAGGCCTTTCAGGGGATTCGAAGTATCGGATGTGATGGGAGGGGGGAATCGATCCTTGCCGGTTTTTGTAACGGCCTGATCGGCATCCATCTTCTTTACGGGAGTCTCAAGTTTCTTTGTGCACTGGCTGTGCCTCTTTTTGTTAGAGTTCTGCCTGCCCGTTGGCCGTTGATTGTTGGTTGTTGGTTGTTGCTATATCGGGCGGAGAACAAGACTCGTCAAAGAGAGCTTGACACGTCGATAAAGGATTCGTGAATTGTCAAGCGAGCATACACAGGCCTGAGCGTCTTTTTTTCTCCTTTGCTCCATAAACGAAACACTCCGATGGAAGCGAGACAAGGAGATGACAGCGGTCACGAATATTGATATGCAGCTCGTCGAGGAATGAACAGAGTCCCGAACAGCGCAGCGCAGCACAAATGTCAATAATAGCTAATTCCAAGGATGAATGAAGTGCCAGTCGCAATTAACGATCCTGCCGGGTCAATCTGACAGTCGGTATTAATATCAGTGTCAGTATCATATCCAACCCTGTCACGGATCGCCCGTTGTGGGCTACGTCCATGCAAAGCATGTCTTGCCTAGCTTGCTTGCTTTTGTCGTCATGGCCGAACTCATCAATAAGGCCACGATGTTGATTGTTGATGGTTCTATTTAGATCCAGGGTCTTTTTTCTTTCTTTTCTTTTCTGTGACGCTGCTCTCAGCTCCCGTATTGAACAGATACAGAGCCTCGGTCCTTCGGGGTTACCGCTAGCTTTAACTTTAGCATCAAACTCCATCAGCTACGGCACGGTACCAGCAACAGCACAGGGTTCACGCTGACCTGAAATCTTGGGGAGCGGACCATCCCGTTTCGCTGACAGCTGCAGAGCTTCCGAGTGTCCTGAGTGTCAAGCCGTGTAGCTCCTTGTTTAGGAACGGGGACTCTCAATTCAACTGCTTCATGTCCATCGCTCGGGTCCATCGCGTGGTCAGCAGCTCAAAGCCCCTGTCAACAGCCAACTCGATTCGTATTTTCCCCACGTCTCGAGATGTTTCATCACCGCGGGCCTCCTTGTCCATGCCTCCATATGGACCATTTCCCATTTCGATCCATCGCCCTGACCCTGTCCTGACCAGGGATTGGTGGCCCCTTGTCCAAGGACCAAATAAATGAACCCTGACCCCAACGCGACACACGTGAAGAAAATCGACGCGCTCTGCCTGCTCTAGGCAATCAGCCTTTCTTTGTTGATCTGATACCAAATTAGAACAGAATTCTGCATCTTCAACGGGACCGTAGAAGAAAAGGAAGCTAAGGTACGGATACGTGTTCCTATTATGAATACATAGACTCGTGGCTTTTCCTTCGTCGTTTCTTTTAATTTAGCTATACTGCAGTGGCGTGGATTTTGGAATGAGCTTTGATGTACTCTTTATCCTTGTCTTGAGCCTCGAGCCATTGGGAAACGAAACACTACCGTAGGAGTAGCAGTTAGGTAGGACAAGCGAGGGTCAGCCTGTAACCATACGCAGGTACATGCAACCGTAGGCACACGCACACGCACACACACTCATCAATAAACTTTTTTAGATTTGTGTCACCGTCTTCTTAATCTTTCGTATCTTCAAACCCTAATAGTCGTGTTCATCTTATTGCATCGCCTAGTTATAAGCTTTGACAGTAACAGCTTCAAAGAATGCACTAGCATATTAGATTCCCGCTCCGTGTCTCAATGTTAGACTTAGTTGTGTCTTAAATCTCCCTTGGTGGCTGCGCGGGGAGACGCGGGAAAGCTTTAGTCTTTGTTGGTTATGATATGAGAATGTGTGTTGGTCGAATGTCTCTAAAGCCTGTTCTTTTTTCTAGGTGCATTTCTTGCGATGCTGCATTGCATGTACGCGCCCAAGCATAACCAACACTAATATTTCAGTTGATATATAGCTCTATGATCTCCAAATCCTCTTGAACCACTAAATTATGCATACCCTGAAACTCATACCTGCTCTCGGACCTCTTACCGTGTGTAATTTCTCAACTGTGTCCTGTCCATCTGATCTCTTGCAGCGCCGCGTCTAAGAGGACCAATATCATCACATCTCAGCCGCCTTTTACGCGCTTCCCTCAACGGCGCAGCACCATCACAGCCAATAACTTGCCACCGAAAAGCGCAGCACAACACCGTGATGGCAGTGTGCGGTCGCTTGCAGAATATGCAGTCTGCAAATGGACCGTCATATTAATTCCACGGCGCTTATTAAAGGGGTTATGTTTCTGCAGAGTGCATAGGTAGCTTTCGCCTCTTGTTACTTAGCGTTGTGCGCGGTGCGTGTAACCGAAGGCCTAGAGCTGCTCTCGTGATTTGCCTGTCTCAGGTTTGTAGCCGCCGTCGCGGTTATGCCCAAGTAGTAATTCGATAGCGTGAACTTGTCGATCCAGTTCGATCCATTGGAACCTCGTGGTAAAAAAAAAAACAGCCGCTCACGGTGGGTAGATATTTGTAACTGTGCAAGTAATGGTAGTCATGTTGTGCTTTGTGCTAAGAGTCACCGTACTTGTTCGACCTCACCTACCCTGTACTTTCACAGCGAGCTCAACCTCAACCTCAACGACACCTTCAGCATGTCGTTGTGTATTCGGCTCATACAACTTGAGCCTGTACAAAATTAGCCTTTGTATTGTTGCTTATCAAAATTTGATGACTGGACCTGCCTGTTCTCGCCTTCATGTCCATTTTTCATTCCTGGTAGAACCTACGCAATTTACGCCCCTGGTAATGAACGGATGTGCGTTGAAACTGCCGCGTTGAGTAACCGAGGTATTGAGGTTTAAATCGAAAGTCTAATTCTCAAACCTTATCATTGAATAATGCTGATCACGGGATTATAAGCCGTACCAAACGGTCGGTTCTGGTTTGGAATGAAACGAGTCATGGCGTGAACTATTGGGAGAACTGATAGAGGTTGAAACGTCGCCCAACTTTGAAAGGTGTAGGTTTTGCTAGGTTAATAGGCTATCAGGTTTGAGTCAAAGTACTAGAAACCGGCATATTGGTGCTGTCGTTACGTCTGCACCGTTTGCCTACATCCATTTGCCTGTAGCTCAAGATAGTCACTGGCATTCGCCGGAACTGAAATGATATGGTAGGAGTCTAGACCAAAAGACACCCGATATACATTCGTAGAAGTATGTCGACGCAGAGAATAGAGTTCGTGCAATTCCATCGATGGATCATTTCCTCCGACGAAGACGTTGCGGAGTTGCGTAGCATGTCATGGTTCACTAAGGCGATAGTCACGATCATAACTTCAAGGAGTACACTGAAATGATGTACACCCCGTCGTCAGAAGGTAACTCCGTACCTGTTGTAGATGAAGGGAGACAGTTTGAAATCAAGGTGTTGAAGTGGTTATTTGCAGGTTGGAGTGTCCCCTTAGCATTGCCCTTGAGCAAGGCCAAGAAGACAACCGGACCAGAACCCTCTCGGTATAAATTGTATATTAGACTAAACACCAGACTGGCCTGAGAAAACTAACAGTACATAATGAGGGGTTCGATCGGCCTTGCTATTCGAAAGGTGTACCGAGATGAATGTCTGTCCAACATATGGTAGTGGAGGACAAGTCCCAGTCTCAGGAAACACAATTCGTTAAGAAGGAGGCGACCTTTGAACGAAATTGAGACTTGCATGGGAAGCGAGAGGTTGGACTCATTCTCGTAGTATATGTGTCGTCTCTTTAGCTCAGTCTAAGCTTGATAGACGAGCATCAAACGTCGAAGGTGGTAAGAACAGGAGCCGCAACTCCGCTTATGTATTTGCTATAAAAGTAATCGAACATGGCAATGAGTCAATCAATATTGAAATAGGTGATATCTAAATATGAAAATGCTGTCGATAGATGGGTTAGAAGCTGGACGGGATGGTGTGCATTGAGAACAAATACTAGTTTCGTACATGTCTGATGTCTGATGAGACAAAATAAGCTATATACAAATTCTCGTCAAAGAGATTGCTTAAAATACCTTGTTATTTGTGTAGTGCTTTTGAGATACAGCCGTCCAACTTGATTGCCGCACTATATGTCCAGCCCGTCCCAGCTTGACACCACACCGTTGAGTCTGTCATGAAGACTCGCGATTTTGACTTCATCAATTTCTAGAAGCACCATTGGTCGATGTATAACAATAAATGCTGCCTCTGAATCTGCTTAGGCAGTATCTCCTTTGGATATAACAGCATATGGGCGATCAGCTCGCCAAGAACCATACCAAGAACAGGATCTACAGTGTCAAACTTCCCCACTCGTGGTTCATGCCCATCAGCACGTGGTACGGTGTGAGTTGCTGATCACATTATGTCATTGAATGTTGAGACTCAGTTCGACCAACATAACCATCACTGACGTAAGAATATCCATCACCGTACTAGAACATACCCTTGAGACCACACACACCAAGCCAAGCACATATTCCAGAACTCCAAGAACATACCCAATAAGCCACCATTCGAAAACAAGGAAATAAACATAAAACTGGCATATGTGAGTTGTATCAGCAGTAAAATGCAAGTGACACCACATCCCTGCCCAAGTTACCCAGACTCCTCAGGACACAAACACCACCCAAACCGGCACATCACCAATGACACATCACCTACCAGTCTGCACAGAAGCTTCCAAAAGGGGTAACATCTTTCGATGTGCCTCTCTCTGTCTGTCGGGCAAGCATCAAAACCAACACAGAGTTTCCATGTATTCCCGGCGAGCAAAAGCAGCAAGACTTTGTAGATGCACAAAACACGCCATTGCAGGCATTTGACCAAAGTTCCCTTTTTCTTCTTTGGGGTGCCTGTCCTGCCCGGGCTTCATTATAAATCTCTTGTAGAAATACAGCTGCAAAACTGCACATCAAAAGAACAACCCTTGGCCTTGTGATGAGAGCAGGGGAGTGTCTGCTATCTTCCTCCCCCACAAAAGCCATCAGCACCGGGTCTTTATTTCTTATTTCTCACTGTTGGAGCCCAACCTTCGTCTCATAGGTACACTCCCTCTGATCGTACTTCGTATCTGGTCCACATAGAAGTTCTACTCTCTCCTGTACCCTGGTTCCCCCAACAATGCACTATCAGCCCTATGCCAAAAAGCTCCATCCTCCATCTGATCGTGAGACCCTATGTCTCCTCCCTGACCCCGACCCCGTCATCACCTGCTCACCGTACACGACCCTTAGAGAGCGCGAGAAAGAGAAAGAGCGCGAGGGAAGAAATTGCTGTCGTCTCACGTAAGACCTCTAAATCCATTCCCCAACCGCTTCATGTTGTCCTGCTCGGAAACAGCAGAAACCGATGCAGGTGCACCGTTACCGCCCTCTACTCCTCCAGTTCGAAAAAGCATCCTACCCTTGTACTGCAGGGTATCATAGGCCAAGACACTCGGCACCCATCGCCGATCATGGCGCGCGGTAAGCTCGAGGGCGGGTCTTGGTCTGAATTCGGTAAAAGGTATATAAGTCGTTGGTTGATCTTCCGTCCTAGGCTTGCATAGGCTTGATGACGCGCGACCCGAGCTATCCTTACCTACCCAACCAGCATTACACCATGTACAGTAAGAGCCTTGCGAAGTCTGATGGACAGTTCTATCCTTCTGGGCGATCTCCCTGGCTGTTGCTGTATTTGGCAACCTTGTCGGACATCGGGTATCTTCCTCCAAGGTCCATGCCCGAGGCTTAGTCCTACGATAAGCACTTGCAAGGGATGGCTTTGGCAGGCTCCTCTGTAAGGCTGACGAGAGCTTCATGACTTGAAACTCGTGATATGGCCTTGCGACTGCTTACATGACACGCAGTTGAAGTAGTGCCCGAGAAGTTTCCGTACGGTCCGATTGGAAGACTCGGTATTAGAAACTCTTACATATCCATTTCGTGAGCAACTTTGATATAGAATCAAGGTGGGGCTTTAAACGTATATATAGCTTAGTACGGATACCTACAGTACCAGTGGAGAGGCTTAGGCCGTCGTGTTACGGAAATTTGTGGCGCGGTGTAAGTAAGACACAAGGGGGATGTACGAAGTTGAGAAAAACCTATCATTATATCATCATGAGTTAATATCTAAAACACAACATGGACAGCTTTATTAGATACATCTCTTTAATTCCGTGCTCCTTTGTCTTAACAGTCGACAAAGTAGACAAGTACCTCCGAGGGTATATTTTACTGACAGAGCCTGAAACAAATATCCAAATCCAAATCCAAACACAACATAACATAATGAGACAATGGGCCGCTCTAATAAGACACCGCAAGTCAGTGCTTGTCCAAGTAAGACAAGAGGAACTCGCCCAGAAGCACAGAAGCCACACCACGTCCACCTCTAACTAACATGAAGTCGTAAATGGTCGTTATACATGAACCTTAAGCCTGACCAAAAGTGGCAAAACTATTCGGACGACAACTCGACCGGCAGTAGTGCACCTTCATCGTTTATAAACTTTTCTTTCAGCTCATCATCGCATTTCCTCAGGTCGAACGGTTGCTCCGTAGAAACCGCCCCCGTGATCACCGCCCGAGGCTGCACACGCAAGACAGACTCCGCCACCGTAGACACGTGTATGTCTTGTCCAACCGGCGCCGTCGGTATCGAGAACACCAACGATATTGCCCTGGACGCCGATCTCTCCTGTTCCTGCGTTTGGTGGGGCTGGTGGCAGCAATGGGCTTGTGGGTGGGTAGGAACTGGGCGAAAAGGTAAGATCGGCAGTATCCGATATGCCTTGGGTTGACTGAGAAGCGGGAACTCCGATAGGAAGAGTCTTGTTGTAAGAACGTCGACGTGTGGCTGACGTTGCTGAGCTGGGAGACATGATAGCGTTGGTCGTTGATGACATGTAATCAGGGTTTGGCTGACGAATAAAACTATCCTCCCCAGGTCGCGGACGGTCCTCAAAGGTGAATACCGTAGTGCTCAACTCGGGCGGTGTTAGAGGTGGTGCAGGAGGTGGTCGCGATATGATGTGCGCACTTTGCCAGTTGGGGTTGATGACCAGATTCTTCTCTGTTGGCTTCATTTGTAACCCATTATCAGAAATAATATCCTCTGGGTTAGTAGGCGGCGTGATGTTCTTCTCATTCATTGTCCAAACAGGTCGCGACTGCAAGAGTCGAGGATGTGGGAAGGATGAGATGGTGGACCTGGTAGGGAGAGTCTGCTGGTCCAAGCCGCGCATGTGTCGCAACCATAGGTAGAGCTGTATAGCACAAAACCGAGCAATGACAGCAACAGCAAAGATAGCGAGAGCAGCTTGAAGAGTTTCAAAGGAGGGAGGAGACTTGCTCAAGTAGTTGCTGCGAGTTGACGTTGTCGAGGTTGTGTCAGGTGTAAGGTGTGTTACACCTCGATTAGTTACGGGCATGATGCGCCGTTTATGCCAGTGATTGATTGATATATTCGCGGAAACTTAATTTTGGCGCCGTCGGCGACTTGGCGGGGCTCAAGTCACTCTACTTCTGCGGTCAGACGGTGACTTCCTGGGGGTATGCTTGCCCGTTGCGTTGATAATCCTCGTCTGGTTTGGTTTGGTAGGGCGGAGTCAATTAAGTCGACCAGAAGGCTGGGTTGACAGGGTTATCGGTGGCCTTGGAAACCGTTGACCCAAGGCTGATCCTCAAACACCGCGGTTAAGGGCGCTTGGTCAGTAGGAGAGAAGGACTTGTAGTATTTGGAAACACGGAGCCTGGGTAAGCGTTGTGCGTCTCAAGAAGACCTCTGGCGGTGGCTTGTATCAGATAGATAGAATATCTGGCTGACGACTTGATCACGAAATACTGTCCGTCACAAATCTCAAAAGTAATCACTGGAGCCGGTAGTGCCGCCTTACATACGAAGGTCGTCAGACTATTTTCCAGTAAGGCAAATGTGATCGGTGCAACGGATTATCTCGAGTCGCGAAAGTGAAGTTTGGGGCTTGACAGAGCCGATGGAGAGGGAGTTGGAGGCTGATTATTTGTAACGCATGTAAGAGTAACCAGAGGATAAAAGTGCAAAGTCGTTATTCGCTATCTGAGTCGATATTCCAGCCGGGGGTACTGAGTCTTAAATGATAATTGTTTATAAACTGATGGAAGCGGCCAGTGTACGGATAGCAAGCCAAGCCAAGCACATCACTTGATGACATCCAGGCCAAATGTTAGTGCGACACCCTTTCATATCCACGCCCTGTTCTTTGGGAGTCTAGGTTGAGGATAGTAGCAGGTGAACATGGATCTTGTTGTAAATGAGCGGAAAGCAATGTTCCAGACAGCCTTTTTCGAAGGGCCTACAAATCGAGACTAGCTGTGGCTTCGGTCCCGGGACGTGGGTACGACATTTGACAACGTTGAGTGGAGACTTTGTTCTTGAGGGTTGTGTTAGATAGAAAGTGACAATGACAGTGAAAGTGTGGCTTTGGTTATGGGTGCCATGAGTTGCGAGGAGCCAATACTGACAAGACTTGATCCAGAGTTGCTAGTTGCGACGAGTCATCGTCCAATGTCATGCGACATTCTGCGAGGATCTCATAACGGACCGCAAGATGAATGGGATTTGGATGAAACATCAATCGGACATAAGAAGGAGCCAGATCCTGGAGAAAGACGAGAGATTGCAAGCCGAGCTGGACTGGATCATGTCAACCAAGTTTAACAAGGGCCCTCGATAAACCGCGTGCTCAAAAGTCGCCAACCCTCAAGTCGCAGCCGCCATGGGTCGTCGAATAGAGTCCGAACCAGTTGGTCCATGGTCGCACCAGACCCCCAGGGCGTGCATAATAGCCCTTGACTGCAGTCTGCACAAGACTGGAATCCCTGTTTTCAGCCCGTCAGAGGCACAAAAGATGCTTGGCCAAGACGGGCGTCCCTGGAACCATGATGCTCCACGATCGCACTGCAATCTGTTTCGAGCCCCAGGGCCCGAGCCCTGCAGGTTAATTTTCTGACCAAGCTCAAATCTGATCAATTTGGCGAATGAATGACGCTAAAAATGGGCTAAAGTGAACATTTCAGCTGAGGTGAGCCCTACTAGATGCGGCGCCATGGGCTAGAGACAGACCCTTGACGCGAGCTTGTTCGATACAAGGGACAAACTTTAGCGGCTATTGGTCAAGTTGGAGCGAGACAACGAGTCTGTGGTGCTTTGGGCAAGACAAGGCTGCGTTAGTGGCAAGGGTATCTGACAAGCCTCAGGCCTCTGCAGAGAATGATCGCTTGCTGCATGTGTCGAAGGTTTTTCGAAAGATCTGAGGTGTCGAGAATTGGCTTTGTCTGACACGCACCACCACACGGGATCGACAAGACATCTCGCATCGTGATAAAGTTTCAAGCAAGCGTCATAAAACCGAGCCGTTAGGCCGGCGGTGTGCTGCATTGCCAAAACAGGGTGTAATGAAGTTGAACATGTCCCTGCATGAGGCAATTCAGTGCAACCTTACGACAAATAATCCGCAGAGCGATTGTAACGGTCCTGGAGGTTATGTACCATTCTGTCTTGAGCCCGTTTCCTGTCCAGTAAGTCAATACCAGGCTTTAGCATCAAAGAGGCTGCTCTGTAAGAAAAGCCAAGCCCGCCTTCTGCAGTCGATACTTCAGCCAGCCAGAGCCACGAGAAGTTATCAAAAGTACATAGTTTGTAATTGTTCAATTCGCCATCTGCATTCGGTGTAGAAAGGCTGAAAGGGATATTGAATGTGGAGCTAGCCGTGCACTTTTGTTAGGCTGGAAAAGTGTATGCAACTGGAATTCTTTTGGATCCGGTGAGGCGCCTGGTCCTGGGTATCTGCGTCATTTTGCGGGTTGCTTTTGCGTGCTGAAGACAATCATCCTGATGATGTTGCTGGGCTGAATCACTTTCTGACTCGCCTGAGCTTGTGCTAATCGTGAGTGTTTAGTATTCTACCCCGTTTGGTGGATCATAAACGCGTCGTGTGGCTGTAGAAGCAAAGCAGACCACGCGGGTATCGATGCCTGGCTTGATGATATGATACGGCATGATACGGGGCGGCATAGCATAGGTAGCATACCTAATAACAGAGCAACTCAGCATGACATTGCAGGTGGAAGTTGTTGCTTCCGAACCAACAATAAGAAGTCAGATATTGTCGATGCTTGCTATCCAACCGATATTGTTGCTGGTGGATGCTTGCTTGCTCCTAGATTGTCCAGTGTAGACTAGATTGTGACACTGGCCTAGGACATACTCAGCTGAAACTGACTTCTGTGAGACACGTGATTGGACGTGGGAAGGGAAGGTGAAGGGCGCTTTCCCTTGTTTGCTCCTGGGCTTGCAAGGGGCGCCTGAAACTTGACATGCACCTCCACGGACGTTCTTTCCGCCTCCAGACTCCAGACTCCAGACTCCAGAACAATCAGACGCTCTCGCTTAGGTAGATCTTGCTTTATCGAGTCACCAACCAAGGACATTACTCGACATGATGACTTTTTGTATTGCGTATTGCATATTTCATGCTGCATATGTACTGCATAAGGTCACTTACTGCAACTGTAACTGCACTATTAGGACAAGGGTTAATCCTCTTTTTCCATTTTTCCCGGCATGTCTTCACTATATCGCCCTGTGTTATTACCAAGCGTCGGTTGGTACGGTACAATATAGCACGTCTCCATCACTTCTTTGCCTGAATAAACCCAAGCTTTCAGTTGAGCAGTTCAAGCTATATCCGAGCACCTACTAATAATACTGGTCGCTCGTATTGATCCAATAAGCCACAAAGACGCGTGGTTCAGGTTCATTGATGCAACGGCGACATACCGTCCAGTCTGGATCCGCGACTAAAAGCCCAATGTCTCGCCTTTCCCCTGCTGGCGTTTTAGACATTCTCCAGCGTTTCGGTAGCGAATCATAGGCGGACGATCGGCGGCGGCGGTAACCTTGCCCAGCTGGACCGATGGCCAACGCGCTGTGGTCTGGGCTTTTTTGAAAGCGTCATTGCCCTTCGCCCTCAAGACTACGACGCTCGCAGATAAATTACCACAAAGACGAATATTTTCAGGCTGTTACAGCCCATCGTCCGTGTAAAATCGGGGAGACAGGGGCTACGTACCAAATCGATCGCAGGCGATTAGTCGCTGACATCCAGATTGACGGCCTTCCAGAAGGTATACTTTGCCGTCTCTCCAGATGGCAAGTGTACGGTGCTGCGCCTCATGCAACACAACACAATCTCTGTTCCAATCCAACAACTGGATCACAACGCCTCCAGGGTGAAGGAAAACTCTCAGGGTGTGCGTCCTCTGCAGAAGATCCACATCAACAGGAAAACAACCCCCAGTGGCCCAGGCATCTTAACAATCCGCCCGAACACCCCGAACCCCACAGAGACCTTACGCTCGCAGGATCCATGGAACCCTAACCTGAATGAGCTTTCAGCCGGGATGGGATCTGTTTCTAAGGATTGAGATGGCATCTTGCCTAGCTTGATTCCTCGGCCATAGCACGGAACAAGCAACGATCTTCAAATGCGCATTCATAGCGTTTCCATTGGAGTTCCCGGGATGTACTCCCTCAGCCATGCATAGTCTACAGTACATACACATTTTATGTCCGTCCGTATGTGGCTAGTGTGCACTTCAAGGACAGAGCTGTGGCTGTTGGTCAAATTTGTCCCTGGCATTAACGTCACTCTGAACTGCGCCGCATCTCAACACGACGTCGAGTATGAACAAGACCCAACGGCCAGTGCTCACATCTCTCGTGCAAATGGCCCTGGTCTCGGCAAGTGCCTTTACGAGCAAGAGTCTACGTACCTCCATACAACAACCTGAGTTAAGCGGAATTTTGTCGTCGGGGGATCCACGCCGACAATTCGACATGATTACTGCACGCACACAGCAATGGGTACAAACTCCGCCATTCTGCCCCCGGTCATAGTTGTTCGGTTCTAAAAAGGTCCAGCCACTCACCTATCGTTGTCTAGGATATGCAAAAATAGCACCCTGTTCAGCCTTACGAGTTTTTCCCCACCACCCTGGTTGTATCCTTGTTATGTTACATCCAACTCCGTCCAGTTTTCCCACACGAGTCTTGGCACAGGGCGGAGAACAAGTTGCGGAAAGGGAAGGCTCGCTCCCAAGGCTCTCAAGGCTCCTTCGAATCATGCCAGAGGCTCATTCGGATCGAACTCGAGCATCTTGGGCCATAACAGAAAACTTACTTCTCCTACCTGTGGTTGGGCAATCATTGCCATCGTATGGAATTACGCTATCTCAGGCTGGCAAATCATTACCTCCAGCCTCAAATTTCGATGCAGACCTGCTTACAAGATCATGACTTACATACGTCTGACCAGCGTAACACGAAAAAAGAGCATCCGCAATAAAAAATCTTGGTGTTTTTTCTCAAGACGACGGATTGCTCGGCCTCATTGCTTGCGCAAGATCCACGACGCTTCTTGCCACTATCACAGGCCAATTCTTCGCATTCGTTTCCAGTTTGAGATAGAGCGGGCGGAGGCGCGCACGTATTATAGCCCGGCAACCATGATCTTCAGTTACGGGCAATGACATCTGCTCCACATGATATATCCAACGAAGAGTTGGTCATTACATCTCACCGCTCAATCATTACGGAACCGTTCAAGTCCCTGACACAGCACTAAAAGCACGGATAGCAAAACTTCCCCGAGATTTCTACAACGCCCGGTCTTTACGCTTACTTTGGAGCATCAAGCCTGGCTTAAAACTCATCCAGTAGGTTATGTACGGCCCAGGCTGTGAAATGAGTAGCTCACATGATTCAGAGTCATGCGGTCAGCTACAGTAGTCGACTGCCCTGTTAAGAAAAAGCACATAAATCCCACGATCCTTGCCACTTACGCATATGCCATATGTGCAGCTACGGCTGAATCTGGGGAACCGGTTCCAGTTGTCACATGGAGCTCAACAACAATACCCGGTGCCCACTACCATGGTGGCATTAAATTAGTCTGCTGCTAGTCTCTGGCTACTACTCAAGCAGTGCCAAAGACAATGCTTTGATCCCCGATCCTTTGGAGAAGGTGATCGTTGCAATTACAGTTGCTGGGTTGTTATGGCTGCCGACACTTCTTGTATATGGTCCACGTTGACGGCCCCCAAAGAAACTTTAATTCCCTTCGCTATTGAATTCTATAAGCGAGCTTGTTGACCTGTAGTTCTCTGTCCTGTGGCATCTACTACAAAACAACTGTGGATAGTCATAACCTGGTTCGAAGGACATTCACTTCCAAATTACAGGTTTGGACCGACCCAGAGTATGGCTTGCGCATAACCAAGCCTCTTTGAGAAAACGACTCACGAATTGCCGCTCCTAGACAATACTTTCAGCCACAATATCGGCACTGGCGCCGTTTTTGCTGCCGTAGTCCAGTCGAGTTGAGTAAGGCACCGAAGCGTGCGGCTGGCTGACAAGCCTTGGCGCCGTTGAGAATCTTCACAACTTTGAGACTTTCTGCTTCGGTCTCGACAATGAGATTTCCCGCTCTTTCAACGCCTTGGCGTCAAGCCAGCCCGGCAGTACTGTTAAGTGGCTGTCAACTATGACCACAGACCTGGTAACTGGTTTTCGTATGGATGTCACTGACCGATTGCTCGGCTGGGGCGCTCGTTCTGCGTCAAACAGCAAGTATATTTCGTAAACACTTATGACTTCGATTGCGCTTAGATCTATCGGGGTGCTGTGCATACACCCAGCGCCCGTTCCTCCGTATAAGCTCGGTGGAACTTAACCACCGCCATAAATGTAGTATCGACCAAGTCCGTAACTTTACGCGCCCTCTCCAGAAAGGATATAACTATACTATAGTGCCATGTTTCATCAAAAGTAAAAAATAAATAAAGTAATCGCGGGGTTAGTCCCGTGATGAATAGCCCAATGATCTTATTCAAATGCCAACTCCCAGGTCCATTGGCTCGGCCTCCATAGCGCCGACCATACCATCTCCTTCCCGCTCTTCTTCCATCATCTCGATCAGACTGTCGAGATTTGTGTCCAGGCTCTCAGCCTCCTTCGGGTCAAGACACCGCTTAAGTAACCGTCTGTACTTCTCAATCTTATCCCCCGTGCCAACAGTGCTCAACGCCTCGACGTAGTCCATCTCAGCTTGCCGTTGCTCGGTAAGTAATGAGCTCAGCTGTCGGGCGAGGCTCAGCCTCTCCTCGTATGACTCCTCCTGCACGCCTCCGTCACCATTGATGCGACTAAGTTCACTGTCCACCGACCGCTGAACGTGTAAGCGGTTTTGGTGTGTGATGAGTGACAGCACTTGATGTTTGGCCAGGTTGGCTTCGGTCGCGTGCCTGGATGCTGCCTCCTCTGACTCGAGCTGTCCCTCGACATCTGTAATGTTTTGTCGAACTGTTGTCAAATCTGCTTGAGTGTTGGACAAGATCCGTTTCGCCTCTGTCTCTGCCACGTCCTTCTCACGCCATTCCTCTTCGTAGCTTTTAGCTAGATCCTGAAACTTTTCCATAATTAGGGGTGTGATGCGTGACTGCACCGTGTTTGCTGCCGCAGATTGGAAGGCCGTTGGAGGCTGTCGGTTCGCCTTCTCAATCAGTGCATCTTTGAAAGACGCATGGCGTTGAGACTCAGGGGCAAAGGGTGATGACGACCGTTGAGGCCCGCGGTCTCTCTTACTCGCGTTCAAGTCCATAATTAAATCCTCAGCTCTGATTCCTTCGTTATTCGTGAGATCCGATGAAGCATTGCGTCCCAGCAATGCACGGATGCATTTTCTCGCGTTTCGCTGTGCTGCGAGATGCAATGCTGTATTCCCTTCGTTATCTTGAATATCCAGCAATTGCTGGAACGCACTAGGTTCCAGGGTTTCTTGCAGTTTGTTCAAGATATGATCCAAGTAGTACCGTGAGCATGATGAGTTGAAGACTCTACCATTCTTCATCACAGCTGCATGATGAATCACGGTGCAACCCATATTGTCACGAGCATCAAATGTTTCAAATAGCTCTTTCATCACCACTGGGAAGCTCTGTTTCTCATAACAGTTCGTAAAGTTGACTGAGTGCATGAAAGGCGTTTCACCTCGTATGTTTTTAACTGTCGAAGACGCATTGAATCGTTTCAGCTGCTTCACAACATCCACGTCTCCCATTGCTGACGCCCAGTGAAGCGCCGTATGAGCTTCCGCATCGATAGGCCAATTAGGCTGGAAATTGGCGGGCGGGTCAGGCTTGACTGCAGGCTGATCTGTCTTGCTCAGCAGGAAGTAGTCAAGCAGTTCGTCTCCATATAGAGCATGTTGTTGTTCGGTAAGATCTTGGAGGTTGCTGTCGTCTCTTCTGCGTTTTCGGCCCGTGCCTGGTGCTTGAGGCAGCTCGAAGCGTTCGTCTTCAGCCATGTACGAAGCTGATGCGATTGTGAGATTGTCAGGGGTATCTTCGTCGCCCATTATGGTATCGGGGTCCTCATGAACCACAGGCGCTGGAGCAGGTGGTGGAGGTTGAGGGGGAGGATCTAATGATGGTTAGCTGGATAGCTAGACTTGGAATCGAACTCGGCGTACTGTTCCATTTGGGTAGCGGAGGCTTGGATTTCGGCCCCTTGGGCTTGCTTGCATGCCTTGGAGCGGGAGGAGGACTCTCTGCACCGGCTGTGTATTCGAAGATGGGCCGTAGTCGATCGATCACGCTATGTCGCTCTGCTAATGCTTGTCCGCTTTCGAGTGGTATCCACGTGCCTTCGCAACAGTGTTAGAGAAGTAATAGCGCAATAGGGAGAGTGCGAACCTTGATATTTTCCATATCCACCCTGAATCTTTTCATGAACGTCCTTTTGCACATCTCGTTCGAGGATTCTGGTTCGAGCTGGCTTATCGAAGCCAGCGGCCTTCAGGATATGTGTTGCATTGATCCAGTTGTCGTGCCTCCTGCGCATAACATGTTCCTTCAGATCCGCACCGAACTGAAACTCGTATACAGGTATCTAGGTTAGAAGTCTGATTAGCACAGGTACAAAGGACTGTGGTAGTGGGTTGGCAGCATTGGGGAGTAAGTCTCATCGACAACGTCTGATGTGAACGGTATCCATCATGCCACCCTAGCAAGCAGTACATCGCCAATAGAGTCACGGAATTGGGTTTTGAGCAAACACAGAGAAACTCACTCCACTATACACTGCACTGTAAACCCCCGGCGCAGTTGCAGCGGGAACTGCATTAGCATTGGCCTTGACCATGTCGGCGGCTAAGATGAAGCAATTCTGGAACCATGCGCGATGGTGAAAGGGCGAATATGATCGATCGAAAAGGCTAGCAGGTGAGTATAGAGCTTTGGATGAGCACTAGCAGCATATGCGAGGCCGAATTGGACGTTGTAGTTGGTATTTGGTATCACCGAAAGCTCTTCTTGGTTGGAGTTGCCTAGGTAATAAGTGCACGTCGGTGACGCGATTCTCAGCGAAAGAGACGCGCCGGCACGCGAAGCACTTTAACTGCTGTTTGCCTTAGGCGTCAAGAGCGCCCGAATCCACGTGATCGTGCTGCCACGGAGGCGCCTCCTGAAGGTGGCCTGGAGATTGGCGGGCGCGGCTTTAGGCTTTTGGTTTTGGCTTTAGCCTTGGATAGCAGGGGGTACAACAAACAAATAGACAATATCGACCAACTTTCGGCCCTTTCTTGACGACGGTTTATGGATACGACGAGCTTCAGATAAATCTCGAGATTGTCAACCTGCTAATTAATACTCGAAAAGTCGAAACTGTCACTTGTTGTGAGCTTTAGAGGGCAATATTGGAGAGCTCAAAGCCAGGACCCATATGGTATCAACATAGAAGTTGGGACGATTTATGAAAGTAGCGACACATACGACACTCAGGAGGGCAAACTGAAACCGATATCAACATGGCCGATTCTCTACACAATGCGCCTATAGTCCTCGATAACGGATCTGGCACTATTCGAGCCGGTTTCGCAGGCGATGACCTACCAAAGTGTTTCTTCCCGTCATGGGTTGGCCGTCCGAAACATCTGAGAGTTCTCGCAGGTGCCCTCGAGGGCGAGGTGTTCATAGGGCAAAAAGCGGCTACGGAATTGCGAGGATTGCTCAAGATTCGGTACCCTCTCGAGCATGGCATTGTCACCGACTGGGACGACATGGAGAGGATTTGGGAATACGTCTATGGAGAAGGGCTGAAGACTCTCAGTGAGGAGGTTTGTTGCCGGACAGACCTAGTTGAATAACTATACTGACATCCTATTAGCACCCAGTTCTATTGACAGAACCTCCGCTGAACCCCCGAAGCAATCGCGACACGGCCGCCCAGATCCTTTTCGAGACATTCAATGTCCCCGCACTTCACACATCCATCCAGGCTGTACTATCACTATACGCCAGTGGCCGAACAACCGGTATCGTTCTCGACTCAGGTGATGGTGTTTCTCATGCTGTGCCGGTCTACGAGGGCTTTGCCATGCCCAGCAGTATCCGTCGAATTGACGTGGCAGGCCGAGATGTGACTGAGTACCTACAGACGTTGCTACGGAAGAGTGGATATGTATTCCACACGAGTGCTGAGAAGGAGGTGGTTCGGTTAATCAAGGAGAGCGTCTCGTATGTTGCTCACGACCCACGGAAAGAGGAGAGGGATTGGGTCGGTGTGAAGCCAAATGAGAGCAAGTTTGCCGAATACGTACTTCCAGACGGCTTCAAGCTTAAGGTGGGATTCGCTGGCCTCAATGCAATATTTGAACGTGCTAACAAATGAAAGGTTGGCGCTGAACGCTTCAGAGCACCTGAGATCCTCTTCGACCCTGAGATTATTGGTTTGGAGTACCCGGGCGTGCACCAGATTGTTGTCGACGCCATCAACCGAACAGATCTCGACCTGCGAAAATCCCTTTACAGCAATATCGTGCTCTCTGGAGGTAGCACACTAACGAAGGGCTTTGGTGATCGTCTGTTGACGGAGTTGCAAAAGTTGGCTGTCAAGGATATGAGAATCAAGATCTTTGCGCCGCCGGAGAGAAAGTACTCGACTTGGATCGGAGGCAGCATTCTTGCTGGTTTGAGTACTTTCCGAAAGGTTAGTGATATTCGTATGAAATGTTTTGTCGGCTTACTAACTGGTCACAGATGTGGGTGAGCATTGACGATTGGCATGAGAACCCCGACATTATCCATACAAAGTTCACATAGGCGCATCTACGTCTCACCCACCCTTGAACTTGCATCTTCACGATGCGGCCCTAATGATGATGCAATTCAACCTAGACATACACAAGCCCTCTGGGCCTTGGCTGTTCCTCGGCTGGCCCTCTAGATCGACCTTTGTGATGTCGAGAACCCTGCGACCCCCGCAACCTACTTTGTCCCGCTGGTGTTGGTGTTATAGAGCGATGCATGAGCCTTGCATGGAATGGAGGATTTAGTGCTGTACGGGTGTGTAGCGACACCAGTGCAGTTGTAGACAACCTTTGCCAGATAGAGGAAGCAATGATACCCTGATGTGTTGACGTTGTGCATGGTGCTTCTGTGAGGTTGTAACATGTTGATTAGGCAGAACTCGGGACATACACAAATCACAGAGGGGACGATGTGAAGCAGAAAATAATGTGCCTTTATAATATAGAAAAGAGCTACGCTTGGGGGTATAATAATCTTCACCAGAAACAAACATCATACAGGCAGAGTATGAGTAGAAAGGCAGTTTCATATCGCCAATCTCACTCATCAATGCCGACCGTACATATCCAGGGCTTTTTGCCATCCGTTTTGCTCTGAGGTCCCCGTGTTTTTTCCCGTCCAAATACAGAATCGAAACCATTACCATCAACGCCGATCGCTAAGTCATGTCCTTCGTACAAAACACCTCTTGTTCTTTTCCCCAGCTTTTCAGCATTTTCTAGTCTCGGCTGAAGGTGCTGCTCACGCGAGCCCACAGCTTTGACTTGGAGCTCATGGAGCTGCTCGAGCTGGAGTCAGACCCAGCGTCGCTGTCCTTGCGGTGGAAGACATTGCCTGCGCCGCCGATGCCGACGTGGCCAGCGGCCATCTGGTCGCGGGCTGCGATGCGGTCGTACTCGGCGTCGAGAGAGACGGAGGGCTGCTCGCTGGCTCGGTGGACGTTGCCTGCTCCGCCAATGCCGCTGAAGAAACGGCCTGAGGGAGTAGTTGTGCTGGTGGTGCTGGTTGTGGGTGTGAGGACGGTGCGGGAGGACGAGGAAGAGTCCTTTGAGGCACGGGAGATGTTGCCGTAGCCGCCTCGACCAGAACGGACGAAGACGTTTGTGGAGGGGGAAGGCTCAGTGAGGATGTAGCTGGGCATTGTGATGGTTGTGGTTGTGGTTGTGTGTAAGTGAGGTGAGAGTGAGTTGTAGTTGTGGTTTCTCAGTATTGATCTAGTCCAACAAGGATGTACAATTGATTCAATGGCAGATTATAGAGTGCAATAGTATGTAAAAGTAGAGCTTGTGAAAGAAAGCAGAGAATAAGAGAGGTTGTCGTGAAGGGCAGAGCTTGGGTAGTTATACCTACCACTCTACCACTCTACCTCGACTTAAAGGGAGCCACAAGGTCACCCACTTCCAAGCCAAGCCAAACAACAACGTAATTCTCCCCACAAATTGGACCCATGTTTAAGATTTTTTTTTCTTTTCTTCTCATTCAATCCTTCTTAAATTTTCCCCCGCATTTTAGATTGTTCCTTGTCGTCATGTCAATTAGAAAGCCTCGTCTCGAACAACAGCTCAACTCGACCCGCCCGAGTCTGTCTACTGCTAGCCAGGGGGCAAAAGAAAAAAGTCCAATTAATGGCCACTCTCGTCTGCCAACGTGATCAGAGGCCGGACGCTTTGCAGTTAACGGCAGACGGCGCTGTGCGTGTGATGTGCTGTAGTTTTTCTTCCTGGCTCTGCCCTTTTCCGCAAGAGAAATGGCGCCTGTCACGCGGTCACCCCCAGATTTTGCCCGTGGCCTCGTTCCTGGATGTCTAGAGTTTTTAGTATGTAAAAATTACCCCATAGAAATGGGTTCCTGCGGGTTGATTGGGTGGTGCAGGGGTAGGTGGCCATGAGGATCCACGACTAGCATTAGCTTCATCTTGGAAAAGACGACGTGCGGTTGCGTGTTGTTTTTGGACAGGTAATTAGAAATTGGGGCCAACAAGGCGATGTTTATGCAATTCATCTCGTGATGTTGTCATGAGGGGAAAAGCAAACACGGATCACATTTTCCTGGAACAGAAAAGGAAAATAAGACTGGTAGATGGTAGAGGATAGCTGGTAGCTGTCTGGAACTGGCCCAGGATCGTGACATACTCTGGAAACGTGGTGAGTAAATGTCATTGGATCTGCTCCAAGCCAAGTACCATCGTAAAGCTCAGAGGCCTGGAGAACCAGAGATGCTGGTCGCCCCGAAAGTCCAAAAATAACAACTTTCGATCTATGGAGTACAAAAAGGTGCAATCTTCACATTCTATGAGATCTTCCAAAGAGGAGGGGGCTAGTCGCGGCCACTCCCGCCTCCACTCTAGGTTATCTTACGTACTTCGAATCTCAAGCTCTACATACAATGGGCTTTTGACGTCTATGAGTTGTATTTCCCATATCTTACGAGACGTAAATGCCATGATACTATCGTCTGTCTGTTGCATTCTATTGTTACCGAGATCTCGTCTGCCGTCGGATTGGGCTCTAGGCTCAGTCTATGCCCCGTCCTTTCTCCACGATGCTTAATTGGGATGATAAGTGCAACAAGCCGTTCACCGATTCCAATTGCCGAGAAAATATATTCGTAGGCCTTCACCTACGGTGATTGAGTTTGACATCATCAACTGTCCTTTCTATCCATTACAAGTGGAGTCGTTTCCGCCATGGCCTCTTCTCTACCGTCAAAGCATCACAGGGTTACAGATGCCCACATATATGTTTGAGTAGTGTATGAAATAAACCCATCTTGGTGGGTATAAGCAGCGTAACAGAACCACCCGTTCTATACTGACAGGCAGACCGGTCTAAGTTGCGTCGTTCTTCGACGGTAACAAGCGTGAGCACAATCCCCAGAACAACAACTGGCCCCAGCTCGGCCGAATTGACATCCCTTGGTGCATTCTTGTCAGTCTCCCATGTTACTGTTCTGCAGGGTACGCATCGCCCCATTCTCATAACTCCATCGCCAATCACGCCAGCCCTGACCATCGATGTTTCGAATCAATCACCTGAAATCTTGAGACAACATCAGATACCCACTGAGTTTCAATACTTAGCTAAACATATACATCATAAGATGATATGCAGTGGAGCCGGAGAGAGGCGGCTGCCAAGGTCTAACGCCAGAGAATAAACCTAGGTAATCTCTGCCTCGTCACTCAGCATTCCAGCTTATATCAATGACGGAAAAAACAATTCAGACTGACCATAGAACCTGTATTATATGTTAATCTCATTAAACTCCACTGTCCTTTCAGAAAAGACAAGGACGATCGGCCACAGCAAAGCATATATGTATGAGATTGACGGTTCATGCCAACTCCAAAGGTCAGCGTTCACTTCATTCAGCTTTATCAGACGATTCGATCGCATAGTCCATATGTGGGCTAGAGACCAAATACCAGTAAACCGTTTCTATAACTCAGCTTGAAACTTCCAAGTCACGTCCGAGAAAAATGTTCGTCACTGAATAAGCATGAAGTCATGAGTTAAATTGTAAAACATTATAGCTTCAACGGGAAAATAAATAGCCCAGCCTTCCAGGCTGTCTAGGTCAACTATACTCCATCCAACGCCCGGGGAAACATTTCTTCAGATCTCAAAATACAAGGCTACAAAGAAGCACAACTGTGCATGCCGGACATCGTCTTTCGGCATCATTAGATATATCAGAGGGATTGCTTATTTGTCCAAGCTCATCCAGCCGAACATGCCAATTGCCATGGACAGCACCAAAAAGGTCAGAATACCCGCACCGGCCTTGTCGGCAGTGGTCAGAGGCTTGTAGTTCTTCTCGATCTTGCCGTCTCCCACGTTTCCGGCGTTGGGGTTACCCTTGGAGGTACCTCCGCGCTTGGCTGTGACGGGAGGAGCGGTGTCCTCCATGAGCAGTGACGACACGGCAGCGAGGACGTTCATCTGCTGACCAGCACCGGTCTTGCCATCGTACACGCCGCTGGCCCATTTAAAGCCACACACACGCTTGGTATCGCCACCTGTGCACTGCTTGACAGCGGCCTCGGCAGACTTTTGAAGAACGGGGAGAATCTTGGGTCTGATGAAAGGAGCGAGATGGGTCGCCTGTGACATCCAGCGATGGACATAGCCCTTGAACGAGTACATGTCGGTTGTGCAGGTGCCATGGTTTTCGCAGGCAATCTCCACGGCGATATCCTTGGGGAAGAAGTTGCTGATGGTGGCGTCGACGAGCTTGTCTAGACGTTGCTCCCACTTCTTCTCACCGTCGGTCTGTCAAAGTTAGCGAACTGCCTGCAAAGCCGCATATCTCTCTGAAGATTGACTTACGTAGTTGTACATAAAGGCAGCACCTTGGAGGAAAACTCCGGAGTTGTACGAGAACTGCGCCTTGTTGATATCGGTACAGTTTTTTCCAACATGAGCACCGTCGTAAACCTTATAAGTATCTGGGTCGAGGAAGCCCACGCCCTCAATCCAATCCCACGTCTTCTCGGCCCAATCGGAGTATGTCTTGTTGCCAGTATAACGGGCAAGTCTGGCACCCAGGTTGAAGAAGCAACCGTTAGCGATACCTTTTTTACGAGTTAGTATAACAATCCAATGGATATCGAAGAGCTGGAGTAGGGATGCTGACTGTTCTTGTAATCGTAACCGTTGTTAGTTCGAGGAATCTGCCATCGGAGACCACCGTTGCAAGTCTTGTCGTGTCGATCGGGGTTGGCCTGGGTGTTAAAGACAGCCTGAGCGAGAGCCAGCCAGCCAGGCTTGTCTGAAGGAGGATTGGGGAAGGCCAGTTCGGCAGCCAACATAGCAGACATGCCCCAGAATCCTTGATCGTCGTTTCCGAGAGATAGAGTAACGTTGGCGGGTTGGTAGTCCTGGTCATCACCAACTTGGAATTGCATACCCTGCATCACCAAATCATTGTATTTTGTGTCGCCGGTGCACTTCCAGTAATCCATATACGTCCCCCACATCGCACCGCCTTCCCACCAGTAGTAATCACCATTAGGAGGAGGGCCGGGCAGAATGCCAGGAATACCACCGGGGTCAGTTCCGTGATAGTACTCAATCAGGTCAGCAGCGAGTTGCTTGGCTGACTTCTTGATGTCGTCTGTGCGGCTGGAGTTAATGCATGTTTACCTGGAAGCCAACGGTTGGGAATGCATACCTTTGGATGCGATGCTGTAAGGAGACTGCGCGCTGACGAGGCCTGTGGAGGCAAGAAGCGCAACAGCGGCGCCCGCGGAGTAAAAGGACTTCATCGTGGGCCGATTTGAGCGAAAGTGAATGAGCGTCGAATGAGCGAAGGATGATCGACGTCAAGAACGAGCGTTAAAGGCGCCCAGCGAGGGCTCTGTCGGAGAGAAATAGCGAGCTGTGATATATAAAAAAGACAATGCTTATTATTAAAAAGCCGAGCAGTCAAAGAGAGAAAGACAGCTAGAGGTAACAGAAAAGACGTGGAGTCTATGATGGGGTGAAGGTGTTGATGAAGAAAGGTCAAAGTGCCAAGGAAAAGAAATGGAAACGGGCGACGGGGGTTGGGCCTCTCTGGCTGGGACTGCTGGGGGATATGCTTGGGAATATCAAATACGGAGACCTACCGTATCGCAATTAAAGGGAGCGAAAAGAGGGAGGGAGAAACACGAGCTGGGACCAATGAGATCGCTGGTGGACCGGGTCGAAGGAGGGTGACACGGCTTATTGACTGGCTAGACTGGCTAAGACGGAGTGCGCGAGGGCGTCAGGTACTTGGAGCCAGGTACTGTTTGTAGCTATTTTTCAACCTGCAGGCGAGGGAGTTCATGCGATAGTTACGAAGCGCTTCAGGGGTTGGAAGTGGTTTGAGCTGACGACAGTCTTTTGTTTTGGTCTTGCATCACTGCAGTTACTCAACCGTATTGCTCTAGGTCTTCTACATATAAAATCCACTTCCAGTCACTGGCTACCCGGTTACAACACCGTTTGCCTTCTCGACCGTTGAACTACCTATAGTAGGTTTCGCCGTTGTCAAGAATGGTCCCCATTTCAACGTACGACCGCGCATCCATTCTTTACCGCAGTGGAGGAGCCCACTCTGCCGGGTTGCTTCGAGATTCCCCCCGATGCACCCGATTCTTTGTGCTTTTCCTCGAAGCTCACATTCTAACACTGGCCCTCTTCCCAATGAGCATTTCTTGCCAATTGTGCATTCATACCCATTCTTTGGTCTTACTCAATGCTTTCCGACAAGAACACACGTCGTCGATGTTCTTCTTCCATGCCAAGGCGCTTATCGGCACACTTAACCGATTCGCGACCCAGGGTCTGGTTTGCCAAGATGCCCAGAAGCCAGAATCGCCCTGTCCCGTCTGTGGCCTGTAGTGTTTCGCGTGGCCTCCCGTCTCGGCGCTGAAGATGCTGCAGCGACTGTAGACTCACGTGATTCTTATTCCCGTTGATGGGTTCGTATATCAGTAACATGTAAACTCAAGTCTTGTTGTCTGCAAAATTCGTCAAGTTAACGTCAGAACCCGGCATCCTTGTACAAGAGCTCGACCCATTTGCTACTCCATGTTCTCCAGATACTTTATCTCAAAGGATCAAGACAGTGGGGAATTAGGCCGAACCAACTTCGCTCATGAAAATCCCCCAGAAATTGCATCACGGACCCAGTAATTCGAATAAATAGAGGGACCAGCCTCAAGGTGAAATAAAACATCAGATACGGGACGAAAACTAAGACGACTTTATACTATAAGAAGAATATTTAAATAAAATTATTTTACTTTCATATAAATATTAAAATAATGACTAAGTCTAAGTTAGTTTTATTTAATATTTAATAACTTTTTAAATATTTCTTAAAGCCGATTATAGTGATTGTGGTATATAATAGTCTATATCTAACGTCTGAAGTCTTATTTCACCCCCTAGACCAGTCACTTCCTAATCCATACTTCCTTGATGCAACCAAACTCACTTTCTCTTGCGGGATTCAACCCAGACATATCATGTGTCACCCACCAATGTAGAAGTTTGAGGACTTGAGGTATCAACTGTGCCTCTTGTGTTTGAGCTATTCTTACCCAGGACGATACGGCTCGCATATTACATGGACCAGCGACCAATTTTTCATCGTCATTAAGTGATATAAGGAACGCATAGAAGTCCAGAAATGATCATCTCACCAAGAGCCAAATTCTCTTCGCCGTGATGTTTACGCTCCACCATGTCCGAACTGATAACCAAAAGCACTGAAGATCCTGACTCACTCTCTTATAAGGAAGTAAACTTGATAAACGACGGTGTACTCCGTAATCCGCCAGAAATGGAGAGATATTAAAACATTTAAGCAGGTTGGTCAGTATTGATAGAGACCTTCGTGGTATAGCTTTAAGCGCTGCGCAGACAGGACGAAGTTGCTTCTCACAATTAGTCTTGGGCTAAGCAATCCGACAGGCTGAATTCATGACGCCGCCCGTGAAGAGTTCAATGAACTATACTGTCCTTACCAGGAGATTAGAAGCATATCATGAGTGTCAGTGGCTTAGCTAAAGCAGTGGCACTTTTCGAGGCGAGTTTGGATTGCATAACATGCCATTTGGCTCGGAATTTTTGTAGAGCCATTCTATTGTCATCTGAGATGTGGGCAACAGTCCAATCCTCTTACGGAATAAAGTGTTTCTCTACGTGGATGACGAAGCGCTCCAATCTATAAAGTCAGACAGACCGTTTATTTGGTAACAAGAGCCGCAGGAACCAGCGAAGCTACTCAATGTAGATCACTCTTGATAGCACCGTTGACTTAGCAGAGTGGGTCATTCTACTTAGGTAGGTAGGTAACGGACTGGATGAGGACATGACACCACGAAATAGAGTTAGAAGTTGGCATGAGAATGCAAGTAAATCATTTAGCAAGAACAGTGAAGTCGATGGGATTTGGACAGTTTGCTCCATAGTCGTATTTAGAGGTGGACCTGCTGAAAGCAAATCCGTGCTAGAGCCGGTCTTGGTCCAGGAACAAGCTCGGGTCGGCGACACTTTAACCCAGTTTCGGCCACGCAAGCCAATCAGCGACAGGACCCTGACGACGCCAGCTTCAGGGGATAGTTTTAGTTACAGTAAGCTGTCCTTTCTGATTGCGGCTGTCGAGCGCAACGAAGCGACGACATCGATAATTTCATTTCTCGTTCACCAAAACTTCGTGGTCGGCACCCGAAAGAAATTCCTTCCAGACCACTGAAACCGGTTCCAATTGGTTTCCTGTCTTTAAGCCTGTCTTTTTACCCCAAGGCATGCGGCAATAGGAACAACTTTGCGCATTTCGTGTCGATCTAGCGGCGCTCGACTACAGTTTGCGACGAAACATCGAAATATCGCGACACACGACAATCCTCGACACCGACACGGTCTGCATTGTACATATTCGAGCTAGCAGGACTAGAAGACTTTAACAATGATGAACGGCATGGAAAAGACCGATTATGAGGAGGACAAGTTCGGTCCTAAGGAGGGGGGAAACTTGGTCAGCGCTTTCGATGCATTCCGTATGTCTCATGTTGCAGTCGGTACCTACATGCGCTAACTCTCGCCAGCCAAGTCAAAGCCGCAATACATCCAAAGAACCTCGGGAGGTGGTAAATGGACAGTCGCTGTGACCATCATCTCATTTGTTCTCATCTGGGGTGAGCTTGGTCGCTGGTGGCGTGGAGCTGAGTCTCACAACTTCGAGGTTGAGGCTGGTGTTTCGCGAGAACTGCAGATCAACCTGGACATTGTAGTCAAGATGAAGTGCGATGATGTTCATATTAACGTCCAGGATGCTTCTGGCGATCGCATCATGGCGGCTAAGCGTCTTCGCACTGACGGGACTCTCTGGTGGCAATGGGCCGACGACAAGGGCATTCACAGACTTGGACGGGATAGCCAAGGTCGAATCAGCACCGGGCAAGGATACAACGAGCCAAAGTACGAGGATGAGGGTTTCGGCGAGGAACACGTTCACGATATTGTTGCGCTTGGAAAGAAGAGGGCGAAGTGGGCGAGGACCCCCAGATTCAAGGGTCCTGCCGACAGCTGCCGCATCTACGGAAGCTTGGATTTGAATAAGGTGCAGGGTGACTTCCACATCACGGCCCGAGGCCACGGTTATATGGGCAATGGCGAGCATCTCGACCACAGCAGTAAGTTCTGCAAATGAAAAGTCCACATCATGTGCTAACGGCTCCCAGGGTTCAACTTCTCGCACATCATCTCAGAATTGTCTTACGGTCCATTCTATCCCTCACTCGTCAACCCTCTCGACGGCACTGTCAACACAGCCCCTGGCAACTTCCACAAGTTTCAGTACTATCTCTCTGTTGTGCCCACGGTGTACAGCGTCAACTCGCGGTCTATTCTCACCAACCAGTACGCCGTGACGGAGCAGAGCAAGGCGGTCGACGAGCGATACATCCCCGGCGTTTTCTTCAAGTACGACATCGAGCCGATCTTGCTGACTGTCCACGAGAGCCGTGATAGCATCATCAGTTTCTTGGTCAAGATCATCAACATCATGAGCGGTGTCTTGGTCGCCGGACACTGGGGCTTCACAATCAGCGACTGGGTTCACGATGTCATCGGCCGACGAAGACGCAGTGGCGGCGGAATCGGTGTGCTGGGAACGAAGGAAGGGTTTGATCAGTAGAAGCATTAGATGCGAGATCAGGAATATATTGCATGCAGCATACAGACGTTGCCAGAGATCCGAACAGAAGGAGTTATGCAGGGGTCTATGTATAGTTGAGAAGATTATGGAGTTTAGGTAAAACCTGGGATTCTGAATTTAGCATAAGACAATTGATCGCAAACGTACGCGCAACAAATCGGTGCTGTAATCTGGCTGGTCGATCAAGGTGTCTTCAAAGCAGATGAGCCCTCATCCTGTATGGTCACTTTCTATATAGTGGGAGTTGAAAATCAAGCTCGCTCTTCCACCAGAGAAGCAACAGGGCACTGTACTTCGCCCAGCTTTTAGTCGTCGTGTTAAAACTGCCGCTATGCTAATATGGGAAAGACGGGAATATGGAACATTCCAGTCATGGGAACAAAATTGCAATACGGGAAAGCCCCAGGCAGGACCTTTCCAGCCGGACGGTAGTGCATCAATGCGTGGTTAAGGCCATGGTCGTTTCTGTCAGCACTGATTGCCCATGTGCCCCAACAAAGACCAGTCTGGTGACTCAAACTTAGGGCCTGCGTAATCAATTGACCTCGGAAAACGGAGACTCATCAGTTGATGGCCATATTGCCACGATTATTTGCATCTTCTGACTCTTTGCTTTTTCTTTAGTATTTGTTTTCCCTGGCTGAGATTGAGTTGAGGCGAAATGACTCCGCTGTGAGAATAACAACCAAGATGTTCACTACTGATGGGTCAGGGTTGACGAGGTGGGGTTTTCCATTAAAAAGCCTATGACGACATACGCGAACAGCCCCGAGTGGGGTTTGTCGAGATGTTGCATCTGCGCTGTTAATGATTTGCTCGCCCAAGGTTACGGTTCGGGACGTCCAACGGAAACCTTCGTCGACTCATTCTTGACCCATCTTTCTTTCTTTCGTGTTCTTTCATAGAGCTGATGAATAAGGGAAATATCCCTGTCGACGAAAAGAACTGGTCCTTGATCTGTACAAGTAAATCAAGCTTGTGGTGGGCCTTCTAGATGCCGCACTGGAGGGCACGGTACTTGATGGTGACCAAGCCAAGTGAGCAGCGCCGTGTGATTTAACTTTTGTTAGGGTCTTGGAACAGACAAGCCTAGCCTCGAGGCACGGTCTGGATCTTCTGGACTTGAGACGGGCGTTTGCATTTCACGAACGACTTTAGTGTTACGTGCAAGGGCTGAAAGAAGAAGCCTTGACATGAGACAAAGAAATACCATTAACGGCTGACTGCCTATGATTACCTATTCAGAATGTTTGCTCGGTATATTTGGACCGGATGAGTCAATGCGTCTGGTGAGGCTCTTTGCCTAACCTGACATGATAATCCAGGGAAAATAGACTCGAGATATTCTTGGTATGACTTGTGGATCACCGAGTGGTATTTTGGGCATGAACTAGGCCTACCCTCTAGTTTGGACAGAACTTGGTGATCTTTCTAGATCCAAGAAATTACCCGAGATAGCCCAGAACAGAAGCAGAATCTTCTACCTATTCGAAGACGAGCGCACAAATCTTGCTACAGTATCTTGGTTGTATCGCAGTTTGGTCCAGGCCGCTTTGATTGGCCTCGCACTTAATGCCCAGCATCAGCCGGGCAGAATAAGAGACCTTCTGCCACCCATCTCTTCGACTTGTCCAATCCCGTGCCATCCTCTGCTGCACCAGCAGCATCATCTTCCATCATAGCCACCGCAGGCTTCCTCCTAGGCCATCGTAAACCCCTGTCGAGAGCCGGGATATCCACTGAAGTTTAAGGGATCCACGCACATGCTGAGCCCAGCTGCAGGTCTGAGGTTCTGAAGCAAGCCCCACGCTGCGCTGCGCTTGAGTGAATGCCAAGCCCAGCCATTCCGACGGGACTGATTGCCCAGTTCTAAAGTGCAGTTCCTTCTTTCCCTGACGTTCCGTCATAGCTCGTCCTACCTGGTAGGCTAACTTCCCAGCTTTCCCCCTCCACAAACCACTCTTCCCTCTTTCTCTCTCATACAAACTACAAACCTTCATAGATTTCGCTGTTGCTTTTGTGTTGGGCGTTCTCTATCCAACCTTTGAATTTTCTCCCTGAAACGAAAACGATTCTCCTTTTTTGACTCTACAGTACTATCGCACAGCCTTATACCCCCCTGCCACACCCCCGCGATGGGTGACGTCTACAGAGATCGCGTATATCGTGACCGTGAGTGGGAGCGGGACGATGCTTCATCAGGCGACGAGCGTTATCGTAAAACCACAATCCGACGTTACAAAGTCACCCCCAGCAGGTCAGACCAATACGAACGATCTTCCGAATTTGATGATGGTCGTTCCCATGCCTCCCGTTATGGCCGCGCTTCAGGCGATTTAATTGAGCAGGATCGACGCTCTTACGCACCAGATCGACCTCACTCTGCTTTTGAGGGAGCACCTTCGCATGCCAGCTTCCACGATGACCGTGGCCGGAACGCAGCTCCTCGTTCCTTCATTTACGAGAAGGAAATCGAGCGAGAAACTTATCCTCCACCCCCGCCTATGCCGATGCCTGCGCCGTCTCAAGCAGGCGACCGACCTCGCGCGCCAATGTATGCCGAGACCAAGGAAGTTGAGCGTGACTGGGAACGAAGATCTCGCTTTGACGCTCTATTCGACGATGATGTCAAGGTCGAGAACCAAATGGTGAGGACTGAACGTCGAGATAATGGCGAGTTTCGTGTCGAGAAGCGCGTGGAAGAACACATCGACGACACTCATGGATGCGATGTTGAGCGATATCGCAAGGAAACGGAATACTACACCCCTTACGACCCCCCGCCTCCGCCAGCTCCTGTTATCATTCGACAACGTGCTCCCGAACCGCAGAAAATCATTGTCCAAGAAGCTCCCACCCCGGCACCCGTTGTCATTTCTCCTCGCGTACAGCAACAGCCCGGCGTGGTTGTCATTCGTGAAAAGGAACCGGAGAGACAGCAGATGGTCAGAAGAGAGCATCGACATGAACACCGACATGAACATCGACATCGCCCGGCAGAGGAGGAATACTACTACCGCCACGAACACCGAGACTCCCGTGGAGAACGCGAATATGCCGTTGAGCGGTTTGATCGCAGACGTCGCGATTATGGCCACTATAGTGATGACGATGACTACTATGTCCGTCGCAAAGTCGTTCGTCGCCGTGAGGGTAGCGAAAGTCCCCACCACAAGCGTCACCTGGCAGAGGGCGCTCTCGCTGGTGCCGGTGTTACTGCTCTTCTCAATAGTCGCCGCGATGACTACGGCGAGCTGCCCGAGAACCGTGGACGAAAGGTTATCGCTGGAGCTGCCCTGGGAGCGCTCGGTACTGAGGCGTTGCGAAGAGCTCGCAGCGCTTATGGCGACCGATGGCATGGCGACGATGGGTCTCCCGACCGCTCCTCTAGACTCAAGCAAGGCCTTGGAATCGCTGCTGTTGCTCTAGCTGCTGCCGGTGCCGCCAAATACTACCAGTCCAACAAGATTGAGAAGGAAGAGGCGATCCGGGGCAGAAGCCGCCGTCGTGGTTACCATTCAGATGATTACTCGCGCTCGCGTTCGCGCTCCATCATTCGAAAAACCACGACGAAGACCAAGAGCAAGAGCACTAGCCGTCGTCGCAGTCTGTCAACTGCGGCCAAGGCGGCTTTGGGTACTGTTGCTGCTGCAGGTGTCGCGAAACACTTGCGCAACAGGTCCAAGTCTCGAGGCCGTAACAGCAGTAGGTCAAGCAGCTCGCGTAGCCGATCAAGGAGCCGCAGCAAGTCAAGACTTCGTCGCGGTGCCGAAATTGCTGGCGCAGCTGTAGCAGCCAAGGCGGCGCACCATGTTTGGAAGAAGCGCAAGGATAAGAAGGACGGCAGTGATAACAGCAGCGACGATGAGTACTACCGACGAGGCCCATCGAGGAGCCGAAGCCGGAGCAGGTCCAAGGCCAGATCCATTCGTTCAGAGCGCGGGACTGATCCTGAGCTAGGCCCCGTAGTTGAATACGGAACCGATCCCCTCATGCCCGCCGGGGCGTCGCGGGCCTACGAATCCGAAGCAGAGGCAAGGCGTCGACGCCGCAGACGACGCGATCGTAGCCGCTCCGCCTCATCTGTTGGTTCTGACCATGACCGCAAACGCAGCAGAAGTCGCCTCAGAACCGCGGCAGCCGCAGGAGCCGCGGCCTTCGGTATTAAGGAATACAAGGATAAGAAGGATAGAGAGAAGAGAGAGCAGCGCTCCAGGGAACGTCGGCTTGAGCTAGAACGGGAACGCGAGCGAGAGGATGAGCGAGACCGTCGCGGTCGAGCTACCAGATCTCCCTCGCGAAACCGATCTCAAAGCCGCTCCAGGAAACGTGAGCAGTCCTTGCGTGACCAAGATTGTGATGACTGACCACTATTGAATAGGCTACGATGACTATGACGAACGCAGCAGACCACGCTCACCACCAATGGCATCTGGTGGAGCTGGCTTCCCGCCTTACCCTATGGATCGTTCTCCTTCACGCGGAGCTCCTTATGGTAACTTCCCAAATCGCTCTGGCGAATTTCAGCCATATGTTCCTCAGGATTACACGGGCTATCCCCCACCTCCACCTGGACCCCCTCGAGGGCTTTCAACCGGACCTTCTAGCTACCCACCGCCGCCAGGACCTCCTGGGCCACCACCTCCTCCTGGACCCCCAGGACCTCCACCATCCGGTGGCCCAAGACCGCCTGACAATGTGAGTAATCCTGTCCATAACCTCGGCTCAAGAAGCCTTGATGAGGGTGCGTCCGACCGTACTGGGAGGGATTTGGAATAAAATAAAGGGTGAAGCTGACTTCGCAACAGCTAGTCTAACGAACTCGTCTGACGACGAACACCCGGCTAAGTCGGTGATGTTCGGTCCGATGTCGCCTAAGAGTTCGATGACAATGAGACAACATCGCGCAGAAGCGGCAGCAAAAGAGGAAAAGGAGAAACAAGAACAAGAGGCCCACGATGTAGCTCAAGGTCTTGTGTCTGCCAGACCACGCTCGAAGTCGTTAGATATCGACTCCTATTTCGACCGGAGAAACCGGTTTTTAGATGATGACTCAAGTTTGGATGAGCCTATCGAAGTCTTGCCCGACCGATTTGATAGACATGGTAGGCCCCTGGATAAACGATCCGCCAAGCATCGCGATTGGACACGCAGACAGGGCGATTTCGAATACAAGCCCAAACATAAAGATGATTGGGATATCAAGGGCGCATGGCAAGTGGCTGGGACTGATGGTCAAGCTGTGGATCAGATTGTTCGTGGTGTAACTGGAGCACTTGAAGGCAAAAGCGGCTGGCTTGGTTTGCTTGGAACTGTTCTTGGCGGACTTGCAGAGCCAGAGCGACAAGGCGCTATCGAAGATGGACATCAAGAGGAAAGGAGGCGCAGAAGGAGACATCGGGATTAATGACTTGATGATTGCGAATGTGATTGGAATGATTTCTTTGGTTGGATGGGTAATGTTTCTGGTTTTGAACTTAACTTATGAAATGATGTTACGAATACTATACATTACGGCCTATATAGAGAAACACGGTTGATGTTTGTTTATGATGTTTATAATAATTCCGCTTTTACCAATTGTTCATCTTCAGAACTGTAACCTTATTATAGCCTGAGAAAGTTCGTTTCCTGCGAATGGAAGATGAATATGTGATCAAGCCGCGCGAGCAGCATCGCAACCGTGTTCGCACATGCAGCTGTACGACGCAGCATTCAGTACACCGCGGCATTTACCACAAACAATAAGGTATTTAGCTGTCTTATAGTCCGTGTCTTTGGCAGTGACAAGGTCAACGTCCGAGCGAGGTATCTCCACCACATCGGAAGTAGACGTGTTGGGTGTGAAAGAGGGAGTGTTGGTTGAGGAAGTGGTTGAGTTTGAATTAGGCATGGCATGTAACTTCGAACGAGTGATATGATCAAACCGTGTAAGAATAGAATAAGGGAAAGAGAAGGGGGGGAAAGAGAAAGAAAAGAGAGACTGGTCTGAATTCACTGTTACCCTATTGGATTTTTATAGTTGCGAGATATGACTTGGTTTCTTCACTAATCTAGGCTTTATCAGCTGGAGGTATGCTGTAGAAGATTCGGTTAACATGACGCTAAAGTCGTTGGAGATAGACGTTCATATATGATAGTGAGATACGAGGTGATGGTGTTTTGCTTAGAGTGTTCTGGGGGTTTCGTTATAAATCGATGTAACAGGAATATGTGGGGCATGATCAGGGTATCATTGCCATAGTGAATTGGCAGTTGAAGTTTATAGAAGAACCTCACGAATTCTCGGCCAAGCAACCTTCATAATGTCTATAATATCCGAAACATACAACTGGTATTCTAACATATGTCCATTGTACATAAGATGTCCACCTCTTCATAAATTCATCCAACTCCCTACCACCGGCGCCAATCACCGCTTTTTCATTATAGCTCATCATGAGCGTGCTCTGACACGGGCCTTCCGCTATCTTTTTGCAGATCGACGCCGTTCTTGAGTCGCCACTTCTCCCAGAGACTCCAGAAATCGCTCTCCATGTTGGTGTCCATCTGGTCGGGTAGCACAACTGCGTATTGAACGTATAGGTTTCCGAACTCGGTCTTGTGGTAGACGCTGTCACCGTCTTCGTGCCAGATGGGCATGCCTTCTCCGGCAACAGTCTCAACATGGCCAGGCTGAATAACTTGGCCGCGGGGGCGACTTAAACGCACGACGTGATTATCGAGATGAGTGAGGTTACGAGTCCAACCGCCCATCCAGGCCTCACGGAGGGAAAGGGGTTCTGTCCAGTACAGGTCATTGCCCTTGCGACGGAAGAATGCGCCATCGACCTTGTCGGGGTTCTTATCATATGAAGGAGCCTGCTCAGTTAATGTCACCAACAAATCACCAGGCACCCAGTCAGGACTCTCATCGGCTTCGTTCTCGTAAACGAGGCGAGAGTCGCGAGGGGCTCCACGCTGGATGTTGAGCTGTACGTTTGTAGCCTTCTTCTCGACCCGTTGACCCTGGCACACTTTACACTTATGTTTGATGTTCTTGCCCCGACCACCACAGGCGTCGCATCGTTGCTGGAACTGCTGGAACATGCCGGGGGCGAGCTGGCGCTTCATGAGACGAACACCGTGGCCACCGCAGGTTTGACAAGTGTCGACTTGGCCATCTTCACTTCCACTGCCCTCACAGGCTTCGCAGATGTGTTGCTTGTTCCAGGAGAATTCGGTAGTGGCGCCGTTGTAGAAGTCGCGCAAGGAGATCTCAACACGGACTTCGACGTTGTGACCTCGGGGTTCGCTGGATCCTCGTCCGAAATGACCGTGGCCGCCGAAGAAACGGCTGAAGAGATCAAAGGGATCATGGCCGCCACCACCACCTCCTCCCTGGCGGCGCTGCTGCACGCCATCATGGCCGTATTGGTCGTAGACCTTGCGCATTTCCTCGTCGCTTAGCACATCGTAGGCTTCGGAGACTTCGACAAACTTGTCATGGGCTGTGTCATCACCACTGAAGGAGGTTAGTTTATGGAGTCAAACAAAGGGTGTGGAGGGGCATACGGGTTCTTGTCTGGGTGGAACTTCTTGGATAGTTGGCGATATGCCTGCTTCAACTCCTTTCCCGTAGCCTTTCTATTGACACCCAGGACCTATTCGAGTGTCAATTTGTGTAGATTTTGACATGCGTTAGGCGTGACGTACCTTGTAATAGTCCTCGGCGCATACAGCTAGCTGGACCAGAGCTAGAAGGACCACGAGGGCCACTGTATGAAATAGCATTGTGTGTCCCTTTCAATGAATTATTAAACTCTGGAAAGATTTATAAAAAGAAAAGAGACGGCAAGTTTTTGTTGTAATGAGAGACGAAATTCACATGCGTTGTGAAAAGAGGGAAGGAGTTTAAGAAATCGCAATAGAGAACAAAGAAATCGCTGAGCGTTCGAAACACCAGCGTGTTATCAATGCCTGTTTGCTACACTCTTTGAGAAACAATGGAGAGCTTATCGCATGCACCCCTGCCAAGCGGCGTCTTATCGAGTGTCTATGATAGGTGGAGAGCATAATGACCCCCGGATTATCCTTTCTCCAAAACTGGGCTGGACGTCAAGTTTAGCATGCATCTGTCGCATTCAAGCTCCTTCTGCCTGGGGCTGTCCATCTGCCTTCACGTCATATACCTGGATCTTTTTACCAGCTCTAGGTATAATTTGGCGACAACAACCTTCTCATCTTTACAGAAGCTCAGTAATTGAGAATGAGCTCCAAAAAATACGCTTTTCTTCCTATGGAACAGGATGAGGTGGGTCCTCAGAAAGTTACCAAGGAGAAGAAACACAGACATCGACATCGCGACAGAGATCGCGACGACAAGTCATCTACCCGACCCTCCAAATCTCGTCGCGAACGTAGTCGCTCAAGGTCTGCTGGCCGAGGACCATCATCACACACTAGTCGACCCAAGCAATACCGACGACGCGATGACAAGGCCGACTTTGATGATCGATGGGGCGATGAGGAACCACCATCCGATGGACCCGAAGAGGAGGAAGACGAACCCGAATTTGAGGAGTCGGCAACCAAACGAGTCAAGCTGAGCCACGATGAACCGAAAGACGACGACTTATCCGATGGTGCGAAAGAGGAATTGGAACGGAGAAAGGACATTGAAGAGCGCGAGGCTTTCGCAAAGCGCCTAAGGGAGAAGGATACCAAAAAATCAAAGAAGGACGAGAAGGATGGAGAATCTTCATCGAGAAGAAAACTGGCTGAAGACACCGAGGCCCGAAACCAGGCACTCCCCGATATTCGAGAACGATCGCGACAGGAGTACCTCAAGAAACGAGAGGCTGAACGACTCGCTCTTTTACGAAAACAGGTTGCAGAGGAGACAGCTGAACTAAGGAGTGGTGTCCGACTGTCAGAGAAGGAAAAGGCCGAATTCGCCAAGAACAGAGAGATCCTGCGTCTGGCTGAGGAGCGCCTCAAGATTGACGATCATCGCGATGGGTACTACATGCCGGAAGATTATATCACGGAGAAGGGGAAACTCGACCGAAAAAAGAAAGAAGACGCTCTTTACAAGCGATACGTTGAGAAGGATGAGTTTGGCCAGGAGAAATTCGTTACTGAGCATGATGAATGGGAGCGAGAACAAGCCTCAAAGGCGAAGGCGCAGATTCAACGTGGCGAAAGGGAGAATGAAGACTACGATCTTGTTATGGATGACACGCAGTATATCCAGTGGAATCTGGATTCGCGTTTACCTGGCGACGATCGAAAGTTGACCAAGGAGCAGCAGTTCCTTGAGGCGCAGATTGACGCAGCTGAAAAGAAGGCCCTGTCGATCCAAGAAACGAGAAAAAGCCTGCCGATCTATCAGTATCGAGATGAATTCCTTGCTGCATTGGAGCAGTACCAGGTACTTGTTATTGTTGGAGAGACTGGTAGTGGAAAGACGACTCAGCTACCACAATATCTTCATGAGGCGGGCTACACCAAGAATGGCATGAAGGTGGGCTGTACACAACCTCGACGAGTGGCGGCTATGAGTGTGGCTGCTCGTGTTGCTGAGGAAGTGGGTGTAAAGGTCGGCAATGAAGTCGGATATACCATTCGTTTCGAGGACTGCACCAGCGACAAGACTGTCCTCAAGTACATGACTGATGGCATGTTGCTGCGAGAGTTTATGACGGAGCCAGATCTTGCAGGGTACTCGGCCCTGATGATTGATGAGGCTCACGAACGTACTGTGCATACTGATATCTTGTTGGCGTTGATCAAAGATTTGTCAAGAGAACGACCTGATCTGAAGCTGCTCATCTCATCGGCTACCATGAACGCCGAGAAGTTTGCACAGTATTTTGACGATGCGCCTATTTTCAACATCCCTGGTCGACGATACCCAGTTGACATCTACTATACTCCTGCGCCCGAAGCAAACTATCTGGCTGCAGCCATCACAACGACATTCCAGATTCACACTACCCAGCCCAAGGGTGATATCCTGATTTTCTTGACCGGTCAAGACGAGATTGAGGCTGCCGAACTTGAAATTGCAGAAACAGCAAAGAAGCTTGGTAGTCGCGTTAAGGAACTTGTTATTTGCCCTATCTATGCCAACTTGCCGTCCGAATTACAGTCAAAGATCTTTGAACCCACACCGGACGGCGCTCGCAAGGTTGTGCTGGCCACCAATATCGCCGAAACCAGTTTGACTATTGATGGTATTGTCTATGTCATTGATCCAGGCTACGTCAAGGAGAACGTCTACAACCCTGCAACAGGCATGTCTAACCTGGTTGTTGTACCTTGTTCGAGAGCGTCCGCCAACCAGCGAAGTGGTCGAGCCGGTCGTGTAGGTCCAGGAAAATGTTTCCGTCTGTATACCAAGTTTGCGTACATGAACGAAATGGACGAATCAACTACACCAGAGATTCAACGAACGAACTTGAATGGCGTTGTGCTGCAATTGAAATCCCTTGGTATCAATGAACTGCTCGATTTCGAGTTCATGGATCCTCCTCCCACGGAAGCTCTCATCGGAGCTCTGAATCAGCTCTTTGCTTTGCAAGCGTTGAACCATCGCGGAGAGCTGACCAAGCTTGGTCGACAGATGGGTGAATTTCCTACAGACCCTATGCTCGCCAAGGCTGTTCTGGCTGCGGATAAGGAAGGCTGTGTGGAGGAGGTCTTGTCCATTGTGTCGATGCTTGGTGAAGCTTCTGCCCTGTTCTTCCGACCGAAGGATAAGAAGATCCACGCAGACAGCGCTCGAAACCGCTTCACAATCAAGGACGGTGGTGATCATGTAACTCTTCTCAACGTGTGGAATCAATGGGTCGATAGCGACTTCTCCCCAGTCTGGGCCAAGGAGAATTTCCTGCAACAACGTTCACTTACAAGAGCACGCGATGTGCGCGACCAACTCGCAAAGCTCTGTGAGCGTGTCGAAGTCGCACCCTCCACCTGCGGCGCCACCAACATTCGCCCCATCAAGCGAGCCATCACAGCTGGATTCTTCCCCAACGCTGCACGGCTGCAGAAGAGTGGCGATAGCTACAGGACGGTCAAGAACAACACGACTGTGTGGGTCCACCCCAGCAGCGTGTTGATGGCTATCGACCCGCCGGAGAAAATGGTGGTGTACTTTGAGCTCGTGCAGACTACCAAGGAGTATATGCGTAGCGTGATGCCGATCGAAGCCAAATGGCTGGCTGAGTTGGCACCGCATTTCCATAAAAAGAAGGATGTTGAGGAGATGGAGGAGAAGAAAATGCCTAAGCAGAGATCTTGATGATATAGATTTAACGCCTACAGATTCTAATACAGCTCATACATATTATTTTCGTGGTATATGCCTCTTACTCCCACCAAGCAGCCTTTGATTGAGATTACTCGTCCTTTGCGTCCATGTCAGGCACCCATTCGTAGAGAATGTCTGTCCTCATAGTGTACTTCGTCCCCTTCTTTACCAACGCTCCTTCATGGTATAATCCGTCATGTTGAAAGATTAGGACACTACCAGCCTTGGGGTTGACATCAACTCGGTTCTCTTTCCTGTCAAGGAACGAAGTTGCGCCGCCTTCGAGCTCTGCCGTTGGATCATTCTCAACAGAGTCGTTGAGGTAGAGATGGACAGTGTAGTAGGTCTCGAACTCCGTGCCAGGACCTTCAGTATAGTAGTATGAACCATCGCAGTGAGCTGGGGCAGCGTTAGCAATGCACTGGTACATAAAAGGGGGTTGACTCACGTTTGAAGAATTGCCCGGGCGAATACTTAAGAAACCGCATTCTGTTGTTGAAGCGGCTAAACACCCATTTTCCACTCCCCAAGTAAGGCTGAGGCGGGACTGCGGCGAGGAGATCACGCAACCCTTCGGACAGAGCGCAGCGCTCCCATAAACGATCAACAATGGTCTGCTGATCCCAGATAATGCGATCGCTCTCCCGATAGCCCGGTGCATGAGACTCCACCCCTGGTCCGGCACTCACTAAAGCCGGTCTCCACGCCGACGCACTCTCATCAGCGCGCGGTACAGAAGCCTCAGCTAGAGAAATCAACTCACGGCACTCATCAGGCGTGAGAACATTATCCAGAACGATGGCGGTGTGGCCCTTGTACTGAGGAAGAGACGACGTGGCAAAGTCGATATGATGCGCCGTTATCGGTTTAGGAGGGGCAGAAGTAAGGAATGAGTCTGGGATGGGGACATCATTGGATGTGTAGTCTACTTTGACGAACATATTTGCTGAAGGGTTGCGAGGTTTGAGGATGGATGTTGAAGCAGGTTTGGAGGTGAGGCCTAGTTTGGAAGCGATGTTGGAGAGCATTTTGGGAAAAGTAAGCTGAAGATGACTAAAAGATGTTTTATGGTATTTTTCTAAAAACTGGAATACTGATGCCTATTAAGTAGACATCCTAAAAAGGACAGTTTATTATGGTGTAAAGACAGATATTAGATCCTTCATTGTTGTTGCTGCTGCCTGTCTTGAGCTGGGATGGGCGTGGCTTGATGGCCACACAGCCACCACTAGTCGTACGCCCTGAGAGCTAGGCATTCACGATGAAGGATATAATATAAATGAGTTAGTTGTCAGTGTTGGGCTAAATTTTGGAGTTCAGGTGAGGTTGAAAATGCTGCGGCGGTAAGATTGGTTGTGGTGGTTGTCGTAGCTCTTAATGGCTGCATACTGACTGTAGTTCGAACATTATCAAACGAGAAAAGTGCCATGAAGAAGAGCCTTGATCCGTTACATAGCGGACTTGATACAATCTGAAGTAAAGACTGGGCCCAATCTATAATATAATTGGTTATGCGAATGCTTAAACATTTAAGCTTGTGGCCTACCATGCGAAGCTGTGGCCGTTGCCTAGCCTGCAGAGTCATGCAAGGCACACTCGTGCTTGTATGCGAAGCTGTAAGAGCACAACCATTATGGACTGATATGGGAAGGCCTATATTTTGCAATTAAAGTAAAAAGCCATTGGAAATGGCGTTTTAATTATTTAAATGTCTTCGGATAGGCCCGTGCGTGTAATGATAGAACTTAGACATGGAGCAGGTATGTGAATTAGCGACTCGCGACAAAGTCCTGAGAAGCAGCCAGTTGACGGGAAAGAAACCAAGGCAAGTATAGCAAAGCAAACATAAGCAATATCAATCAAGATATATAATGACAGTTGTGAGGTGTTGTAAAAATCTCAAAGTATGTGCTTTTTAGTAATTGAGCATGCGCTGAAGCATACTCTTAAAGAGGCGATAAAATAGCGCGGGAATACATAAAGGCGTCTGGCCTTGGCATCGCTTAAGCAAGCTTCCAGAAGAAGAATTAGGCGGCAGAGAAACAGACTAAGCGATCGTCTAGGCGCAGGAACAATCATCTTGGCAACTGCTGTTTAATTGCCGGCTTGGCGAGACTAGACTCGATCGATGGACATCATGTCATGAGAAAGTCGCCTCCATCACCAGACTGAATCCGAATATGCACTCATGTTATAAGCTGACAACAGCCAAAAAAAACATGGGCGATGTTCTCACCAAGTCAGCGAATTACGACATTGGTTCTGATCTATATGATTGCACAGAAACAAGGGCTGTATTTGAAGGTGTTGCCTGTTGGGGACATTTCTTGGCTGACTGCGCCTTACAAGCATTCCTCCCGAACCAGGTGATTCGAACACTTTCGGTCTGTACAGAATAGGCAGACAGAAATTTCAAGAAACTTTACTATAGTAACTCTAACGGGGAAAATATCCCAATTTGTGTAGATGAGCGCCGAGTGTTGACGCCGAAAGTGGTCCTTGAGTCCCCGGAGTGGCCGCTGTGGATTACTGTGAATTTCAGCGGTATTTGCCCTTGATGATACATGAACTTTGACAATGCGATCAGGATCTGAGAATAGAAGTATATGCTGCGCAGTAGGTAGGGCTGTTGATATTATAATTCATGTTCTGGTAGATTGTAGATATCCTGTCTTGGTTGGTTGTGCCATATCACAAATGCGACGTTACACCCAATTTTCCAGTGCTAAGATGCTTCCGAGTCTAGTGACCTTCCACCTCCAACTTAGCGGGTTCGATTTTGTCACTGGCGATCTGCTCTACTTGACATGGGGGAGGGGAGCTAGGGAGGCTGGTTGAAGGAACACGAAGTATACCACTCAGATCCTTCTCAGTACGTAACTGCAACTCTCGACTCTTTGCTGCAGTGGATTTGCCTCTGAGCACGCAATTCCTCGTGCCTCGCTTTTTGCGGACTAGGTAGTATAATATAATTCCATCAGAGAGTTCTGGAAAGACTTGTATTATTTCTTTGCAGACAATGCTCTCTTAGCCTGGGCACAGATAACAATGGCTCACCTTTCAACACCAGACTCCAAGGAGATGGGCAAGGCGCCTGGGGACGACGTCGAGAACTACCACTACCAGCCCGAGAGCCATGGCCGGCCCACGCAGTCGGATCTGCTGCAGCGGTCGCTGTCGGCGCGCCAGGTGCAGATGATTGCCATCGGAGGCACAATTGGCACGGGTCTCTTTCTCGGCACCGGCAAGTCGCTCGCCACGGGCGGTCCGGCCTCGATTCTGATTGCCTATTCCATTGTGGGAGGGATTGTCTTTACGACCATGTTGGCGCTGGGTGAGATGGCGGCCTTTATACCCGTTGCTGGAAGTTTCTGTACTTTTGCCGGGTGAGTTTGTCTCGTTTTTATACGGAAATAAGAGCTTTTGTGCTGACGGAAGTAATAGTCGCTTTGTTGATGATGCTTTTGGATTTGCTCTTACATGGAATTACTGGTTCAACGACGCCGTCTCCACAGCCTCTGACCTTGTCGCTCTGCAACTCATCCTCCAGTACTGGACCGACAACTTCCCAGGATGGGCGCTGAGTCTCATTTTCTGGGTCGTGCTCATCGGCGTCAACATCATCTCGGTGCGAGCCTACGGTGAGCTCGAGTACTGGCTCAGTCTGCTCAAGGTGATCACGATTGTCGTGTTCATCGTCATGGGCATTGTGGTCAACTGTGGTGGAAATTCCACGGGGGAGTACATTGGTGGTAAATACTGGCATTTGCCCGGTGCGCCTTTTGTGGGCGGCATTGGTGGTTTTGCCTCTGTTTTTGTCACTGCTTCTTTTGCCTGTAAGTTGACCCCTCACCTTCAAGGGGAAGTGAAAGAATAAATGACTGACTGATTGTTTAGACGGTGGAACGGAGAGTATTGCCATCACGGCTGGTGAGACCAAGGATCCCACCAAGAACATCCCCAAAGTCGTCAAGAACGTCTTTTGGCGCATTCTTCTCTTTTAGTACGTCCTCCCACTGCACTTAAACAACAACCATTAACCAAAAACAGCATCCTCTCAATTCTTCTAATTGGTCTCAACGTGCCATACAACTACCCCGATCTCGATTCCAAGGAAACCCGCACGTCGCCTTTCACCCTCGTCTTTGAGATGACAGGCGCCAAAGCTGCCGGAAGTGTCATCAACGCCGTCATTCTCACCAGTGTTCTCTCCGCCGGAAACCACGCTCTTTTCGCCGGCGTGAGACTCATGTACACTCTTGCTCACGAGGGTCATGCGCCCAAGGTCTTTGGCAAGCTCAACAGGAACAGAGTACCCTGGGTTGCTGTCCTGGCGACTGGTTTTGTGGCTGGTCTCTGCTTTGGTTCGAGTTTCATCGGAGCGGGACAATTGTGGTCTTGGCTTCAAAAGTAAGTCTTTCACTGTAACATAACCTCAAAACGCACACATCTAACAACCCGCAGCATCGTCGGTGTATCTAACCAACTGAGCTGGATCTCAATCGGCATCACATCAATCCGCTTCCGCCAAGCCCTCGCCCTACAGGGCAAGACACACCTCCTACCCTTCAAGAACTGGACGTACCCCTACGGCCCGTGGATCTGCGTCATCCTCAACAGCTTCCTCGTTCTCGTGCAGGGATGGAGCTGCTTCAGTCCCAAATTCGACGGCGTCAGCTTTGTCAGCTTCTACGTCGAGCTGCCTGTCATGCTCATCATGTATGTGGCGTGGAAGCTCATCAAGAAGACCAAGATTGTCAAGCTGAGTGAGATGGATCTCGAGACTGATGTATATACGGTTGAGGAGAAGGTAGCGGAAGAGACAGGGTGGAAGGTGAAGGTCAAGAATGTTGTTACGTGGTTGTTCTGACGAATGGAAGTAATGACTGGCTATGCTATATATCATGATCTATCTTAATTAATCTGGTTTACTTTACGTTTTGTTGACATGCTGGCGTAGCCTTGTGTGGACATGCGATACGGTGCTACAGTTCCGTGCAAAAGTTCCGACAACGAGCTAACAAGACATAATTAAATTAAAATTAATTATATTAAGTATATTATAATCAGAAGATTTTATAAATAAATTCAAAATCAGATTATATAAAATTATTCAAATTAAGAAGAGCTTATTATAGTTTATATAGTGTTATATAAAGTCCAGAATAGAGGAAACTGTCGGAACTTTTGCACACCCACTGTAGTAATGAAGCACTTAAGCTACCAGAACAAGATGAGGCAAAGTGATCTTATTATTATTAGCAAAATAATCTAGGTGCTCAAAATGTTGAGAACTAGTCTCCAGAAGAAGTAAAAGGTTCAAACATCAAACATACTCATCAACACATTATTCCCCATCACCACCCTCAGCGTACTCCTCAGGCACTTCAGGCCAAGCATCGACACCATCCTGAATAACCATCATCATACCACCCACCATATGGTTGTTGATATGACAATGAAGCAACCACGGCCCAGCATCGGCAGCATGATATCGAACAACCACCCAACTAGGCTCCTTATCCGCCGGCGCCGAGAGGAACGCGTCGCGACGAGGCGGATTGACAAGATTGAACTGATCAGGGATCTCTTTGACAGCCTCTTCGACGGAGTTCCATCTAAACAGACCGGTTCCTGTACCGAGCATGTACATCTTAGAGCCGTGCTTGTGGATGGGGTGAGGCGGCTGGGGGAACAACGCCGCGACGAAGACAAGATCAACCCATTGGCCAAGTTTGGTCGAGATGGTGACGTTGTTGTTGATGTACGGCTGCGGGTTGAACAGCGTCGGCTTTCGGTCGTCGAGCTCCTTTGGCATGAGGCCGGTCTCGTTCAGTGCCCAGAGATACGAAGCTCCCTTGATGGCCATGCTCAGATTAAAAGTGACATCCGCAGTAGGCGATATCGCCACAGGCGGGTAGGGAAATGCAACCATCTGGTTGAAGAAGATAACTTCCTTCGACACAGGAAGTCCAACGAGGTTGATCCAAGGTTCAGCCTCTTGAGCATACCCATAGCCCTCCACGGAGAGAATCGCATGGCCTGTGATGATCTGCGGCGCACTATTCGAATTGTAGCGAATCTTAAAATCGCCTGACTTCTCGATCTTGACAACGATGGAGTATCTATCTCCATTGGCGAGGTTGATGGCCTGGACTTTCTGAGGCGTGATGTAAGCTCCGTCCATGGCATACACCCACAGATCGTGCCCGTCGATGGAGAAAGCTCCATTGACGAAGTTGACGGCGGCTACGACATCGAAAGCGACCCATGTAGAAGTAGCATAGCCCTCGTTGCAGACTTTGATGACCTCGAGCTGTCCTTCTGTGGGCGTGCAGCCGGAGAAGGTTCCTGGGAGAAGAGCATCCTCATTTCCTAGTCCGCCGGCGAGAGCATTGAGAATAGAAGCAGGGAGACATCTGCAAAGAATTAGTTATACTCCTATTGACGATTCTGTTGTGTTTGGATTGCTTACCCCTTGTCTGAGAACCCAGAACTCCCAGGCACAAGTGACAGGTAACTCTTCTGAATCTCATTCAAATTGGCATCGATAACATCCTGGGGCAGACACTCTACTCTCCCCTTGCCGTTGATGAGGATAGAATCATAGCACGAATCTTCAATCCCAGCCGCCACCGTCATATCCCACTTGTCATTCGAGGTAAGATGCACGAAGTCAGAAACCACAATAGGCTTGACGTGTTTCACAGCTTTTGTAATTGCGTGCAAAGTCTCCTCATCGTCGGCGATCAAGTGGAAAGGATTCGGCTCGTATGGTCGAGGGTGGATGATGATGGCTCCGTATAATCCGTCTTCTATCTGGCCGCGGAAGTGAGAGTGGTACCAGAAGCTGCCGTATTGTGTGGCGGTGAACTTGTAAGTGAAGCTGCATCCTGGTTTGATAGGATGTTGCGTCACCCCGGGGACACCATCAGACCAAGGCGTGCCTTTCATTTCGAGGCCTGTTTTGTTAGTCTAGTACAAGATATATCCAGGATGGAAATGCTCACCGTGATAGTGAACGGTGATGTCCTCGGGCGACTGATTATGCACCTTAACTACAACCTTATCGTCCTGATCGATCTCAAGCACAGGACCAGGCGACTGGCCGTTCACGAGCAGCATCTTCCGCGAGAAGCCATCTGGGGCGTAGTTATCCCATGTTATGGTCAGGTCAAAATGCTTTGTCGTATTCCAGTAAGTTGCCGATACGGAAGAAATAAGAGAGTGAAGTAGTAAAGGGAGGAAGACAGCAGAGGAGAGTGAGAAGTGCATCTTGATTATCGACAAGGCAGTACCTTGTGTGAATATCTCTCAATGAGCAAGTACCATGTCATCCAGCGGCATCAACGACAGACCTATATACTTCCTTCGGAGACTATCATCACACAGAGTATCCTCATCTCGCCGAGATTTCTTTCTAAGAAATCTAACTAATGCCAACATCTTACATGACAGCATTCTGCACCGCGAATCAGCATGGCCAAAGTCCGTAATTTCACCTAGCAGCCCAATGACCGCCTGTAACACAACCGCATCTATCCCAAGATGACCAAGATTGGTGTATCTCTCCAAGGCGGTCGGATTTCAGCTTCTGACTAAATTTGGGGTCGGTATAGGACGCAAGCCTGCTGTTGTGAACAGGGTCAGCACTAGATGCAAGATTAGGGCTGAGCGCAGCAAGCTGGCGGACAGTAATTGGATCGTGTACGCCTAGGGCTGTTCTTGGTGTTGTCTGATGTAAGCTGTTGCTGTGTTGTTTATTAAAGTACGAGATGTTGGTCAACGTGGGACAGAGTTGGTGTTTGTTGAACACTACTTGATATTTTCTAAGAGAAGTGGAAAATCTACCTCAATGTCGATGCTTGAAACTTTTTGAATTACGGTTACACTACCTGTACCATTTCCTGAAATTCTTCTTTAATATTTCAAGCTTGTCTACCAAGTTAGGCAGTTCCCTGATGTCTTAAGGCTGACATGTTGTTGAGGCCTAGGCTTGGCCTGTTAGCTTGGCCGTCAGCATTTCCAGATGACTGTCAGACCTACAGCTCGACTCCGCAGGATCTTTTGAAATATCTGCTGCTGTCTTTTTAAACGATTGGCCAAGACTTCCATGCGGTCGAGCAGATGAGATGAATAAGGGATGTGGCCCCCAACTATGAGATTTTACCTTGCTTTTGGGGGTTGCTATTGTTACTGTATTGGTGGGAAATTTAGTTCATCAAGGTACTGTATGATGGCTATAGTCCTTGGCAAACGGAAGATGGCAAGTTGGTTGGGATGGAATTCCGTACACCGCTTGTGGTACATGAGTTTGATGAGGAGAGGTTGTAGACGATGAATAAGGGACCATATGGTTAGCAAAGTTTAGAGTAATCAGAGTAGGACAGTGGACTATGGACAATATTATGATGATAGAACTTCATACATATTCCCCAAGGTACGCAATATCAACCCGTGGAAGATGCACTGCCTTACACGTCAATCTCAAGAAACCTCTTTACTAGCTGTGGCTGACCAGGCACCTTGTCGTTAGCTTCGAAGAATCGCACTATTTCGGGCAACACGTCTTAATCTAGTCAGGAATTCCGTAAGACTTGTGTCAGATATTTCCGAGTTCAGCATACTATTGTAGGGAAGCTTTATCTACTAGTTAGATATGTGGGAATGTCATGATAACTTCGACCGTGGCGCAACCCTCGAGACTCCCAACTGAAACCGTTAGCATGGAGAACAGCAGGGTGGAAGTGTTAAATGGCATGCAGAATTGAAGCAACCTTTATCGTCCCAGCTCGAGCTACATGATTTGGTGCTGGTAGACTCAAGTTTTCAGGCATAGTTTCGAGATAGCCCAGGATAGAGTCATTGTGAAGCACAAGAAACATGCTTCTCGATGCACGTGGCTTTGCTAGACTCTTTCCAATGATGGTATTAAAGTTCCTGAAAGTTGTTACCGCAAAGACGATTGTGAGCCGATACCAGGGCTTACTCGGGTCTTTCTGCTTTCCATAGCGAATGGCTTATTCTCAGAAGATAGTCGTGCTAGGGATAAGAGACTTGCCACGTGAAATTCATACTACTCTCCATTCTCAGGCTGATTCACCGGTGGGATTTCTGTGCGAACCCATCTGAAACACGTCTTGTGATCTAGTACAGTGTAACCCTCGTTGAGGACGGAAGGCAATGCTACCTTTACCTTTCTTATTTGGATCTAGGTTTATTTCCATCCTTGCCGTATCAAGCGTCGGTTACTAATATAGATGTAGAAAATAGAGATCTCTAAGTAATCGATGTGCTAGTATGAGACTTGGAGGAATTGAAATGACTGCCCTATTCGATTTGGCTATCATTTGGGCTATTGATGACTACGTATCACGTCAATCTAAGCTTGAAGGATGAAGCTACAGGCGTGTAAAAGTTCCGACAATTTCCTCTATTCTAAGTTTTATATAAAAGTATCTAAACTATAATAAGCTCTTTTGAATTTATATAATCTTATCTAATCTTAAGATAAGATTGTATAATAAGTCTTCTAATAACAATATATTTTAGATATCTATTTAATTATTTATCTCTTGGTGGCTCATTGTCGGGACTTTTGCACGGAACTGTGTCTTGTAAAGATACATAGCCATGTACCTGCCATTGAGATCAGTCTTGGAGCAGGTAAGGAATCACTCAAAAGCAAGGAGATAAAGCCTTGGTCCACTGTGCATTGGCATTGTAACATCCCCGGATTGATTTACAGTCCGTCTTATGCCCGATAGTCCCACAGTCGTAGCTGTTCTGCTTCTGCTTCTGCTTCTCCATCTCATTTTCCTAATCTGGAAGATCAGCTACGTAGCAATGAATTTATAGTGGGCCACAACCTTAATTCCATGCAATTAAAACAACACCCAACTGCTCAGTCAACCACATTCTCCATAGTTCTCTAACGAAACAAGACTCGCTTGAAGCCAAATCAATATTGGCTTCCCTCAGATCATCACCGTGTGAGTCATTGTGGAACAATCCGTGCATATCAGGGGGTACTTGCACATTAGCAGTCGGACAGATTACGGACTTTGTTACAGGTCCGGGTTGTAATGTCGCTGTAGGAACGCCATACTGTGAGGGGTTCACGCTGAAGAGGGGGAATGCAGAGCATCACCGTGAATTCAGCTGCGGCTGTAAGCAGCAGTGAGATAAGAGCAGTAACTATATAAGAACAACATATCCGTAGTTATCCTATTCTCAATACAGTTCATCAATCTCTATCAATCCCTCATCACTTCCACACCCTCAATCCATTCATCACCATCATATCACAATGGGTCTCAGCCACTTCGCACTTCCCGTCGGCGACTTCTACGAGGAGATGCGCGACTTCTACAAAGCCGTGCTCGCTTCTCTAGGCTACGAATTCAAGTTCGAAGCCCAGGGTCCCACGGGTGCTTACTACTGCGCCTTTGGCCAGGAGAACAAAGGGCCCGACTTCTGGCTCGGCGGCAGTGGACCTTCGCTGAAGAAATACGACGGCAAGATGGAGAACCGAACTGCTCCTGTGCATTTCGCCTTTGATGCCGATAGCCAGAAGCAAGTTGACGAGTGGCACGAGGCTGCTATGTAAGTCTTTCCGTTTATATGATGAGGTTCGTGTGCTGATTTGTGCTGTAGCAAGGCTGGGGCGGTTGATAATGGAAAGCCAGGGCTGAGGGAGTATAGACCTGGGTATTATGCGGCGTTTGTTCTTGATCCCGTTGGTAACAATGTGGAAGTTCTTCATTTGTCTTGAGCCATGGACAATGAGATAATGGGCGTTGGCGGGCGTGGATTAAAGGGTTGAATAAGAGAAAAGCATCGAAAACACCTATTCGATAAGACTGTCTTCTAAGTGGTTCAATTTGAGTAGATTTTACTATGTTAGATGCTTCATTCTCAAGAGTCAAATCTCTGAATTTGTGGATTTGCGTGCATGTCAGGAATCCCATCTCTGATCAACCACCAACCAATAACTTCCGGCGGATAATTCGCGACATGCTCTTGATCCGAATCCTCTTCGAGTCCCTCCTCAATATCACTCTTCACCTCTCCCCACGTCATCATAGGCGGCGTAACAACACGAGTCTGCCCGTTGATGTTGATCGGAAAGCGACTCAGCATGTGAGCAAGATCGCGTCCTCTGTTCCGCGTCGTCTCCCAAGGAATCTTGACCATCTCTGGCAATAGCACAAGCAACGCCTCATAATTCTCTGCCTTGTACGGTTCGCGCCCCCAGACCATTCCGCCTTTGTGTCGTAGCTCGGGTAGGATGAAGTTCAACGTTCGCATACCCGGCATGTAAGTATACAACGACTCTATTGCGGCTCTCCAGTACTCGCCCACGGTCTTATCAGGTGACGGCCGGGGGACATCTCGAAAGAAAGCGCGCCATTCGATGCCGACATTAAGGACACGGTCCCAGCCATAGACTGTAAAGTTAGGCTGGCCTGACTTAGCCTGGAACGTGGTGCGTTGATTGCGGTCGAAGTAAAGGATATCTGATTCTGGTCTGAACCAGATACCCGGATCATCCCCATTAGACGAAAGGAAGAAGCCTTCACGCTCTGCAAGCGCGCGAGATTCACGACATATGCCGAGAGCGATGGGAGGTGGATGCCGGAGATGAAAGCAAAAATACATGCGACTGTTCGTTGCGTCAAGACTGAAGTTTTGTTTAGAGAGTTGTTTGACGTGGAATACGCGGCGATGAGGAAGAGTGAAGCCCCAGATGAGATCGCGCAGCTCAAGCGGTAGGCTGTTGAATTCGAGACGATGCGCTGCTGATTCTCTGTGTGATGCCATTTTGATGTATCTTGCAATTGAATTGTGAGTATCAATGTCTTTTGACGTGCGTGGGGAGCTGCTGCGATACGAATATTATATAAGCTCCATCGCTAGGCACGGATTTGTTGATTGTGTCTGCCTTGGCCAGCTGAACGAGCCTCGTAATCACCACCGTCACTAACGAATAGGCATCAGTAATAGAACAGAGTCGCAAATCACTTCAATTATAAGCCTATTAAATTATTTTCATCCTTGGTATCAATCCACAACGCCGTACTTAAACACGCCCTACGTCTGGGCTTCGTAAATGTACAAAGTGCTGTTATGTTGGTCTGGCAGTAGATAAAGCCTCAGCCTCCCATCTTTGACGCTAACATCCATCGGATTCTGCGTCAATCTCACCCCCAGTGCACTCTCCAACTCAATTGGTACTTCCACTAGGGGAGCCATGGTTTGCACATCCACGAGCGCGATTCCGCCAAGATTGTAGCCGCCAATTGTCGCGACGCCTGAGCAGAGCATCACACTCTTTCCGCTGTAGAATCCACTGTGGCCAAGCCATTTACAGTCTTGGTAGTCGATGAAATGACTTGGATTTCGCACGACCTTCTCTGGTTTGGGCGCTGCATCGCATCCTGTCTTGACGCTCCTGAGATCCCACGTTGAAGCCTCTCTGCTCCCCCAATTAAGTACTGTAATTAGATTATCGCGAGCATCGTGTACAATGCCGCCGAGGTGATCGTTGTAATTTAGAACACGCTCCGGCACCAAAGTTTCTGGGTCCGTTCGATATACGTATGCAGTGCTGTTTGGACGATACTGCGCGATGGTCCCCCAGATATACTGACCATCATAGTCAATTCCTCCATTGTGATACTCGTTCTCACCCTCTCTTGTGATAGTCGCATCAGCGAGTAGCTTCCCTTTACCATCATACACCATCAGATGAGCCAGACCTGCTCCAGCCGTCCTGTCCGTCCCATTGATGATCTTGCCATACTTCTCCGTCGGCTCAGTCCAATGGCCCGAACTGACGACATAGCGATCGTCGCCTAAGCGCACTATACCCTCTGGCTCAAACGTGTCGCCTTTAAAGGTGACATTGGCGATACTCTTCCACACAGTAGACCGACTTAGTTTCTGGAAAGCGTGGATGATTTCAGGGCCATCTGAAGCTGCGTGGGGTAACGGCAGTGGAGCAGAAGTCAGCGGGCCATCAGTATAAAAGGTGATATTCCGCGCCATAGCCAAAGCTGGACAAACGGCAATTGAACTTGTAAGTTTCATGTCTGTTGCTCCAAGGTTGAGAAGAAAATGTATTTGGGGAGCGATCATAAAGAAGGTCAAGAAAAAAAGGAGTGGTAAAGCAAGTTTAAATGACAAGCTGGAACACCACGGCGTTGCCTTGAGCGCGACGCTACGCCGGCTATCAACATCCGGGTCATCATCATTATGCATGCTCGATGCCAGAAACCAGTAAATGAATGTAAGTGAGAGTCGCAGCTGCAGCTGTTGTTGTTGGTGTAAGAGGGAGATGGGAAGCTTCTTAAATTAGACCAAACCCCGATAGTTCGGCGCTATCACGTGGGGCCGCCGATCCTCCGCCGGCAGTTGGAGGTTTCCCGACGATCCCGGGCTTAGTGAGGGTCCACATCGGGGGTCTTTGAGACCGGACAAGGACAACCCGGGATCTTGTACCGTCGGAGTACGCAGGACTAGAAAGGACTAATACGCGACTGTGGTATCATAAAAAATTTGTATACTAGCATGGAAACACACTTTGAGATATGAAATACCTTACGCATACCAATCATCTCATGTAGATGCATTTCCATCCCTTTCAGCCAGCGGAAGCTGAAGCTCAACCAACCATGGATACTTTGCAGGATCCTCTTCAACCCCCTGGACAGCCGCATTAACAAACAAGGTATGAAAACCGCGCACAGCAGGAAACTCATCACCTTCACAATGCCGCGTACGAACGACTCTTTCCCTCTCATACTCCCTCTTTCTCTCTTCCTTCTCCTCAATCGTCGCCACTGAATCAAACCTCGATTGTCCAAGTCTATCCAACGAGTCTATGACATAAGAGCACTGGTTCTCGATGGCGGTAAAATGCGACGGAAAGTCAGGCGTCGCGCGTCGCCATTGCACCAGCTTTGCGCCCCAGGCTTCATGGACGTGGCCGAAGCAGTGCATCAGGGGTTTGCGGCGGGCGATTTCCTGGAAGAGACCTGGACAGCCAAGACGCTCGTTGGAGAATGACATGTCGAGGATGCCTTGTGGGGGTCCATGGGTGATGACGATGTCAGCTAGGGGATCAATGTCCCAGTAATCGTTGAGGTAGGGGTGATATTGAAAAGCCGAATCGTTTGTAGATGGTGTATAAGGACTCGCGAATACTGTCAAATGTGCGCCATTCGCCAGATCAAAATGATGAACACCCTCGTCCAGAAAAACAATACCATCATCCGCAGCATCATCAAGTAATCTTCTCGCCTGTCCAAAAACTCCATATTCCTGGTCCACCAGAGTTTGTTCAAGCGGCCCAGCCTCAGCGATCTTCCTCTCGAAGACAGGCGTATCGAGGGTAAAATCATGGTTGCCCGCAATGACAAGCTTTAGCGAAGCATCCAGTTGTTTAAGAAAGCGAAGCGTTTCTTGAAATTCATCGAGTTTAGATTCTTGTGTGAGATCGCCGCAATGGATAGCTACGTCGGCGGGATCTAAGGGTGTCCTGAAGTCTTCGCTTCCGTGTGTGTCGGATATGACGAGGAATCGAGTTTTGACTGTTCTCTTGGCCATTGTTGGAGATGTTACAGTTATTGTCCCAAGAAAGAAATTATTGAGGTAGCGATGCAACATAGGATGGGATTATATAGTTTGTGATAAAGTCTGTGTTCTGCCAGGCTGTATGGATCTGGAGAGCCTACCATGTGATTCCCCCGAAGCTTGATCTAGGTTTTTGTCTAGATTTTAGAAATAACCTTAAACTTTTAACTCGAAACTGCAATATTTCAGGAACTCTGGCAAGATAATTTCCATTCTTACTTTCCCTCCACAGTTACTTGTCCCATAGCCTCTAGCGCCCTCCTCGCCGCTGCCCGAGTCTCCAAAGGAAGTTCTCCTATCTCAGCAATCTGACTCCACCTCTCTCTAAAGAAATCCCATAAGTCCTTGGGTGTATGATCCTCTTTGCGTCTGATGAGACATTGGCCACTGTGGGCATGCTTGCTGTGTACGTCCTCGCCCTCTGGGTCGCCTTGCATAAGACAGAACATCTCGCGAGCTGCACAAACAAATAACTGCGCTGCTGTCTCAACACAGCCTGAGTCAAGCGCGTCGTCTTTCTTCTGCAGATCCGTCATCGCGACTAAAGCGGCTCTATCAAGTGCTGCGCCCTGCATTGCGAGAGTCTCATCGCCTGTGGCAGCAAGGCGAGCGGTGTAGGCATTAGCACTGATGCAGTTCTCTCGACGCTTCATATGTTCTTCTAGCCCATGCTTTTCGAGTTTGTAGTTTGCAAAATAGTCTTGGATCTGATTAGCAGATGTTCACTACTGACATTGATGGGGGTAGTGGACAATTTTGTTTATCGGCCGCGTCTGAAGGCCACCAGCTAAGTTCTCGCCAGTAGCAACCATCGTCGAAGTCGAAATATTCTTGGTCCTTATCTTGCGGTAGCTCTGCTCGTGGTAAAGTCTGGATGTGCCGTAGGATAGAAATGATGGTGGGTTGTGCGGTTGGTATACCAACGGCAGTATCGTTGAGTAGTGTCCACAGTCCACAAAGTCTCTGCTGTAACTCAACAGAGGACGATGCAGTTGATGGGAATTTCTTCAGTATCTCCACGGTTTCTGCTATTCCTATATCACCCCCAATGCATGCTTTCAAGGTATTGATCTGCTCGTCTGTTATACGATAGGTCAAGAAAACACAGACTTGGTCGTCGTCGAAGAATTCCTGCGCCATCTTGGATCTATTTAATAAGTTAAGGGTTAGATATCACAATGAGGTTGACGAGAGTCGTTGAGAGGTTTGAAAACACCAAACGCTGAGTTTCAGAGAAGGTATCATGGGACCAAGACTGACGTCACTTAATGTAAGCAGTCACAAGGTCTTCAAATTCTCTCACTAGCATCGGTTTAATGTAGGATTTTGAGTGATTGATACGTCCTATTTCTGCATGGCTCTATACGGTTCGATGGAAGAGTAGCTTCATGTAGAGTTGTGTCTTGATTTCACCTTGAGATATCTTCTGGGTATAGCTACTACAGTCACAAACGAGACACAATTGGATCCACATACCACCAATAAATACGATTATTACATTATTTAGAAAAAAGCCATCCTAAATTTCTATGGTGCTCTAGTGTACACTGGGTTGATAGATCATAACGTCTCTAATCGCTTCCGAGTTACCTCAGGGTATTGTGTATTTCACGTACTGTCTCCGCTTAGAAAACATTCCTTAAAGTGATGCGTCTTTATCTGGTACAAACCCACGTATTTTCAATTATGTTACACCTACAATGTTTTCCTATTGTCTTTCCGGATAGTAGCAATGGAATATGCCAAACGGAGGAACACCAGGAGGGTCATGGATACGAAGAGGCTATTTTTCGGTTCCCAATTTCGAGACCACCATCACATACCCAAAGAGCTCTTAATCAAGCCTCATGGATCATCAAATGGAATTTCAAGTATAGGTCAGCTATACTAGAAAGCAGAAAATTGATGTTTCTGAGCGTATGGATATAGGCCGCCAATTGTGCCAAGAGATAGGTTACGATGTGACTACTAATGGACAAATAGCGTTAGGCTGAAGATCATGCCATTCATATCAGACATCTAGAAACTTTGTTTACATTGATCTGAAACGACAAAAAAGATTTCTATATTTAGTACGTTTCTCAGATCGCAAGGAGATAACAACCTCCTAACACCTCACCATCAGACAGATTACAAGCAACTCCGCAAAAGCGCAATAAACGAACAGGTTCGAACAGAGTAGAACGGGGGCCGGACATCCACGTCACATATGCATGTTATCACGTCCAAGGGTCCTCCCACCATCTTTGGTGCATCTCACCAATTACACGTGCATCTCTGTTACAACCAACATCGGTTGGCCAATTCTCGCAGCCCGCGAGGCTGATCTCAACGCAGCCAACTGTCTCGCATCTGCGTGTTGGCGCTCAATTGAGGCTTGTGACTATTACATGGGTCCGGCCCCCTGCTTGAAAATGGGAGAAAGATTGGGGGTGATAAGATGGGCTTTAATATTGAAGACTCGACGGATATATAAACCACTTCAATGTCGTCAATTGGCATTTCCTATTCGCATCAACACTGAATACTACTCTGGTGCCAGAGATAGAGAGAATCTTTAGCCGCCTCCCAGCTTTTCATGAGCGTTTCCAGTTCAACCCGACTACACTCCCTCACAATCTTCGCATATCCCCACCATGGACATAGATTTCAGTCAGATTGACATAGACGGGTTCTCTGTAGACGGTACGAGCCACTCTCCACTAAGCATGCCATAAACACTGACTCGCAACAAGATCTCAGGCGCCTAGTGGATATTTCGGAGTGGGAGACCCCAGACAGCTCAGGAAATCATTCTTCCCCCGGTTCTTACACCCAGGAAGTCCAGAACTACACTCATTATCCTTCACAAGAACCCAATTACATGGGATCTCCTGTTTCTACCAATTATGAGCTCAATGCCGGATACCCGCCCCAAGCTTATACCAACAACCCTTCAGCCATCACTCCCAGGCCTCAGCGTTAGTCTGGGAGTTATGCACGTAGTTCTGAGCTGGATCACCAATACGGTGAACTGGTCGACCTACAAGCGGGACTGTCGATGGATAGTAGCGGTTCGGAAGGCGATGGGATTAATGGGGGGGCTACTGGTAGGTCACGCACCCTTCTTAAACATCCAGAGATATGCGTACTAACAAGATCTAGCTGAGGGATACGTACAATGCTGCGGCAAATCATGGAAGCTAGGATCAAAATACACGTAAGTACCATCCCAACCTTGAAACCCTCTTCTAACTCAGAACAGAAAACACTACAACCGCTGCCACAACCGCCGATTCAAATGTGCATTCTACGAAGACTGCCAGTACGGTGCAGGAGAGGTCAAGGACTTACACAGACACTACTGGGTGTACCACGAGGCATATGCGAAGGAAAACAACATCCCCAGCCCGCGAGCAGAGTGTCCAGCTTGTGGACAGCCTTTCGGTCGGAAAGACCGCGTCCGTCGGCATCTTTCACGGTTTCCTTCATGCCGTAAGAAGCTGGCGCTTAACGAAAAGTCCTAGGCCTTTGCGCCATGAAGGAAACCGTGAAAGATGCCGAGGAATGTGGTTTGTTTGACTTTACTGTTGATTTCATTGTTTGGGCTAGTTGAGGTCTGTTTCAATTGCTTTTATTGCTTTAGTTTCCGTATACCATGCCGCAGTGTCTCTTAGTTCAATACAGTCTGTCTTTTGTTACATGATTCCAACCTAATCAACTCTACCATTCTAATACAGCCGTCTCCTCCTTAAGTTTAGACATTTCCAAATAGCTTCTCCGATCAACAGTCTACCAGATAATATTCTCCCACTTCTGCTCCTTCTTAATCTCCTCCTTCTCGGTCTCCTTTGGTACAGCTCGCTTCACAGGCTTAGGCAGATCTTTCAGGTACTCCACCAGCAACTTGGGATGAAGGGCCACACCTTCGAGATTCTTCTCCAACTCCTCCTGCGGCGAGCTCTCGATAATTTCTCGAATCTTTGTAGAGCTTGGTGCATTGGTAGGTCGTCGCTCCAGATTGCAAGGAAGGAATCTGACAGTGCCCTTCTTTTTAGCTCGCTGTTGACGACAAACATAGACAGCATTCAGCTTGTTAAAGATTTTGGCCAACTCAGCTTGCACAACTTGTTCAAGATTAGCGTCTTCCGCTTCGTGGTCTTGAAAAGGGATCTTACCTGATGCTTGTTGGCCACTGAGATTGGCTCGAATCTGCTGCTCGATTCGAATTCGATCGTAGTTCAACTTTGTCCAAGGTGAGCAGCCAGCAAGTTGCCTGAGAGTGTTTGGATAGCGAAAGTCGACGGGTCGTGAGATATCACTGGTGATTGCGTCGCGACAGTCCCAGCACTCGGAGTTGTAGCCGCCGTCGCCGGTGATGGCATCTGGGCCGCAGAGCATGGTAAACTCGAGTTGAATGCGGTCCTTTCTCAAGTCTTTGACGAGGTTGTTGCGGAAGCTAGCCCAGCTAACTTCGGTGTTGTCGTAAACCCATGCCCAATCCACAGGGATTCCATTGCCACGCCAAAGAGCTGCTCGCTTCTCGCGAGGGAGGATGATGGGGTTGTCCTTGTTTTCCATCTTCATCTCAAGGCGATCATCATCAGTCACAATGATGATAGCTGCAATGATGTTCAGGTCTTCTCCTGCGTTCTCGAAGACATGCTTGAGTAGGTTCAGATGTCCTTGATGAGGTGGGTTGAACGATCCCGGAAACAAAAGGATGCGGTTCACACCACGAGGTCGAAGAAGAGGTGGATTCTTTGCAGCCGCATTGTTGAATGGTCGATCAGATGGCTTGGAAGCCTTCAGATGGGTAGGCTGAAGCCGTTCGATGTAGTTTGCGAGGCGCTTAGAAGACATGACTGTTTTGTGAGACTTGCTTTGCGGTTGTGGAGGACAGATGGCTGTAAGAAGGAGGCGGACATTATATAAGAGGTGCACGGGGGCTACTGGTGAGTTGATCAAATGAACGGGTGAACATGAACAGACTCGTAGAGGCAGCTCATGTCGCCGGCCGTAAGGGACAGTGGCCGTTGGGATAAGAACAGATGTCAGTGGTGGATGCTGTTCTTCATACTGGCGAGTGGTGAATCACACACAAATCACACAACGAATATTCCTTTACAGCTACCACTAATACAACCTCGGTTGGCTACTCTATGGAATTGGCGTATATAACACTGAAATAAAGTAGGATGGACTTTGTAAGGTACTAAGGTTAGACAAGTGGTGAGCAGCAGATAAGTCGGTACCGGGATAAAACACAAGTCTTCGTCCAGCTTTGACGTTATTGAACCAAGACTCCCGTAGGTTCAACATCTCAACGAGCGTACTTATTTGGTGACCGCTCACTTTGATACCGCGAGGTGAGTCTTAACCACGTTGTTTTGGATGAACAACTCGGGCGGCTGTCGCCTCTGAATAACTCTACACAGGGTATTGATAAGAAGTATTCGTGGTATACGGTATTTTATATATATGTTCATTTCTCTTCACATAGAATCATAACACGAGACTTGGAGAATTTTACAAGGACGCGGGTATTGTTAGATTCGAGAAGTCCCACGAGTTATGTACTTGACTTGCTCTAGGGTAGGCCCGATTTCCAGATCGCAGCACCTCTATGAGACATGAACAGGGGAGCACCTTGAGTTCTAAATATAGGTACATCATGATAATGCACAATATCTGGTGTTCAAGCAATAAACAGAACCAAGTGTTCTAATACACCAAGTTCACTTTCCATACACACGGGCTTAGTTAACTTGAGCTGTCTTAACTCCCATGTAAGCCATGGTGTTTTTCGGTGTATCAGTTTCTATGACAAGCCCTTTGTCGATCATAACAAACGGTCGCGGAACCCTGTCGATATCTGAATCAAGCACGGAGATGGTTCGTCAATCAGAGGGGAAAGCCGCAGGCACAGCTGCATGGATCGACACCACACAAACCACCACATACTTTTTTTCAATACTGTACTGTATGCGCACAACATGACAGACAAATACGATGAGAACCGGATAGATGCAGAAAAACTGAGATTTCTGCCCAAAAGCGTTAAATCTTGCATCATAGAAAAAAGAATACTATGTAGATACTGCATGTACTCTGCACGTACATGCAGCTTTAGGACATCTGTCTGTTATGCAGAAGTACGGTCAGCCATGCTGGGGAGACTTGAAGTCAAAGGCGGTGAAATAAACAGCAAAAAAGAAAAGAAAACACAGCAACGATTACGACACAGAGAAAAGGTTTGTCCCGCTCAATTTCACTGTGCCATAAATGGAAACAGGCCAGGGTGGTTGGATGCCGACATGTCCAGCTCTCAACGCAAAAAAAGAATATGTATCTATGGGGTAACGTCACTTCAAGTCATTGGCAAAAGGGAATGACATGGGGGGAGAACAAAGGCTTGCTGCTAGTATCGATCTGCCACCGACGGCAATCTCACGCGCGAGCGGGAAGCAGGTCTTGAAGTATGATTGTTCGTGCTTCAAGTTGTAATTTTTTTTATACCCGTGCACGTTCGCACACCACAAATAATTAACGAACTGACAGGATGAGACCCCGTCTCGGGAACGTAGAGGAGACGACAACGAAAGATGGCAGGTGGGTCGCAATAAAACCCGCACACCAGGCCGAGTTGACAGAAAGGTTTAGTTGAGATTCTCTATAAGTTTGACGAGTTTATTTTGTCTTTGTACCTAACTTTATATGGTAAAGAGCTTCAGCGTGCCGGTTATTTTGCTACCCACCTGGATGGGAACGTGTGTGGAACACATGACCCCTGCTTTGCTGGAGGGTGTTTTTGGCTCTGCTCCCATTCGTCAAGTAGAGGAGCAAGCAGCCACGGCAGACAAGGCTGGGGGGGCCTAGTTTTTAGCCCGAAAGCTTTTTGTTGGAGATTTTGGCTGTCGCTGGCGTCATGGGCATGATGGAGCGCATGAGGGAGAGGAAGGGAAGATGAGGCGGTCGTTTGTGTGGTAGGGGGGTTTTGATGGTAGATTTCTTTGTGATGGAAGCTGTTGCGCGATGAGAGACCATCTTTCGGGCCATGAAAATAACGACACCGTAGCTGAGCTTGTCACAACCTTGAGAGCTTCCCGATCACAGCCTCAGCTTCGACCAGCTCCCGAGTCAAGTCAGCTGTTGTTGGTTCAACGGCCATCCATGTCTACCGCTACCGCTACCACAACCGCTACCGCTGCCGGTTCCTCGACTGTACATGGCCGTTTAACGAACAGCGAGCTTCCGTCTTCCGCGGGAGCCATCGTGCCGTTCCTTTCCCAGATACGCAGTAACTAGCAGCTTCCAACAGCAACAGGGTCTTTGCTTTGCTCATCGTTTGTGTGTGCAGTGCCAGTGCAGTTGTGACTTGTAACTTGTCCTGCTTGTGCGTGTCACTCGCTCATCCATGTCTCACTACCCTGGCACTTAGCGCGCCCACCGCTTCCCTTTTCCTTCTCCCCCTCCCAGGTCCCTAGCAGTCACTAGCTCCCCTGGCAGTTTTTCGGTTTCCCCCATGTCCATCGATCCCTGTCCCATCTTTCGGTCGCGAGCCCATGCCATGATGAGCTAGACCGCACGGTATCTGGTACAGTATCCGTGATCGTTCTTTTTTTGTGTGTACTGTACTGTAGAGAAGGGCACAGCAGAGTGTAACAGGAAACCTGATCTATTGGGTGATTGTTTTTTGCTTCTTGAACACGCCTCTATCCTGCTTTGTTTTGCTTTGGCCAACGCATGTTAGCTGCATCAAGGATCGTGTTATGATCGAGAGAGAGAGAGAGAGAGAGAGAGAGAGGGGAAAAGTATGTTTGCCGTGGCGTGAAGCGGTATTTGTCTCTTTCGCAAAAACCACATCGATTTTTGAGATTTCCATTTTCGATTTTTCCTCCATCGGTATCACGTTGTCTACAGTCTCTGGCACGTGTCGCCTATGAACGTGTGTGTGAGAGTGCGATTGTGTGAGTGTGTGTCCCTTGCGTTTGCCTTAGCATCATCTGTTTACTGTACCGCTGCGCATAATCACCGACGTTTCATTTTGCTTTAACTCTGAATCTCTGAATTTTGCGCGCAAGCATCACGATATCACGCAGTGCATACATTTCTTATCGGCGCAGATAAAAGAAAGCTCAGAATCTCCTCCCGGGTGTTGCGCATTTGCTCCCGCGCGCGTTAGTTATCGTTCGCAGACCGACTCGAACTTGGACTCGACTCGACTCGGCTTGAACAAGCTCCATCACATCGCAGCCCAGCCTTGAATCAGGTCAAATCACTTAGAGTGGACTCTCCACTGACTGGCATTTTTTTCCTTTGGAGATTTTCTGGGGTGGACACAGGATTGGGTGAGGTGGACACCTAGTTTGCACTAAGGCGCTGGAACCTGAAGCCGAAAGGGAAAGGGCTAGAAAATTGGCGCTATGGATCCACGGCATCCGTCCAAGCTTCCCTTTTCGCCGTCGCCATACGCTGCTTCTGCTTCTGCTTCTGCTTTCGCTGTTTCTCCTTTCCCTCTAGGAACAAGACCAGCTTCCGTGTCTCCAACAGCATCATCATCAACCACTAACGGCCTCATCACCACCTTCTCTGCTGGAACCGCCCCGGCCAGCGCAGCCACTGTATCCTTATTTTCAAACGGCGCCTCACCTCCCAACTCTTATGGCATCGCGCGCCCCGAGTCGCATTCTCATCTTCACGTCCAAAATCATAATTTGAGTCCCGATCAAAACCTTGCGCATGCCGCCCACAACCTGGCCCGACGACGACCCTCCGGCACGATTTTTCACCCTCAAACGGCCGGCCAGTTAAGGCACGATCCAAATCACGCCCGTTCCCAAAGCTCCTCGGCTATTCCTCCTCTTCAAAACCTCAATCGCGAAATGCCACCTCCGACGTCGCCTCCCCAACCGGGGGCGAAACCGCCACAACAACCTCAACAGGCGCATAACATGATGGGCTATGGACCACCGCCGCCGCGACCACCACCTCTAGCTGGCGGACCGCCCATGTCTTTCGCATCTGGTCGCGAGCTTCCAGCGCTGAACTCACTGGCGAGATCTGGCAGTAGTAACAGCTCCATGTCGATATCATCAATGTTGGGTGGCCCGCCTCCAGCACTTCGCGAATCGCAACCTCCGCCATCGCATTTTACTCCCCACTCTGGCGCGCCTGGACCGAATCCTGGTTTCGCGACCGCGATGCATGCCTCACCGCGAATGCAATCAGCAGCTTCAGATTATCCTCCGTTCCGCCGACCCCAGACTCCCGATCATCAGCGACCATACGAACCCAGGAATTCACCGCCTGGTCACTACTCCACACCCGAGGTTCCGCGTTATAGCACACCGTCCACATACTCAAGACATCCTTCAGGATCTGCGGATCATGCTAGAGAACCTGGCAGGCTACCTGGGCCTCCACCCAGGCCAAGCAGCCAGCCCAAGGCGTATCCGGGCATGCCTCGGCAAATGGAGATGGGGCGACCACCTGGGCCAGAGGAGGCTTATGGGCGACGAGATGAGATGGGTCGGCCTCCGCCTGGCATGGAGTACAATCCTGAGAGAGTTGGACTTCGACCTAACCCTTATGAAGATCGGTACAGAGCAGAACGCGAACGAATGGGCGAGGTAGAGCAACGCGAACGAGAAAGAAGAGAACGCGCTTATTCCGGTAGCGACTCGGGAAGGCATTCGATACATCCAGCTGAGTATGGGCATCGCGAGCCACCTCGGAATCCTTTACCGTACGGCCGACCGATGGACCGCGACCCTCGTGATCAGGGTAGAGACCCTCGAGATATGCGCGAACGAGATCCACGAGATGGGCAATGGGGTCGTCCAGGCCCGGATCCTAGCTATCGAGCCCCCATGGAACATCAACGACCACACCCCGATTATCCTCCTTCTGCCGCGTCTTATCCTCCTCATGGCATCGCTTACCAGGGCCCACCCGATCGATACACGCCAGTCTCGCATCCACCGCCAACTCAGAACCTGCCCCCTGGGCCCGCACCTTATGACTCCCCCGATCGAGCCCGAATGAATTTGCTGCATGCACAGCAACAACCACACCGAAGACCAGAAGAAGGACCCCCGCCTCCAACAATAGCCTACAACGGAGGCCATGGTCCTGGTCAATTCGAATCTCCCCGGCACCGTAATAGCGACGACGCGTCAGCCCCGAATGGTCAGCGTAACTTGTTGGCGATCCAGGAGATGAATCGTAAGGGGAGAATATCACCGCTTCCTCAGGCTGTACAAGGTGCGCAATTGCAGCAACCTGGTCCAACAGGCGAGCCAGGAATCAAGAGCGAATTTGGCCGCATGTTTGCGGGTATCGGCAATGGAGTTATGGGAGTGTCAAGTCCCATCACGTCCGCTGCTATGCCTTTTACAAATGCAAGCCTGGCCAAGCGCGAAGACCCTGAGAATGTGACACCAGATTCAGGCCCCGAGGCAGGAGGCAAGGGCACAAAAGGCAGGAGAAGAAAACTCAAGGACGATGATGGAAAGGGCGATGATGATAGCTCAGGCCGAGTTACCCCGGCTGGAAGGACTAAGCGTCCCAAAACTCACCAACATCATCATCACCACCAGTATGTTGATATGTCGCTTTCTCAAGAGTTTGCTGACCGTCATAGTCACCCACATCATCATCATCATCATCCAGCCGACGCTGCCCCACTGAGTGGTGTTACTCCATTCAAGAACTTCAAGACAGGTGCACCTGCGAACGAAAAGGGACTTCCTGTTCCCCATCATCACCACCCTCCTCGACCAATGCACCCACATCAGCATCAGCCGGCGAAACAGCCGGTAGCGAACGCCGCCCCTATCATTCCCCCGAAATTAAAAACAATTGTGAAAACAAGAGCTGTATTGGAGTCTGTATCAGATCTGCCAAGACACCATCTTGGAGATTTCATTTACGAACCGGGGCTGAAACCAGCCAGACTTGTCCCAAGTCATTCTTCCCACCGGGCCTTTACTTCAAACCCGAAGCCGTTGCCTTGGGAGCTGATTAAGAACAAGGAGAACTGTACTTTGACAGTCAAGGTTGCTCGGATCCATCTCTCGCCAACCTCAAGAGAAGAAATTACCTCCAGAGCCTTTCTCTGGGGTACTGATATTTACACAGACGACTCCGATGTGGTTGCTGCGTGCATTCATAGTGGTTGGATCAAGGGAGAGTGGGCCGAGGATGTCGATAACTCGACTTTGGATATCGATCAGGGAACAACTGATAAGCGACGTAAGAAGCCTGCGAACTCGTCTGTCGATCTGGACTCGGAAGGTCTCATCGCCACACCCCCCACGAGTGGACCCATGCCGATCCCTCTCCAACGCGATCTACATGTCAACATTTTGATTCTTCCTCGCCTAGTCAAATATTACGCTTCCACGCGACACGGGATTACGAGCCGAGAGTTTGGTGGAGAGTATGGCCATCGTCACGCAGTCCATGACGGGATCAGCTACATGATCAAGAGTGTGAGATGGGTGGAGAATGGAGCACAGCCACAGGCACGACTTCGAGGCAAAGCTCGACGTGAGCGTATGCGTAAAGCCATGTGGGAAGTCAAGAGAAGTGTGGATAACACCAATGGCCATGAACCAGAGCAGGAGAAGGAACGCATTGGGCGACTACGAGGGGAGATATTTGCCACATGGAGGAAGAAGGATCCCGAACAAGCCGAACCTCAGAACAACGGCCAAGACGCTGTCGATGGGAATAAAGAAAACCACCTGACCACGAACGACGCTGAAAAGAACAAAGAGGAAAGCAAGGAGCAACCCAAAGACGTGGAAATGAATGATGCTATTGAAGCGCCAACCAAAGAGGCGGAGATGGATCAATAGGTAACGATTTTGCCTCGATCTTAAAAGGCGTTAATGTCATAGCATTATAGGGCAAGGATTCCATGGTCTTGTAGCATTAGAAATACCCCTTTTGATCATGATAATAACAGCTTAATCAGAAGGCGCTGGCCTTTGAGTCTATTCGTCTAGTTTTGATACAGTTTTGTACAGTCGTTTGCCACCCAATGATGCTTGGAGTGGTTTGTTGTCAAGCGATCATTTCGCTCCTAAAAATCCGTAACCCTTCCATTATAAGACCAATCCCCCTCCCCTCCCCATCGCAAAGGCTCATTCTTCGGCCCACCAACCTCTCCAGTCTTGGGATTTGTCTCGCCCTCAAACTCGGGCGGCGCACCGCGACGGTACGCCACGTTCATGTCATCTAGCTTCTCCGGTGTCGTGGTATGTTGAATCTGGGACGTAGCAGGCGTCGCAACAGCAGCGGGTGTTTCCTCCTGCGGCTGGAAAGCGGATGACACTGAAGCTGCGCGCTGCAGACGCTCGAATTCGGCTTGTTCCTCGGCGGGGAGCTTGGGCGGTCCGGGGCGGTTTTGGAACGTTGACGAGAGGCGGATGGGGTTTGGCGAGTGGATGATGAGGGGGATGCGGCGGAGGAGGCGGGACATTGTTATGTTGGTTGGTTTGTGAATTGCTAATTGGTTTTTGTTTATTTTTGTTTGATAGGTGTAGGTTTGCTGTTGAACGGGTTGTTGTATTGTTAAATCGTTGGAGGTGGTGTTTGGCGCAAAGTAAGTAGCTGGTCTAATAATTGAGCGGGATGGCGATGGCGAAAAAGTAATGTGACGCAGATGATGGAGGGCGAAATCGGGGGAGAGACGGGCCGAGGTTAGATTGATCAGCAATTGTGGGGAGGAGATCCGATCGGGGGGTACGTATTCTTTAGTTGGTGATGGCTTCGTTTTTGGGCTGGGGAGTACCAGATGTTACACAATGGGTTTGAATATCACATCAGAGTAAATGCTGTTTACTACAGGAGAAGAGTTACCGCCGTAGTATTTATTTCAATTACATGGTACATACCGTTTACATACATACTAGAGCTGAGTTATGTTCTGTGTGGTCTTGATTGCATAATTATTTGCAGTCTCGGGCACTCATATCCAAGTTTTTAGCAAGATTGATGATCTGAAATGGAGTTTAACACACCCAATCCCTCAATGAAGCCACCAGTTGGCTCAATTCTCTCGTCTTTGGATAACAAAGACGTCGTCAATCGCCTGGCTAGAGTATCATAAACTCCCCTCATCGTCTCATGTCAGCGGCGCAGCCTCTACGTCGGTCGCCCGATCGGGTATATTCAACAACACGTGGGATAGAGTCCTTCTGAGGATTTAAAGACAAGGATGGTGACACTATACTCAACGGTGTTGGTGTCAGTTAGGTGTGGCGTTGCTAGTTTGGCGGACGTCTCGGGTGAGGATTCAACTTAGAAATGATGTGATGTCCTCGGCTTTTGTTTCGGGTATGATCCTGAATTGCGATGGGCATTGGAGCGTTGGGTATTGACGTGGCCTGGAGTCACTGAAGAAGAGGTATTGTATGTGTTGATAGGGCCGAGTTATCACAATAGTGGTGAGAGTAAACACACCGAAAAGACAGCAGTAGGAGCCTTTCAACCGTTTACTATCTCATCTAAATCATTTCTACGCCAAGTATCGCAATTTACATGCATCTCAGGCATCATCGCCCGACCACGCGGCTCTTCTCAATCCAACACCCTCGTGGTGCAATCTCACAGTGTCATTGGCCCACCTCACCACCACAGCCCCCTCAACTCTCGCCCAAACCAAACCAATTTATGACCATCGGTGTTTGAATTCGAACACTTGAACCCACCGTTTTCCTCTTCTTCACCAGGAAAAAGCCAAGATCGTCACGTATCGAATCACAGCTTCGCAAAGACGCACAAGCCGTTGAACCCTGTAGTAGTCTAACCGGTCCCTTGGGAGTGATAGCTTAAAGAGCTGTCTTGCCCCATGGTCTTCGCTCTTTGTTGCTACCCTGTTTTGCTTGCAACTCGACGATTTCATTTGGACACTTTGGCCAGCGCTGATTCAGGCCTCACGAGTTTTGTCTGTTAATCATGGATTGATACTCAGTCGTCGTGGCGACGCGGCACTCTATACTCTACTATCTTCAATCTTCTCGATATCACAGATGGCGACGCTTCATCAGTATGACTACATCTTTGCTCTGACCGTTATCTTCGCTTGCCTCGATGCATGGAACATCGGTAAGTCTTATGGTCTTGAACTTATAAGATTCTATGCTGACCTTTGTAGGTGCCAACGATGTGGCCAATTCATTCGCAACATCGGTCTCTTCGAGATCTTTGACTATGAAGCAAGCGATGGCCATAGCAGCAGTTTGCGAATTCAGCGGCAGTGTATCAGTCGGATCTCGAGTAGCAGATACAATCCGCACCAAGATCGTCGACCCTCACCACTACGACAGCGCTCCAGGTGTGCTACTCCTCGTTATGATGTGCACCATCATGTCATCATCTCTCTTCCTCACCTTTGCTACTCGACAAGGATTGCCCGTTTCGACGACTCATTCCCTCATCGGTGGATTAGTCGGGGCTGCTACAGCCTCGATAGGATTTCATAAGGTCACCTGGGGATGGCACGGCGTGGGGCAGATCTTTGCGGCTTGGATCATTGCGCCCTTGATCGCAGGATGCATTGGATTTTGCCTGTTCTTATTCACTAAGAAGGTCATTCTCACCAAGCGCTCAGCTGTCAGGAGAGCCTTTCTTTCTATCCCGTTCTATACCTACCTCACTGTGGGCGCACTCACCATGCTCCTCGTATGGAAAGGAATTCATACAATCAACCTATCAACACGAGATACAATAATAGCTATCTTTGCGACCGCTTCTGGAATAACGCTTCTTCAGACCTTTTTTCTACTACCTTTCCTATGGACTCGGATAATGCACGAAGACTGGACTCTCAAATGGTACCATGTTTTCCAAGGGCCGCTGCTTCTATGGCGATCACCACCTCCGCCGACACCAATTGGCTTCACCAAGCCCCGTATACGAGACTACTACCAGGGACACCTCACCCGCGAGGAACTCAACCACATACGTACTTCTGAGACACTTCTCCAGTCAATACAAACCACAAACGGAGAATTACCCGACCTTGATCGAGACGATGAATGGATTCTTCCACCTCCAGCTCAAACACCACCCAAGACCCCGCCAGGCCGATTCGAAAGACGGCACTCATCCGAATTCATACCACCCCGTCCCGAAGGCCCATGGAGCAGCCCAAAAGTAATGGCATGGAAGGTTAACCGTGTGTTGCTACGTGGTCTGGAGAAAGATGTGGTGGCCATGCAGAAGCGGAATAACATTCTCAACTGGGACCTAGAGGACATGCACGCCCGATCAGCCCACTATGACAACCGCGCAGAGTACATGTATTCCGCTCTCCAGATCCTCACGGCCGCCACGGCATCTTTCGTCCACGGAGCAAACGACGTCAGCAACGCAGTTGCCCCCTTCACCACTGCCTACCAAGTATGGTCCAGCGGCAGCATCCCCGACCACGTAGCGATACCGGTATGGATCCTCGTTGTAGGGGGAGCCTGCATCGTAATCGGGCTGTTGACGTACGGCTACCACGTCATGCGCACGCTGGGCAACCGCCTGACGCTGATCTCGCCGAGCCGCGGTTTCTGCATGGAGCTTGCGAGTGCAATCACGGTGCTCATGGCGACGAGGCTGTCTTTACCCGTATCCACGACGCAGTGCATCACGGGAGCTACAGTGGGTGTTGGACTGGCTAACGGAGATTGGAGATGCATCAATCTGAAGCTTGTAGCGTGGATATATCTTGGTTGGCTTATCACGTTGCCGGTGACGGGAGTCATGTCGGGGTGTTTGATGGGGCTTATTATCAATGCGCCGAGATGGGAGGGGTGACATGGTGAAATTTGCTTTGAGCGATGATACCTACTTGTGTAAACGGACTGTGTTCAGTTCCGAATGTTATAGAATAGCTGCCAATTATAATGAGACATTACGATATGTATCCTTTCTTGCCTGCACTGACTGATGATGTATGTGTTGATAAACAATCTAGAAGATACGCTGCCTTCAGGGATAAGTACCAAACTGCAGATTTACGGCTCAAGTGTTGTCGCTGTAACAATACCATCTTTGAAGACCATGTTTGTAGTCGGGAAGAAAATGACTAGCAGATTTATACCAGGACATCCCGCCCGAATTGCATCCATTGTTGGACTCAAATAAGCATGCATATACCCATGAAGAGAGCCGCAAATCATCTAATCATAGTAGTAGTGGCTAGGATCAAGATTGTGTAATTGAAACAACTTCGAATACATATGGCCCTATGCATATATGAAGTAACATGAATAAGTTTTGATTGACCCTTAACAATCAATTTGCACAAGAAAACGAATGCTAAACGCACCGTTCAGCAAAGAAGGATAAGTTGCTGGCCGAAGCTTGTAACCGGGTATGCAGAGTCCCGACTCTATGACCGACACGAATATACTACAAGAAAGCATGAACCCGATCAAACATCACCGAAAAGTAATGTGCTTAGCAGAGATTGAGCTATTGGAGTCGAGATGCAGCTTATCCTACCCGTGTTGTATATGCACGGGTATGCTGATTGTGTTTGGTGTTGCCGCGGATTCAGAGGGCCATGATTGTCGGAATAGGAACAGGAAGCATGCAGATACGAGTACGGATGGCAAAAGTTTGAGCCAGGGCCAATTTGTGGTATCGCTTTGGTTAGGAGAGATAGGTTGCCCCGTGGTCTATATAGAAGCTCTTTCGCACACAAGTGATGTTCGTTTCGGCACGTTTACTTCTTTCCTTACTTGTCTCTATACTATACAACGTCCACATAGGCCAACAAGACATAGGGCGGTTGGGGATACTGTGTATATCTCCGATTAGGCTGCCTCAAGTGTTTGGATCTTAGTATCGCCACAGCCAGCATTCGATATTACTGCGAAAACACATTGATCGCTGCATCTTCCAGCTGACATCAGCCTGAGAAAAGATGCCAGCAGAACTCCCTGCTTAGGACAGCTCTGAACTGAGGATACATCACCCAACGTCCAATATGTAAGTCCACCGCCATAATTCTGCTTGTGAATAAGTCTCATATTGACTTGAATAGGAGTATATCATACCATAGTCCAGCCGGGCGTGATCAGAGTCACGAGTAGAGATTTCTCCTACTTGCCAACAACTTTAGCTTGACCCAGGAGACAAGATCTTGGCCAGCCTTCGGGAAGATGAATTCCCACCACAGCTCTATGGCACATCATCAAACACGCGCCATTTGCGTCTTGTCCAGACACTTCTCCTATGGATGGAAACCCCTGAGGTCTCAATTTACTATTTTTCATAACCTGAGCTTCAAGGACCAGCAAGGGGCGGGATCGCCACACCGTTGTCAACACACCCTATCTTTCAAGAGGCACTTGGAAAGATGCATGCACTTCTTCCCTCAGAGGAACGTGAATCTGGCACCAGCTTCTGTACGATCCAAAGATGACATTGTCCATGGAAGAGAGCCATAACCCAAATGATGGGGATGGGGACATGTCGGTATCCTATCCTGGTCCCTCGAATTTACCAGTCTATGTACGGACAAGAGCTCCCTGATGTCTAGTTTCTGAGTGGGTGACTACTCAAAAACAACTGTGGCTTTCCCCACTATCGACTACAAGTGCAGTCTATCCACAGATGGGTAAGGGATGGACCAGATCACCTGGGTAGACCTCGGAATTCCTCTTCCTATGTGTTGCCTAACAAGACCAGCATCAGGTATATCAGCATTTCCATTTTCACTCGCACCCTACGAACTCAAGTTAGATATCATTGAGGATGTGGTCCCGGAAGTCTGAAAGCAACCGACACGGGAGAAACAAGACCTGTGTCTACATAGGGCGACAAACCGTGCATCGAAGATCAACAATAGCCAAGGCGACGATCTCAGATGGAACAACCCTATTAGCAGAGAATACGAATGTGCCGTGTCTTGAAGGAGAGTATATTCATGGTGTCGAACCCATACGTACAGGGCAAGGGCACCTGCGAGGAGTGCGAGAATGAAGGGGGCCTCTGTCTACGATATATGTTGGGCATATTCAACACCGCAGTGCTCCAGCGTCACTGAAGTCATGAAATCAAGGCCAAGGTCCACCCAGCATCTGTTTTAGGCACCTACACAGAACTGAACACTCTTTTGCAGTTCAAGGGCTTCCCCGAGGTGCTTTGCATGTGTGCAATTGCTCTCAGAGCATGAGCCCTCATGTACTCAGCTTTGTGGGGGTTGCGTCAGTTCAGGCCGCGCTTGTATACGTCCAACCGACCAGAAGACTTGCGTCAGCTATGAAAATACATCCAAGATAACACCCAGCCAAACAATCGTTGTTGTTATCTGACATATCTTCTCGCACATACACATTTGTCGAACCGTGGAAACCAAGCTACAAGATGGCAGCTACATGTACCCAGGCATCGATCTCCTTTTCGGAAGATATCCACTGAGGAGTGCAAACCTACAAATTCGGGTGCCACTGAAACCTTTACGCGCTACCAAGAAAAGCTACTGTGTCGATGTAGGCTGAGGACACGACTCGGTACAATGACTGGCCACGCTTCCAGGGTACTGCTAGATCTGGTCGCCGCAGTCTGTCCAGAGTAGAGAGTCTTTGGATGGGTCTTGGTCGATACAGACACACTTGACTTCATAATCTGCCCTTGCACACGGAGACTTTATACTCTTGCGGGATGTGAATAGAAGAATCTTCAGAGGTCCGACTGCTTTCATACAAAAACAGTATGCTTTGAATAAGCTTGTATCTTCCCTCGAACCAAGGGAATATGACATCGACGAGGTCGCCGACCTATATAACATTCCTCACTATCCAAACCTACGACTTTATCCTTTAGATCATGTGCAGCCGTTGATGGCTCATTAACTTGCAGGTGAGTAAATCAATAATCTACTCATGTACATGAGGAACATATTCGTCACGTACATGAGTAGATTATTCTTTAAGAGTTTCTTATATCCGTTCCCTACCTGATAGAATTATACTAATACGACTAGATACTCATATGCTCGTACAAAAAATGAAGTCCTATATGCCGTACCACATATTAGCAAACGAAATGGGGTACCAGGCCAAGACACGAGCTGAACACCATGTTGAAACTATTTCGAAACGAAAAGACAAGGGCTTACACACTCATCGTCACCTATCATCGAAGTAAATATGTCCATTCTGTCCATGTTTTTTTCGGTCTCTCCGAAGTTGGTATTCCAACGCCCTCGACAATGTGGCAAATATGGCCATACTAAAGACACATGTCATTTGGTACAGAGTTGCAACCGATCCATCCCATTTTCATAGCAAGCTTCACGGCGAGCATATGAGCGTCCCAGAACAGTCCATCAACTAGCCGAGAAATCCCTACCATTCATCTGATCTCAAGTCTGACTCTTGAGTCTCTGCTATCAACCTTGACCCAGAATGTGGAATCTCGCAAGAAAGCCGCATATCGGGACCATCTGGGCAAGGAAAAATGCGTCGGAAAATGATGAACGGGACCCAGAGTCTAGTCAATCATGTCTAACAGATTCTGCAATATTTCCCCTTCAATCAACCAACAACAGTCGCCTGTCCCTTGTTGGACGTCTATTTGGGCCTGATCAACGAAGCCGGAGAAGCTCATGCCTATTCTTATTTACCACATTCCAGATTTAAAGGATTGCATCGTACCTCCTGGTATACTGTGTCGCTCCTGAAGAGCTCGGGTTACGAAAAGTTTGATTATCCTATTCGGGTGATCTTTGGAAAACCCGGGACCGCTGGACTACTTTCAAGGATTATCAAGTCCATTGCGACAGATGCAGAGAAATACCAGAACAAATCCCGAAGCAAAGGGAAATTGACCGGAATCATTCAGGAGACTCACCAAGCAGTACATCTTAGCAGCTCTGACACTGATGATCGGACAAAGATCTCTGATTGTACTTGAACGCGATGTTACCAGCGGCTACAGAACCAGATATTATGGAGATCTCTACGCAAAAATCGAACGATGCAAAGTTGATGAGTTCTAGGAGCTCATGTGGGACTCAATTTGCTGGCAATTTTCATAAAAAGTCATGAGACTTAAATGCGATATTTCTATCGGAAAAGCGCTGAAAGCCACCTATGAATGGGCCCGAAGTACCCTCCGCACTACCATCGTCCCCCAGCCAGACTGAGAGGCTCCGTGCCGATAGTGAAAGACTTACCAATTTTCAAGCTTTACTCAAACTTCCCTCAGTATCGGTACATGGGCACTGGCAAATGCGAACTCTGCCGATCCAGCCCGGACCGACCATGCGTGAGGGTAAAGTTGAACTTCCCTCTGAGGCGATGCTAAATAGTATCATCGTTCAAGAACGAACTCGACAAGAACAGGTCAACATTGAGAATCAACAGCCATTTGATCTCTCATGTGCAAATGAGGAGCCGGTCAGGATATCATCATTCACAACACCATCATTCGGAGGCCAACCTCCGCCTCTACCTCCAGAGACTCCCATGATGAGGATCACGCCCAGATGTCCCAATACGGAGTATGTTCAGCAAGGATCGGTTCCACGCTCTGTTCGTCCTGAAGGGACAGAAACAAGAAGCAACTCTGTACATTCCAGGGAACCGACAGTTTCCTTACTACCTCGCTGTGACGACTTTTCGTCTTTTGCCAAATGGCCCAAAGAGGGAGGCAGAGAACGAAACTCGGCAGTGTCTACATTGCGAGGATACAGGCCATGAGTGCTAGTCATTTTCACATATATCTGTTCCCGGAGAAGAGATAGGCCATATGCGATCGGTGCCTGAGACGTATAACGTACAGAGGTCACAAGCGAAATGTGT